CCAGTACATTCCTTGTGATGGTTGGAGCCTCCTATCGGATGCGCCAAAACTTTGCACAAGGTTGACCGCTGCGAAGGTATATCTGCAAGCACACTTAATATGCAATTCTTCTAAATGCCTGTCAATCAGTGTCACTACGTGAGACGATCCCATTTTTAGTTGTCTATTAAACGTACTATGCAGTATTTCACGGTCGATTGCAACAGTAGCGACTTGAAGGTTGTCCAAATTGGTTCATCTATGGTGCCTGTCTCAACATCGACTTAAAAGACCCAGCAGCCAGGGTATGGGCGTTGAAGCTAATAATTGGCCTGTTCAGATATGTAATGAGTGGCCATGCAGCGATGGGGAAACCGAAAAGAGTTGCGAAGGAGCTGATACATATGAATGGCCCCATCGTTGCAGTTCGCCATGAAACCGACTTCCCCCTGTCCAATTTCAATCAACACAAGGAATGCAAGAAACATATCCCTTAAAAGTTGCTCCGGGCGTTTGGGCACGAAAGATGTGTTGATTATACCTGGAGAAGTAATAGGTGTGTAGGATTGGTATATCCTGTCCATCGTCGTGTGAGTCCTTGAGTGTGTTTGCCAGTGATATCGGGACTTGGACATATCCTTGGAGTGTCTGATAGCTGCGGATCATATAGCCCCTTGACCTATACCGTTGCTTAAGACCAGTCCAAGGTCTTGATTTGATTGCCCTGTTCTAGCCTCATTTTGAACCCAATCTGGCCCCGAACGCTTCCTCTAAGCCTCATTATAGAACGGTTGACCCGCAACAGCATTCTCTTCACCAAATACCATGGTCTGTTTGCCTAGGAAGTGATATTGCGCACGAGATCACAAGAAGGGATTGGCAAAGTTGACTCTGGCTCTCCGTATTTTCCTGATATCTGCGGTGTACTGCCCTTCCGCAAATGTGTAGGATTATTTATGGCCTCTCACTGAGGGAGCAAGCGTTGGAGCTGATTTGTCTCCGGCTGGTGGACGACAACAGAAGACAGCTCGTCTGGAATGAGAGGATTCCGATCCTAGAGCAAGAAATGAGTGCGGACTTTGCCCCTAGGGAATCACGTCCATTGGAGCTTCACAATAACCGTTCCAAAGCTCACCATTAGCAGAGTTAACATCAATCACCTATCCACCACCACAAGATCGCCAAGTAGGGCTGGAATTTGGGGTTGGGGTTGAGGTTGGCTTGTACGTGGCGGCCTCTACGAAGCTGGTTGATCTCATGGAGCAGGACACCATCCCCCTATCTTCTAATAAAGAACGGTCTTTGTTGAAGTAAAGGATGAGGAAACCCTGACTCAATACTACGAAAGGGCCCAGGCCTGGGGCCTTACATTACTTTGGCACGGGCTGTCTACAGGGCACTCCGTGAAACTGATGCGCGCACGAAATGTCTATCCCGAGGCCATATAGGAACTGCAGATACAGACGAAGAGATTGTGTTGAACGAGCAAAGGGCGATATCACTAAACAGTTGGCTCGATGTTTTCTTCTCCTTTTACGCTAGGATACGGAGCTCGCACTTTTCAAATCTTATACTTCAACACCAGACTGGTCTGCAGTTCAAACACAGACTTCCTTTATACCCCTTCCCTAATCATGTCGTAAGGGGAACATGCGGTTACCGCAACCTGACCACACGCCCTCTGTCTATATCGATAAAAACCAACAAAGAGCTATAACAGAAAATATGGACGGTAGATCACGCTCATCAAATTTCCCGTTCGAATATAGAGCGTCCTACGCGTCACCGCCAATATAAATAACAACCTGAATAGCGAGATCCTCCTTGGCTCTGCGTATTGCTGCGCATTGTTCTCGTGTTGTTGCTGCCCTATCGTCTCCTCCGTTCCCCGTCGCATTCTTTTATTTATTAAACGGCTTCAGAACTCCTCAGTGGCAGAGAAATCTAAAAGTTGTTCTACCCTAGATCCTTCGGTTATCAAATGTGGCGCCTATACCCTCTGTTGTTAAGGGTCCTTTGGGATGCTAACATTTGACACTGATGTTTGAATGCGATATATTGCTTTACAACGTTACGTTTTATATCACCTTTGATTACAATCGTCTCGGTTCCAAATCCTAGTATGTTGAAACATCCCCTTACCTCAACCTCTATACCCGCCTCCGATTATTTTCGGCCAAGCGTCGTGTTGAGGGAACACCACGACCAGAGCAATGGGGCAGGGAGACGCCTACGTCTTCATTAACTACTCAGCCAGATGGCAGGAAGGTCATCGTCCGAACATCGATTTTCAAAAAAAAAAAATTTTAAAAAAAATACGAATAACAAGATGTCGGCAGTGATTATTGGAGCGGTGGCCGCCGGGGGCATTTGCATCGGGTCCATTGGGACGTTGTTAGGTGTGTGGGTGGCGTGGAGGCGAGGGGAGGTTTGCTAGGGTGTAACATATAACTATGGATGTTAATTGCATAAGTCACCCCAGGGATCAGGAAGGATATGGAAGCTCCCAGGATCCTCCCACATCAGTTATCTCAAAAGCCACCTATGACGTGTATGATCCTACCATATCCTACCTTTCATCGTCAGTTCCGAAAGCATAAAATTTATTCGCCCGTGGACTACAGACTCTGGGCAAAGGATCCTTTCTACTGCTCTTCCACCGCTTCTTCCCTAAGCATCAGATTCCAAAATATGTCTGCGTGCGCCAGAAACGTCAATACTACTTATATAGCGGCACCCAGCGCGTTAGAAAGGGAGAGTATCCAGAAATACTAAGAATCGGCTACGAAGTTGAGGGATTTGGACTGGTCCAAAATCCATGGATTCGTGCCGTACTGGGAGACCGACTGGCTGCGCAAATAGCACCAGATTCAAGGCAGTTCATAGAGAATCTCGTTCTTCTCAAACACACCGCTTTCTATTGTGGGTGTGGCCTAGCGACTAACGGCCCCAATACCCTCCGTTTTAACCATCTGCAGGGCTTATGCCTAGCCGTTTGAGGTTTGAAGATCAAAATACCGTTGGCCCCTGAGACATTTGATGGTGTTTATAGGAAGTTACTTCAACATATCCGGGGCCAAGAACTCTGAATTTGCTAGCGACAGGCCCGTTCTATATTACCTCTCATCTTTTGCCTTGCTGTCCTGGGTCTGATGGCCGTGGTCTCCGTCTACTTCTATATGGGAAGCGCCGAGTGCCTCCGCGCATGCAGCAGTGGACTTGCGTTGCCTTCCATGACACCACAATGCACGAATATCTACTCCTGGGAATGTCCTATTTAATATACTTCACTAAAACTGCTAAAATCGTCATACAATGCCGTTACGTGCGGAATTCCTCAACGCAGGACAGAGAGTAATTGAAAAAAAGGAGATGTCAGCTACTTTAGGGGAATAACTAACGTCATACGACTTATTTATGGAGCGTGGACTAGTTATGCCGGTCCGCTGTAAGGACATCACGGACGTCCATATTATGCAGCCGGAGAACAAAATATCAACCTGACATGATGTTTATTATGATCCTGTCCTATGTTTTTTTTGCACATAGCAAAGGCCCTTTCTACTCCACAGCTATATCATCTTAGCTAGAGAGAGGTATTCGGCCTTCATGTGGCAGAACGATTCCCGTTAACCTGACAAGGAGCAGGAGGGGATATACATGCAATGGATGGCGCCCCAGGCAACTTATACGGAAGATGTCTATCTTTTGGAGTGCTAATCAGCAGCATCAGCATCAAATTCGGAAAGATAAGTTCTGCTCGCACACAACACGAAGCTAGCATCAAGGGATTTGGCCATTTTTGCCGAATCAACTTTACCCCCCAAGGGCCTGGACACGATAGCGGGCTGGAGTGATGAAAAAGAAGATAAAGCGAAGAAAATATACTGGAAAAAGGCGCGTGGTAGGGGTGACCAGCAGCTATTTCTGCACCACTCAAATGGAGTGTTTGGCACTTTGGGGCCATAGAGACAGGACCCTTTTGTCGCACATATAGATGCGATGCTATGGGGAAAACGAAAGGAGCTGCCCCTAAATTCCGACCTACACACCGTACGGAGTACCTTTGGTTACTTTTTTTCTGGGACTTCGCAAAAATATGTGCTTTTAATCCCTCCTCAGGTCGCATCTTGACATGCGGTACATTAATCTACTGGATTGTCCAATTATACGGCCAGAATAACACCAGAGCACCGCTCTGTGATTATAAGAAGTCTCCTCCCTGTGCTCTTTTTTTGCCCTATTCCAGCCTTTCCTCACGTCGTTCGTTCCCATCCTAGATCAATTACACTTGCTCGTGCGCTTTGTCATGCCTGAAGCTTCCATTCTGCTGGTCCCCTGTGCTCGGTTCATGTATGCCGTGGGTGAGTTCCTCCTCACGGGTGCTGGGGTCGGCGAACTCTGCTTTGGAAGCCGGATGACATACTTTCTCCCAAATCTACGAAAAGTTGCTCAGTCTCAACTTCGAGCATTGGAGCGATTACGCCAATTCCTGTGCAGAGGTAGCCGGCAGCCAGCAATGTATTTCTAGCTGGGCGAGCCATGGCCAAAAGCAATACTACCCTCTACTATTAACAACTCCACATACAAATCAACATAAAATACTTTACGGTCCAACCGTGTGAAGTCTTTACAGCTATTCTCGACCACCATGTCCTGGAACCAGTTATACAATGTGTTGGGGGACTACATGTTCGGCAACCTTGCTCCTTTAGCGGATGGCATTCTGGCAGATGCAAAACCAGATCATTTCTTTGAGGGCCCTGATTCTAGGGATCTGCTACTCAGCCTGTACGCCTCAAATTTCATCAACAAATAGTCTAGACGGTCGATCTCAACATACTGTATAGTCTGGTGACGTGCTTCCACCCCATAATTCTCGATATAAAAACTACGTCTCTGGACGCCACTATGACCTACCTCCTAATGTATTCCTATAAAGTGCAAAAGTAATGTTAGATAGTTAGCGGCATGTGCCCCGATGTAATGTATTATTCGATTATGGGTTAGATATTCATAATTTAAGGAATTTCCATGATAATCGGGTGCCATTTCAGGGCTTCTACAGTTCTAGTAGTTCCATTAATTGGGTAGACTGATTGTAAGGTCTTGATTAGGTAACATGCTAATTGAACACATAATTCGTAGTTGAGGCAATAGAGCTAGTGTCTTCATCGTTTATAAATCTCTGCTTGAACGCCTGCCGTCAAAGAAAAGAAAGGTCGAGAAGGCGAGAATCAGGCATATTGCAGCTACTCAAGCGATTAGCAGACGAAATAATATGATGGAAAATAGCACGAACTCACCTAAAGTAACACTCATGTAATAGTACCCAACCAGTTCAGTTAGAGAGCCTGAGAGCAAAGGTCCCACCATCATTCCAAGACTGAACGCTACTTCCATCATTGAAGAGACTCTAGAGTTTCCTCCATGGGCTCCAAATATATTCGGGTTCTTTGACTGCATGTCATTCACCACAGCTACCACCATTATGAACCCATTAGTATACAGATTTACAGGGTTGTATGAAGAAGAGGTAACTTACCAGTCAATTGGACAGTTCCAGCACCACGAGCTAATGTTGTAGCCGTGCCAATGCCCACAATACAGGATATAAATATAGCTTTCCCATTAGTTTCAGGGCTGGCCCATGGAAAACGGCTATCCCCCGGGACACCCATGAGCCACAGCAGCGGGACTAGGAGAGCCCAACCCGCCGCGGTAGGATATCGGAGTCCTACTCGATCTCGGAGCCAGCCAACGATGGGGCTAAGGAAGATGGAGGGGACCTGCAATGCGAGAAAGGTCATGCCTACCGGCAAGCTCCCCCAATTGAATACATGGCGAAGATGCAGAGGCAGAGTGGCGTCGAATCCGCATACAATAGAAGACATCAACACGACGCTCGCTAGACCGGCCAGCACACGGGTATCCTGTAATGTTGTGTAATAGAAACCACGAGGTGCTATGCTTTCCTTGGCGCCCTTGACGGGTTCATTATTCTTCACAGACTGGTAATTCTTACCAGCCGATGCAAGTAGCGAGGCCTCTTCATCGTCGCGTATAGTAGTTGTAGTCTCAGTAGAAACTGGAGAAGGCGAAGCGCTATCGAACGAATCCGGGCATTTGATGTACCTATCTCGCCCCTCAATCATGACCAGGCGAGCAACTATATCGCAGAATATCACCCCTAATGGGACAGACCATGTCGGCCAATATCCCGACAACTGCAGCAGAGACCCAGCAATCGCAGGCCCTCCGATGACACCAGCCATCACGAAGGACATGGCCACTCCCATAGTCTTCCCCATGTGCTCCATACCGACATTATCGACCAGCGTCGCAAAACCCACGATCCATGCCGCAGAGCCAGCAACACCCTGTAGAATCCTCCCGGCAAACAGGGTCCACACTGCATAGTTATCCGTCAGTATATACGGTCGTCGGACAATGATTTGTGGCGGGTAAGCATACAATTAGGCGTACACGCGACAAGGAGGGTTCCTATGAGACATGCTGCAAGCGAAATCAGCAGCGGGGTCCTCCGGTTTGGCGTTTTATCTGCAAAATGGGCGATAACGGGAGCTGATATGAGGGCAACAAAGCCGTGGATGGCAAGCAGGGCAGAGGAGAGACTTTGGGTTCGCGATGGGTCGATGTGCAGGCGGACTTCAAGCATGTAACTCAAAATCGGGACCAAGAAGCCATAGAGGAAGGTTTCTAGAGACCAGGTTAGAATTCTGCGACGAGGTAGAAAAGTCAACAGGACAAGGGGGATCGATAATACCAGCAAATAAGGCCAGGACGATGGTAGAGATGACAAAAGTCTTAGATGACCGCCATCGGTAGCCCCATGGCTTCAGACCATAGATCGCCATCATCTAGGTAACGCAGAACGAAGAAGTTAACAGGCAGCATCTCTAGAGCTGAAGAGGGCGCCGTATATATAGCGGCAGGGGGAGGATCTTCCTCTAAGGCGCAAAATTTATGTCAACCAAGGCCCAGGGATGCATAGCCGAGGTTCCCGGCCCGCACCTTATTTTCGCTACTCTTTATATAACTCTTTATTGTCTATTTAGACGGCGTCACTTTTACCAGTGAATCTATCAGATTACATTGACGAAACCATTGGCTTAGGATGGATAAATACTACACTAGTCTACAGTTATACATGCGGCCATCTATAGGCTTGCTTTGATAGTCTCTGGTGCTGGAAGCATGGGTCCAGGAGCCCAGACGCCCTTTGAATACACCCATTCTGAGATCCCACTAACCTGTGCGCCATGTTGGAAAAATATTCTGTTGACCGTCTCGTCGCCGGACCCATATGTGATGGCGGCCATTTCACTGCCCGGTATGGTGGGCTGTGTTGGTGGATTTAGATCCTCCGCCCATCCCCTGCTGCCTACGTATAACTTGACGCTGATTTTCTGGCCGTAGGTGGTGTAGAAGACACGCAGGTTAGTGTTATATCCATCTTGACCAGCAACCGATGTTATAGCACCGCGGGGCACTCCGCCGTACCCCAGGGCATAATCGGTGGTCCACCCGCCTCCGATTTTTCGATACCAGTCAATGTTCTCCAGCTTTGGGTCCTGGTAGTACAATCTGCGAAGACAACGTTAACTACAGTAACCTCCCGCGTGGCCAAGACTAAAGAGCCAATACTTACTTGAATGTGGTCCTGTTTTTAGCTATGTAGGAAACGGCTGATATCGAAGTTCCAGGCAAACAACGGTGGAAAAACGTTTCGTGTTCCCACTCACTTCCGACATCTAGTTAATGGTCAGTACTACATTGGTAGTTTTTTTTTATATAGGGGCCATGTAAACTTACCAGTACTGTTATAAACGTTTATAGTATCATCCTTGGACTGATAGTAGATAGACCGGTAGAACTTCGGATGCCCAGGATAGACGGTTGCTGCCAGTTTCGCGTAGTGTGGAATTTCCAGTTGCATAGCACCGAGATTGCCATGAGACCAGTTCTTGGTGGAATCATCGTAGATAGTCTCCTGCACAAAGTTGTCGTCACTGACATAGAAGACAGAGATCTACATACTGCGTAAGCCACGACACACGGCAGGATATGTATGCAATTCCAAAGGGTTATTATGGTACCTGCTTAAGCTCTTTGGTAACGGCAGCAAGGGGACTGCCAATCCTTGCTTTCCCAATCACATTTGTCCCCTTGGACCAATTCGCGCCATCATAGGCAGCTTCGAGGATATTGCCGTAAATATCTTGAAAATAGACCCGGATGTGGTCTTCGGCGTTGACAGCGGCAATGGCCGTACCTTAAAATGCCAGTCAATGGATGGGATTCAGGTATTAGGAGTTTGTTTAACTACTCACGGAAAAGAATACTCTTGACACCAGTAATAGACATGATTGATTGAAAGATTCTATGGTAACCAGATTAATAACAAAGCTTGCGATATCACGGCTCTGGGATGGCTTTCTCCTTTTATACATTGAAAATGGACTTTGGCGCAAATCACCCATCCCAACTACCTTTACAATTAGTTAGCTAGCCCAGAAGTATCATCGTAGCCACCTCCACATGATGATCAATGTAGCCGTGCCTATTCCAGTTGGTTAATCATCAAAAACGAGACTTAAGCGCTAGTTAGTCGAGAAAACCAACCCTCAAATTGAGCCGGTCATCGTCAATTGCACTAGAGATAGATAGGCTGCGAAAAAAAAAGAAAAGAAAGAAACACTGTTTAAGGTTGATCCTCGGGATGTTGAGTTTCCCCAAATTTGAGGTTATGCGGAATAGAGCTGAACTTGTAGATCAGGCCGCCACGTATTTAACTTCATGTACTCTCGTTTGCAAACGTGTTCGGCGAATTTATTAGATACGTATACTCCGTACCCAGCACGCGCAGGCAGGGATATGTGCATTCCACTTCATGCATAATATCCTGCATCTAGGATTATCCCCCTCCACCATGATTGTAGACTCACAACGCCATGTCTGGCGGGGTGATTGCGTATATTTAAGTCGAGAAGAGGCCAAAAAAAAATATACGTGCCATCATAGCAAAGCGTCCGTCAAGCTTGAATTTCCCGTTTTGTGCCTCCCTTGTCGAAATTTCACAATGTCAGATATCCTCGAGTTCCATGTCCCCGAGGTCGGGCTCACATTCAGGGTGAAGCTCGTCACGGATAACCCTGACGTCGTCGAGCAAGTGCTGGCCCAGCTGCCATTGAAGAGCGTGCTCGGCCACGTCGTGATTGCAGGCGAGACATTTTGGACGCCAACTAGGATCTTGCACACCGGCCGCAACAACATGGTGGAGCGACGCCTGGGGAACGTTTACCTCAATGCCATGGGCCAGTCGATATGCCTCACTTACGGCAAGATCACTGAAAGCGCGCGGGTCAACAAATTCGGCCAAGTTTTCGACGAAGACCTTGCTATCCTATCGCAAGTCGGGAACCTTGTCTATGCCAAAACAATAGCGCAGCCCCGTCGCCAGATTTTGGAAGTTCACATCTCGAGCCAGGTTGCGCACCCTGGACGTTCGCTAGACCCGCCCGAAATCACGGAGTCTGATGCCGGCTGGCGCAAAGCCAAAGCTACGATCGAAAAGGAGATCGATCGAGTCTGGCTCCAGGAGCCGGAGGAGATCCAAAAGATCCGCTGCGGAGTCATTGAAAGCGGTGCCGGCACTGGAGAGCAATACTTCACCGTGCTGGTGCACCTCGAGGCGTTTCTGATGGTGCTGGGAGGGGATCTGATACAGAGATTGCTGAAAATCTCGCAGTACGACGACGTGCAGCTGCCGACGCTCATTCGCATCACCAGAGAGCTACTTATCGGAGATTTCGACTTGTTTGAGTTCATGACAGATCTTGGGCTCACCAACATGCACCAAATCAGCCAAATGTATTCGGAGGCACTCGACACCCTGACCACCAAGGAGGAATACGCACAGCTGACTGGTGCGATGGTGACCTACGTCAACCGTATGCATCGCTGGTCATATTTCATCTTCCCCTGGAACCTCGGGGTGGCCTTCCCCCACCGCAAGCCATCTGAAATCGCGGCGCTCTCCAAGATGATCGGCTAGCCAATGGTGGTAGGGATCCAATGACGGGGAACGCATGGGCAGACAATGTTGACATGGATAGCCTGAGTAGTAGGATTTAGGGGCGGTCAGGGTGTTTGCTGTTCGAGAAGAACGGGGAGAAATGTGTGGTGGCAGTGATGCGCAGTCCAGTTAAGAATAAAGTCGAAGCCGACCCTGCATGAACCTTAGGCATAGATCCACGAATTAAAAGCTCGTTCGCTTATTATGGAGCATAAATACGACAAGTTATAGCTCGATTGGCGGGTTCTTTCCCGAAATAGTGACAGGTGCAAATATTGTCTGCCGGCTTGTCCCGTTATTATTGTCTTGCAGTGCGTTTTTTTTTAGCAAAGTATACACTGGAGGATTAACATGTCTTCGTCAGTTGCAACATTTTCACTAAGAGAGCTAACGGTGGAGATTAGCATTCAGCTCATAATTGAGGAATGATAGACCCATCTCTTTGCAAAGAAGCATCTCCCTGCCACATACTGAGGCCTAGCAAAAAAGATACAGACCGTAATTATCAAATCATGCTGGCAATGCCTTTTTTCAGGCATTCGATAGCTGCCTTCTCGTATATTTAGTTAGTTCCGTTCTCGACATCAACCAAGATGTCAATAATTCCTATCAACCCCCTTACCATTTGAACACGCTCACGGTCTCATCCTTGAGAACAATTTTATCAACCTATCAACCAATTTCTGCTGTGAAGATGCATTATCAACGAATGGCCATCGAGAAGGAGGCGCCCGAGGAGATGGGCGCCGTCATTCGCTACAACCTCTCCGAGAGCGCGGTGGCAGACCGTACTCTCGCAGACCTGGGAATTTCCATACCTGCCGACCTCGTCCTCACCTATACGGAGCACCAGGGCAGCTCACAGATCAGGCGGTCAGTCGCGGAAGCCTGTGGGCTAACACCAGATGATATCCTTGTCACAGCTGGAGCGTCGACGGCGCTATTCATTGTGGCGACCACCATCCTAGGGCCGGACGACCATCTCGTCGTCACTCGGCCCAACTATGCGACCAGTCTTGAGACGCCCCGCGCCATCGGGTGCAGTATCTCCTATATCGACCTGGAGTTTGAGAAGGATTTCCGTTTGGATCTGGACCAGCTCGCCGCGGCCATCAAACCTTCCACAAAGCTAATCAGCGTGTGCTCTCCAAACAACCCGGCTGGCACGATGCTAGACGCCTCTGAATTAAAGGCCCTTGCAGATCTAGCCCAGAGTCGTGGTTGTTATCTCCTTGTCGACGAGACATACGCTGATTTGATTCACTCTGAGAATCCTCCACCAGCGGCGGCGTCACTGGGGGATCATGTCATCGGCACTTCGTCCATGTCCAAGGCGTATGGCGTGCCCGGGATCCGCATCGGATGGCTTTCAACTAAGAACCCAATCCTGCAAGAATCTTTCCTAGCGGCTAAGGAGCAGATCAGCATCAGCGGCAGTGTCCTGGACGAGCTAGTGGCTGAAAAGATCCTTAGCCGAAGGACTGAGCTCCTCAGCGCCACCAAGAAAGACATGCTGGCCCGTCTCAGCCATCTCCAGGCTTGGGCCAAGAAGGAGGAGGAGCACGTCGAATTTGTGTCGCCGTCTGCCGGGGTGATGGTTTTTGTCCACATCAAACGTGAGCCTGCCGGAGGAATTGAGGCATTCTATAAGCGTCTCATCGAGCATGGAGCGTACGTCGGCCCCGGTCGATGGTTTGAGCGGCCAGACAGCTTTTTCCGTCTGGGCTATGCCTGGCCAACTATGGAGGATCTGGACGCGGGTTTGCAAGCAATCTCCAAGGCATTAAGGGGAGAGTAAATTATAGCAGTGGAGAGACATCATCCTTCTCAGGCTTCAGCTTGAGACCTCCTGTTTAAGTCATCGTCAAACAAGTGTCAAGAAGCTTCATACACAAAAATAAAAGCATAGTCGAATATAGCGTTGTCCCTTATTAAAGAGTATTTATTTATGGATACCATAGCAAATACAACTTTCATCCCGGCCTGTAAATGTACCATTAGACGATCTGGGTATTGATGAATATGATGGTCATAATGATAAAGTCTGTGTAAAGTATCTTAACTGATGGATGTATATTCGTCTGAACAAGTTGTAATTTCAAGGCTTTTATCTAAACGTCCAAAAGATAATATTTAGCTGGCTGAATAAGCACCACAACCACCAGCGAAGGCTCAACTACTGCAGCTTTTCAAACACAAGAGGACATCTCAGCCCGCTCGGAACGGCATCATGGGTGCTGCATTGTTTCATGATTTCGTGGTCAAATGAATCTGACAGCCTGGTTCGGTATCGCAGGAAAATCCCTGCAATCAAAACCTTGATCTCCAGGGTCGCCAGCGGCTTTCCTAGACAAATCCGAGCACCGTATCCAAACGGAATGAGATGCGATTCTTGACCCGCGGTCTGGTCCTGCAACCATCGTTCGGGAAGAAACTGATCTGGTGCAGGGAAAACGTCCTCGGTCTGGTGCAATGCGGTGATGGACGTTGTCACAACAGTCTATTGTTCATCATATATTGATCAGCATGAGCTTGAAGCAAAAACCGGACAACTGGCGAAAATACCTCTTCAGGGACATAAACACCAGAAAACTTCCTCCCACCGCTTGGTACCACACGCTCAGAACGTCCACTTGAGGCAGGGTGAAGACGATATACTTCCTTCATACACGCTTCTAAGATCGGGGTTTCGTTGATGTGTGAGAATGAAGGAAAGCCGTCTGCTTGAACTGGTAGGTTGCTCAGCTCCTCTCGCACCTTTTCCTGCCACTGTGGCCGGAAACTGAGGTGATAGAGGAGGTATGTTGCTGTTACCGAAAGCGTGGCCTCCGCGGCGTTGATATTGTCTAGGACTTCGGCGGCGATGAAATTCTGCTCAAACGACTTCTTTGCTCTCGCTTCCTTTGTGTCCAAACCACCACACTGAGCCACGAGCCTCCGAAGTAGGCAGTCATCTCGATCGAAAAGGGGATCTTCAATTGCACGCTTGACCTTGTCGTAGGACCATACCGCCAACTCATCTTCCGCTTGCAAATAATCGAGGCTTGGAATCCAACTTAGGAGGGAGACTAGAATCTGGAAAACCCCAGGAAGGTTGATGTGAAGGGGGCCCCAGAACTGAAGATGTTTCAATCCCCGTAGGATCCCACGCTCCTGGCTGTCTTCCTCGATGGCGTTGGTGCAGTGCCTGGGTCCGAGTATGAGGCGTGTGATGATATCAAATCCATACCAGTCTGTCAACGAATAGACGTCGACTGAAGGATTAGGGCCCTTGCATTCCACATGCCGCAATACAGCCGACAATCGATCCCGAGTGAGATCCTCAACCTCAGGACGGCCGTATATGTTAGATGCCTGATAAAACTGAGATGTGTGTCGTCGTTTCGCCTGGTGCTCCTGATGTGGAAGAGTTGCGAACACTGATCGCGCATTATACCCCTTAAAGTGGTCGAAATAGCTGCTTTTGGAAAACTTGCCTGTCGAGCCGTATATTTCCCTGGTTGCCGACAGTGAAGCCACGGAAACTGCATTTGGAGCAATGCATACTATAGGGCCATACTTCTTATGCCATTCCAGTATCGTTTCGTTCCGCTGCAGGCACACATCGCGCACAACGAGGTTGAGTCCGGATATTTTGCTCAACCACGGCCCGGGAATATGGGAGACACGCTGATACCGGCATAGTGCTTGAATTAAAGCCCAGGCCAAATAGAAGAGACTTGAAAATATCAAAAGGTTCACGATTCCAGTTGAAGATAATTTAGATGACACGCCCGTTGAGCTGTATAGCGCTCTACCGAGGCGATACTGGGCCAATTGCTGAAGGATTGAAGGTTCTGAGCCTGCCATAGTGAAGGAAGGCCAAAGTACAAGCGTCTCGAGGGGGCAAGTCAAGCTCGAGGTATCTTGAGCCGGTACCCAAGCCCATTCTCTGCTCTGACCTTCGCCATATATGCTTCCGGGAACAGCATTTCTGTGGATACTATCACCCTGTTTGAGATGACCAATATTTGAGATCAAGACTAAGGGAACTTCATTCCTATCCAATGCAGGCTCGGGTGAAATTGACGGCTTATCCTTTAGCTGTTCCAACGAATTAGCCTCAGTGCCTCAACCGCCATCTCATGCTGTTGCTATGAGTGGCCAATTAACGCCAAGTTGGATTTTTGCAATTTAGAACAGTTCCCATGATGATGAGTTTACAAGCCGACGCAACTCACCCAGCGCCTTATGCTACAGTAATCTTAGGCCTAGTTAGAGGAATTCAGCTGTTGGTAGTACGGAGTATACACAAGCGTTTACGGAGCTCTGGCTGGCTGAGTATTCAACTCTAGGGCAGGGAAGCGTGGTCCACAGCAAAGGCCGTCAGTTCCTGTACGGTTAGCTAGTATATACGGACGGGCTGCATATCTCGCAGCTTACAGGCACACTCAACAGGCTCAACAGGGGCCTGTGCCCTTTTTGCTTTGTGGTGGAATAGGCCTCGTATCTAGGAGAAAGGGTAGTCCTGGGCTACATTGGCTTGGGAGGCGTAGATAGAGCCTGTAAGGCCCCCTGCCGTGCAGCAAGCTAAGAGCAATACAGCGTAGTATGTCCGCTAGGTATGTCTGTTCAGATGCCACTAACATGATGGATAGTCGATAGCTTAATTTACCTTAAGCATCCAACCTTGTTCTTCCTCTTTTTTGATACTTTTTTACTAGCCACACCTAAAGTATATTATCAACGCCAACTATGCACAGCTATGTAGGCTTTGCAAATAAAGGAACCGCCCCATGATATCAACTCACTACTCGCATATGGAGACACTCCGTATGGAGCACGGTTTCACCTCAAGCCCACTTTAGACCTTCGCCCGCGGAGACGGCTTGATTCGGTCGGCGATGTGATTATATCGAGGTGGAGTGAGGCCTGCCTTCATCGTATGGCGAACTTGAATCTCAATTTTGAGGTGAATACGTAAACAATCTGGCATTTCGTCTGCAGGCCTTGTCAACAACATGGCACTCTCCCACGGAGCTGAGATGCATCGAAACCCCTGTCGATTACCTAGGTACACAGAAAGCAGCCCCTCTGCAACAGGAAGCGGTCAGCTCTGCATCCTCTCCCTTCTCCCTCCCCGAGAGCAAGCTCAAGTTTTCGTCACCAGCAACGTAGCTACCAGCACATAGCTACCAGCAACAGAGCCATTCTCGCACTCAGGGCTAATCTCCTGGTGATCAGCTAAATATCCAAAACTGCAATTAACGGCTGCACCATGGATGAGAAGCTCAATTCCGCCTTGCCACCCCGCGTGGGTCATCTCAAATCCGGGATGGGCGAGCAAGGCATCGACGTCGTTATCAGCTTCAAACCAGAAAACAGCTTCTATCTGTCGGGCTTTAACCCAATCATTTATTCAAAACCAATCATTGCGATCATTACGCGGAACCACGACCCAATCCTCTTAGTGCACGCCTTGCGCGATGAGCATGCCCGCGATAGTTCCTGGGTGCAAGACATTCGCTTTTTTGGAGTCTGGGGTACGAGAGAAACTCTTGCACCAACATGGCAGGAGGCACTGGTTTCGGTTCTCGCTACACTTGGGTTAGCCGGACAGACCATTGGCATAGAGGAGGGCTTCATCACAATCCAACGTTCCCGCGAGCTCCAACAAATACTACCGGATGCTAAATTCATCGATTCCAGCAGCCTGATCGAACGCTGCCGTATGGTCAAAGACCCGGATGAGATCGAGAATTCACGAATCGCATGCAAAATTGCCGATGTTGGTATGGAGGCGGCGATCGCAGCTCTCGCTCGCGGAGGAACTGAGCGAGACGCCACCGTCGCGTCCATGCATGAGATGAATAAATTTTGGGCGGAAACATATAAAGATGTTGAGGTTTGCGGTTTTGGCTCTTTAGAAGGTGGCCTACACAACGGGCTTTCGACCTGGGTGCTAGCTGGCCAGCACAAGTTCCACAGCTGTGATAACCCAACTACCTATAAACCTCAGCCTGGCGATACGGTGGCCGTTTATATCTGGACTGTTGCGAATGGAATGCACGCTGAGGTTGAGCGGATCGTTTGCATAGGGCAGGTCGCAGATGTCGATAAGAAAGCGATCGAGGCCATTCTCAAGATTCGAGCTGAAATCGATCCCCTCATTAAGCCAGGTACACCTATCAAGGAGCTATACAACGCAACCCGTAAATGTTTTGAGACACACGGCTACGGCGCTGATATGCCTGGCCGCATCGGTCATTCCATCGGACTTGGGGCCCATGAGGCTCTCTCGATTGGTGGCAGTTCCGAGGTCGTGTTGGAGCCGGGTATGATTATAACCATTGAGCCTAATATTGAAATAGTGGGTGTATGCGCGACACAGATCTCTGACACGGTCCTCATTACTGAGACCGGTCGTGAATATTTGACTTGCGCATCTCCTGGCTATCTTCAAGTCTGAGTGCGCTGCCATAACTGGGCCAAGAAGCACAGAGTACTCTCACCCTAGGCAACATAAGACGTCTTTCTAAAAATATTAAATGAGCGTAATACCGTGAAGACCTGTGGCCCTTCTAGCATATGCATATAAAGAGATACATTCCATAGGATCAAGAACTCATTCACGAAATTGATTCCTCTAATTTCACCAAGTCTCTCACCCAAAGTAAAGTTTTTCCACTCCCATGGTTATTATTTTTCGACCGGATATTATGATTCAATTTGCAATAGTACCTTCATGTTGTCAGTGAGGCTCAATGTTCTAGAAGCTCGACTTGTCCTCTCGATCTATAGGCCCCAGTAGCCCATTCGACCAGCTCCGCCTAATTGGACAGCTCCTCCGCAGAAGGGGATATCCAATAGGTAAAATTTCCAACCTTGGCGACATTTCTCTGGCCATGAATACCAAGGACGCTTGAGGGCAAATTGGGGCTTTCGGTGTCAACATGTCTGCCATATCTGTTCCGTCATGGACAGAAAATAAAGTAGTTTATGGAGACCAATGTGGAGGCTGTGGTTTAAGCTTTCATGCCAAGCTTAGTAGAGGTACGGAGTATGAGATGCAAACTGAACCTCACATTTACTGATAGTCAGATAATACCAAGGTTCCTAGCACGTATATTATATATATCACTAGGGAAGACCTTGCATAGGTTCGCATATCTCCCCGAGGGCGTCATATATACTTTCGTACATTGAACCAAATTCGCTATTCTGACCTAGGCCAGGCGTTTCGAGAGAGACCAACAGGTATCACCATGACACAATACGCATCTCGCCGTCCTCAAATTCCCATTGCATGCCATGGTCGAACTTGCCTTCGTCGTCTCCGAGCAATTGTACGATGCTTTCTGCCCCAGTGAGAGGATCCTTGCCCCAGGCAACGTAGTTGGAAAACGACGTCTTTAGTACGCCCGGGTTCGAGATGAAGAACCGGATGCGTGGCCTGGAGTCGTTCTCCGGCCCCGTGTCTGCGACACGGTCGTTCTCTGCCACTTGCAAATGAGCTGTCAAACCATTCATTCCGACCTTGCTGGCGCCGTATGATGGGATGCGGCCCATGCGTCGGGGGGATAGCACATTCGTGATGCTTCCCAGACCTGAGCTGACATTAATTACCCTGGGCGAGATGGATCGGTGTAGGAGCGGCGTGAAGGCATGTGTGATGACGGCCACCGATGTGACATGGACATTCATGTACTCGTTGAATGTGGCGCGGATCGCAGAGAGCTCTGTGTTGTGTTCGTTGAGGCGCACGAATCCGGCGTTGTTAACCAGTACTGCAATGTCATGTTAGGAAAACCGGCATACTATAAGGGAACAAACAGTGACGACTTGACGAATCAATTCACTTCTCTTACCATCGAGCCGGCCGTACTTTGTTTCGACGTATCTCACCGCTGCAGCGATCTGGTCGTCGTTGGTCACATCAAGTTGTACCAAGTCAAGATTTGCTTTGACTCCAGCCTCACGGACATGCGTGATAGCCGAATTACCCTTCTCAATATCGCGAGAGCAGAGAATGTAGGTATCATTTGGAGAGCGTAGGCCCGCGGATTCGATGACAGCTAGGCCGAGTCCCTGATTGGCCCCCGTCACAAGCACAATCTTGGAGGGAATGGTATTGGAAGCAGCCATATTTTCTCGCGCAAGAGTCAATTTCCAAGGTATTTAGAGAGTGTAGAGCAGTTTATGAGTGGAAGTACATTCATAAAAATAGGTTTTAAATGGGGTTGAGGCCGTCCTTTTCAACCAAGGCGTCCTGAGACAGAACGATCGACTCATATCGGAGATAAGAGCACTAACTGCGGGATCCATGACCGGACTTTAGAATCATATAGAGCGAGATGGGAATCGTTGGCCGATCTTTGATCGTGATCATCAACAAGACGTTGAAACTTGTTGGACCAAAAAGGTTGCTGGATATTGATGACTAAGTACTGAGATTATGTATTAAGGCTTCGGGAGGACTATTATCCCTAAGTCTATTTTTACTCCAACTGCTTACGTAATCAACTCAATATCGACATCAAAAACGGCTTCTTCACGACTTCATTCTATACAAATACTGCTGCTCGTGAGGTTTCTATATAGAGTGGTGCATTGAAGATGGCCAGGAGCAGCCGGATTGTTAAATTGATTATATCCCACTAGTGCTCTACCCTATCCTGTACCGGGACGTTGGATGGCCTCCTCGAGCGCCATCGTCTTGATACTAGCCTTCCGGTCTTACCACAGCAAATGAGCGGCTTCAACCGTTAAAGAACTTTGATATATTCCAATATACTCAGACATTACCTAAGTATATCTTCCGGAGATCCGTCTAGGGCTACGCTCTACCTATGACGTTGCATCGCGGGAGCATCCGAACCAGGGACTGCACTGGCGTTTCCCTGGTCGGCTAGTTATATACCTACGGCACCCAGCAAGCGAAATGAGGCCCTACACGGAGGTCCAAATCGGCCGATGACATCAGTTAAATATCTATATTCCTGGCTCAGTGACCGTTCTTTGACCGGTTTTCAACTTACCGAAAGCTAGCCGCCGTCATCCTTTTAGTTGCTGGATCCCCTTCCGCCGTCGCTCTTCCTTCTTTTTTTCTCCCTGCCCTACTGTTTCTATCTCCTACACTTGCCTGTGACTCCGCTATTCCACTTCATTAGCAAGCATACTATTATATGGGATCTCCTTTTGCTAGATTAATTTCTTCACACCCTTATAATTCTGATAGGGCGGTTACCCTTACTCTTGTGGTATATTGTTGCCTTTAAATATTGTAAGTGACCTCTTCCTCTATTGCACACATGCATTTCATATTATCTAAACACATTATATGATGATTTACAAGCATACCAGCCATTTCTAAACATATGTTAATCTTAAGTCAGGCTCAGTCGCAATGGGATGTGCTAACAAGACGCCTCCACCAACGGCTTTACGGCTGCAGCCGTCAATGCCACAGCTCAGGGAAGATTTGCGGGAGGTCGCAACCCTCGAAGAGGTTCCTTCGCTTATGGTTTCTCCTCCGCAGCCACCAATGCCACCGCTGGAGAAAACTTCCCCGGAGTCCATAGTCCCGTGTCTTTTGCGCATTCTACGGCGGCTCCGCGATTCCGGAGGCGTCTATGAGCGAGGACCATGCTCACTAGTCACCTTGCCTTTAGATATACTGCTTTTGATTGCTGACTACCTATCCCCAGTCGATCGCACGATGCTTTGGCTTACTTGCAAGGCCTTTCACGTCTCAATACCTATGGAAGACTATCACCCCCTCTCTTGTCCCCTCGCACGTCTCAGAGCTTTTCGTCTTCTCTTCAACTCCTCTCTTCTCCCATACGCTGGGGATCAGGATGGTGCTCCGTGTAGAAGAAAAAGCCAGGAGAATGTGAAAAAGTTCTTGAGATCGGAACCGAGATGCGTCCACTGTGATTACTTCTTTAAAATGGGTAGATACATGCACTGCCCCTTTCATCCGACAATTCAGAAACAAATACCCCGCCTCAGCATCCTTCGCCAGCTTTTTTCACGCTCTCCAAAATTGCGAGCTGTAACTGACGATAAGAGTTTGACCCTGGAATCATACATCGAACACTGCCAGCCAAACATATGCCGTTGTTTAAAACGCCTCAAAGTCGAAAAAACCGCATGTCATTGTAAAATGTCATGGCGTGTGAATCTTGGGATCATGAATAAGGAGTACCAAATACAAGATAGGGAACGCCGAATGAGCGACGGTAGAGGGCGTAGCGTATATCTCAACGAGCCAACCCTCTGGTTTGACGCGGCGTGGCGCAAAAAACACGGAGCGGAAAATATTTGGACTATAATTACATGCAATCACTGTCTAAACATGTTACCGCAGAGTCCAGCAGCAGGCCAGCCCTGCCTCCACTGTGATTGCGCTGTTTGCGGCTTCTCAGAGCCTAAAGTTCTTCGGTATTCTCACTGGGGAGCCCCTCCTTCATATATACTTCTTGGGAGCATCGCCAACCCCCCTACTGAAGACGGGGATAATTTTTGGGTAGCTGAGAAGGGAAGGTGGTCACGCGGGGGTCGTGGACTGGCCTTCGGGCGATATACATTATCAATAGCAGTTGGATAGTGTATATCAATTATTTAGTCTGCATATATCTAATATAGCCTCTTACAAGGATAGCCAAGCTCACCACAAAGACCATAATGTTCAACACTCAATTATATTTACTTTCATCCTGAATGTTATGTATAGCCACCAATAGATATTATTATTCACGATAAGACTATATTATTATTCGATAAAACCCTAATTCATTGCTATGTACTCTGTAGGACTCGGCAGTATGTCATGTACAAATAGATGATTATGTTCGCTGTGGGCCACTTTCAGTGAAGGAATGTAAGAAGTCAACCGAAAACACATGATATGCAGCACCTTCTCGTCCCGCCCCGTCTCCCGCATTAAGTATCATCCTCATCTCATGTCTACCTCGGATTCATCTCTTCAAAACTTCTCGGTTCAGTCTAGACACCAGACAGCGATGCTATCACAGCAGCTTAAACTGGGCACTGCTTGTAAAGAGGAATTTCGGAGCAGAGAGCAGGTGGTGGCAGGGTCCAGTCGTTGCAGAGAGTGTTGCAAACGGTGTTCTCTGGCACGAAAACGAGGAACTCGTAGTTCTTGAATGGCAGACGGAACTGCTTGTTGAAGTCGTTGTTGTACTTGCTCGCCTTGTAGCCAGCACGGCAGGCGCAGTGGAAGGTTGATCCAGTGTTGATGCAAGAAGTGGTGACGTCACAGAAGTTCTTGCCAGAGATGGGGTTGCAGGTACCGCAGACTGGAGGAGAGTTGCGGTTGGCAATGCTCTGTGGGAGAGCAGCGGCCAGGAGAGAGGTGCTGGCCAACAGGATGGAGGCGGTGGTGAGTAGGCTGAACTGCATCTTGACTGATGGTTTGATTGGATGATTGATTGATTGATTGATGGATTGGTTGGATGATGCTTTGTTTAGTTGCTTGAAAGTTGGATGATATTTCAAGGGAATGGGGGCTTCAATGCTCCTTTTTATATCTTTCTCCCCATACCCTTCAGCCAACCTCGTGAGAGATCTATTCTAAGAAATGAGCGCTGTCTCACTTCAGCAACGGGTATTTGCCCCATCGTATGTTGTGCGGGGCTAAAAAGAGGATGAGGCACCTGGCTAGCTCGGTAGGCTTTACTCTCTTGAGAGACTGCCGGAGCATCAGGGCTATGCAATGTCCCGGGTGGTGCCTAATGTTGCTCCGATATGAGAGGCAGGGGCTTCGTATATTCGGTGGAACTGCAAAAAAGCTGCCCGAATCTGAATCATCTTCGCCCCGAATACGGAAATGATCTCACATTGCAACAGCTTGATGAAATGGAAGATGATGCAGATGCGTAGTAACTGCTCCTTCACAGGCCTGAGACCTAAGAGCGGTAAGAGTTAAATCGCCCAACGATCCTATACTAGGCTATTATTAGCAACATCAAAAATATATCAGCCAAGCTCGTTAGGAGTGTCTTAACCAGGGCATCGCCTTGAAAGAAGAATGGTTGATAGGGTTTGTTGCCGAGTAAACGGCCGCCAGAATCGAAGCCCATAATTCCTTAGTGCCACGCCGAGAGCAGAATCCGGCCTTTGATGATCCAGGAAAACACCAGTATCACAATAGAACATGTATAGGAGTGGTGTTAAAATGATCAACACGATCAAACCATGTTATTCATTCAAAAACCGCATGTCATAGAATTGTGAATTGGCAAGGCAGCTTAATGAAGCGGCTTAAAACCAGGCCCTATATCCTCGTCTAGACCGGCATATCACAGGATCCTGATACTTCAGAGCAAGCCTGTATACCAAAGGCAATGGTGTATCACAGACAACGGCGTATATCCATGCCCACCACATGGGTATAGCACGTTTACCTAGTCAACCCGCCAATCTTGAATTCAGGCTTTCTAACGGCAAAAGCAAATTGTATTAGTGCCAGCAAAATGGCTTGAGCATGGATCACAGTTCACTAGGCGAGGGGTTGGGAGCTGGATATCGGGGACCATACGGCCGACCTAGCCGTATAGCTATCCAGCTATGGTCTCCAGTTGGCTGCCAGAGGTCGGAGAGTTCGGATAATACGACGCCGCAGCTTTGTTCCCAGGGAATAATGCATCCAAGCCATAGGTGCTCAGAGAATGAGTGGTTGTTCGATGCGAGTTCTGCAGACGCATTCCTCGTTTCCGGAGGCTAGCGGCAACCTGCCAGCTCATCCGATGCTCATTCGCCGTGTTTCCAGAGCGCAGCTTCTGGTGGCTGTGGGAGGTATCTCTAGCTGAGACATCTCGCTTGCAGGACGTATATACGAACGAGGTGAAAACTGAGTTGCGATGAAGTCATGCACCGCGAGAAACACAGCGTCGACTAGCGAGTTAGCGGGCATCCACTCTGGGGTAATCATCCCTGCACCCAGAAGCAGCTCATATAGGACAACCATACACGATTTCTGGGTTCAGCCCTCGCTAGCTGGTTCAGCCTTAGTTGGTTCGTGGGATGCTTAGTTGGGATCCTCTCTCGATGCTCCGTCATAGACTTGGCGGCTTAAACGACGTGGCCGAGTGGCTTTACGGGAACATCTAGATCATCCTCGTATGATCGATGGCCAGTCTACGGTGCATATATTCTAAGACATGGACGTGAACTAATCCTGCATAGTGGCCGCTATATAGCAGAAAACTCATGATCCCAGGACGTTGCATCAGAAGGCCATCTCATCCGAGCCATTAATCAAGACTCGAAGCCAGGAAGCGCAATTGAGAAACGAGAAAACGGAGGGCTCATTTGAGAAGTAGATTAATCGAACCATTCGCTATTTATTTTGCAGGTCATCAATACGAAACCAAATCCTACATATCCATCGCCGCATCATCATCTCCAGCTTCAATGAAAACAAGCCGGGTGCCGTTTCCGCTGACTTGCCAGACCTGTTGAAGGAAATATACCTGTTAGCAAAGCACATTTACACGTGTAGTAGAGGTGGGGATATAACTGGATGGTGGGAGGACAAGGGATTGACGTACGTTCAGCTCTGCATATTCATCAATTGCCTGGCTGAGTTGGTCGTCAGTGAATCCTTTCGCGACAACTCGTTCCCGAATCCTCTTCATGTTGAGCGTTCCTTCGTCTCCGTCACCGATGGCAGCCGCACCACTTTCTCTCATGGCGCAGATGAGATTGTAAATCTTGCTTGTAGGGCTGTGGTCGAGGCCAGCTTGTGAGTCCTGGTGCAAGCTGGATTTACTGACTTCGATCAGTCGTAGGGCTTCGTCGATATCCTCTGTAACGACACGGTCGCTGAAACGTAGACGGGCGAGAGCCTGGGAGAGACGGAGCACACCCAGCAATGTTCGTGGCGTGACGTGGGAGAATTGTTTTTTGCTTCCTTCTTCTAATTTTTGCTGCTTGCGCATGCGGACATAGGCACCTACCATATATTCCGATACACTCTTCGGTACTACGGGGCGGTATGTTCGTGCTTTGGCAATGTATTGTCGTACCTCGGCGGGCGTGAATACCACCTCATCAGGGCTGGTTTCTGGGTGTTTGTTGTGCATATGCACGTATGCAACGTGGTTGGCGAGTTCTTCGTCAGAATCGCGGGAGGGAGTGTCGAGCATGAGGAAGAGGACATCGAAACGAGAGAGAAGAGCAGCAGGGAGATTGATGTTTTCAACCGGTGAAATTCGAGGGTTGTATCTTCCATACAGAGGATTGGCAGCCGCAAGGATGGAGGTACGAGCGTTGAGTGTTGTCGAGATTCCAGCTTTGGATATCGAGATGGTTTGCTGTTCCATGACTTCGTGGATGGCAGTCCTATCTCCATCGTCCATCTTATCGAATTCATCGATACAGCAGATACCGTTATCTGCTAGGACAAGGGCACCGCCCTCAAGAACCATTTCATCTGTAACAGGATCACGCATGACTGCTGCTGTCAGACCGACTCCACTGCTTCCCCGTCCAGTGGTGTAGATAGCACGAGGAGCCACCTTGGTAATGTATTTGAGGAGCTGAGATTTTGCAACTCCGGGGTCACCCATCAGGCAGATGTTGATATCACCGCGAATGCGCATTCCGTCTCCCATCTCCTTCGTCACACCACCAATCAAGAGGAGCAGGAGAGCCTTCTTGACATCAAGGTGGCCGTAAATTTCCGGCGCAATGGAGCGCGATAGATACTCATACATGTTTCCTGAGCTTGCATGTCTAGTTATCTTTCTCAGCGTTGCTGGATCCATCACAAGATGATCATATGCCTTTTTATGCTGGGTAATATGTTGGGCTTCAAGATAGGTATCGGTTAGTAGACCGGCTTTAATAGCACGGAAACCTGTGTATGGCGTGGGTAGGAAAATGCCGGCAATGTCAACATTATCGCCCGGGTTCAATTGCCGCGCTAAGTTGCCCAGCAAGTGGACCGTCAATGTACGAGGAATGTGTCCGATGGGCACCTGGTCTGCCATCTCTTGTATCTTGGCCTCCTGGAACGGAACGAACTTCGAGGCACGAGTAGATAGGAAGAGTTGTCCCTTGGTGTTGTTCTTTGTGCATTCTTCTGAGAGACATTCGGTCATTGGGAGAAACTGCTTCGTGGTAATGGGCTGGAACACTTCTGACCCGCAGCGGTCGCAGGTATATGCATTGATCTTGACGGAGGGCTTAACGTCAGAAACTCGGATGGTGATTCCCCTGACTGTGATCAATTTCCCGAGCTGGGCTCCACGAACTTCTCGAACCGCGAGGGCTTTGGCGTTGCGGTCGCTACTGGACCCAGAGGGTGTGATTGGTTTAATGTTGAGAGTGTATCTCCTGGTGAGTTCGGGGGGGAATGTAGATGGCTGCACGCCGACGTCTATATCTGCTTCCAGTGCCATATTCATGGCGTCATTCCTTCGTCCACGCTGAGAAACGATTACATCAACAACATCATCCTTAAACCTGCGAATATATATTAGTCCCTTGAATATTTACATCACACTAATCATGCACTCACGTCACTTCTGCGGTCTCCTTGGGCATGATTTCGTCAATCGCATCCGAGAAGACGTCGATATAACGTTTCGCATTGTTCGTAATAGTCTCCGCAAGGTTCGAGTGTGGTCCATCGGGCACCGATTTCAAGAACTATCCAAAAATATATACATTAGTTTTTGTTGAGGCGAGGGGCTTCATAGCAACAATAATGCAGGAAACATACTTTATCCAGATCGTCCAGCTCGATGACAATGTTATTCTTCAGCCGATCCGCAATGTTCTGTAGAATTGACATGTATTTAAGCTTGGGTTCCCGCCTCTGTCGTCTCGTTGTTCGCTGATTCTCCTCGCCATCCTCCTCCATTTCATCCAGCGCATCAAGGTCATCTTCGTCAATGTTAAGATCCAAGATCGCTTCAGTCGCAGAAGCTTCAGAGACGGACTGGCTAGATTTGAAGTGCTGAAGGAACTCTTTGAACACGTCCTGCTCTTCCTCGTAGTTTACGTTCAGACGGAGGGGGAGGAGCGCCATCTTTGCTCCGCTGAAAGTAGACGGTTTAGACGGCTAGAAAAGTACTTGCGCAATGGTATAAACGGCGAAATCACGCTCAATAAGGGACGATAAAAAAACACTGCGCAGAGGCCCGTGGAGGATGCGCGATCAATTGCGAGTAGCAACTGCAGCTCTTTTGAAACTTGCGCTGGAGAGAGAACGTCGAAGTTCGCACTCAAACAAACAGCCAATAAGCGCGCCGAACGCGAGCCGACGAGACGCGACGCGTTAATATGGCCAAACTGGGGTTAGCGTATTCTCAGTCATATATTAGTCATCTCGGAGCGGAATAAACATCGGCCCGGATTCGCGGCTTTTCGGAACCGGAGAAACTGTTTTTGCTCGGGATCACGAGTTGCCGCATGCTCGAGGTTGCTTGTTCGGGCCAAGAAGCTGGAGAAAGCGATATCTCGCCCGCGCAAAGGGAGACGAGGACAACAACATGCATCGCGACCCCTAGCCTGGTTGATTCTGTGTCCCTTGCGCCGTTCATTTTGTTATCCAGCGCATCTGCTGGCCGCATTGTGATTTTCTCGCCTTCAACGCAGCTATGGCCCCCAGCAAGAGAACGCCTACCTCGGCGGAGATTGCCCTGGTTCCCCTCAAGAGCTGTCTTGTCAACCTCCCTCCTGCGCTCGTTTCGCTATTAGTCAATGCAAATACAGTAGGTAGAGTGTCTCCAGCTGTAGAGCTTGCTGCAATTTGTTAACCGTTGTCAATAGCCTGCACAGAATGTCATTGTCGAGCTACAGCATCGTGGACAGTCTACATCTACGTCGAATTCCGGGAAGAATGGGCAACCAGTCCAGAAGTCTGCACACGTTGGGTGGACAGGAATGCCTAGCAAGAGGAAGCTGGCACCAGTGGTAACCAGGGACGGGATCAATGGCACGAGGGGGCAGCCCAAGGACCAGGATGTGGCCGTGATTGAGATTGATTCGACATTCGGAAGGGTATTAGGTTTGAGTGACGGGCAGAAGGTATGTCCATACACTCCCTTTGCTTGTATGGCTGCTAACGTTGGTCCCAAGGTTGGCGTCTTATTACACCTAGACCCGCCAGTTGCTCACACGGTGAACATTGAACCCCTGACGCCCGCGGACTGGGAGAGTACGTAGCTCGCATTATCTTATTCTCTGTATGCGTTGAATTCTAACATCTCTCCTCTATAGTTATCGAACTACACGCCAACTTCCTAGAGCTTAACCTTCTATCGCAAATTCGGGCCCTTCCTAACCCTGCATACACCCCTTCCTCCGATCAACCAGAGCATGCGCATCCACTAACCCTACACCTCTCCCCAACTTCTACAGCAAATATAACTATTACATCACTCACGCCACAAGCCCCTTCTACATCGCCTTTCGCCAAAATTTCATCCGACGCAGAGGTCATTGTTGCGCCAAAGGTTCGCCCGAAGACCGGAAGATCATCTCACAGTGGGAACAGGAGTACGGCTAGCACTGGACGCAGAAGCCAGGGAGGAAGAAGTGTCAGCAGTACCCAGAGGCCGAGGAGCAGTCACTCGGAGTCTTCGTCACGTGGAGCCGTCTTCCTCCGGGCAGTGAACAGGAAATCTGCATTGCATTGGTTTGATGGTGATGTAGAAGGAGAAAAGAATGAAGGGCTAAAGGTTTGGGTTGATCGGGATGTGCTGGTCAAAAACGAACTTCGAGGATCTTCCTGGGCCTGTGTTTCCATTATCAGACCAGCAGCTCTACAAGCTCCCGTTGATCCTCAGCAGCAGGCCCAGCAAAAGGAGCTACAAACCCCTGAAGCCGGAAGCATTTCCCGAAAGCTAGTCGCTAGGCTGCTCCCTTGGGACGAGAGTCCCGACTCTGAACATGTTGCCCTTTCCTCTCTTTTATGTTCTGCTTTAGAATTCGATGGCTTGGTGGGTGGAATCGTTCGCATAGAGGCTGCTCCACCACCAATGCAAAAGCCAGCAGTCAAAACACTCAAAATATTTCCGTTTGGTACCGACTCGCCGAAAAAGAAGGATGGCTTTAGATTCGGTGGTGACTCGGCCAGTTCTCGAGACGCGTTTGTTGAACGATTAAAACTGGTATATGGAAATACAGGATCAGAAACCGGGATTCTGAGTGGCCCTATTACAGACGGGATGGTCCTACCAAAACTAGATGATCAAATGAGAACTTTAGATTTTGATGGAGGGATGATTAAATTTGACCCTCCGCTGAATGGAAGTGCTCCAGATGCTAAACCGGCGTTTGGCTGGATACTTGGCTCTGAAAGCAAGATTGCCATTGAAATGCAGCCCGCAATACCTAAACCACCGGATTCCTCATTCCAACCTATACCTGACGACGAAGTTATACCCCTCGAAGCCCCGAAGTTAGTAGGGATTGAACCCGTCATTGAAAACTGCATGTCGAATCTTACACGATCTTCGTCGATTCTTCTTACAGGCGGGCTAGGATCTGGAAAGACCTCACTGGCCTACCTACTCGCACAGCAACTGCGGGAAGATTACCTCTTCAATGTTACATATTTCCCCTGCCGCAAGCTTCTTAACGACGAGACCCGTGTTTCCTCCATCAAAGAAACTTTACGACGACTCTTCCTTTCGGCTGCCTGGTGTGCAAGGCTCGGTGGCAACTCTGTCGTTATACTCGATGACCTAGATAAACTCTGCCCTGTTGAAACAGAACTCCAAGTCGGTGGTGAGAATGGACGAAGTCGGCAAGTCAGTGAAATCGTTTGCTCCACTGTTCGGGAATTCTGCTCAGCTTCATCGCCCGTCGTACTGCTAGCAACTGCACAAGCAAAGGAATCGTTGAACAACGTAATTGTTGGCGGCCATGTTGTCCGAGAAATCGTCAGCTTGAAGGCGCCCAACAAGGAGGGACGAAGAAAGGTGCTGGAACAGTTAACCAAGGACGATAAAGCTTCTTCATCGCTCCAGGCGGAAATGAATGGTCATGCTCGCAGCCCTAGCTCTTCATCCCAGGATTCCTGGCTTAACCCATCAAACCCTGCTTCGAGGCCCGGAACTTCTGGTCACTCCGATGGATTCGTGTTAAGCAAAGATTTGGATTTCCTCGAGTTGTCTGGCAAGACAGATGGTTATATGCCCGGTGACTTGGTACTTCTTGTTTCTCGCGCGAGGAACGAAGCATTGATTAGCGCAGTACAAGATACTACCTCATCGTCAACGGCCATAACTCTAGGCACAGAGGATTTCGAACGTGCATTAAAGGGGTTTACACCTGCATCCCTGCGTAATGTCACTCTTACCTCCTCGTCGACTACTTTTGCCGCAATTGGAGGTTTGCATAGCACAAGAAACACCCTTCTAGAAACCCTACAGTATCCCACGAAATACGCTCCCATCTTCTCCCAGTGCCCGCTCCGACTCCGTTCTGGACTTCTTCTGTACGGGTTCCCAGGATGTGGTAAAACTCTACTCGCCAGTGCTGTTGCAGGGGAATGTGGCCTTAACTTCATCAGCGTGAAAGGCCCTGAGATCCTAAACAAGTACATCGGTGCCAGTGAGAAGAGCGTGCGAGACCTATTCGAAAGGGCCGAGGCTGCACGTCCTTGTATTCTCTTCTTTGATGAATTCGATAGTATTGCGCCTAAGCGTGGCCATGATTCCACCGGCGTGACTGACAGGGTCGTCAATCAGCTCCTTACCCAGATGGATGGCGCAGAAGGCTTATCAGGCGTGTACGTCTTAGCCGCAACGTCCAGGCCAGACTTGATTGACCCTGCTTTGCTGCGACCTGGCCGTCTCGACAAGTCACTACTCTGCGACATACCCAACCATGCCGACCGTGTGGACATCATCCAGGCTTTAAGCGGGAAACTTAAGCTCAGTGATGATGTGATGTCCCGACTCTATGAAATTGCTGGCCGAACAGAAGGGTACTCCGGCGCCGATCTGCAGGCTGTTGTATACAATGCCCATCTAGAAGCTATTCACGACAAGCTAGGCGACCGAACACCAGCGCTAGCAGCTCCCTCAAAGACCTCCAAAAAATCAGCAACGTCCAACGGCACAAAGTCAGCAGAGGCCGATGAATCATCTGCTACGAAAGCCTCACAAGTTAGCAAACCATTCATTCAATTCTTGTACGATTCCAAAGAACACACTCTCGCCACTACGTCCAAGGGCGTAAGAAACACCTCCCTCGATCCACCTGCTGTCATTGCAGCGAAAATCGAGGAACTCAAGAAGGCCCGTCAACGCCAACGACAGGCTGAGCGCGGTCATCAATCCGACACGCTTTCAAACGCGAATATAAATAACCCTTCTGTCGATGCAGGGCTAGATGACGATGATAAAGACTCGGACGAGATCAGTATCGAGTGGACTCATATCGAGCGATCGCTGGCCTCTACTCGCTGCTCCATTAGTGCTGTAGAGAGGAAGAGGCTTGAGAGTATATATCGCGAATTTATCGTGGGTAGAAACGGAGAGATGCCTACTGGTGAAGGCGCAAGGGATGTCGGGGGAAGAACGACTTTGATGTAATTTTATATACATATATCTATTTCTATGTTCTACGTTTGGTGGTTTGCTTTATCTTTGCCATTCCCGGGCCTATATGCAGGCATTATATACCATGGATTTACGCGGGGAGTATTTATTCATAGGATCTGATTGCATAACTAAATATGCCATTACATCACCGAAAATCTTGCTAAGATGTACGTACCCCCGGAAAGATATTAATAGATATTTAACAAATCCCCGGAAGCGCTTCAATTTAATGATCGGGGAGCCCAAAAATAAATCCGAACCACATCCTAATAAAAGGCAAGTCTCTAATGAGGAAATAAAAAGTTGGAGAAACGAAAATATCAACCAAAAAAAATTGTTAAAATTTTCATGGCGTGGTCCTCGAGTTTGCAATACTTACTACGAGGATATCAGTTGCACCAGCAGCCGATAGCTCGTCCATCACAGTTGCGATCTGCTTCTTCTCTACCATGGCGCTGACAGCGACCCAGCCCTCCTCTTCCAAAGTAGTAACTGTTGGTGCGCGTTTGCCAGGCGTGATGGTTGAGGCTTTCTGTAGGATGTGTCGAGGAATGTTGTACTGGCAGAGCACGTATTTCTTGGCAGCTATAAAGAGTATCAGTAGCTGTGACAGGTATGCTGAGACAAAGATATAGATCATGGATGTAGACATACTGATAACACCACGTATTCTTGCGACGATAAGGTCCACGAGTGGGTTAGTGGTGTTTCGTGATTTGACCAATACAGCGTTACTGCTGACGAGTGTGTCGATGGCCTTGAGGCCAGCTGCTTTCATGGTTTCACCGGATTCTGTAATTGCATGAGTTAGATATGTAGAAGCCATAGTTGATGGGGTAAACGCACCGACGAGATCGACGATTCCATCTGCTACTCCCAAAGCACAGGCAGCCTCTACACTGCCACCGACATACTTGATCTTGGTCTTTAGGTCGAATGTCCCATCCTCCTTTTGCTCTACGCCCTCTAGCTTAGCAAAGTAAGCTCGCGCAAGGGCAGTGAAGCTCGTAACCACGTTCTTCCCAACGAGTTCCTTGGAATCAGTGATCGGGCCCTTCTCTGGGACCTGGACCTGTAGCTTGCATCCTCCGAAGGCAAGGTCGAGAATCTCCTCTACGCCAGATTTTTGGCCTGGCGGATGACGGGTATCATGTTCGGCGACCTGGTCTTGTCCGGTGATACCTAAATCAACACGACCTTCTCCAACGAAGGTAGGTATATCTGCTGCGGGGAGAAAGATGAGGGCAACCGGAAGATTCTTCACCAAGGCGATATCCAGACGGTGTTCACGGCGGAATTGGATGTCTGAGCCGTCCAGGAGATCGATTGAAGCTTGCTGGAGGCGGCCCTCTATATATCGAGTTAGCAGACAGCCCTTGGCCCGAGGTGCGGGGGAGACTTGCTCTTGGGCACTGCAAAAAGCAGCCGGCCTTCCAGGCTAGAATGGATCAGCGTCTAGTCGCCAAGTTTCGGGGTAGACAGCGATCGTATAGCTCAGCTACTTACTGGTTTACCAAATCCATTGCAAAGGGCGTATTGTGTTGGGGAGTGCTAAAGAAATGGTGAGTCAACCGCGAGCAGTGCAATTGGCCTTGTATCCGGTCTTATAAAAGCCGGAGGACGACAACGACAGCGAATAAGGGTGAAACGACAGCAGTACAGCCCCTCGGCCTTCAACAATCCTTGAAATATGCAGCTCAGCTCAAATGGCGACAACTCCTCACCATCGTCATGACACAGCCCAATCGCGGGCGCAGGAAGCTTCGGATCAACTTTGATAAGGATTTCCCCTCCAGCCTAAACTCAAAGCACGTGAACTTCCCTGGCAAGCCACTTCATTTAATAGAATTTCTTTTGACGAGCTTCATTAGACAGTGTCAAACTAGTGCACTCTATATCAACGTACAAGATCGAGCCAGACGTCCGGTAATTTCGCCTTTTGGTTTGATGTTATAATTAACGACGTATATCACTGGGGTCTGAGCAAGGCTTGATTAGAACGACCCCTGGAAACCTACAGTGACGGATAAGAAACGCAGCCAGCCAGACCAGCAGTGACGGCGATCCCTGCATCCCGGGTGATCATCTAGCGACTGGAATTCGACGGCTTCATGGTGTATATCTTCGACGGTCCCTTCTAAGCGGGGGGATAGAGCTGACCGTTCATCACAATATTGTTCCATGTCGGGCTCCGTCAGAGTCTTTAACTCCGGGTCGAATGCTGCCACGTACTATAAAATATAATATAGCAAGGTAGGGACGTTAGGATAGGAGTATACTTTGTATAAACCCCTGGAAGACACTTAACCGGCCAGTATGTCGTAGGCACTCCCGCTTTTTAAAGTCCTCATCTGTAACTCTCGCTACCGGAGGACTCCGTTTGTTTGTACATCCGCTCGTAGCCTCCCTGGGGAAATCTTCTTGACAACCTAGATAAGGAGGTCCTCAATGTGAAGCGTTGCTTCAATCCTATTCACTCGGCTTAGAGAGTCCCCGAAATCTGCAGCTTCTGTTGGAGGCCCTATTTATAGTTAGTATCTAGTTAATATACTTGCAGGGCTTACAGTGAGTTCTTGTTTAACGTTCTCTAGACGTGGACCATAATAACAAAGGGATCTTCTACCGGCAATGCAACATATACCCAAGGCAAGAAGAAAGAAAGACTACGGCGGTCTCCATAAGACTTGTTCGTCCTAGGCAGTCCTCAATCTTATTCCATGAAGAATAAATGCATCATCCCATTCTTGATAAAGATAGCATCTTCAAGACTCAGTAGATCTCCGTATAAGAAAGCGTTGTCTTGTTGACGTCGAGAGTATATCGTAGTTGCCTGGTTGGGAAGTTATCAGGGCTTAGGGCTATATGCCGTATTAGGCTAGTGCGGGACTTCGGGTAAACCTTCCGCCGGTTCTCACCGCCCAGCCCGATCCGGCGGGCCGCTAGTCGGCAGAAACTGCTTCCCACAACGAGATCGAATTTCGTTATTCTCGAACATCGCGAACTTCAACGACAACTTCACCTTCTCACCCGACCACCGCAGCACGAAGCTACTCCTCCAGCTCTCCCTCACACACTCGCACATCGCCCACCATGGATGCTGGCAAAGTTCCCGCTAAATACGCTAAGGTGACCAGCGTTCTCGGTCGCACCGGTACGTTTAACTGTTCGGCTCTGGAGATATGAAAAAGGGCCATTCGGGCAAGGAATCGCAGGGTCGGGACGGAAATTGAGGAAACGGACGATGATTTTGGCCAGAATATAAGGCTAATATGGTTTTCTTTTTGCACGAACTAGGCTCCCGAGGAGGTGTCACTCAAGTCCGCGTTGAGTTCATGGACGACTCCAACCGAAGCATCATCCGCAACGTCAAGGGCCCAGGTATGCGCGATCTCTCTCTCTCTTGGTTGAGAGCAACTTTCGATTTCCGGCGATTCCTCAGTCGGTGGAATTTGCGACCCATGACGAATTTAACTAATTATCTGTATAGTCCGTGTCGACGATATCCTGTGTCTCCTCGAATCCGAAAGAGAAGCCCGCAGACTCCGATAGACGGAGAGTTGTTTGGTGGTGGCCATGATATAACGGAGGGGTGTTAACTTGGGCGCGATTTCCTGTTACTACTCGATATTAATTCGAAAGCCTTTCTGATATCCTAAAAATAAACGAAATCAAGAGCTTCAAAACAACTATTACCATTCCATTCGCCTTTTGTTCATGACCCGGAATTGAAGGCCAGCTTGCCAGGTGGCTAGGTGCTGATGTTCTCGGGATATATACCCTAAGGAGCAACATTCAGCTCATTTTGGTTTCAGGCGCATTTGAAGTGGCACACGGCTAGATGAGAAGAATGCAATTATGTATTGACTTTCATCAAATGTCCAACCAAGGATATCATTTATATGGTACATCTATATCAAGATAGCCAAACCCCCAAACGCTAAAATTACAACAGCTCGATATCATTCAGAAGACGCCCAACAAGGTCCATGGCACTTTCATCGGAGTTCTCATCAGACAGAGTCTGGAATATACCCCTCAGCATACCGTCCATCTTCTTCCTGCTAATCTTAGCCTCCAGTTCTTCAGACTTGGTTCTCGCGACCTCCAAGACCTCAGACGGGATATTAGCTAGCTTGGCAACGTTCAACCCATACGACCGATGAGCTACGCCTTCACCCACTTCGTAGAGGAAAGTGATATCCTGGCCTTCATCGCCGGTCTCGGTGAACTTCATGTGCACATTCCGTAGCTCGCCGCCGGGGAATGCATGGGCAAGTCGGCTGAGATTCTGGTAATGCGTGATAAACAGCGTTAGACTCCGTAGACTGCGGACCATGTAGTCTAGAACTGCCTGGGCTATAGCCACGCCATCATGTGTAGATGTTCCACGGCCCAGCTCGTCAAGTATTACCAGTGATCGCGGAGTGGCTTGTTTCAGAATATCTGCTGTCTCTGATAATTCGACCATGAATGTAGACTCGCCTGCAAGCATGTTGTCAAATGCCCCCATGCGTGTGTATACAGCGTCCAACATGCCCAGTGTCGCGGATTCCGCCGGCACGTAGGAACCGATCTGGCCCATAATGCAGATCAAAGCTATCTGGCGTACGTAGCTGGATTTTCCGCCCATGTTAGGCCCGGTGACGAGTAGAGCTCTGGTTTCATCTGTGCTTAGATGGGTATCATTAGGTACGTAAGAGTCGATCAGAACCTTCTCGGCCATCGGATGACGCCCTTGCGAAATGCTGATGGTGGTGTCATCCGTGTACTTTGGTTTGACATAGCCTGGCTGCGCGGCGATGACAGATAGCGAGTACAATGCATCAATTGTTGCAAGAGCTTGGATACAATCGCGGAATAGCTGGTATTTCGTCGATATGCCTTTAAGGAGACATGAGAACGCAGTATCACACGCAGCAGCAAGAGACTCCTTTTGTTGGTCTCTTTCCCGCATCATTTTCACGACTTCAGGGGTATGAAAGCGTGATACCTTCTTTGTACCACTGATCTTCCGCCAGGAGGCCGGTACCTTCTTCAAGGAGCCTTGGGAGTTCTCGACTTCCACCAGGTAGTCAATCCCTGCAACAGACACATACTGGGCCTTCTTTTTACCCAGAGTCTCGGCGATAGACTTCAGGTGGTCCTTGAGCTCATACTCTATCGTCCCGATCATCATACGATGTTCGCCTATCTCCTCGGATTCCTCCGATTCTCGAAAGAAATCATACTTATCATCTTTTTTCGCTGCTGCTTCGTTGATTTTATTTAAATAGGTAACAACATCCTCCTGCATCGTCGGCAGGATGGCGATGGACTCGCTCAGGATAGGAGATGTGAAGCCAGTATCCGCTGGAGACTTCACATGCGAGAAACCCGTCGCGATTGTTTGCATGCTTTTCAGCATGGTTAAAAGCTCAGGGCGAGTACACTAATATGGCCATCAGAACACCTTATCATCTGAATATTAGGAATGACTGCTAACTCACCTTCCCATAATACACCCGAATCAGGGCCTTTTCTAGATCTATTTTGATCTGAGATAAAAGGGACCCCAGGTTGTATGTTAGAGTAGTTTTCTCTGAGTCGAGTAGCTCCGTCACAGCTTCAGTGCGTTCCTCAAGCTTTGCCTTCTCCAGCAGCGGCCTTCCAACCCACCTGCGGAGTAGACGTTGTCCAAACTTTGTCCGCGTCCGGTTCATACTCCAAAACAAGCTGCCCTTTGAGGAGTAATCTGTCTGGTTTTGATAGATCTCCAGATTTGTCAACGTGTTGCCGTTAAGCAGCATGTGGGATCTTGCTGAAAAGGATTGAAAATATTTTGTAAGGTCAAAAACATGCTCCAGCCCATATTCAGTCAAATGATTAATCATAGCCGAGAGGCAGATGGTAACATCCTCAGGTAGATTCAACACCTTATCAAGCAGGCTGCTCGCCTTTGCGTCCTCTGACGTCCCTGTCGCTGTCATCTTTCCAGCATAGAAATTGGAGATATGGCTATGTGCTTCGGCAGCGGCTGTCTTGGATTTATTGGTTCGCTCAATCCGCACACTATCGCCGAATGTAGTCATTCTGCCTTTCGAGAGATGGTGCACGAGTTTGTTTGTTGCCGTAGACAGATCTCCGACTAGGAGTAGCTCGCAGGGTGCAATATGTAATAGTCTCGTTTCAATCTCGCTTCGCATAAACCCGTCCTCAAAGCTATCGTATATAACGTTCCCAGTAGCTGGTTGGACCGCAACAATGCCAATTTGGACCTTCTCATCATTGCCTTGGCCTTTGGCGCTGCCCTCTGTTAAGCAGAGCAGATGGCCTGTAGACGGTTCTAAGCCACCAGACAACTCCAGCTCAGCTTCGCCTTCTATATATGTTGCCTTGGTGTACATGTTCGTAAGCTTGCGGACAAAAGGTGCATTCCTATTATCACCAGCAGCTTTTAAAGCGGCGGTCTCGAGCTGTTTAACCACGCCAACTTTATACCCGGCGGTCACCAGCCGTTTGACATGTACATGTAACCGGTGAATAGGTACACTAGCTGACGCAAATCGAGTGAGATGCGCCTCCGATGGATCTAAAGTAGCTAGCATTAGCCCGTTAACCCATAAGGTGCGTAGAAAGAGGACACTAACGCTCATCAAACCTCAATTTCCCCGGGATACACACTATGCTTAATACCTTGGCTGCAATCTTCGCATCCTCGCCATAAAATTGATATTTATACCCCACCTGAATCAACAGTACCGCATCAAGATGTTTATTCTTGATATCGATTATCTGCCTCTCCATTGGTGTCAGTTTAGATCCACCCGCTTTCTTCCCTGCTTTCCCTTTCGGTGCAGGAGCCGTTGTCTGTTCCTCCTCCTCATCGCTTGCCACACCTTCGATCGCTAGATCTACTTCCGAACCACCATCGTGAGAACGTAAGGAGGGAAGGCAATCTGGCCCGCCCAGCCGCCAGACAAATTTCTGGTGTAATTGGTCTTTTCGCTTCCGTTCTGCAGCCGGTATCTGTTCTACTGCCGTGGGTTGCACAGGGGACAATTGGAATCGGAACATTTCTGCTCGAGACGCAGAAGACCGGGGTTCTGCGTTTGGTGGAGGACTGGGTGGCTCGTTTTCCCTCTCCGCATCATGACCATTTATCTCTGGCTGCTTTTCTGGTTCCTTCTCGGCAGGTTTCCAGGCACTGCTCCTTATTCGTTTTTTTACCGGTAGTATAACCTCGTCCTCATCATCGTCCTCGTCATCACCTTCGCCGAGGCCATTATTCACTTGCTGAGGCCTTGATTCAGGCCCGGGGGACCCTTCAGTATGACGTCGTTGGCCATTTTCTTTCCCTTTTTTCTGAATAGTCGTACTTCCGTTCGACGATGGGCTGGGTGTAGCCTTGGTGAAGAAGCTAGAGATGGTCTGTTGCTTCCGTTTCAAGCTTGGAGTTTGGCTCATTATGCCTCCGCCTCTGCTTTCTGGACAGATTTAACGCAACTGAGCCGTTATCCTGTATGTAGATGGGTAATTGTGCTGTCGTCTCTCAAAAGTTCATCAAACGCGTCGAAATCGCGTCTCGTCGTCATGCTTATATAATCTCCAATTAATCGCCAAAATGACACGTGATCAGGCGACCCTGCAGAGCGTATGAAAGTAATGTCAATGATAGAAAGACAGTGAATCGGCTGGGAAGAAGACTTTAAAGGGTACAGATATTTTTCAAACACAATTACCCAGGAATTGCTTAAGATAAAGATGAAGTAGGCTTAAATTTCTATCTAATAACGCATTAGTTCGTGGAAAGAATGGAGCGTTTAGCGCAATACGTGTACATCGATAAAGACATTTTGAGAAAAAAAAAAAGGAAACAAACGATAAATAGTACAGCGAGACTCCAGCCACTTATGCCATATAAGCTTACCATATTTACTCGAGATATCCATAGTATCAATTCCAAGTTGACGGCCTTGGGGTGTTGGTCTACAATTTTAGTTTAGTTTTTACAAAATATTCAAAATTAAGTTAGAACATAAAAATCTTCTAAAATTGATATACGCTTGGTCTGACCAAAACACTGAATTCAATGTATAAGAAGCACTTTCAAGACACAACCAGTAGGGGTCTGATCCAAAGGCTCGAGAGAAGTTGATTAAGCCGTATTATGATTTATCATGTAGCTGCGAATAAAGGGGAAGTGTAGATCCAGCAGAATGATCATCTTATCGTGGTATTCGTCCAGTGACCTGATATCTGTACAGCGGAGAGGCATTAGCTTCCGGTATATGGTCGCACTGAGGTCTAACTGATTAACGAAGCTCGGTCAGCGTTTATCCCTATATTCTCTATATAGAGGGTATACTAACATGAGTATCTCGTATGGACGAGGCTAGCCCCTTTAATATCATCTTACCATCCACGACGCTGTAAACATAGTAGAGGCATCACTCTGACCATGTTCTTGTCCACCAATAGCCGTCATATCTGTAAGCCAGTAACTGAGGTGTCGCCTGACTGTATACATGGCTACATCAACGCAGTGTAGCCACGATCAGGGTAGACAGCTGCTTTACCCCATCCCCGTAGCCAGTTTATTTTCCAGTGTATTCTCCAATGTATTAGTTCTCGTTGTAAAGTCTAGAGGCGTCTGGTAGGTGGCCAGAGGGTATGCGGATACAGCGTTTACCACGCAACTCAACGCAACATGCCCTTAACTCGTGGTAAAATTGTAGAAAACAGCTCTAGACATCTAGTAACAGCGTATGAACACATTTCAGATGGCGAAATGCTCCCACCGCAGCAGGTCGACGTCGCTTCCTGCGCTGTTTTGGTGGAAGGAAGACGACGCACAGGCCTATATGGCCATTTTGGCCAAACGGAAAGCGAGGATAGGGGCCTCCAGGTGGTTATATAGGACGAGAGGCTGGTCTACATTCATTCTATCAGATCTACAACTTCAATCCGGCGCTGCGTTGATGCAGCTCGCCATGCTGCTGGTGGCTTGTTTGGCCGTAAGAGCAGTTCTGGCAGCACCACCACCAGCGCTCCTAGAGTCTAAGAAAGGGGCGGGAATCAAGGACAGACTCGATATGAGTCTGCAGATGCCGGTTTAGCCCATTTTCCAACGTTCTCCTACTTCGTGCGCAGGCGCAGCTATCCAGCACTGTTTTTACCGGCTGGCCGATGGATGACCGCTCCAACCGCACCCTATAGGGATGAAAGTTGTACCATCGGACTCCTCTCGTCCTGCTCATTCCAACCATGCCTTTTTCTATCATTATTACACGCAGCTTGCAGGTTGCTTTCAGCATTGCTCCCCCGTCCACCTATTCCACGATATGCTCAATACGCCCTCCGACGGCCGTATTTTTGGTGAAAAAAGTGGGAGGCAGCTTCCACATATCAAATTCGCCTCCAAAACAACCGGATAGAGCAATATATCTTTCTGATATAGGCAACTTTTGGTGGCCTCTCCTTCTCATAATTTGCAGAATTGCCTGTTCGAGAAGGCAGAGGGTGCTCCGATGGGTATATAAAGGCCGCTCGAGCGAGCTTCTGCTCTTTTTTTTCCTTCCTCTTACCACGTTCGCGTCACAGTTTAGCCGTCTTGTATCAGTCCTCGTACTATACAATACCCTATCCTGACTTGGAACTTGCCTTGCTCTCGACTCTGTCTCTGTCACTTGACTTTTTGTCTCTTGACATCCTTTTTTTCTTTTCTTTTTTTTCCTGCAATGTTTTTGTGTTTGTCTTTTTCTGCTGCTGGTTTTCTTGCGTTTTTATATTTCCTGGGCGGTGGTAAACGGGGTTCGCGCACCGGCGCCATCTCTCGCAAGCCCAAGCCTGTCAAGGTAAGTCAAGTTTCTTTGCCTACCGCCGCCACCCCGTGTCGTCACCCTCCATTGCGGTATGAGGAGCCGTTTAGTGGCGACATTCCCTCTTCTCCTGGTTGCCGTTGGGTTGCTGCTCCTTTGTTTGTTCCTGAGCGTTTTTATCGTTTTTTGCCCACTTACCACCCGTTTGAACGCGTTAAGATCACCCACCACGGTTTCCTCCCTGAGGATTACCAGCCTGTACTTCCTCCGTTGCGTCGTCGTGCGTTCCGCCCTGCTGTTGTTATTCCGCCCCCTACTCCTCCCCGCTCCGCTCCTGTATCCGCCACTCCTGTATCCGTTGTTGTTGCTCCTCCTGTATCTCCCCCGCCTGTTGTCATTCCCGCTCCTGCCCCCATCCTTACCCGTGTGCCTGTTCTTCCTCCGTTTCCTGTGCCTGTATCTCGCCCGCCTGTATCCTCTCTTTCTTTGCGTGTTGCTGCGTTGCGTTCTCGCGTTGTTGCTGCCCTGCCCGTTGCTGTTCCTGCTCCTGCGCCTGTATCTCGCCCGCCTGTATCTCCTCTTGCGTTGCGTGTTGCTGCGTTGCGTTCTCGCGTTGCTGCTGCCCTTGCTTCCCCTGCCCCTCCCCCATGTACCAGCACCACGGCACCAGCCCCTGCCCCTCCTTCTTCAGCCCGTCCGCGTGTAGCGCGTATCCCACGAGGGCTTGCCTTCGTGGGACGAGCTTCCCGGATTCCCGTCTCCGTTTTGCCGCGTTCTCTCTCTGGCCCCCCGTGCGCCCTTCGGGGCGCACCCCGCTGCGCTGACGTTATAGGCCTGGAGAAGGTGAGCCGGTCTTGTACTGCTGCTATCCCTTCTCTCGTTCCATCGACCGCCGACTCAAGTGGCTCCGAAAGCAAGATCGCATCCCGCCCCGGAGGGAAGCGAGTCCGCTTTGCCACTCGCCGACAAACATTCACGACGACACGCTGGATCCGGCCTGGTATCCACACCTACTGTGCTTCCTCTCAGGAAGTCAGAATCGGGTGGACCCGCTGGCGGAAGGAGTGTGCTCTGAGTGATTACTATCTTCGTGCCCAGGACCTGGTCGCCGACCTCGCCGCCGAGGACCGCAGCTCCAACTCTTCCCCCAGAAAGAGTGCCTTGCGGTCCGCTATCGCCGACGAGACATCGCCAAAAAAGCGAGTTACGTTCCACGATGTGGTAACCGTCAAACGAGTAAAGAGGTGGATGGTGGCCGGAGTTGACTCCTGGTCATGGTAGGCCTGGCCAGCCTTTCCATGACCGGTTGTTTCTCTGGGAGGACGTGGCCTTCGTCAGTCGCTCGGGAACTCATGTCATATGCCATACCTAAGTCTCCCCCTATGCCCCTGCCCCCATGCCCGTGGCCTCACGTCGTATGACTTCTAGGCCTAGTGCATTTGCCCCCTTCCTGAAAATAAAAAAAACCAAAAAAATTTGTTTACCACTGCATGTTTGTTCTTGCCGTTTCGTCGTCGCCCGCGTTCTTCTTTCCATGGATCTGGGTGTTTCACCCCCCCCCCCCCCCCCCCCCCCCGATACTGCTAACGTGCGTATAGATCGGACTTTATGAGGCGGCTCACTGTCGACTGGTAAGTCAACTCCATCCTCACCGTCGCCTCGTGCATCAAACATGTTGCTAACGTCGCCGTCTTAGGGAGGTCACCGGACCATGACTGGAGCGGGGTGGATGGTGGCGAGCGTATGCCCAAGCCCACGTAAGTAACCCCGTCCCTTGATCGTATAGGAAGATGTGAGCTAACCGTTCCGCGCTTAGAATTCGGGCCGCCCGCCTCACCCCAAGTTACCTTCGGGTGGCTTGGGTGTTGATGGCGTGGCGGCCCGCTGAGGCTACCCGGTTCCTGCAAGGGAGGATTGGTTTGTCCGTGGTGGCGCAGAACGAAATGCATCGAGGTGTGTAATGTTAGACTCCCATCGTAAACATGTACTGACATCCCCATGGACACTTGCCCGCATCATATCGATCGACAACGCTGCCGCCGCATCGGCCTGGAGGAGGTCTGTCCGTGGTGGCGCATAACGAAATGCATCGAGGTGTGCAATGTTAGACTCCCATCGTAAACATGTACTGACATCCCCATGGACACTTGCCCGCATCATATCGATCGACAATGCTGCCGCCGCATCGGCCTGGAGGAGGTTTGTCCGTGGTGGCGCAGCCTGGACTGCATCATGGTATGTAGCCCATCTCATCGTCGTCGTTGTCATTGCAAGATCCTGTCTAACCATTTCGTGTGTCTCCTCCTTGATAGGTATGGAGTGTGAATGGGTATAGGGGGTTCTAACATAGATAGCGCAGCACCGGCTTCTTCTCGGTAAGCAACATGTTCCATCCTCATCGTCGTCCCCACAGTAGCATGGCTAACCGTGTCCTGATCATCTGTGATCAACAGAACGCGACACGACACGATACGAAGGATTGGTCTACCTGTGGTAGCGCGGCATCGGCTGCTCCGGGGTAAGTCACCGTGTCTCCCTCATTCACCACACTCAAGAGACTAACCACTGCATGACTGTCTGTTACTTGACAGACACGCAACGCACACGTAACGGAGGATTTGAGTCAGTCTTGTGGTAGCGCAGCAGCGCTGCATCGCGAGTGAGTTATCCCAAATCCAAAGATGAAGCTGCAAAATGTCGAGATGTCGTCGCTTTTTGCCTGTTTGAGAGATTAACACGTGACTTACTTATGTAATATTTCTTTCCTTGGCAGCGCCCGATGTTTTTCCGTTATGCGAACTTGGGGCAGGGGTGAGCGAGGTGGGATGGCGGGTGCTCAGCCTGGAGACAGCGTGTATCTAGTCCCTTGACCAGTCTTGAATCAAGATGCTGCTCTCCATCTCAGTACGTTGACGTAGTGTGGTTGTAGATGTAGATGTAGACGTAGGTAGATGTAGATGTAGGTAGATGTAGGTAGATGTAGGTAGATGTAGGTAGATGTAGGTAGATGTAGGTAGATGTAGGTAGATGTAGATGTAGGTAAATGTAGATGTGGTTGTGGTTGATGTAGATGTGATGTAGGTGTAGGTAGTGTGAAGTGTAGTTAATGTAATGAATTGATGTAGCCTTGCCCTGCCAATATACGAATACATAAAAGATGATATACATGGGAGTGCTGATAATCACTCCTGAGCCGTGATGGGAAGAGCCCGTAGACGACGGCCCAACAGCTCCAGCTCACCGACCACCCCCCCAGAAGACAACGACCACTTCTCTCCAACCAACCGTCCGTCGACACGCTCTCTCATCAGTCCACTCTGTGCATAGTACCGCAAGAGACCGGCGGCTTCGTCCTTGGGCAGACCACGCAGCTCCATGTAACCCAGCGACTTTGCCTCTGCGAAAAGTGAGGCAACACGCTCATCCACCTTATGGTACAACATAGGGTAATCAGGGGAAGAAGGATCGACGCCAGCCTGTCGAGCAGCAACCTGCTTGATTCCCACCTCGAGGGAAGGCACAGTCAGCGAGTTCGAGCCAGACATTGCGTAAAGGATGAGACCACCGTTGGGAAGGGCCTTCTTGGGCTCCATGCGAGCCAGGGAGAGGAAGTGCTCTACAATCGTGAGGTCGTGGGCATGGATAGGCTTATAATCGGAGCTGTAGTAACTTGTCTTTGCCATCCAGTGGGAGAGGTTGTCGACGGTGACTAGAAGCTGTGGGCGGGCCTTGAATGGCCGCGTGCCTTTAGCAGCATTGGTGTCTATCGCGGGTCCAGTTGCGGTAAGTTCGGACCAGAGGGAGCGGAATATCGACCAGGAGATCTCGGGCTGTTGGATACCGATGTGCGCAAGCTCGAAGAGAGAGGTCTCGGGATCCTTGACATTGGGGTGTGCTCGGGAAACGTGGAGTTGGGAAAGGACTTCCTCGTTTCCTTCAGCCATGCGTTTGAGCAGCTTCGCAACGGCGTCTTTCTGGAAGTACTTGATGGGGTCTGAGCTAGGCAGAGGAGCATATGCTGTGGTTCCATTGACCAGATCCCAAGCTAAATGGTAGGTTAGCAATAAAGCTCTATACTGGGTGTTTCAGGGCGAAAACTCACCATCTGGAATTGTGACGACAACCCAATTCTTCAAGAACGCCATGGTAGTAGCCTGAAGCAGATGAACACTCTTCCCCGTACGCCTGCCGCCAGTGACAAGGCTCATGACCGCCTCCGAACCGTTATCTCTACTGTGAATCTGCTCAATCAATTCGCCCAATTGAACGGTCTCCTTCCTTACCACAGTACAAGGTCGTCGAAACAGGCCCCATCCCTGGCTCCTCTTAAAGGCGTCGACAGCTCTTAATCTATCGACCAAGTTCATCGGTAGGCCGACGACCTGGGCCCTAAACTCTGGGTCACTCATATTCGCAACACTCAGATCCTGCATACCAGTAACTTCCAGCGCATTGTTGTTACTTAGCACGATTCGATGGCTCAAAGCTTTACGTTCCTCTGGGGTACGTCTAGCGGGTCTGCCAGTCTTTCCTTTTCGGACAACTCGTGTGGTTCGAGATTCACGGAATTTAGGACCGGGAGGGCCACCCTTCCCTTTCTTGGGCGCGGCAGCATTGAGAGTGGCACTGGTATGAAAAGGCGAAGCGGTCGTTGGCGTACGGAGAAGAGATGCAGACTGTGATGGTAGCGCGAGCGTTCGAGACGGGTACGCAGGACGGACGTGGGAGACGCATCTCCAGCAGCATGAAGAAGCCATTTTCGGGTACACCAAGTTGCCGACCTGGTTCATACCCAATGCCAATGGCTTGCGAGATGAATTCGCTGTTCGTGAGGAATCAATCTGCTCTGAAGCCTTTGAAAAAAGTTATGGAAGCAAAAGGTCGGAAAAGGGAAAAAGTACACGCTGTTTTAAAGAGTCACGTGCCGTATTTAAGCTTGACTTAAAGCGGCGAGGGTACATCCACTATCGCGGAAATTTTGATTATTTTTCTAGAAGAAGCTTGAGATTGATATCCATTTCGCATGAAGGATAGCATATTCACCCAGACAGACATCATGCCAGACGTAGCCATGGCGAATTCGGCGGCCGAGCCAAAGACAAAACAAAAGGCAAAGCCTGAAAGACTGTACGCTCCTCCTTCCTAGCTATCGCCGTTTATCTAGTCTAACATGCAAAATCAGGCCGATAACAGTCGAAAAGCCCACGCCATATGTATTCGACCTAGGAAACCTGATGGCTCTAGATGCGAATCCAATTGATATACCCGCTCAGGCTGCATCACATACCGGCGCTTCTTCACTAGCACTAAACCAGGCCCTGAAAGCGACTGCTCGCGACGGCGCCCAGTGCCTCGTAAACCAGCTCCTCACCACCTGCCCGATAACCACTTCCATACAAGATGGCGTCCTTCTCACTCTCCCGCGCCCAACAACCATGGTACCACGCTTCAAGCCACTCCCTACACCCAAACCACCTACCAAATGGGAGCTGTTTGCCCGCAAGAAGGGAATTGGCCAGTACAACACCAAGATTGGCGGTGGTTTAGCCGACACCGAACGGAAGAAGAACCTGGTTTACGACGAGGAGAAGGGTGACTGGGTACCCAAGTGGGGATATAAGGGGAAGAACAAGGGGACCGAGAATGACTGGCTGGTTGAAATCGATGATTCCAAGTGGAAGAAGGAAGAGAAGATGAACAGCGAGGGTAAATCGATCAGAAATGAGGGCAGGAAAGAGAGGATGGAGAGGGCGAGGAGGAATGAAAGGAAGATGAGAGCAAATGACCGGAAGGCCAGGACGGGAGGGTCCAAGTAGAAGTGCCAGCTAAGAGACAGCGGAGGCTGAAAGGTCCATTTGTTAGTTTTGCTTGGTGTTGCGGATTCCCATTTTCTGTTTGAACGAGTCGCATGGCGTTTGGGTTAGCATGGGCTACATACTATATGTATAGGATTTAAAAGTGAATAACCAAACTATGTGAATTACGAGCAACCACGTTGAGTAGTAGAGGGAGATGGATAGTAGACACGTTGCATTGACATTATATTCAGAATTATACCCAGGACACAGCTTCAATAAACAAGTCGTATGGTGTCTAATTTTATAAATCGAGAGCCGAAGATGCAATAGAAACAAAGCGGAAGTGTGTAAGTGGCAAAGCTTTAAAAATTAAACAATATCAAAAATGACATTAATTCAAAAGGGTTTATTCAAATTGTATAAACAAGAAAGACAAAATAATTACCAAAAGGCAAAGCAAAATCCACAAAGCCAAAAAAAAAAAAAAAAAAACACAAGTCGAATAGAGTGCGCCGACGAGGAAGATATCAAATCGCTCGATGCGCCGAACCAATGCTTTGCACGTAGGAGAACCAAATAAAACAAAAACCGGAAGTCATAAAAAAGCCAGCCAAACGAGGATAATAAGAAGCGACAAGCAAGAAACTCATTAAGGGAAGCAAGAGGTATAATGGTGAAGGCGCGCGGGAAGGTCATCCTTGGAATGAAATAGGTGCAGGAAAGCAAGAGGGGAGTAACGGAATAAAAAGGTATAAGTAATCCACTGCAAAATAAATAGGAGAAAAATATTCCGAGAACGAAGATTAGGTGCAGTGGAGGAGTAAAATCACACGATCTATTAGGGGTACTTTCTTCTTGTTCCTGCGCCTCTTTCACGCTTAATCTAGTTTGAATGGCAAAGGCAAGGTAGGTGGTAGGTAGATAGATTAAAGAATATCATGTAGTAAGTTCGGTCGAAAATCTGATGGGTGATAGCGGTGGGCCTAACTCGGGGAGCTGGGAAGCTGATCGTGAATGGGCGTTTGGATGGGATACCTCTTTGGCACTCTTCTTAGGGCTCACGGAGCGGGTTGAGGTGCTGCTTCTGGGAATGGTACGTGGTCCTTCTGCACCGTCGGCTGAGCTACGTGATTGCTGTGGCGACAGCTGTTGCGGCGATAGTTGTTGCGGTGATAGTTGCTGTTGGTATTGATGTTGCTGGTACTGTTGTTGGTACTGTTGCTGTTGTGGCTGGCTACTGCCAGACGACGAGATGGCTCTCTCCTCGCTCGTACCACCAGATGTTCTTGATGGCGCCACTGCTAAAGCATCAGCACAATCACCATTCAGCTGTTTCTCCCTCTCTTGCCTATCTAGCTCGGCCTCGATCTCGAGATGTTCCTTCTCGGTCCAGCACCCCTGCCAACAGTTCTTCCAGTCGCAGACAAGAAACTGGAAACAATACCCGTCTATTTTCAAACAGGGCTGGAAACAGATACATAGGTTGCGGTAGTCCATTTTATTCTTGTCGACGTAAGAATGGAGGAGGCTCAGATGGCATGTGATTGTGAAAAGGAGATAATAGTTATATGGCGGAAGTTTGGAGAGTTCGTCTTTGAGGAGTTGCGGTGCGGTTGTGGCGCCGGGGGCTTCGGCTGCAATCTTTGCCTGTGTTGCTTTGGGCAATATCTCATCGGGAAGACAACGGAGCCATGCTTTGAACATGGATCCTATCGTATTGATGTCGTAGAGGTCAGGTTCGTCGAAAAGATTGATATCGAGTTCTATTAACACAGTTAGCTGAAGATATTGAGTGAAAACAGCTAATAAGAAGCACAAACCTGTATCAAACCGTCGTTGCCAGTGCTTGACCTCTTTTCCGCTCCCGGGAACACGATACAAGCCTTCCTCCTCACAGCCCTTGAAGTTGAGATAGCTAGAAGGAAAAAGCAATCAGTACTACTTCACAATGAGCTCACATGTAAAATATGACGGTATACATACTCGATACACCTCCACGGCAGCGCTGGCATCCAGAATTCGGTCTTATCCTTGGAGTTTCTCAAGCTCTTAACCATTCTCGTACGTCTCGTCTGCTCCACGAGAGGCAGATTAATCACTGAGCACACGTAATTATCATCTGGCACAACCTCGCGCTCATGGCTACTGCCGCTTCGCGCAATTTTGCCAAAGAACCCTTTGCCAGCCTTGCCAATACGGTCAGCGGCTCCGCTAGAAGTGTTCTTGATGTTGTGGAAGAGCGACGAACTCGCTACAGAGCTCATCATCGAGCTTCCATGGCTGCGTTCTCGCTTCGTATGCGCCTGTAGATGCTGCATACTGCTGCTGTTCTGGTTGGAAGAGAAGTTTCGACTACCGTCTCGCGTGGCTGGTCGGTCGGCGGAGCGGTTACGGGCAGTCGAGCCCATGACGTCTCTGAATGTTCGTTCGGGTTGTAGCGGAGCGGTTTTGAGGGGAGGATCGGTGTCGCCGCGCGTCTCGTCTAAGCGCAAAAGTCCGTTCGACGGTCGTTTCTTAGGTGCTGACGAGCGAGGGCTGTGTAGACTGTCGTCGACGCGGATAGAGCGAGTACGCGCCAACAAGCCCCCGAAGCGTGGTTTGCTCTTCTTTGGGTTGAGGGCATGTAATGTCGACGGTGGGGGTGGTGCCGACGATGAAGGTGGTGGAGGAACTGGCGGGTTGAAGATTGGGGTGGAGTCTTCAGTTGGTTTTAAGCTCGCGGAGCGTGGAGGGGGGGAGTGGTGATCTTCGCTTGTATCGCCTAGGAACAAGGAGCAGGGGCCAGGGTTAGCGTTGCAATGTGAATGAAACTGATTGCATACATACTGTTGGATTTATCAGTTTGCTTTGGTGAGTCGGGTTTTGGTGACGTTTGGGTTCGCGTCTGGGTCAAGCCACGGCCAGCCCTATCTCTAGAGCTACCTCGGCTCATGGAAGATTTCTCCTCTCCCGAATGTCCACTCGACGCATCTGACAGATGTATTCGCTGCGTGGACCGGGAAGCTTTAAGGTTGGAGAAGAACGATTTGGAAGGGTCTCTGGCATGTCTATTGCCAGGTTGGGGAGATGGAGGATACTGTGGGATGGCAGTTATACCTGGTGTCATCGGCTGTTCGACCTTGTTTGTAGTATTTTCCGTTTCCTGCGAGTTTGTGTTTGTCTGCTCGTTTGCTATGTTGGATGTGGACGTGACGGGTCTGATAGTCGATCCCTTCGGGAATGATGAGGTAGGGCTCAGTTTCGACGGAGGTGATGTTTTGATTTGAGGAGATGTTTCGCGGCTGGATTTTTCCAGCTGCAATGGAGCAGTTGGAGGAGACTTTCTAGCCATGCTGGTGGATATGTAAACGGACGCTCTATTGGGCCTTCCCTTGGGGATATATCGTGAGATCTGATATGTCGACGAGAAAGACGCAAAGGAGATATGAGCGTGGTAGAGTGTTGCGCCTGAAGGCAGGGCTGGATCTGGGCACTGGCTGAAATAGATCCAATTAGTCATTTTGACGGTGATAAGATAATGTATGGAATATTCGGTGAGGGTAAGGCAGATTAGATTAAAAAAAGAGAAGGGAAGATTAGGCTGAAATGAAGTGTGCCCAAAAGGTAGCATACCGGACAAGATATAAGAGCGTGAAGAGCCAGCCTCGATTGTCAACCTGTCCAGCAACACCGTTGCACTGGCATGAAATTAGAGAAGAATACTCCGCTGAAACGTGGACTCCGAGTCGAGATCTTCGGTTTATGCGTCAAGCAGTGTACAAAATATGCGAGGGGCTATTTTCGGCGTTGGGCTCCAACGCAACGGACGGAGGCAGACTCCAGACGATGATTGACCAGATTCTCTTCCTGCACCACGTAGGAGATTATAGCTTCGAAGAAAAAAAGGCGATAAGGCGATAAGATCGGGTGCAGGCCATCAACGGCGTAGAGGAATGCCTTCGGGTTTCAAGAAGCGTGTTGCGTTGGTGAGATATGAGCAGTCGCCGACTGCAGGATGCGTGACACGAAAGGGGGGAACAGTGATGTCGGACGAGGAGCCGCTGCGTTCACGGGGTAGAATGGCCGGAGGATGGGATTCTAGAAAGATATGGGGTAAGCCTAGTTCGGTTCCTGATTAAAGAAGCAAGAAAGCGGGATGGATATTCAAGTGACGGTGAAGGAATCGATGAGGCAACAGACATGACATGACATGGTATGCGTTGCACCTCGAAGTTGGTTGCAGTCGAACACAGAAAAAAGCAACCTTCAACGGGCAAGGGGATAAAGAAAGGCACTGGAAAGGCGTCGTGCAACATGGGGGACAACAAAAGAAGGCGCCGTGAAATAGGGCTGACTTTTTTTTTTATTTTATGAAGATGTTGTTTCTCGTTGTTCTCCCTGCGTCACTTCTGCCTCCACTCTGCTCTTTGTGGTCAGCTGTGTCAGATAGAGTGCCCGCGAGCGGCCCCGACTCCATCGACGGATCGGACACAGGTACAGAGACGGAGTTATTCGTCTTGAGCAGAGGCGATCGACAGGCTCGAATACAAAATAACAACAACAGACCAAAGAATAACACGCGCGCGGCCAATGGGGGAGGGGGATGGTTGAAGCTGAAACCAAAATCAGCCGAAAGCTGAGGAGGATTAAACCCTACCTTATCCTGATTCGCGCAGAACCGCACAGCTTGCCTGCTACACGAAAGATTCTCAGAATGGGAAAAAAGAAGATGGGAAACCGGATCCTTTTTCCCCTGTGCGTTTGTCGTGGACGAGAGGTTGTTCACGGTTGCACGCGAAATAGGAGCACGAGCATCGAAGGGAGAAAAAGGGTTAAAGAGAGACGACGAAGAAGCAAGCCCCTGGCCGGTCGACGGGGACGCAGGCACCAAGTCCTGTTAGCGTCGATCAATCTGGCAGGTATTACGAACACAAACACGCACACCCATTCAGCTTCTTCCTAACCGCTGAACTGGTGAGAGCCTATTCGCGCGCTGCGACTTTTGTCAATGCAAGTACAGCTCAGTTGGCGTGGTGTGGTGTGGGTGGTGGACTAAGTGCGATGTGCCTTCGATTAGCCTCGTCCCCGGACGGAAGAACAGCGAGGACGAACGGGCGGTAAAGGACCCGGCGGACGGTAGGACAAGGAGGAGGGCGAAGTCAATAAACCCGGCAGACGACAGCAGTCAGGCAGACAGGCCGTATATAATCCCAGTCGGCGGGTTGACGCTGCAGGTATACAAGTATATACGCTCTGATATGGCGGGCTAGGAAGCTTGGCTAAGGGGGTGAGGAGGAGGCAAAAGTCAATGTTTCAGCATGATGTGCGCTTGGCGACGACAGGAGCAGGTGCCCACCAGGACAAAACAGCCGGAGCACCACCAGTGAACCACCACAGAGACGTCTGATATCGTAGCTATAAGGTGAAGCTGGAGGATGAAGTCGAGATGAAGTCGAGATGCCCCGAAAGGGAAACGCCAGGGGATGAGGCGACGCGTGCTGACGTCAGCGCCCCTTTGGGCCTAGCGCCTGGGTCCGGCGGCTACGGGCTTGGCATGTAATTATGTAAGATCATTCCTTATGTAAGACACTTATGTAAGCCACCGCCATCCCGAGGTTCTATAGGCCAGAGCATAAGACTTCCTCTTATATCACCTACTTCATGGAGTTAGTCCTCGCTTGAAACCAGGCCCTACGACGGCTACCATCAGGTAGTTCCTTTGAATCTTATGCCTGAATCTATGCATGACTTTGTGCATGAATTTGTGCATGAAATAATAAGCGAATAGATCCCAAACCTAATGTATCATGCAAATGTCTCGACTATGAATAGGGCGTAAGTCTAGCCACGTTCCACATTCTAAGCCATGGCCATTATGATTGCCTTACACAGAGTCAAGTAACTGAGGAATGCGCCATCTTGAGAGTCGTGTGATAACTCCTCTACTCTCCATAATAATAATTCTCACAAAAATACATCGTATATCCTTTCTATTTGTTTTACATGACCAAACTCTTGGAATGTCACAAGGACATAAACTTAAGCCCAAACCAGTAGGTGGTAGAGGAAAGAGCCAAGTATTCTAGATACGTAGATACATGTCTCCATATGATAGACATTACTTTAAAACACCCCTTGTTGAAGGAAATATGGAGTAAGATATACTTTACATTTTACTCCGCAAATTAAGAAATAGTTAAATGCTACTGCTGTCTTTATACGAAGCCAACGGGCTGTATATACCATCCAACGGGAATCGTATACTCCGTAGCTCTGCCTGTCCATCAAGTTCAACTTCCTGTTCCTATAAAGATATGACTTGGCGCCAAGGCACGGAATCGATTACATCATCCCGCCGGCTTTTCGGTGCAGGCTCCCGAGTTCGTCCATAAACAGCAAACAGTTGATAGAACACTGATAGTGGTTCAATGGACATATTTATATTGGCCGATCAGGACATCTTCCAACGAACTGATATCCGTTGTGAGAGGCTAGATTGCCGAAATACCATAACCCCCGCCCGTCACTTCCTGCAGGTTAGCACACATGTCCCTAGTCTCCGGCCCTGGTAGGGGCGGATCGACTGGCGGAACGCAGGAACTCTACGTCCAGAAACATGTAGACTATATCAAGAGTCTCAATACTGTGCGTCAGCTTCCTACCGTCGGATAGCGTTGTTATGTTCTGTCCAGGCACTCGCTAACCCCACCATGCCAGCGAAGAGATGAACTCGAATACTGGCTGACAGAACACCTTCGACTCAACGGTGTCTACTGGGGTCTTACAGCGCTCCATCTACTCGGACACCCTGAGGCATTGCCCCGCGACAAGACAATCGAGTTTGTTCTATCCTGTCAGAGCGAGGACGGCGGGTTCGGTGCTGCCCCGGGTCACGATGCACATATGCTATATACCGTCAGTGCCGTTCAGATACTTGTTACACTGGATGCAGTCGACGAGCTAGAGAAGGATGGACGCGGTGGGAAGGAGAAGGTCGCTTCTTGTACGTCAACTCCTTGTCAATATGGGCTGAACGATACTAAGATATCTCTCCGCAGGGATTGCGAACCTTCAAGACCATTCAACGGGGACGTTTAAAGGCGACTCATGGGGGGAGACAGACACACGGTTCCTCTACGGCGCGTTCAACGCACTCTCCCTCCTCCGTCTCCTGCACCTGATCGACACTGAGAAGGCCGTAGGTTATATCCAATCCTGCGCTAATTTCGATGGAGGATACGGCGTACGACCAGGCGCCGAATCACACGCAGGCCAGATATTTACATGTGTTGGGGCACTCGCTATAGCCGGCAGACTGGATCTTGTCGATACCGACAGGCTAGGGGGGTGGTTAAGTGAGCGGCAGTTGGAGAACGGTGGGCTAAATGGACGACCGGAAAAGAAAGAGGACGTGTGTTATAGCTGGTGGGTTATGAGTGCGCTGGCAATGATTGGGAGGCTGCATTGGATCGATGGGGAGAAGCTGGCCGGATTTATACTACGGTGTCAGGTAAGATAATGTTGGTATGAACAGCATAGCGTGAGATATGCTGACTTCTTCAGGATCCCGAACACGGCGGTATCGCTGATAGACCGGATGATATGGTTGATGTATTTCATACAGTGTTTGGGCTAACGGGGCTGAGTTTGCTGAAGTATCCTGGCCTGAAAGAGGTGGACCCAATATAGTATGTCTCACCACCGTCTTCCTTCTCCTACAGCATCAACTAGGGGCTAACAGAAACCAGCTGCATGCCAAAGGAGGCGACGGATAGGGCATTGGGTCGCTAGGCTGTAATATATATTTAGACCGTGTTGATGACCAACCATGCGTAACTATCCAAGTAAGTTATCTACTCCGTACACAAGTAGAGACAAGAATGATGCCACAACTCCCGCTTCAAATGGCCCGTCGACCTTTATATGGACGATGGGACACTCGGCAGGAGGAGAATATACCTACTCGCGCGCCATATATCTACTTGGGGATACATAGATTAGCCCTAAGAGCATCGTGCATCGAGAACATACATAAATGCATGTTATACCACGATAAGTCTGCTGAACTAGCTGTACTTATCATCTTCAAACATCTATATCGCCATCAAGAACATTGATCTTGGCTTGATGTGCTTCTCGTTCGTGTTGGTCTATGTTTTGTGCCATCCGTGCTCTTTCCGGGCATCTCAACCTCTTTCTTCGCTCTCTTCGTCTCCTTCCACGACTTCAGGCCGTCTCAACGAGATACCAGGCTGTTGACAATTGCTCTTCCTCTGGCAAGGATTGCATATAATAATAAACAACCCCATTGAGAAGTTGAGGAGGCCGCTTTTCTCCTCGCCGCTTCTTTTTCTTCTTCCCTCCCTCCCTCCATTCGTCTATCCAACGTCGTCCTCCCATACGAAGAAGCCACTGCAAAGACCGTTCGGCAGCTTTCATATCGTACTTATTCCCCTGACTGCATCGATATCTTACTCTTCGGGCGTCTCTCTTTTTTCCCTCGTCGTCCTGACTTCTACTTCGTGATACCCAGATATACCAGTTCCATGAACGTCAATACTTTCAACATGGCTCCATCATTGTTGAAGTGCAACATATGTCCTCGCAAGCCCAAATTCAGTGACGTCTCCCACCTGTTGACACATTTGAGCTCCAAGGGTCACTTATCCCACTACTTCAAGCTACAGGTCCGCAGCTATCAAGAGCCCCAGGCCACCGAGCTTCTGGCTGCATATGACCAGTGGTATGAGAAGAATAAGCTTGCTACATTGTTGTCAGATCGTATGCTGGCCAAAGAAGCCCGGAATGCCAAAGGTTCTCGTACGGGCACTCGTTCTAGTCTTCCTGTTGCCTTCCCGAGCGATATCTCTTCTAGAGCCATGGCTTCTGGCTATGGGAACCCTACTGTCGATGCTAAGAAACGGAGAGACTCGCTTCCCAGCTTCCTTGACCCTCGACTCTCTCAGAATTACAATGGTTATGATGCTGGTGACGGCAGCCAGAGACAGAGCGGGCCCTCGTACGCTCCCATGTCTGTCGGTATCATGATTAACCCAGTTACCAATTCCGGTTTTGGCTGGAATCAACAACACCAATACCAGGCCCAGGAGCCCATCACTACTACCTCCATGCCAAAGAGGCTGAAAGATGACGACGAGACAGAGTCAGAGGGGGAGAGAAGCCCTTCGATGGGAAGGAGAACCAGAACCATGGCTCAGGCTGGACCTTCGATGGATTTTCCCACCCACTCTGCTCGTAGATCGCTGATTCCCGATCCCTTCGTCGACGATGCTGCATTTGAATACTATGAAGACGAGGACGAGCCTACTCGGCGGGGCGGTGATGAAGCAAGTAGGCTGAAAGGCATCTTCTGGCCAGGTATGGACATCTTTGATTCTGCTACGGAGGAGATGAGACGCAAGCGGAACCAGAAGAAGGACGGCTCCATTCTCAAGCAGATGGAGGAGACCTCAGAGAGCGTCGAGCCAACAGAGCTTGTTTTCTCTCCCAATGGAACTCTTCGAAAACAACGTTACATCTCTGGTATGGTCGATGATAGCAGCCCGCTCAAGGGAGAAACTCCCATCCCTAAGAAGCGGGTATCTCGCCCTCGCAGGCGACCCTTGTCTCAACTGAACGCAAATGCCCAAATGCAATCAGCACAGAGCAGGTACAAGATGCGGATGAGAGAGGAAAACCACGCCGTCAGGCTCGAACAGTTGTCTCGACAGGCAATTATGTATGGAGATTCGTCCGGAACTATTAGCAGAGGTTTTGATAACGGTGATGGAATGGGTTATCCATCATCGGACTCCCACCGCCCCCGTGGACTTGCTGTTTATCGTGATGGCAACAACGGGCCTAAATTCGGCCTTGAACGCTCTGTCAACAAGGGCAACGGACACAACAAACCGTTCTATGGTTCTTTCAAACCTCCAAGTACTGGTAAGTGTTATTTTAATACCATCTAGCAAGATATATCTGACTGACTGCTTTTTCACTCACCAGCGGCCTATCGTGGCAAGGAAAACATCGAACCAATGTTTACCCACATGGGGGATCGAAACACCCAGCAGCAGAAGTTCTACTACAACTTCCCATCGCAAAATGATAACGATGCCTATGGGTACTCGATGAACCCATTGTCCTATGCTGCTCCTCAACAGCCCTGTGTCCCCAACCATAATGCAGACGGGTCAAAGGATAGGATGACGATAGACACGAATGACTTGTTCGTTCAGCCAACCCCTGGAATGTTTGGAGCCGGTCGTGGCGTGTCTCCTTTCGGCGCCATGTCTAGTATCGAATCAGAAGGAATGGCCGAAATGAGCCTGATGGAGTAACTGTCGGAACGACGCTTAAGGGATCACCCTCCTTCTACGAGGACTAAGCTTATACCCTCCTTATAAATATTCCCCCATATTTTCCCATTCCTTGTGAATGACCATCGGCTACCTTTACACTGTTCACTTTTCCTCCAGCACACCTTTACATATTATGATTCACACGATAAGTCATGCATGGCATAGCGAGCGGTTCCCATCATTAGCGAGATGATCATAGGTGTCGTGTACGTTCCTATCAATAATGGTGTATGATTTTTTGAATTTTTAGGTCATGCCCTTTGTATAAATAGCTAGATGGCGAATTCATACGTCCATTTCTATTACCTAGGGTCCGTAGTACACCCACGAAGAGCGACTATCGAGTTGTAGAAAATCATTTCCAATATACAAGGCCATCCATCAACCTCCTGGCAGTTCTATATACTGTCGCCCTGTCAACGACGCGACTATCACCGTCTTTAAATTTTGCGCCCACAACTAACGTGCCACCAGGATGGCCAATGACCACACCATCGCCCGGTCCCCCATGCACAGTCGAGACGTATTCTCGAACAACTGATCCCTCCAACTTTGTAGCAACAGCAAGACTTAGCCCGGCAGTAATGGGAAGAGCCTTGTGCGGCTGGCCCACAGAAATGGTTCGAACAGTAATGTCAACACCCTCCTGGTCCGGGGTGGAGATAATATTTATCTTCGGTATGGAGGCTGGCACTTCTTCTGTCGTGCTAGCCATACCCATTTTAATCGCTGCTTGGACTCTAATGCTCTCCAGGCGTTCAAGCAAGCCAGGAGCCGCAGATATCTGATCCGGAGATATCTTCCCATCGATAGAGAGGTCAGATGCAGGAACGAATATCATCGGGTTACCAACATCGATACATGTTGCTCGCACGTCATCAAACATATCGATTAGATTCCCCGTGGGTAGTAATTTTCCTGTTTTCGAGCCTGAGGGATTGATGAAGTCGAGTTGAGTCCTTGATGACGACCCAGCGACGCCGTCGATAGAAAATTCGCCATTAGCTTCAGCCTCGATCGTTCCATCTGGCGAAACAGATACTGGGAATGTAGAGTCGATTATCTTTTGGGTATTTGTGTTGTATATGCGAACAGTGGTCGTGTTGTCATCTTGATTTATATCTTCTTTGCGCAGAGTAACCAGGCCTGAATCAATGGCAAATGGCCCAACGGCACTGGTTAAATTTCCGCAGTTCCCAGAATAGTCAATATCGGTAGATTTAATTCCTACTTGGACAAAGGTAAAGTCCACCTGTGCCCCCTGTGCCCGAGACTGGTCTGATGCTGGCGAGACGACGCAAATTTTTGATAAACTCGATGAACCGCCCCCTAAGCCGTCGAGCTGTCGGCCATTTGGGTCTGGGGAGCCCAGTGCACCGAGAAAGATAGGTTTCCAGCCATCCCGAGACGTAGGTAGGTCCTTTTGCTGGAAGATCAATCCTCTTGAAGTTCCACCACGGTAGTATGCGGCTGGAATTCGGTTTTGTCGATGTTTTATGACACTGGATGAGAATGCCCGGGATTTCACCGAGAACTGGGTCAAAATGCTAAGTATCACGTTCAAAAAAATTATTTAATTTATCAATTCAACTTACGACTGAATGGGTTCGAGGTCGCCACATCGCTTCGTCGTCAGATTCCACATCCAACTATTACCGGATATATTGGTGGTTTTGGTGATCTTGTAGCACCACGAGTCATGACTATTTATTTATTCAAGCTCGGCTAGTCAGGGCAAGCATTTGATATCGATGATCCATTCCACGATAGCCTAGGTACTGGGGTAACCAACTCACCACCCCTCGATGCAAAGAAACAAAAAGAAGTAGTAAAATACTGCGCGCTAGATAACTGCGGTGGTATCAGATATAATATCGTCGCCATTCAAAGTCACAAAGTGTATGAACGTTTACATGCAAAGAATTATGAAAAAAAATGTATGAAAAGACAATCCAAGTTAAGCCATGGCTATCAAAACACTCCAAAAAACCGATCAATCCTCAATTCCTATCGCATCCTTGACCTTCTTCTTCAGTGGATGCCCGTCGGGTGACAGGTGTTTATGTTGACTGGACCTATATTCGTCTCAAATGGGCGAATGCGTCGCAAGCCTTAGTAATGTATCTTCTTCCATTTTCGAGGAGCTCTTGCAATTGTGCATTCCCCTGGGCAGCAAAAGCAAATAACAGGGAATGGGCGGAGGCAAAAAACGAATCAAGGTCTTCAAAACCACGGTAAACGGGGCGTTGAGCATAGCCATGGTAAACAGCTATGATGTCAACATTGGGGCAATAGAAGGAAATAGCGACCCCGATTAAGGCGATAAACAAAGCACATGTGAAGAAACAAGTAAATAGAGAGAACCAGGGATTGCGGTGATTAGCACCGGTAGCAGCAACGGGAGGAATGGTGTCCATGGGAGCCATAGGTGCATTAAGAGTATTAGGAGTAGTAACAGCATCAGGTTCAATGGACGCAATAGGAGCACGAGGAGCAACAAGAGAATGAGCCGCAATTGGCGTAACGGAAGAAGTTACGTACGATCTTCTCTGATCTTTTTCCCTCTTTAGTCGATGTATTATCTGTAACATTTCCTTTCGAGCCGTCGAAGCGTCCAGAGGAACGCCATCCAAGGCCATGGTGACATACTCTCCAGAATTCGCTTGCAAGAGCCGGTGTTTCAGTAGATATCTCATCGTTATGCAGACAAATACTCCACAGTCGCTACTATTTTCTTGCGTAGGCGCATCCCGCATATGCACGTACTTGATGGCCTTGTCACAGAGCTTGCTGATTTTGGCCGTGACTTCGCTTGCTTCAGTAGCATTTCCGGGTGGGAGGGAGTCGTAGTGGAATGCAAGTCCGTCTACAAGAGAGACGAGAAGTAGAGACCAGTGGGTGCCGCCTTCTGCTTCCATGACATTTCGGCAGTCATTGATGGGTAAAAAGATGTGGGAGGCGTTGGTGAAGTCAGGAAGCGCGCTCTTCAAGGTATGCGGATCTGGAGTTTGGAATAGGAGGAACGACATGCTTGGACGCAGGAGTATGATCCTGGTGTCATACTTGGATAGCAAGTCATGCTCCAGATATCTACCATGGATAAGTCAATAATAATACATAGTTGTAAAGAAGGGAGATCATACTCCTCCCAAAATGCGATTACATTATCCGTCAACCAGTCGTCTTTGAGGGTATGCACATCCTCGTATGTCACTGTAACTCACACTTTAGTAGCTATCGAGACTTGGAAAAGTGGCATCACATACGGCTTGTATCGTTATCTGAAGCGCGAACCGGTTAATGAACAAAATTCCACAACATACGCCGTATAAAGCAAATGATATCACTCACATGTCAAGTAGACTTCATCCGGGCTCTTGAAAAAGTCAGCATTCGTATATCGGTAAAAACGACGCAAAATTTTCCGATATAAAGCCATCGCAACAGAACAAAGCCACTTTGCAAAGGCACGCGGGTTTCGCGATAATAAACGAGTAATCAATTTAAACAGGTCCATTGCTTCAGGTATATGATTTATTGCCTTACTTATTCACCCAAGCATGCTCAGCTGAGCGAGGCGATGGATAGCAAGCATGTTGTGCAAGCTTATATCAAACGCACTTAAGCAAACTATGCTGAAGCGCAGATACAATAACAACTCTGGAAATGTCCAGCAAGGCAGATTGAGGAAAGTAAATGCTAAGTGAAAGTATTAACTGACCGATTCACTGAATCTTTCTCGCATCCTGTCCTTGAACCGACTGAATCCCCCTTCGACCATCTTCATCAGACGCGGAAGCCCCCGCTTCCGGAATTATGAGGTGTAGGCGGTCTACTTCTGGAGTATCTATGTTTGGGAATGGAACAGCCTTAAAGAATCGGAATATCGATATGGAATACTAATGAGAGATAGAAATCGGGGAAACGGTGTAGTCCATGGAAGTTGGGAGGGAGGATGCATTAAATTAGTCGGTTTATGCAGATGAGATGAGAGCCAGTCAGTGGCAACCAACGCATTGTAATAGGATCACAGTCGGAGAGCCTCAACGAATATGGCACTTCAGGACTGCCGAATTAATTAACGTCGTCACCTGGTCTGAAACTCCAAGTTCTAGGCAACTTCTTGTAAAAAGCAATATTTACTTGTTTAAAAGGGCGCTTTACCCCGGATCTTTCAATAGCAAAACATCACGTGAAGGTGAGGTCATAGTTCTTGGCTAGACAGAAGGTATAAGTATCCTAATTTACATGAAAGGTATAGTGATTAAGAAGTATAACAGCGTTGGGCATGCCCTAAAGATGGAGACAAAGGGAAGTAGAGGAAAGGAAGATGGAGAAGACGAGAAATTATAGGGGATCTGTGAGATGGCGGACTCGTATTGATATTGATGCCGGACGGGGGATGGCTGGTGATCGGTGATTTTCGCTTCCTGTTCCCTATTCCTTCTTTTTTTTCGGATTTTTTCTTCTTCTGAAGCTGTATAGTTCCTCCTTTCTTGCTTTCTGTCTTAGAGTGCTTGTTTGTGTATGTTCCGGGCGCCGGGGTATATGTAAGTCAAGTGTGATATAGTTAGTATGCCCCCTTCCAAACCCAAACCGTGTCACCATTGCAAAAAAAAAAGAAAAAAAAAAGTAAAAAATAAAGAGATCGGAAAAATAATAAGGCCATATAAAGACAAACAGAAAACATGCTGGTGAAATGTCGCCCAAATAACAAAGGGAATAGATAGATGGAACAAGACAAAAAGAAACAAAACAGATGAAAGGAAATGAAATAGTCTGGCTCGAGGATGGATGAAATGATTCCATGTGTGAGGGTAAATAAATAAAACATAACGATAACATAATGATGCGTGGGACGAGGTGCGAGGTGGCCGACTTAGCCGGCTAGCTTGGCGAAATGCTTCGTCCAAATCCAACCGACCTGATGCGTTGGATCGTCTTGGTTTCGAGCAAGCCAAAGGTCTCCTTTTTCGCCGATGACATCGAATATCTCGCCAGCCACATAGGTTAGGTACGGATACCCTGCCTCGCGGCGGGCGCGGTCGATATTGAACTCGAACATACTAGCGGCCAGGAAGAGGATGGAGGGTTCCTTGGGCGCTGAGCTGAAGCTGGTATGCGCACTTGTGCTGGCAATGGTACTGGGGTTGATGCTGCTGCTGCCAACGCTGTTGTGGCTTTCTGGTGCTACGAAGCGAGAAGGTTCGGGGGTTTCGGGCATTGGCATAGCTGAAGAGAAGAAGCCTGAGTATCGCGGCGCTGAGGGGGAGGAAGGATGGTCGGCCGGATCTGGAGCTGTGTTGTTACTCAGGCCGTTGACGTTGATGTTGAAACGGCTGCTGCTCATCAGGTGGTCTGGGAAGAACTCGAGGCGAGGCGTGTCTAGGGCGAGCTGGGGAAGTTTCGGCGAGGTGTCAGACATTCGGAATGATGCGTTGGTGGTACCACTGGGCCCCGTGACGCTGGAGCGGGTAGACGGATTAATTATTGACGGTATCGAGGGGATATGGCCGTTGGATAATGCCGGTGGTCCGACAGAATACGTAGAGTTAGCGCGTGTGCGGGAATCAGATGTTTGAAATACATAAGATCCATTTCCATGTTGCATGAAGCCGGTGCTTGGAGGAGTTTGGATTGAGTGCTCTGGACTCCGTGAGCCAAAGTCGTGTGAGACTTTGGGGGAATTGCCTGATTCACCGGAGAATGTTCGACCGGTTGCGCTGTTGACTGTTGACGGGCGGCGGGAGGAGGTGGTATCGGCTCCATGAGAAGGTGGTGGGGAGCTATAGTTGTTTACAAGTGTTGTGTCTGCGAGGATAGAGCCATTGCAGACCCCCAGGGACAGTACTTGGGCTTCGCTGAAGGAGAAGTCGCCCGACCAGTCGCTGATGATCTGATTGATGTCCTGAGGTAGTCTGTCGATGGTATAGCCCAGTCTCTTCTGCACGAGGGTGAGCCATGTGGCCTGGGTTTGGACGAAGGCATTCAAGCACGCTTCCATCAATTTGCCGGTAAGGGATAAGAGTCGCGGCAATTCGTCTTTCAACGCCATATTGAGCGCAACGAACTGCTCTCCTTGCTCTGTGATTTTCTTATCTGGCTTATCCCCTCGGTCCTTGATGGCTTTGTACTTGACGTAATCCATTAGCCGCTTGTTACGCTTTTGCATGACTCGTTGCGGGCCGTCGTGGAGTTTCAACAGTGTAACCATCGGAGTTACAACGCTCTTTCGAACTTGCGCGACCTGTGACCGTTAGCAAACGTATACTATTGGGAGAAAAGGCCAAAAAGACTTACATGATCCACCAATGCGACGGCCATAACATCTTTAACCGCCAACCGGAAACGACACCATTTACTCTCCAGCTCGGGATAGTTCGACGGCGCGAGCGTAATATATCCCTCAACAGCAACGATAAACTCGTTAAACTTGCCCATAGAAGTCTGCACCTCACCTAGATACCCTTCCACATCACGCATGACAAGCTGCAGCTGGAAGAAGTTATCTCCAAACCGTTGACTGAGCGAATCATAGTCTTTATCCGAGAACATTTCCGTGATACCGACGTGTTGTTTTAATTTCTCGGTACGTCGACCAAAGGCCTTGGATAGGCCGGCGCGAACATCGGATTCTTTGCGTTTACGACTATTTCCAACAACCTGGCCGACGAGATCGGCGCGTTTCTTCATCTCGTTTATTCGTACGGAGATAGCGGTTGTAGCGGCAAGGGCGCTTGATATCGCAGCATGGTCCGGATGGTCGGCAGGAGTTGCGCTAAGTAGCTCGGTCAAAAGGAGCGGGTATTTTAGAATGCGCTGGACGGGCTTCACTAGTAGAGAGTCTAGATTCCATGCAGATGTAAGGTCGGCAGCCCACTCGCGGCATTCCTTCAGCCAGATGTTGACGTTTTTGTTCTTCAGAAGGGCCTCGAGAGTCCTGTTTGCTGCATCGTGATTACGTAGATAATCTGAATAAACGGCCTCCATTCTCTCGATGTTAGCCATGAATGCTTCACCAATAGAGGTCTTGCGATCGTTCTCTTCATCAGCCACCTGCTGTGGGTCGGCGGGACTGTTGAATACGGCACTGTTCTGGGTACACTTGCTACTCCGCTTACTGCTCCAGCGCTGAGACTTTGGTAGGACATAGATGCTTTTCGCCGCCTGTTTGAGAGCATCTTGCCAGTCCATTGAGAACTGGACGACTTGCTCTGAGTTGCCGAATAGGGTTTTGACGTCCTCTGGTGATAGGCCGAGGCAGGAACTTGATGTACCCTTGTATATGTCCACGACAACAGTCATGTCTTGGCCGAAGGTATATTCAGTATCTACCAGTTCTTTGATTACGTTTCGCCGTTTCTTGAGCCGCCGTTGCTCAGGGGTGGGGGACTTGCGTGAAGCGGGGTCGAGTATGTCGTGGAACAGCGATGTAGTCTCTGGTGCTAGGGATGATGGCTGCTCTTGGGAGTGCGAAGTTGAGGAGGAGATGGTTTGCGGAGGGGTGATGTGCAACGAAGAATCCTCACTTCGACTGCTAGGTGGCGCATCGTGGAAGGTAGGTAGAGCGGGCATCACGCTTGACGGGGGGCTATTGGTGTAGACGCTTGGAGACGCTTCGAAGGCAGCTGGCTGTTCTTCTGTCGGTGCAGTTGCCGGAGGAAGAGTAGGAGGAGGCGGAGGAGGAGGCTGTGATGGCGCGGGAAGATGCATATGGAATGGCGATGGTAGTGTAGGCGAGTCTCCATCCTGCGGTGACTGCACGCGAATCTCTAGTCCAAGTCCTTCCACTGTACTGTCTATGGACGCGAACTGCGGTGGTCCTGGCATCTTCGGGGTCTCTGCACCTTCTTGGTCCGAGGTAGAAGCTGAAGTAGATGTATGGAGAATCTCTGTTACATCCGTCGCTTGACGTTGATGTTGTTGATACTGATGCTCTGGCTGGTGGAGCTGCTGCTGCTGCTGCTGCTGCAGCATCTCATCCTCCCCAGCAGCCAGGTGCATCCAGTCTGCAATAGAAGGTGATGTCTCCCAGTCATCTCGTAGATGTAGACTTGCGCGCGCAGGAAGGAATTCAGCAGTAGGTATTGTCGCAGAGTCAGGTACGAGAACACCATCTTCAGCTTCAGCTTCAACCTCACCTTCCCTTTCGCTGCTTATACCTCTCCTCTCGCTATCCTGAGCAGAGAGCCTCTTCCCTTCGCTCTCACTACTGCCTGGCGTCAAAATGGGGACTCGCGGCCTCTCATATCCAGCCTTTGCTAGCTCCTGTAGGTATAATTGCGTTGCTCGCTTCGAGTCCCAGCGCGCTTGCTTGGCGATAGTCGTGTAGTGGTTTGCCATGTTCATGCTGAATCGTCGTTCCAGGGAGGCTATTACTGCATCATCACCGAGACTGTGAGAAGTACCGTCACCTACATCATTGCCATGCTTGGTCGATAGATCTGTCTGGGAGTCGTCGGTTTCACAAGGCGGAGAGGGTGGGAAGATGGGTTGTGGAGTTGTTGCATTTTCGTGTAAAGAATGGGAGCTATCGCAGCTATCTTCCTGAAGCTTTGAGTCGGCATCCTCCACCTCGATCTCAACATCTCTAGATGGCGGATGTTCTTGGAACGAAGAGTTCCATGAACTCATACTCCATCGATGCTGTGGATTCCCGACCCCATGCGCTATCGAGTCGAGGTACCTTGACCGTCGGAGCATGATACGTATCGACTCACCGTCGTCAGCGGTGCTATCTTCGTGCTCGGTGTCGTGGTCATCATGGCCGTCAGACGTACTCGATACGCTCGGGCTAGATTCTCGCATTTGCATTATATGGTTCAGCATGGTTCGGTGAGTGACCAGTCCATCCTGTGGCTCAGGGTCGAATGTAGTGATTTCCGTCCCCACCGTTACGGCCGATTGGGGTATTGTATCAGTGTTATCTGATTCTGGAGTTTTTGGTCGGTAGTCGTGTAAGGTCATGTTGGGTATGTGTACATCTGTATGCTCTGCAATGACTTCAGGTTCATGCTCTGGCGGTTCATGCTGATGCTGATCCGGGTTATATGCTATGGGTAGTAGGATAGGTGATCGGCCTTCGTCGGGCGTGACGAAGGAATCATTGTTTTCTTCACTGACGAATTCTCGCTCAACGCACTCACTCACGGGCTCATTATTGGCGGCTGGCCCCTCGTCTTCCGCCGGTGTCTGTTCCGGGAGCGTTATTGACGCCGGTTCAACGTCGGCCTCTGCTTCTACCAGTACCGGTGCCGGGACCACCTCTAAGTCAGGTACGGTAGAAGGCAGTTGTTGTGGTTCCTCCGGTGGCGACGGCAATCCTTCCTCTAGTGCCTGTGCTTCCGGTTGTGGTTGCGGTAGCGGTTGTTCTTGGTGCGATTGTGGCTGAAGTCTAGCCATCTTCCTAGCGATCTCACGCTCACGTCGTACAGCTGCCCTTTCCTCCTTCTTAGCATTCTCCTCCACCGTCCGATTGAAGGCCTGCTGGATCCTCTGCCGCCTAGCTGCAAAATCTACGTTTCCTAGCTCTGGCGGTTTCTTCGACGAAGACCTGGACCCGGAACCGGATCCTCGAGACGACGACCCGGCACCGTCCTTTGACTGAAGTCCTGATATCCGCTCTACCAGTCTCGCGCGGGATGCTGTCGTGGTGGCACTGGATACGGGCTGTCGAGGCCTCGAGCTGCGCAGAGGAGGGGATTTCTTCGGCAAGGGTGCTGTTATGAATGCTTGTAGGGTGGGACTCTTTTGGTCTCGGGGAATATGCCGGCGCGAACCAGCAGCGGTGGTGGTAGTCGAGCTTGCGGCAGTGTTTGTTGAAGAGGAACGAGTGCGGAATCGCGGTGAGGTCGGTGATGGCTTAGGGAGTAAACTGACCCCCTTGGGGGGTAGGAGGCCGCTCGACGGAGCGTACCTATCTAGGGCCGAGTTTGTGCGTGTCGAGGGCGACGAGTTGCCTGAATCCGAGGCCTGGCTTGCTCGACGGGAGGGAAGGGGTATTCTCGAGTGTTGTCCGGACTGGGACTGTGACTGGTACTGTGATTGGCGAGATGAAAAGGATGTCGATATAGGGTGTGGGTGCATGTTCAGTTGCGGAGAGACGGGGGAGCCCAGGTCACTTCGCGAGCGTCGATGCGAGAGGGCAGGCAGATACCATGCAGTCGGCGAGTCGACAATGTCTGCTGCGTGAGAGGAAGAAGAAGAGGAAGTAGGGAGAGGGTGAAAATGCGGTTGTGGTTCAAACGCGGCGTTGTTGTTCAAGATGTGTATCTGTTTGGGCGTATGCATGCAGCTGTCCGAACCACTCCTGCCTCTCCCCCTGCTCGAAATTGGGCCCGAACCCGGGTGGAGGAGCGAGTGTGGATTGCTGTAATGGGCTGATGACGATGAAGAGGGCGTGGGTGTCTTGGATGTCTGTCTGGGTATAATTTCACCGAACAAGGGCCGTCTGGTAGCCGTAGCTGAAGGAGGACGAGGGTGTCCCTTGTAGAAGGCCGTGTTCGTCCTCGCATGGGCGTGTATAGACGCAGCAGACGGCTTGGGCACGACCTCGTCCGGCGTCTGGTTGAACTTGTTGACGAGGTCCTGCAGCGAGGACTGTCTGTTCTGGTAGCTCGACGCCGAGGCGGTAGTCAATGTCGGTGTGGCCGTGGCCGTGAGGAGGGCGCGTCTGGTCTTGCTGGGCGAGAGATCAGACAGCTTCCGGGCCCTGGGCGGGCTCTGCTGGTGAATCTGGCCGTGGGCGTGCTGGTTATGCGAGTGCTGGAGATGCTGCTGGTCGTCGAAGGGGTGGTACTGGAGGTAGAAGTCGTGAGGGTCCGGGAAGGCATCGTCCCTGGACGATGGCGGCTCGTAGGTTGTCTGGGGCAGCAGGACGTCCCCCGGAGAGTCAAGGTCGCTGTCGAGAGGAGCAGACATCGTGAGAGGCCTTCATCTAGGGGCAGTCGACGGCGGACAGCAGCAAGCAGGGCGAGGGAGGGAGGGAGGAGGTGGAAAAAGCAAGGGAGGCCTGTATGACGCTGTAAGACGGGCAACAGGAGAGCAGTTCGACGTGGCAGACCAGGAGTCAGGGCGAGCCCGTCATCTCATCTCCTTCTCTGATGCCTGTCGGTCTCTCTGTCTCTCGATCTCGATCTCTGTCGCTGTTGGCGGTTGGCGGTTGATGGTGATGTTGATGCATGCAGGGTGCAGGATGCAGGTCGACGTGGTCCGCTGTCTCTCTCTTTCTTTTTCTCTTTTTCTCTTCTGTATCGTTGTCTCTTCTCTTCGTCGTCGTCTCTTCTTCGTCTTCTATGTTGTCTTCGTCTATATTGTCGCTCGTATGTGGTAAAATTCAAGCATCTAGGCCGGCGATCTCCAGTTTTACGGTTACGGCAGAAGTTGCTTACTGTGGGGAGTTTCTTTTCTTCTTCCGCGAGAACTCGGTATTAGTGCGATTTGACTGGAGTTGGTGAGATGTGTTTCGAGTAAGATTAAGGGTCGACTGTTTGGATCTCGCTCTCTTTGTTTCTACCGTTCGATCGATCTGCCATCTGTTTACTGTTTATTCGATATGTCTCATCTGATCCAGCATCAGGAGTATATAGAGAGTATATAGAGGAGGTAGAAAGGTAGATATAGGAGAGTAGATATAGGAGAGTAGATATAGGAGAGTAGATATAGGAGAGTAGATATAGGAGAGTAGATATAAAAAGGATTAAGGTATATAAAGTAGATATATAGAGTAGATATAGGAGAGTAATAGGGGTAGGTAGGTAGAGTAAGTAGGTAGAGTAAGACTCGTACAAAACACGACGAGATGGACAGCCCAGGAACACGGAGACGGAGACACTGCAGCCAGACATGCAGGACGCAGAAGAACGCGCAGGAGCTGGACGAGGAAGAGATGAGAATAAGCGACCTGTACAGCAAGACGTGCTGGCCGCCTACTACCCGCGTCTGCTCAGCCTGCGAACATACCTGCTCGAGCTGCTGCCGGCGTCGTCGAGGTCGAGGAGACGCAAGGTCGCCCTCGTCGGCAAGACAGACGATGGCCTGAAGCGAGTATCTCTCGGCGGAGGAGGTGGTGATGCGCGTTCAGTCGCGAAACTGGGCCGTCTGCTGGACTCGACCATCGTGGGAATAGTCAGGGAGGCCAGTCCGGCAGTCAACTGTGCGAGACAGCGGGAGCTCGCGGCCTTTACGCAGTCGCAGGTTCGGTCGTCGGCGTGGCGAGGGACAGACGTCGGTGCTACCAGTGATATCGCAGAGGTATCTATCCACGATGTCGTCTATCCGGTTTATATGTGTAGCTAACGGTGTAGATTGTCGACTTTGCTATATACAGCCTGTTCAACCCGGCAGACAGCTTGCCTGCCTTTCCATCGCATATTCTATGCCATGGCTACCAGCGTGTGAGGGAGAACCTGGCTCCCAACCGTGAATATGGCGGCTGCAGCGGGATACCAGGCCTCGTCCCCAGACTCCCCAACAGGAGCGTGTCTATTCTCAAGAAGTCGCCGTGGACGGATGTTCTCAGTCTGCTGGGCAAGAGCTGTGAAGATATCATGCTACATCTGTTACTGGACTGTGGGCTGTTCATCCATCTGCAGGGGCAGTCGTATTACCAGCTAAGTGGTGAGCAATATACCTCTCGTGCATGGATTATGATGATGTTGAGCGTGGATTATGCTAATATTGTTGATAGGAACCGCGTTGCTGAAGCTGGATACACTGGATAAAGCGCCGCAGAACACTGTAAAGACGCCAGCGGAGATCGTCTTCGTGCGTCGACGCATGTTCTACGCTCGCCCGGCACTCAATGCGAAGGGTGAAGTCAAGCTGGGACTACGGCATATCCGTACTTCTTCCTGCTCACCATATTTACAATGGCATTGCTAACTAATATATAGATGTGCTGAATAGATACGCAGAGATCAACAGGGCCAATACAGTGCATGTGATGAAACATATATTCCCGCGCCAGTTTGGCCTGCACAATGTCTTTACCGCTACGGTCAACTGGGCAGAAACAGACATGCCGTTCAAGGACTATACCTTTCGAGAGAAGGAGATAGACCTGAAGCCGGGTGATAAGATACCTAGACGATTACGTGGGAAACTGGTTGAATTGGTCCAGAAGCTGCAGAAGAGACACTCGCGTTGTTCATATGTCGAGCTACTTCGGCATTATTGTCCAAAGGTATGTACCTTGCCTTTTACTACATGTTACCTTACTTTGGCTAAGTATATTAGCGGACGGTGATGGATGCAAATGAAGGCGTAAAGAAGGTGAAAGTGACAATGACAGACTTTGCGACCCCGACGCATGCGGTGTCGGCATTCTGTCGCGCCGTTCTTCAAAATCTGATACCATATGAGATGTACGGAAGCGGAGAAGAGGGCGTCCTCAATCGAAACACGGTAATGCGCAATGTGGACAAGTTTGTGTCCCTGCGGAGATTCGAGACGCTATCACTCCACGAGGTCGTTCAGGGGTTAAAGATCGGATGCATATCCTGGTTATCGCCAGATGGAAGCATGGGGACGAAACTAGCACTCTCCGATATCCGCAAGAGGACGGAAATCTTCCTCGAATTGATATATTACACCTTCGACTCGCTAGTTATACCCCTTATCCGGTCGAACTTTTACCTCACCGAATCCAACGCGTTTAAGAACCGGCTCTTTTACTTTCGTCACGATGTATGGAAACGTCTCTCCGAGCCGGTCATGGCCGACCTCAAACGTTCCGTCTTTCAAGATATCAAAAGGGACGCGGCTGAGCGAATACTCAACGGCGAATCGCTTGGATATAGCCATATCAGACTCCTGCCCAAATCCAAGGGCGCCAGACCAATCGCGAACCTCAGGAGACGGCCAATGCTGAAAAGGTCAAGGACAGGCGTCCCCATGCTTGGGTCCAGCATCAACTCCCAACTTGCGCCGCTGTTCAATGTGCTCTGTTACGAGCTCGCGCAGAACCCGGACTACGTAGGATCGAGCTTACCATTTATCGCAGGCATGTACCCCCGGCTGAAGAAATTCAAGGAGGAAATTACAACACGAGAAGGCGGAACGGCGGCCGGGCCGCTTTATTTTGTCAAATTGGATGTTCAGGCCTGTTTTGACACCATACCGCAGACAAGGCTGATGGAGCTTGTTGACGACCTTGTGAGTGACGATGTATACCGTGTTTCAAAGCACGTGGAGTTTCATCCTCATCCTAGCCTTAAGGGCGGGCCGTGTCGGGAATTAACGAAACCAAAAGACAAAGGTGGCAGTGAGCTAGACCATGGCAACAAACCTAGACGGAAGTTCGTGGCAAGAGCGGCTGCATTTGATGATTTTCAGCCCGTCTATGATGCTGTTTCGACGCCTGGTCAGTGCCATCGTGGCGGTGCAGTGTATATGGACATGGGAGTGCATAGAACATACACGAGGGATCAACTGCTAGCTCTACTAGAGAAGCATGTGCGGAATAACCTGGTCAAGATCGGGAAACGGTATTACCGGCAGAAGAAAGGCATTCCGCAGGGCTCCGTCGTTTCCAGCCTGCTATGTAGCTTCTTCTACGGGGAACATGAACGGGAGCGTCTGGGATTTTTACGTGATGCCAACACTCCAACGCTGCTCATGAGGTATATCGACGACTACCTGCTGATCACTACAGGGAAACCGCTAGCCGAGCGGTTCCTGCAGGTGATGCTTGAGGGGGATGAGGAGTTCGGTATATCCGTTGCGCCGGAGAAGACCCTCATCAACTTTGAGGCAGAGGTTAACGGCAAACATATCCCCCGCCTGGACTCCAATCAGTTCCCATACTGTGGCAGTTTGATCGATGCGCGATCGCTGGCCATCAGCAAGGATCGCAGCCACGTGAAGAGCCACCGATCGTCGACGAAGATGAAGATGATGGACATCCGCGACTCGCTGACGGTGGACTCGACCAAGTCGCCGGGCCAGACGTTCACCCGCAAGGCCCTGGCGGGGTTTCGAATGCAGACTCACGCCATGTTTCTAGATACGAAACATAGCGCCGCAAGCGTTGTGCTGGTCAACCTGTACCGTAACTTTATGGAATGTGCCCTGAAGACCTGTGCGTACTGGTGTCTGATGAAACAGCGGCAGCGAACGTCATCGCCTCGACTGCTGTGTTTTACAATCACCTCGCTGCTGGAGTATGCAGCGCGGTTCATCCGCTCCTCTCGTTCGTTTGAGTGCACCGTCACACGCCGACAGGTTCGCTGGCTGGGTGCTATGGCCTTCCGCGTCGTGCTTAGCCGAAAACAGGCGCGTTTTAGAGAGGTGCTAAGGTGGTTGGAGGGTATCGTCCGAGACTCGAAGCCGTCCACCGACCAGGAGCTGTCGAGGCTGCGTCGGGCTGCCAGAGACGGCAGGCATGCCTTTGAGGGATGTCACTATTAACCGCTCCCTGTTCTCTCTCTCCCTGTCCCCTGTACGGAGCATTGGAGTCCTCCATATATCCCTCCCTATATTTGTATTGTTATCATCCTTCTATGATCCTTCCATCTCGTCTCTTGAGTGTGAGTGTTGTGTTTATAGATATAAACTTACCCCTGAAACGCGCCAAGACCGGAAATTGCCAATTTCGGCGGCAGAAAAAACCCCTGACCGCTTTTCTTGGCGTGTGGCGGTGGCTTGCCCTAACCCTAATCCGCATTAGGGAGGTCACGTGTTATAGGTCAGCCACATCGGGAAGTTCCTCCCAGGAACCAACTTCGAACCTTCGAACTTCCATCTTCAACCTCCGACTTTTGGCTTCTTCCTTTGCTTTCATCGTCTTCCTTTCGTCGTCTTCCTTTCTGTCTTCTCTCTCGTTCTGGTGCGTCGTCCTTGAGCGTGGCCGGTCAGTCGTTTCTGCATGTCGAGGCGCGGTTCCCGGGTCGAACTCTCTCGTACTCCTCCCTCTCTTGCCTCAACTCCACTGGGATTCTGGGAAAGTTAGATCTAGCCAACTTCTTCCCCCCCCCTGCTGCCAGATCGTCGTATTTCCGGCGTTCAGCTCAGGTTCACGCTCACTTTCACAGCCTGGGGCATCTCCTTTTATCCGGCCACCACCAAAACTCGACTTCGGGCACCGTCACTCGTTATCATCTCGCTCGCTGCCTCACCGGCGCTTCGACATATACTAGCTTATCACATCTCGAACACGGGCTCGATACATGTTGGGATGAGATGACTACTGTTTCCACCGCTGCACCGGACTCGCCCCCTGACCTCTCGGGGTCGAAATCCTCAAAGTCCTCCTCTTTCCAGTCCTCCTCCCACCAGTCCAATTCCGATGGCGTGTTCGCCGATATATCCAACTTCGAGGATATAGCGCTCGAGGACGAGCTGGTCGCGCAGTTCGGCAGTAATGCGTTAGACCATCGCCATTTCGACCAGGGGCCGTATCCTCTGCGGTCAACGGGCGTGCCAGGCAAGAAACAGAGCCTTAGGCACAAGCAGCAGCATCAGCAGCAGAAGAGTAATAATAACCCGGACCTGGGTCGAACGAAGAGCAATACGGCAGTCATGACGATGCGAGACTTGACTGGACCGGTAAACAGGCAGAACAGTGCCCGCGGCAGTCTTAACACCTCGAGCACGTACGCCCGTAATGCATTCGCGCACTCCACTCCACACGTCAATGGCACGACACAGGCCATGCAGTCGCTTAGTATACAACCTCCATCAGCTAGACGAGCGCTGAGCAGCACGTCAGATCCGTCGTTACTCCTACACCCATCTCGAAACAGACCTAGAACCCGATCACCTTCACCTAGCGAGAGTCAGGCATCCAGCAGTCGAAGTCAGGCATCCAGCTCCAGTCGGTCACGCAGTCGTCCTCCAGCTCCTGAAGCAACATCGTTTCCCAGGTCGTCATCCTGGCAGCCAAGCCGCAAGTCAGTAAAGGAGCTGGAAGACGAATATCACGACTCTGACGAAGATCTGCCGGAAGATGCTACACTGTGGAATGTTCCGATCTCTCCGCGCCCGCAGGACGAGCGTCCGAGAGGTCGAGACAGTCGTTCACAGAGCCGCAGTCCCGGTCCTCGACCTATCCCGTTACACGGCTCCGTGGCGTCCCCGCCGCAGGGGCTGTCACCTCAGTCGACATCCCCTCCAACAACAGCTAGTACAGCCTCCAGATATAAACCAAAACACAGACGTGGGCGATCACGGTCCATGGGGCCCAGCCAGCGAGCTTCCCAGAGTGCCATCAGCCCAGCTCCGTCAATTGATCGCCGTGGGCCCAAAGCCAATACGTGGAATGTAGTCATGTCAGAACTCTCCGAGGAAGCAAGAATCATCACTGAAGCTCTGGAATATCACGCCGACGAAGCTGCGCGAGACCACGAGGCGAGAGTCCAGGCTGGCCTGAAACCTAAGCCTTCGGCAAACAGCAAACGAGCGTCCGGCGGGATGATCGAGCTTCCACCATTGCAGCGACCTAATATTATGATTGATCCCCTACCTATCAGTAAAGAGAAGGAAAAGGTATTATCACGAACAAGACCCAGCTGGCTTCCGCCCAAGGATCAAAAGGAGGAAAAACGACATCTCAAGGAATACAAGCGCATGATGGCCTTGTCCAGGGAGGCTGGTACGTATTTGATCTCTTCACTTTAAAAAAGGGGGTCGATGCTGACTTGTGATAGATAAACGCCGAGCGGCCGAAGAAGCATCCGTGCAATGCAAGAAAGACGACACGAGAAAGATGCTTCAACGCATCTGGGATGACTACGTGTTCCCTGACTGGGACAGGGTGATTGCCGAGCCTCGAACTCGCGAGCTATGGTGGCGCGGTATCACGCCTCGGTCTCGCGGGGCCGTGTGGCAGCGTGCCATCGGCAACGAGCTGGCTCTGACCAGTGACTCGTTCACCAAGGCACTGGAGCGAGCGGAGCAGCTTCGAGGCAAGTCGGGAGACGGGTTCAAATGGGCCCACGAGCGGTTTGGGGCGATACGCAGGGACGCAGCGAGTGCGTTCCCTGCTCTCAACGTGTTTGCTGAAGGTGCACCGTTGCATGAGAGTCTGGTGCAGGTGTTGGATGCATATGCCATGTATCGCAGCGACGTGGGATATATCCACGGCATACACGTACGTTCTCACTCTACATTTATCTGTAATATAGCTAACCGTCTCTAGACCATCGCCGCCATCCTGTTACTGCAACTGCACACCCCGTCCTCGGCGTTCCTCACTCTCGCCAACGCCCTCAACCGACCCCTGGCACTGGCCTTCCTAACCTCTGACCCCGGCGCCACCGCCCGCGCCTACAGCCTGGCCTCTGCAACCCTGCGTCTCAAATTCCCACGTCTCTCCACCCACCTGTGCGAGAACCTCTGTCTGTCCGACGCCCAGATCTGGGAACCCATGTTCCGCTCCCTCTTCACCAACGGCCTGGACGTCGACCACGTATCCCGCATCTGGGACTGCTGGGTATTCGAAGGAGACCGCATTCTGTTCCGAGCGGGCGTTGCCGTGCTGGGCTGTCTGGAGACACAGCTTCTCGGCCTTGTTCCCGGAGAGGAAGGACAGAGGGGAGCCGTCGACGTCCTTGGCTGGGGAGGGAAGCAGATTGCCAGACGGGGCCGGAGTCGGTCGTCGATGGACTCTGTGGCGAGCGAGGGCAGTCCGGAGTCAAAGCTGTACTGGTCGTTGGGCACGCAGGGGACGGATGCGTTTATGCATTTGGTTAGGGAAGCTGGGAGGTAACCGCATTAATACTCATACATTCTTTCGTTATTCTCTTGTACATCGCCTATATACGTAATAATTTAATCATCTTCAACCCTCTTGTATCTAGTATATCTTAGTATATCTCTTCTACATCTGTATAGTTGTCTGTATATATCGGATAAACGTTCTTCCAGCCGCGTGTCGGGCCTTCTGCCTTCAAGCTCAAGCTCAACTTCAAGAAGTAAACAAGTAAAGTAATAAACAGATCTCTACACTCTTCTCTCTCTACTCTTGCTCAAGGACCGGTTTTCTTCTCTCCGTACACCTCTCTAGCATATCCTCTACCTCCAGCACAATGAAAGCCGGCGTCACGGGCTGCCTGGGAGAAGGTGTGTACAGCTCCAGCTCAGGTAGCTTGCAGGACTAACTGGCAGCAGATGGCATCCACGTCGACATGGAGCACCTCAAGAAGGGAGAAGTCAAGTATGTCCTGCCCGTATCCCCCATTGCATCGACACCGGCTAACCTCTACATCCAGTCTTGGTACATCGATGTGAGTACGGCTGCACGAGAGGACACACGACCGTCTGTATAGCTTGCTTCTACAGGAACGACGGTTAACGAGAGACAGCATGGCGATAAATTTCAAGGACGGAGTGATTCTAGGCGCCGACTCGCGCACGACGACAGGCTCATACATCGCCAACCGCGTGACAGACAAGCTGACGCAGGTACACGATACGATATGGTGCTGTCGTTCCGGGTCAGCGGCCGACACGCAGGCGGTGGCAGACATCGTCAAGTACCATCTGGGCATGTACGGCGTGGTATACGACAGACAGCCAACCACGCAGACAGCTGCTGCTCTCTTCCAGGAGCTCTGCTACGACAACAAGGACGCTCTCAGGTATTCCCCCCGACATGTGTATATATATGGATAGATGGAGGCTAACGGAGCAGTGCCGGTATTATAATTGCCGGGTACGATCCACGACACGGCGGACAGGTGTATAGCATCCCGCTCGGCGGCTCTCTGCACAAGCAGCCGTATGCGATTGGCGGCTCGGGGTCGACGTACATCTACGGCTACTGCGACGCGAACTGGCGGGAAGGGATGGACGAGGCGGAGGGTGTCGAGTTCGTGAAGAACTCGCTGCGAGAGGCTATCAAATGGGACGGCAGCTCTGGCGGCGTCATCAGGATGGTCGTCTTGACGCGAAAGGGGGCGGTCAGGCATCTCTACCTGCCCGACAACGGATACACAGGGCCCGGCAGCGCTGCTCCTTGATCTCTATCGTGTTCTCTATCTCATCTTGTTCCCTCCATCTCCATCTTGATATCTTGTTCCACTTAGTATCGTGTTAGTGCAGCTAAGGACATGGATGTAAGTAAGCAAAAAGAAAGCGACCACCACTGGCGCGCCAAACGCCCACGTTCGTAGAACAAACCAGCATCTTGCAGTAACTTTCTGCTTCATCTTTTTCTTCGTATCTCTTCTTTTTCTCCTTCTAACTTGTCCCTATATAGATCCTATACCAACTTCTCTGTGGCGAACCGCCCAGCCTGCCCCACCACTTCTCTACACCTGCAACTACACCTACGCCGACATCTACATCTACACCATCGACTTCAACTTCAACTTGCTCTCCCCGCTATGTGCATGCTGACATGGGCGCCGTGGCCTGCGCTCCGTTGCAGCCGCCCATGATCGCCAGCAACAGCTCCAGGACCGTCAGCATGCTCTCCGCGGGCCTCAAGCGCGAGCTCTCGTCGCATACCGAGACCGGGACGGAGACGGAGACCAGGACGACAGCATCGTCCACAGCTACGACAGCAGCAGCATCCAATATAGATAATACCACGGCTCCGGTCGAGTCGGCGCCAGCTTCGATGAGCGCGAGCCTGCACCAGTATCAGCGCCAGCATGCATCGGCCAGCACCGCCAGCTTGCCGGCCTCGACACATCCCCATAACCACCAGAGACTGCCAGACAGACAGCGGCCGCTCCAGTCCGGCCTCAACGGACACGATATACACTCGCAATCCCAGCCTGCGTTCCGGCCGCTGGTCGGGCCCGACTCGCCGCCAGCAGCTTCAGCAGCATCAGTATCAGCATCAGCTTCAGCTTCGACTTCCACGTCTCCTCCTACTCCCACCCGTATAAAAGTCCGGGACCTCTCGCACATCCAGTCCTTTGCCAGTGAAGAAGCCCTGGCCACGCCTTCACACCGCACCGTCCCGCAGAGACAGTATGAGATCAGCTCGATGCCGGTGACGGACGTCATCGAGATGGTGGCCGGCCTGCTCACAAAGATCACCACCACAAACGACCTGCAGCACGAACATCTGCATCGCCATATCCCGCGGCCAGAGGTAGGCTCCCTGCCGCCGCAGACAACCAGCGTGCTGGCCTTTCACGGCAAAAACGTGCCCGGAATCACGATACTCAACTATCTCAGTCGCATACACAAATACTGCCCTACCACGTACGAGGTGTTTATCAGCTTACTCGTCTACTTTGACCGGATGACGGAGACGGTGAACTCGCATCTCCTGCAGCAGATGCAGCGTCGTGCTCATCTGCGTCCGAACCCCAACCCGTCCATACGCACCATGTCGACCTCCTCCTCCAACCGACCACACACCTCTTCCTCTTCGCCTTTCTTCTCACCTTCCAATCCCGGCGTTGGCGTTGGCGCCGGCGGGAGACGCTTCTCCTCCCGCAGGTCAACCGAAACGTCCGTCGCGCGGGCTGGGGCCAGCAAACTCCCGACCTCACCTACCGTCGACCTCCCCATGCGTTCTCCCTCCCTGGTCCAGGACGACCATGACGTCGAGCACGATCTCAGCGACTCGGACGACGATCTATCAGACGACTTTGACGAGCTGAACTTCTCCCATTTCCTCGTTGTAGATAGCTATAACATACACCGCCTCGTCATCGCAGGCGTTACCTGTGCTAGTAAATTCTTTTCCGATGTCTTCTACACTAATTCCAGATACGCAAAGGTACGTCCTTACTCTATATATACATGTTTATACTAACATCATCAGGTCGGCGGCCTCCCACTTATCGAACTAAATCACCTCGAGCTCCAATTCCTGCTACTAAACGACTTCCGCCTTGCAGTTCCCGTCGAAGAACTAGACGCTTACGGCACGATGCTAGTGCAGTTCTATGCACGAGAAATAGTTGCCCAGCAGCGAGTGCAGGCCGGCCAGCAGCCCAGCGTGCCTCAGCCAGGTTTCAACGCCACGGCCGCCGGCGTCATGCAGAGCCAGCCCGACCCCTAGCGATCCTCAGAATTCACCTCCGCCATAAACACGCCCACGATGAAGCCAGATGACGGGAGGTATCAGCAGTGGTGCAGGAGTTGTACATGCTTTGCGTCGTAACTTTCTTTGCCTTATATACTGAGATATCGATATCGCTGTTTGTGTTTGCCTTTTGCTACGGATTTGTATGTATTGATGTCTGGATGGACGGGATGGACGGACGGATGATGCCCTGTTTCTGTTTTCTCTTGCCGCTGGCTTTCTTTTTGAATCTATTAGATCCCCGAATCGTCTGATAATGTCTATTCCATGCATTTTGCTAGCTCATGCATGATCCTGCCGCTCGTATCAGCCATCCATCTCGATGATCAGCTCACAGCTCCCACAGCAAGCTCCCCCCAGCCTGCCCGTCTCGTCCTCGTATCTCTGTCCCATGTCCCTTGCTGTCCTACTTTCTATCTGTCTACTCCCTGCTGCCCCTGACCCCTTGGCCCCGTAGTTTTCCATGTGAGCCGCCGACTTACGTAAGCCGCGCGTTTCCATCATGCTTTCTCCCTTTGCTTTCTCCTTCTGCCTTCTTTGCGCCCGTCGAGCTTCGCTTTCTTCTTCCCTCGCATATTTGCTTCTCCCGCATACACGACGCCTGAGCGCTGGCTGATATTCGCTGTTCGACCTCGCTGAACCCTCGGTGGCGCCGCTCTATCAGACGTATCATCTTTTTTACGACTTCTTCCCCCGCGTTTTTGGGCGGCCAGCGGACGGCACGACGGCCTCAACGAGACGAGACGGTGCAGTGCTATTGGAGAGATTGGCAGACGGCAGAGAAGAGCAGTGAAGAGAGTGTCTAGGGTACCCTTTCGTCGACCGACTACGTCCATTGGATATTGAAACCGCTCGTTAATAGGCGCCCGCGGTTGAGATGGCGGACGCACCTCCTCCTCAGCCGCCGTCCGGATGGAACTTTGCTGCCATGGCCGGCAATGTCGTGCAGTTCCTGAGGCTGCCGGTGCTGGCATCTGGGGGTCTGGCGGTTCTTGCCAGTGGCATGCTATATTTTAAACAAAAGTAGGGCTCCTTAGGCTACCACATGATAATATGTATCGACTAACGACGATGGTCACAGTGAACTTATTTACCCGCGAAACATCCCCGTGGATGCTCGAACAAACGTTCCAAAGCCGTCGGACTTTGGAATGGCCGATTTCGAAGACCTACGCATCCCAACGCCAGACGGCGAAGTGTTGTCCGCGTACTTCATTCGCCCTTCTAATAAGAAGATCAAGCCAAAGGTCACGATTCTCATGTTCCACGGAAATGCGGGGAATATCGGCCACCGCGTACCTATCGCCCATATGATGGAGCAGGAGCTTAATTGCAACGTCTTCATGCTAGAATATAGAGGCTATGGGTTTTCTACCGGCACACCAGACGAGCAAGGACTGAAGATAGACGCTCAGACTGGGCTGGATTATATCAGGCAGCGGGCAGAGCTGCAGGGTACCAAGATAGTCATTCACGGGCAGAGTCTGGGTGGAGCCGTCGCTATCGACCTTGTCGCGAAGAACCAGAAAGAGGGAGATATCAAGGCTTTGCTGTTGGAGAACACCTTTCTCAGCATTCGAAAGTTGATACCGAGGTATGCTCATCGTAGCCACCACTCATTTTCTGTCATGTTGCTAATACCGTCTAGTATCTTCCCAGCCGCGAAATACGTCACTAGACTATGCCACCAGAACTGGCTGAGCGATGAGATGTTACCCAAGATCACTACCGTTCCCATATTATTCTTAAGTGGCCTGAAAGATGAGATCATTCCGTAAGTTCATACTTCGATTATTTTATATAATATATTCTAACACACTGTTCAGGCCCGATCACATGGTAAGGTTATACAAGCTGGCCAAATCGACTGATTGTGTCTGGAGGACTTTCCCTAATGGCCAGCATAACGATACCGTCGCCGAACCAGGATATTTCGAATATATCCACGCCTTCATCGTCGAGGAGGTGCTGGATTGATTGGTAACTTAGAACGCTTCTCAACACGCCTCCGTGTTGTATTCGGGTGGGATTGCATTTCTGTTTGTCATCGTTTTTCCTTTGTTTGCATGGTTTCCAATCTTATAGGGGGTTTTGTTTCTTGTTGGTGCACTTGGTTTTGATTCTGGACGTACTTATTCCGTTACATGTTTGGCTACTGGGTTCCATGTTCGCGCACCATTGACACGATACCCGGGCTACAGCCCATTGCATGGTTGGCTTATGGCTTATGCTACCCCTCACACCCTTCACCCATAATTACTTAAGTGAAGGAGAGATATACTACATTTAATAATAGCGACATTAGGTTATTCATCCCCCGCTCGTAGACTTGTCTAGTTCTATATTGTTACATCATTCTATATTGTACACACTGCAGTCTACCCGCGAATGCCAAATCTAGACCCTTTGAACTTCATCGATGAGCTCCTGCACCTTGAATCCCTCGGTATCACCCTTGGTGAACATCCTCAACATCTCCCCTTTCCTTCCACCCTCGCTACCAGCCCCCTCAGCACCCCAGTCGTAAAACCTCTGCAGCCATAATACTAGCAGCTGCGCATCGTCCGTCGTCATACCCCGATCCGTAACCACAGTGCCATTCATTAACACGATTCCCTTCTCATCGGCAAAGTCTAGATGGTGCGTTATCACAGTATGCGGCGGCGCATAGCCCACGTGCAACTTATACTCTGCCAACGACGTAAATATCACCGTCGAGGTATGCGTGTTATGTGTGTTCAGAGGCGTCGGCACTGAAGCAGGGCTCGCCGACGCAGGAGGATGGAACCCCCATTGAAGAAAGTGCATTTCTGCCCCTATAGCCTTCTCAGCTGGTTTTTCTGATTCAGGCGTTGGATCCGTCGGTGTCTCTAGCTCGCGGGGAAGAGGGAGGATGAATTGCGGATTCTGTCGAGCAACTTTTATCATGCGGTTATACGTTTCGATGGGGATGCAGGCGCATATCGAGTTCGCATTGGTAACGTGTCGGGCACGCCATATTTTGCCAATCATATCTGGTGAAAGCGTACGGGTCTTCTCGATGTCTAGATATGATGATAGCGGCTTTATGCCGGGTGCAGACGATGAAGGTGTCTTTGCGGTAGGTGCTGGCGCTTTCTTATCCAGTCCGGCTGGTTCAGATGAGGCTGTCGATGGTTTCAGGGGTGTTTGAATGGGTGAGTCGGCCTTGCGCACTTCCTGGATCTTCTCTTTATATGCTTCCTTGAGCGAGGATACGGACTCATGGCCCTCCCTGGGAGTTCCTCAGTTAGCAACGTACTCCGAATACGTATAGAATTGAGGATGGAATCGAATCTGATACTCACTCTTTGGCCTTGCGAGCTAACTTCTCCTTGTATTTTTCAATGACCTGAGAGGATTGATGGGTTGCCACGAACCGCACATCGTGAACCTGAGCCCATCGTCGCTGGACGTGCCTGGTAGACAGAACAGGACGGCTAAGGAGGTTTCTGATGACTGGTGCACGAATTGAAGCCATTCCGGGTCCGTTTGCTGTGTCTCCTAGCTTGTTGTTCCTTGTATACGCAGATTGTGTTTCTTGACCCGAAGAAGTTCGCCGTTTGGTCGGATTTAACTCGTCCCCGCCAAGACATCTCTAATTTATAACTTTGTTCAAACAGCATGGTTAAGCGTCACTACCAGTTCAACGGTCAAATCAAGGAGTGCAGAGAGGTTGTCAGGCTCACGGAGACTACTACGCAAATTACATTGCACATGTCTTCGTCATTAGAAACCAAGACAGCAGGATGATGTTTCTCCACTGGCTGTCCCCTAATCTATATAAGGGGTTGGTATCTCGTCTTGCACCCTCCACTTCTGCTTCTGCTCTATCTTGACTTCAGATGCTGAAGTTCAAACAAAGTTTGCAACATTAACCAATTTCATGAGTCTTGTTACTCTGGGGCCTGAGACCCAAAAAGTAAGGAGGGATCTCAATGAAGCTACATGTGGTGAGTAAAGAGTTCTCCAAACAAATAAAAATTGCTACATGATAAACTGACTCAAACCAGACTCGATTTCTCAAGATCTGGGTAAACTAGTTTTAGCGAAGCTTTGCGGGCTCAAGGAGAGGGGGTTCTTGCAAAAAACATTTGATAAGTACTGTATCGAGGGCCCGTCTCAATAGAAATGTAAGTTTTCCGTCTCTGATGAAGTAGCTCCTTATACTGATAAGATCTTAGACTGGGACGAGAAAAGCTTTCAAAGGCACATTAGAATCACTCATTCTAAAGATATAATCTCTGATACCGCACTCCAACTTCTCTGGAGATGTTTTCATTTCTATGCACATCATCCTTTTCCTCGAGATCCCCAGAATGGGCAGGTTGATTTTGATGGCTTCCAGCGCGCGGCCTTGCTCATAGTTTACCAATGTGACGACCTCCTCAGCACTCGGGAACTTGAATATCACTGGCGTAACGATTCAGAATTCTTCCAAAAAGCCAGTTTTGAGCGGGCCTTTAGGAGTATTGGGGTCATTGCGAGTCAGACGAAGCAACAGAATACTATTGCTTCTACTATAAGCGATGCCATGGACGTTTTGATAATGGTTATTCCACAATTTATGCACACAACTCCATCACCGGAGTATCTTGAGGATGTGGCGCGAAGGCTGGTCGCTGGGGAACCTACAGTTACCCAAGGAGAAGTAAGGCGGGAAGATATATCAATCTTAATAGATTTGCTGCTGCGAATGAGACTAGAAGAAGAGAAATGGGGCTCATTTTACCACCTCGGCGATTTGGCAGAAGCCAGCCCAGAAGAACAAGAGTTAGTCGAGGCGTTGACCCATAGTCTGGTAGGAGGCAAAGGTGAGCAGCCTCTTATGTCTGACTTTGTCCACAGGATGAATGTAGTAGTAAGTTCTCGATTTGCCTTCCAGGCGTTCAGCTTTTACTAAAAATCCTTCATAGCCTTATCTCCAGTTACGGTTCTATCAGTTATGGACCATCTTGTTCCTGTCCACTGATATGACAACACCATCACGGGTGCCTGACGTCCCTCCAAATTATATCTATGGAGCCATTTCTCTCTTCGCACCCCAACTGGAAATTGAACATCGTTATCACTCAAGGACTATCAAGCAAGATACCCGACTTATGCTAGAGGAGATAGAAGGCTCATTAGACTCGAACGATATCGCTATATCTCGTCTAACCCAGTCTCTCTCCTGCGATTATCTGCGTATATTTTCCTTCTTAGTGGCGATGCAGTCGTGACTCCAAGGACCATCATAGGCGCTTATTTCCCTCGTCCCTCAAGCATAATTACTACTAAATTAAAATTTGAATATGGTAAGGCTCGACACACTACATGTCTACTTTTTCAACTCCAGCCCAACTTCCGACTCCTGCGTTCAGGGAAACCTGATATGTCACTAACCGACTTGATCAAGATAGAAGGTCAGCTGTCGCTCGAAGATGAAGCCTTCGGACCATTTAATGGACCTTATTGGATTGGAGATGAAGCAGGCCAAGGGGGTCTTGGGGTAAACCTGGAGAAGAAAATAGCGACGCTCAGGAGCGGCGAAAACAACGGGTCAGACTCAAGCTGGGAGGTTGCGGTCCAGAATCCTAGGATGGATATATTTACAGTGAACAGCGTGAAAAAGAAGCCACAAAATGAGAGCACCGTGACGGTTGAGAACAGCCCTAAGTGCAAGCCATATCCGCCAGCTGAAAATCTCACGATCGACGTGAACGAGCTCAAGAAGAGGATCCAAGGATTTGGCCCCCGTTAAAAATGCCCGTCCCTGTGCCCTTTCAACTTTTGGCCCAAAAGTCTTGACCAACCGCCACAGCCAACCAAGACCAGGGCTAGGGATAAACCTTGACGTATACTTTCGTGGGGTAAAACGAATATATATAACTGTATGGAAGACACTCTTTATTGCAGCATTGCAACGTTAAGAGAACAAAAGATAGGAGACATGCCTAACCATCTACCCTCTATTGCATGCATTATTTAGACAATTACTGGCCATTATTTGGGTTTCAGCTCATGCAACACCATGGTCCGATATTCCCCCCATACCTTGAAGCCAGCACGCTCATACCAGTTGACATGGTTGGACCAGTCAATAAACACATGCTCCATTCCTCGTCTCTTCAGATCAAGTGCGGCATGAGTGATCAACGCCAGGCCTACCCCTTTATTCCTTGCCTCAGGGGCAACACCCACGCAGCCAATTTGGCCAGACTTCATACCCACAAGAGGCTGCAAGGCAAGTTCCCGAGTCATCCCTATACCTAGTTCCTGCATCAATGTCCATCCAATCTGTTCCCCGGTCGACGAATCCACAGCTACCATGACTTGGCTGTGGCGGTCCGTTTGCGCGAGATGCTCATAGGCGCCGATCCATACGCTGTCCTTGCCGAACAATTCATGCTGCCTTCGCATGCATTCCTCGTATTGATCCTTTTTCCAGGGCGCGAAGGTGATTCCTAACTTTTCTGCGCGCTCAAGAACTCCATTCTGCGCCTCGTATACGCTAAGGTCAGCGGTATAGTCCCTTGACGATGGGCCAGGGGCAGGACAATATCCGCGGTGTATGAAAAAAGCCTGTGCTTGTTTGGATATATCCATTGGGACGCCTGGCCAGAACCGAGGGAAGCTGGAACCAATTGTTACTGATGACGCCGGATAATTTTCTCGGAGGTACTGCCGGGAATGTTCGAGTAGAGCTGTTCCAACGCCTTTACCATGATGGGCAGTGTCGACTAGGAGAACAGAAATAAATGTCGTTGGCCGATCCTCGTTCGCATAGGTGGCCACAAACCCTACAACTCTGTCTTCGAAGCATGAAATAAAGTGATTACCGTTAGGACGCGTTAAAACATGGGAAAGGGTTTTGGATGGTATAGCGTATCGTGGCAGAAGATTATGCCAGAGATCAATTACACTAGACAGATGGCTGTCTGGATTGAAGGGCTGAATCGGTATCTTCGGCCGTTGGGTGGAGACAGGCAACTTGCCCACCGGCTTAATGTGTCCGAAAATTATCTCGATAGCGGGTAAAAATGCCTCAGGAGTTGGCTCATATATGGTAAGATAGGTCTTGATAAGAGTTGTGTCGTTTAGTAAGTCATAAGGTCCGCATATGGCGATTGCAATAGTCTTGCTAGACAAACCTGCAACTGTTCTAGCTAACTTCTCCTGAAATTTCGATAATTTTGCATTTTTCGTGACGAGAATGACTGCATCGGCTTGAGAGATCTTTGCTTTTGCTTCCTCATCATCTTCAAGTGCAGCACCTTCGTGAACTGAACATTCAACCACGCTTTTATGGTGCTCCTTAATCATTTCTGCAAATTTCAGCGGTATATATGGAACCACTGGGAGAGCATCGTTACCCTTTCCTGCCACTACCGGGTACACATATACCACACTCTGCTCCGACGTTAAAGGTAGAGCGTTCTGAGAATCTCTCACCAAAGTCGCGCTTCGTGCGTAGATTCTGGCTGCTAGTTTTTCATGAGAGTGGCGGAGTTCTGCAAGCAGTTCGGGCTTACGCTTGGTGAAAACAGATTCCCAACTGATAAACGCGTCTTTCAGCCTTGATACTCTCATAACCGACTCGGAGACACGGTTAGACGTAATAATGCCACTGTTCAACGCTTTATACACTTCATTATAGGCTCCAATCTGTGCCTTTATAGTATGGCAAACCATCGCACAATCGACTCCGGCAGCAATTGCCATCACGGCACCTTTCTCAGTGCCGTAATGTGCGCGAATAGCATCCATCTCTAGACAGTCGGATACTAATAAACCGTCGTACTGGAGCTTATTTCGAAGAACATCCACGCATCTTTTACTTATGGTCATGGGCAGATTAGATTCTTCAAGCGCAGGGAGCACGATGTGAGATGTCATAACGGCTTCAACTTGCTCGGCTGCTGCTCTCCGGAACGGGATAAGCTCACAGGCCTCCAGCTCTTCGCGGGACTTGTTGACGACGGGAAGGCCATAATGAGAATCAACCTTGGTATCCCCGTGTCCTGGAAAATGTTTCACACATGGGACGACTCCTTTCTCACGCAATCCTTGTGCAAATGCGGAGGAAATCTGCCCCACGCTTATCCCATTGTCTCCTGGAGAACGCACTCCAATAACCGGGTTGGATGGTTCAGAATTAACATCGCAGACAGGGGCGTAATTCATGTTAATACCGAGAGCATCCAATAATTCACCAGTGGCTCTAGAAACTTGAGTAGTGTCTTCAGTAGATCCAGATGCCCCTAATGCCATAGGGCCAGGAAGCTGAGCGGCGACTGGAGCCCTGATTTGAGTGACCCAGCCATTTTCCTGGTCAATCGCGATGAAAAGGGGCCGGGAATGGCCTGCATCCCGAGCAGTCTGCTGGAGCTCATTTGTAAGGGCAATTAACTGTTCAGCGTCACCCACATTGCGCTGAAAGAGAATAACGTTTCCAACATAAAAGGGAGCTCGAATGAGAGACTTTATATCCTCATTCACGGTCAAACCGTCGAACCCAACGATGAAGAGCTGCAGCCGTGGAGTCAGCAAATTAACTGTATTAATAACCGTTTAGCGGTAGGAGACTATACCTGACCCAGTTCCCGTCGAACGACCTCTTCGCTCATGGTGTCGGGAATCACTCAGGGTCTACCTAGTGATGACTGGAAAGTTGTTAGGAAGAATGGAAGTGCAGGAAGTAGTGATGTTATTTATCTACTTAGCCCGTACGTAACTACCCCACCAAGTAACATAGCCGTTCGGCTAACTAAATATACGAGAAGGAAATCCTGCTTTTGAATATACGTGATGCCGCCAGTCTTGACTATTCCGGTTAATTCTATCGCTTTTCTATTCTCCTATCCTGTCCCTGGTTCTTTAGACTGTATCAAACTTGGCTCAAACATAGCACGGAGGGGTGCCGGAGTTTTGCTTCACGATACACTCCGTACCCATAAAATTCTCAGCCATGTTATAGATGTGCGGGATAAACCCCCGAAAGCCTCCAGTTTCAGATCTGCTATGATGCTGTAACATGTCGCATTCTCTGTGCCTCAGGAAACCTCTCATCTATCATCAACGAGTCGACGCTCAAATGTCCGCCAAGCAAGAGATCTAGCCGTGGGATCCAACTCCCTGGTGTAGTTGGGATCTATACTACGCATTATAAACCGTCTGGACACCATGTAGCCTTATAGTATACGTTCAATAAGCAATAATAGGGTGGTATTACTTAGTGACTGGCTGAAATAACAAGTTTAGATTGGCGTGTACATGGAAATTTCTGCTAAGACTAGTACAGACAGCCTGGGAAGGGGAAAGGAAGATTTAAGCTGAACGAGGAAATTGAAAGAAACACCCATTAACTCTGTAACGGCCGTAACACATCAAGGCCGCGGAGGAGATGAATTAACTCTCCGTCAATATCCCAATACCAAACTCGCTTCAAGATAGTGTCTTGACCTAGTCCGAAATTCGCAGTTGTCGGCCATTAACGCTGTTACATTCTATAAGACAGTTAGGGAAGAATCATTAACGTTAAGTGGAGCGGAAGAATACCTTTTGACAGGAGTAAATCCAAGAAGACGCATCCCATTCTCCAGTACCTGGCGAGCTGCTTCATATAAAGCTAAGCGGGCAACCATAACTTCACGATTTTCAGCACCGATAACCTTAATTACATCATATCCAGACGAAATTTGGTGCGCAAGTCGGAATAGATATGTTAGGATGGTTGTAGGCTCCAGGGTTTTTAAGGCGTTGCTTGTAACCTCGGGATACTGAGCTATGAGCCGAATAATATTAATAGCATGGGGTTCCTTTAATAAAGAAAAGTCTGCTGCAGCGATATCCTGAGGATTGATATCCGCCTTTCGGACGATAGAACAGAGTCTCGCATGTGCATACTGGAGGTAGGGACCGGTGTCACCTTCGAAGGATGTCATCTTGGCCATGTCGAATGGATAGTTGCGGATCCTCTTCCCAGCCATATCCTGGACCATAACTGCGGTTATCCCCACAACGTCTGCGATCTCGGCGGGATTTTCGATCTGATCGTATTTGGCAGGGTTCTTGCGCATGACATCGTGCATAGAAGCACCACAGTCGTCAAGGATATCACCCAGTAGCTTCACAGTCCCAAGTCGCGATGACATCCCCATAACTTTTCCGAAATTGACATGTTCGAGTTTTGACGAGATCTCGGGGTATCCCATGAGCTCAATGGTTTTGAAAAGGCGCTGGAAGTATAGATCCTGCTCGGTGGAGACGACATAGATCATTTTGTCAAAGTTATGTTTCTCCACTCTCTCCAGGACGGCTGCAATGTCACGGAGTAGATAGGTCGTTGTTCCGGTTCGCGTTCTCACGACAGATATACCTAGATTAGGTGCCCCGTGCTTCTTAAAATCAATGATCCAAGTGCCATTATCCTCTGTATAGATATTTCTCTCTTTGAGAAGCGCCTCAACCTGACCAACGGTCTGCGACTTTACAGTAGATTCGCCGGAATATTCATCGAATTCAATGTTCAGGCGTGCGTATGTCGAGACATAGCGCTCTATACTGACTTCCCTGAAGCGTTTCCATAATGCAATCGCGTCTGGATCACCGTCTTCCATTTTCTGAAAGAATGCGTTTCTTTCTGCAAATATTCCCTGACTCTCAATTTGGGACGTATCCTCGCCATTGTCTCGAGCCCTTTGGCTAGCATCTTTTTCTGGGGCAAACAAAGAATTTATCTTTGCGTATACCTCGAGAAGATGCTTCAAAGGCTCCTTTGCAAATTGTTCCTCGGATCCAAATCTCTGCCAACCAACCGCGAGGAGGCCAAACTGTTTCCCCCAGTCGCCCAAGTAGTTTATTCTAACTACATCCCAGCCCATGGTTTCATACAAATTGGAAATGTAGGCGCCAATAATCGTGCTTCGAAGATGGCCGGCATGGAATTCCTTGGCAATATTTGGGGATGAAAACTCGATGATGGCCTTTTTCTTGCCTGAATTCTCGTCTTTCGTATCTTTCAGGCCTGGAAGCTGGTTTGTTCCATAGGAGGCCCGGCGATCAAAGATAAAGGGCAAGACCAAGGCAGGCAGTGTAGCTGGAGAGAAGCAAATCGGGATAAATATCCCATTAGCAGCCGGCTGGCTCAGAAGTGGTGTTGGCGGAAACTAGCCAGCAGCCATATTAGCTAGAGTCTTCCTCTTACAGGTTTGCATAATCGACCGTAGACATACCTTTGAGACAAGATCCTGCGCCAATTGGTTTGGGTTGGTGCCTTTTATCTTTAGACGGGCGGTTACAAGCATAAGGTCAGCATTCGTTGCTGCGCTGGCCCATTGTACCGCGTCGTATGCAACCTCCTCGTTGCATCCCGTTAATTTGTGAATAGTATTGGCTACATAGGAACGGTATATATCAATTGGGCTGGAAACAACATTGGCGCGGGTGAATCGCGGTACTGGGGTTTGAACACCGAGTGCTTGGAGGAGGGACTCCAGGCCTTGAAGGGATAGTGAGCTCATGTTCATATATCAATATCTCTGCTCAGGAAGATGAAGTTGGTTGTTTTTCGCTGTGAGAATGTGGCGGTTGCAGGCGAGCTTTGTACTCTCCCCTGAGTCATCGAGCAGGCGCGATGAATCACCCCAGACAATCTCACGTGGCGGCGCATCTCTTCTATTTCTCGCAGTCCCTTGTCTTCTGCTTCTTATCGGAGGCATCTCTCCCTGTTTCTCGGTGGAATGGTATTCTCTTCTCTCAAAGTCCTCCTGTATGTAGAATATATCGAGGTCGTTGGATCAGAGTGCGGGAAGCTAAATTTAACCTTTTTAACGTTTATTATCTTTGATAGATTTTCGTTATGTAGTCGAAACTCTCCCACCCCACCATCTAGTTTGACAGGTAGCTCGACGACCTGCCACACCTCTTCACCTTTATATAACAGTCCCGATGTCTGAATATACGTTCAAACTTAATACCGGACAGGATATTCCTGGCCTCGGCTTTGGGACGTTTGACCCCAAACACCCAGAAAAAGCGTACGATGCCACCCTCCATGCGCTCCGTGTTGGGTACAGACATCTCGACTGTGCTGCTCTATACATAAACGAGGAACTAGTCGGCAATGCCATTCATGACTTCCTTCAATCCCGTCCGGATGTCCATCGCAAAGACCTTTTCATCACCACCAAGGCATGGAACCATATGCATGAGCCTGAAGATGTAGAGAAGAGCATAAAGGAGTGCCTCAGGAAGCTAAGGCTTGATTATGTTGACCTTTTCCTTCTGCACTACCCGATTGCTACGGAGAAGGATGAAAATGGAGAGCAGGCGATGGGTGCCGACGGCAAGGTGCGTGATTAGTTCCCGTTCCGCTATACATAGGTTATTTGGCACTTACAAATAAACGATCAGTATATCGTCAAGAGAGACTTGACGGAACGACCAGAGCCAACTTGGCGTGCGATGGAAAAAGTTGCAAAGGCCGGTCTTACTCGAGCTATCGGGGTTTCTAATTGGTCTCTATCTCGACTCCGATCACTGCTGCGACTGGCATTAATACCACCAGCAGTCAACCAAATTGAGATCCACCCGTTTTTCCCGAATAGCAAGCTTGTTCAATACTGCTTCGATCATGGTGTTCTTCCCGTGGCATATTCACCTCTTGGATCCCAAGTTCTTACATGCGGGGAAGGAGAAAAGGCCCGTGGAAGCCAGGTGCTTCGGGACATGGCAAGGAAGAAAGAATGTGATATTGGACAGCTCTTAATCGCCTGGGGTTTACGACGAGGCTATCCGGTACTCCCCAAATCTTTTACTCCGTCACGAATTACGAGCAATTTTCAGCCCATCAAACTTACGTCGGAGGAATTTGAGGCTGTTGGCAACGCTGCGGGTAAAAACTACCCTCGATTTGTTGACCTTAGCGTTGAGTATTCATACGATAACTTCTGGGCCGATGAAGAGGATAAATAGACTTACGGCTGTTGAAAATAAGCAACTAATGATTATTAGACTATTTAAATAGAGGAATCCGATTGACTTGGATATTGAGATATTCGAGCTTTAGAATGTTGTATTCGGCTTCTCGCCATTGTGGAGAAGTCAATACATAAACACTATATATATCGTAATGATAATCCAAATGTAATGACAGTCTATACTGGTTGTCCCAATGGCATTTGGTAACTCGAACACTTTATCTGTACGGAAGTAAATGCATGAACTTATCCTTTACTGCAATCTGAAGATTGGGTATTGGTCACCAGTGCTGAGCGGTATGATTCCGAACGAAGCAAAGGAATCCATATACTCGGGCTAAGATTGTAACAACAGTTAGCTGTGAGTAACATAGACGACATTCAGGGAGATATGGGCTAATTACCTCCAATGCAACAAAAGCGAGGGCTGCGTTTTTCTGATTTGTCTTTAGCAGATAGCTGCCTCGAGGAAGATTAACGTCCTGCTCAACCATCGTTGTCTTCACCGTTGATATAACGGCCCCCTCATAGTATTCAGTGTCAAAAGTAACTGATGTAACATTCAATGCCTGTACGCGTCCCTTGTAAGCGAATGGCAATTTGTCAACCTTGAGACCAAACACCTCTAGGCGCTCGACGACATCTGGCCATGATGAAGGGATCACATAGGCTCGTGGACGGCTGCGAGTCATGACCGGGGTAGATGGTGAAGTTCTTGATGTAACAGTGGTTTAGTTCTAGGACCAAAGTTGGGACAGTATAAATAGGGCAGACTTACGAGGCAAAATCAACGGGATAGTCGAGTAGAGAGCCGTCGGTTACGTTGATCATACCGAATGTCTTCTGAATAATAGGAGATTTGTCAGTGATGACAATATCGCCCTTGCTGTGGATGAAGCGCTTGATGCCCTTTTCCATAGTATTGAAGACCTCGTCGAAATTATCGACGGCGGTTTGAATGATGCTTTTAGCCATTGTCAATCCACTAAGAGTTCTGCGCTCGAAATGCTGATCGGCACCACCGATTCCTCTGGTTTCGCAGAGGAAGACAACACACTGCGTCAAGGCCATAGCATTTCTGCCAATCTTAGCATCTGTACCGGCCTCTAGAAACAGTAACTTTGAGCTAGGTGAGTCTCCCTGGGTGACATATGGATCCCACCGTAGCCCGGCGGCCTCAATATCTTTCCCCATACGCTTGGCAAATAGCTTCTCCGACATTTGACGAATGCCTTCATCAACGTTGAGATTCTTTCCCGCGCTGAATAGTGCATCGGCAGCATACGCCACATCTTTGTTCGGGCCGAAGGTTCTGCCTGCAGTGAACTCATGCATGTCTGTCGCGATATGTGGGCTGAACTTGCTAAACATTTCCTTGATATCTCTAGTTTGTCGCCGGGCAAGTTTGACGTGGTCACGGTTTGGATCAAAGTTGGTGGCCAGGTAGCGCTGGAAGTAAAAGACGCCATCAGGATTGTAGCGAGGCAGGACCAGGATATCCATTTTATCCAGGACACTGGCGGTCCACTTTTGGTTTGCGGCCATCTCTCCGAGGAGCGCAAGCATGGACTGGTCGCCAGCCGGTTCGTTCCCATGGACACCTCCCTGGAGCCAGACTCGCAACTTGTTGCGGCTTCCTGGGTTCGTGAGGGACGAGTTGCTCCCAGATAGGTATACATAGGGGAACTTTCGGCCTTCTTCAGAGGTGAAGTCGGCCTGATGGTAGGTCATCCAGCTATTTGACCTTGCCAGGCCACGGAGGAACCTATCTATGAGGACTCAGCTAAACAGTTCAACTTGGGGGAAGAAAGCACAAAAGAAAAAAAAAAAAGCAAAACCTACCCATGGTGTCATCACTAGTTGGCCCAGACTTGCCAATTGAGAAGTCCTTTGGCACAGAGCTAGGAGACTTAAAGGCAGGAGACAGCAATTTCGTGCCATTTATCGCAGGAAATGCTGCTTCGAGCGCACCCGAGTCCTTATGCACGGCGACCTGGTTGTAGCCATACTGAAGGGCGTTCGCACAGTGGGAGGCCAAGCCCAGGGAGACGAGAGTCAAGATGCTGTAGGCCACCATGATTGAGGATTGCGATTCTCCCGAGCTGCGCTTCCTTCGATAACGGTGTCTATCGTAGAGGCCAACCCGCACGCCGAGGGGGGAATCTCGAGTTTTATAGGCCGCCCAGCCCAGCAAGCCCGAGGTGTCATTCCTAATTTCTGGGCACTTTCTGTAAATTTTGGTCTTCAGGGCGCCATGGAAATCTATATCAAGCCCCTGGCCCTGCGCGGTGGCTGTGATTGGGCGTTTAGGGGGCATCTCCGGTCGGAGTTTTTACTCCGCAGAACTTGCATCGAGATAGCCGGTTACTAAGCATGATGATCCGACTTGTTCCTGCATGGTTGAATAGAGGAGAAACTGTGGGAGATGTTCTCTTGTTGCGGCGTATACAGACTTCGACGTGGTAGATTGGGGCTATATAGTGCCTTAGTCCATACACTTAACCGATTATATTTTACCAACATACTGACCGACTATTCTGGATAATGGAACTATATCAGTATCCCAGCTTAGATACAGGGTATCGAGAAGAACGAAAGCTACAATATGCGCTATTCACTCACCATGCAGTCAAACCCTTTGCTAACACATCGTTATAGAGCAGTTCTTAGAGCACAGATATAGGGTTACGGACCGGTTGAACTGGCCTATGGTCTGCTCGGATACCTCACTAGGTAATTATTGTTGACCTATGTCATCGTGTCAAACTTTGCAAGCTGTTAATATCAGGGATACGGTATATTGAACTGTCAGGCATTAACTCCGCACGCCTTTGGGATTGTGGGGATGCATCGTTCTGGCAGGCCAACGGACATGGGGCACGAGGATGTCTTCGCTTGATAACTTTTTATCCCTTGCCTGTCTGTTCCCCGGAGTTAGGGCCCATGCCCTTGCCATTGACTTGCCGGCCTGCGGGATTTATGCGTTAAGAAGGTGGCAATGGCCCATGTAAAGATATAATAATAGTATTTCTGGGGTTGGATTCAATGTGCGTTCGACCCATGTAGCTAACCGCATATTAAGAGAGGCAAATGTGCTTTCGGCCATTGGAAAGAGGCAGGCCTTAAGTCCCACAGAACAGCAGTTTAAGTAACGCTCCGCTCGCCGTCACGAGATAGCATTCCCACTAGTGATTAGTTTCTATCATTTATTGGCTATAGTGATAATTATTGCTATAAATTATCATGGATTATGTAGTTGTGTGCGCCTTTCCGTTGACTAGCCTGCCAAGGAGATATATCACGTCTGCAAAATGGAAATACCAAATTTTTATGAGAAAAAATAAAGACATAGAATTCATTGCATTTCCTAAACTATACACTGGTGAAGCGAGGGCCTCCCAGAAGCCTCAAGCAACCTTTCGTTACATTCCTTTACTTACACTCTTGTGGAACTTCGGTGCTGCCAGTACGTGTCTTTCCGAACTTGGCACCAGTGCCCAATCCGCGCTTGGCGAATGCCTTCCAGATTTCACACTTGTTCGATCCCTTGGTGAGGTTCTTGTCGGCGGTAAGGATAGCGTCACGGGCCTGGACGAAGTTTGGGTTGCAGGGTTGGCTAAAATTAACAGGTCAGCCACATGAAACACGAAGAAGGCAAATAGGGGGTAGAAGGGGGCTCAACATACATGGCCATGCCGTCCATGACAATCTTCATTGCAAGGTACTTGCCGTCATTTGGAACACCGTTCTCGAACACTGGGGTTGGGCCATCATTCTTGCCGTGCTTGTCGATCAAGTTCCATAGCATTTCATAGAGCATAGTGGCCCAGACGGTTCCGATAGCATGGACTTCGTTCAATTTGTTGTTTGAGGTGTAAACGAGGGGATTGACGTTCATATCGGTGGAGTAAGGGTATTGTCGAACACCCTTGGGGCTGTTGTTAACCCATTCACCCTTGACGTAGTTGGTCTTGCGGGTGTCGGCGGGCTTTAGGCGGACAGCAGTGGCGTAGAAGTCACCCCAACCTTCTCCCATACCGCCAGATTCCATAGCGTTCAAGCAGCGTGAGTTGGCGGGTCCACCACAGAGACGGTTGGAAACTAGAGTAAATTTAGCTTGTAAGAACAGAGAGTAGAAGCAGCCAGTTAAAATACTTACGGCCGTGAGTGTATTCGTGGACGATGGTACCTGCCTCGAAGGAGGCATCGCGAGGTGGGTTAGCCCTGGTCCAGATGTATGCACGCATGCGGCCGGGCTGGCCATCAGGGGGAGTAGCGAAGTTGGCGTTGTTGGTGCCAGAGCCATCCTGGGCGTTCAAAATGACAAAGTCACCTCCCTTACCACCTTGGCCGTGGTTGTTGGTCTGGAAGTTTCCTGCCTTCTCGGTGAATCCGAGCATGTAGTATAGGTCGTGGCAAACATTGGATGTGTAGAAGAGCTGGGTGACAGATGCATCGATATAAGTCTTAGGGGGGTTCATGCTTGGAGAGTATGGGTATTCAAATTTGAGGTTCTTGGCATTTGGTCGGTAGTTGTTTTCATACTCGTTGCCTCCATCGGGGTTGTACTGGGCAATTGCGTTGTTGCCTCGGGTTGCGGTGTAGTTGTTCTGTCCGTCAGCAATCCAGGTGAATGGGGATGTCTTGAGGTTCCATGGGTTTGTGAGGGTTTCGCGGTTGCCTTCGGTAGGGTCAGCAAGGCCCCATTTGCTGTTCATGGAAGTTAGCCTCGATCAATCATCTTTGGATAAATGAAATATGCAGGTGAGATGGGGCGAGGGGGGGGGGTATATACTAGACTTGGTAGGTTGCGTGAGAAACGTAGTCAACAACGTTGTGAACTTTGCTAGTGTCCTTTGCATCCATGTAGGATAGGAGCCAGTTGTCGCCCATATCAGTTTCAACTCTCCAGGTCAAGGCCAAAGATCCATCTTCTTTAGCCATGTAGCAAAGTTTGGCGGTAGGGTCGGAAAGTGCTCCAGAGGTTCCCTTGAACATGACTTTGTGCTCACTCATATTCTCAACAGAGGCCTTGTCAGCCTTGATTGGGAGGTTGAGGGCCTTGCGGACTCCGTGAAGGGCCTGCATAGGGTCGGAGAAGTCTCGCTTCACCATTGGCTTGGATTCGGGAGCCGGCCCGGTGTAGAAGGAGTTTCCATGAGAGAGGACCTTGCCATCTTTGCCAATCTATATGGATTGTAAGTTTCAGGATGGATATAGACTGTAGACTGTGGTCAAACCTACGTTGACATTGAAATCAGAGTTGTCAATATCCATGCCGTGCATGGTTTGGCGGAAGTACACATGGCCGATACCAGACTGGCCAATGTAATGGTCGTCGACAAGGCGGAAGGTCATTCCTGGCATTGTCTGCTTGACCATCTCGGTAGCAACCTCAACATAGCTTCCAGCGCGGAAAGAGTTGATAGTTGGCTGCTTCTCCATCTCCTCATGGCCGGTGTAGCTGGACCTATGGGCAAGACGGTAGTCGTTCAAGTCGACGGCACGGTTAGCGAGGCCTGTGCTAGGCTGAGGGTGTGCGAGAACATGGAGAGGCAGGCTAAGAAGCCCGGCAGCAAGGAGGAGGCCGTGCATGGTGGTCTAAAGAATGTACAGAGAAATGGCCTGGGAAATTCCTCTTCAGTAGTAATGGCCCTATCAATGGGAATCCCTCTTGAGCTGTATAGATTCCAGGGGAAACAACTCGAGTTTATATAAGTCGATCACCCTAGCCATGCTAGATCTTCATGCTAAGATCTTCTCCACGTCTCCGAGTCGCATGGTATCCGAGGCAGTACGGGATGCTTGAACGCCCTGGTGATCCCCCTTCATGGTGTAAGGGAAGGACTCTATGGTATGGGGCAGCGCGCCGCATGTTTCCGGCCGAGCGCATCCCATGTCTATTCTGTCACCATAGTTCATGCTGATCATTCCACGGCGCGACGAGGATAAGGATGACGACGAGGATGTTGAATCCTAGATGTCGTATCTCGGGACATGAGGCCGGTGATAGCCACGGCCGGGGTGTGTATCATAAACTCCACATCAAAATCGTGGGGTTATCATTGTATCGCTGTAAATATATATATATTCATAGGCTTCAGCAAAACCCTATGCCCATATGTAGTGGGGTTCAGGCTCAGTGTCCGTGTTTGAGTGTCTAAAGTTTGCTAGGCTAGCCGGCAAAAGTGGCTGATGCTGAGGTCGCCAACATTATATAGGATAATGAAGGAGGTGCACCAGTCTACAAATATGGCCTGAGAACTTCCTGTGTATGATCCCAAATTTTCCCCTGCGCTTTCTCTCGAAGCAAGTGCATAGCCTTCGCATTTGGAGTACAGCTGCACTTGCGATTGACGAGAAACAATCCATTCTCTGGCTGCTCCTGCGAATTTATACCTGGTGGGCCATGCCACGGTACGCCACGGCCGCCAAAAGCAGCGCTGGTGCATTGGAATAAATGTCTTTGTCCAGACTCCTCGTCGCTAAAACTAAATAGGGTAATAAGGGGCTCAAGGATAAGCCAGATGAACCAGGCCAAGATCGAATTCGGCTCTAAACCCCTTCTTACATTTCCAGTGTTGACCGATCCAGGCCAAGAGTGGATGAACGTCACATTGGTATTGTCGTTTGCAATCTTCTCTAGAGTCATGGAGTTCATAGGTATGTATTGCGTCTGAGCCTGGATGCCGCTAAAATTCCCAGGCTTCTTTAGGTCCAAGTCGTCTAAGTCGATAGTTGTCCGCTCCAATCCACCACCCAAAACACTGATGACTCTGGGAGCTTCTGCTTCGCCCAGGAGGGGGAGAAGATGTAAAATGAAGAGCATTCGGGAGTAGTACTCCAGGCTCTGGGCGACTTCTATGCCCTCGGCGGTCTCCTTACGTGTGCCGAATGGTGCATAGCCCGCAGTAAGGAATAGTAAGTCCACGTGTGACTCCTTACTTTTGATAACTTCGCATACTCTCTTAGTTTCCGCGAGGAGCGCGACCTCGCCCTCGATCCAAATGACTTCTGCCTTTGGGTTGATGGTATGCAACTCCTGGATGAAAATACGCGTATGCTCTTCAGAGCTCTTGCGGCCAACTAGGTAGACCCTCACGCTTGCATCTGTAGCGACCAGGGCCGTGACCGTGAACTTTCCAATACCGGATGTACCGCCGACGAAGACGGCCACGCGTGGGGCGTTTGTATCGTTTATGAGTGCGTTGGACGCTTTTATTTCTTTATAAGAAACCATTGTAGGCGGTGGAATATACGGAGTATCCGTTGATGGGTTATTTAGTTATCTGGCTTGAGGATGTTTCTCAGAACGTCACTTTATCGAATTTTCACGGGCAATGGGAATATTCTGCGAGAGATGATGGAAGCCTGGCAGACCTGGCAGGCCTTACGTAGTTAGCGCCGTCACCAGCCACACCAACCACAAACCAAACTCTAAATGGCCATTAAAACGCGGAGACGGAATCTTTGAACATGCGAGCCGATGCATGCTCGGCAGACATGGGATGGGCCAGCGCGTAGGTCCGAATAGACTTGCAGCCAAGGTAATGAGGTGTAACCCCCCATGAGCTTGTTCGGTCGAGGCGAACCGGAAGGCGTGACGAGCCGAACAAAAGAGTTGACAACTATCTCAAGCATAACCTTCGAGTATAGAGTCGAACAAGGCACCTTTTCGCCGAGAGCGACGTCGGTTTCGGCTGGGAGGGCAAGGCAGGTGTGGAGTTGAGACGAGGTCAGTTGGGCCGCAAATCGTCTCTCGTTTTGGCTGCAAAGTTGGAGCCGCAAGGATCGCAGCCAAGCCCTGCCCCTGGAGATGAAACATCCTCGAACATTTCTGAGGATTGCTTGATACAAAGCGCTCGGTCGAGAAGGTCCGTCCAATCGTACTGGGGCAGCTCTCAGGCTAGCTCCATCCGCCTTTCCGGTGATAAGTTATCTCAGTTATCAGCCCACAGAGGTAGTTAGCCTTGCAATAGAAATCACAGCCCTGCATTGAAAATCATAGCAATGCCTGCAAGATGGTTTGGCAGCGTTGTAATTGGGCAATTCCACCGAAACAATTAATATTCTAATTTAAGATGCTTCCATGACATTGTCGATCGCATCAAAATCGTCCCGAGAACATCATCCACGAGCCGAGGAGAACTGCCATTCCTGAAAATATACCTCCAAGTCGATTTATGATCAGCCAGTCAAACGGTGAGGCTGTCCCTGCTACCAGTCCAGCAGACATGGAGCCATAATTAGCAATCTCGACAGCTTATATGGGTGCATAATTCATGCGAGACTTGTCAGTTGTCGTCCCAAGAAGCTCTCAAAACGCACAGAGTACTCCATACGGGGCACTGTTGTAAGAAACACGGGGACAGAGCTTAACGAAAGACTCGGGCTGTAGTTGAGAAACTAATTATCCAGAGTCTTCTGCACTGGGGTGGTTATATCGCAGGTACTATGTATGGAGTGCTGCGTAAATGCTTCAGTGGACAAGGGCACCAGACGACGTTCAAAGCATAACCCCGCATTGTTATTCTGCCTAATCCATGAGCTAAATGGGGAGCCCCGAGGCTCATGGCCGAGGGAAAACCCACGCAGTCAAGCGCCAGCAACATAAGGATAACCACGGGCGTAATATCAATCAATCAATCATTCCGTATGGACTCCCGTGGTGTCCCATATTGTCAGCTGAGGAAAAGAAATATGTCGGAAATTGAGGGCCCAATGGACAACCAGATGTGACATGGAGGGTGATTGCATACGAGGTCAGCGCATGAACAGAAGAGGCACGGAGAAGTATCCCGACTGGGTCTCCCCCGGCCCTGTACGCCACCCCAGCACGTGTTTGCCTTTACGTATGCTTCACAGGAACCCCAGGTTCCTGTGAAGAGCCATGAACTATGGCGTTTTTCTGGCGCGCGCGGCTAAGGTATTGATCTTTGCGTGAACATCTGGTTGAAAGACCATCAAAATGGCGCTTGTCTGTAGATCAAATGCAGCAGGAAACCCGTCTCGCTGTTCGATCTTCACTAGGGGGTGATGGAGTAAAGGACCTGCCCGCATTAGTGTATATAATAGGTCAATTATGACTATCCTTTCCGGGATTCCGGCGAGACAAGATTGGCTTGGGTAAGAGTTTATGAGCCACTCTTGGGCCATTAAATTCTTAGCAAGGTTGACTTTCTACTCTAATTTCACCGTCAGAGGGTCTGGCACTTCGCCCCACGATGAGCAAGCATACCTTGGCTGAGCGCGTGCCAGTGACAGCAGAAAATAATGCCAGACGTCAATATGACAAGAGAGGAGTCCGGTGGGAAGGGAGACCAGTCATTCCGCAGCCATAGAACAGAGGTCACAATGGTGGGCTTTGGTTTCTCAGTAAACTGTTCTGCAACTACAGCCCCGGTTGACAGTAACATGACGGTAAATTGCGAGCTCCTGGTCCACAGTTGTCATTTTATCTGCAGCCATAGGGATCGTTACGTCGGGCGATCCTAGTTATCTGCTCATAAACGAAAGTTGATCTCTCAAAAGTCGGTGGTCCTTGTCGTTGGATTGAAGTAAACTGCGACTCTGTACAGAGTACTCCGTAATTGGAGATAGAGTCCGGCTGGGTTGAGTTGACATCGTGGTGATATCACGTCCAAAGAAGAACGATGGAAAAGTCGCGTCTGGACAAGTTCGCCGGCTCGGCCCGAGATCCACCCGAAGTCACGGCAATATATGGCTTGGCATCGGTACTCGGCATTATTTCTATACTTCGACTTCCTTAGAACGAGTAGAATGAATGTATCGGTTTCGAGGATGTTCCCTAGCATAGTTGGGATATTTAGAGACTGATGATTTAGCCGATATCTCTCGGTGAGAACGATCGTCGTGGGCAACTGAGTTGGGAAAGTCATCAAGGTTTATTAGGAGGACGAGGTTGGTTATCGTCTGACGACATAAAATCGTCAGCAACCTGGTATTTCTAAATATCATTGTTAGATTTCTAAGTTGAATCGAAGTAGAGAGATATGTATTTGAACCATAGCTTTACTGCAAGTTTGCATCATCGTAACCTACTAGGTAAGCGGTTAAGGCTGATAATTAGGGAATGCCGGTTTGATTCGACTGATCTAGAAGCCTGTACTTTAGATCGCGATAGACATTCTCTGCAAATACATAGCTTATGACGGCGGCAGCCGCAAGTCTATGGTTAAAACGCATTTCTAGTTGAATCGAGAAGAGATATTAAGAATAGTTAGGATGAGAAAGTAAAGTCATGAGTATAATTTCCGTGGTCTCGTTGCTAGTTTTTATACCTATCCTAGATGGAGGATATCATATATCTCCTCCATGGCCCCCGTTGAATTCTCTATAGCAAGTGTATTAAGCCGTGGGTATCAACTCTAAAGGGTATTAACGGTTATATATAGGTTGCAAATACATAGTCGTTGAGCCCCTTTTGGAGCCCATGAAATTCGCTTCGTGCTTTTTATGGAATATATGCGATGGGGCATACGAATTAACTAGTCGATATTACAGATTCTTCACCTGCTTCGCAACGAGAACTTTTATATTGGTGCTACCTTTTTAGCCGTTACCAAGCGTCTTCGCTCGTTAAATACGCGAGTCACATGTACCGTAGATTGATGATTATCCTTGAAGCTCTCATTTGGGTATGTATGCTGACTGCCAAGATAAACTGTAGGGGTTATTTCGTTAAGTGTGGCACGGAACCCCAGGCCTCTTACTTTCTATAGGAAGATATTAGGTATGTTCGTTCAGCTTAAGCCCCGGCTGTAATAACCAGGAAGCAAGCAACTTGTGACTACGATTAATTGCCATTGCATAAGCTAATTATCATACCGGCTTCTTATCGCCCTGACTCCAAAATTTATTGTACATGATATTTAGTGAACATAGTCATAGTGATTGATATTATATCCTTCATATCCCCAAGAGGAGGCCAAGTTAAATGAAACATATACGGAGTATACGCATACTATACATTCTAGGTTTCTCAGCACACTATTAAGCCAGAACACGTCCTGGAAGTCCAAAAATCCTAAGCTGCCAAATCCCCAGAATTTTACCCCTCAACCACTAATGGGCTATGGGCTGGACCTGATCCTAGCTGAAACGTGTCACCATGTGGTTGTTCGTATCTAACATATCTAGATCGGTTTCTACCGTACGATATCTCCAAGGGTGCAATGCAATGACATGTAGAGATATTGTAGTCTTAATACTTGCATACCGTTTCAATGACTCCGTATTTTCAATGTCAACTTCCAGGGAAATTTACTCATCATACAAAGGTACTCGCATAGAATAAACGAGGCCGATTGTTTTGATATTATGGCTGGTCGACCAAGTGTCATTGAGAAGACCTTATAAACGGTATATTGAAAGAAGTCATTCGTTGAAATGAACCGAAAGGGCGCTGTATTCTCACTTGTCTATCATGACGCCGCCATGTCGTAAATTATTGATCTTGGCTATCTTCAGTTGTGTAGAAGTCCGAGGTAGGTGACGGCTAAGACTGTCGCGTATTGCTAGGCCAAGAATTATCCAACACTGATATGCTGAGTCTGCGCTTCGAAGGTGTTGCCATTATCAGGTGGCATTGGATCAGCTCAATGGAAGTATTTTCCTAAAGGTTGAAATAAAGTCACTTTGTAGCTCAGTGAAGAAAATGGAAACGGAATATGTTCGTTCATAGGTTCTCCGTGAGTTGGCATCTTAATATTTTCTTTTTCCCGCTGATCTGGCATCCCAAATAAACGCATGCCTTTTAAAATAAAATAAAATACAAGGTAATATGTTGGTGTGGCCATGTATGAATAGAAAGAGAAATACACAACCACAGGGTATAAGATATGTAATCGCATGATTATGAATGGTAGTTTAACCATAGCCTTCGCGATAACTTATCGGGCTTTAGTTCGGACCCAGTGCAAAGCCGCAACTGGAAGAACGGCAAACGCTACTATTATGCCACACATGAGCCCAGCGGACCCTGCAAAATTCAAACTCTTGAACATCAGAGGAAAGTAGAATGGCCCGACCTGGCAGTATTGTTAGCCAAACATAATCCTGACCTGAATCGTGCAGCAAGAAGTAGACTTACAAAACCGATTTCTTGACGAAGGAGGTTAACTAGAACTCCAACGCCAGCAGCTTCCTGTTGATGGCATTCAACAGAAAAGGAAATAAGAGCCGTAGTAACCACCTGATTACCGAAGCTCGCAATCGCGGCTCCAACAAGGGGAGTGACATTGAAAATCCCATTGTTCGCTTGCTCGACCCGAATACCCCATACAAGAAGTCCGACAATGGCAGTCAAAAACCCTATATAGGAGGCCCATAGACGGTTTGCAGGGAGTTTGTAACCGACCCAGGCCTGATATTTCTCCAGGAAAAGGTCGGTAAGGGGTGCACTGAGCACTTCGCCCAGGACACCACCGATGATGATAGAAATAAAGAGTAATCCTAACTGCTGAGGGTCGAGATGATAACGCTCTCCAAATACACTGGGCATTTCAACAGTAACTGCAACGCCAGCGTAACAAAACACAACAGCATACGCAATGCTAGGGATCATTACATCGATGTAGCGAGCCATGAACAAAGGTGCAAAGATTCCACGCAGTGAGAATGGGGTTGGGTCAATACGGCTGAAAGACAACCGGCCCCCCTTGGGTATAGGTTTGCCAGCAATCACGTCTTCACGAGGGAAAAGAGTTTCGCCACCCAAGAATATATATGCGACGAGTTGACAGAGATTTATGATCGCAAATATCCAGAACATCCAGAAGGCGCCGGCATGTTTGACGACGAAACCCATGAGGAATGGGCCCACGGGAACCCCAAGGGTGAGCAGAAGCGTCCACCAACCCATCTTCGTTGCGCGTTCATCGTTGAAATATAACTCTGTGATGACACCGCTCCCAATACCAATGGGGGGCGATATGAACATTGCTGTCAGCGCACGAGTCGCTAACTGGGCACCGAAGGATGTGCATCTTGCTCCTCCAATGTTACAAACCGCGCTGCCCAAAACCGATATCATGAAGACGGGTCGTCGTCCGTATCGAGCGGCGATTGGGTTCCAGATAAATGGTACAATTCCGATAACCGCAATCTATTATAGATTAACATTCCGCACTTTGGTAAAAAAAAAAATATGCAGGCGGCGAATGAACTGCAACCCTAATAACGGAAAGAGGGCGTACCTGGATGGAAGTTAGATAGGCTGACGTATGTACCGACACTCCATATTCTTCGGCAAACACTTTGGCGGCAGGAATAATTCCAGCAGCCATAAAGGTGCACATCATAGAATGGAAAGCGACTAAAAGTGCTTGAGTATTTTTCCTCCAGGTCGGCCAATTGAGAGGGTCGTCGGGAGACATGGACGGTAAAGGCTCCAGGTCCAGTCTGCCATGCCGGGAGACAAGGTATTCGCGGTGGCTGTCGCTAAGCCGCAGTTCTTTTAGGGCACCCTCCAACTGAGCAGGCACTTCACCTTCTCTGTATTTCTCCTGGTCAAGTTCTACATTTGACTCCGAACGATCTGCCGAGATAGGATACATGTTGGGCAGCTGGCAGCATGGAGCCAAAAGGAAGAAAACATGGATTGCAGGCGAAGGATGGCAGTCTCTGTTGATTATAAGCTCAGCCTCTCGTGGGGACTCCAGGGTGTCCCCAGGAGGCGAATCTGGGGAATACGGAGCGGCGTGGTCGAGCCTGACCTAGACTCCCGTATAACTCGGGGGCTGAAACATAACGCCGGCAAAGTTAAGCAAAGTCAAGCGCGGAGCGGAACATCCGATGGTATATCACGTGACGATGATATTACCCAGGCGAGGTCCAAACTGTTTAGAAGTACTCAGAAGTGTTCCAGGTAGGAGCAAAGGCGTTCATACAGTATGGGAGTATCGGAGAAATGAGGGTGATAAAATGGTGTATAGAATATGCCCACCGCTTGGGGATTTGGTGCTATGTCAGCTAACACCAGTCCATAACTTAACATGTCCGCCACGAAGAAACCCGTTTTCAAAGATTTGACTGTGAAAGGTGACCTCGCGAGACTTGATGTTGCAATTGCCATTTCAGAAAAAGGCATCAGATAACGGCCAGAAGTATGAGGCGGCGCTAATTATTGGAGAGGATGGTGAGACAGTGATACTGAGCCAAGTGTAACACCCATCTAACCATTTGAGCCACTAGGTATCTGCTCAAGATGAAGAAAGGAGTAATTCCAGATATGGAGGTGCTGGCAATTGTTTCTCCTATCTTCTCTCATCAAGTGACTGTGCCCGCCAATATGATGAATTCCCATGAATATATCAACATTTGATGACGGATGCCAATGCGAGATGATGAATTGGACACAACCGCAATATAATATGTAGTATATCTATTTCGACAAGGCCAATTGTATAATCTCGTGCTCTCGCACTCGGGAAAGTCGGTCGTTGGGTAATGGAACACACCAGTTGACTTGGGTGAGAGGAATGTTCACTATGCCAATTTTGACATTATCATAAAGAAGGTATTGTTTCTCATCCCGCCATTCTTAAGGTGAAGGCGGATCTTTCACCTCTTAAAAGCTGGTTTAGGGAAAGTGGTAGTCTCCAGCTGCGAGTCGGGGTAGGAAGCAACGACGGGTTAAAATCATCTTGAAGCCAGACATATAATAGCCTTTTGTATGGACAGAGATATACTCAACATGGATATAAGAAGGCTGCCCTTTCACTCGGATACTGGTAGATATTGATTTCAAAGTGTTCACGTCGCCGTCGCGAAGTTGTCCTGGTGGGACAGAGTTTGAGTTCGCCGGCTCGGCCCGAGATCAACCCGAAACAGCGAACTCTACCTCTATAAAACTATGGACGAGGTATAAGCCGTGACGCCGGAGTTATATATAGTACTTGGATAAACGGAGAGAAGAGAGACATTAGTATGAGGCCTTGGTGGCAGCTGAGCCTTGGAGATCCCGGGGTTCCTGGTATACTTCATTGGTGTCGTCGATACTTGTGTTGAGAATTTCTTCTCCTAGCTGATTAGTTATCCGATCCCCGGGTTAACAAAGTCTTACTGATAAATTGTATTGCTAAGTGGTATTAATTCTGTTTCCTATATCTAACAGCAGGAAGCAGCTCGCGTGCACCATAGCATTGAGCAACGTGCGCTAGAAACTCGCTCTTTGATCGAGCACGTCTGTGCATACCACAAAATACACCATATGGATGCAATCCCAAAGGCACTAGATCGTCTATTATATGACTGGGAATGCGGCCCAGGCGATATTGCTCGAACGTCCAGTCACATCCCCGGCACCAAAGGCCGTGTTCAAGGCTGTTATCGGGCAGTAAGGAGGGAAATTTTATAGATGCCATGCCACGGCACCTATCATCTGGAATGTTTCCGTTTGAGGGTAGCCTTGACGGATTGTCGGTTAGAGGTTCCAAGGGAGCCTCCCGAAACCACTTTTTCGTATAGATTTCCTTTATCGTTCCATCGCTCATATCGCGAGGTGTCGTGGCGTCCATCGTTGGCACTGAGCCATTAATCCTTAACGTGTATTCTTTCGCCGCTTTGACGCTCACGAGCGTCCGCCGTCCCCGTCGCAAGACCTTGTATTTGATACTATAATCTCCAGGGATACTTTGCATGAGGGGAAGTTCCTTTAGATCGCGCTGGGTAAGGTTGAAGCACTGCTTAGCCAGAGGGAGAGGGATCACCCAGAGTGACGGATTGTGACGGAGACATTCGAAGCAGCATCGTTCACACGTTGGAAGGAATAAGAAGGGGCCAAACTCCCTACATGAGATGCAAGCTTCAGATTTTAGAACTGCATAAAGTTTGTTTGCAGAATGGAAACTAATAAGGCCGGTTTCACCAAGTGCCCTAAGTATGTCTGGGGTATATTTCAAAATCTCCCGGTATACGAATAAAGACTCAACAATACTTCTACCTCGCCGAGAAACGCGTAAAAGACGAGACAGGGACTGGAAGTCCAATATATTCAGAGTATAATGTAGAATCTCAAGGGGCAAATGATCCAGGAGTCCCGAAGATGATAGGTCAGGACGACGGTGCTCGAGATATGATAGCTTAGCTGGATCAGAAATTGAAATCATCCCTCTTAGCAAGTCGTGATGACGATAGGATAGGCTCGCAAGTAAATCCTCGTCGCAGGGCGCTTCAGACATGGCGGCGTGGGGGATTCCGGGCGGCGATTGAAGCTCGTAGTTCGGCGCTTGGAACGGGTATGATAACTTCGTCGCGCTTATTTTCTAATCCTCGGAATAACTAGAGTTGGAACTGCTGCCCCATGGGACAAAGGCTGGGATGTCCAGCGGTCAACTAGGTACAAATGCGGTGAACAGGATGCTATTGAAGAATGGAAGGCATTGTTCTTTGGGTAGAATGGTATGGCCTTATATAGATAGATAAAGCGTTTAGGATGCTTTATATAATCCTAGGATATAGTGCCCTTCAAGGAGATAAAGATGGCTATTATTTAGCACTTTAGGACTGTTTTCTTGTCCAGAAACGTTATTCAACACTCACGTGAGGCTCCTTAAGCGTCTGCACAGCGTCAGCCTGAAGCAAGATACAGATATATATAGTTCCTGCAGAATATCAAAGTCAACCCCGAAGCCCACCCCGAAGCCACCTATAGAGCCAAGAAATAACCAGAAAACATGCATAAATGTGTACTTGAGCCCGGAGCTGAATGGAGAGACATGGAAGGCCCCTATTAACCGGTAGCTAGGAAGCTAGTGACTCTTGACATGTTCAATTGCCCTCTCGTATGCCAACTTCCCCAGCGCGTTTCCAGTTCTACCCCTGTCGTCCAATTCAGGTCCAGGAATGTGTTCGCCGTTATTGATTATCGAAGGTGCCCTCGAGTCCATATCGTAGGCATGCCTCGACAATAAAACTCTGTCACTTAACATGTCCAGTACATACGACCACAGGAAGTGGAAAACAGAGCTTCCCGTCCGCTCAGCTGTACTTAAGCCACTTGCCGGTCGGTTAGTAGTTGGGTGGGTGACCACCAGCGAATCCCGACTGTCGTATGTTTTTGACTATTTTTTTTGCTCTTTGTCAGATTGGATTTTGAACTTCAAGGTTGAGTTTGGCCGTTATACTTGTGATTTTGAGAGCCCATACGTTGTCATAGTTGATTGAAACCGCCACCACCGGATCGTGGTCAATCATATTGAAAGTAAAGCTGGCTTTTCGACAGTTTTCCATGAAGCTTGACGATAGAATCAATCTGTCATTTGTAGGGTGTGCCGTGGTAGAGGATTGAAGCATGTTGAGTTAAGCTCCTTTGTTAGGTTTTGTTAACGAGCCGCATCAAAAGGAACCGCCGATCGCTGGGAGCAACAGCATATACCAATACAGGGCCCTTTGTAAGCTGGTAAGTTGTTAGGAATATCACCGAGCCCTGTTGTTAAAGTGGCCGAAATGAAATCAATAGAAACGGCATCTTGCTATCTGTATGTAAATAACCGAAGAGGTAAAGACGTATTACCAGGTAGAAGGTTATGTCAAATAGACATTATGATAAATGACAATCTATATAATGATATCTGACAAATATCACATATTTCTCAACATCGAAGCGGGTAAATATCACTGCGGGCACGTAACTCTATCTGGGATAGGCCAGGCATATGCCTCAACAGATACCATGACATACATGGCGTTCGTAGCCCGGTAACTGCCACATACCCGTCCTCCAGCTCAATTCGCTCCTGGCAGCGGTAACATATTCCTCGGGTGCCTGAATTCGCGACTCGGGCCCGCCCTTACCGTGAGATTGACAGGGGTAAACGGGCCAGTAACACCTGTGATACTCATCAAAGTGCCAGGTAGAGCTAGAATTCATATCCATACACTGATATAGGCCTCAGTTGAGACGACCAGATGGGTTGCCATGCTTGTTGGAGGTCATACGAATAAGATCCCTGCTGTGAGGTAGAAGGTAGGTGATGCGTGCGCAAGCGTATTTTATACAGGCCCGTCGGCCACGGGGGAATCGTTAAATACTATCGGATGGCGAGTGTTAATTCGCAAGTCGTACGTGGTGGAGCGCTCATATTTCCATAAGATCCGGTACCGAAATGCTGCTTGAGAGACTGCTAATCGTGGAAGTCGGTTCAGAGCTATGTTCCCTAGCTTTTGTTTGCGCCTTCCAAGCCTTTATGGATTCGGCACCTCCTTCGATAACTATCAGACGCTCCTCTGCATCCTTTCCGAGAACTGTTCCTTGAAACCTCGATTCTTCACCAGTCTTGCTATGCTTCTTTTTAAGTGCTGCGAATAGGTGATAGATAGGTAAGCCTAATGTTCAAGAAACAAAATGGTGCAGGGAGAGCAGAGCGAAACATACCACTCAAGTAGTCTTCTTTCTCTAACGAATCTTCATCAACCACCTCCCCCTCACCAGCAATAAATCCAGACACTCGCTTGATTTCTCTATTCGCTGGCCCACTGAACCATGATAGGAATGCTTCAACCGCTCTCATATCTTCTTCGCCGCAGCGATCCTCCTCCAGCCTGCTAATCTGGGGTCGTAAAGCGCCAACGTCTTCTAAAGCCATAATCGTATCGTCAAGTGTCGGTATAGGGCACACTGGGTGGCTGTTGATGGCATGTTGCGCAGTAGCCGAAGCGAGGAGAAGGAGATACCGACTCGCCATGTCGGTGAGAGTATCAACCACTGCCGGGCGGGTCGAGTGGAATCCTGCGGCGCGGAGAATTTGAATAACCGGAGGGCGTAATAAACTGATATGGAGGTCCGGAGTAGACATCTTGAGGTGTATACAAGTTGAGAGACGAGCGAGTAACCAAGAATCAGTGAAGCTCTCGCTGGCCAGAGATGGGGATAAGCATTCTCCCAGCGCGATAAGAGAGAGAAGTAAAAAAAGATCGTATTTTCGGTCGCAAACGGATCAGGCAGTCAATACGGCCATTCAACGGAGATTCTCTGCTCGGTTTGTCCTCACCTTCGCTGTCATTGAACTTGATTGTTGAATGCGAGAGCAAGAGGCTGGTAAAGCCGCTGACTAAGCTGTGTTGTCTCCTTTCAGTTATGACATCTTCAACTCTTCAAGTTTGTCCTCGCTCGCGCGTTCATACGACTTGGAAGCTTGACACTTACTTCATTCTTGCATTTGCTAGATAGGCAGCTGATGCGCTAAAGATGGAGGGCCGGCACATATTGAAGCTGACGTTTGGCAAGAAACCAGCTCAACCGACGCAGAAATCTCCTACTCCTCCACCGCAACCACCAGCTCCTCCTCCCCCAGCTGCATCAACTTCAGGTCCAAAGATCAAACTAAAATTTGGCCCAAGGCCGCCGTCTCAGCAGCCAGAACCGAAAGCTACCCCGGCAAAGCCTAAGAAGGCCGCGAAAGCCCCCAAGAATGCTTCCGCGAGCAGCTCATCAAAAAAGAGGCCTCGAGATGCGATAACAGGCAACAATGGCGTAGGGCCGGGAACAGCTGTAACCGTTGAAGGCACTCCTGTCAAGCGGTTCAAGCTCACTACAAAACCCAAGATTCCTACGTCCATCCGAATTCGAAGCAAAGGCGCGCCACCGGCGCGACCGAAAGGTGTAGGGTATGATTCCGAGGCCTCCGATACCGAAATCGACCCAGCTCTGGAAGAACAGTTTATCCTACGGATGGAGCCTGGGGAGGATTGCGATTACTTACGAAAGGCCGTTGAGGAAAAGCGGTTCGGGCCACGCTCGCAAGGCGGCGCGGATGCGAGTTTCAAGGCACTTACGCGAGATGGGCGGAGAGCCACAGTTACAATACGAGGAAACATATATGCTGCTACTCTGGTCGACCTTCCGTCGATAGTTGAAGGGTTGAAGAGTTGGGATAAGCGGGGCTGGTACAAGTCTGCAGACATCTGTCAAATGCTGTTGGTGCTGGGGAAGGTTAAGTCAGAAGAGGAAGCTCACAGTTATCCACTACCGAAAGATATCGACCCATCGACATTCCAATATGCGCATGGTCTAACACCGCCCTTACGCTGGGTGAGGAAACGACGTTTCCGGAAACGTATCAGCAATCGAACAATCGAAGCAGTCGAGTTGGAGGTTGCCAGGCTACTCAAAGAAGACACCGCTGCCATTAAGCCGCCAGATTTTGAAATTATGGATCAAAATCATTATGCGCGGGAACAACAAGGGGAACAAGACGGTTTCGATATGTACGACGATGAACAAGACGCAGAAGGCGAATTCTTTGACGAACAGCAGTACGGCGAACCGTCAGCACTCGACGACGACCTCGCTGCGGAGATGGAGGCCGAGCTTGCTGCCCATGCGGATGCTAGCTCTGCCCCAGCGTCAGCCACTGCGGATGTCAGCCACACCGGAGAAGGTGGCCATGAAGTTGAGGTAGAAGGCGAGGTAGAGATAGGCACGCCTCGATCGCAACCACATACCACAGCAGAGTCTTCAGGAGATGAGGAAGAGAGCGGAATGTCTACGGCCGAAGAAGCCAATCAAGGCCTGGATGAAGATGCGCTCGAGCAACAGCGTCAACTACAAGAACAACTCGAAGAAATTGCTGAACTTGAAGCGCTTGTACAGGCCGAGACCCTCCGGTGGGAACAAATGGGTAACCCAATCCTGAAGTCCAAGCTGGGCAAACGAGTGCAGAGTTTGAAACAGGCCCTGGAGCTGAAGAAGGTGTCTATCGGTGAAGGCGGCACAAATGAATAGAGAACGTGCCACTTATACTATTATTCTTTTAATGGTACGAATAATCGATTAGCTGCAAGTATCATGACTTTGCTGCATTTAACAATTACCCGGTCCGTCACTTAAGGCAAGATGGGGCGATCTAGTCATTGTCCCATGTATGCAAACAAAAACTACCAACTACCCGCCGGGTTTGCCCCTTTCTCGACCTATATTTATCATTCCTCCAAGTTATCTCAAAATCACAGGATGGTAAAAATATCAGTGTAACCATGACTTCGAGAAAAAATGGGTTCTCCCGTCGACCTTTCCGCTGCTGCCGTGACGCTATTTTACCAGAAGGTCATTACAAAGTTCTACTAGCAAGCTCGGGGACTTTTCCTACTGCGTGAGCAACAGCTGTCATGGCTTTCGTTACATGACGAGAACCAGTATAGCAGCCCAGGCCAGTGGTCTTTCACTAAGCTGGGCGCGGTCATTATTAATACTGCTGACGACCCCGATAAAACTCAGTTTAGCGGTCTTTCAATATGTGATTAACAGAATCTACTTGCATTTAAATAAGGTCTTCAGCCAGCCTTATCTAGGTTGATGACGGTTTCTATACTCTCTATCACGACCGTCGGGGCTTTGGCCATACTTGTGGTATGAGGCGTTTTGCTAGTCAAAGGACGGCTTCCCAATTGCAAGTGAGAAGCTAGCACTTCCCAGAACATGCAGGCATATGTATGTACATCTATTATATTAATGTCCATATAACTAGATATTCTTGGACTAACAGAACCGCTCCTAGACATGCCGAGTCAATTGGCATTATCTATACCCTGAATACATTTAATCTCCTTTTCTACGACTCACTTCTCATATAGTGAAACACCACTCCCTTAACGCCTTTATGCAATCCTCCCTACTCAGCTTCACATGAACTTCACCAGCAGGTGGTATCTCTAAACCAGTACCGCTTCCCTCCTATAACCGTTGCCTTACTATGTTCATTCTGAGTTGATACACAATCGACTCTTGTGATCCTGTTAGTACTCAAAGAGATATGCTATAGTAATTGCATTATCGAGCCGATTGATGCTGCCACCCCTAATGCTGCCTGGCTTTACGGGCCGTATATATCAATCTGCTATCATCAATCCTTTCTAGATATTCGCCACCTACAAGGAAGCTGAAGTTAGAATAGAGTTTGGAGAATTGAAGTCACATGATATAACTCTGTTTCTGCTTATATAATGAAAATAAGATAGGATGACTAATTCTATATAGTCACGGGGTAGTCATGTGATCTTGAGTGACGCACGAGCCAATCCATGACCCTTCCTATTTCGGAAGGTCATTATAGGCCACTAGGCGTTTGTCGTTTCCTACCTAAGGTAACATCGAAACTGTTCTTATATAGTCTATAGAGGAGATATAAAGTATCCGCGAGTTAAAATTTTAGCATCAGTATAGGCAATGTAAGGGATAGGTACTGCCACTTGGCTGATTTGTGCTAAGCCTACAGAAACCCTGAGAAAAAGTATGTGGCGGCCCCTGGTATATAATGAATACTCTGTACTCTAATACTCAACCGAAAGTTTAAGATATCCATGCTTTTAAGATTAAAAACTTATAGAAAGCATACAATAGCTCAAGTATCGTGTTCCGCCCTTGCCAGCCCATTTGCTGCAGTTATGTGCCATATGGCAGTGACCAAGTGGCCCACCGCCAACGCAGCACAGGTGCTCAGTTCACCCGCCAGCACAGCCGAAGCGACAATACGTGCCAGCTGCCGCGCATTTGTCCCTGGATAGGTGCTATGAGGGCCGCTTACCCCTAGCATATCAAGTATGGGCAGACTAGGCTTCGAGGATAGTTCCACCGCCAATGGTTCCGACCTCCACGGATGGCATGAACACCGCAATGTGAAGGTTTCCATCTATTCTAGAGAGTTCATTAGCACTGATATTTCAAGAGGAAAGAAGAGTAGCACATAGTGCATGCTTCTTCATAGTCGTGATACAGCTGGTACTTTCAACGTTTTGAGCTGGATCTTGTCCTGTCGCTAGGAATACTGCAGCCACCAAGTTCGAGGCGTGCGCATTAAACCCGCCCATGCTACCAGCCATAGCACTGCCGATGAGGTTTTTGGACGTGTTTAGCTCAACAAGACTATCAATTCTTGGGTATCCGTATACCATCTCCACGCACTGCTCTCGCTGAGGTAAAGTCGGTGGCTGCCTCTCAGGAAGGGCTGAAAGTCCAGGCCCAAGTTCCCTGTGGATGTCGCTGCTAAGCAGTCGGTGTCGATGACTCGCAGGCTTCCCTCCAGCATATTGAGATATGTTGTCGCGGCCGCCAGAGCGATTACAACCAGCGTGTAGATTAGATATCTGCGGATGCTGCTGCTTCCGTTAATCCTTGGGTGTTGCCGGGAATATATTCGGCGTAGTCCCATAGCTAACGATTGGATATAGCATTTCGATAGCCCAAGCTTCCCATTCATGCACTTTCATTCCATCTCCAGATCACACTGGCGCCATCATTGCTGGCTACAACGACTTCAACGAGTCCAGCAGACTCCCGCACAGTTAGGATCCCCGTAACCAGCCACAGCAGCGTCCCAAGAGATAGGCATCAAAAATAGCAAAAACAGTCGCTTCTTCGGCATCTTCCGCCTCACCACCAAGCTAGATGAAGATGTATTATACAATAAACCGCAGCCTTCGAGTTCGACGGGCTCCAGTTGTTTACGGAGTCAGGATGTGTTTTGTTTTTAAATATCTGTAGAAGAGATGGACGACGAGGTCAGATATTTATCACGGGAGCATCATGTGACCTCTTGACCCGCGGTGGCTTTTGTTACTTCTGCAACCTTGGACATCGTCCCTCCCACCATAGCAGATATATACAGCTAGGATCAAGGTCTGAAGGGCAGCTCTTCCGCGATCCCGGCTTTGATATCGAGCAGTCGGGGGGTACAGAGTATCTTGGTCAAGGATAAAGAAACGACGGCTGCTCTGCATGTAATTCTACATCCCTCTCTCTACAGTAATAGCCTCACGAGCTGCATGTAAGCATATCTAACGCAAGAAACACAGTACTCCGTGTCGGACATAATGGTCTTCTCATTTACCCTACCAACAACCTCACACGCCCAGTTCCAGTCATTCCTTCATTCAAATACCCATCCCTCTTTACCCCAAGCAGGTTCTACAGCTCGCCACGGCTTACGTGCAGCTCTAAAGAAGCATAAACGTCTTACCCCTTCTCAGCGAGCTGCTCATCTTCCACATGTCCTGATAGCACTGAATGAGTATATCCCGTACCTCTTTGCGATATCGCGTGGTTTGAGCTCTAGCTCATGGCAAGATGAAGGAGGAGGAGAAGAAGCTGGGAAGCAGTGGAATGATGTCGAAGAGGTCGATATATTACTTCGATCCGAGATAGAGGTTGAATGGCGCCCGACTTTGAGCTCAATGTCGACAATGCGGTTTTTACGTCAGAATGCCATGCGAGGTCATGATTCTTCGTCTCTATCATCCTCGTCGTCACGGGTAAAGGGCCGTGGGCTGGATTTTGAGATTGCCTTTGTCTTATCAACCTTGGCCTACGTTCTCTCATCCCTTGCACGGGTAAAATATCTTACCATGTTATACTCGGTCACTACTCCTACGGTTGAGCAAAAGGTGGCGGCCATTCAGACTGCGACCAAGAATCTGCTGCAGGCAAGCAGTATACATTCTTACCTCGCCACATTTTCCCCAGCATCTATTTCAGCTCCTTCAAATACCTATACACCGGGCGGTTCTGGAGCTAAGATGATTCAAATACCCGTTCCTGACCTGGATCCATCCACGCAGTCCGCTTTATCCTCCCTTGCCTTGGCCGAGGCGACATTGTTAGCTGTGTTAAAGGATGATGCCTACATGTCGGCTTGTATCCAGTCAAGGAACAAGCATGACACAGAATGGATGGTCAAGGCGCCTGATATCCCGAAAGTGAGGACACTACTCTTTGCGCGGCTCTGCGTTCGAGCTGCAGAGTATGCGGAGCAGGCTGCAGCTAGTGTAGGAATGGTGCAGAAAGGAAATGCTTCTGCTGTAAGTTCGGGCGATTCTACCCTCGAGAGAAAAGTAGATGATGATCTGGTAAACTATATGTCTATCCTGGCAAGGGTATCAAGAGCAAAGGCCTGCCGCTTCTTCGGGATTGATGCCGAGATGGCTGGGAAGGTCGGGGAAGGGATTGCGTGGTTAAGGGCAGCTCGGGCAGTGCTCGGGTTCAAAGGCTCAACTGCAGAAACTGGCGCTGAAGGGCCCTCAAAGAGTAAATTAGGCGGATTCTCTAGGTTGAAAAAGGAGTGGTCAGAGAGAAGGGAAGAAAAGAAGATCGAGAAAGAGGCGATGTCATCGTCCAAAGGTGGCGACCTGGAGACTGATATCGACTACGGTGATGATGCCGGAAGAGACGAGGAAGGGCGAGTGATTGATATGCTTGAGAAGAAATGGGTGAGGATGAACGACACGGTATGTATCTTCCGGTGGCTAGAAGCCAGCTCGTCACTAACTGTCTGGTTAGATAATGACACAGCTCATCCCGTCTTCGGCGTCATATATTTCCAATTTACCCTTAGGGAGAGATATACATGCACAGCCGGCGCTCTATGCACCGCCAACGTTAGACCCTGGACAGCTGGAGCGGCTGCGGGCGCCTCTTGACCCTACTGACGACGATGCAGAAGTAGAAAGCAGCGAGGATGAAGAAGAAAATGATACTAAAAGGAGCTATTATTAATATCGGTAGGCAATAATGGCGTGGATGAAAATAATGAATAATAGGGAACGGAGAAAGTTGAACAAGGAAATTCAATTCTCTTGCGATGCTGAAATGACAATAATGTCCATACATAAAAGAGCCGCAAGTATCTATACATGGAAGCGGCCCAAAATCTAGCCGCGTACAACGAAGTTCCCTCATTCCTCGTCCCCATCCCCGGACATCCGTTGGGTTGACGATTTGATAGCCCCAAACTAAACAGATCACACTGTGCCGATAATTCGTAGTTCACACAATCGCTATGTCCATCCTAAACGTCACGCGCATCTCCTAAATCCTCTCATTTATCCTTGGTAAAGTAATTCTTCTCCTCAAACAAGTATCCCTTGACCTTCCTTTCCTTCAGTAGCTCGAAGTATTTGTCTATCCGGGGTCATATACAGGTTAGCACCTAGCCAATACTACAGCCGGCCACGATAGCCCTTAAACATCACCTAGAAACGCCGCAAAGGGCATATAACCCACCTCTGAGCTTGCCGCATTTCTCCAAGTGATTCACACCCTCTCTTCTGTAGCATTTGCCCAATTCATCGCCTACAAGTCTGGACATCATGCTTCGAACCCATTGTTCGCGGATTATGGCATCACGGGCATTGTGAAGGGCGACTGTGTCTTCGAAGTCGACGCCGTCGTATGTTGGTGGGACGGTTGGCTTTTTGGCCAGGAACTCGGCGGACTCGGCGGTCGGCATCGTGATTTAGTCCACGACGGGAGGTAATTGGACAGATAACCGGGTATTGTAGAGCCGTTCTCGCGGCAGGGAGGGAGAAGCTGGTCAATTGCTGATATTGAATCCGATCTGATGCAACAACTTCGCGAACTTGAGGTCTGGATAAAGCGAAGCTCCGATTGGCCGGGATATACGTCACGTGTAATATGATTATGTCATCATTATGTATCCTTTTTTTTTTACTTAAAGAAGAGAGTATATAGAGAAAGTCCATGAAGAAAACCCAAGAAGTAGGACTTAGATACATAATACAAACATTCCTAGGAACCGGAATGGAATGGCAGCGGCGGCAACAGATGCAACAACTCATGAGGCATTGCGTACTGGAAAATGAATCGTACTTTTCCGAGCAAGCAAAAAAAAAGAAAAGGAGAGAAATAGCTGATTGGCACATCCAACATAAGCGCAAGCAAACATAACACACACAGGCAAGAAAGGGAGTGATGGTCTAAGATGAGATGCGTCGCAAGGTGTGGACTGGATGCAGAGAGGTTGAGAGATGAAGAAGATGGCAAAACGAAACAGAACCAGCAGCCCCAGGACAGGAATAAGGTGATATTCTACTGTCGTGCGTGATAACAAGGAATATGGTAGGAGATCCGCGTATACTCGGGGAAGAAAATAGAGGGAGGGCGTGGTAGAAATGAAATGAAAGAAGAAGAAAACATTATATAAAAACAACCTCTCAAGTCCGATATATTTTCAAAAAAGGGAGGATGTGAGGGGGTCTTAAGGAGGAGAGAAAGAGAAAACAAAAGAGCGCCATTTCAATATAAAAATAATACCATTTTTAAACAGGAAGGTAGAATAGGTTAATGATCAGAAGGGAAGATAAGGAAACTCATGGATGCTTCTTAACCTCTTTGCCCATCATCTTGTTCCACTGGTCACTAAGGGCGTCCTTGAATTTCTCCCAGAGGGTTCGGTTCAGGTAGTTGCTTAGTTCTCGGTAATTATAAATTTCGGACCAACAGTCTCGTCCCCATTCGCAACCTGCCATGTTGACCAGGAAGTCGCGGTCTTTCCTCTGGTAGTGGATACCGGGATCAGTTCCGTCTCCACAGGCGCCGGGTGGGAAAGAATTCATCCTCCTCTGCGGGATGAATGCGACGTGCGGCCGAACCCAAGGCTGGTTGATATAGAGGTGCTCGAGGCTGTCTTGTTCCTTGTGCTCCCATTCCATGTGTTTCTGTTCGTAGAGGACCGGGTCCCACCAGATGTCTAGGAGTCGGTCGGTCCAAGTGCTGCGGCGGATCATGAAAGAACCGAGATTGAATCCAGCACAATCCTGGGGAACGATCATATTTATAGACGACGCCTTGTTGTCGCCTACGGCAGAGAGGGAAATGGGGTCAAGGTAAGGTATGGAGGGCGGGTGGGTGATGTTTAGAGGGTTGTATTTGTTGATATCACGATAGGTCTTCTTATCGAGATTGTCTAGGATGTGCTGTTCGACGGAGTAGGAGGGTTCCATGATAAAGGTGTTTAAGTCCAACCACCAGAACCTACAGGGAACGTTAGTGTCAGCGAAATGTTTCACCACCGTAGTCTATTCGGAAGCACGAACCATTCAGCTTTGGGATATTTCCGTAGCGCCCCACGGATGACATCGACCTTCTCCCATCCTTCTCTCCACTCGTGGGCGTATCGTTTCTTGGTGACCATGTTGACCACCTCCAAGTCGTAACCCCATCTTTTCACGTATTTCTTCTTGTTGCGAAGACTGTCTCGTTCGATAGCCCACTCTCTCGCTCCCTTCCACTCCATGACACCGCCACCAACATTAGACGCAACGATTAGCACTATTTTCTTTCCTCCGCCGATGGAGGTCCGTCGATATGATTCATAGATAGCTATGAAGAAGGTTAGACGTTGTTCAGAAGACGATAAAGAAGAGGGAAAAAGAAGGGGACGTACAAGATGAAAAGCAAAGCCAAATAACAAACAACAAAATCGATAATAGAAGTAGACGTATTCTCGTGCGGCGTAGAAGATTGCCGAGCAGGGATTTCACCCTGAATAATAAAGGGCCGCCGTTGGGACCAGACCATCGTCCTCTGCCCAGCTTCTCCTTCTCGCCGTAGTCTAGCATGGAGTTGAGTCTGAATCGAGGCAGGCTGGCAGAAATTTTCCTTCTCTGTCTGGAGAAGAAGCCGTTGTTCCTGGTGGAAAAGGAAGGGTATCCCTTGACCCGGTCACTCTTTGCTTTGGCAGCCATCCAGGAGGCATTGTTTTCGGCATTATCTAGTCCTCCGTTTGCATGGTATGTCTGGCCATTGGGGGTGAGATCGCCGTAACCTCGTCGGGGACTGGAGCTGCCACTGCTCCCTGCAGTGACAGTGGTCAGGCCTGGGCTGGACCAACCTCCGCCTGGCCTCGGTGAAGGAGATCTAGATAGCGACATGGGCGAATGGCCCGTCGCCGAGGGAGTACCGGGAATGGGAGATAGGGAGGCGGACAGATGGCCAAGGGAGTCCGTTCGAGCCGAGCTGACAGCGAAATGGCTGTTCCCGCTGCTGCCGCTGCCGTTCGCCTTGCTGGCGGAAGAGTGATTGAGGCTCAACGGCCTTATGTGCGAGGACGATCGTCGCCGGTGATGCGTACTGCTGGCTGTATTTTCGGAGGAGGAAGACGCAGCCAGGTTGAACGATTCAGGCATGGGACGAGTGTGAGAGCGGAGATAGGGAGGTAAGAGGAGATGCTAGGCCCCTGCATCGACGTCAGCCATGATCGAGCGAGACAACGGCGAGGAGAGGGAAGAGGTGTTGAGAGTAGAGATGTTGACGTTGTGTTCGGGGAAAAGACAGAGTAGCAACAACAAACCTCTTTGGATAGAACAACTTCTCGCCCTGCAAGGGTGGAGATGCAACGCCGACAACGCGCGGATGCTCAGCTGCAACGCAACCACCACGGAACGAGCAGATGGTTCTTCGTCTGTCTGTCCGGGATACACAGGACAGCAGCAACCTGGACTGAAGTTGGTTCTCTAGCTGGCGATGCACATGTGTTGCGTAGGGATCGAGGTGGACTCGTTTCTTTTTTCCTCTCCCCGTCGGATGCTGCTTTGCTGTGTCACTGCAGGCGTCTGTTTTTTTTTTCCGGCTGCTTGGCCAGGGTGTCTTGGATTGCGATACGAGCTGGACGATGGAGAAGAGGCTGGACTGATGGTCGATGGCGATGGCGATGTTGAAGATCAGAGACGCCAACGAATAAACGAGAGACAAGAAGTTGGTATACAAGACAACAAGCGAGAAGCGAGACAACAGAGGACAATTTCAATAACAACAACGAGGCTTGGGGGACTTCTTTTTCTCTCTCTCTCTATCCTTTTTAGCCTTCAAAGCAGAGTTCGGTTCTGTCTCTTCTTTCGTTCCTCTGGCTGCGCTGCCGCCACCAAGGATGCAACCAATTATCTCACGCCGCAGCCGGCTTTCTTCTGGGACCTCCTGAATCAGCAAAAGGGGAAACGCTCGCTCTCTGGCTCTCGCTCGCTCTTCGTCTTTGCAGAGTTGCCCCCTGACCCACCGCCGGCTTCGAATTCTGATTAGTTCCCCCAGCACGGTGACTGTTGGGGGGGGGGGGGGGGATATTTAGCCCGCATGCTCTAAATATAAGCATGGAATACGTCTACGTCTGGCTCGCGCGCCATGGTGTATCCCTGGACGCTGCTCTGTGCGACAGCTGGGAGGAAGCCTTTGATCAAACAACCATCGCCATGACCACGCAGGATGAAAGACTAGGCTGCGGCTGTTTCATCGGCCAGCTGAACAACCAGTCTTCAGCCTTACGACTCGTCCATGCTCTACAGGTCATACTCTTCTTGCATCGGTACCCCTACACACCCAGTCGACTCTAAGGACTTTTGTTTCTTCGATATGTTTTGTTCGAGCCGGCCGTCAGGGTAGGAGTAGGGCTGACCAGCGGACCCTTGCAAGGCCGTCGTTCCGCCCGCTCTTCGTAATCCTTCTCAAAACGAGAGACTGGCGGTGGATATTCGTCAACGGCATCAGGGTCCAGGTCAACTACTTCCCGTATAAGACGACATCCGTATGGCCTTGTTAACGCACAGGAAATGAACACATGGCGAAGATCAGTGCCTATCCCAGAAGGAATGAAGGATAACTTCTCTGGCCCTTCGCCGCCCCTTCGTGCTGTGCATGAGATTAACTTATCTGACTTTTAAAGGGGCTACTCCATACAGAGATTTTTTCTATCTCGATGCGACGATCTTTCGAGACGCAATTTCAATTCCGTTTCTCTTCTTATCGCCCCCACACCAGCAACCTTCTAACCATCAATTAATACTCCGTACACACCCCTTTCGATCAAAATGGAGGTAAAAAGAGAAAAAAACCTGCCCTCAGGTAGGCTCACGTGATATCTCGTATATGCTGAGTCAGCCAGCAAGCACTGAGGAAAGAGACGAAGGAAGAAGGAAAGAAAAGAAGGAAAGAGATAGATTGAAAGGTAAGTGGTATATGCATTACTGTCTATTATAACTACTCCTGCACGCAAAAGTTATCGCAGTCATGGCAGGATGCAAGGATGCCTGCAGCTACGTAGATGGCGTTGCTTGACCGTTCGATGAATTCCTCTGCTCTCGTTCGGTTCTTTGCATCAAGAGACTCAGACACTCCAGGGAAGGTGGTTGGGGCATATCTAAGGATGAGTTAGCAAGAGCCAAGACGCAAGAAACGACGAGAAAAACGGTACTACTCACCCAGTATCCAGTCCGGGAGCGTACAGCATATGCTTGTAAAATTCACGATCTGGCAGTCCGCCTTGCGAAACAAACCCGCGTCCGAAATCACGGTAGATCGTGTTGAGGTGTTTGACGAGCTTCTTGTCGTGGAAGTTACGGTTCGCCTTCTTCTGCAGCTTTGAAACCGCCTTCGCGGAAACGTTGAAGGAGCAGATCGCACTCTCGATTTTACTTAAGTCGAGGTCCTTGTATGCAGAGGCAGCGACGTATTTCTTCAGCTGATTGAGGTATTTGGTCATCTGCACGCCGTAGTTGGTCACGTCAAATGGAACGATCTCGTCTGTCGAGAGATGATAGGCAAGTAAGCCGAGGAACTGGCCCATTGCTACGTGAGTGTGGAAGCCAGGGTCACCGAACGTGTCCATCCAGTGATACGAGTCATAGTTGGAATGATAATGATATACAGGGTCAGTGTTACCATCACCTCCGGCACCAGTGTCGAGCTATATGCATAGATATAAGGTCACTCAATGTTCCACTAACATGGCGGTAAACGGATATTCGAAAAAAAGATGACTTACCGAAGCAATGCCGTTGTGAAGGAAGCCGGTGTAATCAGAGCCACTTCCAAGGACGCCAATCTCGTCCCCATTCATGGTAGTCCAGATGTCGTACATGGTGGTGTCTCGGCGGCCCTTGTACGGCCAGATGACCTTCTTCATGGACTCGATGGCCAGTTTATGGAGCTCGGGGGTGGCGCTGACGTCAGGTATAGGCCCGGCGACGGCAACATCAACATTGAGGTATGCAACCGTGGTTGCTTTGAGCCATGGCAGCTATATATTATCTTCAGTAACCGTCGTCATAAGCAGTCGATCGTTGCAACATACATATTCTTCGACCCATTCGGTAGAGCCTACGAGACCATATTCTTCACCGTCCCAAGAACACATCACACTAAGCAAAGACAGTGTTAGTAGAAAGAAGTATACAAAGGCTAGAAGCATAAAAAAAAAAGGAACATACATTGTTCTTTTTGGCTTCCATCCGGCCTTCTGGAGTTTTCCGAATGCCTTGGCGAGTTCGACCATCACAGAAGATCCAGAATTGGGATCAGCTGCTCCTCCAACAATCCAAGCATCACGATGGTTCCCAATGATAACTACTTCATCCTGCTCTGTTCCGTTGATAATTCCAATAGAGTTCCAGATAGGAGCGTAGGTATCACGCATCACATTGCTCATGGAAAGCTTGGCTCCAGGGGCAGGACCAGTCGAGTAAGTCGCATTAAGGGCCCCAACCCATCTGGTGCGGTTTACCTCCTTGCCTGGAGTTCCATGGCCATCGAGGGCGGCAAGAATCGGCTCCGCATCGAGCTGTGAGATGGGAATGGACGGGATCTTTGGCACCACGGGGCTCTTGTCCTGCCGTGGCGAGTCTGGTCGAGATGGGTATCCGGGAGTGGTTGGGTCACCTGGGTAGGTCGACAGGAACTGAACCGATCCACGTTGGACTGAAGAAGGGTTTCTTGCGGGGCCATCTGGATACGCCTTATAGCCCTTTGCAACAGTGACGTTCCCGTCATCGGCGGGGTCAGTGAAGATGATACAGCCGACCATCCCTTGATCTTGGGCATTTTTGACCTTCAGGCCACTATTTACAATACATTAGCCTGCCCGAAGTTACTTGGGATAAAAAGGACTCACCGGAACGGGCCACCGTATCGTGCAATTGCGATTTTCCCTTTCAAATCAACACCAAGAGCAAGTAACCTCTCAAAATCGACCCTTTGTCCGCGCCCAACATAAACGTACTCCGCACTTGCATCACCAGAAGCAGAATATCCATGGAATGTGGGTACGCGGTCAGGGTAGCTGGTGGTATCATCTTCCTTGAGAACGTCCTCCTCCAAAGAAGCCTTCCAGGTGGTACCATTAGGGTGACTCAAGGACAAGGAATGGGAAACCGGGTAGTTTAGATATACGTCGTACGAGACGACAGAGGCAGAAATGCCAAATTCCGTCCACTTATCTGCGGTCCATTGGGCCATGCTCTGGTTGGTCCCGGCAATGTGTAACCCATGAGTATAGTAATAAGCCCAGCTATCAACAGTGGTATTGTCGAAGCTATTCATCAACATAGATTCATATTTGGACAAATGTGGAAGATGCGGGTGCCCCTGTCCTCGTTTAGCGAGTATGCTGTAAAGGTCGACCGAGCCGGTATCCCTTTCACGCACACAGCCTTGGACAACGGCCGTGGCCACCGCCAGCAGCGATAAGGATTTCAGATTCATCTTGAGCTACCAAACTGCGTTCCACCCGAGGGGAAAACGCACAATTGACAAATAGCAAGATGGGCGCACAAAATGAAAAAGAAATGCGAAAAAAAGAGGAAGCGGAGAGACACAAAGAACGGCGGGAAGAGCGGGGAATAAGTAGTTCAATTAATGAGGCCCTGGATAAAGGAAATTATTCCAGAAGACCCCCATGAACATCCTCTTCCATCTTAGCCTCCCCGCATTCAAGTTGGATTTTCTTCGTATCTCCAACCCGTAGGATAGCCGAGTGGACTTCCTGACCAGCTTGGGCCGAATCAAGCATCTTCGAAGAAGCCTGATCCCTGTAGAAAGGCAATGCAACAGCGCAACCTGTCGATATTCGTGACAATCGTCTGGCTCTCCATGGGGAAATTGTGGGGTGTAGAGTTGTCAACGGTCCAGGGAGCTTGATACGTAGCCACGATCAGTTACTCCGTACCCAGAGCTCGTTCGTCTTCTGGCGTTCCTTCATCTATCAACGGCGTTGACAGGGCAGCGCATAATATACGTGCAGTTGTACAGGCCAGCCGTAACCTATCCCATCGCCGCATCGTCATCCTCCATCCGCTTGCTGACCTCTGGGCGTAGGGATAATCTCAGCCAAAGACCCTAGGCAGGGAAGCTCCAAACCCTCGTACTCGGGATACCTGCAATTCCGATGCCCGAGGTCAACTTTCCACGCCCTTTGCCGTCATTCCGAGGTCTTATTTTCTCTCGTTGGATGCGATGTGGTGTTCTTCTTTTCTCGTATTTTATCGCTGAGAAATGAGCAGCGAGCCCGAGGACGACATGGGTGCAGAATGCAATCTTTCCCCCCCTCAATATACATAGTAGCATGGATCAGTGAGATAAACCAAGTGGCATTCTTATTCCGCCGTGCTGGTAATACAGCATCTTGCTACTCCGTAGACGAAGCTAGACTGTTATATTAAACCGGTTAATGATCGCGATATTGGTCTCGGCTGTGTAGGTGGTTACTTACTAGCGCTTAGCGGATATAAGTGAATCCCTGGTCTTAAACATTATCACAATCTGCATATATCCTCGCTGACGTGCTGGCTGCCCACTCTGGCGCATTGCGGATTGTCCAGGTTCAAGGTTACATCGTAGAGCAGCGCTACCAAGTCATCTTCAAGGTCGAGCCTGGAACCGTGAGTTGAGAGTTCGCCGAAACCCTTTGTAGTTGCGCGATAGAGTTGAAAAAGAACAAAAAGAAGTGGTTCGTGACGAAGTATAAAAAGATAATGCCAAACTATGTCGTAATTGAACGGTTCACCTTTTCTTTGCTTTTTAATGGCTTGAAGTTTGATACTTGGCTTGAATTTCAGGAGATCTCTTATAGGAGTTATGATAATATATTTTTATTATTATTTCTTTATACGGAGGTGTCTTTCACAATGACATTGGGGGAATAACCGTCAACATATTTGCAAGACGCTGGGAATTAGTGGACAAGATGGAATGAACAATACAAAATGGCTTGCTGACTGAGTAGAAACACATTATATGAAAAAATGAAATGTTCGGTTGATCGCTTATGTCGACGTATTCTCTGCGTCGGGGCTGTTGACGCTCGTCGGTTGGTTCGTCATGGTAGAGACGTTGCTTCTGGCGAGCGTCTCTCCAGATGCTGGTACCGACTTCGATAGTAAATTGCCTTCTATTCTAGTGCTGCATCCTGCCTTTGGTGACTCTTCAATGACAAACTTCATTTCATCTGCCGGTCTTTCCAGTTTGCTGCTCCCATGATAAAATTCACATCGGAACCGGAGGAACTGGTCCTTATTTCGATACACAGTGATGATATCACCGGTGTATATCCTCCCAAACAAAAATGCATCCTTATTGCGGGACTCTTTGCGTAGTTCGACGTCGTTAACCCAGATGCATCGGCTGGTCTTTGTGGATATCAATGTTACAACATCGCTCATGCGCAACCAATCTTCACCAGCCTCGATTCGAGCTTCGATTGATGGCGCCCAGAAAGTTAGCTCAAGGGCATATGAGGGAATTCGAATGTCCATATCGTCCGGGTGACGGATTGTCGCTTGAGTTCCTCGGCCCCAGGACGTCATACGCGATTCAAGCCTAATTGGCTGGTCGATGATCGAACCTGGTAGTGGCGTTAACTTCCCCAACACCGTAGCAGGTTTGACGAACTGGTTTTCTCCATTCTCGTTGTTTTGTTCCTGTATATTGTCAGTAACCTGCTGGGAATCAGGATTGTCATCTGGAGCATCTGGGCCGAGCGAATTTGGCCGGGGTTGGGACGAGTATGAGGCTTCAAGACCTGTGCGTTCGTCAATTGTACAAGCAAGTTCATCCGGAATCCCATTGGCATCATTTTGGTTGCTCGATTTTGTGCTTCCAACTGGGCTGCGTGGCTTGTTGGTTTCCGTACTGCTGCTCATGTCTCTCGTTACTGTTCTATAAGAATTAATCCTATTGCTGGATGGTGAGGATGCGTTTCTTTTAGGTAAAGTTCCCGTAGCAGCCTCAGCCTCTCCATTACCCCAGCCTTCCTGAGCTTCACCATTTGACACAGAAGCGTATTTTCGATTGCCCAGAGAAGCACCATTCCGTGAGATGGCATCCTTTTGACCAACAGAGCCCATGTGCAGGTGTCCCACTAGGGATTCCGCTCCTAGCAGACTCGGATCAGATATCTTAGGCGGTGGGGGCCTCATAGTAAGCGGCGGGTGTGGTTGGCCTCCGTCGGCAAAGATGTCTTTGTTAATACTAGAGTTCTCATCCGACATCACATACTGGTCAGTTGAATCATCCTGGCACTGGTCCTGTGGATCGGTAACATCCATATCCACGGGATAATCCCGGCCAAACACTCCGGAGCTTTTAAGAAGGGATTCCGTGATTTCTCCAAAGAGGCGGGGGCCATTTGGCGTAGCTCTCACATCGGCACTGGCTCCGAATCCATAACTGGAAAATTTGGGAAGTGAGGGATAACGTACGTCACCTGGAGCCTGGACATATTGCTCTGAAACATCCTGTTCCAAGGTTACACGAGGCTTTTTGGCATGAGTGTTGTGGCCGGAAGACACCAGCTCTCCTTCCTCCTCCTCCTCTTCGTCCGCGTCTTCTCCTTTTCCATGCTCGGATAACCCGTTCGCCATATCGTTGATCACAAGACCAGAGGCATCCAAATCCTCATCTTCACTGACTTCCGGTACAGCGACCAGCTCAGCGAGCGGGCCAGCTGGAACTGGCTCTCCTACTTCCTCGTACTCAAACGCGTCTGATACATCGGCGACCCATGGATGTCGAAAGCATTCCCGCTCCTTTGGTCGAGATTTGGGATCCCGGTTAAGCAGTCTTGAAACGAAATCTATTCCTTCCGAAGATACCCCTGCTTTTTCTAGCAGTGAATAGTCCGCTTCGGTAGTCATTATATTCCGTAACATCTGAGCTCCTCTATCGTCTCCACGTCCCATGAATGGAGGGTGGCCACATAGAATGTGGAAAGCTACTGCACCAAATGACCACATATCAACAGATTGATCGTATGGAGAGGTTCTGGGTAAACTAAAGGTAGGTAATAAGTTAATACTTGAGCTCGCTGATTTGGGCGGGAGATGGGCACTTACGGGTCGCCCGGTCGACGCCTTTTTCGAGGAAAGTGGTGCTTATAGGAGTCGTATTCCGGATACACTTCGGGTGCGCAGTAAAGCAGCGTCCCACAAAATGTCTTCAAAAAAGTTTCTTCCTGGGCCACTTTTGAAAGTCCAAAGTCCGATAGCTTGATGGTAAGTGGATCAAACGATGAGATGAGGATATTATCGGGTTTTATATCACGGTGGGTTATTCGCCTTGCATGAAGGTACTGTAAAGCATGGAGAAGCTGGCGAGAGATTGTTTTCACCAAGTCTTCAGGTAAACTTCCAACTCTGCTGAGATAGCTTGAAAGCTCTCCGCCTCCAATGTATTCCATAACGATATAAATCCAGCGGTTATTCAGGTCGAAGTAATCATGAAATCGTACAATATTGGGCTGTAATACTAGCTGTTAGCAGTGTCTTAGTCTTTACCTGAGCTGGGGAAAGGTCCCTACATGATCCAAGTCTTTCATAATCCTCATTTCGCTGTCAACCTTGTGGTCCAAGACATTGTTCTTCATGAGGCGTCGTTTATCCAGTTCTTTGCAAGCAAATACAGCGCCATCGTTTTTGGTAGCCAATTTATACACGGTGGCAAAGGCACCCTTTCCAATTTGGCCAGTTACGTTATACTTGGCTCCACCATTCCAATGCATTCCATAAGAATGGCCGGTCTGTTGGGGCATAATGAACTCAGGGACTGGAGGCTCCCCACGGCCAGTGTCTCCTGCTTTAGTATTTAATTGTCGAATTCGGCCTAGGTACCAGGTAAGATTCCTGCTGTACTGCGCCTGGAGTTCGTCTCGAGGAGGCATCCTAACAACAAATTTTATAGCAGATGACGGATTGCTACCGACCACCTGAATGACTGAACCAGGCATAAGCATCTGGGTAGTCGGACTTTCATATTTGCCATCTCTCCGGATAAGTTTTGAATCAACGATAGTTCCATTTGTAGACGTATCTTGGAGCATAATGATGCCGTCCGGTTTCAAGTAGATGCGAAAATGGGTATTTGACATCCTGTCATCCGGAGCAAATATGATATCACACCTGGAGACGCTTCGGCCAAAATAGAATCCCATGCTCTGGTCTTTCACCTGTGAAGAAAACCGCAAGGCAATATCCCAGGTTGACTCACATGCGACTGTATCGCCAATATCACAGTCAAACTCATCTCGCTGGAGGATATGCTGTGGATTACGGTCCGCCGTTGTAGATACCGCAGTATGCGCAGCAGGAGAGCTTGGATGTAAGATGCATATAATGTCCGCTACATCTTGCTGGCTCAAGCCTGAGTTATTAATGCCCCTGCGGCGCGGGTCTGCGTAGGGCTGCGTCGACGGCTGGGTTTCCTCATCCATGAGGCAGGTAATTAAGTGATGGAATGCGCTGTTGGGAGGAATAACGATGGTGGGGAACGATGTTTCTATTAAACCATTGAAGGGAATACGTAAACCACCAGGCAGTCGATGCTGGCGAGGGTGGTAGCGGCGTGGGATAGGTTACTAGTCCTCAGAGGATGCGTAAGCCTTGGACCATGCCTCCTTGGGGGTTTGTTGGTTTTACTGTGGAATATCCAGAGCACCGTCAGCCTCGATAATGTAGAGCAACTGTAAAGCGCTGGAGATGGGAGGATTCGTATATCATGATACTATATTGCTCCCATCCTACAAAGTGATGACGGCAATACTCTTGCAAGGAACATAACTCTCTAGAATTAACAAAGAGAATGCTTGGGGAAACTAACCCTTTTATATCCAGGTCATGCAAGGGTCTAACTTCACTGCCTCACCAGGCACCCAGGGCTGCTACCTGGCACCTACTAAAGCAAATGCTGCAGCCCCGAGGACGCCTCTCGTTGCTGGGGTGCTTATAACCCCTAGTCCTTATCAATGGCTACGCCCAACTCTCGAGTATAGAATCCTAGAGGTGAACTTGCAGCCAGTTGTGGTGACTCGTTGGTAGCTTTGAGAGCCGTTGGTACGTAGGGCGGAAAGGCCGCGACAGGCGGGTGGAATCAGAGCAAACGAGGCTGAGAAGACAGGCAACTATCAAACAGAGCGTCTTTAGTCTGATTAGCGAGTCATAAAACCAAGGCACATCAGTGACAGGCACAGTGGGTAGGTAGCCTGCCCTGACGATTTGCCACCGAAGGAAGTGGTTCGCAGAAAGCATTGACGACTTACAAGCAAGATAACAATGAATGAAGGGCACGCTGAAGCATGAGAACGACACGCTGTTTCATGAGGTGGGCAAGAGAGAGGCTGAAGGAACAACGCCGTCTCGAGCCCCAGGATCAGTTTCAAAATAACAAAACTATAAAGCTTCGGATTCCCCATTTCGCGGAGTCCGGAAGAACTTCTCGGAGGCAGAAAAGGCGGCGGCTAGCCTAATTGGGTTCCGCCTTCTCGGTGCCTGGGACTAGCCTATTTGGGCTAGACTTGCCGCATTCAGATCATGTGATACTGCTTATTTCTTGGTGGGGCTCAATATCACGTGGGTGTCAGGACTTCCTCGAGCGTCTTTGATACAACTACAAGTTGATTGATGATACTTGATATATCTATTCATGCTACACTTGACTGATACTATCTACTATGTGCCTTTACTATGGTGTGTTAACTTTGAGTTAATTCATTTATAATTGCATGGATAAGTAGGATACTAACAATTATGATTTTGCGGGGAAGGCTTTGATTGTACAACACTTTCAATACCTTCCTGTATTTCCGAAAGAACTCCTATCTTTTGAAGAATATATCATTATTTGGGGGTTACCCTTATCTTTTTTATTAATAATTGCCACTTTTTTCCTACCTATGCTGCCTGGATTCAGAGAACCAAAGGTCCTGTCTATGGTCTCTCAGTACATTTAATGAGGTCACCAGATACACACCGTACGATGCTCTGTTGTTTTCCCAACGGATTTCAAGTGGAGGGGTAATGCCTTCATTTATCAATTCCCAGATCATGAACCCGCCACGGCTTATGAAGAAGCGAGCTTATATGAAGATTATAAAGGAATACCTGCGTCCGGTGGTATCAATATCTACAGCAGGTTGAAGAACCTATGAAATCTCTCGGACTCAAAATTCAAGGCTCATGTCCCTGGTGTAACCATAGGAAAATTTTGATGAAGGAAAATATGTTTATTTGGATGGCCAAAACCTATAGTCAGGAGTACACTGAACACACTATGATAGCTGGCGAGTTCTGTAGGGATCACTTTTGAACCGTCTTGTATTAGTTACCTCACCCATGATACGTCAAGTTGCAGCCTAGGTTATGTCGGTTTTCTCTTTTACTGATTCGAGCCACAGAAATATGTCCATTATCCCGCACTTTGCCCTTCAATTCCTTAAAAGACAGATGGGCTCCTGGAATAATAGCTCAACAATATAGAGCCCCAATCACCAATTAGATTTCATACAACGTAACACATTGACGGTAAAGTCATTATCAAAATTAACAGTGATCCAGGTGATGTCATGCATACCAAGCTTGCTGAACCCCGCTAACGGGACACTGATTGGTAGATATTCATTATGCATACATATATAAGCCCATGCAGAAACCCCCGCCTTGACATCCCCGGACATTTCATCACTCAAACCCCCTTTATCTAATACATTAACAGAAGACACTCTAACTAAATGTCTGGCCCTATTTTGAAAGTTGCCATTACACAGGCACAGCCTAAATGGCTAGACCTGGCGGGCGCCGTTGACAAAACAGTCAACCTTATCACCGAAGCAGCAAAGGGGGGAGCAAGGCTCGTTGCTTTCCCTGAATGCTGGATCCCTGGGTATCCAGGATGGATTTGGTCCGTGTTTTTCAATTCAATCATCCCAATATAATCATATACCCGGGAGTCAATAGTACAATCACTGACACCATCATGTGTTGATCATAGGCAAAGACCTGTCGACCCCATTACCAACACGAAATATGTACAAAACTCGCTCTCCATCAATTCTCCCGAGATGGAAGCTATCAAGTCCGCTGCAAAGTCTAACGCCATCGCCGTCGCTCTCGGCTTTTCCGAAGTATCTGATACCTACAGTGTATACATCTCCCAGGCCATCATTTCGCCGAAAGGCGAGTTGCTTATGCACCGCCGCAAAGTCAAACCAACACATATGGAACGCACTGTCTTCGGAGATGGTTCGGGCGCGGATCTAAATAACGTCGCAGATGTTGATTTCGGCGGCGATATTGGCATTGTCAAGGTCGGAACTCTAGCGTGCTGGGAGCATGCGCTGCCGCTACTCAAGTACCACACCTATTCACAGAAGGAGGTAGTGCATATCGCCATGTGGCCGCCTATTGACCCTCATCCTGGTGTTGAGGCTCCCGCATTGTGGAGCATGAGTGCCGAAGGGTGTCAAAATTTGAGTCAAACGCATGCTATTGAAGGTGGTGGGTATGTGCTACACTGCACAGGGGTCTGCAACGAGGAGGGAATTGAGACAATGAAGACGAAAGGCGGGCTTCTATTCCAGGAACCTGGTGGCGGACATAGTGCTGCCATAGGACCAGATGGTAGAAGGTTGACTAAACCGTTAGCTGACGGAAACCCCGCCGCCGAGGGCATTGTCTACGCCGATTTGGATCTGGCCAGAGTGGTTATGAACAGGGGCTTCCTAGATGTGATGGGACACTACAGTCGACCGGACCTCTTGTGGCTAGGAGTGGATAAGGGGCAGAAGGGATGCGTGGTTCCCAAAAGCGAAGGCGATAAAGATGCAGGGCTCCCGTCCAATCCAAAGAAGTAGACTAGGAGGCTCAATATAAAAATGTCTACAGTTCACTCTCCTGGACCTAACTTAGCTATTTACCCCGCGGAGTTGGCTGTTTAAGGCTCAGTCACACTCGGCTGCATATAGGCTTAGGAGTACAACTTGTTAAATATGATATACTACCTTCGCTAGTTATGTGTAAGCCATGCTTCTCCCTTTGTTAGCGTTCTCAAGGATGGACCAAAATGCAGGGTTTAGAGGTCAGTGGTACATGCATTGCAGGACTTACGTCCTCGTAACTACTACTCAGTGTAAACGCATGCATATCTGTCTATACATCGATGCTCATGTAATCTATACTTAGATCATGTCTGCCCACAATACTGCCCATTCTTCTCACTCGTAGTAGTCGAAGTAAATTTACCGCTCATTGCCAGGTCCATAGCTTTGTCTAACTTGTCCAAGGCCTCGAGGCTTATTTCTATATTTTCCATTAGCAAATAACTTCGTTAAATTATGCACTCGAATGAACCACTTACGGTAATGTACCACCATCCTGCCGCCCATAAGTTTCAAGCCATGCTGTCGTCCAATTTCTACCCAGTCATCGTTTGACACCCCAGCCGCATCGAGGTCGAGCCATACCATATTGGTCTCCACGGGGTTATTCAGCTTGCCGCCCTTTTCTGTCCACATCGTTGCAATCTTCTTCGCCATCAAATGGCTATTCAGAAGCAGGCTTCCCTCGCCGTTCTGACCACTGCCAAAAGTCTCATTGACCGCGACTCGGGCAGCAGCAGAAATGACACCAGACTGCCTCGTTCCTCCGCCAATGGACTTCCTAAACCAGCGGGCTTTTTTGATATATTCCTTCGAGCCTACCAAGATACTCCCGATCGGGGCACCAAGGCCCTTTGAAAAGCAAAGACTGACACTGTCAACCAGCGATGTAAAGCTCGAGATGCTGCCGGCCCCAGCAACAACTGCTTCCCATAATCTGGCCCCATCAAGGTGGACTTTCAATCCGCTTTCATGTGCCCATTTGGAGATCCGTTTCATCTCATCGAGCGGCATTATCATGCCATCTAGGGTATTTTCAAGACTGATAAGTCGCGTTGGACAGCCATGAATATCGTCACCTAAAACCGCATGTGGTTTGATGTCTTCCAATGTTAGATACCTTCCATTCTTAGGTACGATGCCCTTGACATAGGCGCCGGTCCATGTCGATACACCTCCACCCTCGTAGTTGATAATGTGAGCGCGATGGTCACACAACACTGCATAAGGCGGCTGTGTGAGGTGTGTTCGGATGCCAACTTGATTCCCCATGGTCCCGGACATCACCAGTAGAGCACTTTCGTGATTCGCCAGTTCGGCTATGGACTGTTCTAGAGAAACGGTCACTGCATCTTCTTGGAGAACGTCATCACCCAACGATGTGTTTGTGATGGCGTCGAGCATCGAAGGTGTTGGCCTTGTCATGACATCACCTACAAGTATCGTCAGTTTATCAATGCTTCTGGCTCATAATAGCCATACTAAGGATAATTCAACTGACTTCGAAAGTCGAATGCGGCCTCCCCAGGACCTTGCCATGCGTTCACGGCCTGCATGGCTCGTGGATTCGGCTTGTGCGATCGGTGAAGAGTTTGACAGCCCGGCGTTTGTGTCCCGGCGTGGTATAAACGAATTGGCCTGACCTGAGGCTTGCACAATTGTCTGATCGTACACAGTCCTCTGTTCATCCTACACGAGGGGTCGCTACCGAAGACGTCGCTCTCGAGAGGTTTACTGTTTTACATGGGCTCGTATATACCCCGCCTAGCGCTTTACGACTGCCGAGGGAACTAGATCGTATAAACCGGAGCATATAGAATTATCCGGGCGACGGATCTCACCACTTCAATTAATATATATACTACAGTTTCTATTCAATATTTACATACAAGTACTAGCTACAGCATATCTGCTTCCTCTCGTCGCATCGCGGCTTGTACCAGGAGATCTCTAGCGGCAATGGCAGCTTTCCGTCTCTTCTCCGCGTCCTCGGTATTTTCCTTTGCATCACTCGGATCACTTTTACCGCGTGGTTTGTTCAACGCAGTAGCATTAGGGATATCTGGTTTATCCGTGGTAGAAACTGGATTCGTAGACGTAATAATTTCAACTCTTAGGTGCTCCGAAGCCGATCCGTTTGGCCGGCCACGGCCACGCTTTGGTCGTTCGCGAGTTGGCTGGGGGCTTGTCTGCCGAGTTGCGGTGACGGTTAAGGTCTTACCATCACCAGCAGCTAGATCCGGAGGCGCAGCGGCATATTCCGCCTTTGTCTCACTAGGTTTAGACGATTTGGTCGATGAGGTACCCTGTGGAAGTGACTCGTCGTCGGTAGCAGGAGCAGCTAAAGTTTGAGATTTTCGGGATTTCTGGTTCTTTTTAATGGTTAATTTTGGTCGCCGTCCGCGACGGCGAGTGGCGGGATACGGTTGCTCATTAGGGGTTGCCAGTGGTTCTTCTGGTTCTATAGATCCTCTGTTTAGAGCGGGCTGGCTGTCTTGTGTTAGGGATTGGACGTTTGTTAGCCCATTGGAAGACTCGGGGATTTCTTCAACATTTTGATTCTCAACAGCGCTATTGTCTTTTCGGTTCCATGTTGTGTCTGCTTCCACGGCTGTAGTATTCATAGAGGTCAGGTCCCGATCATCGATATCACACGTCCTCTGCTCGCCGTTTAGAGGTATAAGAGGCCGTTTCCCATTTGAATTCGGGGTATTACTAGACTGGAGTCTCTCGATGTCTTCGCCATGGTTCACGAGGGGGTGAGTGGCAGTATGGAATACATTTTCGCTCGCTTCTTCTAGGCCGATCACTCGACTGCTCCCGAAGTTCTCTAGATGAATAATTCCAGAGGAAGCAATCTGGTTCTCCGGCCCAGAATTATCAATTGCCCTCGATGTTTCTCTTGGGGTTTCGCCAGAGACTTTGGGGTTTCCACTTTCACTCAGCCTGTCCCTCAAAGCCTGGTTTTCATGTTCCAGTTTTTCAATCTTAGCTGACTTTGATTGTACTTCTTTCATCGCAATGGCAAACACTTCAAAGTGATCAAAAGGACGATTTGATCGCCATTTTTCATGCTCCGTTGCACATGCAGATGACACTCCGTGTAATTGTTCGCGAATTTGTTGGAGTGTCCGAGTTAACTCGTTGACGGCCGTGGATATAACACTCATTGTTTTGTAAATCGAGGCAACGTCATTTTTCGACGGCTCGATTATTTGTTGCATTCCACCTGGATGGATTGAACCCATGGCGACATATGGCCGAACGGTGGCCGTAAACTGATTTATCCAACCCTCGAATTTTTCGCCGTCCGTTAATTTGCAGGGATTGATGACCGAATTAAAACGCGAAGAAAAGGGCTTCTTAATGATATCAACTCTCTTGAGCGAAATTATTCCGAACTCCTTAACTTGGTGATTTACGCGTTTCCGTAGAAATCGCGTCTGGTGGAAGGTCACGTGCTGCTAGGTGAGAGCAAAAGAGTAAGCAATTCATGGATGAACAATATATTATTCCCGCGTCTATCTACTCTGCATCATTTGGACATTATTAAGTATCTATTTTACAGCCATAAACCCGCATCCCTCCCTAGCTTCTTGACACGCACGTTTAAGCGCTTGCTCTTCAGTATCCGTCCATTTCACACTCAGCTCGTCCCACGGCTTTCTGCTCCGAAATTCCTCGTAGTATGTTTTGCGCAAGGCTTGTAGGCGAGACACCTCCCTTGGGTCGCCAGTGCCTGAATATACAATGAATAGGGCACAGGGTGGTAGACTGTCCCATATTTCTTTGATATAAGAGACTGTTTTCGCAACAGTCTGCCCCAGTTCCTCTGGGTCTGCTGCACTTTTGGTATCCTCGTCGGATATATCGGTAGATTGATTATCGCGGCTCGAGCCAGGGATTCGATTGCACCATCCGCGGAAAATTTCCAGACTGCGTAGTCGGGCCCAAGTGAAATCGACGCCTTCACCTGATATGAGTTCACCAGTTGGGTCCCCGTTGACAGCAATTTTAGTGGACCGGACTACCTCCTCGTCACTAGAACAGCCTAAGGTGAGACTGGCTTGCGCACCAAAGCCACGTTCTGGGCTTCCCCAGTCAACCACAGCTCCAGTTCGTCCACCATCCGGGACAGGGCCGGAACCTTTTGAGGTCTTCGAAGATCGTGACAGTCGCTGGAATATGCTTTCAGTGGAGGCGTCGCTGGTGCCCCATCTTTCGCCCTTTTCGCATTTCTCCTTTACAAGATCCAACACTGCCTTCGCGTCCTCAACGGAATCGTGGCCAGCCTCTCCCTTTTGGATTTCTCGGCCAAGATACTTCTGACACAGCCATTTTAGACTAGGTTTCAAAGGCGGTCCTCGTGGATGTGGGTATATAGCAGCCGTGTCAACGATGAAAGGGTGCGTTAGCTTCAGGGCGTTAAGATCAGAATTGAGAGAATGCCCGATCAATATTGAACGTGGCGTCAAGATTTTGAGCAGTTTCTGTTGAATATCGGATAATGTCGTAACGATTGGGTCGAGTTTCTCCTTTGTGACTCCGGAGAAGCGTGTTAAATAGTCTATGATAGGCGTTGCTGGCTTCACAAACTCATCCAGGACATGTCCGCCATCCCATGACATGAGACTGATTCTAGTAAGTTCGGAATTCCCACCTTCTGTGATACACATCTCACAATCAAGTGCATAAATGTCGCGTCCAGCAGTAACGCTACCTTCCTCTATTTCGCTCTCTGGTACAGTTCCTTCGGAAAAATCACCAACATGGGTATCTACCCAGCCATGTTCGGTGGATTGACCGTTGATGGTACGCAATTGAGCATTCTTCTCCTTTGCCTCGGCGGAACTGAACAGCGCAGGGTGTAAAGGATATTCATGCTTGATCAAATCATCAACAGTACTCAAGAAAGTAGTAATGGGCGTCCGCTGGGGGACAAAATATGGCGCGCCCTTTGCAGGCTTAGGTCCCGGAGAGTTGTTATTTTCCTTGGACTTGGGCAAAGACGATCGTAATATGGCCTGAAGGGGTGAATGGATTTTATTATATTTGGAGTCCCCGGGGGACTTGACTGGCCAAACATGCGGAAATATGTCCCCCAACGGCTGTAAAGCTTCAGGCAGCTTATCCTTGGTGATGACCCTGGGGGTGAATTGGTGAGCGGACCCCTCACTGATGGGAGAAACACCTCGCTTCCAGCGTTCGAACTCGTTTGGTTCTGCCTCCTGGCCTGCATCTCCTTTGCCAGTCGTTTCTGCGTCAGAGGCCAAGGATTCCCCTTTAACCAAAGGGACAGATCCGTCGAACATCCCCAGCTCCAGTCCTGGGACCATGAGCATAACGACTTTTCTTACATGGCCAGAGTGCTTTACTGATATCCACTGCGGTGCGACAGCATCAGCAAGACAATACAGCAAAAGTCCCTGTAAATCCGCAATTCTGATGGACGACTGTCGCCGGCCCAGAGCATAGGTCAAAGTTGGGTATTTCGTCTTCTCGTTCCCTATCCTTTTTCGCTTCTTCATGGATGTTCTATCAACCACTTGCCACTCCGCGGTTGGTTCTTCTTCCCCTCCGCCGGAGGCACCCTTGGGCAAGGTTGACTCTCTAAGTTCATTCTCGTTGCGAAGCAAAGATAGCGTATCCGCTAAACCAAATCCCTTACTACCATTACTGGAGGCAGGAGTTACATTCAAGCCGTCTGGCTGTGCATCATTGTCTGTCGGGAGATCCCCGTGTTTCCGCTTTCTCCCCATCTCTCGAGATATCCTACCGCAGGTCTGCTGCGGATTCAAGGATAATATATATGTGCAGCGGCGTTCGGGCTCCAGGCAGGGGGCAGCGATGTAACGGCCGCGTCTTGCTTCCCTTGACCGGTTTTTCCCCAGGAGAAAAAAATCACAGCGCGATTATCAGATGACTAAGACATGACTAATCAGACTATCTTGATCACATGATATCTCTCCCGCATTTTATGTTTTGTGGCGGAATTTTCAGTTTCAAACGCTTGTAGCAGTTAAGCAACACGGCTGGTGGCTTGAGATCGACCCTAGTCGAGGTGCCAGGGGTGGGATGGTATGATTGGGCGATTATCGTGGGCCAGGGTCTCAATGTTGGTACACTTCGCGATACTCCGGAACCACGATTGGGGACCAGATATATCCCGGCCCTCACGCGCATGATAACTGCTATCAATTAACTAACGAGTGGTCCAGCATGTGAAGTTCAACAAGGGGGCATTCAAGGTGTCAGGCCTCGCCCTCGCGCTGTTTGCGTTGACCCAGTGTTGGCTCTGATCCAGACTTTGAGCGCCGACTACGATAACCGCTGCCCCGGTGCGCGAAATCTGGCGAATCAAACTCCCTGGTTGGGAGTGTTGGACTGTTGGTGACATACATACCCACGGATGAACATACACTGACGCCGTCCACGCTTCATTTTGCACACCTTACGCCTCTTCTGCACAGGCATGTCACGCGAACCAGGCAAATGCCGGCATTGCAGCTACTCGATATCTTATCACAAGGAGTTTAAACATTTACCTAATGTGGTGTGAGGGTATAGGCCGGAGTGAGACACCCTTCCAGGCTTCGTCCGCTATTTCTTACATACGCCTACATCTACGCTGCGTATGTACGGTGTACATGGTAGTTGATGGCCATCTATGTATACGGAGTGCTACGAAAGCCAATTGTTCTCCCGGACTAGGATTCTTGGGACCAAACCCTCTCACGGCGGTTTTTACACGAGGACCTTAGTGCCCATCATGACCCTGGGTGGCGGTATTCAAATCTCTGATAGCGTTCTACAAGGGTGGTGCAGCATTAAGGTGCTACGTGGAACGCATATCCTGCGTAATACCACTCGGTTCCGCTAGCGGGCACGTCAACTGAATTTCCGAAGTTGAGGGGGTTTTACCATTCCGTGGAGATAGTCAATCCGTCATTTTACGCAACTCGCACTTTTTGTGCACACCATAAACTTTGAGCGTGCTTGAAGCCGTGTCCAATGGATTTGCTTTGTTGGTAGCGCGCATTCTCTCGCCTAGGTAAGTTTTCAAACGGCTATCCATAGGTCTGAAACAAGCTGATAATTCCCGACGTCTTGGGCGTCAATCAATCGCTTAATCCTACAGGTGTTCATCGAAGAAACTTCAAAAGTTATCGGTTAAAGCGACGACCGCACCGCAGGCCGATTGATAGACTAATGCACAGGGTCGGGTATACCGATCCCGTTAATAAAGAGAATTCTAATAATTTCGCCATTTAGCCCTTTGCGTGCCAGAATAAATACTATGGCATGTCTATCATGCTGTTACTAACGAGAAAACAGGGGTTCCAGAAAGCTTTGTTATCAAACGCTAAAATCGTGGCCTAAGGCAAAGCTATCCCGCCCAGACCCTAGTCTACCCTACCCAGGATCTGGAATTTGCCCCAGCCTCGGTGATTTAAGTTGTCGAGTGACCACATATGCCCTTTCTCGCGGGGATCTGGTGGAATGACTTCCTAGGAATCGATCTCCAGTGCCCCGGCTTCTTGCCCAAGGCCGTGTTGTTAAGGGGTTCAGAGCTCAGACATGCGCGACCATCATTTCATTGATCCATGTTTAACCGTCATCGCAGATGACACTATCTTCTCTTTTGTCAAATATCGCTAAGGGAACAGAGTATTCGCGATATCCGTTGGTTTTCGTGGCCTTATCAGCACACATGAAAGCCCACGGCCGCTATCAGTAGGACGAAAAGATGGCCCCAACTCCGCTTAATTTTGTCAAATATGGGGAAGTGGAGAAAGCTTGACCTTTCTCCCGCTTTTCTCTTTCCAGTCAGTGGGGCATGCGTCGTGTGCATGATTTTGGATATCCTCCGCGGCCACCCCTACCATGGCTCCAAGGACACCTCCGTGAGACTGGGGGATAGCGAACAGAATTGAGACCAGCAAGGTCCCTTTAGAATTCATTACCCTTTGAGCCCAATACTCCCCGGCGATGACCCCGCCTTTAATTACGATACTACCTCTATTGGCATTAGTTAGGTGTTTATACCTCTCTTAGAACCATGGTCAATGTCTGGAACAGAGTTAGGGTGATATCAAAATGCAAAGCCCGACCTAATACCACCATGGCAATCCCATCTCTGAACGCTTCCCAGGTTTACTTATAGTTCTCCCTTCTTCCCAGACGTATAGCTCGTCTAGGCTTTTTCATTTTCATTTTCTCAATGAACTCCTGAAGTCATACGGCTTTGGTATCTGTGGCTCCAATAGTGCTATAGTACTCAAATTCCACAACTCTCTCTGGGGTAACCGACCTGGCTCCAGAAGATGCCGTTAAACATCCCCTTCTTTAGGGGCAAGGAGGCGGCCTCGACTCCAAGGGATGTCGTTGGGGAGCCCATCGAGCATGTTATAACGACGTCTTCTGGGGAAAAGGAGAAGGCAACAGTGACAGCAACAGAGATATCCGATGTTGAGGCAAACAACAGATTGAACATGTACCGCCGGGCCCACAAATGGGACCCCAATCTCGGGAATGATACTCTCGACGAGGTCACCAATGCCGCTGTGTTGAACGATTCTGGTGCCCAGAAGGTCCTTGATAGGGTGATTGAAAACTCACCTTATCCAGAGGTATGCCCCCCTACATCCTTTAGCTTTGTGCTTCAGCCTTATCAAACCTGCGCCATTACATTTGCTGACTTCGAATTTGTCGTCGCCCTTAGGTTAGAGCCGCAGTACGAAATTATGACGAAGAGCTCCCCGCAAGTACCGTTCGCGCCTGGGTGATCGGAATGTTCTTGACGACTATCGGTTCCGGTCTCAACAGTTTGTTTTCCCTCCGGGCTCCTTCTCTGATCATTTCGTCAGTCGTCGCACTCCTGGTCGCATACCCTTTGGGTGTCGGTTGGGCAAAGGTTATGCCGGCAAGAACATTCAATACCTTCGGAATGAAGTGGCAATCAAACCCAGGCCCATTCAATGTCAAGGAACACGTCTTGATTATTGTCATGGCCAATGCCTCGTTCGGAAATGGAGTCGCATACTTCACCGACACTATCCAAGCCCTGAAGGCATTTTACCACACGGACTACGGTGAGTTCCGGTGTGACCTCTTTCAGAAATAGACTCTAAGACTAACATACGATGCGAAAATCAGGCTGGGGTTTTTATGTATGCCTTGCCTTGAGTACCCAGATAGTTGGGTTTGGAATAGCTGGTATCGTACGCAAGATCCTTGTGGAGCCAGGTATGTTAAATAAAGCATTACCGGACATGACTGCCTTTCCGATACTTTTCTACTCGCTATCTTGACACCGTACTAACTTAACCCAGCTTCTATGATATGGCCACAGGATCTAGTTAGTGCGACATTCGTCTATACTCTACATGACAACACGAAAACCAACCCAGCCGAAACTAACGGCTGGAAAATTAGCCGCTATCGATTTTTCCTTTACGTTTTTACAGGTTCATTCATTTGGTACTGGTTCCCGGGTGTCATCGCCCCGTTCCTAAGTGTCTTTGCAATCGTTACTTTCATTAAACCAAAGAACGTTGTTCTCAATCAGCTATTCGGCGGCTGGACCGGCCTGTCACTGATCCCTATCACCTTCGACTGGACACAGGTCACAGGTACGTTTACTGTTCTGTTTTCTTTAATTCTTTGACTAATATTCTGTCATAGGTTATATCCAGAGTCCTCTAATCGCTCCCTGGCATGCAATTGGTAACACTATGATTGGAACCATTGGCTTCTTCATCATCGTAACATGTGGGCTGCATTACTCGAACCACTGGTTCGCGCAGTATCTTCCCATCAGCGACTCTACTACATACGACAACACTGCAAACCCATACAATGTTTCAAAGATCTTGACGCCTGAATTTACTCTTGATGAGGAAAAATACAAGGTGACTGCGCAATCCTATTCTTGCTTTATATATTTTATCTAACCCTAGCTCAGGCATATTCCCCCCTTTTCCTTTCTACAACATTCGCCATGACGTACGGGCTTTCGTTCGCCTCGATCGCAGCAGTAGTCACACACACTGCCCTTTTCCATGGAAGCCATATCTGGACTATTGTCAAGGATAGCCGGGGTGATCTTGATGACATCCACACTCGCATGATGAAAAAGTACAAGGCCGCGCCCTGGTGGTGGTATATAATATTGCTTGTCGTCTGTGTTGCGCTTTGCCTTGTTACATGCCTTGCTTGGCCTACTCACCTCACCTGGTGGGCCTTGCTACTTGCCCTGTTCATCTCCCTCGTGCTGACTGTCCCCATCGGCGTGGTTCAGGCCACAACGAATATCCAAATTGGATTGAATGTCTTCACCGAGTACATCATCGGTTACATGCTCCCAGGCAGACCTCTTGCAATGATGTTATTCAAGACGTATGGTTATATCACCATGGTTCAAGCACTCTCTTTCATCCAGGACTTGAAGCTGGGTCATTACATGAAAGTACCTCCACGAAGTCTGTTCTGGGGCCAACTCATTGCCACATTGTGGTCCTGCTTTGTCCAGCTCGGCGTGCAGATTTGGGCATTGGAACATATCCCTGATGTCTGCAAGCCACATCAGGCGAACCGATTCACTTGTCCACAGGGAAGGGTATTCTTTGGTGCATCTGTGATCTGGGGTGTCATCGGCCCCGCCCGTATGTTCTCCGGAAATGCTCTTTACGCGAGCCTTCAATATTTCTGGATTGCTGGCGCAATTGCGCCTTTTATTTTCTATGCCCTCGCCCGCATCTTCCCACGTTCAAATGCACGATTTTTGAGCGCACCAGTTATCTTTGGTAGTTCGCTGTACATCCCTCCAGCCACACCGTTGAACTATGTAAGTATTTCCACCATTTCCTTTCTTGCCCCTACACCCCTGTGTCGTCGAATACCCATGCACGGTATTTTGAGAGCTCCATGATACTAACAACTTCGAATAGCTTGCATGGGGTATTGTCGGCTATGTGTTCCAGAAATATATCCGCAACAGGTACCGAGGATGGTGGATGCGTTTCAACTATATTACCTCTGCATCTCTAGATTCCGGACTTGCAATTTCTACAATTGTTATTATCGCGGCTCTCAACTTGACAGGCGCCAAATTCCCATCGTGGTGGGGCAATACGGGGTCCATGGAGACTCTTGATAACTTGGGAACAGCTATCCGGCAGCCCCTGCAGGAAGGTCAGAAATTTGGGCCAACGGTGTGGTAGAAGTTCTATCATTTTGACATATTCGGATGTTAAGACTTTGGCATTCATACTGCTAAAGTAGCGGGGGGTCTTGAAAGAAGTATACACTTCTAAGCAGGCTCTTCCTATCATTTTGTATCACATCCAAATAGACACCTCCCCTATGTGGTGCAGGCTGTTGTTTCCTCGAAATATATTTAGTTAAAATAACTTGAGGGCAATTGAGAATCTCCTTCCTGGTATCCTTTTCCTTGATCACCTTCTTGTCTCAACAACTAAAACCTGACCATATCAGCTAACTACTGGACGGCTGCTATCTGATTCTGTTCTTCGACCAGCTTCTCCTTGGCCTTCGCATAGGCCGTCCACCAGCCCTGATTAGATCGCCGCGGGAGAAGGGACCAGTGCTCCATTACAGCCTCCTCCTTTCGAGTCATGTCCATATACACAAATGCCCACATTCTTTTATCGTCCCGGTCAATATTCTGCTGTTTGGCTCTGATACGGGGGGTGATATGTTGCTCGTTGCACCCAACTCCGTAGCAGGCGAGCAATGTACCACTCAACATTAACACTACCGTGTAAATCTGGGTGAAAAGGGATGACATGCCTAGAGCGATGGCATGGACCGCAAAGGAAGACCAGCCCGCTCCTCTAGCAAACTTGTACGCGGCTGGATGTAGAAGATCTGCCTGCCTCGTAAAACATTGGCGCACCACGCCTCGGGGAGCGGACATGGAGACAAGCTTGCCATCGTCAAGGGCAACCAATACCTTGACTATGTCTTGATCGCCACTCTCACGGCCCTTACTGACAGCTCGTTTTGCTCCAGCGTCAAGCCCATTTCGCCGCTCGAGGAGGAGAAACCATCGGACAATAACGGAAACTACCATAGCGACCACGTTGCATAGTCCAAACCAGTCGCCCATAAGTATGGTTAACACGAGAAGCGGTGCAGTGGATATTGTTCCAATAGCAAGAGCAAGCATGTTCCTCGTTAAGAAACCAGATTGTGGTGACCGTTCAATGTTCCAGGTGAAGCAGCTGGTGCTAGTCCTGAGATTCTGCATCTTTAGCCATCGGACTAGCCACCCTTTCACCTCTGTCGTCATTATAGAGTCAGTTATATTGTATAATGCGAACCCAGGGAGCTGGGCAGTGAAATGGTCGTTGGCGAAGACATATGCCCCGAGCATCGGTAGGAATTCGGCATACGGATTTTGAACTAGGCGGCCGACGGCGATGTCAACCTCGTTACCGCCCAGCATAGTAACCAGTCCTAGAGCATCTATGCTGAACGGCGACCAGTCCTTCAGCGTACGAAGGGATGCAAGCAAGGACGTTGTTAGTGGCGTTTGCGAGATGGGGACCATAGTTGCTGAAGTGTACATGTTGTATCTGGGAATAAGCCATGAGATGACCAAGAACCAGGAATATACACCTCTGCGTTGGGCAACTTGTTAACAACCACAGCATAATTGATACTCAAAAAGTAATCGAGTCATGTACGACTAAAATACTATTCGATGCAACCACTACTTACTCGCACACAGCCTCGCTTTTAAGGTACATAAGCGGCGTCAACCCAAAACCGCAGGCTTACTGTGACCTCTGGCCAAGTCACATCCATGCAAGAAGATGTAACGTCGTTGTCTGTGTCGTGAGCCATCATGATCTATTCCCTCAGTATCGCAGCCCGGACGCTGGATGATTGCACCAGAGTCTCTAGTTTCATCAGTGCCAACTCGAATCGTAGGTGATGAACTGAACTCCCTGTGCTCGAGGTGTTGACAAACTGTTAGCCCAGGCTAGTGGTCAAATATCAAACAATAGGACCAATAAGACGAAATGGCTTGCACCCAGCAGTCTTACTGGACGATACTGCGCCACGGACACTGATAAATCATTTCTGATAAGTCACTATTCCTATATCCGCGTGGCCGAAGCCCTATATGGGCGCTTTAAGCCTCAATAAGCCTCCCCTGCCCTGGCTAGGACCCGTCGACTTAACTATACGAAGCAGCCATAAGCGAACGAACTGGCCGCCATGTTCCACGTTTCCTTAAATAGCTCCGGGTGGTAGGACGCCGTCAACCCAAGTCGTGCATATTTAGCGAACGAAGGCGTCGAGGCGACAGCGGCCAGTGAACCGAGATGGGAAGCGAGATATCTCCATGACACAGCTGCTAGCCAAGAGGGTGGGTTGAGATATATATACCTATATATGCCGGAGCCGGCCTTGTCCAAGATGGCCGTTTCGATCTATCCCAATATCTGTTGGCTGCGATGGTTGCTGGTTTCGTTTCCTCCTCGTTGGCTGTCGGTCACAATGCAGTCAAGTCGATACTCTTCCGAGTCGCCGGTCTCTGCCTTCAGATCGGCGTCTTCAAGTTCTTTGCTCTGCTTGCGTCGGCGAAAAGTGCGTTCACTGCCTATCTGATGTTTACTGAGGATTATATACAGAGGGCCCTGTTCGTATTCTCTCGCGGATTCTCGCACCACGCCGTTCTCGTCTTCTTCTTTACCATCTTCTTACTCGGCTCCGGACTATACGACACCTTGCTCTGGGGCCTCGATTCTCCCGGCTATATTTCGCAGAAACAAAATGTCACGGCTTCGACGGTCAAGAATCACTTGCTCAAGAGGCCGGGGTACGTGATATTCTCAACCACAAAGCCAGAGGATCTCGACACCCTTGACCAGCATTTTATGGACAGCATGAACAGTAATCTGTTCGACTCGAATCTGAACTTTTCTTTGACCGGTCAAGTCAACCTGGGGACGCCAGAAACGATCCCTCCAACCCAAAAATTCAACCTGATGAAGAACATCGGGCCACGGATATGGCTGGACAAGGAAGGCCTCTCCGTGTCGCCCGATACCTACGTCACTACGAGTTCGATAAGCAACCTTGAGCACAAGGAATACTATATTTGCCCCTGGGCTGCCCAGGTGGAAGATCAGCTCGCGACATGGGCATGCTCATTCGATAATATCCACGCGGACCAATTTGCAAGAGGTCTAGTCGGTCGACCGGAAATTCATTGGGATGATGTTACGGACCAGAACTATCTGTCCGAGTACATGCGCCCAAACCGAGAGGACAACCCCTGGACGTTCGTCGGAGCCGGAGGCGAAACTGCCATGTTGAAGGAGATGTTCTCTGTCACCAAAGGCCAACGAAGACATACCTTTCTGAGTACTGTGATGAAAGTATCGGCAGTCTACAATCACAAGGAGCCTTTCCCAAAGGACTCAGTACTTGATCTCGTCAAGCGGTCCTGGTCCCCAGACCCGGCCCTCCTGGATGATCCGCGTATCGCCAAAATCGCCAATAGGATTGAAGCCGGAGTGTCAAAAAACCAAAGCTTCCAACTCGGCTCTGTTCAAAAGTTTGGACACTCCGTTGTGCAGCTCCATTACGAATATTTGAATGTCGTCTCAACTCAAGACATAGTTGCCTTTTCGCTTTTTCGCATCTCGCTAGTCAACATCACCATCATCCGTTCGGAAACGCTGCCTGAACCCGTCAAGCCTTTCGAGCCGTGCGATCGGTACTACCACAATCGAGCAACGGGGGGCAAGGTATATGGCACATCATGCTATGAACAGACTGATATGAACAACACGGGCGCGCGCTTTTTCGGACAGCTCGATAGCTCCTCCGTTCTCATCATTGGAAGCACCCTGGGAGACGGTAGTACCAACCTTAGTTCCAAAGCACTCAATCAAAACGGCTACGAATGGATTGCCAAAAACGAGGGCAAACTGGAGAACCTCGTCCTATCCAGAGGTTACATAATGGCCATTGACCCGAGCCTTGTCGGTCTAGAAATCAGCAAAGTGCAAGCGGCAATGTCACCTCTTCAAGTTCTGCTTGTTATACTGCCTATCGTCTTCTGTGCTATTATCTGGGGTTTGCTATGGCGCCTTGCAGAGTCACACTACGCTTCTTCGCTTCTTGCCAATCTCTACGCGACCACGAACGTTGGCGACACAAATACCAGTGCAGATCCTGGATACATATACAAGATGCCTGATATTAACTTTATCAAGAAGGATGGAAAGGTCCAGATGGCCACTGCGTCCGGCGTTTTCATACATCACGAGCCTGAAGCTATGGAAAACATGGAGACAGGTTATGTGAAAGTGCAAGATCCGAGGGGCTCATATACCCCTATCCATAACGCACAAAGCGACGAATCTTCTACTCGGGTGTAATGATACTATAGCTCCATAACTTACAAACTAATCAATTTATAATAACTTAATTAAGTCTATTTTTCCATGGGGTACTCTACTCCTTTGATTGTAGCTAGTTCACTGCTAGTGGATGTAGGTTGAATTCTCAAGTGAACCAAGCTATCAGTGTAATAAATAAAGGATCTATAAGAGATATCAACTTATATAGATAACTCAAAAAGGCAGGCAGAGCTATCACATGATTTTGATCTGATAAGTCCGGATAAACTATTCTCCACAGTGTGAGCAAAGTAAAAAATCAGATAACGCAATCCTGGAGCCGAATTTATTCTCCATCTTTATTCGTTATTTCTCAGCAAACCGACCGACAGAGACCAGTTCAGAGGCTCGTTTCAGGGGCACAGTTGACCGGCAGGCCTAATCTACATCTTTGGAAAGATATTTATATGCCCTTTATCTAGACAGCCGAGCATCTCACATACCATACCTCATCCCACCTTTTCCTTAATATCCCGCGGGGCCAAACGCCATCATGTCGGACCTTCACGAAATCACTTCCGAGACCGACTTTGAAGCTCACGTTTCCTCTCTACCTGCATCGACACTTCTCGTTTTATCCTTCCATACCCCATGGGCAGCGCCATGCACCCAGATGCGCACTGTTCTCCAGACTCTGGCCTCTCTATACACACCCACCGCCCCACTATCAATCTCCTTCATCAGCGTTAACGCGGAGGAACTCCCCGAGATATCAGAACAATATGAAGTAACAGCCGTTCCATTTGTGGTGCTGAGCCGGAATAATACCATTATCGAAAGCATCTCGGGCTCTAATCCGATTAAAGTCCGTGAGGCTATTGAGAAACACTACCAGTCATCCTCAAGCGCCGGTTCGACAGAGAAGCAAACCATCCCTCCACCGCTTGAGGCCGTTCCTAGAAAAATAGACGAGGAAAAACAGCAGAACAATCAATTGCCACATGCAACGTCGTCCTCGGGGCTGGATACAAGTGGAACGAATGGTGGTGCAGTAGAAGATTCCCCTTCAAAGGAGGAACTCTTTGCTAGAATTGGAGAGCTTGTCAAGGCTGCACCAGTGATGTTATTTATGAAAGGAACTCCTAGCGCACCCCAATGTGGGTTCAGTCGGCAGCTAGTCAGTATCCTGCGAGAGAACGGTGTGAAGTACGGATTCTTCAACATCCTTGCAGATGACGATGTAAGGCAAGGTCTTAAGGAATTCGCCGACTGGCCTACATTTCCACAGTTATGGGTAAAAGGCGAACTTGTGGGAGGTCTGGACATTGTAAGTGCTCTTTTTCCTTTTCTGTCTACTGTTATTTGCGGAGTAGATACTAATACTTGTTCCTTTCTCTACTATAGGTTAAGGAGGAAATCGAAGCAAACCCAGACTTCCTTCGGGACTATGCTGTTCCGAAAGGCCCTTCTACATTACCCGCTTAGACGAACCCAGATTTCTTTGAACACCTCTTTACATATTAATCCGCAGTGGGACAGGTAGTAAAAGAATTATTCAAGTAGTTCACTCCACCGGGTATTGTTTTATGCGCCACCAATGGCCGATGTATTTGCAAAATATCATACCCAGTTTCAAGCAAATAAAGATATAGGGCAATTGTTAGCGAGCTTGATTTACACGTTACATTTGCACCTCTACCATATGCGCCAACAAAGGCCTAGGCTAGTAATTTTGTTCAAGGGTGGGAATTGTCTAAAATTTATTGATAACATCTAATATACACTGCCAACTATCCTAAACTCAGGTTGTGTTGCTCTGTAGAAAATGGTAAAGATAAAGCGAATTAAGGGCATGGTAGGGTACAATATCGGCTTCTATAAACCAAGAGATTTAAACTTAGAGCGTACCGCGTCATCGTCAACGTAGGTACCACGTAGCCAACGGTCACGGCCCTCCGAGCCCTCTGCAGAGGCAAAGGCTTCTCGGCCGTGTACAACTCGTTGGTTTTGGAATATGACGCATTCGCCTGCGTTCAACTTCAGTTTGACAACGTTGCTCTTGCGTTCAAGGATAGACTTGAAAACTTTTAAAGATTGCACTATATGGTTGTGAGATTGATCTACTTTCAATCCTGCCCTGTGGTTATTCGTAGTAGCAACTTGGAATGGCGGAGAATAATTGACGCGAACGACGCTCTTCTTCCCGTAAGCTCCCGATATTTCTATCGTCCTCCGCCGGCTTATATAGTCTTGGTTGTCATTTTTGTATCCAAAGCCAACGCGACGCTCGTTGAGTAATGTAAAATGGTTGTTGTGGGTTTGTCGAAGTATATTTGCGGCATGGAAGCTGTCCGCAAAAAGGGATTCCCCGCCTGGTAGCTCATTCTTCATGCAATGCAAGAACTGGTACCCAGGGGGTTCGTTGAGGTAAAGGAGATCCATGTGAAAACCAAGAGCGTCATTTGTGTAAGCCACGTTTTTCGGGTCGGGTATATTTTTAACGTCCCATGTCGGGCCATAGAACGTATTTTTGATGGGTCCAAGCCTAGTAGCAATTTTTGCAACACTTTCAGTATCCTCGGGTACATTCCTCAGGAATAGCAACCCGAAATTTTTGAGTTGCATCATGGCATCACTGAACGTCGCGCCGTCCTGCATGTAATCCTCGAAGGTTACCCAACGATTTGATTTTTCGAATGCTTTTTTATCCCACAGAGAAGGGGGGCTTAGATCTGAGTCGGGAACGTCGGCTTTTGCCAGGTCGGCTAAATAGCTATTCTTGAATGTGGAAATATGATCTTCGAATCCAGGGATATCATCCTGCCACTTAATTTTAACTGACGAGGAATCAACCTCCACGTCCTTGGCGCCGATTCCAATGGGTATCTGGGCTGCCTCAAAAGTGCGTTGCCTTGTGGATGGGTGAATGCACCTAGCGCAGTCACAGCTCTCCCGGAGGAAGGAAGGTTCAAAATAGAATGTTTCGTCGTCAACTTTGATAGGGATTTTGGCCTTTCCTTTCTTCATCCTTGGTTGGTTTTTAGCAGCCTTGGGCTCTTCCATGGCTCCCTGTACAACTCTTCTGATGATGCCGCTGGTAAGAGGTTGAGTGCGTGCTAATCGTCTAGACATGTGAGGCATATGTGGCCCAGTGTAATTGGAGTTAAAACGGCGGATGTGGGCTCTCCCGGGAACAGCATTTGGTTTTTGTTCTTCCCCAGATACCGTGTTGGTTGAAGGGTTGATTTTGCCAGGGGCCGCCGCTGAGCCATTGCCCTTTGGACTGCCTATATCTGGTTTAACATTTGGCGCATTGGGGTCCCCGGCGGGTTTCGAGGTCTCTGAAGGGGTTGATTGTGTTGAGTTACGCTCTTGGGCGCTGGAATTGTCGGAGTCGGACGGCTTTGGGGCCTCGGAAGTGGTAGAGTAAGAAGCTAGAGCTGGCAATCGACGAGAATATGGCGTTATACCCAGGGAACCCCGAGTCCCAGTAATTTCAGCTCCGGACGAGCTAGAGGCGAGCCGCAGAGCTCTGTATCCTGTCGCCAACATGGTAATTGAGGGATGTGGTTGACTGATGTAGAGAATGAAAAGACGCTTCCAAAATAAAACGAAAGTGAACGTCTCGGCGTTATGTAACTATTACATAAGCAGATCCGTGTAAATGCGTTCCTGGCTCAACAATTTTACCAAGGTCCAACCAAAACATTCCTCTTGCTCTTGAATCACCCTCGTTTGTCTACTTTGTATGCCGGTTAATGTGTGTATCGACCCTCCCTTTCTTCCAGCTGGATCTTAATTTTACCGGCTACTTGAATTTGCGCCCTACTTTTTCGTTTAAACGCCCATGTTATATTGATGAATGTCGGCGGGTGGTGAACATTTAAAGGATGAGGTATGCCATGAAGAGTAACTCTATTAGTTCCGTATTTTGGGTCTTTACACATGCTAATTGGGTTCTCCAATAGGGCAACCGAGGTCAAGTGGTGGCTGCCGGTGCCGTAGCAGGACTCGTTTCGCGGTATGCATATTATCTCGCATCGCAACCTGGACATGGTGGAAGATAAACTAACCACCCGAGATCGGTATAGGTTCTGCATCGCCCCGCTAGACGTTGTGAAGATACGGCTCCAGCTCCAGATCCATTCGCTCTCCGATCCTCTATCGCATCGTAATGTCAGGGGGCCGATTTACAAAGGCACAATTTCCACTCTATGCGCCATTGCGCGGCAGGAGGGTATAACAGTATGCATCAATCCACCACCTTTCTAATTTCTGTTCCATCCATATTCTAACAGGAATATCTACCCAGGGTCTCTGGAAGGGTAACATACCCGCTGAGATTCTCTACATTTGCTATGGCGGAATCCAATTCACGGCCTACCGTAGCATAACTCAACTATTACACCTACTTCCACCACAACGTCGACTACCAGGCACAGTTGAAACGTTTATCAGCGGCGCAACAGCAGGTGGCTTGGCAACGGCCTCAACGTACCCGTTCGACCTACTACGCACCCGCTTCGCTGCCCAGGGTAATGAGAAAGTGTACGCTTCCCTCGTCAGCTCTATACGCGATATATACCGGTATGAAGGGCCCCGAGGCTTTTTCCGCGGTGTCACTGCCGCCGTTGCGCAGGTAGTTCCTTACATGGGCCTGTTTTTCGCCACGTATGAATCCCTCCGTAAGCCGATAAGTAGTATTGAGCTACCGTTTGGATCGGGGGATGCTACGGCCGGCATGATAGCGAGCGTTCTGGCGAAAACGGGAGTGTTTCCACTTGATCTTGTCCGGAAGAGGTTGCAGGTACAAGGTCCTACGCGGTCGAGGTATGTGCATGTGAACATACCCGAATACCATGGGGTTATTAGCACTATCAAGACTATATTGGGTACGCAGGGGGTTAGAGGGCTATATCGGGGGTTGACTGTGAGTTTGATCAAGGCTGCGCCGGCTAGTGCGGTGACTATGTGGACGTATGAGAGAACGATGGCAGTGCTGAAGGAACTGGATTCCGAACGGGCCAGGTAGCGTCTTCATTCTGTAACAATATTGTTTTTTTCTTCAGGAAGGTTAGATATCGGCGTTTGGACAAAGGGATGGGAGGGTTAAAATATCTTCTGTTTGCGGTTTGAATAAGATTTTAATGCATACTTCCAACATTTAACATTTAAAGCTAGGAATAGCATGAATAGCTACCATCGAAAGGAGTAATAGTATGTAATCAAGTATAATTATTCGAAGGTCCTTCGGTACGTCGTACTAGAGCACTTACTTGGCATACTCTGCCTACTAAAAGAAGGAGTGCATGGCAGTCAAAATGTGTGCATGTGTGCGTGTGCGTGCTGGCAGCAAAAAGTGGGAAAAGGTATAGTTAAGTGACAAAATTAAAAAGGATGTGTGGATATGAGGCAACGAAAGCAGAGGTTTGGGGGTGTCAGTTCTCCATTCTCCTAATTTTTTTTAAGGTCAAAGGGTCCAGGAAGAAGAAAAAAATAACGAAGATAAGGAGTATCTAGTACTCGGCACCCTCGTCACCTTCAGTGTCCAAGGTGTCGCTGGCAACTTCCTCATAATCCTTCTCCAAAGCAGCGAGATCCTCACGAGCCTCGGAAAATTCACCTTCCTCCATACCCTCACCGACGTACCAGTGGACGAAGGCACGCTTGGAGTACATGAGGTCGAACTTGTGGTCGAGACGGTTCCAGGCCTCGGCGATGGCGGTGGTGTTGGACAACATGCTGACGGAGCGGTCGACGGGGGCGAGCTCACCACCTGGAACACGCATTGGCTTCTGGTAGTTGATGCCGAGCTTGAAACCAGTTGGGCACCATTCAACGAGGTTGAAGGAGGTCTTGGCCTTGAGAGAGGCAATGGCAACAGAGCAGTCGCGTGGAACGACGTCACCACGGTACAAAAGGGCGACGGCCATGTACTTTCCGTTGCTTGGGTCACAGACGACCATCTGGTTGTGTGGCTCAAAGCCTAGGAAATGATGATTAGCATGGATGATACAAGTTTGCGTAGAAGGTGTGGCACTTACATTGGAAGGTGAGGTCGTGAACCTTGAAAGATTCGTGGGAGCTTCTGTTGCTGGAGATGACAGGAGCGTAACTGATCAATGGGTAGTGGATACGTGGGTATGGCACCAAGTTGGTCTGGAACTCATTGAGATCGACGTTCAGGGCACCGTCGAATCGGAGAGAGGAGGTGATGGAGCTGACAACCTGGGCAATGAGGCGGTTGAGATGCTCGTAGCCGGGACGAGGGATGTCGAGGTTACGGTGGCAGATGTCGTAGACTGCCTCGTTGTCGACCAAGAAGGTACAGTCGGAGTTCTCGATGGTGCTGTGGGTGGAGAGGACGGCGTTGTATGGCTCAACAACGGCGGTGGAGACACGAGGAGCTGGGTAGACAGCAAATTCGAGCTTGGACTTCTTTCCGTAGTCGGTGGAGAGACGCTCGAGGAGGAGAGCACCGAAACCGGAACCGGTACCACCACCGAAGGAGTGGAAGATCAAGAAACCTTGGAGAGCAGAGCAGTTGTCTGTGGTGGTAAACATGTTTAGTTGATGCACAGGGGTGACCAATCAGACGCGATGGAGGGGCGCGCTATCTTACCAGCAACACGACGGATGCGGTCAATGACATTGTCGACAAGCTCCTTTCCAATGGTGTAGTGACCACGGGCGTCTATTCCAGTTAGCATTTATCCTCGTACACGGGATTGATATACACGTACAGTTGTTAGCAGCATCCTCCTTTCCGCTGATCAACATCTCAGGGTGGAAGAGCTGACGGTAAGAACCAGTTCGGATCTCATCAATTGGCTATAGACAGTCGTCAGCAGCGTGCAATGCGAGCATACACAGGTCAATGTACGTACAGATGGGTCGAGATCGACGAAGATAGAGCGAGGGACATATTTGTTGTCTCTGGTCTCGGTGAAGAAAGTGTCGAAGGAGCCTGGCTCGCAGGTATCGGCGGTCTCGGGGTCGAGACGACCGTCGGCCTTCAAACCGTGCTCGAGGAGGTACCTGGACGCGTAAACCGTGAGCCTGATATTCCATCTTCTCTTCTTCCTCTTCGTCTTCCACGTATATGTATTTTTTTTCTGCCCGATTTCCCGATTAGGAGGGGGACGAATGGCGGTGAGCAACGTACAATTCCCAAGCACTGTTACCGAGCTGGGTACCAGCCTGGCCGATATGGAGATGGCAGACCTAATTGACGAGCGAGAGTGTCAGCATGAAACGAGCGAGAGAAGCGTACGGCTCGTAAGGTGGTCAGGTAGAGCATTGGGCAGACGGGCGGATGGTCTGTGTTGAAGCTGGGGGGTCAGGGGTTCGTAAACAAAACGAGCGATGCCACATACCTCGCCTCTCATGGTGACGGTGGATTGATGTTACTGGGGGAGAGTGGAAGATCGAGGATGCTGAGACGAGAAGATACTCGGAGTCGTGGAGGTGATGGAGAGAAGAACAGAAAGGGGAGAGAAGAGAAGAGAGAGAGAGAGAGAGAGAGAGAGAGAGAGAGAGAGCGAGGAGGTTTGCCCGCCCTTTCTTTGGCTTCTTCGCTGGCCGGACGATCGACGTGTGCGCGCTAGTTCCCAATCGGGCATGGGCTTCTTCCCCGTAAACACGCTGACTAAGGCATCCCTTTGCCCCTATACAGAGTGTTTACATGTCTCTCGGTCTTGTATCTACGGGAGTTGCCTTGAGCTTCTCGTGGTGACTTCTGGACGTGAAGGATCACTCTACTCCGACGGCTGATACGTTGTTGTTTGTTGTTTACTCGTCGCGGGCTCATCCATGGATCACATGTCACGTGGTTAGTCGTCCCTGAACCCCTTTTCTAGGATCCATGATATCAATAACTGTCTTATATCAGACATCGGACATGTCCGTATACTCGATATATTCGATGAAACCAATATCAACCTCATATGGACGAATTGAAAGGAGGATTACTTCTTCCGTCAAAATCCTACATAACAACCCTATCTTTATAAAGAAATTTAAATTACTCTTACAATAGAATTTGTAATATGAACCTACAAGATTAGGTAAGGCCCCTTTCCCTATTCCTGTCAGATACTTAGTTAGCCCCCTCTATATATATAGGCACAAATGGCCTATAGATCTAAATATCATTATTATCTGTCTGTTTATACCTATTTCCAACCTTTCTATACTTTTTAAGACGGAGATAGACTGTATTATGCTTCAAAGTAAGAGATTTTGATCGAGTGTCTGGACTTTCTCCAACTCCGGAAATCCCCAATTCACCATCCAGTCAGACACCATCAGCGACTCAGCCGTCGCCCGTTCGTCTGGCCTGAACACAAGCATTGTACGAAGCATAGCTAGGATAGCCGCCGTCTCTTCCCCGCTGAATTCGTCCATGCCGTCTTCCCGTCGTGCAGCCTGATATCCTCTTCGAATGCAAACTCGAGAGATTGGACTGCACTTTGGCCGTCCTTTGGCTGACCTGCCTCGTCAAAGTACTTGAGACGTGCCTCCCACGTGTTCCACCATTCAGACGGGAAGGATGATAGCCCAAGAACATCTACCTGCTGGGAGGCAATATCATCGCGCGTCGCAAGCGTACTGTCAAAGAGTGACCGCATTCCAAAAATGGGCCACATGGCGCAGGCGAGAGTCCAGATATCAGATGGAAATGAGAGAGGTTTCTCAGGCTCAAAGAGAGCCTCAGGTGGTAAGACTGGAACGGGGGCATGACACTCACCACCAGGCCGTTGCTGAGTCGCTGGTGGGAAGCCTTCACCGAAGTCGCTAAGATGAAGATGCGCCTCACAGAGTGGAATTAGGTTTGCTTGCTTCCCTAGCCATACTGGCACAGTTGCATATGCAGTGGCATTGGGGGAGAGAGGCTTTCCATCAAGGCGGACAAGTCCTTCTTTGCAAGGCTCACCGAAATTTTCATAAAGCTGGTCAGTTGAGAGTTGATTAAAGCTTGATGGTAGACGAAGAAGAATATTTCCAAGGCGAATATCTATGTTTTCAGACGTTAAACATTTATAGGAAAAAGCAGATGAACAAGCTTACCTCCGTGAATAAACCCCTGGGCATGCGTGTATGCAACGGCCAAAACCAGCTGTGCAATCAGTGCACGAGCAGCCTCGATTGCAAAGCAACAGCAGAATTTTGCTGCCCCTACACTACTCCGAACTGGAGCTGTCACATAGCATCTATGCCGTCCGTTGGGACCTTGGAGCTCAAATTCATCTAGAATTGTAGGGATCATAGCCCGGCCCAGATGGCCAGGTTGAGACCTTGCCAAGGCATGTAGAATTTCAGCCTCGTGAGGAGGTGCATCTGCAGTGCTGACTTTGACAGCGACATAGGCTCCCTGTTGCCTATCATTTGTGAGCCAGATGGTGGAGTACGTCCCATAACCCAGCTTGTGAACAACTTGGTACCGGCCTACAAGGACGTCTCCAATGAGTATAGGATAGTAGCCGCCGGGCTGGATCTTTCCAGCCTTTCTACACCATCAATCCACTGGTACTTGGAGCATGTAACGCTTTCATTTGAGGACAACGTGGAGTTGAACGTTGCAAGATACCGCAACGGAATATATCGGTGCAATGGTGGTCTCGGAGGATGTGTGAGAAGAGATATTCGTCGGTAAGAGGAGAATATACCAGAAATCAAAGGGGTAATATGTCTCCTGGTCATCCCTAAAATACAATCTCGTCGATGCGACCAAGCTGTGTCTATCTGTTCTTTTTATGCAGAGAATGCATAGTCACGTGTTCTAGCATTTCCCGAGACAAATCCTCCCTTTTTCGCCCATTCTTCTCTTTTCTCACGCCATGAATATGATACAAAGTGATACTCTCGCCGACAAACGAATATCTTGCCTGTTTCATTATTTATATGGGAATAGCAGCTAATCGATTTCCAAGGGTTGTATCAGGTAGGCCTTGGAGTGACACTTTGCTCTTTTGGTCTTGATGTATGTTAACTCTTGCAATGATATGGCTCAAGGTACGCTCCACCAACCCTCATGGAGCTTCCTCAAATCAATCTCAGCCGGATCTACCAGATAAGAGGTAATATCATACTCTGGGTCCTTCTCCATCTTGGTGCTTCCTTTGCCAAAATACCATACCAGGCAATTATTAGTGTCAGAGAGATACTCATATTCCCAATCCTCCCATCTGGGATCATTAGAGATGATGGAGACCAGTGACGAGCTTCCAGGCCAAAGCCCATGGATTCGCGATCCAGGCTTGCCACCATTATACCATGAACGGCAGTTCTCAGATAACACAGTCGTCTTCCAGAAGGCGTCCGAGTACTGCACAAAGTCGTCGGTGGCTTTCTTAGACGGCTGAATCGTTTTGATACCCTCTCTGCTGACTTTTCTGAGAATCCTTGCAAAGAGCGTTACCTGTACTTCCACGTTGTGCGGTACCGTTCCAGAGCGGCCTGCACCGTTAGGTCCAAGGATAAATAACAGGTTGGGGAACCCAGGAGTTGCAAGACCAAGATAGCTGTAAGGAAACCCGTACTCTCCACCTTCTGACCAGAGTTTGGTTATATCCTTTCCATTTGCAGTGATACTGAATGGAGGCACTGCATCGATGTTTGCCCCTGTAGCAGCAAATATAGCATCAACTTCTCGATGTTTGCCGTCTACTGTTATGATACCGGTCTCTGTGAAGCACTTGATTGGCGTCTGGATATAGTCAACATTTTCCGCAGTGATAGCTTCCAAGTATCCCGGACCAGGCGTCAAACGTCGGCAATGTGGAGAAAATTCCGGTATCATAGCTTCGACTAGTTCTGGTTTCTTAGCTAAACGCTTCTTCAAATGCTGAGTATATTCTTCACGTGCGTGCTCATTGCTCTCTGAGTCCTTGAGCCAACCGTCGAAACCACGCCAGAAATTCTGTTCTATACCTTTGCGGTACTTGAGGTATATGTTCATGTCGCCAAATGAACTTCTGGTCTCTCCGGGTATAGGGAATGATTGCAGCTTTGTTGAATCTCCAATAAAATCTGTCGCTATCCATGTCTTGCTACGTGCGTAGTGATCCAAGCGCGAAACCTGACTTTGTATATTTGTTGCCAGTTGGATACCTGTTGACCCGTTTCCAATGACTGCGACTCTCTTTCCTACAACATCAAATGTTGGATCCCAGTTGGATGCATGTCGAATCAGCCCTTTGAAGTCCTTGAGTCCTGGATAATTCGGCAGTTTCCAGTCGTTGAACCTCCCTATTGCCGTCAGTACGAAATCGGCCTCATTAGTGTAAAACTCTCCCGTCGGAAGGTTTTGAATCTTGATCAGCCAGATGGACCTTTTATTGTCCCATGAGAGTTGTTCAACGCGCTGGGAGAGTTTTAGGTACTTGTACACTTCATACTTCCGCGCGATGCCCGTCCAGTACTCTCTAATCTCTGCCCCCTGGGCATATTCCTCAGACCACTGTGTATTTGTCTCAAACGATGTCTGGTACACATGTGCTGGGATATCACAACGGACACCGGGATACACATTCTCAAACCAGGCTCCTCCCTTTTTTGTTTATTAGCACAGAGTAATCTGTTGATAATACACTTGGGGAGCGTCACTTACCACGTCTGAATTTTTTTCGAAGATGGTCAACTCAATACTAGGAACCTTGGCTGGAAGCAGTACTCCAGCAATGAGACCCGATAACCCTGCACCAATAACCGCAACCCTTATTTTTCGTGGTTCATCCGCATATCGATCAACAAGGGATATTGTGGGAAGGGTGTAACTCGGGTGCTTTGGTTCTAGCTCAGCTTCTGGCAGTATTTTGTTGACCTCTGGGGCAGCCGTGGCCGGGATAGGCTGCTCATGGGGGATCGTGGTGCATTGAGATCTTCCGGTCACTATCGGATGCTCAACAGGCACAGGTAGAAGAGGGATTACTGTAGCCATTTCAATCTAGGCACTAGAAAACATATGGAACACACCCATCAAACAGTCGGACGAAGTTACAATATATACCGATCCTAGCCAAGGTCGGTAACAGGCGAGAGCTAGTTACCGCTCTCCAGGAAGAGCGTTTATTACCTATTACTACCCAGCGAGCAATATCAGCACACTGACAGTGAGCAGATTAGTATGTACTTTAGGAGCAGAGTATATGCCCAGATGTACTCTGCATGGTGCTAAAAGCCCACACAGACGGTTGACAGAGAAGCAAGGTACTTAGTGACTAGGTTGGAGATATCCTTGTAATATCAATGCGGACTGGGGGATTGCTTATCTTGATTACTGCATATGATGGTGATTACTGCATATGATGGTGATTACTGCATATGATGGTGATTACTGCATATGATGGTGATTACTGCATATGATGGTGATTACTGCATATGATTACCCGTTAGGTAACTAACTATTCGGGTATCCATTAGACGGCCGCAAAGAGGGCATCCGACAAATTGGGAGGATGACAGCAACCAATTTTGAGGAAAGTTGCTGGTGAATGTTGAATTCTCAAGTTGAGAAAGCAATCCCGTAGCGCGTTACACTGAGTACTCTAGAAGCTCGATGCACTTCTCCATAGGTACGAAACTACCGTGGCAAATAGTACAAGAAGGTTTCATACAGAAATGACCTACTGGATAGGGGGGATAGTAGGAATGTTCAGTTATCCGTAGAAGGAAACAGGGTGTATGATTTCCTTATGCTCAACTACCTCTGAAAGAATTATAAAGATAATATAGGCAGTTTCTCCAGGGGCATACTTTATCTGAGAATCAACGGAATTTATTGGAGCTGTTGAATCCCTTAACTAGCTTTGCTGTTACTGCGAATTTACTCTATATAGTATAGACTTTGACCTAAAGAAGTTAATTGCTGTGCTTCCTTGCTATATATCATTATCTTCATCATCCATTCAGCCGTGTACTCTAACTTGACAGTAGAAAACAATTAGAGAACATCAAGTTGAAGTTTAACAATATTAACGAGTGGCGATAGCTAAGTATGATAGAATCCCAGCAGCAGTGATTGATTGGATACCACACACCTATTTAGCTCCAATATTCAGGCATATTTCTCGGCAATCATGAGATTAATGTTATTTTTGAACGATGGTATGCTGTTGTTTTCTACCCCATACACTATAAAACCCAATGGTCACCATTGCCATGGCAATGGACAGAGAGGCATAAACCCAAGCTAGATGGGGATCCTTGTATAGCGGGCTGATAGCAATACTCAGGGAAGAACCTACGGCACCCGTAGTGCTGAATATTGCTTGCAGCACACTCTTCATACTACTTGGTGCCATGGTAAATGCTAATTCATAGCCAGCGGGTGAGGATAACGATTCCGAAAAGGCCTCCAGCGCGAAAATAGGGACTTGTAAGAAGATGCTGACGGAATTGGGAATGGTGCCATTCTTTGATGCCGTGCAAGACAGTGGGTGGTCATAACAGGGCCCTGAGCTATAGATTAGCTTCTGCACGATGGCGGCCATGGCCATGGCGGCTGCTTCCAAGGCAAATCCCCACACGAGACGGGTGACGGCTGTTAGGGCGAAGCCGGAACGCCGTAACCATGGAAAAAGTAATCGATCGATAATGGGTATAACAAGAACGATAACAATGGGGTTAGTATTGTACATTATGTCATTAGGGAGCCCCGAGGTCTGCATCTGGGCAGCTTGCGAGACAAGGTTGTTGCTAACCTGTCCGCGGCAAAGCCATAGAATCGGCCATGCAGCAAACATCATACGACAGGCCGCTAGCGCCCTCTTAACCTCTTCAACAAATGTGTCTGTCCAGGAGACTTCCCGATTGTGCTTGTCCTTTTGGTGAGATGGCTTGGCTGCGTCGACAGAGAAGCCTCCACGAGCGGCAAGCCACATGACTCTTGCGGCATCAGGGAGTGCAGTGGGCTGTGCGGCGACGACGGTGAAGCGCTTACGCCCAAGGTATAAAACAGCCGCAGAAATGGTGAGGGCACAGGTAGGCATGAGGTAGGCGGCCCAGAAGCCAACGTGAAGCTCGAGTTGTGTTGTCGCCAGGCCTGATAGGCCGCCTATATTGATGCCCCAGTAGTACATGTTGTAAATGGACTCCAGGGTCCGGGCTCTATCGATAATAACATGCTCGCCTTTTCTATTCGTGATAATATTCCCATCCTCGACAGTGTACTGATCGCCAACAAAGGAAGCCATGAGCCCGTTCACTCCAGACATACCCACAGCAATTAACACTAGCGACACGACGAAGAGAGGGGCAGCGAAATTCGCCGAGGATGGGAAACTGCAAACTAGAAGGAGGACGGAGCCCGTGAGATAGACGGCAAAGGTGATGCACAGGACCTTGTATCGACCAAGGCCTTTGTCGGCTGCCAGTGAGGCCCCGATGGGCGTCAGCAGGGACAAAATGAAAAGGAGGTTAGAGACCTGCGTCGCCCTCGACTGGCCCCAGCCTAGAGCACCCGGACGCAGCGGGTCGTCGCGCCTGTTTTGCATGAAGTTCATAAAGGGAGCCGTCATGCCGTAAAAAGAGAAGCGCTCGGCTATAGTGAGTAGTATAACGAGCCAGACGGAACCGGGGATTGGGCCAGCGACCCTTCGCAAATTTTCGTTTTCGTTGTCATCGTCGTCTTCCACAATTTGGCCGGACAGGCGATCCGAGCTGACTGTCGCGCTCTCGATAATGCACTGTTCCGCCTTTTCAGGACTGCGTTCGGGGCTGACCATCATCTATCTGTTACAGCCTGGGTAGATGGTAACAGGTAGTTACCTGGGTATAAGGGGTACGTAAACAACAAAGTCGAGAGCGACATTCTATAGCGGACTATTTGTACCTCGCTCATCTAGCATTGGTTTCAGGCCATCCTATCCATTGGCTAGCTTTCTCGTTGGACCTTGAATTCAACTGAGAGGGCGCAGAATTGTATGAAAGGCGTGATCCCACAGCGGCACTGCATGGGATGCAGCTATGTAGTGTTTCCCAATAGGGCTTCCCAACTCCATAACTTTGCCCAGCAGCCGCTAGAACATTAGATATGGAGTACTCCGCACTCGACTTTCACTTGACCGCCAGGACCAGGGCCAGGGCCAAAACCTGGGCAATTGGGAATATTTCGTAGTATAGCTAGGATATTGCAGTTTATACACAGGGAGTTGAGGTCAACCTGCACCGCGAGTAATTTCGCGGACCCCGTGACTCGGAAATATCCTTGCATTTACCTAATCTAGACTAGCGGCCGCTGCTATTGATATCTCTTGGTATGGACATCATGCATCAATAGAACACAGTTGCATAGATATAGTATGTTACATAACTGTTTATGCGTAGCACGCTTATAGTTGATGACTGCATTAGTGGGTGATGACTGCATTAGCTAACTACTACAGGGATGATCAAGCTTCGCTGGATGCTTGTGCAAAAATCTTTGCGAAACGAAACCATTGGCTACAAACTAGAGTCCGAGTTTGAACGGTTGGCGAGGGTTTTAAATAAACAGCCCCGTTCAGAGTATTATTTAAACCTACTGGTATAACTAGTGTGTTAATCTACAAGTTGAGCTAACTATCTATCGTTTTTCACAGACAAACTATATCAAAACTAATAAGAAAAATGGGTAAGTGAGTCAACCAGATAGTGCTAATAGACAATATAACTGATGAGTCGAACAGGTTCAGTGGCTGTTGATACAACGTGGAGATGGAAGCTTGACCAATTACCACAGGAGACTGGCACTATTGTCATCAATATATACCCTAACAGCACGTCTAAAGATTTCGCCCAGGTTTCAACTGAGGGCATCGCTCCATGTGTAGCTCATCAGTTCTTACTGGAAAACACCCCCAAAGGCAATGACCTGGTCAAACTCCTGCTACCAATTCAGTCAGGATATGTAATCCAGTCTGACTTTCTTGAGCGACGCATGCTCGACTGCCTGGATGTGACCAAAGTACAGGGTTTTATAACGCCAGGACAACATATCGAAGGCCCCCCTGCTGCAGCCTTCAAATCTATGGACCCCGAAAACTTGCTCTCCTTTTGCTATGGAGCTATTGTGGTCCAAGATACCGGCTCATTGTTAGAAGACAACTCTACGGCAGTTAACGATGAGTTGGCGAAACGCCTTTCCTTCTCCTGGTACTCACCAAACCCTATACCTCGGAAACGTCTGGCTCTTGTTGGCGCTGGCTCCTTGTTTCGGATACAAGGCTACCTGATAGCGGCTGCCTCACTGAATGTTGGAATAGTCGTGTTTGATGAGGCACATCACTGGATATCCAATGATCTATATCGCCATCTTTACGAAGAATTTGTGCCGTTAGACTTGACTATGGATGTCAACACGACCCAGCGCATTTCAATGGTTTTGACTAAATACCAAAATAGCGCCTTGAAAGATAAGCAACTTGATGGTGTTTTTACCGTTGACGAGCACCTTCGTGCCATTATATCCCATGTGGCAACACAACTAGGCTTTAATACCCCCCCGCCAGAGTCTATAAGCCTAGCCCAGAATAAATTTACAACTCGCCAGCTCGATTCAAATATCTTTTGCCAACTTGTTCGCTCTCCGGCCGAGCTAGAAAATATGATTTACGAGAACGGACCAGAGCTTCCCTACCCTCTGATTGTGAAACCTTCCAAGGGCTGGTCATCTGAGGGCGTCTGGAAAGTGAACAATGAGCAAGAGCTACGCGAAAAGGTTCCTCTATTATGGCGTGAGTCCTTTACTTCGTGGCATGGTTGTGATGTTGTCATTGAGCCCTATATCGATGGCCCTGAAATAGATGCAAACATGGTTCTCGTGGATGGCGAGATTGCCTTCTTTGAGGTTAATGATGACTTTCCCAGTGCTGGAGACTACCCAAATAATGAAAGTGGCGCACGGGTGGCTAACTTCGTTGAGACGTCAAACATGCTGCCATCGGCTCTCCCTTCATCCGAGATTGAGGTACTGCGGCACCGGCTACATGAACTTGCTCTCGCAGCTGGCTTCCAAAATGCAGTTCTACACATGGAGGCCAAGTTACGGAACTCAAGTTGCCATTATACCAAAAACTCGGCTACGGATGGACTAGTCGACCTACAGCCCAAAGAGCCGACAACAGCAGCTGCAATGCAGACAAAGGATGTCTTCCTCATCGAGATCAACCCCCGCGCACCAGGCTGGCAAGAAGTTGAAGCCACGGCACATGCATACGGAGTGTCATATTACAGTATCACCCTTCTAAATGCCTTAGGTGACAAAGAGCGCATCCGGTCTTTATCCAAGCCTTTCATAGGAGGACCCCAGTACCACATGCAGCTGCTATTTGTCTCTGCTCAGAAGGGAGGCGTTTACAATTTTGGCGATATTTGCAAGACCGTCCTACAATCTGATCGAGAATCTCAACTTCGTCCTCACATTGTCAAATGTGCCAATCTCATGGAGAATGGGCAAGAAGTTATGGACCCTAGCACGGGGCAAGTATATGGAAATTTCATTGCATTTTTCCTAGTTATATCGCGAAGGAGTCGTAAGGAAGCAATGAAAATCGGGCAAGAGGTTGAGCGTAGGGTCAGGGAGTACACTAATGATTTCTGACGGGTTTTTAATGAAGAAAAGGGGCTAAAATTACAATACCGATTTTTTACCCCTTTCTATCGCCCTAATCGCTTCCCTCCATATTATATAGACGAGACCCTCTGCATTTAGAGTTACTCCTCGGAAATATAGGGTTTTTATTCATCCATTTTAGTCTAACCTCGAACTCCGTGCAACCCGTTATAATGTGCCTGCAAAGAACACCTCCTGACATTCAACGTCGTCCGCAAGAGCGAGATTTGGATTCACGCCATGATCCATCAAAAGACACACCATACCATAATATCCCTTACTAACGGCTAAATAAAGACTGTTCTGGCCAGAAAGGTCCTCCGCCAGTGGATCCGCTCCCCAATGGAACAGCACCTTCACCGACTCGTAGTGGTTACCTTCAACAGCGTAGTGCATCGCAGTCCTCCCTCGACTGTCAGCAAGATTTGGGTTGGCTCCATTCTTGAGCAGCACATGAACGATGGAAGCGAACCCCTTTTTAGAGGCTATGTGAATGGCATGCAGTCCACTACTTGTCTGCTTCTCGCGTGGGTAATTGGTGTTGTGAAGTATAGAGCTAGCGAGGCCCCAGGATGAAGGTGACATTTCAGGGCTATCACTACTCAGAGCCCCGAGGCCTGGCGTGCCACTTATAAGCATATCTGAAGCATCCCTGTCGAAAGGGCCAACAGCACCTTGATCAATATTAAAAAGGGCGCCCTCTAGAGAGAGCGGGTCAAACTCAATGCTGCCGCCGTGAACGGTAAAGGACGACGTGGTTGACAACGCATAGCCAGTCGCAGCTCCGCCAGGCCAAATGACTTCAGCTTCATCCTGATCACCTAGCGATTTTTCCAGCTGTGAGTCCTGGTTGCTTGACTGTAAGGCCTTTTGTTCCGCTTGTCGCAAACCTGGAACCATGGTTAGTGCAGGATCTGTTAGTGGGTATATGGAGGGGAAACCCGTACGGTAGTTACGCTGCGCATTTCTATTTTGTAGTCGACGTCTTTCTCTAGCTGCCTTAATATTCGTCAACCTTTGCGAAGGCGGATGAGTATCACTCATATTCTGGTCGTCTCTCAGATGGGATTTCGATAACTGATTAATGAAGCGACGCACCGACAACGCCAGCATGAGGGAAGGACAACCTTAATATTTTCCAAGCTTCAAGGGCAGAGATAAGGCGTGTCACATCCGAGTACTCCATACTCTGCAGAATTAATTGGTCAAGACACCCGCTGCGTAAAATGCCTGCTGTGTTTCCATACTCGGGGTAAGGAGGATTGTGGAGTACACGAATTCCCAAAGACAGTGCATAGCTAGTTGTTGGAACTAGCAAGATCCATGCTATTATTCTTACGTGGTAGCTATCCCCGAGATGCTTGACGCCTGTAACAAGGGTATCAGGGGCTACCTATCGAATCAATGCAGAGGTTCGTCTCCAAAGTCACCCGGACAGCTTGCATGGGTATCCCTAGCCAGGTATTTCTAGCTATCATTCGTTTTGAGATATGAGGAACGTGAGTCACTCAAGGCATGTTGAGCTCAATCGCTAGTTACAGGTTAATCGATGCTCCCCTGCAGAGATTTCACCCAGTTAGATATCCCTGTTCGTATATATCAATATTTCCGTACAGCTCGCCTTGCTAAACACTCGAAGCCACGTGACCTGACCATCTTTTTCGGCTCTGCCAATGTCCAAAGAAGATGCTCCTTGATGGTTGTGATCGGTCCGTCGTGGTCACCATTTATTTAGTGCGATGAAAGATGCGAGGTAACGGACAAGAGAGTCCAAAGACCGTGTGCCGATGAGAGTGACCCATCGCGGCTGAGCTGTGAGTCCTGTTGCAACGGAATCAAGCGATTGCTATTGCTCTTGGAGGCGAAAACACAACATTTGGCCATAAGACTATGAAAATCCTCAGGGTTCTTGGCTTTGTGCGGATATCTTGTTGATATCGTGGTCCAGTCTGGCCAACGCCATTCCAGATGGAACAAAGAAGTCAACAGGGGCGTATAGCTTCCATGGTGATGATATGCCTTAACTATAAAGCCCAACCATACACTCTGCCAGCCGTGCTGGACGATGTATCTAGAGCCCACAGGGTCGGCCTTGAACTATGGATAATGCCACACTTTGAGCAATACACGGCCTGGGTATGGTGGCTTGAAAGTTGCGCTATCCAAGCGGATTTTTAGTCTGCTTGATTGTGCCTCCAAACTTGTTATATCTCAGTCGACTTATTTCTTATCCCAGCCGCATGTGCTTCCACCAGAATCGTACCCTAAATCTTATCCTAACCAAAGCGGAAACCAAGGAGTTCCAATCGTGAAGCACGATGTCGTGAGTATTATTCCTTTTTCTTATTGTACGTGTGCCGATAGGCTGGATCAAAGGTGGGATGCATTGCATATGCATACACCTATCAGGCACCACCAACCTGGCTCATAATTATATAATCCCCAGCATGGATGGTGATCTCGCGAGGGGTCGAGGATAAGAACTAGGATTTCTCCGAGACCTTGTACCTGGCTGCCACCCAGGTGGGAAATCAAAGTACCTTTTTCCACTCCTATCACATCTACTCGAACCTCAAATACATTCGACCCTGACAGATGGCTCGCTTCACCGATCTTCCCGTGGAGATTTTAGAGCCAATCTTTGCCCACGATTTCGGGTATGAGAACCCTCACCCAATCTTGGCCACTTGTGCCCGGCTGAACAAAAGGTTCTATGCCGTCGCTCGCCGGCTCCTATACGGTGATACACTTCATATGGGATGGAGCCTTGGGATGAGAGAGCGGCTTCTGACCCGGACATTCTCTAATAACCCCGAGCTTGCCGCCCTACCTCGCAGCGTTTCCATATACGCCGAGTTTGTGGATGACGAGGAGCGCGACATCTTCCAATCGTTTTTAAGGAGTATGCCGTTTCTCCAGAAGCTGAGGGTATCCGCATCCTACGGTCGGGTCCACTGTCCTCCGCTAAATGGAGATGTCGTACCACGCCTGAAATGTCTCGTGGTTTCTAATCCAGGGTGCTACTCACTGCATCAGGTTATGCAGTACTTACAGCTTCCTGCCTTGGAGTCATTGAAATTTTGTGGTTTCGCCCCGCCTAGGAATGGTGATGACCTCGATATAACCTTTAAACCCATGGAGCAAAAAGACGGTGCTGGATCACGGATTAAATCTCTTTCGATTGGCATATATGGGGAATGCAACCATGATCTGGCCATCCTTCTATCCTATTGCCCAAAACTTGAGAGGTTGGCTTTAACAGTCGATAATATGTACGGGTATTCCACACAAATAATCTGCGCAGATATACCCAGAGCTCTAACGGAATGGCCGCTTAACCACCTAACTAAGCTAACGCTGAAATGCAAAAAGTCCTCTGCACTCCACCCTACATCCGTTGCCGATTTAAGCGTATTGAAGAACTTGAGAGAGCTAGAGCTGGACACGATTTACATAGTAGGGCGGGATGCCAATGCATACCCGTCTGGGAGAAGGGGACTCTATACAAGGCTACCACCAAACATAGAGAAGCTACGAGTGAGATTTCTACATTTGTAGTAGTCGGTATTTTGGCCCTTTAAACTAATCATTACCCTAGATAATCTTCCCCGGTCAGCTCAGAGCATTTGAGCCTGTCCCCAAGTTTCGTAATTTCGAGGCGTCGCTGGAGCCCGCCGAAACATTGCGTAAGCCCCAGGCATTCAAACTCGAAAATATGAGGTGGCTCATTGAGGTTGCCGAGGCCGCATCGACGCTGTCATGCCTATCGCACGTATATGTGCAAGAGGACTGCAAGCTCGCTTTTCTCCATGACAATCCTGATAAAGCTATACCACTTGTTCCTCCGGGCCCGCTCGCTAATGCGTTTAGGGCGAGTGGCATTGACCTTGAGCTATGGATAAGAGACGCTGATCTGTAGGAGGTCAGAGTCCCTTGGCTTCCGGTATGTAGCGGAAGACTTTGTGAATGGTGCACAGCGGTGTCGATACTTAATTCCCATATCTACTCAGAGTGCACGGTGCGTTCACTGGCTGGCGAAGTTTGAGCCTATGCGATCTCCAGAGTTCTCCAGCAAGGCGGATAACTTAAGAGAATGTTGGTCGAGGATACCTAGGTACCATCAGGACCCAAGGGAGAACGTTAAAAGGAGCAAATGGGGGTGCCGCCAAAGTTACTGATAGAGGTGGTTCTCAGTAAAGATTTTGATCGATTGTCCTTATATCACCACTTGAGAATTAGGGTAACCACCCAACAGGGGTCCGTTTGTGGTAATAAGAAGGATACAGATTGGTTAAGATAGGTCTTAGACTATGAGATCTTTCTTTATATTCGTCCTCGGGCTATGACTGGAAGTTACAGTTGGTCATGAAATCATCAACTTTTTCAACCCAAATTTTGACTTTTCCCCTTCTCGACTGCCTAACTCATTTACTGCGGCTAAACGATGTCTACCTACCTCTGCTTCGCCCTTCGATCCCGTATGATGATGATGGTGATATTGCCTATGAGTAAGAAACGAAGCTGCCAGCCCCAGATCTGCCCCCGTTAAGGGGGGAGGGACTGGATTACTGTGTGCTCTCCGTTTTGCTCACCTTACAAAGCCCTTTCCTTCTACCATAACGCTTACTACTTCTGCTAGTTGTGCAATGTTGTGTTCTCGCCGTTTAGCTTCCTTTGCCGTGATCCGTCTTGACAACCGCTGGGTACCTATATACGTAGACACCTATTTGCCTATTAAGGTATAGTGTTACGGAAAACTGTAGTTAAAGGAGCACTTAAGACAATACTTTAGTTAACAGTACCAGACTTATCTTCTAAGCTACCCCTAAGACCCTTAAGGCTCCCCTAAGTCTACCTCTAGATTTACCTTAGGCTTTAGATCTGCCCCTTAGGCTTACTCTTAAGGCCTCTCTTTTAAGTCTCCCTAGATCTGACCTAGGCTTGCCTTCAAGGCCTACTCTAGATATCTTTAAAGGCAAGCTTAACCAGAGTATTCTCTTAGGGGCCTTCCTTAACTAAATGGTTTTCTGTGACAATGTTCTCAACCCTATATCAATAGAACCACCCTTGGCGTCATGATGTCATTGACTTTTATCTAGTGCTCACCCATAGCTACTACTAGTGACTTTAAAAAGAGCATCTCCTTCCACCTTCCGATCTTGTCTTGTTCGCAGATCTCTACCAAGTATCTTGACCAGATTAGCAGCCTGTTATCAAGAAGACAAGAAGATCGCAGACAACTTCCCGTCAATAAAACCAACTCCCACTATCATACAGAGCACGCACTTTTCAATCCCTCCAGTATGTATCATGGCCGAAGAACTCATCCATACCTCCCAAATAGCATACGCTAGCCCAGTCGTTGCTCTACACGCGAGCCCAAATGCCGAAACTGCGTCAGGACAGCCCCTGAAAGAAAGGATTAAGCGGTGTAACGAGTCCTCAGAGGGCTCAGCACCGTTTCATGAAATTAAGCGCGAGGACCTTCGCGTCGGTGGCCCGATCCTATGCCGCTTACCCATGGACATACACTCTATCACAGCCGGTGACGCGCTGATTTCGATCTATGAGTCAAAATTACGCGATAATATTTTGGAAATATTACGAGAAAGGGACATCAGGTGGAGCACCATCGACGTCTTTCGATGCCGCTGGCGCGAATCAACTTTACCCCCCAAGCGAACAATCCTCGTTGAGGCCAGAAGGGAGAATATTGATGACCAATGGGTCAAATGTTGCGAACAGATCAGGAAACTCTGTGTTGAAATCGGAGCCCCTGAGGTCAACATCGAGATATATGACCACAATGCACGTGTACCCGTTGTTTCCCATCCGATCGGTCAGGACGATAGAATAGTCCAGCTCTGGCCCCATCTGAGAGAGACAATTCTTAAGGCTCTAGAGGGCAAATTTTGGTTGACTTTGGATGTTCTCAGGCGGGGAAGGGTAGATGAAGAAAAAGTCCCAACCATCGTCATCACTGTTCCCGATATTCCATCCAATGTTGCAAACCAGTGGAGAGATGTGAGAGACGACATAATTGACATCATCACCGAACATGGCCTCGACGATGTCGCAGTTGAAATCGGAAGAGGGACTGTGGATGACCATAAAAGGGCAGGTGATGGCATGTTGGATGAGCGAGATTGGAGTATGAAATCCCATGTTGGGAGAAGTCTAGCTCGTATGGACGACTCTAAATCAGCTGGAACTTTTGGCGGATTCATAGTGCTAGACTTTCCAAATGCCCCATCCAAAGTCTGTGCCCTTACATGCTTCCATTGCATCGTCAACGAAGACGTTCCAGCAGCAAAACGGGACAGGTGGAGACGAGATGGCATTAGGTGCAATGACTCTGACAATGATATCGTGGTTGCACATCCGTCCAAGCGAGACCACGATGATATGATACAGCTTTTCAGACGATCTATCGCCCGGTATCGAACCCGTCAATTTAAGGAACTTGAAAAACGAGCTCAAGACCCAGAAGACCCTCTGAATCCTTCTGAACGGAAAACTTACGAAACCCGACTGAAGTGTATTGCCGAGTTTGAGAGCAAGATTAAACGAGCTGAGGAGTTCATTGACGGAAACCATCACTACTTCGGTACTGTTTTCGCTGCATCAGGCCTGCGATTGAATGAGTCGAACCGCTCGTTAGATTGGGCCTTGGTGGAAGTGCCAGAGGCAAGACTCTGTAGCAACAAGGTATGAGCAGCTCCTTGAAAGATCAATGACTGTTAACCATTTATCATGTGTTAACTAGAGCCATTCGCGAGATATTAGCTTCCTGATGCCGCGTCAAGGGTGTTCCGCCCATTTGCACCGCAATCCGCCACGTACATTGTGGATTCATCGTCCGATTTAGATATCGATATGCCTGTCAACAAGCTTGGGAGAACCACTGGCTTCACTGAAGGCACACTCAACGGCATTCAGACAACGAAGCTCCTTTCACGGATGGCCGGGGGCCAGTGTGGTGATACACCCAGACAACAGTATGGATGTGACTGGGCGATTGTGCGCAGACCTGGCAGCGATCAGTTCTCCGATTTCGGTGATTCCGGCGCATTTGTCTTAGATATGGATGCAAAGGTTGTTGGCTTGCTTTTCTCTGGAAACGACTTCTCCGGAGCCACTTACATGACACCTGTTTGCGACCTGTTTAAGGACATTCAAGGCATTACAGGTGCGAGCGGGGTGAGGATTCTCGAGACTGAGGATAACCATGAATGATTAAGTGTATCGAGTTTCTCCTTCATATTATAGATAGGCTTGTGTAGATATAAATTCAACGAACTTCAAGTCTACCTTTGGATGAAGATGACCAGATAACGACTACCTGTCAAAACCATAGGAGGCGACCGTCAGTCCCTATGATTGGGATATAGAGAAGATAGGCCAATTAAGTATCGAAACCTGTCTACACTATCCATCGGCCAAGGGACTGACGTGGTGTAGATGCAGCATATCCTGCAACGGACGCGTAAGGATAGACATGTCCGAGCCCAAGAACTGCTCAAGAACCGCCCAAGAGCTGCCTAAGAACTGCCCAAGACAAGAAGAACTGCGCCGGCCTTCTAGCCCTGGTGTCAACTCCATAAGTGGAACTGCCGGTAACCTTCTAACGTTCGTCTTCCTTGTATCCAGGTCTCGATGCTGGAAAACATTTAAAGTATTAAGGTTGGCTTCTCTGGTGGCGAGCTTCCAGGGCCAGAACAGACATCGTGGCGTAACGTGAAACCGCGAAGAGAGACATCAAGTCAAAAGAGTGACGAAAATAGGCAGCTCGAGATCCCAGGCTTGCTCCTGGTACTCCGTATGCGCATCCGCTCCCGGTTTGCCCCTGGTGTCCGCGGTAGGTGGAAATGGTGAATAAACGGTGGAGTGCGCCAAGGGGCCTGAGGGTCCGAATTTTTTTACAGAGATCCTATCATCATCAATTGAACGAAGCAGCACCTTATTAATTACGTAGATCCCGCTGCAGGCAAAGCTGGTTCTTCCAAGGACTTCTCCTTTTCGTCAATTCGTCTTCTGTTCACCGTCTCCGCAGGTCCGGGTTGCTGACAGCTTTTCCTTCCTCTTCTTCGGCCTCTCCGGATACAAACTGTCGCTATCGAACTCGCACCTAGCCATACGGTCAACACGATAATTCCTCGTCTGCTCCTCGATTTGCCGATTCTCGCTGTCGCTGTTGCTCACGCCGAGGTTTGCGGGCTGGAGGATGAATCATTATACCGAGGGAAGAACATAAGAACAAAGAAGATAATCTGATAAGAATGTCGACTCCCATCTACGACGGCACTGAGCCCAAGTATAAGCCAGGCCAAAATACGGATGAACAAGGGGAAACTGCTCAACAGTACAGCTTCCGTGCAATGGAGGAAAATACGCACGAAGATAAGAATAATCGGTTGAAGGTGGACGTGGATCTGGAGCCCGATGAACGTCCGCAGCCTTCGCCCTCGCAGGATCGAGAAAAGGCCAGTCGATTGGAAGACGACCTGGCCATGCTGCAGGCAGAACGGATGGCCTCGAATACAGACCTCCCGGGACGAGACAAGTCTCTCTCTATCAAGCCATCACGCTCCCATCGTACGGACCCCGTGGACGAGTTCGATACCGCAACCAACCCTATACACGAGCATGCGTCTCTCTATAAACCGCCAGAGAACCCGACCAACTCCGTTGCTCGCTTCTTCAAAAAGGTCCACGAGTCAAGCTTCCTTGTCCGCTATTTCACCTACATCATTCCCTTGGTTCTGGTTATACTGATCCCTCTCCTGCTGGGTGCTTTTGTGTTCAAAGATGCCACGGTGGGCGGCGTGAGCATGCTTTGGTTTTGCGTCTGGCTTGAGATCGTCTGGCTCACCCTGTGGGCAGGCAGGATCCTCGCCAAGTTTATCCAATATCCCGTGGCAATTATCGCCAGTCTATTCACCAACAATGCAAAGAAGTGGCGCGATCTAGCCTCCCAGCTAGAATTGCCCGCAGCACTATTCTTCTGGTGGTTGAGTGTGGAAATCTCTTTTCTCCCGACCATGATCACCCATCATGCGGACGGAAACCGTGGAGTCAAAGACTGGGAAAAAATTGTGAACAAGATCATAATTTCGATTTTCGTCGGAGTCACGCTGAATTTGATTGAGAAGCTCATCATCCAACTGATTGCTATAAGCTTTCATCTGCGGACATATGCCGATCGCATCGAGATCAATAAGTTCCAGATTGGCAGTTTGACCAAGCTGTATACCTTCTCGAGAGAGAATACTTCTATGAACGACTCAGACCTGGAAGAGGCTTCTGACAAGCCACGCAGCTCGGGAACCAGGACACCGATGATGTATGCGGACCGTGCCCAGAAGGTCGCTCGAGGCGCCCTGAGTAAAGTTGGCGATGTTGCTGGTGCAGTTGCCGGTGATTTTACCGGTAAACGCGTTAATTCGAGTAGCCACCCTCACCAGGTAGTCTTGACACTCCTGCGTTCGACGGCTGGCAGCCAGGTCCTGGCCAGACGCATATACCGTACCTTTGTTAAAGACGGCTTTGACACGGTTTTCGCTGGAGACCTCAAATCTGCCTTTGACAATAACGAGGAAGCGGATGCTGCCTTTGCAATGTTCGACAAAGACATGAATGGTGACATCTCAATGGAGGAGCTCGAGGCTGTCTGCACAGAGACTGGCAAGGAGCGGAAGTCCATTACCGCATCGCTAAAGGATCTCGACTCCGTGGTCTCAAAGCTCGATGACGTATTCTTCTTCATCGTCGTAGTCATTACGATCTTGGTTTTCTTATCTCTTATCTCGGCCTCTACCGCCGGAGTCCTCACGTCCGCTGGCTCAACCCTGCTGGCTCTCTCGTGGCTGTTTTCTGCCACAGCTCAGGAATTCCTTCAGAGCATCATCTTCGTTTTCGTCAAACATCCTTTTGATGTTGGCGATCGAGTTTCCATCTACGGTAATACCGGCTCAAACCTTACAGGAGACGACTACTTCGTCAAAGAGATAGCCTTGTTGTATACGGAATTCAAAAAGATGCAAGGCCATGTCGTTCAGGCTCCAAACAGCTATCTGAACACCTTGTTTATTCTTAACCAGCGACGAAGCGGTGGTCTGGCGGAAGCTGTGCCTGTCATAATCAAGTTTGGCACGACTCTCGAACAGATCGATGCCCTCCGACAGCGGTTATTGGACTTTGTCACCTCCGAGAAACGCGAGTTTCAGACCCAGATATTGACCGAGCTCAAGGAGGTGACTGAGAACTACTCCATCACCCTCAACGTTGTCTTCTTCTACAAGTCCAACTGGCAAAACGAATTGCTTCGCTTACAGCGTCGTAACAAATTTATCTGTAACCTCATGATTTGCCTACAGGAACTCCAGATCGAAGGACCACGCATGAACTTGGTGGGCTACAGATCTGACCTACCAGCTCATATTGCCCATCAGGGGTCTCCACCACAGTATACAGCTACGCCCGGTGCAAACACCCCAGGTGCGATGACCGACATGTCACAGACCTCGGAAGCACGCGATGCCCTCGGCGATCTTGCACCGTCCTCTGCCGTCCAGATCCATCACACCCAATCCATACTTCGCAACCGCAACCGATCCGGGACAGCGGCCTCGACCCGCTCGCAGGGAGGGCCATCCAAGCGCGTCGATTTCTCCCTTGGCATGAAAGATCTTAGCTCTGACGATATGATATCCGATGTCTTCTGGGACCGTGGTCGAAGAATAGAAGATATCGTGCGCTCCACCAACATTGAAGCTGCCGAACGTAGACAGCAAGAGAAAGACCAGGGTCGACTCGATGTATCAATGGATGGGGCCTCATCTCACCCACGAGCCTCAAACGATTCACGTCAACCATCCAACTTCGCACAGTCCAGAGGCAGCATCTCCCCGTCCGTTAACCGGAACCGATTCTTCGGCCGTATGGGAAGTAGAAGGAGCACGCCCTCACGGAGCCGAACGCGCGACGGTGGAGGCCAGTACGAAGATCTCATGGAACAAGGGCGGTATCAGGCCACCGTCACGGATGATGAACCAGGTCCTGGCCGACCACTAGACCCGCGCTCCGGTAGCGTGTCCACCCAAGGTATCTACGACGACGCCCAGGTGCAGGGCACGATGTGGTCGTCGGGAGTCGAGCGGCAGACAACCTATGACTCTGAACGATCGCTGGAGGATGGATATGAGCTGCGTAATTATCAGCGACAATAAGTTACCACTTCGACTTTACCAATTTTCGGCCCTTCCTTTGGCCCCCTTCATGCATATACTTTTATTCTCTTATAAACAGTCTGTCAGCCATGCACATACCGTACTACCCTTCCTTCTCCCAACATTAGACCATTCCCTTCACCTGATGCTGTTTCCTACCACACGCCGAGCAATCTTTCTTTCCGAGCTTTGTTTCATCTATACATGTTTAATAGGAAGCACCGCAGCCAAAATATTCCATATCACATTAATTGTAGCATCGAGCTGTGTAAAACAGTTTGTCGTTGTAATATCGGTCCGAGACAAGCACCATAAGGCCTGTTTCAGCCTTTGTCTCAGCCGCGCCCCCTTCTCCCCTCCATACCTATGTACCTCTATCCCCCCATACCTGCCTCTATATTGAGGCGTAGCATAGCCTAAAAAGGATAAAAAGGATAAAGTATGCATAACTTATGCCGGCGCACGGGCCGTTACCGGAGCCTTGCGCGGGCCGAAAGAGTCCCGACACGTGATCCGTAGGATGACCTAATCTGCTGAGTCATCTGTACTCGGGACTGTATCTTTCCACGTATACGATACATACGATACGGCGGGTAACAAAAAGCCGTTTCCGTCCAGCCCTACCTCCGTATATGCAAAACATACTTACAGACGACCACAGCATCAGCCCCTTTTCATCCATATCGTTCGACGCCCAACGTTTGGACGGGTTCATGTGGTGTGCTAGAGACGGCTGGCGGGAGCTCGTTTATGCACCTCGGCACAATAATTAAACGTGGTTCAAAGCTGATACGGAGTATATTGCGTGCACCAGTGACGCAGAAGAAGCAATATAATGATGAGCCGCTTGACGTACAATCATATAGACATCAGCCTCCCGATAAAAGTTGGTATGTGTACGGCGTAGGGATTCTGATATGCCTGACCAGGTTGACTGCGGCCGCTTGGAGAAGCGATGCTTGGCCTGTCGCCACGAGAGCCAGTGCCCTTCCACCCAGCACATCCACCGGAAGTTAGTCGCTGCCGGATACACCTGCGATCCGGTTTCCGTTTTAAAACTCCTGGCGCTGTCGCGTGTTATTGGTTCCATGGTTGATGAGGTAAAATTCCACGGGTAAAGGGAGAAACTCCTGAGCAGAGTACTCTTCCGGGCAGTCTTCCGGACGGAACGCGGACAGGCATGAGTTCCAACGCTGGGGAACCACATGGGGAAGGGGTCTTCTTTCTTTTCTTTTCTGGCTCTCCTTTTGTCTTTTGATTGACCGTTCATGGGCTTTTCGTCATTCTTTTCCCGGAGGTGATCGTCTTAATTACTTCCGTGCTTCAAACAAGCTAAATATAAGCTTGTCTATCAGCTTTTAATTATCATCTCTCTTCTTCTCTTTTTCTCTGTATATTCTCTTCGCCATTCGCTGCGAATTGGACAGTCATTTGCCAATCACATACCTATATCATACTCGTCCATACTTCTTCCTTTCACCGTATATCAACCTGATTAGGCCACTGAGTCTCCCCCGCAGAGAATTGCTGCGGTAGATCTCCTATCTGGCGCCGGCCTGTGCAAGCTAGCACGATGGCTCCGGCAGAGGAGAATAAGACCGTCGGGGATCTCAAACCCGATTATAGATTGAATTTCGAAGACGATATAAAATGCAGCGGCTCTAGCTCGACGACCGTGGTCAAGAACGCGGATGATTCAGAGGATATCAGCACATTTCAAGAGGCAGAGCTGCGAGAACTTGCCCGTCAGCTATCTTGTGCATCTCGGCAAGGTGGTCCTGATGTCGAAAGGGATACCCAGCATGTCATTAACCCTTTCCTCGACCCAGAGGCCGATCCTCAACTCAACCCGGATGACAAGAACTTCAACGTTGCCAAATGGCTCAAGACTATTCTTCAGATCACTTCCAGGGACCCGGAGCGGTATCCCAAGCGAACTTCAGGTGTTTCATTCCGGAATATGAATGTCCATGGCTATGGAAGTGCAGCAGATTATCAGAGTGATGTTGGGAATCTACCACTCAAAGCGTGGAGTGGCACCATGGGCCTACTCGGGCTGCGCAAGAAGGTCCGTATCGACATCCTTAGGGACTTTGAAGGCTTGGTCAAAAGTGGTGAGATGCTCGTCGTCCTGGGACGTCCAGGAAGGTATGTATCATTTTAACGTCCTGGTATCTCGTCTATCTTGTCTAACCTCTGCACAGTGGTTGTTCGACATTTCTGCGCACTCTTTCCGGCGAGACACACGGTCTCTATCTGGACGAAGGCAACGACATCCAATACCAAGGTGTCTCCTGGAAGCAGATGCACAAACACTATCGAGGCGAGGTCATCTACCAAGCCGAAACCGAGACGCATTTCCCTCAAATGACCGTCGGAGACACCCTTTACTTCGCAGCTCGCGCCAGAGCTCCGGCTAACCGACTGCCTGGCGTCTCCCGCGAGCAGTACGCATTGCACATGCGTAGTATGGTCATGTCCATGCTAAGCTTATCACACACTGTCAACACGCAGGTCGGAAACGAATACATTCGTGGTGTTTCCGGGGGTGAGAGGAAACGTATCAGTATTGCAGAGACGACGTTGAGTGGCAGTCCTTTGCAGTGCTGGGATAACAGTACCCGAGGCCTCGACAGCGCCAATGCCTTGGAATTCGTGAAATCGCTTCGTCTCTCCACCAAATATTCTGGGACAACCGCCATTGTTGCCATATATCAGGCTGGTCAAGCAATCTACGATGTAAGTTGGTCGTTGGTCGTTAACAGCCATTTGGTTTTCTTTGTCCGGTCTCGCTAACCCCCACGCCCTAGATCTTCGACAAAGCCATAGTCCTTTACGAGGGCCACCAAATTTATTTTGGAAATGCCATTCGGGCCAAACAGTACTTCCTGGATATGGGCTTCGAATGCCCTAGTCGACAGACTACAGCTGATTTCTTGACGTCGGTAACCAGTCCTTCAGAGAGAAGAATCCGACCTGGCTTCGAGTCTCGAGTTCCCCAGACCCCCGCTGAATTTGCACAGCGATGGAAAGACAGCCAGGACAGAAAGGAACTCTTGGAGGAGATCGAGGTCTACAATAACACATACCCTCTACATGGCGAACAGCTGCAAATATTCCAGACCTCCCGTGTCGCTGAAAAGGCTACATCAACTAGCAAAACTTCCCCTTACACTCTTTCATACGCCATGGAAATAAAACTCTGCATGTGGCGAGGATTCCAGCGACTAAAGGGTGATATGTCCATGACATTGACCTCTATTATTGGAAACATTGCCATGTCCTTGATTATTGCCAGTGTTTTTTATAATCAGCAAGAAACCACCGACAGCTTCTTTTCTCGAGGATCCCTGCTTTTCTTTGCAATTCTAATGAACGCTTTCGCAAGTTCTCTGGATATCTTGACCCTATGGCATCAACGCCCAGTCGTTGAAAAACATGACAAATATGCGTTATATCATCCTTCAGCCGAAGCTATCAGTTCTATACTGGTTGACCTGCCGGCAAAACTGGCTGTTGCAATTGTATTCAACCTAATCATATACTTCATGACGAACCTGAGAAGAACGCCCGCCCACTTCTTTATCTTCTTCCTCTTCTCCTTCACCACGACCCTGACGATGTCGAACGTCTTCCGTTCCATAGCCGCCGTTTCTCGTACACTGTCTCAAGCTCTGGTCCCTACGTCAATATTCATGCTTGCATTGGTCATTTATACTGGCTTCACTATCCCCGTTCGCGATATGCGTCCCTGGTTCAAGTGGATCAGTTATATAAACCCGATTCAGTATGCGTTCGAATCCCTCATGATCAACGAATTCCACGACCGTGAATTTACCTGTGCTCTCTATATCCCAACCGGGCCACCATATGCCAACGCTACCGGGAAATCTAGGATTTGTGCTGCCAAGGGAGCTATGGCTGGAAAGACAACCGTGAACGGCGATGTGTTCCTTAACGAGTCATACTCTTACCAAGCTTCTCATCTATGGAGAAATTACGGTATCATCGTTGCATTCTTCCTTTTCTTCCTGTTCGTTTACATTATTGCCACAGAACTTGTCAGTGCCAAACCTTCAAGAGGAGAAATTCTTGTCTTCCCCAAAGGCAAGGTCCCTGCATTTTTGAAAAAGTCCAAGAAATCCGACGATCCCGAATCAGCATCGACGGATGAGAAGCAACGAGTAGAAAACAACGGCCATGACCAAACCGCTGCTATTGTCAAGCAAACTTCTATTTTCCACTGGGAGGATGTCTGCTATGATATCAAAATTAAGAAGGAAACCAGGCGTATCCTAGACCATGTTGACGGCTGGGTTAAGCCTGGAACTCTAACAGCTTTGATGGGTGTGTCCGGTGCTGGAAAAACGACCCTCTTGGATGTCCTTGCAAACCGTGTCACGATGGGTGTTGTTACCGGTGAAATGCTTGTTGATGGACGACTACGAGATGACTCCTTCCAGCGCAAGACTGGCTATGTTCAACAGCAGGATCTTCATCTGGAAATCAGTACTGTCAGAGAAGCATTGGTATTCAGTGCCATACTTCGTCAACCCAATTCTACCCCCCGTGAAGAGAAAATCGCATACGTGGAGGAAGTCATTAAAATGTTGGGAATGGAGGAATACGCCAATGCTGTTGTTGGGACTTTAGGTGAAGGCCTCAATGTTGAACAGCGAAAGCGACTCACTATCGGTGTCGAAATCGCTGCTAAACCGGACCTTTTACTCTTCTTCGATGAACCGACTTCTGGACTTGACAGTCAAACGGCCTGGTCTATCTGTACCTTGATGAGAAAGCTGGCAGATCACGGTCAAGCAGTTTTGTGTACAATCCATCAACCCTCCGCGATGTTGATGCAGGAGTTTGATCGATTACTATTCTTAGCCTCCGGTGGACGAACCGTTTACTTCGGGGAGCTTGGAAAACATATGACTACCCTCATTGACTATTTTGAAAGTAAAGGGGCTGCAAAATGTCCTCCCAATGCTAACCCTGCCGAATGGATGTTGGAAGTCATTGGTGCCGCACCAGGGTCGAAGACTGACAAAGAATGGCCAGCCATTTGGCGAGATAGTGCTGAACGTGTCGAGGTTCGTCGTCACCTTGCTGAACTTAAGTCGGAGCTTTCCCAGAAGGCTCAACCTCCTCGAGTAGCCGGATATGGTGAATTCGCTATGCCGCTTTGGAAACAATATCTCGTTATCCAACACCGTATGTTCCAGCAGTACTGGCGTAGTCCAGATTATATCTACTCCAAAGCCTGTCTTGCTATTGTTCCGGTATGTTATATCCTAGGCGTCTTCCTCTGCCTTTAAGCGTCATACTAACCACATAATCTAGACTCTCTTCATTGGTTTCACTTTTTATAAGGAGAAGCTCAGTTTACAAGGCCTTCAGAACCAAATGTTCGCCATTTTCATGTTTATGATTCTCTTCCCGAATCTTGTCCAGCAAATGATGCCCTACTTCGTCATCCAACGCTCTCTCTACGAAGTTCGCGAACGGCCCTCGAAAACATACTCTTGGATAGTATTTATGATTTCCTCCGTCGTTGTTGAAATTCCCTGGAACGCCCTCCTTACCGTCCCCGCCTTCTTCTGCTGGTACTATCCGATAGGATTCTACAAAAATGCAATTCCCACAGACTCCGTGACAGAACGCAGCGGCACCATGTTCCTCCTCATCTTGATTTTCCTCATGTTCAGCTCGACATTTAGTTCCATGGTCATCGCGGGTATCGAACAAGCAGAGACAGGAGGAAACATTGCTCAGCTTTGCTTCTCTCTAACCTTGGTCTTCTGCGGCGTTCTAGTGACTCCCACCGCCATGCCTGGATTCTGGATATTCATGTATCGCCTATCGCCATTCACATATTTCGTTTCCGCCGTCCTTTCTACAGGTGTTGGAAAGACCGATATTGAGTGCGCAGCCAACGAGATACTCCGTCTTGCCCCTGAGGCAGGGAAAACGTGTTTGCAGTATTTGGGCCCTTATACCTCGTATGCTGGAGGAAAAATCCTCAATCCTGAGGCTACCGATATGTGTGAATTCTGTGCAGTCGCCGATACTGATACGTTCTTGAAGGGATTGAATATCGCCTTTGACGAACGCTGGAGAAATATCGGTATCTTGTTTGGATACATTGCATTCAACATGATCGGAGCTGTTGCTTTGTACTGGCTGCTCCGTGTCCCTAAGAAAAAATCTGGGGTAAAACAAGGGCCGCCAGCGAAGCAAGAGAATGATGCAAAGGCATCATAACTGTGTTCTACGAATACTCGATGCCACTTTAGGGCCGTCAACCCTATGCACATACTCCCTGATACATATACCACATCTCACTAAAAGCTACATTTTTGATGCCTTTTCTTGTCTCGCAATAGACTAGATTTTCACTGTTTACATGTCATATATCACTACCTTGTATACAATTTTTTAATAATAACTATCCCTGGGGATATTTTACGCTGTGTTATCCTTGTTCCATGTCTCACTCTCATCTCTTTCCACCTACATTGATAGATATTCCGTACACCCCCGTCTCTATAAATAGACATATTCTCACACATAGCATAAACGTCGATGCGCCTCAAGCGTTACTCCATATATTTCTTCATACCAATTTTTTTTAGCAGTCCCAGGAGTTGGGGAAGACTCTAAATTTGGATATGGACACTTCGTGCTTGTCGTGTGATTGGTGGATTTGTGTGATAAGAGCTTTTGCGGGAAGCATAGCATGGACACTGGCCGTTTATACGAGGTTAACTACTCCATAATGGTGAGTGGTAAATCAAAAATAGAAACTTGGCCAAGGTTACCCGACTTAACTCTTGATATCCAGTCTTCTCGTTGACGTCCCTATCTCTAGATATGCATTTCCAAATAGCCCGATGGTTGCCCCCGATTTGCTGTCATCTGCCCCGTACCCCATAAAGTTTCGAGTTGTGATTACCCCCCCTTGCTTGAGGAGGAAGATCTTGAGGCGAAACGTTTGGCTCAGAACAAATTCCCAAATTAACAACATATTTATTAATAATTGTGCATATTTTCTGATGAGTCACGCACGGGACAGAAGGCATCTTGCATGTGTAACAAAGGAAGCCATCCTGATTTGGTCGGTTAACGTGGCTGCGGTCAATAGCCTATTTTACCCCCCTACAGTTTGGTTTTATTTTTATCTGCCTTGCCGCCCTGAGACAGAGACCGCACGGCCAGCGAGAAAACTAGCTTTTAAGGCACCAGGTGTGTAGCGAATGAGTTGCGAGGGCAAAGGGCAAAAAGAAACACACTTTGCCAGGATCTGGTCCGCTGCCCATGGTTAGCTAGAGCAGAGAATAAAATGCAAATGGCAAGTTGTATCATTTGCTCCCAAAACCTTCGCCTCACGGACGTGCAGTGTTCTCTCTTTTCTCGCTCAGCTTCAACCCGGGTACGGGTCGCTATTCGTTCCTACCATGCAGACCCCTGTTCAGCTGACGCCCGAGGCATCCACGGCGCTTAAGGAACAGAAGCTGACCAAGCGATCTGCGGTGCAAGGACGGAGTCCGTCCGTAAACCCGGAGTGCGGCAGTGCGTGCGTGAGGGAGTGCGTGCACTGTTAACTGCGACGTGCGTGCTCTGCGTCGTAAAACTGATGACGAAGTTCGGGGCTCTGATCCCCTTTGACGAAAAGTCCGAATAATGGGAAGCGAAAGACCGACAAAACAAATATTATGACCCGTTTCTCGTTAGGGGATCATAGAGGGAGAACGCCGACGGTCGATGCAACACATCATCCACGCGGGCGGATGGATTGCACGCGTGGAAACACAAAAAAATTATGGCGGTTTTGCTTATTTTTCTGCTGCATCTGTATACAGTTTTTCTGGTCACTTGTGTCCCGTTCCTCATCCTTCTAGAAGGGGCCGGTTTCCAGTGCCAGATGGTTTCAGAACTTTCTCGCCAGGCCAGCCGATGAGGCGAGAGCAGTTTCCATATTTGCCTGTCTGCCATACCCTCGTGCAGTCCCGTATGGAGTGTCAAAATATTGTTAATGGTGTGTAGCACGGCTGAGGGAACCAAACGAGGGAGAACTTTATAATTAAAATGCTTAGGAAGAAACCCCGTGGGGGCCAGAACCTTTGTGGTTTTGACTCCTGGGCGGCCCATCGGCCTAAACTTGTCAATTTTGTCCGTTAAGTTGATGGAAATGATTTTCAACGGACTGGTCGGCCAGCCTTTCGACATCTAAACAACTCCGATAGGGGGAGGGTTGCTGCGTAGCGTAAAACCCACGCCCAGTTTTCTGAACCACGGGTCCATTGCGCCGATTATGCATGGAGGAGGATCGACCTGCGACACAAAGGCCTCCGTCTCCTGTGCCTGGGAAGCATGTTACCTAACCTCTGAGGCCGACCGACGCCCATATCCGGCTAGAAAACCCGCCAGTCCCACGCTTGGGGCAGCATCTTCGGGCTATCTCGAGCGGACTCCGTATCTCTCTCCCGAACCCGTCGATCAAAATCTGAGGAATGGTCACACAGGCAGAAAGGCCACGGACGCTGTACGTTGCACTCTGGCATGTAAGGCGGTTGATTCGCACTGCATCAGACAATCTGCCTTAAAGTCAAGAATTAGCCTGGTTCATGGGCACCAGCAACCAACCAGTTGCAGAGTCCGGAGTATCTCGACGGTGATTTGACGATGGGCTAGCTTCACCACTGACAGAAGTCCGCGCGCCTTCTCATGCACCCAGAGAGCGGCACATCGAAGGTTTTGGGTAAAATAATCAGGCCAGAGAGACAGGATGGCTGGCACAAATGAGCTGTCAGGTTGATTTTCCACGAATTGCAGCCGCAGTCCAATCAATAGTCGGCATCGCACGGAGTATACATCCAGAGAGAGCGAGTTACCCCGTCATTTGGACAACTCCGGCTGATACCTGCGCCGGAGAGACGTCCGTCTTGATATCTCTTGTGTTTCCTCGTCGATGGAAGCAGTAAAATCACCGGAAAACGAACAAAAAGTAAAGGTTGGCAGAAAAAAGGGCGGACTTCCTACTTTGGTAATTGCTACGACCAACTCAACCTGCACCGTAAATGTTAGATCTCAACACTCGACAAGACATTCTCACGACGACGACCAGTACTCTGCAGCGCCAGTCTGGACGGTGAGCGGGCGAGGAACGGTCGGAGTTCTCTCGTGTATGACGCAGATGATCGACATGGCAGATTTCATGGAGTGAGTTAGCCTACATATTTTTGCCATCGTCGTCCTAACCTCCATCGTCAAGCAGATCTTGATCCTACAGAAACACAGCCCGCAAGGGGGTGACGACAGGCATCCATGCTCTGCCACGCCTTCATTATTGCGCCTGGTCTGCGGTCTGCGGGGCCTGCCGCATCGGCTGATTCGCTGCGTGGCCGGATGCCTGGACGCCCAGAATAATGTCTATCTGCACAAATTACTGATTACAAAATCTTGCCCAGGAGGAGGGTGCCCTCTGTGGCCGTGATTGGAGAGGGCCGCAGAACCTGCATGCAGCGTTGCTCGAAGGATCAGACTCTGAACATGAAACTCGTGTGGGACAAGGTCCAACTCGGCCTCCTCGGAGCGACCACACATATTTTTCGACATGGGTCCCGTTAAGGCACGCATTCCAAATAGCAGTGACTTTTGGTACGATGGAGTACACCTCTAATACTCGGGTGATGCGGTCCGAATCCTCCTACTCAAAGTTTCGAGACTGATCCAATCACTGCATTCCCTTGGACCGGCTAGCGTCCACCTTTACGAGCAATAGCGTACTCAGACACGTGTTATGATCCCCAGCTCAAGGGTAGAACCTTGATCTCGAAGGTTGTCTGTCAGCTATCGATGATATATCCCGCAGTAACGGGCAACCAAGGACGGGTAGTGGGACCCTCTCTCTGAGATGATGGTACATGCTCTTAGATCCTACGCGTGGAAAGCCAAAAAGTAAACTAGTCAACATGGATCCTACAGACACGACTCAGCATGGTGACTTGAAGTCCTGTTACCGCAGAATAACTCTATAGGCTCCATCGCCATGGGACTCGTCTTCCCTCGCTGTGCCGAATAACCATCGCTCGCAGGTTACGCCCATTTGAAACCACGCTGGCTAGTATACCCTTGACCAATGGAAGGACACGCCGCGCATGCACCAGGTTGGCTTTCGTAAGCCATTATCTTGCAAGAAGTCGTGCTCGACCACGATGCAGGACATCTTTTCCTGCCTCCTTTGCCTAGTCGATCTCTTAGATTATCCCGTATACGGAGTATTGGGACGCTGATCTGAGTTGACTAAATCCAGCCACCCGTCCTGGTCCTCGCGCCCGACCGAGAAATCTCTCGGACTTAGCAATTTCCCCGCTGGAAAACCGACAATAGGCCAACTTTGTACAACCTTAATGGGTGTTTCACAAACTAATTAATCGATATTACATGCTTGCATCTGAACTTGTATATACCTGCCGGATACTGTCTCTTGCCTGCCACTGGCCAACAGCATGGCACAATGGGGAAAATCAGGTACCACACCGTCCGACCCCGAGCCAGGGTCATTCTCAGCTCAACCCTCGAATTCCCTACTCAATTACGTACAAGTGGGCACTTACGGTTTTAAGTCAAGTACACACCTTCAGGGTTTTTTTGTCAGTGTTCCATGATCTGTGAGCGAACCCCTGGCCTCGTGGCCGACAGGATGTGCTAAGTTATCCCTGGCAGGGTGAACGGTCCAAAAAAAATCGGAGAATAGGCCATGAGGGCCTCCACACTCACTAGCCTAGGGGAGATGAAGATGCAGATAATGGGTCGGTAACTTGAGTGGCCACAAATTGTGGATTGTTTACTCGACTCAGCGTCGGGCCAAACACTGCTTCGCCGTGCCTATATCTGTCTAGTTGCAGGAATTAATAGCGACAATTCGCATAGCTAGTGCTGATCGCCATGTGGCAGAGACAAACGTGTCAAACCCCCGAGCTTACACTTAGTCTTTTATTGCTCGTATTCCGGCAAGGATCAGGGCGGACGCTCACCTCGCTTCCTGGGAAGCCATGCAGGGGCGCTGTCCTTGTGATTTCTAGTTGCTCCCTTGAAAATTTTATTTTTATACTTTTCTCACCACGTTTTTTTCCTTTTTTTCTGAAATGGGGCCAGGCATTGAGGCTCTGCATAGTTCTACCGTGTCCGACGCTCTTATCTCTGTTTCTCATGTGGCCTCTGAGAGGAAAGAAGAAAAGAAAAAAAGAAATGTCGGAACCATCAAAGCTGACTAGGTGACCCCTGCCCCCTACACCCGCTACATCATGGCGCAAGGTCGGCGGGCGGTGGAACAAGCTCTCTTCTTGTTCTCTCGGGCCTCAGCTGCTGGCCGCCCTTATATGGCCCCCCCTTCCCTCCCCAGATCCTCTTCCTGCTTTGATCCAACAACCTATTGCCATCATATCTATACATTATAATTTTTCAACGCTCGTTCTTCCTCAGTCCAACTCATGCCATACTGCATACAAAGCTTTACACCGCGAGCCTCCTACCCTACTCCTTCCTGATTATTTCGACGCTGGACTCTTAGCTTAGCGCCGACACATTCATCCGAGGGACTAGTATCGCATTCCAAAACCCAGAGCTACATACCATCTCTTCTATTTGGACACTCAAATCAATTTCGAAAGAATGGGCTCAATGGCAGGCACCGCCTTCCGTTTACCTCTAGACCCTGCGCAAGTCAGCTTCTCGGACGACGGGTCCCTGAACGACTACGACCTCACTTTATCTCCACGATCGGATGATATCAGGATGATGCTAGACCCTAATGAATACCCCTACGACCTTGATACGTCGGGAATAATTGGCCAGAAACAAAATACAACCAAGGCGACCCAGCTCAAGCAACGACTATCTAGCTTCGAGCATTGCAATACAGGCTTCCTATCGAATCCTCATGGGGATGCCGACATCTACACCAGCCCATACCCAATTCAAGCCACAATTCCGTGGGAAACTGATTGCATGCTATATCCGTCCTTGCCGCAGCGCATGGTAAGATACGCCTCTCCATTTGGGTCCTGTGGGGGAGACCAATCTACCTCAGACTCATCCATGAGCGAGTATTCATGGCATTCTCCCAAGCTCTATCCCAGTGTCAATGATGTATTCGACTCACCCGTCAACGAGCAATACCATTACTCCGACAGCATTGACCATGCACTGTCGCGGAGCTTAAGCAGCTCTCAGTATGGAAGCGACTGCTCAGTTTCACCCCGAGACGTGCAGCATTATCCCGACCCAATTCCCGCACAGAGCCCTACCTTCGATGACCTGATGCCTTCCAATAAGGCTCCTCGATCCATTCCAACTTTCATGCCACAGCCTCTCTCTCTACAGAACCTAGACTCACGCCTAAATCAGGACGATCTAATGTTCGGCGAACATCTACAAGCTGGAAACAATGAGATCGTCGATCCGGCATTGGGCGAAGTCTACGCCGATCACCGCAACAGTCTACCAGAAATTACCGCTGCGGAATTTGCCGGTTTACCCCACAAGCGTGTGAAATACAACGAGATGAAGGCAGAGGGAACCATCTCGATGTCAAGTCCCCCACTTTCCCCCAGCGGTAGCGAGGGCGGCGTACGCAAAAGCCGAGCAAAGCCAAAGCAAAAACAATCATCCCCAATTAGCAAACGCACGGCCAGGCGCGGAATCACATCGAAGAGCTCAAGTTTCAGCATGCCACGAAACCGTCAGCAGGCTGCCGATCGTATCTTTTCCTGTGTTTTCTCACCATATGGTTGCACAAGCTCCTTCGCCTCCAAGAACGAATGGAAACGCCACGTCCTATCACAACATCTACAACTCGGGTTCTATCGATGTGACATTGGCCACTGCAAAGTAACCAAACAATCCCCTTCATCCTCGGCATCTACTCCCTACTCCTGCGACTGCTCAACTCCCATCTCCTCCCCCCTTTCCCATTCATGCGCCATTACGACCATGCGCACGCCCAACGACTTCAACCGCAAGGATTTATTTACCCAGCACCTTCGTCGTATGCACGCTCCTTGGTTGACCCTGCCTTCCCCGCATGAGCCTACCAAAGGTGAACGTGAAGCCTTTGACAAACAACTTGACGAGGTACGCGCCAGATGCTGGGTCCAGCAACGGCAAGCACCACAGCGAAGCCAATGCAATTATTGCAGCCATGAGTTCGTTGGCCCACACTCCTGGGAAGACCGCATGGAGCATGTGGGCAAGCATTGTGAGGTAATGGATGTCGAGGAGCGCGAAGACCTTGCTTTGCGCGAGTGGGCGATTGAAGAGGGTGTCATCCAGCCATATGGGCCGGACAAGTGGCTTCTCGCAAGCATCCTGAATGGCAATGGGAAGAAATCTTGTGGCTATTCCTCTTAATCTACACTTACTCGTTGCAAAAAAAACAAACCCCTTTCCTACGAATATGTGTAAATATGTCTCCCCTTTGTTTCTCATGACCTTTCTTATTTTCTTATGTTACGACTCGGGCAAGATTTCAGGAAAATTTAAGCATGGCATTATGTGGTGGTATGGAACTATGGATTTCTTTTATAACGAACACAACGTTTTATATGCCTTTCCTCTCTTTTCTTATGTGACATATATCCCATTTCCTCACTCACGACCCTAATTTATCTGTTTGCTCTATGGGCTGCACATTAATATATCATATCACGATTTGATGACTTGATACACTTCTTATTGCGTTTTTATAGAATTTCCGTCATCTAAGAAAATATATTAATTCCCTTAATACTCCGTTTTTCTAAATCATGCAGATAATTCAAGTGCATCTCGGTGTCAACACAATATCTCTGTGTATCCTCCTCCAATCCCCTTCTAGTGTGAAAAATTGCGAGTATGCTGCAAGATACTCGAGTCCCAGTTGGTCGAACCCTCAACAGATATAAGAATAGCCATTATACCGGCCATCTGTTAAATCCCCAGCCCACTGGCCGATGATGTATGCAAGCCAACCGAGGTGATAATTTCTAGCGTAAAGCACAAGTTTGCAAATGCAAATTCATGAAGGATTTAACTAATGTTAAGGATACTGATAAACGTGCAGACATATCTCCTTGGCAATATTTTAAGGATTCCGGGATTCTCCCGTCCGCCGTTGGCCACGAGGCTGCGTCGCGGCTGCGAAAGTTCGTAAATAACTAAGTGGGGAGATGTAGTGGACGATACCTTAAATGTTAGCCACTCGGCCCTAGTGTATTAGATTGATTGATGGAGGATCATGAAGAGAAATACGAGAGCCAACAAGCTTCGGTAATCCTGTGGATCCTCCGCCATCTCATGGACAGTTGCTTGCCGCGCCTCTCGTGGCAAGTAAATAATTTTCAGTAGAAGGATGAGGCATGGGCTGAAACAATGAAGTAGTTTTGGTCTTGGATGCCCCCGGCCACATATCTGTAAATAGCTAACTTTTCGATGCCAACCTAGACGCCTACACGGTGAGGAAGCGGTGGGCGTTGGAAGGAGATATGTGCCTGGGAGAAGCAGATATGAATGAAGGCAGTAGTGCATGTAATAGTTACTCAGATAAACTATTACCTGCGCATAATGTACTCCAGTATTGAAATTTGAGAGGTCGCTTTGATCTGATGGCCTAGGCACTTTATTTGCCATGTTAGAACTAACAATGTAGGCGCTGTTCATTATACCGTGGGTATCTGCAAGGAACTCTATGTCCGACTTGGGCTGGGTTGTCGAATGAGACGCTTTGTATACCTCTTAAAGAATACACAGTATATTGATCTCAACATTAAAAAACCGTTATTATATATATGTGGCGGTTCGATGGATATATACAAGAACAAATGGGTGATCGCCGGGTAGATCAGTTGGCTATGTGGGTATGGATCTCTCCATTGCTGTGGTTCTCTGCTGCATGGTTCTGGGGTTAGGAATAGCGACAATGCGGGAATGATTTACGCTCGTAGGGTGTAGAGTGCATTGAAAAAATAAATCAAGGCGTAGGAAGGAAAGTTTCAACTTCCAGTGGAAGTCGAACTAGCTTGGTGTCTTGGAGCCTCAAGATTGCCTTCTCTTTTCAACACACTCTCGAAGTTTGGCAATAACTTCGGCAGGATTCTGTGCTCCGAACACGGCAGATCCAGCAACAATGACGTTAGCTCCCGCATCGGCTGCCTGGTCTATGGTCCCAAGGCCTAGTCCACCATCGACTTCGATGTTCATATCTGGGTATTTTGCTCGCAAGGCTTCGACCTTGGGTAGCTCTGAGGCCATGAATTTTTGACCACCGAAACCTGGGTTAACGGTCATGACAAGAACCATCTGATTCACAGCGGTTAGTTGTTTTCTAGGATGTGACTTCCAGGGCCCCCTAATGGAATTCTCTCACATCTGGCCGTTCGGCTGCGTCCTTGCTTTCTAAAATATTCCACAGGACGCCAACTTCGGTGCTCGGCTTGATAGCGATACCGGCTTGCATGCCCATTTCATGAATGTAACGAATTAACTCTTTTGGGCTTGTTTTCTCGGTGGTGGTATCAGAGGGCTCCTTGGCAGCGGTAGAGTTGATAGCAGCCTCGTAGTGGAAGCAATATAGATCGCAGCCGGCATCTTTGAATTCTTTAACCCATTTTTGGGGCTACAATTGAGTAAGCTTGTGATCCTCAGATAAAAAGGGAAACATTGCTCGAGGGAGGAAGAGGGTACCTCGGCGATCATCATATGGCAGTCGAACGTCCCCTTCCCGCCGGCATTGGCCGGCCTTTCCACATGAGTTCTGATTTTCGAGACAACTGGAGGTCCAAAGGTGATGTTTGGTACGAAATGACCGTCCATGATGTCGACATGGATCCAGTCACTGTTGTCCTTCATTAAACCAGAACATGCTGGGCCGAGGGCGCCAAAATCGGCAGAGAGAATCGAGGGAGCTATGATAGCGGGTGGTCCCATCCTGAACGAACTGTCAGTATGCCTTGAATGTATATATTAACTGTCCTCCAAGCTCAATGCCGATGTTGTTCTGGATATTGTGGATGGGATGGAGTAACTGGTAGCTTCATGGATGGATGCGCGATAGTGGGGTGGTGGGGGAATCCGTGCATGTTAGTCAGCAAATGATCACATGACTAAGCTAAACACGAAGCTCTCTAGCTTAGTCAGCACCCCCTCTGGCTTGCTTGCTCTCCACGTCGCTGGCGCTCACCGTCAGTTCGATATTAAAACAAGCCAGGAAGACGAAGACGAAGACGAAAAAGAGATAGAAGAACCTTGCAAGGAGCATCTACAGCCATGGCGGGAACTCTTCCTCCAGCGACCTACTCCACGGATCCCACGCTTTACCTGTATACCTCTCTGACAGCTGGCTCTTCACATATCATCACCGCAACGTCTAGACTGGAAACGATTCTAAAGGCGAACAAGATCCCATTCAGAGCGATTGATGTTGCTACAGATGATAAAGCTCGCATGACATGGGGCATGAGATCGAAGGGCCGGAAGCTACCTGGCCTAGTTAGATACGGTGCCATAGTCGGAGTTAGTACAGCCTTCACACACACACACACACTCTCTCTCTCTCTCTTCCCTTCCCTCTCTACCTTTACTTTCTCTACACCTCCTGTAAGCGGACGCTATCTGTATTGCACGCTGATGTAAGGAATATTAGGATTTAGAACAAATCGAAGAGTGGAATGAATACGGCGAATTGAAAGCACAGATAGCTGCAACCCTGTCAGAGTCGGATGCTTCAAAATCAGAACCGCAGCCGGTGGCTGTATCGCCCGTGGCGGCATTGCCCAAAACCACATCCTCAGCGCCCCATATAAGAATAGGAGATACCCCTTCAAGAACTCCGTCTGGTGAACTGCAGGGCGAAAATATGACGTCTGCACTTCGACAGGCGAGCGAGGAGGCTGCGGCGAAGGCCAAGGATAATATGCGGGCGCGACTGGGATTAAAGCCACAATCACCTTTACAAAAATCGGACGAGCAGAAACCCGAGGGCCAGAAATCGGAAAAGGGGAAACTAGAAGAGAAGAAGTCAGAGGCGAAGAAACCAGAGGAGACGAAACTGGAAGCCAAGGTATCAGAGGAGAAAAAGGCAGAAAATAAGGAAGTAGGGGAGCAGAAGGCAGAAAAAGAGAAACCAGATGAGCTAAAGACAGAGAGGCAGCAAGCCAAGGGAGACAACGAAGAGAAACCTCAAGAAGGCGACGAGGAGGTTGTGAAGCAGGCTGTAGGATCTGGGGCGACACAGCAGCCAACGAAGACAGAAGAGCAGCCGCTGACCAAAACGCTGCCGGTCAGGGGTGCGGGAGGAACGGATGAAGCCGAAGTGAAATCGACTGGCGACTCGAAACCGGAGAAGCCAAAGGACGAGGGAGAGGCAAAGGCGGCCAGCTCGACTGAAACCAAGGAAGCAAAGGATGCATCGGGCCTGGAGAAAGAGGCGGCATGATAGGATGCTGGACCAAACGGTATGGCAGTCAAGGTGCCTTGGTTACTCCGTATACTCCCTCCTGTCACTGCGTTACGAATGTTATCACGAGACACCATCAAGTACATAATATACCATTCAAGCGTTCACATATGTTACGATTTCCCTTTTCACACACTATCGAACTACGGAGTACATTATTGCAGTAGTGAGTACCCAACATTCGCCGCTATACATAGTACGGAATGAATTGCTCTCCGGCTTCGCAGCTGGGGGGCAAAATGTAGAGAGACACGGACCCAGGGCTTGGGGGGATTTGCATCGGATCAGCACGAACACCTCGTCCGTCAAGTCCGCTGGATGGATGAACGGAACTCCGTAGCAGGATGCAACCTCCTATACATCTGATGCCCCCTTAAGGCACCAAAGCTTGGGAGGAAGTACATCTCCATCACGTGACCAAAGTTGCCTATCTTGGGCATGTGAACGACTTCGTACTTCGTCCATCGCTTCCGCCCAATATCATCGCTGCTTGTGACTCTGCCACTCCGGCTGAACCGCGCGAGGACGGCCGTGACAGCGAACAGGCGGCCAGGATGACTTTTGAGACGAGCTGCACGAGTCCACGGGATCCCTCTCGATAGAATGCACGCCAAGGGGGTCCTGGGCTGCGCGGCGCTGCGTTGGCTTTCCGATAGGCCGCCCCGCTGTGCGCCCACCGAGTGATGAGTTGGCCATCACAGGAGCGCAAGGGCCTGCAGCAACTGATGTGCTGCTCATTGGGCTTCTCGTGTTTGGGCGTGCAGGCCGTCCGAATCCAGCATAGCCTGTGTCGCTGGCTGTCTTAAAGCCCTCTCGCCCTCCGTCTTCCATCCGCTCGTCTCCCTTCCTCCTTTTTCGCCCTCACTATCTTATCGATCCCCTCCTACCGCTACCACTGGCACTGCGTATAACCCTCCCCTGGATTGCATTGCTGCTCAGGAGTCGAATCATAAATACAGAATACCAGGCCCCCGTCCTGCTCAATTAACGTTGGTTATTTCTTTCCACCCTGGCCCTCCCATGACAAACATGCGTACGGTAGGGTGCTAACTGTGTACCAAGACCACGGCATTTACACACCTGGCTGATATAACCCTCCTGGAACACTTCTTTTTGGTCTATTGGCCTCTGGTCTCAACATCCTACCTACCTGGTTTAATATATTATATATTTGGTCACGCAACTCCCTCCCGCTCGCCTCGACATGGCTCTGTCCCTCAACTGTGACGAGCTCAACTCGGTGCTTTCCTCCTCCAGGGAAGCGTTCTGGCAACAACATTCACATCTCCCCGAACCACAACGACAACAACTCTGGAGTCAACAATTGGAGCCGTTCATGGCCACCCCGAATCAACAAGCCAACTACACTCACGTCAAAGGATCGGAATCCACCGAGTCCCCAGGTCTTTCTGGGAAACACGGCCGTGGAACCATGAGTCACAAATTTACATCTGGACGCCCGGCAAGCAAACGACGAGCTACCGTAGGTTATCCGATTTCTTGGTCAAAAATTCCCCCCGTACGTCTTCTCTAGACAACTGGGATTAACATGAAGAATATAGAGCCAGGAGCCCGCTTTGGAATCGTCCAGCTGCTGCAGACCCCTCCCACAGCACTCAGTCTCTTCGCCTTCACGGATCCCACGGTACTCACCGCCTCTGTCACGGACTGGCAACTCTTCTCCCGAGACCAACGTGCTCTTGCCCACTACCACGATCCAACCATCCAGCATCTCGGTACCTGGCCTGCCATACTTCATCCCAACGTCGACTGCATCGAATTCCCCGGTCTTTGGACTCGACCTTCTTGAACTGAACCAGGAGCTGCACAGTTATACGCCTGAACTGTACCATCAGAATTTTTTGGATAGCGCTACCGGTTCTCCCCTCATCGGTGCATCGGTTGCTGGAACCCCAAACCCGACACCTGACCAAACCACCGTCTCGCAGACTACACAGCAAAACAAGGTCGTTTCTACTGGTCCGGATTGCGTCGTATCTAGCTCATCTGGCTGTGGCACTGAGATGAATCGTAGTTTTACTACAGACTCATTGTGTGGAGGAATGAACATGATCAGGTTCGGCTCGAACAGATCCGTTTCCAACAATCTGGAGTTTCCAGATCAGTCATCTGCAAATTTCTTTGCACCGTCATTACAGCAAGACAATGACACCAACTGCCCCCTTTCCTTCTTGCCCACTACCCAATCCCCATCTGATAGTAACATGACTCATGTTCAATTTTCTCAGTCCTTGCCCGAGTACGGGCCTGGCTACTTTCCTCATTCCATTTCCAACTCTCGCACACGCTCTTCCTCTTCTTTGAATTCCTCGTCGTCGGCTTCATCTACTGAGATGAAGCCTTCTCTGTCGAGCGAGAGTCAAGAATCCTCTCGCTCGAGTCACTCAAGGGCCCTGCGGAGGACACATGAGCAGATCATGCTAGGTACACGAAAGATTGCGCCTAAGGCTGCTGAAAAACAAGGTATTCAGTCCACAGTGACTGAGCACCGGAAGATTAAGATTCCGGCGGCTGACGGCCGATCGCGCGAAGTCGCTGTGATACCTAAAGCTTCGGTTCACCGACCAGCTCGTCAAAAGACATACTGCACCATGTGTAACGAGCAGCCTGAAGGCTTTCACGGCGAACATGAACTCAGAAGACACATCGATCGCTCTCACTCTAAGATTCGCAAAGTTTGGATCTGCGTCGATATATCACCAGACAAGAAATTTCTTGCCAATTGCAAAGCCTGCCGAAATCAAAAGCGGTACGGCGCCAACTATAATGCAGCTGCTCACTTGCGTCGCACACATTTCAATCCCTGCCAACGTGGTCGTGGGGGGCGAGGCAAGGACAGCGAGAAACGTGGTGGAAAAGGTGGTGGCACCCACCCACCAATGGAAGTCCTTAAGCATTGGATGGTGCAACAAGATGAGATCGTTTTGGACAAACCTTCAGCCATTACCAACCCAACAAATGAAGCTGTAGGCGTCGCAAAACCACAAATCCCACGCCGCGCCTCCAACGCTAGCCATCACAGCACCAGCGACAGCGAATGTGGTAGTACCATCGCAGCAGTGAACGATAGTTTTACAACCGTCGCTGATGAACATCAGTTGACCGCCGCTGCTCTCGCTACTAAATTCAATCCTTGCACGACTTCTATCGACCCATCTGACTTTGAGCTTTCGCCTCAGATGCCCTTCACCCTCGACGACTTTACTGGTGCCCCAGCTCCATTTGAATGGAGCGAGGGTAGCCACCCGACGACTCTCACAGGAGGGTATCTCCCAATGGGTCAGAGTATTATGAATACTTATGACACATCGTTCTATCATTAATTGCGTTACAGACGATCAGCCAGTCAATGCTGATCTGGTCGTCTGGCTGTTTTGCCAGTCATGCCGTAGAGCGTTTGATCTACCATGACTTGAGTTTAATCTTTCTTCAACGTGTCCTTGTTAACTTCTTATCTCATGTTATTGCCTTAAATATTTTGTTTAATCTCTTTTTTTATTTCCGCTGGATGGAGATTGTCACATATCTCCACCGATCGTTGGTTGTTTGATATTTTGGGGTGATCACTGGCTACAGTGCAGTGGAACATTCTCACAGTTTCCTATTTTTTCAGGCTTAAGTTTCAGGATTCATCTTCTCATAGCTGTTTATTACTCGTTTTGTGTGTCGAGACTCTTCGTATTCTCTTCAATTTCTTCCTATGCCTGCTATAATATTTATATTATATTGACCGTCATCTCTAGCTATCTACCATTCGGTATACGGCTGGGATTCTCCTTTTTTTCTCTCTCTCATTACTTTTTCGACGATGTTTCTTCTTCGATGATCTGTATGAAACAAGATTTATATATATAATATAATGAACAACTAGCTTATGAATCTGAGCGCCTCGCAAAAAGCCTTCCCGTCCTATTACAGAAGCCACCCGTTCAGACTATGGCCATGCCGCTGCCTATCATCAATAGATAAAGTTGTCAATGCATGGCTATGGAGCATATCTGAACCCTGAAAGTGTATTTATCTTCAGCGGCTATCCCGTTGCTGCATCGAAGAACTTGCAGGACCGGCGGTATAGCTCCATCAGGCATGAAGAACCCTGCATTCGTCAGGAAGCAGTGCATGATGGAATGATGTAGATGGCGAAAGGAAGACGCTAACAAGGGAGTCATGCGTAGCAGGTAAGGGTCGTCTCTGTACGTAATTGGGCAGCACTTCCTCAATAAGACCCTTGTCTGGCGGTAACTGTAGGGAAGTCGACTGGGTTAAATATAGCTTCCAATCACCGTGCACGATCATGCAAGCCAAGCCCAGGCTCCACTAATTTTCGTACGATGCGGTTTTTTCATTGGTCCGCTTAAGTTTATGCTTGTGGGAAGGTTCCATAGAAAGTGGGAAGGCTCTGGCCAATAGGAAGGAGGTTTCATGCACTGTCCATCACACGCTAAACTCGCTTTGGTATAGACGACGGTCGAAGTTGCTCGATTCTCAGGTAGTCGAAAGTCTGCGAACCGCCCAAGATGGCCAGGCAAGGATGGTTGGTGGCGATGGATGCATATAACTTTCCTATTGATGCATGAGACCGACTGTCCCGCCGGGTGGTCGCCCAGGCGTGCGTACTACATATATGCAACTGGCTAGCGCACTACTCTTCCTTTCTCCAACACCTTCACTTCGCTCTTCGCAGTTCCTTCCTGTTGATCAGGCCATTAAACAACTACATTCTTTGTAATTTTTTATTTCTATCGCGCTGGTCGCACTAATACATACATTGATACCCGGGGCATCTTTCCTCTCATTTACCTTGTCTATACTTAATATAACGGCAGCACTGTTGATCAGTATGTCTACCTCTAATATGTCCTTACCATTCCACTTCGCCCAAAAGGACTCGAGGTCCCCCGCGGCAGTGCCGCAACGGAGGATCAGCTTTGACGACCTTTATGATGCTACGGATGAGTCGACAGACGATTCAGATGCAGACGGCTGCCCCTCCTTGTCTAGCCACGGCGATACCCGGTCCAGCACCGCTTCTTATACTCTCTCAGCAAACCGAATGTCGACAGGAACAGATCGCGAGGGAGGGCGCCGAAACAGATATCCTGTTCTAAGGATCCCGCCGCCGAATTTTAATACCATTCACCACCAACACAAAAATTCGCCCGTACCACCTACCCCGCCCCCGAAAATTCCTCTTTCGCCTTTGGTCCTTTCTCGCCTTTCTGGGATTGTCCCTGCTCTCTATGCGCCTCCATCATTGGCGGGCAGCGCGGCATCTGAGAGACCATCAACACTCAGCGCACCGCAAACCCCAGACTTGGCTGCCGTGCCAGATGTCGATTGGGACGAACAGCACCTTCGTGTCCAGTCAGACTCTGAGGGAGCAGGGGATCCCAGGTCAGCAAGTTCTGATATGAGCCCTCAAATCGACATTCAGCTTGAACAACCCGAGGATTGGAGCTTGGTGCTGGACAGCTTCCCACAAATCCCAAACAGTCACCCCGCTGGCCGGGTTCAAGAAAGTGACGATGAGGGGGAGTATGAAAGCGAGCCATCGCTGGAAGGCGTCCAGCTGTCTTCTGCAGCCATGGAGACACTTCAATATATCCGAGTCCCCGGAGAGGATAGTAATACTTCGTCTGCGTCATCAGTCAACGATGCATCGGAAATGAACCAACTTACCGGATTTACTGATGCCCGCCCAAAGAGTATGAACGACGCTGCCTGTGCTTCTGCGAGTTCTTCATCCTCTTTCACAAGTCTGAGCATTCCATCCCCTGGTGGCTTCTTTTCATCCCTTGACCGGCAGGCTCGGCGGACTTGGAGTTTGGTCCCTAGCAATAATGTCCCGACATCTGCGATTGCCGAAAAGTTCTATGATCTGCCCTGGAATGCCCGTGCACAGGGTAACGTCATTGAACAGGTAGTAGAGTATAGGAACGGCTACGCCGATGATGACGACGACGACGCTACTGAGGGCCCTCCAACTGCTAAGAGGATAATTGGTTCTGCACCACAGACTGCACGAAAGGTTCCCGAGGAGCTTTCCGAGTTGATCCTGAAACTCGACACCGAGGACAGGAAGCCGGTCGACCCCATCGAGTATGATGAATCTTACGAGGAAGGCTTACAGTCTCGCGCAATGGAAAGCCTCGATCGTACCAGTACATGGCTGGTGGCACAAACTCAATATATGTCCGCCCTGAGCGACACGAACCCCGTCAATAGCCCGAAGGATACACCAGTGACTCCCGTCGGCGATAACACGGCCGCTGAGTCGGACATTGCGCCCACCACCACCACCAAAACGGTTCGATTCCTTGATACTATCCCCGAGGAAGCCACAGAGAGTCTTTCGGGGCCTTCCACTCCGCTCCCACCGCTTCCAGTTGCAATGAACTCTATTTTCTACCGTGGATTCCAGCATTTTATGCGAACGAGAGGCAAACATAGCAACATGGATACCTTTCTCCATAGCAACTTCCGCTATGAGGCTCTTCAGGTTTCGCGCATAACCATGCGAGAGAAACATGTAGATACCCTTGCAGGCAAATACGAACTCAGCAACCCCGTTCGTCCACCGTATAAGGGCCCGTTCTCGCAGGCTCCCCGAAACTCAGTCCTGCCTCAGATTATTGCGGATAAAAAGATGTATAACGACGTGGAGAAGGAGCAAGACGCTCTAATCCAGGTCAAGAATTCGCTCTGGGTTATCGATGCATTCAAGTTTATCAATGGTGGCCGCCTCATCCCTAGTCCTGCTGCTAAGCGCCTTGCAAAGGCAACTCTACCCCTGGGTAGCCCTCGATGTTCTGGCAAACGCAGAATTAGAGTCCTCGACTTGGGAGGCCAGTCATCCTGCGAGTGGTCCTGGTTTATTGCAAGGGAGTACCCCAACGTCAAAGTCTACACGGTTGTTACCAAGAAACAGTCCGTTGATATGGCAATTCAAGGCCCACCAAACCACCAATGTGTTTTGGCCCAGAGTCTTTGGAAACTTCCGTTCCCAGACAACCACTTCGACCTCATCTCTGCCCGGACTCTCCACATGTTGCTTCAGTCTACTCGCCGCGTGTCAATCAACGGAGAAAAGGTTGACGAGTTTGAGCTTTGCTTGCAAGAATGTTTCCGATGTTTAAAACCAAAAGGGTATCTGGAATTTTTCCTCATGGACTCCGACATCGTTCGTGCCGGTCCTTATAATTCCGCCACCTCCGTAGAGTTTGGATTCAACTTGAAAACTCGCGGCTATGATCCCAATCCCACCAAAACGTTCCTGTGGAAGCTGAAGAAGTCAAACTTCAGCGCTATTAAGCGTGCATGGCTATTTATGCCAATGGGCGCGGCGCCTAGTGACGATTCTCAGGTTCCTGGCAGCAGGAATCCCAACAACTATGGGGGAATGGGAAGCACCGCCGACGTTGCTAACATCACGGGCCTTCTGGCAGGATGGATGTGGGAGCAATGGGTGTTGAAGTTGCAGATGGAGATGGGTCGTGATGAGAAGAGGTTGTTGGAGGAGATGAGTGGCGTGTTTGAAGAGGGCCGCAAGTCCGGTGCAGGATGGAGATGCTTGAGTGGTTGGGCTATGAAGCCACCGCGTTCCTCTTAATAATGAAGCGGATACTCAATCGATCGTTGTGTACCTCCTTTCTCGCCATTCCTAGGCCGTAGTCATCTCTTTTCTTTTGTTGGGATAGATGGGTTTTTGATCTCCATTCCTTGATATCATTTTCCTTCATGTATCATCGTTTTGGTTAGCTAGTAATGATCCCTTCAATAATCAAGTACCCTGTATATAACCCGCACCCACTCCCATATTTGCAATATCCGTGTACAACGTGTGTAAGAATGAGTTGAACTGGAACGAAGTCGTCGCCTTAAACGATGAGCTTAGTAAGCTTAAACTTCACGTGACATGTTATCAACGGCGGAAGTTCAGGCTCGAAAAGATACAAGCGACAACAAGACGAGGCAGGGCAATCAATGGTTCATGCGTATTACTTGACTGACTTAAACTGGGCGCTATAGCCTCTTACTTTTCCACTCCATCACCAACGAAAACAGTCTTACTGGTAAAATGTTGTTTTTTAGGTGAGCCGTCTATGTTCTTGCTATCGTGGATAGGTGATCTTCACTTTGCGACAGTCGCCCACGACCACTTACTATGAGCCGAACTACGCTGACAATAACCTCACAAGCTTCTTCAAAACCCTTACAAACCGCACCGTGACTATTGAGCTGAAAAACGATATCCGGATCCGTGGTACTCTGAAAAGCGTGGATCAATACTTAAACATCAAGCTCGACGATATTGAAGTTCTCGACCTAAACGAGTACCCACATCTCTCCAGCGTTAAGAATGTCTTTATCCGAGGGAGCGTGGTGAGATATATTGTGCTGCCACAGGCTGAGGTTGATACCGGCTTACTAGAAGATGCAACAAGAAGAGGTACGATTTACCCCCGCCTTCTCTATTTACGGAAGATAGGGTCGCTAATGGTCCATATAGAAGCGGCAAACCAGGCGAATAAAGCGCGGTAAACCCGACGAGGACAAGGAATTTAAAACTGAACGGGAAAGAGAGGATTGGGCCGAAGGGGGGATTCTTAAAATGATGAAGATGTCGCCCCGCTGGACGTACACTACGAATAGCCAGCAAATTGGTCACAAGTGTTGGACCCATGTTATGCCTCCGCTTGGGGGTACAGATAGACCGCCTCTAGGGTCCTTCACCTCTGCCTGGTTTATATCTACATGATAGACCAGTAATAGGGTTACTAAAACCCTCTGTTAATGAGATAATACGTCATGCCAACGCTAATTTATCCATGATATGTAGGCGGATAACAATGATTCCATGCCTATCAAGTGTCTTGGACGGTAGTTGAACTGCGAATCCGTAATATACGTAACCAGGCAATATTAACACCAAGCTGCCCTCGCCTCGCTCGTGGAATCATAGCCACTATAGACGCCAAGCAAGGCTAAATGGGATTTTGTGCACGTGACATCGCGCCTCGCGTTTTGATCTCGCGCTTCGAAATCGATAAGACATTTCACGGCTCACTCACCGTCACATCTGGTCATGAAGCCTTAGAGGAGAGATTATGAGAGCCTTCTCTCTCTCGGGGCACCCAATCTTAGTCCCTATTCCCTAAACTATTTCTAATATCCACTATGCCTCCAACTCTGACATCGCCGTTCTTTGGCTCAAACAATCAAACAGCCAAAAGGTCCTCTCCCTTGTCTACAGCGAAAAATAAGCCAGCCCCAAAGCGAAATGGAAGCATTTTGAGCTTTTTCAAGAAGTCGGACTCGCCACCTAAGCCAACTCAGCCGCGAATTACAGAGTATGGAGTGAGGAGTCGGAGCAACCTGCCAACAGGGCGTGCACGCCCTAGTCTCGTGGACGACGCTACTTCGGGCTTGTTTTTCGAAGACGAAGAGTCTCACAGTTCGGCAGTTGACATACAAGCGAATGACCCTTCCTATCCTAGTGAAAAGCCTGAGCTCCCGGATACTCTTTGGCACTCGCCACCTAGCTGCCCCGCAAACACATATGAGAAGGATGACAGGTATAATGAGAGCCCTGGTGCCGTGAAAAGGCGGAGGACAGGCTCCAAAGTTGCAGAACTGGACTCAACAGAAGTGGGAAACACCCTGACTACTACGGATGATGATGTAAACGAACCGCTATCGGGACAAGCACCCAGACGAACGGACGCGGTCTCATCATCAAAGTCTCTCAAAAATTGCCATGGCCCATTTCTAGATGAATCCGATAGCGAAGGTGATACAGAATCACCTTTATGCACTGAGATGAGCGAATCGAAACTAGGAGTGGCTCCCATCAAAGGTCAGAATGTTTCACCGTCTACCCCACACTCTGCAACCCGTTGTTTGCCAGCCATGGAATTGATAGAGGACGAAGACTCCAGTGGTGCTAGCTGCCAGGCAGACGACAGCTTGGAAAGAGAAGGGAATGAAATTAACTTGAGCGCTAGGGCTTTAAAGGAGCAAGAACTATACCTACTACCCAACGGAGAGAGATGTGAGGATGAGGGGCCGGCGTTATCTGAGGATGAAGTGGCCGTGTGTCCAATCTGTCAGGCTAGTTTAGCCGGCCTAACCGATACAGTAAGTCCCATTTGAAGTCCATAAAAGAATATGTTTATATTAATACTGATTTAGGAAGCATCTTTGCATGTGAATAACTGTCTTGACGGGAATCCTACTGCCGTAGTCGCTACAGTAAAAGATATCCAAGCCACTCGGTCACCTACGGATATACCACCAAGGATGAAACGAAGAGAAGCATCCCGACCTGGGCAAAAAAACCCTTTTACTCCTGATTCAGCCACGTCGTCCACGTCTGCATTTGCTAAAATTATGTCGGCGAATGAAGAAGATACCGCTTGGGGTGTAGCAGCCGCTAATGAAGAAGCATCCAGAGGGAAGCAATCCTACGAGCGCACTTGTCCCTTCTACAAAATACTCCCGGGGTTTTCTATTACTGTAGACGCGTTTAAATACGGCGCTGTTGAAGGATGCAATGCCTATTTCCTTAGCCACTACCATAGCGATCACTATGGAGGGCTTACGTCGTCCTGGTCACACGGCCCCATTTATTGCAGCAGGGTCACCGCCAATCTCATCAAACAACAGATCAAAGTAAATCCGGACATGGTTGTTGAACTTGAATTCGAAAAACGAACCGAGATACCCCGGACTGATGGAGTTGCTGTTACAATGATAACCGCTAATCATTGCCCAGGTAGTTCTCTTTTCCTCTTTGAGAAACGGATAGGGAACGGAAAGGGCGAAAGGATGCATCGGATCCTTCACTGTGGTGATTTCCGAGCGTCTTCGGCACACGTAAACCACCCTCTCCTTCGACCGGACACCGAGGATCCACATACTGGGCAGTCAGTTCAGCAAAGGATTGATGTCTGCTATTTAGATACGACGTATCTTAATCCTAAATACGCGTTCCCGTTTCAGCAGGATGTCATCGATGCATGTGCGCAAATGTGTGCAGGATTGAACGAGGGCCACCCTGACTCTTTCGAAATAGGAAATGGGTTAGCTGTCTCCGAGCCCATGACTTCCTTTCTGAAGAAAAGCCGGGGCTCGGCCCGAATTTCTGCGGAAGACCCACATGGTCGCGGCAAATTGCTTGTGGTTATTGGAACATACAGTATAGGCAAAGAACGTATGTGTTTAGGCGTTGCTCGTGCTTTGAAGTCGAAGATATATGTTTCGTTAAACAAGAAGCGGATATGCGACTGTTTAGAGGACGATGAGCTTTCTAGCCTCCTCACCACCGACCCGCTGGAGGCCCAAGTCCATATGCACAGCCTGATGGATATGCGCTCGGAAACACTTACTGAATACCTAAATTCCCTCAAGTCTCATTTTTCAAGGATCGTTGGCATCCGACCCACAGGTTGGAGCTACCGTCCACGTGGAGGAACACGGACCGACAATCCTACCGTCTCATCGGTCCTGCACTCGGAGTCATGGAAGCCGCGATTTTCCGTTAACGACCTTGTTCCACAACGTGGCAGCACCAGGGAGGCTGCATGCTTTAGCGTTCCGTATAGCGAGCATAGTTCATTCCGTGAGCTTACGATGTTTTGCTGCGCATTACGGACATCACGCATCATTCCCACGGTAAACGTGGGAAGTTCTAAGACTCGCGAGAAGATGAAGTTTTGGATAGACAAATGGGAGGTAGAGAGAAGGAAAAATGGACTATTTAAAATTGAAGATGGCGCCATACGGTGGTAACCAGGCCATAGCTATCCCAAATGATCATATTTTGAGCATATATATCTTGCTATCAAGAAGCACTAAACCTTTGTTAATTTATGCTATGTACATATTTTCCTTGACATGCCGTGTCGTTTCGTATATACATGAATTCGGTCAGCTCTAGGAATCTATTGAATCCATAAGGAGCGTTATATATAGTCCATCCATTCCATCATTTACTTCTTGATTCAACCAAGGTGGAAGCCACCAGTAGCCCGTTTCTGGAAAAATTGTTTGGGGTCAACCGCACGTCTGACAGCCAGGGCTTTATCTCTTGTTGCTTGAGATATGCGGCCCCAGAAGTCTTGACAGGCGTTCAGATCGTTCAAATAAAGAGGAGTATATGCGCTTGGTAGCTTTCCTTCTTGCGTGAACTGGTCTATCATCTGCCGCTGGCCAGTATAGTATCGGCGGGCCCCGTCTTCGACTATAGAGTCAGATGCAGAGTTGTTATATGATACAGCTATCTGCAGGAGCATGTAGTCATACTTCGGGTCGAAGCCCACAACGTCCTATTTGTGCGCTCAGGTTAGCACACAATGCTCATAATGCACCGGCTTTTTCTTTGGCTGTAGTAAAAATTTAGACTTACACCTCCTGACTCTTTGGCTTTCGTGGTGATTGAACGTGGCAATGGCTGGAGAGCCAGCGAGCTCGCCATCCCAGGAACGCTAGTCAAGCTATCGGTGATGTTGTTCCAGTGGTCGATGAAGGATTGGAAAACCGCAGGGCCATTTGGACCAGTCGGATGAACGCTCGTTTCGGCACCGATAGCGAATCTTTTGCCGTGAGTGATGAATTGATCATTCGCAAGCATCAGGCTGTGGTAACTCTGTTTCTTGGTCAAGTTTCGGATAGCTGGGACCTGGGTGAAGTTGCGGAATACATCGTCTGGGGGGGTAGGCCCATTATAGGTCAAGAATATAACCCATAACAGCGAAGGGTTGCGATTTATAGTCCCGATAATTGAGGCCTTGTCGTCGGTGTTGTATTCTGCAAAGTCTCTTATGGCCTGTGTGAGTTCATGGCTGTAGTTCCCGCTATAAAACATTGTTCCACCCCAGATCTTAATTTGTCAAGTTAGTCAGTCGTTGTATATATAAAGACGGTCTTTTGCATGGATAAGGGGTATATACCTCCGGATCTTGCGGGTGTGTTTTAACCGTAAATGCTGTAACGATTCCAAAATTGCCAGAGCCGCCTTTCATGACGGCATAAAGATCTGTATATACTGTTAGGACAAGGGCTCTTGATCTGCACCGATGATCCATTGCCACTTACCAGGGTTCGATGTAGCATTTGCATTTACGATGGTTGCATTTGCAAGGACTACCTCAAAGTTCACAACGTTGTTTGCTGCCCAACCATACTGGCTGCTGAGGAAACTCAAGCCACCTGCAATATCGTCAGCTAATAGTTACGGAAACAAAGTCGATATGATTGAGAAACGGACTGACCTCCTAGAAGAAGACCGCCAACACCAATTCCCCCCAGACGACCACCCACGACGACTTGGCCCTTGTCTTTCAATCCACCCACGGCCTCTTCCCACTTCAGACCTGGTCCAAGGACGGCAGTTTGGGACTGCTCATTGTAGGTTATCTGCTTCAGGTTCCTCGTCGAGATCAAAACACCGTCCTCTATACTGGAGAAAAGGGTATTGGGGGAATGTCCGCCTGACTTGATAGCAAAACGAGTCGTGTTTGATTCCCGAATTGCTGCAACGGCTCGCGCCATATCCTGAGCGTTCTTCGGAGCTATGATGCAGTCTGGTCGTAGACTGCTACATGCCGTTGACCAGTAGTTAATCTGTTCGGTCTCATAGTCACTGGTTGTAGGTAGGTCTACCTCCACTCCCTGGGCCAGGAGCTTCAGACATAACCGGTTATTCGCAAATGAAGCAGCCACAGATGTAGCACCTAGGAGGGCCAATGCAGCTTTGAGGGTGATTGAATGCATCTTGTTTGGGTATCTTTTCTTAATTTCTCAGGCCATGGACGAAGTGGTTATATATATAACCGGTCCATTTGCAGGCTAAGGATGTTGGCGCTCATTTTATCTCTCACCCCCAGCATGATCTCACATTGCTCCCGATCCTTACTCTCCAGCATCTCGCGACGTATCTGGTGATATCTAGCTAGCTTCTTCTGGGAAATGCAGTACAGGGGGCAGGGATAAAGCGAGAAATGGACCTTTAAAGTACGGACCCGCCTCCTATTGCAGAGACCAACCACGCCATCCGGGATATAAACAGGGAATGTTTTGTTTCTAGAAAGGATCCATACGAAAGCGAATCTAAGATCCGCCCGGCCGCTTTGGTCTGGAATATGGAAAGGCCGCATACATGGCTTGGTGCGGTTGCAAGCTGCTTTCCCTGACCATGTCCCTGGGTGCAATTTAGAAACCAACCCCTGGCCTTACATGGGAATGACAGCTTCCGTCTATGGCATGTTTGAGCATCTCAGCTCATTTCGTAGGGTGCAGAAGTAATAAGACATATCGACTCTATCCCATACCAGCATCACCGGATCTCCTATTCCCTGCAACGGCCCAGCGCACTGAGGACCGGAGCAATCGAGGGCCCACGCCTGAAAATTGGGCATCGGGGGAGGTGCTAAATTCGTACCCCAACCCTGGCTACGATTGAAGGGCCATGACTGCATGGGTTACGGCATCTCAGCCGTTAGTCTGAGGTCGAACCCTGGGGCTCCAAGGGAAGGGTGAGGAGTGTTGCATTATTTTCCTCCGTACTCCGTAAGCGCTTTGTCGTTCCGGACGTTTAAGTTCACGCCGTCGCGATATTTGGCTCCTCGAAGGGCTTCAATCCACATGTGCAAACGGGCTTATCATGCATAACAAGGCTACGACCCGGAGTCAAGAGGATAAGGGCGTGGCTTCGAACGGCGTATTTATTGAATGCTACTCAATTCTGGCAGTGAATTCACCGTCTTTCTAGGCCGGGATTCATGTGATTGGGCTAATCCCTCGCCTGGATCAAGCCTTGCCAACTAGTTATCGAATTGGGATGATATCTCGAAGCCCGTCCTCGTGGCAGAACTAAGCGACCCTGCATGCATGCACTTATATAGTCCGGAGTACAGAGTAATACCACACGGGCAAGCGTGCCTATCATCGCTGTATTCTGAGAAGCGCCGTTTCCATCCACAGCTTGGCGTACTGCTTGTGCAGCCACTCGACATATGAAGGCATGGGAGACTTGCTGGTCGTTCCTAGGCCCTGGAAGAGTACAGATTTCAGAGCAAACTCGGCAATGCCTTGTTCCGGTTTTGCAGTGGCGGAGATCTCAAATAGCCCGTCGCTCTCCCTCACCCCTTGCTTCATGGGAGAGTCGCCGCAGCGGAAGACGATCCGTGTTGGCGTATGTTCGAGCACCTCGAAGTGGTCCGTCACCTGAGTCCCGGTAGGATATGTCGATAATCGTAACTGCGAAGTGGTCCAGAGCTGGTGAGCAGTCTCTGGCCTTTCGTATCTGTGGGCAAGAATGGCCCGTTGAACCGTGTATCCTTTGACCCATCATCAGCTTCAATGGATATATCTTTTTTTTTCTTCATGCATATCTCGCTACTCTGTACTCTGTAGCTTGCATATAACACAAGTCAGTGGAAGCTCGCTTACCCAGGCCTCCCCAGACGCTGGCACAGAATGCATCGACTAGTCTGCCATCTTGCGAACGGAGCATCTCGTCAATGGACGAAAGAGGAACTCGCTTCACACAGACGTCACGCACGCTCGGATTATTGGACGGGTTGTATTTGCGTAAGTGCGCCGAGAGGGCGACATAGTCGTTTGAAGGGAGAGGGAGGACGGCAGAGTCCTTGGTGAAGAACCAGAATTCTCCCGCGCCTATCGAGGTGTAGACGCCGAGCTTGAAGATGCCTCGAGATAACCCCATCGTTTATAGATTCGTTATGTTGCAGCTTTCAACCATCAGCTCTCCACTTCAAGACTTCCAAAATCTTCCCGCTTGCTAGCCGAAGTATTCTTCTTCTGGTGGTGGCGGAATCCAGCCCGAGAAACCAGCCGGCCTTTACTAGTTAACGAGTTAGCTAAATATAACTAGCTAGCGACCAACCTAATCACCAAGCGATAAACCCCAACATCGAACATTATCAGGAATGCGTTCCATAGAGGGCACTCCTCGCTTCGTCAAGGGAGCGACCAGAACGCTGGCTGGATGGAGTTTATGCAATTACTCTAGCCAGCCCATTCGCGTTACCATGTACCACGTAGGCGAGGGCCCTGGAGTTCAGAGCTGTGAAGTACCATGGAGTGATCTATATACTGGACAGCGGCTACCAGCTGAGAGAAGAGATATCCAAATACCAGTCCCTCTGAAGTTCTATCCATCAAACGGAATACATAATGTCGCTTCCCAAGAACCCCATCACAGCAGAGCTCATCGAGACTCTGAAATCCCAGGTCAAGTCATCTGAGATCCTGATACCGTCATCCGCCGGATATGCAGAGGCCATAGCACGTTGGTCCGAAGCAGCTGTTAAATCCGCTGTAAGGAAACAAATACGATTCCGCATGCTCTTTGTTAGACACAGAGCAGCGAACCGTTGCCAGGACGCTGACTGAAATATACCATTAGGGCGCAGTTCTGCTTGCTGCTAATGCTGAAGATATCAGCCAGGCCGTTCGACTTGCTCAGCAGAACAACGTCGATCTAGCAGTGAGAGGAGGCGGACATTCCGTGGCCGGAGCTAGCTCATCTGATGGCGGACTGGTCATAGACTTGTCTCGTATGCGAAAGGTTACAGTTGACGAAGAGCACAAGACGATCACGGCCCAGGGTGGCTGTCTGTGGGCTGATGTCGATGAGGCTGGTGGCAAGCACGGTTTAGCTACCGTCGGAGGCACTGTGAATCATACAGGTGTTGGCGGCCTTACCCTCGGCGGAGGTTATGGGTTGCTAACCCCCAAGTATGGTCTGGTTGTCGACAATCTGCTATCCGCAACTATGGTCCTTGCCGATGGACGAATTGTGAAAACGTCTGCTACTGAGGAACCAGACCTGTTCTGGGCAGTACGCGGTGCAGGCCACAATTTCGGTGTTGCCGTTGAATTCACATATCAGGCCTATGACCAAGTAGACCAGGTTTTTGCTGGTATCCTCGGCTTTCAGCCGGAGAAGCTGGAGGCCATTATTGGTGTCCTCAACGACGGACTTGACCACCCCGACGAGGACTCAACCGCCGTTTGCGTTCTCACAACGCAACCTACTAACGCCACCCCAATGGTATGCACTGTTCTCTTCCATCGCGGGCCTGAGAAGAGCGGACGAGAGGCATTCAAAGGTCTATACTCTCTTGATCCCATCATGGACCATGTCAAGATGATTCCATACCCCACCGTTAATTCCCTAGCAAACCCAATGGCAACCCATGGAGGCAGGCGAAACATCCAGGGCCTCTTTTTCTCCCACCCAATGAGACCTGCCTTTGCACGAAGCGTCATGGACATGTACACGGAGAAAATGGCGGCGGACCCAGGTATGATGGGCACGGCTGTACTGCTTGAATTCTTCGATATGAGGAAATGTGCCTCAGTACCGATGGAAGCTACAGCATGCTCTAACAGAGGAATGACTCTTAACGGGATATTGTCGAGTAGATGGTGCGACGAAGCAAGCGATGCTGCCAACCGTCAATGGGGTCGAGATATGCAACAGCTGTTTATAAAAGAGATGGAGCGAAAACCCGCTCAGTTGACTGACGAGGTGCCGATGTATATCAACTATTCCAGTCGTAAGTTCACCTCCCTTTCTTCTAGCTAATGGTTTTCGTCCACTTTTTTCGCGGTTTAAGTCATATGGTAGGCAACTGACGGTGTGTGCGATCATAGCGGGCGAGTCATTTTCACAGATGTATGGCGTTCATACCGAAAGACTGCGATGTCTCAAAGGAAGATATGACCCTACTGGCGTCTTTGGCAAGATGTGTCCTATTCTTCCTGAAGACCAAAAATCCAATTAGTCAATGGAAGGACTCTAGGGGGAAACTGATCATGGTGGTTAGTGGGTAACACATGTAATGAAATCTCAACTCAATGATTATCTCCCTTATTCGAGAAAAGCTCCGAGCTTGTGCCTGGGGTGCTAAGACAGTGGCACTGATTACAATATGGTATCCGGTTGTCCAGGCAATGGATAGGCCTAAGAATAAAACTAAGGACAAAACTTAACGACGAGTCCAAGGACAGGGCTAAGAATAGATCTAAGGGCAAGTCTAAGGATAGATCTAAGAGTAAGACTAAGTAAGAATGGACTTAAAGATTTAACGAGAAGTCTAAGGGTAAGCATATTAACATATACAACGGTATCCAGATACAGATATAGGGGCAGGCCAAAAATAGTCAAGTAGTGGTTAGTTAGTAAGAAATGTAAGCCAGTTAGTAGATCAATAGTTATGTATGCTAAGTTGTAGGCATCACGGTAGTAGGCTAACACACATATAGTGTATAACGGAGGAGGCTTCGTTTCCTTATTATATCACTAGTATAGAAGCGTGGTTATGAACAGCTCCGTTCCTTGGTTGAACATCGACTCTGCCATCATCGACATTCTGGTACCACAATATCAAAACTGGTAACTTACGTCACTTACGTTCCAAGAAAAAGGGTAAGCCTATATATATAACGATGGTTGCCAGGCCTATCTGGAATATCAGAGCATGCTATTCAATGCTAATCCAAATACTGTGCAAGGCTATCAGAAGTGGCAGTAACAAATATTTACGGTTTTCCTTAATATGGCCTCATTGATTCTATTTCTTTTATTTCCTCTATTTATTTTAACTGGTCTATGGCTTAAAATGCCCCTATCCCTTTACCGGAATTTTCTGCGTCGTCGTCGCAGCCATCGCAATTCTCAGCATAATGCAGCCCACAGCCACCTCTATAAACTACCAGCGGAACTACTAAGCACTGTATGTCAGAATCTGGACTCTACGGATACCTCGATCGCCCTAGCATTCACCTGCGCTCGATTCTATTACTCCGATGCTCTTAAAGATGTCATGTCAAGTAAGGAGCTACGGTTTAAGGGCCTCTGTATGCTTGAACTTAACCGAGAGGTAAAGGGGTATTGTTGTCGAGGATGTCTCAAGATACACCCTTCCTCTGCGGCCTTCTCTAAGGACGAACTAAAAAAGCCGCCGTCAGAGCGTTACTGCCTAATAACCAAAAAATGCATTAGAATTGGAATACACAATGAGTTCAGCTTTGCCGAAATCCAGGAGCTGGTATCAAGAGGAAAGGGGATTCGACAAGATAGTAACTGGTTTATAAAGCTATTTTCTTCGCCCGAGATCACTATAACATATCCTATTCTTATATTTCCCAGGGGAACATCTGTTACTGATAAAGGATATAAAGCCTTGTGTGGAAAGCTCAACTACCCACTGTGCCGACATATGCGCATGAATACATGTCAGGTCATTCGTCTGTTTTATCCAGGGTCAGAACCTGCGGTTCGCTGGGGATGGCGATGGCCCGATGAAAACCACGGGAGTGTCGGTGAATATCTTCAATGTAGACGCTGCAAAACGAGGGTATCCCTGGGGGTCTTTAGAAGTGATTTTCCTGGCCATCCTAGCCAAGAATGGTGTGCAGTCAACGTTAGTCGATCGATTGGAAGGCTCTATTCTCCATTAGAGTCTTCCTGGCTTGAACAGACCTACTCTTCCAAACACCATCTGTTGGACAAGTATTGCAGAGTGACAGACGACTGGTTTCGAGCCTTTTGGGGGGATTATTCTACTCGGCCTGACCAAGTGAAGGATGCTTTCGACTTTTTATACGAGTATGAGTATCGTCGACCACTTCTACCATTCATTAATGGTTATCACTTTGCCCCAATCTCGCCTGTCTCGCCCTCAACTTTATCTTCCTGGATAGAGACATTAGGCGTAAGAGCCTGGCTGTTTGCAAGCGGGCTTATTTCCGAAAAGACGCACAGAAAATACGGGCCTCCGCATACATTACATATTTCAATATTGTCTGGGCCAATACCAAAGCAACAGGGATGAGGACTAGTGACGAGGAGCAACCCTATATGTATTTGCGTGTTTGGGCCTGAGTTGACACGGGGACAGGAGCAGAAGCAGAAGCAGAAGCAGAAGCAGAAGTGGAGGAGGAAGAATGCCTGCAGGCTGTGCCAGTCTCACTCTGGAGAGGCACGCTGGACTAGCAGTATTCTCTTTGCGGCTCCTAGAATGAATATAGCAGATACATCAAGGCAATGATGTGTTGTTATAAGTCTTTCCCGGCCGCATGTTGTTTGAGATTTTAATATTGTATTCTTATACAGTCTCTTCTCATCACTAGTTTGATATTCAGCGTCACTGAATCAGTTCAAAGAATGCAAACGCGGAATAGTTATTCCGCTGTAATATGAATAGACGCCGCTGCCGCAGTGGCTATTTCAATCAACTTCAAAGATGTGGAAACCGTATCGGCTCCTCCATAACCACGAAGACAGCATTCGTCAACCTCGTCAACCTCGGCGAGTGTATGGGTATAGAATAGTAGTTTGAAGAAAGAGGGCAGAAGAGTATAGGAGAAACGAAGAAAGGAGAGAAGTACTGGAGTGGATAGGGCTAAGCTGACTCAGCATATATAAATCACGTGTCCATAGAAACACCCTGCAATTGCCGAGAATGCTGACATAACTATCCACTTTCGACTCCGTTCTCACTTATCTAGGGCGCGGGATCTTGTTATCGCAACCCGTCCTGTTCGCAATAATGGAGCATGGCCATCGGAGATGCATCGAGTCGAGCTTTTATACAGTGCAGGAGAGAGACGTGTCGCGGTCCACTGTCTGGTGGGAGAGCAGACTTGATATCACGTGATATACGGCCGGCATTTTAACGTCGGTACTTTGACGCCGACAGCGAGGTACAATAGACGAAAGAGTATATAAACTAGGGCACTATTGACCGTGTAATCATATTCTGAGCCTGTTTATTGCTCACACTACCAGGTGACGAACGGTGGAAGTGAAAGCTGCCGACTCTCCGGTAGTATATACAAGCACTCACACTCACCAGTGACGTATAGATGTATAACCGTGGTGAGAAGCACATCCGCCTCATCCGGCCGGGCTTTGCTGAAGATATAACGCCGTTCTATGTATCTCTGCAATCATGTTAGATGTCCTTGTCCGTCTATACCGCCATGGAGCAGACAGCTGGCACCACGACCAAGCTGCTGGCCCAGCTGCCGGTCCAGTGATGCAAGCCATCTCACTCTACCCATAAGCACGCCCCTCCATGAACATGCCCGGACCGTGTATGGAACAGTGATGGCGAGCTCGAGCCGTCTAATTCTTCCGACAGCTCCCAGGGAAGATGCATGACATCCCTACATTGCAGCAGCTCGGAGCATCACCCGGCCTATGGGAGGCTGGCTATTGCAATGCCCCGGGCCAGCCGTGGGGGCCTGCTTGTCTAAAATATCCGGTAACCTCTCCTAACTATCCATAGACGAGAGAGCTGAGAGTAAGCAAAGCTAAGAGTGTTTTGCCCTATGCAAGGAAAGAGAGAGAGAGCTCGAAGGCCGCAGCTAGCCGAGGGACGCCGTGGCGCTGCGTATAGCTTATAACTGAAGAGGCCGTCCCACCGTCCACCAGTCCACACATAAATTACTTCCTCCTCCTCTTCCTCTTCTCCCTCCCTCTCTTCTTACTCTCCATCTCATCCATATCGTCTTTGCTTCCTCCTGTCTGCACCGTTGTTGTGCTGCCTCCACCTGCGAGAAGCTACCCTCGGCTATCGCCGGCCCTGCCGCTGACGTCACCCAAAAAAGTGCCTGCGATAAGGAAAGTCACGTGGAGATAAGCAGATATGTTGCTTGCTCCGGTTGTCGAGAACTTCTCGCTCGTCCTCGCGGGACAGGTCTTCCTGCTCATCGTGGGCGTCCTGGTAGGCTATATCTGTATCTATACTGAGTGGCCGTGACTAACGATGGTCTGACAGCTCGTTGGATACTGCGCTTATAACAAATTCCTGCACCCGCTACGGTCGTTTCCCGGTCCCTTCTTGGCCTCCGTCACACCCCTCGTCCAGCTCTATCATGGACTCAATGGCGACCGTCATCTCTGGCTCGTCGAGATGCACGAGAAATACGGTACCCACGTCCGCGTAGCCCCCAACTTCATCTCCATCAACACCGTCCAGGGTCTCCACGACATCTACGGCCACGGCAAGAAGGTCAAGAAGTCAAACTTCTACAACTCCTTCCCCGCCATAAAGGGAGTCTACAATACCCACAATGCCATCGACAAGACCATCCACGGCCGCAAGAGACGTGTGCTCAGCCAGGCTTTCTCGGAGCATGCTCTCAAGGGAATGGAGGATGTCATGCTTACGAACGTCCGTCAGTTTTGTGATATCATGGGCGGTGACGCTGCCGGTTTGGAATCCGATAGAGTCGTCAACGAGAAGGGTGTTGCCGTGAGGAACATGGCTGATTGGTTTGCCTACCTGACCTACGATGTCATGGGTGAGCTATGTTTCGGAAAGAGTTACGGCATGTTGATCGAGCGTGGACGAAGAGACGTCATCGCTCTCGTCGACCGAGCTGCTTTCAGGCACTACGTCGTACGTATTGACTAAACTCTTCTACATGCTGATATATATATGCTAATTTATTTATAGTGCGGCTTGTGGATGCCCCTTGATAGCTGGAAACTGGATCAAATCTTCATCCGCAAACTGACCAACGACCGATGGAACTTCATCATGAACTCCCGTGTCGAGGCAACCCAGCGTGCCAAAGAACGAACCATGGCCGGCCACGAAGCCAAGAAGGACTTCTTCTACTACCTCCTCAACGCCAAAGACCCTGAGACCGGCAAGGGACTCGCCACCCCCGAACTCTGGAGTGAGAGCAACGTCCTCATGATCGCCGGAACAGACACCACCTCCACCGGCCTCACAGCTACCATCTTTTACCTCGTCCGCAACCCAACCGCGTTGGAGAAACTAAAGAAGGAAATCCGCGCCAACTTCACTGATGTCGAAGATATCGTCACTGGCTCCAAGCTCAATGACATGACTTACCTCAAGGCCTGTATCGATGAAGCCATGCGTCTCGCTCCCGCTGTCCCCGGAGCTATCCCCCGTGAAGTCCTACCAGGTGGCATCGAAGTCGACGGTGTCTTCCTACCGGGCGGAACCGACTGCGGAACCCCATGCTATGCCATCCACAGACATCCAGATTACTACCGCGAGCCAACCAAATTTATCCCCGAGCGCTGGATCGAAGGCGCCATGTGCCAGGCCGACAGCGGAATGTGGGTGTCTACCAAGGACTCTGTCGAAGTTGCCCGACGAGCCTTCTGCCCATTCAGCATCGGCCCCCGTGGCTGTATCGGAAAGGGCATGGCTTTGATGGAGATGCGTCTTACCATTGCCCGCATGATGTTCCTTTTCGACATCGAGCTTGCCGACCACACCGGTGAAGATGCCAATGGCCACCTCGCCATGGTCGACCACTTTACCAGCCAGAAGACTGGACCAAACATCATTATCCGAAAGCGCCAATAGGGGTCGTTTCATGTAAGTATAACGAGATAAAATGGGTAAGGTAGGCTAGGGCAAGGTTGATGGATTTTTTTTATATATATGATGATGTTGATGACCTGTGCCTATTATGGCACCTTCTATACACTTACTTCACACCTCACATACCACGCAGTGGAGTACTTGGGCGAGGCGAAGCAGCTCTTGTTGGACTAGAGTGAAGTCTAGGATTCACAGAAGCAAAAGCAGCTGTTGTTTTGTTTTGTTTAGATAAATGCCCAGGAAGCGAGTTCCATATATCATGCATGTATGTATTATGTTGCTTTTCATATTCTCTGGAAGATGGATGGATCACAGCACCATGATATCTTTACTTATATATATGTGAAATACGATATGAGTTGATAAACTAGGTGTTCGAGAGAACTTGAAACTGCCTATAAACATCTGGTTAAAGCAAGGTTTGCGTTTGCCAGGAGTTTGGGAGCTGGGAGGCCTTGGCAGTTACACCCGAGCCCGGAAGTCTTGGCGGCCACATTGTGGTTGTTAAACGAAAAAGAGAGCACCTCAGCTCACGTACTACATAACACTTAGTAGGAACATCTTCATCGAAGAAACCATGATGGATACTTACTAGGAGCATTGAGATATTTTCATGGCAGATTATTCCTGGCCACCAGTGCTTGTGAAGAAAACCTCAACGCGAGGGTTACTACTGATGTGCGTCGTATCCTGTCTGATGGAGGGCTACAGTCGCTTCGTGCCAGCCCGAAAACGAATCAGTGATGTACATCAGGTTTAGAAATGACAAATCAGCATCCGCTCCAATTAGTTACGTTCATATTCCTTTCAACAGGAAGACCAGTGTCACTCCTGCTCCGAGGCTACTGCTACACGTACGATGCAGACGGCAGCCATGGCGCTTCTAGGTATAAACGAGGATACCTTATTATCGTGTCAATGATTATCAATATCTAACTTAACCTTTGCATGTCTAGTGAAACTCTTAATATACCCCTTTGCATGAACTGTTCCATCCGTCCGAAATTCGTAGGATTAAAAAGCTATCGACATCAGTCTAAAATGAAGCTATACGAAAACAGGGTTCAACGGTTTTTGACCACTGGAGCTAATCCACGCTAGGGCCAGGAAGATTGATACCCCGACATATCGAAGCGCAGGCCTGTGAAGAGCACGAGAAAGAGGAAGCAAATGTTATTGAGCCGCTTCCAGGCTGGGCCTAATACGCCTGCCTGAAGACACCCTTGAGAACGGGCGAGAATAAGTCACCGATGAGAATCAAGCTTCAACTCCGGCGGAAGTCTGTTAGGTCCAGGCCATCGGATCGTGCCAAACCCCGAGACAAGCGTGAGCCTGGGGAGAGCAGAGAATAGGCTGGCCAAGCACGCCAGATCAGGAGCAACCTTGTGAATTTGGGGTAGAAAAATAAATCGGCCGAACGGCTTCCTCGTCTCAAAGTGAATCAAGGTCTCAAAGAGGATGATGGACAAGCCAGGGTTGCAGAACTGAAGGATGTTGGTGATCAACGAGTAAGGTCAGCTACGTCAAGCATCAAGCGCTGCTCGCGACAAGGGTGTTGAACAAGTCAATCCTATAGCTGAACCAGACTCACAAGCACAAACAGACGACCGAGGATACAAAAAACACGATAACGAGGCTTTGTTGAGCTAGACTAATCTGGCAAACGTATATGCAAGAGTGTAGAGTCAGTCAAAAACTCCCGTGTTAGGCAGCATTCGTGCGCCTGACTGTGAAAATAAAGAAAAACCGACCCAGCTTGGTAGCTACGTGCGCAGAAATCTAGTTTGTCCAGCCAAGAACTAACTGCCAATGTGGGTGGTATTCGGGCCAAACCACTGTATATGGCTATCTTTCCGGAGTACCAGTCTTCTTACAACATCGACCGCATCGAGAAGTGCCGTCTCAAAACTTACTGCACCTCGACATATTGTACAGACCGCAAGAATTATCTACTGTTAAGCCATGTACGGAGTACTTCGTATAGTAGGTGACCACGATCAGCCACGATCGTCATCATTTTTGCATGGACCCTTTAATGCTTGTCACCTTCTTTGCTACACGGGAAACCATGCGACCGCACAGCCGCCTTCCTTAGCTGGAAATCCACATGCTTGGGATCTATCTTAGTCCTTAGGCTCCGAGATATCCCATCCGAGGGAGCATTGTCTTGTTCAGGTCAAGCCAGAGGCAGAGGCAGAGGCGGTTTACTTGCGCCAAGCTTTATATACTTAGCATTTTACCACAGGCACGGACCTCATCACGCGACTACCATGATTAGTCAGGACGTTGTTAGTCAGCCGAATATCTGCAGGGTGACCTCAACTTCTCAACGACGCTTTCAGTTCTCATCGGAAGAGCGTTGTAGGTTTTTTCATGCATCGATCCCTACACACTCTCTTCTGTATTTACACCCTCTATGTTCGACACCCCCCTTCAGAAAAGTTGCTTATCCCCGCGTCCCCGCTTCCCCGCACGCGTTTTGTGGGCCACCGCTCGTATTTCTTCTCCCGTGCCCAGTTTCCGTTTCTACGGTCGAACAAGTTAAACTGGTCCCCGGGGTGGTTCTGACTCGCTCTCGGCTCCATTAAAGCCACATCTCCGCGAACTATAGGCCTACCAGCCTATTCTTGACGATGCTTGGGTCCCCCCAAAGGGGTCATACGCCCTTTCATTCGACCAATGAAAACAATTCGCTTAAAGGATTTTTATTTTTTGCCAAAAGTACCCCAGCTTAGTATCACGATCACTATAGGTGATGGTAGAGAAACTGCTGCCGTTTTCAAAGCCCGCCATTGAATTCAGGAACACCCGCACATACACTTCGTATCAAAAAAAGGGAATTGAATAGTCTATAGCATATCATATCCAAGGAAATCTGAGATCAGCCTGTGGCGGGAATAGGCCATGGCGAACGTCCTCGCAGAGGCGGCAACGCCACAGCTGAAGCACTTTCAGCCCAACCGAAGAATATACTACAATATCCTAGCCCCGTTATGCGTTGCCCAGAATAAGAGGTCCCTGCTTATAGTAGCATTGTCAGCTGCAAACACAATGCACAGAAGAAGCGCCATGAAGCGCGCCGCATCGAGGACCGTCCAGTTTAAAATATATATTCAGATTGCCACCATAATCCGGAAATTGAGTTTGCAGTTATCATTACCTCATATTTCCTCTGCTGCGGGAAGCCCCAATCCCACTCTGCGTCCTTCATTACTCCTGATCCAAACTATCTTTCGTTGTTACACCCTGGTGGGCGGGTGTACCTCGAACCTGTTACCTTGCTGCGGATCCATTATGTATGCCCATGCTACATAGCCGGCCACCGAAAGGCTACTGCCCATCCTGGGTCAAGAGTACCTGAATTATAGCCATCCAAGCCAACATGGTTGGACTACAAATGGGTCTCCGGATACATACGGACGTCTTAACCTATTAACTATGCTTGAAGAGAGGGGTCTCGAATCCAACTACATTATATACGTAGTAACATACCTACCTCGGTCGAGGCTTGCCTTTCCCTTATATATTTGGTTGCACATGCCATGATTTTGAAAGCCGATCCCGCAATTCTCGTGCTAACCGTCAGTGCTTCTAAGGCTATACCCACATACAACGATGGACAGGGACATTCAGAGTTCTGGTTTCCCCATCTGGGTTAAGAGCCCCATCGACTCTGGGGTATTTTGGGCCAAAAAGTGACCTGCTGATGCCAATCCACTTTCCCAATCCCAACAGACGGATACCTCGGGGGCAAAGGCGGTAGATTTCCACCGTTCTATATACTTGGGCATCGAGTCTGAGTATATAAAAGCACGATGTTTCCCTTGTCAATAATCACTCAGGATCATCGGTGCAGTGTACCAGATCCAGTCCTTATTCCAAACCCATTGCATTGGGTATCCCTCTTCAGCCTGTCCAGCCTGCATAATGTGGTATCTCCTCAGCCTTGCGGCGTTATTCGCCCATCTATCCGCCGCTGCGCCGACAATCAACAAGCGAGCTGATCCAACTGTCAAACTGGACTATGCTAATATAGTTGGGTCCAGTGTGCTTGGGGTTGACTCGTTCAAAGGCATTCCCTACGCTCAGCCTCCGGTTGGTAAATTGCGATTGAAACCACCACAACCTATCACCACGAATCTCGGAACGATCCAGGCTACCGGGCTCCCTCGAGCTTGCCCACAGATGTATCTCAGCTCTGACAACATCCCTGAAGACATTCTTGGGAGGTTTATAAACACACCATTCTTCCAGACAGTTAGCAATGCTGGTGAAGACTGCCTGACCATCAATATCCAGAGGCCGTCTTCAGCGACGCCAACTTCCAAATTGCCAGTGGTCTTCTGGATATTCGGTGGTGCTTTTGAACTCGGATCCACACAGTTGTACGATGGCACTTCGTTGGTCCTGAGATCTATGGCACAAAATAGAGATATTATTTATGTTGCTGTGAACTACCGGGTAGGAGGCTTTGGTTTCATGCCTGGCTCGGATATCCTGAAAGATGGTTCCGCAAACCTGGGTCACCTCGATCAACGCCTTGGACTTCAATGGGTCGCCGATAATATTGCAAAGTTCGGTGGAGACCCAGAAAAAGTCACTATCTGGGGAGAGTCTGCCGGTTCTATCTCTGTGTACAACCAAATGACTCTGTACGATGGCGACAATACATACAAAGGAAAGCCTCTGTTCCGTGCAGCAATCATGGATAGTGGAAGCGTTGTCCCCGCCGACCCTGTTGATTGCCCTAAAGGCAATGCTATATACAACAAAGTCGTTTCCGAGGCCGGATGCGCCAACGCTGCCAATAAACTCGACTGTCTACGATCTGCCGATTACACCACTTTCCTCAATGCCGCAAACTCCGTCCCAGCCTTCCTTAGCTACAACTCAGTTGCTCTTTCTTATCTTCCACGCCCTGATGGAAAAGCACTCACGGCCTCTGCAGACGTTCTAGGCAAAAGCGGGCACATTGCTAAAGTTCCATTTATCATCGGTGATCAAGAAGACGAAGGCACGATTTTCGCGCTCATGCAGTCGAACCTCACGACCACGGACCATGTCGTCGATTATCTCAGCACACTATACTTCCATAGCGCAACCAAGCAGCAGGTTAGGGATCTAGTTGCCACTTACCCTGATGATCCGTCTGCCGGTTCGCCCTTCAGGACTGGTCCTTTCAACCAGCTATACCCACAATACAAACGCTTGGCTGCTATTCTTGGAGACCTGGTATTCACATTAAGTCGTCGCGTCTTCCTAAACATTGCCAACCAGAAGCAGCCCGACGTTCCGTCCTGGTCTTACCTCGCCACCTATGGTTACGGCATCCCTTTCATTGGCACCTTTCACGCCTCGGATATCCTCACCACCCACGGCTACACCCCCGGAATTCCGAGCACCAGTATTCAGAACTACTATCTTAGCTTCATCAACACTATGGATCCCAACAAAGGAATGCCGTTTGGGTTTCCCAATTGGCCTCGATGGGGCGAGAGCAAGAAGTTGTTGAATTTTTCGGCACTAGGAAATAGTCTGCTTTCTGATGACTTTAGGGCCACAAGTGCAAAATATATTGCTGATCATGTGGATATTCTACATATATGAAAGTCGAACTGGCCAATGTGGACTCAGCCTCCCATGTGGACTCAGTCATACTATACCCGAGGCAGACAAAGAGGGAGAGGGAGATTTTGGAGTATGCTAAGGCATATATATATACATATATACCTATTTCCGTTTAAATATTGAATGATTAATGACCTGATCTAATGTTTGGCTCAGAGTAAATGCACCTACGATACATATATGTAGACTATGTTCCACCTGCCTTATCAGACTCTGATTCGTTGCAATATGCTTTACTGCAGGGGTGCATCAAATCACGCGGTATGCCGCGAGATGTCTAAACCACAATTTAAGTATTCGATATTCCTTTTACTCTACGCCATACTGTCTAACTACGTATCTGCTAAACATTCAACAACCCTAAGAGTCGATCCAATAATCCCCTAGCCTTGAGGGAAAGCCATTATCCGCAAGCAAAATGAACGAAGCAGCCGAGGTCATCGAGGAGCGTTTCGGCCATACGGCATGACATATACCAGGCCAAATCAGCACTGGCTGTGAGGGATGCTAAGTTGCCAGCCATAAACACTTAAGTATGCTCTAGTACCTTTATTAGACACGACTAGGCTAATTATCCTATATGAAGTATGCCGTGTATATAACGGTGGAGGTTGGTATAAAAAGGCAAGCTACGTCACTGGGTGCAACAGTGCGCCGTAGCCCCTTCCTCTAGCGTCGGGACTTAAAAGCCTAAGATAAGCCTCACCTTCACTCCGTCCATTCACCAACCACCAACGATGACGATGACCGCGGGCGATAGAAAGGCGGTGCAGGCACAAGAGTCGCCAGGGACGCCCCCTCAGCCTCCATACTCTCCCGTAACGCCAGTGACCTCTCAGTCCTCCGGAGCAAGCCCCGCCACCGAGTCCATAGCGGCATCTCCGCTACCACCAGCTGCATACCCGACAGCTGAATCTATTCCAGCCGGAATCGACCGTAGTAGGTCAAGCTTGCATAAGAATGGGAATGCCGGCACCAGTTCGACTTCTCTGCCTCCGCAATTCATGAAGGAACCATCGCCTGTGCCCATCTCCGAAAGTGAGAACCCGGATGCGATCGCCCTCCGATCAGCCATAACCATCCTTCAGATACAGAAGCAGCAAGCCCTACGAGACATTCGGGCGCTGGATAAAATGAAACAGGCAGTTTCTGAAGATCCACATACCTTTGCCGATGAGTTATTGAATGGCTCTCTTCACTCAGAGCAAGGCGATCTATTCCACCCCCCCTCTCGGGAAGAGGGCGAGCAAGAAGAAATTAGAAGAAGTGATTCAGAGGCTATGGATGTTGACCAAGAGCAGCGGCCACAATATAATGGTTCTGGCGCAAGTCAAGCAAAACGGCTTGGTACAATACCCAAACCGCAGAACATCGTGCGCATGCCTGCTATAAACTGGGCAAAATATCATATAGTAGGTGAACCGCTGGATAAAATGCACGAAGAGCAGAGGCTGAGACCCACGCCTGGTGAACCGCGCCACGATGCGTCGCCATCCATATCGACGTCAAGAAGTCTGGAACACCTACTCGCAGCTCCATATCGGCCATTCGTGGACAAGATTGATCCTCGTATCAAGGCTAGAAGTGGCAACAAATGAGGTTGAGAGCTACAGCTTCAGCAATACAGTCCAGACACGTATTCTCACACAGTACAACATCGTCCGCAGCGCTGCCTGAGCTCTCTATGGGCCCCCGTTCCACTCCTATCCCCTCTGCTTTCCGGGTATTATATCGGATAGTACCGTTCACAACTACCGCAGAAGCGGCGATCTATTGTCATCCAAGTAGCCAATCTCCACATGGTTCGCAGACGGTCTCCTCTACTATAGTATATCCCACGACCTTTGTTTATCAATTGGCTCGCCCTACCCAGCGCTTTGTTGGCTAGGGCTAAGCTAATCTGGGTGGGAGGTTCTAGCTGCTCGAATATTTCGATCAGTACCCAAATCGGCAGATCCAAAATTGTGATTGGCTGCGGGAAAGCGATGTACGCCCACCGTCTGTTTCGAATGATCTGCTCAAGACGGAAGTGTTTGTTAGCTCGCCTCGTTCTCCAATGAGGAACAAACCGACTTAATTTTCCTCTTATCCCAACCTTCCTTCTGGAAGTGAAGGGAGGTTATTAACATACATGTTTATTGATGTGGAATTTATGAACGGGTATCCCGCTTCCGCGGAACATGTTGGGTGGAGACTCAGAGATTAACTGGCTATGCGGTAACTCCCCCGCCTGCCAGTCATCTATTTCCCGTTCACCTATAGTTGATGGCAATCGGGATAATTCGACAGGTATCGAGAAAACTGGAGATTTATCGAAGACTGAGGACAAGCGTTCACTTCCCACGTGAGCGGGAATCATCACCGAGAGGTCACGCATGTTGCTGTATCATAAACCGTCAGCCACTCCAAAGTCACTCCAAATATAACAATAAGGGGCTGAGAGCCTACCGACGCTGACGAATTGTTCTATTCCCACCATCTTGACGCCGACATTCCGGTGCCCTAACTGGAAACATGCTTTCTTTGTCCAATATAAGATGAGAACAACGGGTCTCCAATTTTTGGTTTATCTTGACAGCAGATGAAATAGAGAGAGAGGAAACCGCTCCGGAGGCTTTTTAAAGGCTAGGAAAAGGTCCTATTCTCCTTGTATCATTACAAATTTCCACCAAAGAGCGAGTTTGTTGGATTTATATTGTTTATAACGGCTCTTCGGCGGACAGATGCCAACACAATGGCAAACAGGAAATCCTGAAACTCTCCCTTATATCTACAAGAGAATGAGACGAAACATCTCGTATACAAAGCCTGCGGAATATAGACTCGCGCATAAAGAGTAGGACACCTTCACTTTGAGGGCAGGTAATTATTTTTATTGATAGATAGAACATCGAGCTCATAGAGACATAGATTAAAGATGCTACATTCCTAATACCTTCCACATCAACTATTAGAAAAGCATGGTCAAAGCGAGACCCTATCGGGAAAATATAACCTATGTCTATAGGAATCATCCCTATTAAACGAGTTCTCATCACCTTTCAGTGCTGGAGAGCTCAAGGAAAGCTCCATATCACGTGATGAAGCTTCGGACTTTAAAAGACTTTTCGTTATCCGTCTGGGAAATATCCATTGACATCAAGCTTGAAGCTCGACCGCGGCAAAGAAAAGATGAAACGTAAGGCGAGTTCGGGGCCGCAAGGCCTATCCGAAAATGACAATCAACTTGCAAAGAAACGGGCGCTTTCAATCCAAGCGATAGCTCCCTCATTTGAAGAGGGCCTATTGGAGAAGGATACCCTCGAGAAGTACAAAGAAGCTTATGCGAAATCAGGCCCGTGAGTTGACATTTTTCTCATTACATTCGGACTATCTGCTGCAATTGGCCGTGTGAAAGCTTACAATATACTCAAATTGTGCGTAACAGTTATAAACATGGCGTTATCTCCCCGCTTTTCAACCAGGACCTCCTCCGCTCCGTTCGCAACGAGATTCAAGAACACATCTCATTCACGGAGAAAGAGACGGACATCTACAAGATATTCCAATCGGGAGACTTGGCGAACTTGGATGGGCTAGATGATGAATCGCTCTCCAGGCTACCATCTCTACTGAAGCTTAGGAACGCTTTATACTCCGGTCCCTTCAGGGAGTATTTATCTGAAGTTACCGGTGCCGGAAAATTGAGTGGTAGCAAGACTGATATGGCTGTCAATGTTTACACCGGTGGATGCCACCTGCTGTGCCATGACGACGTTATTGGAAGTCGACGTGTTAGCTATATCCTCTACCTAACTGACCCGGATGTCCCTTGGAAGCCAGAGTGGGGTGGAGCTTTGCGATTGTATCCAACCACGACTAAAACCGATGCCAATGGGGAGGAAGTCAAAGTCCCACAGCCAGATTATACTGTTTCCATTCCACCAGCTTTTAACCAGCTGAGCTTCTTTGCGGTGCAGCCTGGAGAAAGCTTCCACGATGTGGAAGAAGTGTATCACATGGAAGCCAAGGGCAGCGAAAAGGAAATCAAAGAAAGAGTACGCATGGCAATCAGTGGCTGGTTCCATATCCCACAGGAGGGCGAAGACGGGTACGAAGCAGGTCTGGCAGAGAAACTTGCCGAGCGAAGTAGTCTCCAGCAACTTCAGGGTGAAGGGGACGAATTTGACCGACCTCAACCACAATTCGTACCTTATAATCAAGCAGGAGATGAGGACGTGTCTTCTAAAGGCAAAGACGCTGCCAAGGCAGGCGATGAGGACGACGATGATGAAGAGTTCAACGACAAGGACCTTGACTTCTTACTAAAGTACATCTCACCATCGTACTTAACCCCTGACGTAGCAAGTCAACTCAACGAGATCTTTGACAATGAACGAATCGTCAGACTAGAAAAGGTCCTCTCGGATAAGTTTACTCCCCGTCTCCGTTCCTATATTGAGGACCAGGAGCAGGATAAGAACGCACTTCCTACTTCTGCTGAAGAAATTGAGCAAAAGACAGATTGGAAGGTGAGCCGGCCGCCACACAAACATCGATATTTGTACCAGCAAGCGTCTCTAGAAAAGAGCCAAGATGCCCAAAAAACAAAAACGCCGATTCAAGAGTTGCTAGAGGATCTGTTGCCGTCACGCGCATTTAAGAAATGGCTCTCCGTCGTCACTGGGCTAGATGATCTTATAGGCCACAATTTGCTTGCTCGCAGATTTAGACGTGGAGAGGATTATACCCTGGCCAGCGGATATGAAGGTGAATCTCCCAGACTCGAATTCACCATTGGTCTCACACCCACGTCCGGATGGGAGAAGGAAGAAGACGACGAAGAGGAAACAGAAGCCGCTGCCAGGTCAAAGAGCTCAGGCTCGGGCTCCAAGGTTGCAAATACCAAAAATCAGGAAACGGAAGCCAAGGCAGAGACTGGCGCAGAAGAGGATTTATCCGTTGGCGGATATGAAATCTACATGGCAGGTGACGATGATGATGACGATGATGAGGCCGGCAAAGAGGCTGAGCAAGTTCTCGGCTCCACGGGAAGCAAATCAAAAGTGAATAAATCAAAAGCCGATCCAGCCATCTACAAGTCCTCGACCAATGACGAAGACGACGGAATTCTGTTCAGCATGGCGGCTGGCTGGAATCGCATGAGCATTGTGCTACGAGACCAGGGCCCGCTCAAGTTTGTGAAATATGTCAGTCGTGCAGCCAAGGGTGGTCGGTGGGATGTTACTGGGGAGATTGATGTTCAGTATGACGAGGATGAGGATGAGGAGGATGGTGGTGATGAGTGAAGCCTTTGCCTGCTTGATTGGCATTATTTGTAGATAGCAACTTTAACCCCAGCTGTGGCAATGGCGTTATTATGCCTGCCGGCGTGGCGTCTATGGGGTAAAACAACGAACCGTGAAATGACAAATCTATATTCTATATTCTATACCTGCCTGCCAATATTGCCCGACACTATCACAAGGAACCGCATAAGCTATTGCATCCATATTAGAATCGCACCCATGTTTGCACGTAGAATTATACCGTGGAATCGATAGTAGACAGCTGCCATATTTCTACCACGTCCAAACCATCGATATCTCCTGCTGCATACCCTAGCGAACACAGGTAACACCTCCAACGCATCTAGTGTCCAATAGTGCCCTCAAAGCCTTAACATAACCCTACCATCAGCCATCTAGTATACTATGATCTCGTCTTGATCGATATAAATGATACATCTTGACCGGTATAAATATAGCCAGGACAAGAGAGAACAAGAGGAACCCACGCTAAGAGTTTCAGCCCTTGTAGCGTAGGGGTTATCGCGTCATACTTGTAATTCATATTATGTCATATGAAGGTCACCAGTTCGAATCTGGTCGAGGGCACATTCTACTTTTTTTTTTCTTCTTTTTTTCTTCTTATACCGTCGATAAAGCATTGTCAAACGGACCAGACTCGCTTAGTCGTGACTACTTGCACCATTCAATACCAAGGCCGTAGCAGGGACTTAGTCGTGAATAGTAGCCATGGTCTTTACCACTATTGCTCCCTAGCTCCCTCAGCCTCATTCACCCTGCCCTGCTGGAGATACACATCCATCAATTTGGGGGCCAGCACGAGGTGAACAAACCATGGCTAGACCTATTTTTGCATCAGTTATGATCCCAACATGATGCCATATCGGAATACTTGGACGAGCCGGAGGGTCCGGCAGCAAGACCCGGCAAATCAGAAGTGCATAAGTCTACATAGTCTACACGTCGTCGGTCTGGCGTGTTAAAGTTAACGTTTAACAGCGATCTCAAAAGTCGATCATCCCATCTAATTACGGGAGTGCTCAGGCAATTGGCATCCAGACGTCACATCGACATATCGACCTAGTTTCTTCCTTTACTTGGACCGTTCCACGAAACGGCTCGCAGCTCTTCCGTCTATTTCGTCGGCGTGGTGTCTATCGGATTGAAAGCGCAGGTGTACCGGGGTATCCTCCGCTTCGCCTCCTCTGTCCCTGTGCAACCCCTGTCTTCATGCGATGGTGGCTACCATCAACCCGGTTCCTACACTGGTCTCTCCCTGGCTGGGGTAGGCGACTATTGTTCATGCATATTAGTCCCAACCCTAAGAATACCGGTAATGCACGAGGTCGATCTCTCTCGTTGCCGGAGGTAATCTTTTCAAAAGGGCAGGTAGTAATCTTACCGTTTTGTCAGGGCGTACATTAGGCGGTCGGTTAAGTGATGAGTCGTCTTTTGCTGAGCACGTTACATATACGTGGTATAAGAGGGATATAGGGATACGCAAGGCACAATTCACTAATCCCACAATGCACGGAGTGCCACCTTTAACGGTTAGGAACGATAGAACTAGCTGGGTATTCGTTACACACCGTGCTTCCTCTCAGGCTGTACGGAAGTAATATCGGGTAGCAGATGAATAAATATATTGGACCCCGCGTTACTAAGATGTTTTTGGTGAATAAGCCGGAACCCGTTGTAATGTACTGCACGGCTTTCCTGATCCAAGAGCAAGGTTTAAGCGCCTCAGTATGACTTTGAGGAACATGAATTAACCTGCTCGCGTCCGTGGATATATACGGAGCAAAGGACACCAGCAGCTTCCTTGGTCAGGGTGCAGAGTCGATCGTTGAGCACTTTGTTCCTGGCCAAAGTGGCTGCAGGGTATAGTGTTGCGCTCAGGCACTTTTTTTTCCCTCTTCCCCAGGTCCGGGATATTGATAGGTTGAATGTATAAGCAGTTCAACCGTCAATCGTTTTGCTTCCATTATCGCCCGTACCAAGAGAAAGGTACCCGCCGAAGCGACTCGGCGGCCGGCTTGGGATGCTCTCCAGGGTATCTCCGCACCATGCCAGCGTGAGAAAAAAGGGCAAGGGTGTCTGAGAACGCCTCTGACAGGCTTACCCCAGCCCACGGACATATAGAGTCTGTTCTTCGGACAGTTGGCCCCAAAACTTCGGCCATATAGCTAGTATAGGTGAGCTATAGGACAGGGCCACCATACATGAACGCACACCAGGCCAGACCCCTGTCTGCGTGCGGTCGTTGGCTTCCTAATTATTTTCTGTAGGAGAGGGTGTGACTGGTGCATGTCGTACTGCAACTGCAACATGTGGGCGTCACCGGTCTGTCGTACTATGTACGATGTGTTCGTTAGGCAATGCCGAAGAGTAGGTTAAGGCTGATTCTAGGCCAAATGTCAAGTCGTCACTTGAGCTGTTCTCGAGGGGGTATACGGAGTCATGTATGGTGTATGGGAGTATGCCTGGCCGGGCATGACTCCGTCCCTCGGTTCCAGAACATCGGTATATCCTTCTTGCTGGGACATAACATTGGCACCGGCACTGTTTCCCTAAACGAAACGGACTCCCTAGAATGCAGGAGCAGGATGCAGTGAATAATATGCCATCCGTTGAGTAATTATGCATGTCCTCCGTAAGATGGATATGGGATATCCCCGCTGAGTCAGCCACGAACTCCCCCGCCAGCCAAACGACGCTCGACAAGCGCCCAAGAAGAAGCCAAAGAGACCCAAAGATGCGCCCATCGTTACGGACGACATGGATCATAGCTTTCCTCTGCAACGCTCCAGTGGAGGCCGTGGCGTTTGGACGGAGGTATTCTGTCGTTACTGTATCATACTTACATACCCTTGTGTAAGTGAGAGAGATCCCGTAAAGGTGAAGCTCGCCTCGAAAACGAACGATGATATGAACGATCTCTCCCCCCATCCGGAAGATAAACCGATGAGAACAGGCGTGGAAGAGTAGAGTCCAGACCAATGGGCCGGAATAAATCCTCGAAATGGCAATTTATGGCAAATTGGATGGTCGGTCAGAGGGAGAAGGAGTTTCAGATCGATTTCTCCTCGCCTGCGCTCTCACCCCCCCTGAAATCAGACCTACATTATACTGACTTTATGAACGAAAGAAAGTTTGCACAGAAGCCACGAAGAAGAGAAGAGAAAGGCTGATAGACTACGGCGAGTGATGGATGGATGGGAGAGAAAGTTAACGTTAACCTTTTGCATGATGTCTCCGGACCGAGGAGACCGTTTTTTAAGACACGGTGACGCGGTCGATATCAGCTCTATCCTTCAATCATGCGGTGGTCGATCACAGTCACAGTCACACGCACGATCATGGCCACGATCACGGCACACGAGTAGATTGATGCTTTTTTTCATACCTCTTATTTGTGGAAAGCTAGTCGGGTTCATAGACGATGCAGAAATATGCGAGTTGCATAAGGAGGGTACGGAGTACAGGCAGCGGCGGTACCTGAGCTCGAAGCAGAGGCAGTGGAGATGGGGGCATACGGAGTACTTCCTGCATCAAGTATAGACGGTGCAACATGAGGTAGCAACATCGTACCTCTCTACACATCGGATGCTCCGTGAGGCGTACGGAGGCACGAAAAAGAGATAATCGACGCAGCGGCAACGCTAGCCAACCAGACGAACCCGACCAGGCCAGTCCGTGGCCCCACGAGGAGGAAAGGAGCAAGAAGAGGCGAGCAGAAGGATCTCGGTAGATTAAAATCCATCGAAAAAGTGCTGAGCCGCCATCCCTGTTCAGGCGGGAAACTTCTCCTTGGGGACTTGGTTCGCTGGAAGAAGAGAAGGGCGATGCGATGATTAGGGTTGCGTGGCAGTTTTAGCCAAGAGGACTGGGTTCCGGGTTGGGTTAGGGTGCTGAGTGGGTGCTAGTGCTGGCGCTGAAGAAGGCCATGCATGGATTTGCCGGGGAAGGGGCCCCCCTTGGATCGGGTGTCAACACGAGGGAGGCCTGCGATGGCTGGCGGATCCCAGCCATATTACATAACAGCTATTGCCTCCTGGTTGGCTGGGACATGGGATGCCCTGGCTACGTGCATATTGCCTGCCTCTGGGATCAGGCAGACCATCCTTACGGTGCCAGTGGGAGGATAACGGCGAAGACAGGCATAGGGCATGATCGAGAGGTCAGACGGTCAGACGCATCGGGTCGTTGGAAGCGGACGAAAGAAGACAATAAAGAAGGACGATAAAGGGCAAGAAAGAAGGAAAGCGGGAGTAGTGGCTTGGATGAGGCTGGTGAGGTGGGAAATGCGACCTGTCAGGTAGCACGGATGAGCGATGATGGGCAGACAGCAGGACCAGCAGCCGAGAACAAAGAGAGTCGGCCATGTATGTCTTGCTGGTACCGTGGATGATACTATACTGAGTTCTCTACGGAGTACTCTACTCTATACTGTATACTGTACTCCGTACTCCGTATGTATATTGTATGGTATAGAGTGGCTCGTATCGGGCCAAGAAGGGGAAGACGAAGAGAAGATGGGCAGAAGGCCTGGCCGTTCCTCGGTCACACGTGTCGCAGCCTCCCGCTCTCCACAGTCTCTCCTACTGACGAGATATAGGCGAGTCTGCGATGGACAAGGCGATGTTAGGCGACATCTCTCTGCCAACTCTCCTCTGCGTCTGCCATTGCTCTAGTATGTTATTAGCATATACTTAGTGGTATAGTATATAGTAAAGTAAGTCTTCTTTGTGCCTTTTAGGCTCGGGGGGCCACGTGAGGAATGGGCCTTCCCGCCAAGCAACTCGTGGCGTGATTAGTCATGTATTACAATACTGTACCCGTACCCCGTAACATATATACATAAATATATCAGGTCGAGGTCGACTTGAGTTACTCGAAATTGCGATCACGCTGCTAGTTCGTCGATGCTAGCGGCCATAGTCTAATCTGATCAGTCAGGACCAGCGGACTGGGAGACTAGCCAGTAGCCTGAGGTGAGCCGTCATATACATACCAGAGTGTAAAGGTCATGAATGCGATGGGATGACACGCTCAGGGCTACACAGGCAGCGTCGGTCGCACAGAACAGCAAAACGAGATTTCCTGACTCGTGGCATCAGGTCTGGTCTGCCTCTATCTTGGTCCTCTCCTCGACGTGGATGGAAGAAGCACTGTGGAAGCGGACGGCGCCTCGAGCTCGGACACGCGGCCACCTGGGCTTATTCCCCTTCTTCCTTCTTCTGGCTCTCTTCCTCGCCCGCGTCCACGTCCCTTTCGCTGCAGCGTGTTCTCGTTGCTTTTTGCAGGCCAGTCAATTTGTAAATTCGCAAGCCATCGGGGGACGGAAGTATTCAGACCACGCAGCAGGAAGACGACCCGGCCCAACGCACGTATATCGGCGTGGGTTTAGTGTATTTATGGAACGTGGCGTTCGTCGATACAGGGTGTGTGATGTGATGTGACGGTGGGCAGGAAGCATAGCCTGGGACTGGGACCATGCCCTAGTGCAAGATGCGGACATGGGATGCCCTGTCAGCCCTAACACTCGAGGCTGAGCATACAATGAGGTAAGATAGATATATATAAATATACAAAGATATAGAGTAGATATAGGTATAGAAGTAGATATGGATATGGGTATAGATATAGATATAAAGTAAAGGTAGAGGTAAAGATAGACGTAGGGTAGAAGTAAAGATAGGGTGGTAATACCATACGGTATTTTCAATAGAGCTTCTGTAGGTTTAGATTACGGTCGTTACGGGACCAGAACAAGGGCAGAACAAACCATCCAACCTCCTCCTCTTCCTCTTTCTCTACACACACACATACCACGACCGACAGACAGACAGAGAGAGAGACAGCAGCAGCAGCAGGTTCAACGCCACGGCCGACGCAGTTGACGTCGCGAAGTTGACAGAGTCGCTCGCTTCTTATCCGTCGCATGTCGCTCCTCGCCGATGCTCGAGTCTGACCGGCCCTGACTGCATCATCGACTTCGACATCGACATCGACATCGATATCATCAACCGACTTATATATACTCAGCAACGCACTCCGCGCGGCCGTCACGATGGAGACCTCAGTAGCCCATCGGCCATGGGAAGACAGCCGGCCTGCGCCCAACACCAACGGCCACAACGTCAGCCAGACGACCCTCACCACGCTGCCGTCCATCTCGACGCTGACGGCCTCCATGCCCGTCGACAAGGCGCCAGTGCCCGTCGCATCTGGTGAGAAATCGCCTGCCCAGGCTTCGATGAACACGCTCGAACGAGATTCCGGGACCTGGTCAATGCCTCAGAGTACCCGTATGTAGACCCGTCCGCCTCGTTCGTTCGGGCGGTGTTGGGAGAAGCGGCTAACAATATCATACAGGCTCATCGACGTATTCTAGCACCACAAACAACACCAATGGATACCATCAGCATTCATTCCTCATGTCCTCGCAGCAGTCGCCGAATCGGTTGTCGGGTGTCTCTGAGCCGCCGTCCACTGCCACGACAGTGTCTTCGCCAGTGTCGAGCCATGCGTCTCCAGGCCAGAATCCAGTCCTGCCGTCCATCAACCACACCATGGACTCGCACCAGCAACAGCTCCAGCAACAACATCAACAGCAGCAGCAGCAACAGCAACGGCCAGATTACCCCGAATCTCGCCGCAGCAGCATCGATAGCCGTATGAACCAGGGCATCTCCGCCCTCCAGATCAACCCTACCTCGCCCTACCACAGCACCAACGCATCGCAGTCGTCCGTCGTCTCTGGCCTCCCGCGCGACCGCATGAGCTACTCTCACCACTCGACCTCGTCTCGCTTCCCTCCGGGACAATCAAACCAGGCACCGCTCTCACCACTCGGCCCTCGCGCACAGGATCACCGTGGTCCCTTCCCAGCCGGCCGCACTGCTCCACCGATCTCATCTAACCCTCGCCCCGAAGAATTCCACGCCGACTCTCCCGTGCCCGGTCAAGCGTACGCCTTCCCTGACCCCAGCATAGCTCACCACCACTCTTCGTCACTCACCGCGCAAGGACCTGCGCCGCCAATTTCACACAACCCGCGCCCAGAGACCTTCCATGCAGAGAATCCGGTGCCGGGACAGGCCTATGCCTTCCCAGATCCCACCTTCAGTCGGGCATCGACCATATCTGCACCCAACGATAGGCCGTCGAATCAGTTCACGCGAAGACATAGCACGGCAGATTCGATGAACAGTAGCATCTACACTACCGAATCAAGACTCCCAGCGGGACAGCAGGGTATATATACATCACTTGTTCATCTTTGTGCCAAAACATCTAGCTAACTTTCAAATAGAACTGCCCCAAAGTGTCCACCACCACTCCCTTCAACACCGCCAGGTCCGCAACATAATAGGCGAAGGCGATCCCAACGGCGCAACTCCATATAGCCGCACTCCCGAACTCCGCGTGACGCACAAACTCGCCGAACGCAAACGCCGTAGTGAAATGAAAGATTGTTTCGAGGTACTGCGCGCCCGTCTCCCGTCCGCCCAGAATAACAAGTCTAGTAAATGGGAGACCCTCACGAGAGCAATCGACTACATCAACCAGCTGGAAAAGAGCGCATCACAGTCCCGACAGGAATCAAACCAGCTACGACTTGAATTGGAGGAGATGCGTGCACAGTTGGGCCAGACTCAGTCACAACAGCAGCAGCAACAGCAGCAGCCACAACAAATCCAGCCATCGCTTGCTCGACGAGCTAGCTTCGAACCTTCTTCGCAACTTCACCAGCAGCAGCAGCAGCAGGGCCAACAAATGCAGGTTAACGGTAATGGGCAGCTGACGCCTCCTCCGAATCCCGGGGCGTTGTACCAGACCCATAGCCACCCCCAGCAGCCTCATGGCCAGGCCCACCATGGTCATCACGTACACCACCCACAACACCCAGCACACGGCCACTACTCGCCTCCATCGAACGCAACGCCGACGTCGCTTGGCTCTCCAGATCCATCACGGACACTACCGCCGTTGATGAATGGATCCATCGCTCCCATGCAGGGAGTACAATATACAGATGAGCGACGATGATCCCACGCCTATCCACACCAATATATACACACACACACCGTCTAGCGATATTACAGACATTCTTTCTCTCTTTTCTTTCTTACCTCGTTGCTTCATTACCGACATACCACGACCGTTCCAAGATGACACTTTTTTCCTTTTAACCACCTTTATACAATTCCCTCGGGTCCTACTCGGCAACCACCGTCACATCAGTCAACTTGACCAGCTAGGCCTCGCCAGCATCTCTTTTGTTCAACTTGTTTAATCAATATTTGCGCAAAGATATCCCACGCCGTCTACCATCCACCTACTTATTTTGGGCCTAGAAGTCGGTTTTTCTTCCTACCTACGTACCTACCTACCACCGCCACCATCTATACGTTTTCACTTCGTGATTGTCCTTTCTACAAACTACCATTTACTATTCCGTCATCTCTCTACCCCGCCCGATCTCTGGATTTCATTTCCTTACCCGCCTACCTACCGACCTACCTATCTACCTCTCCATCTTATTCGTGTGTATGTTTTCTGCCAGTGACAAAACGGCGTGCTTGGAGTGAGTGGAGTGGAACCATTTGATATGAATATTTTTTATTTTCCTCGCTGTTTTTTCCGACTCCTTTCCTATCTCTCTATTTTTACTCGCCTTTTCTTATCGGATTATCTACCTGTGTTGTGCTTTTCCTGGATTTTGGAAAGGAAATGGAATATGTTGCTGTCTTTCGTCTCATGGTGTTTCTGTTTCTCTTTTGTCGCTAGGATAGGCAGAGAATGAGAATGAGATGAGATGAGAAAGCGAAAGCGAAAAATGTTCGAAAGGAAGAAATATTTGACTTTTACCTAGTAGAGAGACGAGGAAGAGGAGAAGGGAAGAGGGATGGATCTGTACTGATACAGGAGAGAGAGGAGGGAATCCAAGAATAGAAGAATAGAATACTTCCCTTGTTCATATGATCGCTGTTTCTATACATGTGTGCTTGTTAACTGCATGTTTCCTAGTAGTATAATAGAGATAGTATTAATATGGTGATTGCAAAGTGGACTGGTAGGCCTGTTCTGTCATCACATCACATCACCACCATTATCACCATCACCATTACCACTATAGCATGCCATCAAGATCTACTCTATCTACAAGTACTCTGTACTCGTTCCTATAATATCTACACTGTCTATCTACTATCTACTATCCTCCTATTGCTATGAAGATATAAAAATAGCAACAAGCCGCTTGGCCTGCCGGGCGCTAAGAGAAACTCTTCATCCCAGCCAGCCCAATCACACCTGCAGCTTCACCTCCCAGGATCGCGATGCTCTTCACATCCTCTGCCCGCAGGCCTGCAGACGCCGCTCACTGGTCCGTCCCTATGTCATGCCTGTGCCGGTGGGCGGTTAGAGAGCTCTTCTGCCTCTTGACAGGCTGGGATGCGCTCCACCGGCCCTGGCTGTAGAAGTCGATGGTTGGCCATGATTGGGCATGAGGACTGATACCCAAGGGAAGGTTATAGATAGGTTTATGCTGTAGAAGATACCTTTCTACAGATACATGTTTCTTCTTCTCTTCTTCTCCCTTTCTCTCTTTCTCTTTTGTACATTCACTTATTTTTGACTGCAGCGCTGTGCGTTGATCTACAGTCGGTACATTCCCTTACTATACTGAGCTTCATATTCTGCATATTACTACTAATCACCCTTACTACTTGGACTCTCGGGACTATTATTCAGTTACTCTGTTATTGTCATGCTGTTTGTCGCCATGGTGATCTGAATAGCACACGCTCCCTATTCACGCTTATTGTTGCTTTGCTATTGATATCACTACTGATAAACAATGACCTTGTCTCAACAAACTACATACACCTCTCAACCTCTCAGATCGAACCAGGACACTTGCCACCATGTCCAACAATCCATTCACCTCTTCCTACAGCCAGGGACGAGATGGCTCGAAACCAGCCAACCTACAGCTGCCGCAGATGCCGACCTTCCCCCTCTCGTCTCCTATCAGCGAGGAGCTGCTCACCCCGTTCGACGACCTCGACTCATCTCCAGACCCTTCCAACCCGTTCACATCACCAGAGGACGCCGAGGTGCAGAAATTCAACTCTAATAACCCGTTCCTGACGTCGAAGGAAGGGTTGGGCGGTATATCAAAGCTCAAGGGCCGTTGGGGGACAGTGAAGCAGCCGACTCGGGCGAGTGTGACGAAGAAGAAGAATAGACCTGGATTGAACCTGGTGACGAACTTTTCGGCGCCTGGCGCGCAGAATAGAACACACCAGTGGGCATTACAGCAGCAACATCAGGAGGGGAGACAGATCATCGGTCTGAGTGAGTTGCAGGAGATATATAATCCATCTACTACGGTGAACTCAAAGAATGTGCTAGTCGATACCTCTCAGTCCAAACCCAAGTCAAGGGCAGCTCGCGTTGAGAAGCGTCAGTCGGCACGAAAGATTCCCCCGCGTTTATTCCAGAAGCCTTCATCGGAGGTGACGGTATCACCTTCTGATCGACCCATCGTCATCGGCGTATCAGTACCACTGGGCTCGCCGGCAGCACTGGCGTTTAGCTCAGATGCAAGGTCTACACCAGGTAGAACGGATAGTATACACAGTCTACGCAGCCACGGCAACACTCCAGTCACACCCACCATAGTCGTGACGCCTGCTTGTGAAGAACGCGTGTGGGCAGAGGAAAAGATGGAGGAACCAACACGGCAAAGACCCAGGCCAGCATCAAGTATCTACTCGCAAGCTACGCCAATGATAAGAGGCATTCATAGAGAAGAAGACATTCCCCCTGTGCCTGCCCTGCCACCACCAGAAACATACGCCAACAGCCATGGAGTCGAGGGCCCCTTTGGAAGCATGGAGGCAATATCAGAACGACGACGACGCGTTCTTTCATCAGGGACCATGTTTGAGGAAGACTGCTCACCCAAGCAGGCTCCGCTACCGAGATCATTCTCCAACAAGGAACAAGGCCAGAACGACGGTGGACTAGCTCCAGCTTCGAACCGTCTCAGTCTTGAGACTATATCTCCCCGTCGTCGATCAGAGGGGTGGTGGAACTATCTCCTATCCCCTCTCTTATCCCGCTCTAGCACCATGACTACCATCAACACCATTCACCGCACCGGATCCTTAGGAGAGGCTGAAGAGCGGCCACCCATGCCAGTATTACCGAGAAATGCACGACTACACCTGGCAATACCAAACCAAAGCAATGATTCATTCCTGACAAACAAGGAGTGGCGTGACAAGCAGGTCTCCGTCTTTTCACCCATCACTCCAGAAACAGCCACCGAAAAGGGGTCACCATCCCCCAAGGTTTCAGGTGTAGGTGCTGCCTGGCGCGAACGACTGGTCTCTGTCTTTTCACCCATCACTCCTGAGAGTGCCGGGGCTAAGGATAAAAGAATCCAGAGTAACGTCACAGAATGGCCGGATATTGACCACTGGTACTTTCAGCAGGAGAAGAAGATGAAGGTCGGAACTAGCAATCTTACTATCAACACTACCAACACCAGCAATAAGGGTCATGCCACCGGTACACCTAAGCATCTGGACAGTGAAGAGCATAGAACCTCTCTTTGCTCCGCAGTGACATCGCAGTCGATCCCATTCATGATGTCAGATCCAGGTAGTCACCACGCCAGCGTCAGTACCGGCCCCAGTCATACTACTCGGAATGTATCGAATGGTCGATACTTTGCCAATTATTCAAGCACATATGACAATACTCCGCCTCGACCTACAAATAGGGACTCCGATTCAACTATCCGCAGGCCTGATACCCACAAGGACCAAAACACAAACAACCCATTCTTTCAACAGTTCGTCGATGATATACGGGCTGACGACGGCAGGAGGCGTTCCGACTCTGCATCTACGATGATCGAGGAAGATGAACCCGAGATATCCCCCAACGTCCGCCATGCAACAGCAACCCCTATCTTTCACAACGCCATGCCAACGATGGTCGGAACCCGACGACCGCCTCCGATAGTACCACCGACACCTGCAGTTCCCTCAAGAGCTAGTGTAGCGAGCGCTGATTCCTCTGGCTCTCCCGAGTCAACTCCCCAACGGCCAAAGGATAAACTAGCAGGCATAGGCACTATAAAACGCAAGGGTGTTCCCAAATACCGTGCCATCTTACCGCCAGATAGACAGTCACCGCTAGAATCTCCTGGCCCTCTCTCCCCGGAAGCTCAAGCGACGCTGAATGCCGGCGGCATCCCTATGTGCGATGTTCCCCTCGTTCGTCGACCAGATAGGACTTATCTTTTACCAACGTCTAATTCATTACCTCGTCACCCAAAGGTATCGCCGGTTATTCTCCAGACTCCCATTATCCGTTCGACTCCTAAAATTGGGCCTAAGATTGGAATCAAAGATCTACCGTCCGTGACTGAGATACAGAGGAAAAAGATAATGCGTAAGGAAGTGGTTGGTGAAGATGGGAGTTTCTGGCGTGGACAAAAGTGCCGGTGCAAAAAGGGGTGTGCTGGCGGACGAGATTGCGAAGGCAGAAAGAAACGAAGAAAGTGCATCTTGATCATCATCATTTTGATACTTCTTCTTTTGATTGGGTTAGGTGTTCTGCTGGGCGTGTTTCTTTCAAGAAAACATCCTGGTCAGGGGGCTCAGCGACCACCAGGGTCATCACCACAGCCAACGCCTGGTCAGCAACCTGGAGAGAACATGGGAGATAATCGATGGTTAAATCTAACCGGATATCCACCTATTCCGACAGGCATATCTACTGTTGCCGGCCCGAATGCTGCGGGTATCAATTCAGGTTGCATCGCGCCTACGAGTATGTGGAGTTGTTCCCTACCAAAGGAGATGCAAGATGCGAATAGCCCATTTGATGCCGACCAACCGCGGTTTAAGATCGATATTCGGTTCAAGAACGGGACGTACGATCATAGTACCACGGTTGCCGATAAGGGGAAGAGAGACTTAAATGTCTTCTCCAACTTGCTAGCACTTAGAAGCTGGGCAAAGCTACAACATCCTATCGAGCGTCGAGACGACTTCACTCCCTCTCCTGCACCCCCGACTCTAGAAGAGCAATCATTCCTCGGCAACACAACTGATAAAACGGCAAGCCCCTTCGAAGGCGAAGAAACGCCCTTCTTCGTGACTGTTCTCAACACGGCACCGCCCAAAGGCGTCCCAGGAACCGACAATAACTCTCATCGCCGGCGGGATACCGAGGGCTTCCCAGACCTCTCCAAGCTTATCCCCCCTCCCGCCCTTGACACTGACGGCACCGCGGCTCCCGCATCCCTCTACCCCCTCACTATCTCACAGCCCTTACGCCTCTATGACCGTGGCCTACCGACTGAGCACTACGGTTTCTATACCTACTACGACCGATCAATCTTCCTTAAATCGTCCCGTCCAATCGGCGACTCAAAAGAAACAGGAAATATCCCTAGCGATCTAAACGGTGGCTCTACAAAGTCCGCCGCAAGCGTACAATGTACATGGGCACAAACCAGATTCCTCGTTCAGATCTGGACCCAGCCATCCGAGGCAGGATTACAACTTATCTCAACCTCCGCTGATCCAGGTCCAGCTTCGCCATCTTTTGCGGAAGATTTCAGACGTCCTGGCACCTTACCTTATCCTGTAACGATAATACTCGACCGTCATGGCGGTGACCCTAAGAAGAAGGTCGTATACTGCTACGGTATTGATGCGGGTGGGAAGCCAATACTGACGAAAAAGAAACTCCAGCTTGAACATCGTGATTTCGGAGGGGTTCTTGTTAACCCTGCCCCGGGAATATTCAATGTCTCTTCTACACCAAACATGAGGAAGCGTGCGAACCCTGCTGTTGGAGCAGGAATAGACGGCGGGTCAGGTGGATGTCGCTGTGAATGGAGAAACTGGCTGAAAGCCTAGACTTGAACCGTCATGATGCAGTTTGCTTTTATGATTTATCTATACCCCGTTCCCAAGACCATTTTATTGCCCTGGGCTTCATTTCTTTATTTCATTGTATGGGTTGTATATATGCATACCTAACATTTGTTTGACATCACCCAATTCTTTTCTTTTGTTCTTTTTTACTTGCCATGGCATCTGAACATTTTGCATATGCATCTACATGGGCATGGGCCATGGAGCCTGGAAGGTTTTCCTTGTCTGTACACGTATTTGTATTGGTGGCATAAACGGAAGTTTTTGGAGTTCCTTTTTGAGAGACAATTATGTATTAATGGAGAGAAGAGTAATGAATATGGACTTTATGCTTGAATACTGATATCGCCTTCCATACTTGGATCTATCGTCATGCGACCGACTTTATATCAACTCCAGCTTCTCTAATATCAATCTTTTTGTTTCTTCTCTGACCTACAATACATAAATTGGTATATCAATTTGCTCCCGTTTCCTCTCTTTCTCTTTAACTTCATATAGTGTGTGGACTTCTTCCTATACCTGTGTGATTGTTTCTTATAGTTCCTTCTATAGTTATTTTTTATAATATCACTACTACTAGTTTTACCAGGTTTAGTTGGGGTTTCTTTTGGACATGTCAGAGGTTCGATGAGGTGGGCGTTGCGTGGCTTCTAAACAAACGACCTGGATGGGCCTAACTTCTGGATGGCTGAGCACAAGGAGTAAAGTCGGGAAGTTTTTCCAATGGTCCTCTTCTGCCTCTCTTCAGAGTTAAGACAGCGACGATGTTAGCAGCAATACTCAGGCCCCGACTGCTGCCCAATTTCTGTCATTCTTATATAGTGCGTACGACAGTTCTTACATTTGAATTGTCGCCCGCTCACCTAGACTTTTTGCTGACAAGTTCCAAAATATAGATACTGCGCTTTACTAGCATTCGCCGTGGATACCGGCCCCTAGACACCAAGATACAACCTTCATCGAACCTTGATTTCGTATATGTGCCCGAAGATGGAGTAGAAGATTTGGAAGGCTATTTCCCAGGAGGCTATCACCCGACACATATCAACGACGAGTTTTGCGGAGACAGATATAAGATTATTCACAAATTAGGCTACGGCTCCTATTCCACTGTTTGGCTCGCTCATGATCGTGAAAAGAACCGCCATGTTTCGTTGAAAATTGCCATTGCCAAGGCCTCAAGGAACAATTCCGAGTCTGAAATCTTGCGGCATCTCCAGAGCAGAGATGTCTGTCATCCGGGCCGTGAATATGTTATCTCCTTGCTAGACGAGTTCTCGTTTGATGGGCCTAATGGCCGCCATACCTGCCTGGTGACTGATGCCGCTGGACGCAGTATTGCGGAGTCTAAAGAGAATAGTCTAGACTTCATGTTTCCTTTACCGACTGCACGAGCCATTGCCGCTCGAGTTGTTATGGGTCTTGCCTATATGCATTCCAAAGGAATCGCTCACGGAGGTATGCTATCTCGTCTACCGATTAATGCAAATTTTTACTGACAAATTGCTATTTAAGATCTGCACTGTGGTAATATCCTTCTCCAGACTGTCGACTTTGATGCTTTAAGCACGGAACAGATACGTGGCCGATTTGGAGTACCATTTAAGATGCCTATTACTCGTGTGGATAAGGTCCCTACTGGGCCAGAAGCCCCTCTCTACGCTGTTGTGCCGATGAATCTAATGGTCCCAAGTGATAAGGTCGTGGATTGCAGAATTAAGATCATTGATCTTGGAACTTCGTTCTTTCCCGATAAACCGCCAAAGAAACTATATACACCGAATACCCTTCTTCCTCCCGAAGGGTTTTTTCACGAAACCATTACACCGGCTGCTGACCTATGGACTCTTGGTTGTATTCTCTATGAGATCCTAGGTGAACGACCCCTCTTTGAGACATTATTTGGAGATCCGGACGATGTGATTGGAGAAATGGTAAGCACTTTTGGGAAATTACCCGAAAGATGGTGGCAAGTCTGGGAAAACAGGCCGGAATTCTTTAATGAATACGGGGATTGGAATTCAGATTTGAACCGCATTCAGACACCTGGATTTAGGCCATTTAGCCAGCGACTTTGGGATATGGGGAGAGGGGAAACACCGGAAACCTGTCAGTTTTGTGAAAAGGAGAGAGGCAGCCTGAAGAGTCTGCTATTGGCTATGTTGGTCTATGAACCTGGTCGCCGTATATCGGTCGAAGACGCGATGAACCATAACTACATGGTCGATTTGGCACTTCCCGCACTGCGGAATAATCGAGGTCTCTCTAAATAGGAAGCATCAGCCCCCAAAGCGTGCCTGGGAAGGCTGGGTCGAGCCGTCAAATTCGGCGCTTAACTAGCGACAGTTCATGCTCATGCCTATACATGGTATATACAAACTGGCATATTTCATGGCACAGTACCGCACCGTTTCAGAGCCATATTTTTAGCTGTTCTTAAGACCTCCCCTGCGTGTTCCTTACTAATCTATCACTTGTTCTTTTCCTGTAAAAGAGCCTCAACTTCGTACACCACCAACCCCGAACTTCAGTCAGCGCGCCTAAATCACCCGGGCAGAGAGATGATGCTCAGAACAGAGATTAAGAAGCAGCAGAAGCAGGGCGTCAATACAAGCACCGTGGACGCACCCACGACCCGACGGAAGAAATCTGAAGCCCGAATTGTGACATGGCATGAGGCCCCCAAATGGCAACGGGATAATAAATACATCCTCAGCGGCTACCGCCGAGAAAAAGCAGATTATTTGGAGATCCTCGCCAGCCTGACATTCTTGCACAATGAGACTTGTAATGTGTATACCCACCTGGTCGGGGCATTACTCCTACCGATTATCGCGACTACTTTCATGCGCGTCCTCTCTGAGCCTCAACTCTTCAATGTCTCTAGAACAGACTATGTCATGTTCGGGATCTTCTTTTTGTGTGCGGAGTGTTGTTTAATCTTCAGCGCGGCATACCACCTAGTGGGACCCTACTCGCATGGCGTAGAACAGTTCTGGCATCGAATGGACCTGCTGGGGATTGTCATTGTGACTGTGGGAACATTTATTCCAGGCATCTATTATATTTTTATCTGTGATCCGGGCTTGCAAAAATTGCACTGGGCCATCGTCAGTCAACCCTCCCCGCGGTTGGTTCCATGTCCACAATATGCTGACATGAATTCTAGATCATAGTCTCAGGTTGCGCTACTGCTGCTCTGATCTCGATACCTAGGTTCAGAACGTTGCGCTGGCGAAAGGTGAGGGTGGGCGCTTACATTGCGCTCGGCGCGTCGGCATTCATTCCCCTATTGCATGGAGTGCAGCTATACGGGCTCGAGTACATGCTTCAGTACTCAGGAATGAAATGGTATCTGCTAGAGCTTGTTCTCTATGGCGGCGGAGTAAGCCTATATGGGGTAAGCTTGCGTGCTCGCCGTCCCTTATTCCTTGAAAGATAAGTCATTTGACCGACAGTTACAGTCTCGAACTCCAGAACGCTTCGCTCCGGGTAAATTCGACATCTGGGGCAGCTCACATCAGATCTTTCACGTTTCCATCTTGTGCGCTATGTACATACATGCAATCGCTCTCGTGCAAGTTTTCACAGTGTGCCATACACTGGACGTATGTAGCGTCCAGGCCGCTCATCGAGCTGGCCAAAGTTAACAAACATTCTCGGATCTGAAATTTTGGTGTTATTTTTTAGAGTGACCTCTTGGACTTGATAGACTAAAGCAAATATAAATTCTAGAAAGAGTTTATTGCTAGAATTATATCAATCTTTGTTTTAACACTAAATTTTCATATGGATAACCAAGGCCGTCTATACTCCTATTAGAAAGTTGAGGCTCCGGACTAACACGAATGAAAAATCGTTTTCCTCTAAAGTATTAAATATGAATTAACGACAAGCTTACTCTGTATGGCTAGCTCCATTTAGCCATAAACGCCACGCTATCAATCATTTGATCCATTTCAATACTCTTTGTTCAACCATGGCTCATCGAGCAATGCGTGTGCAGGCTTTCGCCTCTCTGGTGCAATAACAAGCATGGATTCAAGGAAGTGAACAAAGTCTAACTTTTCCTGACCAGAAAGACCCTTGTTCTCGATAAATCCGCCCACTGAAAAGCCACCTAACGCGGGGATGCCTTTGAGATTACCTGCAATGTTGTGTTAAACCATTTCGACTATATACTTGGGTGTGCTTTCTTACCTTCAGAGTCAAAGTACTTCTTTGACGCGTTGCCCTTGTCGAGTAATCCTTTTGGAAACTGGCCAAAAAGAGCCATCATTTGGGACAAATGATGCTCTGGAGCGTAGCTCCCATCCGCACTTGGACGGCCATCAAACAAAATTTTGCCTTCCATAAGCTCATATATCTAAAACCGATGTTAAATCAAAAAGCGTCCGATGATATTAAAGCTTAGAATTCTTACCACGCATCCTGCATTCCATATGTCAGTGCTTGAGTCCCATTTAGCCTCAAGTAAGACTTCCGGCGCGCGTAAACAGCGCGGCTGAATGAGCTCCGTTAGGTGTTTGTCGGCCCAACTAGCTTCAGTGGTGTTAGATACCTTGATATTATTTGTATGGTTAACTTCGTTGGGCTCGCTTACCTGTGCCAAAATCAGCCAAGAATATACCAGTATTAGAGGCATCACTATTCATAGGTAGGGGCTCAGAAGCCATATAAAAATCCACGGGTTCTGATCCATCCGCAGAGGGGATATGCAAGGCAATCGGCTCATTTTCGTTCATTTCGATTAGAATGTTCCCAGGTTTTATATCTTCACAAATTTTAGCTTCATATTTCCATTAACATGGTTTAAAGAAAGGAGCACAAACCGGTATGAACGATTTTACAGAAACGGTGAAGGTAATCAAGTCCTAGCAAAAATTGCTTCGCAATCCTTTTAACCATCGGCACTGGTAGTTGAGCCTCTGGAAACCGACGCTGGAATCTCGCTAGATCTGGGCCCGTTGCTTCGTGGACTAAGCAAATATGGTTTCCGTTGGGGCCATGGTGCTGAAAATCATCGGAAATACCAAGAATATGTCGCTTCCCAGGGTGTGTAGAGCTATCGTTTTTCATGAATCGTAATATTTCGACCTCGAAATTTTTCTTTTCAGCTTTGCTAAATTCCGCTTGGAGGACTTTCAAGGCAACAACATCATCGGTTCTTTGGTTAACCATTTATCAGTTAGACCATAATTATCTGCATGGGAACCTGAGGTACCTACTTTGTATCATGAGCTAGCCACACTGTTGAATATTCACCGTAGCCTAACTTTTTAACGACCTGATACTTTCCGTCAAACATGTCCCCCAATCTGGCGGGATGATATCCGCCTGGGCGGTACATTTGGTAGGACTCCTCTGACAGCTTGCTAATAGGGTTCTGTGTCGTGGACATTCGCCGGACGGAGGCCGGGAGCAAATTTTTCAGAAAATTCATTATAGCAATAGTGATAGGAGATATGTATAGTTAAAGATATATCTCAAAAATGTGGAAACCCCTTGGATCAAAAAGAAGAAAAAGTAAGACCAGCAAGACGGCGACCTTTTCAAATGTCTTTTTGATATTAGCCGCTTAAGCAGAAAGAGAGGCTTAGATAGTCCTATAGCGGCCTCTAACCCCTAAACCCAGAGATCTGTATGAAATAAAGGAGCGCTATAGGTTTGTCCTGCCTGTTGAACCATATAATGCAGATAGGCTTGGCTATCCCTGGTGTTTAATATCCCGGTGCCTGGTGGTGGTGCTACCGCTAATGCATAATATCAAACATTGACATCTTAGCAATATTTGGATTCATATCTAGTAGCTTAAATATACAGTAAAAAACAAAGAGACTACTCCCAAATACAGGGGCGTCACTCTGTACAGCATTTTAGAGATCGTTTTAGCAAGTAGTTCAGGACGTTTTTATTTGATATAGTCTCACGTGATACAACTGGCTTATCCAATCAGAGGATTGTTTGACCTTCCGAATATGGACCGGAAAAATGAAACGCCTAACTCAAATAAGGTTAACTTATCTGATTAGTCATCATTCACGTGGGTATGCTCTCTTTGTCCACTGGACGCACGTTCCCCTTTTAACATCAACAACTCCTCGCTGTAACTATGGAGAACTTGGTCTGCCCGGAGATACGATGGAAACATCGTGACCTGACTCCGCCGGCACGATATCAGGATCCTGGAATTAGACACAGCCCTGGATGGGCAAATACGAGGGGAAAATACTACTTAACATGCCGCCTCCGGTTTTCGGATTCGGCATTCTAAGTAGTATAAATATGTTTCTGGGAGAGAGTTCTTGATCCTTTGTTTTCTTGCGCAGATTACCCAAGATCCTTTCTCTTCCATATTGGCCTTCCACAGGTAGTGGGCCACCGAAAATGGTTAACTGGATTGCAACGACTTTTACAGCGCTCGCGGGAGCAGCAGTATCGACTGCATCCCTAAGCACTGGTGCTCTTTCGACGCAGAGCCAAGAACCCGTTCGTTTGAACTTGACAGGCCATATATCCGCGGATAAGGTCCTGGAGTTCATTTTTGCAGACTTTGATGTCCCGGAAGGAACGACGTCTATTTCCGTGCTTCAAAAATACTCTTTGAAAGGCAAAGGTAACGCCTTGGACCTTGGATGTTGGGATCAGCAGGGCCACCGTCTGGCTCTTGATGGGAATTTTACTACTGGGTTTCGTGGATGGTCTGGTGGTGCAAGGAATAACTTTACCATCTCCCCGGAATATGCGTCTCCTGGATACATTGCTGGTGCAATCCAGCCAGGTACCTGGTCAGTGGCTCTTGGGCCGTATAAGTCTGTCCCCGAAGGCATTGACTATGAGTTAACCGTGGAACTCGGATTTGAGCCGATCAAGTCTTACTTTCAACCGGCCTTTGCACCCAGCCGTATCGATAGCAGCCTCTACATGAACCAATCCTCTGATAACAATGAACGTTCAGGGAGCAACATGGGGCAGTCTAGCTTCAAGTGGTACCGGGGCGACTTTCATGTTCACACTATACACTCCGATGGCAAAGAGACGCCTCAGACAGTCATTGGGCTCGCTCAAGAAGCCGACCTTGCTTTCTTTTTCAGCACGGATCATAATACACAATCATCTGACCTGATATGGGGTGCCGTCGCTCCACCGTCAATGCTTGTTGGAAGAGGTATCGAAGTTACTACTCGCGGCGGGCATTGGAACGCTATAGGCCTTAACTGGAATGAATGGGTAGAATTCCGCTACAAGGCCGACAACAACCCTGGTATCACTCAGGCTGTCGCCCAAGTCCAGAGCCAGGGAGGACTTGCTGTTATTAACCACCCGTTTACCTACATTGATTGCCTTGCATGCGATTGGTCCTATGACTTTGATATAATGGACGGGATCGAAGTCTGGAACGGTAACTGGGATGATACCGATAGAAAGGCCGTGGATAAGTGGCACAGCATGCTTGTGCAGGGCTCAAAGAAATTTGCTATCGGTGGCAGCGATTATCATAAGTCTCCATCTGCCATTGGCACGCCCACTACAATCGTCCGCGCACAAAGCCTGTCGACCGCACATATTGTGGACAGCCTGCGTAATAATCGGGCCTACCTTGTCCGCGACCCAAAAATAGATATCCAATTCACTATTGTTGACCATCACAGTGGCACCACTCATATCGGCGATAGAGTCAATGGGGATAAAAGCCAGAGCCCATTATCTGCAGTTGTTGGAGTTCATGGTCTCCCCGAAGGTTCTGTTGCTGTCATTATATCTGATAAAGGTCCACTTGAGCATATGGCTATCCCACAGCAGGACAGCACTCTTCGTTTAAAATTCAGTCGAAAGTACGCCTTCGTCAGAGTGGAAATACAGGACTCAAAGGGCTCCATGTTAGCTTTAACAAATCCAATTTGGATATAATAGGGGCCTTACATAAGAGACCTATCTATCGCGGGCTCGGTGGGATCTATTAGTGAGGTTCTGGTTTCGTTCATCTTTTTAATTGTTATTTTACTTGATTTCATTTAGAAAAACATTAATATGAATATATGACGAAGTATTGATTAAATAGCAGAACGCTGACCAAAAATCATGAAGTGGTGAATGTTTACTAGAGCTTCATGGACTACCTCCGTGCAAAGGATTTGCAATATAGTTCGGGTCAGGCTTAATAGAATGCTAATTTCACCGACAATCGATACCAGTCAGAAGGTCCAGTGTAGCAGAATGCCTCGTGTGTTCTGAATAAAATCATCTAGTGAGTGGTATTGGTTCTACAGTATTGAGCTCCCGAACAACTGACCTCGAAGACCTTCTAGAAGAGCCCCTGTGATCTAGCTAACTGACCAAACAATGGATAGTACGATGGTAGGTCATCCCGAAGGAGCTCAAAATATATATTGGCTGATGACGCAGGTATCAGTGACTATCGTATAGTTGTCGGCAAAGGCATAAATTGTCCTTTTAGAGTCAACTATCTCAAAGCAGAATGGTGGACACCGAAAGCGTGACAAGACCCTACTAGCCTTATTAAAGTCCAGGTGCAATGCTACGGAGTCGACCGGCGGATCTAAAGTTGCAGCAAATTATGCAGAAGACAGCCATACAAAGCAGTTCGCCCGGGAAGAGGTCAAATCCACAACATAAATAGTACCTGTTGAGGGACCGTTGGTATGTCAGGGAAGTGGAGTTACAAATGTAAAGTTGCGGAGTAGAACGGGCCGATCCGCGAAAAAAAGTTTAAATTTCCAACCGCTAAAAGGAGCTGGCGTCTTAGATAACAACCTACACAAAGATAACTCTCGCACGAAGGATCCATCCATATCAGAAGGATTCCATATCAACTTGTTATTAATTAGTTGTCTGACCAAGTATTCGGCTAATTTTCCCTTGCTATCGTTATCTTTTCCCCTCCGCCCTTCCCCGATAGAAATCTAGGATCTTTGCTAATGTTACACTAATTACCACACTCAAGAAGCATAGGCGAATCCCTCTTGTGTTGTGTTGTGCACCGTGCATTGAAATGTGACCTCGGAAACTCGGGATTACTGTATCACAGCATAAGTTGCTCATTGAAGGCTGATTATGCTTTCAGGCACCGCGTGATTATTCGACTTCTTCTCATTGCGAGGGTTCTAGATTTCTAGATCGACGAGCATGAGGAATCAAACCTTCATCTACACTTCCACGGGACTTTGTTTTGATGTATGCGCGGATATATCCACGATTTTACATCCTACCATCAACTGGGGGTCTAGTATTGCTAAGGAGAAGGTCTATAAACATGCACAATCATTACTATGAGCATGTCAGTCAACTAGTTGTTCCTAAACAGTTGCTGCTTGTGATACATACGTGATATCTCGCCTGAGTCGACCTAGACCGGGGTCGGAATACGAAGGCTTCACAGACGTTGGCTGCCCGACAATTTCACCCATTATGACCTCAGGGGTTTATTCACCTTGTGACTCTGCAGTGCGGATAACAATAATGAATGCCGGCATCATGCTATAATGGCAGCATTTTTTATTTCCTATTGGAGGACTGATGTTCAATTTATGGGTGATTAAAGTTGAAAATCACCGTGAGATACCCCCTATAACTACGGATGGTTGAGACTTAAGCCTACTAACTGGTGAACTTGGGACAAAAAATGGTGGCTTAAAATTTATGGCTTTCCTTGATAATAATGGTTATCTTTTCAGCTGGGCTGAGCTGAATTCAAATTTGTCACAGCCGTCACGGATCAGCTACCCCGCGATATCTGCGCAATTGACAGTGTTGACAGTGGACTTGTGACCACCCTTCTGCAGTTCAACATGAAATAAAAAGGAATAAGATATCATATGTCGAGATCAACATTTTTTTTTTTTTTTCAGTCAGAGGGGGTTTCGTGCTTTATACACTGGGTCTATCTAGCTTCTAATCTAGACGAGAAAGGTATAAAATACGGGCATTAACCCGCCTCTCAAACTTCCCAACTCTTAAACGCCAGACCTGACTACTCTATTGCACTGACTATTATATTGATAACAATTATGAAGCTTCTCCGCCTTAGTTTGTTAACTACGATCTTCAATTCCCCCTTCCAGGTGTATGCCATCAATGTCGCTGTGAGAAGAATTGGGGATAGTGCTGTCATTAAGGACAACAAAGTTACCTGGATTGGAGAAGGAGGGTTTGAGGACGGGTTTTCGTGCCCTGATTCCCATGTTCTTAATCCCAGTGCCGACAAGGCATTTGCTTCCTGCTGTTTGCCAGGTCAAACACTTAAAGAATCATCCACCACCGCATTCGACTGCTGTGCTGAAGGCCATGATCTGGCCGGCTCAGAGGCTACCGGCTATATCTGCTGCCCAACTGGTCACACCTATGATGGGAATGTCTGCAGCAATGGGAAGCCCCTTGTGGATAACAAATGCGCTTGCACCAAAGATCAGAACCAAAATGTGACTACCGAAGGTTGTTGCGAGCCGGAAGAATGCTCATCTGGTCTAAAGACCGGTAAGCTTGAGTTCCCTATATGCTTATTTACGAATAATGAGCATTTCTCATTGCCTAACTTTGACTGCCAATAGGAAAATGTTATACTTTTCTCGAGAAAAATGGAGAACTTCTAGGATACACTCGTACTGGCGGGTACTACAACTCGGCCCCGGATAGCAGAGATCGCATCTTTGGAAAATTCCAACTCTGCAGAGACCGGACATGCAACCCAGGACGGCCCATAAATCCCGGGGACGAGCTCTATATCAAAGACCTGCACGGGACTCCAATGGATGGAGCAGATGCAGGTCAATGGATGAACAACGCTGCGGATGGTGGCCATATTGGCAAAACTCCGGACTTTGCAAGAGCTGGTAGATTTGCTATCACTAAATGGCCATGCGCCAAATACTGTATAACTGGCGCAGAATTTGGCCTCGGGCCCGTTTGCCCGGCGAACCAACCTGCACTTACCTTCTACACGCGATCATCTGAGCCGTGTGTCCCGTTCGAGCTTACGGAAGTTCCGTGTACTGTAAGGGGCATCACGAACAATTGCATCTGGCGCAATGGCAAGGATCAATGTTGTGACAAGATTGACTGCTCGGAGCGGGAGTGTCACAAGTAATCATAGTATAACTTTAGGGAATTTCGGGATAGCAATTTAATAATATATTGCCTTTATAATATGCAAGACTGCCAATACCTGTTAAATATCGCGATATGTCGTAGTTTGTTGGTCTCGACGTTATATTGGCGATCTGTCACGTGAGCTTCCCCGTGAGCCTAGATCTTGCGACTCCATCCCCTTATCTCGCGGATAAGGCAATGTAAAGATTCAACTCAAGCAAGGAAAGCTGTTTCGCAGCTCGTTACGCCACCTCCCAGCATTCAATTCCCCATGGCAACGTTGGCAGTACGCGATCTGTCAAGTACCACAGTACCCGCCATATCCTCTGCCAGAGCCGTTCTCACCCAATAATACGCCAATGCCTGCAGTACCAGACCAGTCTTCAATCCAGCGCCGCCCTGCCTCTTCTCCCTCTCTTCTCTCTCCAGCTGGATACGATGAAGATGTCACGCCTCTACGAGCTTTATCGGATCAAGAGTCGGACTCGGAGGATGACCAGCTCATGGAAGCTTCCCGAAGTACCCTCGACCTAGTACAACACGACCGTACCGTGCTCGAGGAGGAAGAGGAACGAGAGCGCCTGTTGATCAAAGCCAAGTCTAGCCCTACAGATGGCCTAAGACGGATATTCGGTGCTACGCCTCACGACAACGGGAGTTTTAGTGTGAGGATCGGAAAACGAGAAAGAAAGAGGAGACGGAGAAAGGAACTGGCGGCGATGGCACGAGACAGGGGAAGACGGAGGAGCTCCGCGTGCAGCAATCATGATGCTATGAATTTAGGGGAAGAGGACGAACTAATGTATGAAATGGAAGAGGGTGTTTGCAAAGCTATTGAATCCGATGATGATTCGCGCTCAATCTCAACGATAAGCTCAATATCTATTGACTTAGATCCGAGAGTAATAGGCAGCCGGGGCTACTATAACAACGTGAGTTTATTAGTTTCACCTCTGTCAATTCTAGTTGGAGTGGACTCCTTTTAACATTCATTCTTTCTTGCTAGGGCTCGTCATGTCGAATAATTTCCCTTATTTCCTTCGCTATAATTATTTTATTTTCTCTCCTGTATTTAGGGGCATATAAAGCTTCGAGTGGCTATCGATTATCTCACCAACAACCCCCTGATACCATGTATAACGGCAGCTCAGTCTTTCTACCGACCACTATTCTCATCTCCCTTGACGGATTCCGGGCAGACTTCCTCACCCGCGGCCTTACACCAACCCTCAATTCCTTCATAGCCGGTGGAATATCACCCAAGTACATGCTTCCAAGCTTCCCGTCCGTCACATTTCCCAACCATTTTACATTAGTCACCGGCCTGTACCCCGAGAGCCATGGAATTGTTGGGAACACGTTTTGGGATCCCGAATTAGAAGACGATTTCTTCTATACAAAACCTGCTAAAAGCATGCAGCCAAAGTGGTGGACGGCCGAACCCCTTTGGGCCACTGCCGAAAAACAAGGGGTTAAAACCGCTATCCATATGTGGCCAGGCTCGGAAGCACATATAATGGGAATTGAACCCACGTTTCTAGATAAGTACAACGGCAGCGAGGCCCTACCACGCAAAGTCGAACGGATATTCGATCTATTAGATCTCCCAGGAGAGAAGGATGAAAACATCCCACAGTCAATCCAACAGAGACGGCCTCAGTTCATTGCGGCATATGTCCCGGATGTGGATGCGGCAGGGCATACGTTTGGCCCAAATAGCACAGAAATTAGGACGACCATTGCCAGCGCTGATAAAATGCTAGCATCGATTCTTCAAGGCTTAGACAAAAGAAATCTAACCGATGTTGTGAATATTGTGGTCGTCTCTGATCATGGAATGGCTACTACCTCGACGGATAGATTGATCCAGCTTGATGACCTGGTGAATCTTGACCTGGTCGAGCGTATCGATGGCTGGCCTCTTCGGGGCCTTGTGCCAAAGCGAGCTGAAGATATCCCCTTAATATATGAGCAAGCTCGAAATAATTCGCTGTCATTGGGTCACGATCAGAATCTCGAAATCTACACCCGCGAAACAATGCCTGAGCGTTACCACTTTTCACACAATGACAGGATAGCGCCAGTGTGGGTAATCCCCAAGACAGGTTGGGCAATTGTCGAAAAACCAGATTTTGACGTGAAAAAGGCGCAGAAGGACGGCACTGTCTACCATCCTAAGGGTTTGCACGGCTATGATCACGAGCATCCTCTTATGCGAGCCATCTTCGTTGCTCGTGGGCCTAGTTTCCCGCACAAAGCGAATAGTCGAGTCGAACCGTTTCGTAAGTCGATACTTCACACGTTCCACTTCAAAAGATTGCTAACAACCACGCAGAAAATATCGAAGTATATAATATAGTATGTGATTCGTTACGAATCAAACCCCATCCAAACAACGGCACCTTACGTCTTCCCCTCAAACCCGTCGGCCTACACTCTGATGGCAAAACCCCTCCCATTGAAAACCTAGATGGTCAAGATCCCCCGCCATCCACCACGGCACCTGTCCCTACTAGACGACCCATTCAACGCCCAAGTTCCCCCACATCCACCATCGCGAAGACAAGTACGCCTGCTCCACCTGACGCAACTGGTAAAGGCCAAGAAAAGTCTTCGTCCTTCTGGCTCAATATTCTAGACAAAGTTAGAGGCTGGGTAAATGACCTAACTGACGCAGTGGGATTAACATAATTATGTGCTTTGTTGTTTTAAACTATTCTTTGATCCTTTCTTTATTTTATGTTCACTTCATATACCCCTGCTTTGTTTTAATAGTTCTATTTACTATTTTTGCTCACTCTACGCTTTTCTATATTAGCCATTTGTTGTTAGCGGCGTTGTGATGACGGTGTTTGGAAAACACATTAGCATCTTGCATCCCTCTATACCCTTGGGTATAGCTGGTGGTTACTTAATTTATACACATCCAAGGACTGAGAAGGTCATAGGAATATTGTTACGCCTCTCTCATTCTATTTACGTTATTTGCATGATTGCTTCTAAAGACGTAGCTAATCTTTTATATAGCAGTGGCTGTTAAAATTACCAAGTCATCGCCTTCGCTTGAGTACGTATATTATGATATTTATCTTGCAACTACCTTTATAATTAAGGGGAGACATTGGACGCAGGCCGCTTGAACCATAATACGGCGGACTATAGCTTACATGCTGCCAAAATTCGTATTTTTACAGCATTACATATTGGCACAAGAAAGGTTGTATTAGTAACAGATTACTCATTATGATTGGCTAAAAATACAGGAAGGGTATGGATTATCTATTATCCGAGTAATACATAATTATTTCTCAGCTTGATGCTCGATATCAGGCTTAATATCAGGCCAATTTGATGCTCAGGCCAGTGGTTATATCAGACAGTTTGATGTTCGATATCAGGCTTGATATCGGGCCAGTTTGATGCTTGATATCAGACCAATTTAGTATTCGATATCCGGCTCAATATTTGGCCCGTTTGATGCTCAATTTAATGTTCAATGTCAGGTCAATTAAATACTTGATATCTAATATCCTATATTTGAGATTGCATCGAAACCAGGCTAGGTACAGGTAAAATGAGTGGACAGCTGAGAGTATGAGGCCCAATATTCCCAGAAGCTATAATGTCGCAAATAAAGACGAGCCTTGTTTAAACCAATTGACTTAAACCCATTGAACGAACCGTCTCTAGTAGACTCTACTGAGAATCAAAATGGCCATAGCAAATGACTGAGGAGGCGCCGTTTGCAAAGTCCGCGATCGCATGACATCCCGGTTTCAACATATCGGTGGCTTCACCCTCGCCTGAACAATTCTCACGTCTATCTGCTGTTAGTGTCATAGTCTATCTCCATGCCTTATCACCAACGAGGTCCCGCCGGAAGAATGGGTCAACATACCCATAAACATAGCAGAAGGCATGGTCTGCGAGCATATTGATACCACTTTTACTAAAATTAGCTGGTTGACTTGATGAATAAGTAAGAGTAACACATACGCGATATCTTTGATACTGGTGCATTGGCTATCGATAAGTTTGCCAACGGTAGTAGCGGTCACGCATGTGGGGTCCTTGTTCAGGGTTCCCTAATTCTATATTAGGTGGATGTCATGAAAGAGTATTTAGAAAGGTCAAGGGCTCACGATTTTAGCCTTATCGTCAGCGAGCACACAGGTTGCCGCCAGAAGAAGAGTTGCCATGAAGAAACGCATCTTGTATAAAGAGTTGATTGAACAACGAGGAAATTGTATAGTAGTTAAAACGAGGAAAAGGCTGGTCTTGAGTTGCTTGGATTTCTTGAACAAGTCTTCAATTACAGAGCACTTGGGGCTTTCTTATATAGACGCTCCCGAAGGAGCCCTGGAAGATATAAGCCTTTAGCTGATGCAAACCACATTTTATCTCTTCTTCTTTTCCTTGCCCTCACGTACCCAATGGGAGTCTTGCCCGGTAGGGACATGAATCATGAGCTGAAGATGGGGAGATATTCTATCCTTTGACCAGAATCCTTCAAACCCTGGAAGGAGCATGCATGAGACAAGCCAGCTACCACTAAAAGTACTAGCTATGTGTTCTGTCTATGTGGTACTAGGAAACCTTTCTTTGCAAAACACCATCAGTAGCGATGTCAGCTAATGATAATAATCCCTTAGGGAATCCGGATTTACCTGCCGAACGACTTGGGGAACTTCCTGGAGTAAAATCCTGCAGCTTAGAGCCTATCATGGACGACCTCACATGCGGTCTGTATTTCACGATCCACGGTTCGACAGGATCCTTCGCTATGTTTCGCTCAGCTTTAAAGTCGATCTCATCGAACATTTCTAATAATAAACACCAATTCACGCCCAACCTCTCATCTATCTCCGGACCATCGAACAAACTGAGGTAACAACTCCGGCAAAAACTGGGCGCAGGAGAGGCCCAACGCTTCTAAAAATTAATCAGACAATGTCTCAATATCTACGCTCCTACAAAATCCTACAACTAGAAACCGGTGCTATTCATCTGTCTCACTTCTGTCGCTGATTTTGTAGCTTTTAACCAAGTGACTGTCACTCTCAAGGCTGATGATAAAGAAACACATGTCGAAGACTCATTCTGGGAAATGAAAATTAAAAGCTGTAAGATGAGCAGGTAGTTTAAGAATCCCCTTTGCCCTTACTACACTCCATTATATGCATCCTCCAGCGCCTTCACATCCATCTTAATACATTTCATCATCGCTTGCTGGACCCTTTTCGACTTCTCCTTATCCTCATCAGCAGACAGCTCTAGAAGTGCCCTCGGAACAATCTGCCACGAGACGCCAAACTTGTCCGTCAACCATCCACATTGCACTGGCTTCCCTCCATCCTTCACTAACTCGTCCCAGAAATAGTCCACCTCTGCCTGGTTCTCACAGGTCACGAACATGGAGATGGCGGGGGAATGCTTATAATGTGGCCCGCCATTGAGGGCTGAGAATTCTTGTCCATTCAATTTGAATGTTACTAGCGTTGCCGATTCGTTGGTGATGAATGATTCATCGACGACGGCGGAATCTTTTTTGGAGTGAGGGTTGTTGGAGAAGATGGAGGTATAGAGCTTAGCAGCTTCGAGGCCGTCTTTGTCAAACCATAGACATGGATGGATTTTTTGGGTTGGGAAGTCGGTCTTCGTGGCGGGCATATTGATTGAGTGCTGCTTGCTTGAAATATTTAATATAGAGCTGATGAATTGAAGCTGTGTTTGCTTTCGAAGTAATATAACTACCACCGAGGGGATGAGATGGCTCGTTTTATAGATGATAGCCCCTCCTGTACAATATACGCCACATTTTCTAGCCCCAGGCAGCAAGACGGGAGAAAGTATGAATATCGTATTTGAAACCAACGTGGATGGCTCCCATATATCTTTCCAGCTCGTTAATTGGCGAAACGGCCTCAACTCCCTTGGCGTTACTTTCAGGCTTATAGCTAGACTTCCATCCGCTTTTAGGGTGTATTTAAGGCCAGCTAGGTCCGTATATCAGGCAACAGTACCAATTAAAGGCAGCCACGGGAGTGAACATCGCGAATATCAAAATTCATGTCTTGAACCATGTAGGAACCGAATTTACGATGTAGATGTATGATTGACTCTTAGAACTACATAAATTCTATACCACGGGATATCATTGCTTCTCTTTCTCAAAAATTAGAATAACAAATATTCCTTTGACTTTAATCCTTGCATATTCATTCGAGGAGACAAGGACATCGAATAGTCAAGCTCCTTACTGATATCCTTCAGCTTGTCTTGTATATACATACTATATCAACAAAAGAACACGGAAAAACTTGCTGGGGTATCCTCAAAGCTTAAAAAGCCCAAAAGAGCCAATATAGAAAGGAAAGGGAGTCTAGGGGTGTCTATGAAAGGTAGAGTTAGAGGGCCGTGACTTGGGATATTATAAGGGAGCGTAAGGGGATTGAAGTTGGTAGAAGTATAGGGTGAGTATACACGGGAGAAGAAGATGGAAACTGGGTAATACAAGAAAGAAGTAGTTGAGGAAGTTTTTTGAAAGCCAAAAGGGGAAATAGGGATGGTATGGTAAATAGCAATGGGCCAAATGCAAGTCGTATCCTTTTTGGGGGTATGGATATATGTCGTTGGAGCCGTCAGGACATTATGATGGAACTAATAAGCAAACAAGACAACGCAAACAAGGCGAGAACGGAAAACAATCTTTAATGAAGTGTGTATGCCCAACTAGAGACGAGACGAGACGAGACGAGACGAAACCTAAGGAAAGAAGAGAAGCCAGTTGATGGGTATTATCATTATCGTCTTGAGCCAGCGCGGTTGCCGTCATTATGATTGATGCCACTGAAATAGCCCTCGTCAATCTTGAGAATCCACTCTATCTTCTGTGACTCGGTTCGTGATGCAAATAAGAACGTGTTTTGCGTTCCAAACACGGCAAACACATTCGGCTGACCACGCGTAGATAGTCCATTGCCGGAGCCGACGAGAAGTCTAGCAAAGTCAGGATCATGATCGACGTGGGAATTGCGCAGGTTGATAACGTTTATCTCATCGCCGTCGGGCACGGAGTAGATGTGGAGATAAGGTAGTCGGAGCTCGACGAATCGGCGGACCCAAAGGCTATAGGTATCGTCAGGGGTGTAGAGGTAGCCGGATTTAAGGATAGTAGGGTTTTTCGGTATATGTTGGATGGTGGCTAGGAAGCGAGGTTTGGATGATCTTTCGTGGTGGTCGTTTGAAGGATGTGAGGAGGCGTTCGCGCTCGACGTTACGCTGTCGTTGTCGGTAGATGAACTTGTCAGGGCGGCGGTTGTGGTTGGTGCGAATGCAGCGCCCTGTGAAGGGGGTTCGGTATGACCCTTGACAAGAATGGTATCTGTTGGATCTTTGCTTGCAGACCAAAGATTGAGGTATTTGCGCAGTAGCTGTTCTCGCCTCTCGGCATTTTCAGGGGTATTGCGTGATAATGGAGTAGTGATGCCGTTGCCTGATAGGGGGGTCAAGCTGCCGTCACTCAACGCGGCTCGAGCAGCTTCGATCTCAGCTACGCGATGTCTTCTTTTTCGCGCAGATATATAGTCCTTGATCAGTGAGACTTTACGTGGAGACCAGGTAGTCAAGAGTTCCTCGCCCTTGATATAGTCGTTTTGAGTATTCATGCGCCAAAGGTCGGCTGCACGTTTGGCTGAGACGGGTCGAACGGCGACAGAGAACATCTGCGAGGTCGAGTGCACGACACGCGTAGAGTTCCAGAACTGTTTAAACATCGACTGTGGACGGACGCTGGAACGGCCAAGGATTTGTATAGACTGATCAAGTTCAAAGACGATAGGTTCTTGAAGACGAGAAGATATTAGATTCCATCGTAATGTTATTTGGACTCGATATTTGTCTGCTGTTGTCCGATCTAGTAATAATGAGCCGTGGGCGCTAGAGTCCCATTGTCCGATGATGGTTATATTGGAAGATCCATCCGCGTTATCCTTCACCATTGGTTCCTGTATCATCTTGAGCGGTACGTCGGCGGATTTACCGTCTAGGTCAGGCACTTTACCCCACGGATCAAGTAATCGTACCCCCCCGACACGTAGAGCAGTTAGATCATCCCACGGCAGGCTTTCCGTCGAACTATGAGCGAGATTAACAACGATACGACGCTGAAGGCCCTGATGGAGCTGGTAAGTACCGGCTTCCAAACTGTTAGCTTGAACGACATCTACGGGAAGATATTCGCCGTTTTCAGCGAGTTCAAGTATCTGGACGCCAGCAAAGACGTCATGTCTCTCTTCTTGAAAGTATTCCGACTCCGCGATACGGGGAGCTTTCCTCTTCTGCGGTGGCGCTTCTGGTGCATCGCGCATCTCATCCCAGCTTAACAGCTTGTCTAGATGCATCGTTGATACGAGGGCGAATATGCTGACTTTCAACGTAGATGCTCGCGGACTACTTATTGGAAGGCTCATGCTGTGTACGCTTTCGAATTGAACGGGGTTTTCATCGAATCCGTTAATGATCTGGGTAGTTGTTGCACCGCCTTCTTCAGAAACGCCTGGAACGAATAGCTGGGCATGGACATCTGTGCCTTCTCGTTCGGCGAAACCGACCAGATCACGCATCACGACGTTGAACTTTAGTGTTGACGAAGGCGCTTGGGCTGCAGATGGTTCGAGTGATAATCTAAGTATCCCAATGACGTTCTGGGTATATATCGAGACGACCTCGACGGAGAAATCCTGGACCCTTGACTCAAAGACTGCGGTAAGGGGTATATCGACATCCCCTACTAGCGAATAGTTAGGAGAACATTGTTCCGAGAAGGGGTTTTCAAGTTTGAAATGCTGTATATAGTCTGGTCTGTCGATGTATTGATGCATCTGCCGCATAGCCTGTACGCGACGTTCCAGCTTATCGAGCGACCAGAGAAGAATGACGTTATGTTTAAAGTCGATGACTCGGATGGCGATGCATGGTTTCTTTGCGTCGTCTAGCGCCACGTCGTCGTCCCCCGATATACCGTTTAGAACAAGATCGTACGACGAGCCCATATTCTGGCCGACGTCGACGATGGCGAATTGGAAAAACACGTTTTTATCCATTATGTGGCTCATCACTTGTGCTTCTTTGAGGAGAGAGGCATGCTGTAGAACGGATTCGACCATGCGCACGTAATTTCTTCGTCGCCAGTGCGTGAGTACGTTTCTGGCTACTTCGATCTCACGGGGTTCAAGAAAGGAGAATCCCGGACCATCCTCCGTCATGTGCCCCGATAGATGGGCAATCCCCTTTATCTGTGTCTCGAATGCTTCCTTTTGTCTCTGTAGCTGTTGCTGGAATTCCTCTTTGGCTTCTAATAGCGCCTTTTCCATCCGTGCCTTTTCAGATTCCCCTTCTTCGTCTATTCGTTTGCCGTTGCTAGGCGAGTCTTGGTTTCCGTCTTCATACTCGCCCTGACGAGGCGTGCCTGGCATGGTAAGCGCGGTATCTAACGAGAAATTATCAATGGTGCCGTTTGACATGTACTTCTCTCTAATGGGGTATGAAGAAAGCGAATCAGAGTCCTCTTCCATATCGAGAAACCTGTTTTCGTAAAACCCTTTCCGTACGGCTCGGGCTTTCTGGACGTCGTCGAATAGAGCATCTAGTTCGTCATCTGTTAGAGCTGAGATTTTGTGATCGGTTCCTAATATTGCGTTTGCCGCTTCTCGACGAGCGTAGAACCAGTCCGAGTCACGACCTCGTTGGGACGGCATGGGGGATCCAGAACGGCTTGAGTCGCCGTCTATTTCTGAACCGGTCTTGCTTATCGATCTATCGTGGCCTGATCGGCCGGGCGTAGAAGAGCCGAGTTGGCTGGTCGTGACTGAATGGCGGAGCAGGCTTTGCTCTACTCGTTCCGCACGGGCTTCCATGGGATGATTGAATCGGAAGATATGGAAGTCTCCCAGTATGATTCTGAATCCGCTTCTTAGTCTCTGGGGACTATCGATGCGGACACCGTTGATCATAACCGCCGCGCCTTCGCTGGGTATAATGGTGACGATGTTATCTACATGCTCGAACGTGCAGTGTTTATGCAATATCTTGGACCCATTCAGTCGAATCTCACAGGTCGTTGAGGTCTCCACGTTTCCCACCGTGGTCGTTCCTGGCTTGATATTATAGACCAAACACTCTGCCAGAAGCGGGTCGTCGCTCAAATTGACTAAATGAGGCATCTTCTTCGGCGTGCTTAGACCAACGAAGCCCTTCTCTATACTGATTCCGAGCTCTTCCAGCGCAGCTTCTCGCTCTTTGTGAATTTCTTCTGTCTTTTGCAACTTCTCTTCCCACGTCTGGTTGAGATCTTTGTAAAGCTTCTCGCTCTGATCGAGCTGTTCGACGATCTCGGCTTTGCTGACTTTCTTAACCGAGCCGTCTGGCTGCATGATGGTAACCATCTGCTCCTCCAGCGGCGTGCCAGGCGGGTATTCTACCTGTGGTATACCTCCCGCACCCGCCCCGGGTCCCGGCCCACCACCAAGCTTACTTCGAAGCTGGGCGAGTTCTTCCTTGAGCTCGCGAATCATGCGCGCGTTAGGATCTTCGTTGACGACGGCATGGTTCTTGATGCGTTTGGCGGAATTGGCGTAGCGTAAGGTACTCAGCGTTTCGTCGTAGTTGATATCAGCCGGCGAGATGGCTGCTATCATGGCAGTCATGGAGTTTCCGCCGAGAGAATCCTTGAGCAGCCATGTCAACACCGAGTCACGGTACGGAACGACAGCCTTCTTCTTGCCAGAGGACAAATCTGCCAGGGCAGCAATGACTCGACCGAGCGTGGAGAGCGATCTATTAATTTCCGCGCCTTCCTTTAACCTCGCGCCCGTCGCACCCGTAGACGTAGCTCGTTCTGAACCCGCAAGATCAACCAGACTGATGCGCGATACCTTCTCCGTATCCATCGTCGTCTCGGCATCATGTCTCTTCTGCGTCAAGGTGAGTGTGAAGACGGCATGCGATCGACTCGAGGTCTCATTCATATTAGTCGCCGCTACCGTCCTGGCCTTGTTCCCTTCATCCATCAAATGTTCTATCTCGGGAAAACTTTGCACGACCAACTTCGCCAGATCCTCCACATACGGACCCGTAGAGGGATGTTCTCTGACTTTCAAATTCCCCTTATTCGCCGGATTCAACAGGTCTCGGACCCGCTCATTGTAGATTTCCAGATACGACACCTCGACCGTCGAGTTCAGGCTCTTATCCTCCTGCAGGACAGAGATGCGTTGAAACATCTCCTTGCAAATCATCGGTATCACGCCCGCATCTTCTCCGTATCCCATCATGGAATATGACTTTCCGGACCCCGTCTGCCCGTACGCGAAGATACAATTATTATATCCCTGAAAGGCATTATCGAGCAGTGGCGCACCGAGATCTTTGAACAGATCTTCTTGTCCCGCGTAATTCGGCGCTTTGCGATCGAAGGACCAGTATGATTTGTCAAAGGCGAATATTCGCGGTCCTTCACCGGCGGAGGCATTGGAGCTTGATTTCCCTCCTTTGCGAGACTTTTCTTCTGCTCCGGGCGGTGGAGTGAGAACCGTCTGCGCGCCTTTCATCTGCACGATACATTTTGCATTGCGGTCCCGTTCTGTTCACGTTAGACACTTTTTTCTTTTCCTTTATCTCCTCCTTGGGTTGGATGTAGGATGCCCACCTCTGCCGTTAAACGGGCGTACCCTGACCACGACCTTGATGTTTCCTCCTCCGCCCTCCATCTTGCTTCTCTTCGTGTAGCTGCGGTTCCCCGCCCACTATCTCGCCAGCTATCTCGCCGCAGTATGCGAGTATGCGTCTGTCTGTATGCGTAGGTATATGCCGAGTATGCGAGTATGGTGGTGAGCTCCTAGCAAGCACGAAAGGCATAGGGGAAATATGCAGCCATGTATCCGCGCTCTGCCCGTCCGGTCTCGTAGCTGTGGTATCGTAGCTGTGATCGGACTATCGTAGCTGTGTCTTCATCTATTCGTGCCCGAGCTATCAGCCTGCCTCGGCCAGGGTTGACTGGACTGGCGGTAGGAGCAGCCACAGATGGATAAAGATCCAGGAGGGACCTAGGGGTAAGCCACACTTAGTCATCACCACCACACTCTACGAGACAACTATAAGATATAAACTACACACTATACACTGGGCACACTATAAGACGAAGGTATACACTACGAGGTGGACTACAACAGGATCATAGGTTATGTAGATAGACGTATGTATTACCATGTATTGCACTATGCATGATATCTCCATCTCACTCCATTTTCCTATCAACAGACATAACCAGAAACAAGAAACGACCATAGGCTGCCCTAAACACTCTTTAAGTTCAATTTTTCACATACAGCAGACAACAAAAGAGAAAACAAAGGAAACGATATAAACAAATGAGACGATACGAGAAAAGAAAAGAAACCGTCCATCCTATCCATCCACGCTCATGCACGAAAAAAGACGAAGAAGAAGAGAGCCTGCTGAAGAGCGCAAGACGAGACGAGAAGGGTATATAGACATGGTGATGGCGTATAGACAAGGTGGGAGATCAGCCGTCGTCGTCTGCGTCGTCGCCTTCGTCGCTGCCTACGTCGCCTAGGGCGGGGGCTCGGCTGGTGTTGGGATTTGAGGGGTTGGGATTGGGATTGGTGTTTCCTGTGCCTGCTCCGCTGCGTAAGGGGGATGTCTTGACTTTCTTGCTGGCCGGAGAGCTCTCTGCTATCGACTTGCGCTTCTGTCCGGCAGCGGCGTCCTTTGGAGCGTTCTCGTTGGTGATGGAGCCGCCCTGGGCCTTTTCCATGGCTGCTACTTCGTCTGCGGTGAGGAAACGCCCGCCTGGCCCTCTCGGCCGGCGCATGGCGTGGTTGTGGCGTGATTCATGCAGGTACGGTTTGCGGCCCTTGGAAGTGAGACGGAGCTGTTCTTCTAGCTTCTGGCGGGCGACGCGTCGTTTGAGGATGCGGTGGAACTGTTTGGCGTTGACGTAGAGCGGTGATTCTTCAGGTGCAGGTCCAGGAGGGGGTGCCAGTTCTGGGGACGGCTGCTGGACGTGGTGTTGTTGTGGAGGTTGTTGTTGTTGGGGTGGTTGCTGCTGTTGAGGTTGCTGCTGGGGAGGCTGACGGGGAATGGAGTGTGGACTGCCGGTGTTGAGCTGCTGGGACATGCGTCGTGCTGGCTGAGCCTGTGCCGGCTGGGGCGACTGCCTGGGCCGCTCGTTCTTTATGGGGATGCGCGGCGAGTCCTGGTGCAAGGGGAAGAACTGTCCGGTGGCCGCGGCGGTGGCCATGGCGGCGGCCTGGGTGGGCGATATGCCGTAGGACTGGGCCATGGGAGCGTAGGACTGGGGGAAGTTCATCTGGCCCTGCTGTGTCTGCTGCTGTGTCTGCTGCTGCTGTCCGGGCTGGTAGTGAGGCTGCGGGGGGATGGGCGACGCCTGGTGCTGGGAGTGGGAGTGCTGCATCTGGGACTGGGTGGGCGAGGGCATCTGGCCGGGCAGATGTGACGGCTGCTGGTACTGCGCGTACTCCATCTTTGTCGTTGTTCTTGATGTTGTTGGGATGTGCCAAGCTGTATTTCAGTAAGCGCCGTAAGAGAGTCGCATCGACAGCGACGATGTGTAAGCAGCGATGCGTTGGCAGCGGGAGCTTGTCATGCACGTCCCACAATCGACAGGAATGTCGGGTAGGCAGTATAGAACAGAGTAGACAGTAGGTATAGAGTAGGTAGGTAGGTAGGTAGGTAGGTAGGTAGGTAGGTAGATAGATATCAAGAGGGTATCAAGTATAAGAGTCAAGAGTCAAGTAAGACGCGACGCGGTGTTGTGATGAGAGTGTGATGGTGAGTGAGGTCGAGGACCAGGGGCGATGCAGGCGCAGGCCGAGCTGGGTCCGGGACGGTCACGTTACGAGGACGATGACAGGAGGTGGACGATGAGAGGGTAGAGGAGAGTGGACAGAGTCGAGGGTAGAGGGAGCGTCGGGGTGAAACGCCTACTGGACAAGAGAGAGAGGAAGGTGATTGGGGCGAGGGCGAAGACGAATGAACGAGGAGAAAAGGAAGAGGAAAAAGGCGAGAGGGCGAGGGGGAGAAAGGGAGCGGGCTTACCTTTAAGAGAGACCAATGGCCGCCTGCTTACTTAAGGGCAAGGACAAGGCTTTCTCTCGTCTCTTTGCTTCTTCTTGCGGAAGAGAATACGGAGATGGATGTGATGGATGGATGTGATGGGTATCTCAGCTCGTCACGTGTGGATAGAATAGGGAGGTAGAAGAGAGGAAGATGAAGGAGAAGAAGAGATAGATGTAGAGATAGAAGAGAGACACACCGACAGTTAGACTCCGCCACGACAGATATAGATACACCGCTGGTCTGGTTACGAGGTGACGAGGTGACGGGGTGACGACGAGAGTGCTGGCGTTGGGCGGCAGCGTCAGCGAGGGCAGAAGTGACGCCGTTGGGCATCGCCCGCCTCACTCTCTCTCTATACCTACCTTACTCTTACTCCCTGTCTCTCTCTACCTTCTCTCTCTCTACCTTCTCTTCCCTGTCTCTCTGTCTCTCGGGTAAGATGAGTAAGATGTGAGTAAGAGAGTGTTACCTAGGTAAGAGGGTGTTAGTAAGGACTTAGGTAAACATGATAAGTAAGATGTTAGGTAAGTGATGAGTAAGGTGTTAGGTAAGATGAGTAAGGACTTATGTAATTTAGAGATGAGTAAGGACTTATGTAAGTAAGAGATGAGTAAGCACAGATAGTAACTCGCCTGACCTCGCCTTCTCGCTCAACATCAACAACATCAGGGCCAGCTCGACGCCCTTGTATCTCAGGCTCTTGTAGGTCTCTTGCCTTACCTCTACCTTCTCTACTCCCTCTGCCTATACTCATTCTACTCTCCTTCTACCCTCTGCTCTTCTACCTTACTCTGCCTCTTCTACCCTCTGTCTACCTTCTCCCTCTCTACCTTATATCTACCTATATCTACCTATATCTACCTACCTTCTCTACCTATATCTACCTCTACCTATCTTCTCCCTCTAACATGCCGATCCATAGCTACCGACTACATGGATTACGAGTCCTTCTCGCCCCCCGCAAAGAGCGAGGCCCGCTGGACTGAGGAGGAGAGCTTCTGGGCAGACTCCTACTCGCGCAGGTCGCCTCGTACGTCCCCCTACACGTACCTTATATATATATGCTAACAGGAACAGCGGAGAGACGGCGAGGACGGGCCCGGTCGAGGTCGCCGGTCGGGATAGACCGCTACCAGCCCGGCGAGCGAGACCGCGCCAGAGACGAATACTACGGCGCAGCCAGAGAGCACGCGGCCCGCGACCGGGAGCAGCGGCGGCGGCTCCCCTCCCCCGGCGCCGCAAACATCGACAGATACGTGCCCGGCCAGGAGTCCAAGCCCGTCCTGCGCTCCAACCCCATCCCCAACCCGCTCTCCCTCGACTACCAGGTCGGCTTCAACTACTACGCCGAGTGGTGGAGGACAGAGAACGCCATCAGAGAGGAAAAGGAGCGGGCCAAGCACGGTGGTCGACGGCCGACGGACCGCGTCAGGGGGGACCGCGAGGCCAGAGAGGAGAGAGATAAGGAGAGGGCCCAGATACAGGCATCGTATGATGCGTACAAGCAGGATCTGCAGATAAAGCTCGCCAGGCAGTTCGTTCAGCTGCACCGAAACGAGGAGTGGTTTCGCGAAAAGTACGTGGGCGAGGTCAGGGATCCATTCAAGGAGCGGCTGACGCAGTTCCGTGGCTCGGCGTATGAGCAGTGGACTACCGATCTGGCCTCGGGCTTGTTTGACGAGTTTACGCTCGAGGGTATCTACAAGAGCGAGAGTGATGGGGCTGGCGGCATTATTGAAAAGGAGGAAGGCGAGGCTACGGCCGTCGGTGAGACGTTGGGCGTGCTCGATCTGGTGCCGGCGAGGGGAGGAGAGCTGCGTGACGACTCGATACTGCAGCCTGCACTGCTGATAAAGACGCTCGCTCCCAACGTCAGTCGAGAGAAGATCGAAGAGTTCAGTCGAGAGCATCTGGGGGAGGTCGACGGCGGGTTCAAGTGGCTTAGTCTGAGCGACCCAAACCCGTCGAAGAAGTACCATCGTATCGGATGGATAATGCTGCATCCGGCCGCGGAGTCGCAGGACGGCGGTGTCATCGAGCGAGGCGACGGGCGAGACGAAGAGGGTGAAGAGATGGACACAACCACCAACGACAACAAGCCAACGGTGTCCGCGGCTGAAAAGGCGCTGGATGCAGTCAATGGCAAGACCATACAGGACTCCGTCAGAGGTGACTTTGTCTGTCACGTCGGCGTGCATGTGCCGCCTACAAACCCGCGCAAGAAGGCTCTCTGGGACCTCTTCTCTGCCCCCGAACGTATCGAGCGAGACCTGGAGCTGGCCAGACGCATAGTCTCCAAGTTCGACAGTTCCATGGACGGGGCAGACGGCATGACCAGGATCGATGAACGGGTTGAAGACCTTCGTGGTAAAGGTTGGCTGCAACCGCCCGTCACGGGTCCAGTCAAGGTGAAGAACCGACGCTTCGACGCCGAGTCAGACATGATCCTGCTGGACGAAGGGGAGGCCGAGGGGGAAGGCGAAGGGGAAGTCGAAGAAGGCGAAGGCGAAGGCGAAGGCGAAGACGAAGCAGACACGGAAGACCTGCTGGTCAAGAAGAAAACCCTCGATCTGACAGTCGAATACCTTCGCCGCGTCTACAATTTCTGCCTATACTGCGTCTTCGAGTCCGATTCCGTCCACGAACTCGTCCGAAAGTGTCCGGGCGGTCACCTCCGTCGTCCACGCTCAGGTCTATCAAGCCACGCCAAAGCAGCCGCTCGTGCCAGCGCAGTCGGAAACCCATACCCTGCCAAAAAGAAGGAGAGCGGCGAGGAGGAAGAAGGCGAGGCTTCTCCGGTGGTAGAAGAGAAGAAACCAACTCGCTTTGCATCCAAGAGCGAACAGCAGATCTACCGCGCCTTTAACTGGGTGAAGACGTTTGAAGATAAGTTGATGCAGATCCTTGAGCCGGAGGATGTCGACTTGAAGAAGTTGGGCGGTAAGCCTGTTGACGAGGCTGTGGAGGAAGAGCTGGCTCGATTCGTCAAGCAGGAGGATGAATCGAAGTTTCGATGCAAGGTTCCTGAATGCACGAAGCTCTTCAAGGCGCAGAACTTCTGGCGCAAGCATGTCAAGAAGCGTCATGAGGAGTGGTTCGCTGAGATCCAAAATGAGGTATGCACCATCACTTTTTTCTATATCTACGTTCGTTATCTAACTGAATAGCTCGCCCTCGTCAACGCCTACGCGCTTGATCCCGCACACATCTCTCCAACCCGCTCCGACGCAGCGAGCAACGGCCACTTCCCCTTCCCACCCGGCCACATACCCGCCGGCACCCCCCGCGGCTTCAACTACGCAAACATGTCCTTCGGCATGTCCTCCGGCCCCAACTCAAACGGCTTCAACGGCATGCCGCCCGTCCCCGCCGGCGGCCCCGGCGTCCTAAACGGCTCCTACAACATCCTCTCCGATCCATCAGGAATGCACCACCCCGGCGTCATCCGCCGAGGAGGAGGCCGCTACTCTAACAGATCAGGCCCCTACGACCGTCGCACAGGCGGCAGATACACCGGCCCAATGGGCGCCGGTACTTCCGGCCGTCTTTCCCCGGGCAGATCAATGTTCGGTCGTGTCTCCATGCCCGGCGGAGGAGCATATATACCCGCCGGCCACCCGGCTGCTATCATGGGAGGCGCCGGGTTCGGTCCTGCCGGTCAACGATGGGACGGCACTGGCACGCAAGCGATGGGACCCAAGGAGGCGGTGCAGGGAAGAAGTCTGAAGAGTTACGAGGATCTGGACGCTGTTGGTGGTGCTGGGGGAGGGGAGTTGAATTATTAGCTGCATTCACCTCACGTTCAGTGTTTTAGCTTGATTGATTACTTCTTGATTGCTTGCTTTATTGTTGAGTGGAATCGGCTCAGCTACGTGCCGGCGGTTGCACGATATGATACGATATGGATTCATTTATGTACTAGTCATCTACTCTTCGAAAAAGGAAAAGGGAAAAGTTGAAGCTCGATTCCGTAGCTATGGTAGAAAACAACGTCTTTCCACTTCTTCATCTCTCACCGTAACTACTCACATCCAACATCCACCTCTCACTTATCCCCCTCCACCTCAACCTCCCCCTGCACATACCCATCACCCTCCCTCTCCCAATCCCTCCCAAAAACCTCAAGCTTCCCAACATCAAACTTCCCAAACCCCCCAACCAACCTCCCCAACTTCTCCTGCCCTACCTCTCCAAACCCACCCCTCATCTCCAAATACTCCTCCGGATAAACATGCCAGATCACCCCAAACTTATCCAAAAGCATACCTCCCCCCAACCCCTTCCCTCCATCCTTACAAAGCTCGGCCCAGAAATAATCCACCTCTCGCTGATCTCGGCATTTAACTAGCATCGACATCGTAGGTGGTAGGGGATGATCGAGTGGTGGGCCGGGGATATCGATGGCGCTGAAATGTTGGCCGTATAGAGTGAATGTTGGGGTACGGTTGGGGTGGCGGGAGAGGAGAGAGGGGAGGTTATATTTTGCTGTTGGGGAGCGTTGGAAGATTTTAATGTAGAAGGATGAGGCGGGTTTGGCTTGGTTGTTTGTGAAGAGGAGGACTGGGTGGATTTTTGCGTTGAGGCGGGGGGTGATGGGGGTTGAGAGGGGCATTGTGTGGTGGTTTGAAGTGTTGAGGTTGATTTGATTATCGATGTGTATGGTTTGAATGGTGCTTGTGGTTTAGTTTAGGGGGGAGGGTGAGTTATATAGGCCATTGGAAGTGTTTCGTCGACTTGCTTTGATTGATAGACGAGTTCGGGGAAACATTGCGGTATCAACGATGTAGTTGAAGGAGAGAAGTGCCGCTGTGTTGGCTCACTCGATATGATCAAGCATAGAAGTTTGGTTTGCAGGGTATATTCTTCATTTGGGTATGAAGTAGTAAAGATCAAAGAGGAGTCGACTAGGCTTTGTCCGTCACTTCGTTAACGTGATATCATCTATTATCTTCAGTCTTCACGGCATGCGAATAACAGGCTTTTCACCTGCATCTCTCCATTCCACGCCTGATAGTTTTCCAACCCTCCTATCGCTCGCAATAAACATGAGAAGGTATATGGGTCGAACAAGTTCCCCCCATGTGCAGATGCGGACGTCAAGTTGGGTAATCCCGTCTTCTTCCATTGACGTTTGAACTCGGCCGACGTTGTGCTTATCGCCAGTAGACGATGACGAATCATGTACTGTGGATGGCGAGTCACAGTAACACCACACACCCCATCCTGCCCTGTCCTTTTTGGCGATATATTCTGTTAGATAGTCCCAAAACCGAAAGAAAGAATCTACGGTCCAAGGGCTGTCATCTGCAGTACTCGTAGGTGTAGAAATGGCGCTCTGATCGTCGCCGGCCATAGACCTGGGCTTATCGTGTTGTGCTTGGGTAGAAGTATCAGAAGTGATAGGGATTCGCAAGAACCAGTATCCACGTTCGCACTTCTGCAATGATCGAGCTTCAAAAGCTGGTTGATAATATCGTGAAAGCTTCGGATGGGCCACCAACATCTGTAAAGCTGGGGTCATATGGGTAGTGAATCTGGCTGTAGATGACGGCTCCGGATGGTGTGGGTGGATTTCCAGCGGCAGGGAAGGAAATTTTCCCAAACGCTGAGAGCCTGACCTCTCTAAATCCAGCTGGCTTGATGTTTCTGTCGAAACATATGGGGTGGAAGCTGCAGGCGGCGAGGGAAGACGGTCTTCAACTGATGATGGAGGCACAGGAGCCTCCAACGCAACAGAAGCTGAAGAACAGGACCAGCTGGATTCTGGAGAGTCGGTAGAACTAGGCGATGCTCGTCTCCTTTTGGAGGACTGCGTAGCTTCATCGTTGTCAGATGACAACGAGATATAAACTGGTGGAATCGGGCCGTTATCAGGGCTATCATTCTTTTCAAAGTCCCACGGCGTAGAAGTAGGAGTGAAGGTCGGTGTGGCTGTACGATTCGATGAAGGAGATGCAACCTGTGAATCTGCCACAGTGCTGGGTGGTGTCTCGATAAATCCAGATTCCTCTTCAATAGCATTCTCCAGCCTAGAAAACTCGCTCAACCCGATAGAACGATTGACCGGCTCACCAAGTTCCCCAGAGGAAGGCCACGAAGTCGTGAACGACCCAAACGTAGTATCAAAATCCTCTCTGCTAGAAGTCGGTTCCTCGCAGGCGTATTCGACACCATTTGTTGTGTAGTCTTCGTTATCATTCTTTTCCACGGCGTCAAGGCAAGCTTCAGCATCCTCGCTCTCCGGCTGTGGGAGCACGTTAAATCTCGTCGCCGGCTCAAACTCCAAGCATGCGGCTGCCTGGGCTCGATAATTCACATCATCTCTAGCTACTCCTGGTGCAGCTACATGCACAAGGATCTCGACTGAGTTCTGTGACATCAAGAGAGCAAGGACGAAGGACACGGCTGCTGGCTATGTTTATCGTCAACGCGCATCTTGTGAAGATAGCAAAGTAGTATATCATTGGACAATTGCTACATGTGATTGCAGTGAAGAAGAAAATAAAAAAGGTACAGAGTTAAAGAATAAGGTATTTATAGAGGTCACACGCGAAGCCAGGCAACGTTGTACCTGCGCCAATAACTAGTTACGCAGCTAGTGAGAACTAATAATCACGACATTTTATTGGACAATAGCCGCCATATGAGTATTTACAATGAACATTAAACAGCTATAACAGAGTGATTCCCGCTACTTGATGGAGATGATAGTATTACATTTATAGGTGACGGGCAGCGGAATAGCTGACGTAGGCTGTAAACTTTTGCCATTGCTCCCACAGTTAAAAACCCGAGAATATCCAAACGATAGCTTTGGTCAATCATCATGAACCATAGGTATTCACTTCTTGCAGCAATCTGATTGTTCAAACACATGCACCTGAACGTTCGAGGTGGGTGGAAGTGTTATGCTGCCTCTCTCACTAGGCTCAAGTACGATTAAAGTCTGCTCAAGTTATATCATCCAGTCAACAAGCCTAAAAGGTTGGACAGCTTATACCCCTACAAGGACACTGTAAGAGGTATCATTTCAAAAGGCCTTATATGGTAAATAGTTGTAAAATAGTTGTAAAATAGTCCAAGTTGTTCGATGAAATGTGTAGATGTCGTCGAGGCAAAGAGCCATGAATGACTAATCAAGGGTGCTTACCAAATGCTAACTAACCACGGTTCCTCCGGCTTCCTTACTGGAAGTTGTTCTTAGAACTTATGTTTAGTGTCTATATGCCCCTATAGCCGTCGGAGGATAGGATCCTGTTTACGTCCTTTAACATAGCTGCCTGCTTCAGCCTGTCTATACATGTTTTCTTGGTCTTGATGGGGCGAAGCACCCAGTCACGGGGACATATACCGCTGACTAATGTAACTATCTGTCATCAACCAATAACAGCCACCAAATACACGAAACGCCACACTTTCTATGTATGATAATACGTATATATTACCAACCCTTGCTTGCCGCCAAAACGAATAAAGAGCAAAGTACGCATGGAAACAACATCAGCCATCGAGAGAACATGCGCCAAAGACGAGACGCAGCTTAACCAACAGCTCGTCCGTTGCAGAGACCAACATACACTGCTGAGATAAGGCCATTACGTCGTCTTTCATCCCGAGGTAGCTTATGATCGTCACTTGGCGTTCAGCGACCTGATACGCCGCACTGGTCAGACAGTTTCATTAGCTATAGCTGTTCCCAGCAACCGTTCTACCAGAGCTGTTGGAAGGGAGAACCAGAGGAACGCCCCAGTCAGGCTGCAGCTGATCCATTACTGGCCTCGAAGATGGAGCCTACAGTCTCTGGCGTATCGCAGCATAAGGCTGAGACTAGGCCTGTACCAGGTAGTAGCGTCGATCCAGGTATGTCTGCAGCCCAGGTTGCCTGGCACACTCTCCTATTTCTACATTTGGTTTCTATACTCCGTGCCTTGGAGAGATTGTGTTTAAGTTGTATTTTCAATGCGCTTTGAGTCTTCTGGGGAGTATGCTTCAATCGTGGGCATCATTGCCATTTAACCTGCCCATCCCTAGCCCATGTTTCTCTCTCGCTTCTCTCCTCCCTCCTTTTAGTCAAAGTCATATTTTGGTGTGAGTTCATGGTTGAGACAAAATGTCTTGAATATGGAGACTTACGATCGACGCACGGCTTCTTCCCATGATGGGTTCAACTCGGAGTATATCGATGGGCAGATGGTTTCAACTAACAGTCCGTCTACTACTCTGGGGTTGAACTTGATCATTGGGCGGAAACAACTCTGCGTCTAATTTACATAGGCCCCCCAACCATCCCAAAGAAAAGTCCGTCGTTGGTGAACATGTCTTTCCTCAAGAACTTGAACGACACGCAGAAGAAGACAGCCGGTGGTAAGTCTTGTCCTATCATGGAGGATTTGTACGCCCTTTTTCCTTTAATGATTACATTTTCTAATTTGTGAAAAAGAGGGACAACAACCAAGACGGCGTGGTCCTAAGCCAGATAGCAAGCCGGCACAAACCAGAAGACAAGAATTGAATCGACAAGCCCAGAGGTAACTAATTAATCTATGTTTGCACCTTATTTTCCCACCTTCTTTCTGATCAATGTTCCCTGACTTGTGAAGAACACACCGTGAGCGTAAAGAGCAATATATTCGTGCACTAGAGGTCGAGATATCTCGACTCAGAGAGGGATATACCAACGATGTCAACGGCGCGAATGTGTCAATCATGCAGCATCGACAAGCCCTAGAGGAGCTGAAAGAGGAGAATCGGATTTTAAAAGAGCTCCTTGCATCCCACGGTATCAACGTCGAGGCTGAACTGGAAAAGCGTAAAGCTCTTATCCAAAACACCCCCCAAGGCAGTAGCTATGGTGGTAGCACCTCCGTGTCGCAATCACAGACTGCTCCTGATATTGGTGGCATGAACTACCTTGGTACTCCGGAAACCTCGATCTCTCCTGGTAGAAGCCCTGGAACTACCGCGTCAGAGATGGCGCAACAGCAATCCGTTGGATCGAGTAATCCATACTTTGGGTCGCCAATACCGCAGCCAGGCACCAGCAGCGGGTTATCGTCTGATGGTACAGGCGGCGGAAACGTCGTGGTCAGTAACACCCCTGGTGTCTTCGACGCTGACCCGCAGCTCGGTGTAGACTTCGTCCTTCAGTGAGTGACTAGATGTGAACTGCAGCACTAAAGGGCACTTAACATGGCTTTTCTAACCATCCCGTCGATACAGCCTTGAAAAGCCATGTAATGGCCATCTAGAGTTTCTTTGCCGCAGAGCACACGACGACGACGATCAGGAAGCGGTATCGGGACACATGTTGATGGCGACATGTCCACCGCCGTCAGTAATAGCCACCACCGAACGAGGTCAGCTCTACCCTACAAAAACATACGACTTACCGCCCGCGAATTTGAATACTCTCCTTAATCTAAGCAAACAACTCGTAACCGACGATGAGATCACCCCGATAATGGCACTGCAACTTCTCCGTAACCACGAGGCATATCCATACCTAACTAAAGAAGATGTAGCACACATGATGGACGACCTTGCAGCAAAAGTCCGTTGCTATGGATTCGGAGCGGTCCTCGAAAATTTTGAATTCATGGACTCGCTAAACAGCGTGTTGACGAATAAGATGGACTCCACGTTTGCTAGCAATGATGGCAGCTCATCGCTGATTTCACCACCAATCCAGCGAACGGAGATAATGAATATGTACTCATGATGCTTTCTCTGGCAGCGTTTTCTTTCCGTTATACCTCTTTGTTTATCTTTCGCGGACATGGATGCCTTTTGTATCTTTTATTTTCTCTACTCTGATTTATTGTAATGTACCAAACAATTTCAGCCCTGCACATACACCGTCAAGACTTTAAGCGTGTTTCTTCTACGTACTCTATCTTGGTTTTATTCACTGTTGAAATGCCAACTTCTATATATCACTGTTTGGACAGATCTACCGCGTTCCAACCACCAATTGCTCACTATGTACCTCTACTTTACTTACCACTACGTCTGGGCTTTGTTTCGAATATAATCAAATAAAACGAACGGGTTGTGATCTCATAGAGAACTATTTATATCTCGACGTCTATGGTAAGTTGTGATTACCTAAGCCATCCTGGCGAGCCAAGATTTCAACCCACATGAAAACCAAAATGGGTGAAAAAATTGAAGACTTCAGCGATAAAAGCCACGATCAGGCATATTGAATATCAAGTTGCGGTCAGCAGAGATAAACATGCCTCCGATATCGATTCTGGACCTTGTGTCCGCTCTTCCCTCCGAGGACACCTGGGGACCCGCTGTCACGACTGAAAAGACCCTCGATGGCGTCCCATACGCTCCCTACTCCAAGGGCGACAAGCTAGGCCGCATGGCTGACTGGAGTTCGGAGGGCAAGGATGGACGTGATGGAAGGGGTGGAAGACAGGCATATAACCGCAACTACAGAGGTATGTATTTACCGGAGCAACAGCACTGATATTGAGGGGTATAATTTGACTAACGAGCCCCTCTCTTATGATGGACAGATCAACAAGTATACGGTGCTGGAACGGGCAGCTTGTTTGCAGTTCAAGTCGCGGAGGACGAATCAACCTTCTCCGTCGTCGATAACACCCGAACTTCGGTCAAGACTCGCGGTTTTGGTCGTGGAGGCGGCACCATTTTCCGTGGCCGTGGACGAGGAGGCCCCCAGCGAGGTGGTAGAGGAGGTTTCCAGAGAGTGGGAGGCGGACGAGGTGGTCAAGGTGGAGACAGATATTTCGACAACCGTGGCGGACGAGGAGGCCGTGGTGGTGGCCGACGCTTTGGATGGAAGGATTATGATAAGCCACAAAGAAACCGAGACAGCTCTATCGCCATTCGACCTGAGTGGACTGTGTTGGAAGAGATTGATTTCAACCGCCTTGCCAAACTCAACCTCGAGACTCCCGAGGGCCAGGATATCGATAACTACGGTTTCCTTCACTATTATGACAGATCCTACGACAAGCCACCTGTCAAGGGCGCAGAGAAGAAACTACAACCTCTGGACCGCGCTGCATACAATGTTACAACAACTGCGGACCCTATCATTCAGGAATTGGCTGAGAAGACTGACGCTACCGTCTTCGCCACTGCCGATATCATTTCCATGCTCATGTGCGCTCCTCGCAGTGTTTATTCTTGGGATATGATTATCATCAAGCAGGAAAACAAGATCTACTTCGATAAGCGCGATAACGCATCTATTGATTTAGTTACTGTCAACGAGAACGCGACTGATGCCCCTCTCGAGGTCTCTGAGGCTCAATCTGGCACGAAGCACGACCCCATCAACACCCCTGGCGCTCTCGCTCTCGAAGCTACCATCATCAACCACAACTTCTCCCTCCAGACTGTCGTAGAGTCCGACACTGCCAAGGTCGAGTACCCTCACAGCAATCCATTCTACAACCCCGCCGAGGAGACCGAGCCACTTGCCTCCAAGGCATACAAATACCGACGTTTCGATCTCTCGGTTGGCGGAGAGGAGGAGCCCGTTCACATGGTCGTCCGAACTGAAGTTGACGCCGTGATTAAGAACGTCAGCGGCGACGACCAGCTCGTTACTCTCCGTGCCCTCAATGAATTCGACCACAAGGCCCCTGGAGCCGGTGGAGCTCTCGACTGGCGCAACAAGCTCGCTTCCCAACGTGGTGCCGTTGTTGCTACTGAAATGAAGAATAACAACTGCAAACTTGCCCGATGGACCACTCAAGCCCTCCTTGCAAAGACCGACATTCTCAAGCTCGGTTTCATCGCCAGAGCGAACCCACGCTCTGCTGCTTCGCACATTATCCTTGGTGTCATGGGCTACAAACCCCGTGAATTCGCTGTGCAGATGAACTTAAACATCAACAACGGATGGGGTATTGTCCGAACCATCGTTGATCTCATCCGAAGCCGTGACGAGGAGGAAGACGAGGATGAGGATGAGGATGAGGAGAAAGTCAAGAAATACATTCTTGTCAAGGACCCTAACAAGTCTGTCCTCCGAATTTACAGCGTCCCCTCTACTACTTTTGAGGATGATGAGGAACTTGAGAAGCACGGAAAGGATTCAAGGATTGACGAGGACGGCGAGTAAATTTGATCATTTCTTGGACCATCCTGCATTATTTGCTTGGTTTCCCTAGGCCGCCAAAATGTTATGACTTTTCTATTCTTCCTTGCGTTCTATAATTTATTTAACGATCAAGAGATTACTCTGCATAATGCCAATTTTACTGATTTACTTCACTTTGTTCCAAAAAAAAAAAAAAAAAAAAGAAAAAAAATGCCAGTTGAGCAGCTAGAATTATTCATTATAATTGAAGATAAATTGTGAGGGTGCTAGATCAATAAAAGAATGGACTGCAGGTAATAAATCCGGGAATATTAGTCAAAATCTCTTGTATATCAATACTAGAATAGAGGAAATGTAACCAAAATTGTCGGAAGCTGCAAGCTAGGTTCAACAGGAAATAGAAACTGGAAAAAAGAAACGCAAATATATATAAGTAGAGGTGATAAGACGTCAGAAGCTGTTTCCCTTCCCTCTTGTTTCCCACTCTGTATTGTAAATATAGTTTGCCAGATGGCCAGTTTCATAGAATACAATCAATGTATTAATATCTGGGCTTTAGCTAAAATTTTTTTTTTTTTTTCCTTTTTTTGTTCCTTTTGAATAACTGGCAGCCTTTTCTCCAGTTTGCAAAAAATCAGATTGAGTGGACAAGTAAGAGTTGAAACTATCCTATAACTCCTTCGCTTTGGTCCAACTAAAAATATAAATGAGAAAGGGCAGGGATAGAATGAGAATTATGGTGAACAGGAATGACATAGAAAGTACCAGCGAACGGAAAAGCGGGAGACAAGGGAGGGAGATGTGGACAAGGAGTCGAGATGCACGTAAGTAGGGACAGAATAGTGTAAAATGTGGAAGTAAGTAGTATTTACAGTAAAAAGAAGGGAAACGCATAAAACAAGAAAGGAAAGATATAGTCAAAGATCGCTTCAAAATGTCCATTGCACATAACAACTCCGGTAGTCAACTAACAAAGGAAATAAAGCTAGGAGATGGTTGAAAGTATTTCGAGGGGTGATTATCGTCGCATCCAGCCTAGCACGAGCTCCCTAGTATGCGACTTGGTTCGATCTGATGCACGAGGGGTTGGCTCGTCGGGGGTATTTTCATCTTTCCCACCACCAACATAGCTAGCACTAACTTGCGGCTTAGGAGTGATTTCGGTGTCCTCTTGGCTGTTATCCGTTCTGCCTAGGGTGAAATTGTGGTTCTCTGGAGTTGTCGTCTTGGTACCAGGCGAGATAAGGGGTGGGGTTATGCTACCCTGCGCGGTTGACAAAGGGTGACTGGAGGGGGAAAGTGAATTTTCTGGTAGGTTCAGATTTGGCCGTGCTTTCGTAGGCCGTTGGCCGAGTTCACCTGGCGTGGGACTGTTTGACGGGGTATTGATAGCTGAGGCCTCCTCTTTTTCTGGATCCTCTGGAAGGACTCCGAGAGCCTCGTCACTTAAATGCAAGCGGTCCATAGTGCTTTCAATAGTAGCTGATGGCACAACAGTGGAAGCTGTACCCGAAGAAGCAGTCTGCGTATCGGATTCCACTTCTCGCTCTTTCATATAATCCTCACCCACGCTCACTACACTCCCACGACTATTCGTCCTCATCATTTCCGTACCAAGCTTCGAGCCGGACCGTCGAGTTCTTCCAGGTGTGAACTGTGGGCTTTTACGAGCTTGCGTATTCCCGAGCTCCTCATCTTCGTCATCACCAGATTCAGCGCCCTCATAGCGTTTCTTTTCAAGAGACTCACGCTTAGCTCGAATGCATTCAACAGAGCTACGCTTCCGCGGGGTAGAGACGCCCGGTATGGAGAACGCCGCAGGCGCAGAAGTTGCGTGGAGAAGGTTTGGTGGAGTGGTAGACGATGGATATTCGGTCACGATGGGCCGTGAAATAGTCGATGAGCCATCATCAGTGATACCGAGCCCTCCACCTCGATTGCGTTCCCAGCCCTCAATAGGTCGGTGGCCAATGATGACAGGAATATCATCTGATCTTGGAGATTCAAACTCGCCGACAAAGCTGCTGCTATCAATAGAGTCTTCGCGGCTCGAACCCCGATAGGAACCGGTAGGTATTGTAACAAAGCCGGAAGATCCAGAGCTTGGGCTATCTTCTAGGCCACCGGATTTCTGCCGTAATGCTGAGTAGGTGATAGGAGATTCATCCTTTGGCGGAGGTTTCCATTGACAGAATTTACAAAGAATTTCCGTTAGCTTTTGGAGAGTTGGCGGTTTCTCGATAAGAGAGTCAAAATGATGGGTCTCCGGAAGGTCTTTCAAATATCCAGTCACAGCAATAATAGGGGTATGGGTATTGACACTCCTAGTTTCACGAATCATCCGGGCGACGTCCGCTCCGTTGATCTGAGGCAATTTGAATTCGGTCATGATGATATCGAATTGCACTTCACTCAAAGCATATCTCATCGCTTCCGAGCCATTAATTGCTGTGATTGTCCGGCACCGTAATTTTTCAAAGAGGGTCTCCATGACCAACCTCGAGACCGGGTGGTCTTCGCATATCAGGATATCGAGCGGGCGGAAAAAGGGGCCTTCCACCAAATTAATCTGCGACAATCTCCGTGAACTTTGCCTCCGTCTCTGGACCTTTAACAAGGCTTTGGCGCGAGGATCCTCATTGTCGGAGGAAGATGGGGAAATATCCCAAAGTTGACTCTTGCGCTTATAGTGGCCAGGCACAAAGGACTCCTTTGCTGGTGTCAAGTCGCTATCTTGAGAGCCAATAGTATGAGACCTCGACCGAGAGCTTGGTACACTGCTTTGACGATGTAGAGATGCGGTCTCGGATGACATTGAAGTCTTCATGCTCTTTATCGGCGATGACGCAGTCGATGTCGACATCTTTAAGTTGGTAGAAAGACGAGGAGGTTCAAAGCCGCCGCTTGTAGGTGCAGACCCAGACGAAGCGGGTGAAAATGTGGACGAACCAGATGTTTTCCGTCGCTCGTGATGGTTGGCAGTGCTGAATTGTACGAGTAGAGGGGAGCCAGGCTGGGAAGGTCTGCTAGGGGAAGACGAGTTGGGCAGACTAGCATTCGACGGGGAAGAAGGTCGATTGCCGGCTTTATTGTGGGACATGGTTCTCTTCAATGGCATCGGTAGAAGGGGGCTTCCTTCGAGAGATGGCCCGGAAGGGGTTGAAGGCGTATTGTTTGGGACTGCCCGCTGCTGAGCCTGCATTGCATCATGTCGTAGTTTCTGAATTACGTCTTTGTTTGCTTTCTCCAGAATAGGAAGATTCTTGAAGTTAAAGCTCCCAAAGTCATCTGCCAATGCAGGTTCACTAAGTCGGCGACTCCGAGTATCACGGACATGGGGCGGGATGTGAAGAGGCATTAAACCGCGCTTCAAAGAATTGACCTGTGTTTTCACCTTATACAGCGCATCGTGGGGTCGGTCAGGGTAATCTCCACTAGAACTGGGAGATGAAAGTTGACCTTCGAATTCCTCGTTAAAGGAATGTAGAGTTGCTCCTCGCGCGTCGAAGTATTCTGTATCTTCGGGATTCTCTGGCGCAGGAACAAACTGAGCTTCATCCTCTAACAATGTATCCCAATTAATGTCCGAAAACCATGGGTGTGCACGAACCTCAGCACCACCGCTAGAGTATTTCTCATCAGCATTTGACCCTAGACGTTCATGCGGATTGATGGTAATCAATTTTTCCATGATGTCTTTAGCCTCGCGGGATACCAATTCATCAGCCTCTTCAGGCCAGTTGATTCTCCGATGCAAAATATTTTCAAATACCTCGTCAGGCGTTTGAGCATTGAATGGGGGATACCCGTAGAGAAACTCGAAGAGTATGCAGCCTAACGACCACCAATCACTCATTTCATCTTGACCAATACCATTAATGGTCTCTGGGGCAAGGTAGTCAGGTGTACCAACGAAGCATCTAGTGTGATCTTGAGGATCAAACAAGGCCATAGGAGGCGGCAACATTGGCTGTTGCGAACTCTCGAACTGGGATGGGAAGGATGGCGTGGTGTAGCTGGAAGCTGCCTGCACAGGGAATAGGTGGGGTGAATCACTGCCTTCGCTAAGTATCTCTTCGTCTATCGTAGACTTGGATTGCTGGAGCGATGGGTGGCCAAAGGGTGTCATAGGGTTTGAGCCTGCGGTATCACTAATTGCACAATTCTTTAGCATCTGGCTAAGGGTGTCACTGCTGCCACTATCGCTGCGGTAGCCTGATGTTCTCCTTGAGTGCTCACGGCTAAAGGAAGGTTCCTTGCTTAAGCTGAAGTATGACGGCTGGGTTAAAACGGGCTCAGCGACGATCAACGGAGTGGTGTGCGGGGAATCCGTAGCAGGGAAATCAAAGGAGGCCGAGCGTGAGGATGAAAGAGAAACGTCCGGCCGAGTGAATGGACCATGTTTCAATAAGTCCGGCGCCGAATCGTTCGGGCTCTTCTGAATACGCTTTTGTCGACCCACAAGTCCCATTCGTGAAAGCCCAAAGTCAGTAAGTTTCAAGTGGCCTTTCTGGTCGATCAGAAGATTATCAGGCTTAAGGTCTCGGTGAACAATTCCACGGCTATGCAGGTGTTCAACGCCCAGCACAACTTCAGCAATGTACTTTTTCGCCCAGTCTTCTGATAGTCCGCCGAGAATTTTGACTAATGAAGCACAGTCACCTCCATTCAGGTATTCCATGACAAGGTAGAGATAGTCCTTGCTAGAAAATGTCCAGTAGAGTTTTGCAACGAAGTCGCTTTCGCCTTGCCACATCATAATTGCTCGTTCTGCTTTGACGTTGGTGACTTGATTCTTAGCTACCATGTCTGCTTTCTTGAGGACCTTGATAGCGAAGTATTCAGCGGTGGACTTCTTCTTGGACAAGTAGACGCTTCCGAATGCTCCTTTGCTTATCGGCTTGATGATCTCAAAATCTTTGATCGAGGGAGCAACGGCAGGAGGTGGCGGATGGCTAGCAGAAGTCAAGTGTGGTGATATTGGAGCTTTTCCTAAATCCGGCGAGGTAGCTGAAGACTGTCGACGGTGGTGATGACGGTGGGAATGGGAAGGGTAGAATTGGCCATGGCCATGAGCCGCAAGTTCAGCCGACGTCAAGTGAGGAGAGGTGGACGGCGATGGTACGTTCTCACTTCCTACGGGGAACCGTGGCCTGGACAACCGTAAGGGAGAGTGGGGAGGGTTTCGAGCAGGGGATTCCCTTCGAGGGGATGCAACGCCAGGTAATATTAGGCTGCGGCGGTTCTTATCCTTTGCACTCGCGGTCCGACTTGGTCCTCGTTCAGAGAGTGGAGATTGCGTTCTACGCTCTGACAACACGGAGGATAGAATACTGCTGTCGCTATCAGCTGCATCGCTCTCTCTTTCTGCAAGAAGAGAGCCTCGTTTGGAGTGTGGTGGGTTGTTGATGAAGCTCCCCAAGCTCTTGAGCGAGCGTGGTGTTGGACATTCCATCGGGCTGCTAGAGCGGGTAGAGATGGGAATAGGGGTGGTTGGAGCCCTTTCGACAGCGCGTCGAAGGCCTCGGTCGCCAGATAAAGACCGTGCAGTACTACTGCCCGCTGACATTGCGGATACCGAAGGGGTTCTCTCCAGGGGAACGACTTGAGGTGTACTACCAGCCTCTTGATCCTCTGGTCCAGTATCGAGGTCGGAGGAAGAGCTTGAATCTTCCAGATTCCCAGCTGCGATGCGATCAGCCTTAGCCATGGCAGCGGCGATACACTCCTCCACGATGACGGTGAACTCGATTCGAATACGCTCAGCATACTCGACAATCCGTCTATGCCTAAAGACAGAGTCAACCTTTGCACGGGCAACCTGCTCAGTGTCAGCGGACAAGGCTGCCAGGCCTTTCTCCTGTTCTAACGTGTGATTGCTAGGCGACTGCCATTGAAGGACCTGCGATATCCGCGACTCTGACTGTGGAGACTGTGTCCTAACCTCGTCCCCTACTTCCGTTCGCGATTCCTTAAGCGCAGGCGTGCTGATTTCTAGGGCAGTATCGCATAGATCTAGAATTAATTCCACGATACGGGCTAGCGGACGCCTAACGGCAAACGAACGTCCACGGGAATGTCCTAGACCAGAGGTCGACGGGTCGCGAGATCGTGGTGGCGTGCCCGAGGATGAAGAGGAGCCCGAGATCAGGCCAGAAGTTGAGGCTGCTGGTGAAGGACCAATCTGCAAACCCTTGTACTCTGCCTGTGGGCCGATAAACGGGTTATTATCTCTGCCTTTACGAGCCTCGAGAGCGTCCAAGACCTTGACGATACTATGGCGATGCTCATTTAAATTTTCCTGCGCCATCTGGACGTCCATCTCCGCTCTATGTTCTTGCAGACAAAGTTCCGAATGTTTCTCAAACCACCAGGGCGTGATCTGCCTCTCGCAGATGCGGCAGAGGACGGGCATCGGGGGCGGGTGATGGGCAGGATCGCTGATCCCGACTTCAGCGAGGACAGTGAGATAATTGGCGAGAACTTCAGCTCCGACTCCTAGTGATTCAACGAGCAGTGGAGGCAGGCCTATCGTTACTTCCCTCGGCTCAGTAGATGGCCGAAGCATCCACATAGTCTGAAGTGAAAGGAGTCAGCTTGCTGATATATAATAATAAACCAAAACGGGCTCGCTACGGCGCACACTTACATGGCTATCGCCACCAGAAGATCGATCATAAACCATTATCCCCTGGCCTTCCAGGCTCAGTATATGCTCCTCCTCTGGTTCGGCAGATTCCTGTGAGAAGTCCGCCTTTTCCGTCTCAGCGGTGGGAGCCTCCCCCTCTCCTTCAGGCGCTCTCCGATCCTGCCAGAAAACCGACAAAGGGCCCAGGCGAACATCAAACCTCACAATCTGACTTTTGGAGTCATCTTCCTTCATAGAATCGACTGCATCCTTAAAGATAGACTTGTTATCCAAAGCAATCTCGTGGATAAACTGTCCCTCTACCTCCTGAGCTGATGTCCCAATAACCTCGCTCCATGAGGGGCTAACCCACTTTATTCGGCCATCCAAGTCCAAATCCACGATAACGTTGAGTGTGTGTTCCGCAGCTTCTTTCAAATCCTCGCGTTCTTCCCGGATATCCTCGCTGAGGGATCGTTCCATGGGGGCGGGAGCAGCGACATTTCGAGCCTCCTCCCTGAGAGCGGTGACGACAGGAGGCTCAAGATACCGCGGCGCATCTGAGCGCTCTCGGCCATCGTACGACGACATGGCGAGAGCAGGTTGTAAGTGACAAGAAGGGAAGTTGATTCGTTTATTGTATTAAATCAAAAAGATATATCAAAGTCGAAGAAGCACGAACGGGTCCGTCTGCCGGGCAGAGCGGTGCCCGGACCAGCTGATAGCTCGATCTGTCACCATGAACAACACATTGCTCGAAACGTCGCGGTTATCAGGGATGGTAGGGGCCGGTCGTGCGAGATCCGAGATTCAAGCTATGTGAGTTGCAGGGTTGAAGGGACGAGGAGTTATCAGACAACCATTCAAGTGTCCCGGTACGGCAGCCTGCTAATTGAACAGCTTCATCATTCACAGCACGACGCAGGCCTATGACGCTTCCTTTCGCCCAAGGGGGGTCTGTAGGATCTCCGGGGTGTGCCGTCGAACTGATGCTCGCTGCCGCTAGACGTGACTGATCTCGGCGATTGGGAGGCGGTTGGGGGCTAGCCAGTGAGTCCGGGCGTGCTATGAGCGTAGGAACAGCATCGCAGAGAGCAGAGCCAAAACACCAGTCGCTGCGGTGGGAGGAAGAGGTCGAACAAGACGAAGTCCTGGGCTTTGTGGAAAGTTGCATGGGCGGCGAGGTCTAGTAGAAGAGAAGGTGAAGTTACGGGTTGGTGTATATATTACAGGTATTTATTACAGCTGACTCAGCATAACACGACCACTGAACACCTCTCACTGGCTAGATCAACGACAGCGGCTGGGGGGGCGTGTAATGAGGGGTTCCAGCATCGTATTATTGGTATTGATCTCCAGATTGACGCACTTTAAGCACTTTTAAGCCTACATAAAAAGCATCACAAAAGGCAAATATAGCCCAAGAAAAGAAACACACACGCGCGAAACGAGACAGGGCGCTGCCAGCAGCAACAATGTACTCCGTACAAGCCAGGTTTATCAAAGGAGTCATGAAACACGAGCACTCTGGAGCAGGCCAGCCGGGTGAAGTTTGAACCGTCCATGACGCCACTACCTTGTCGATATCTGTATGAATTATACGGAGGACAGGCATCACAAGGTCGCCGGCCTTTTCTCTGGTCGTTCTCTCGTGCTATATACTACTGCTGTCCGTTTGGATATGTTTTAATATAACTAACCTGCCGTGTCTGCATGAAATCTGTGGCTCTTGCGTCGACCACGTCAATCCCGATTCGATCATGGGAGGCCTTGAGTTTTCTTCCCCTTCGTCCCTTGCGGCTGGTAACTGAGATAGCACATGGGCTGACCCTCGAATGGAGGTGTCAGGAGAATGAAACGTCTGAACGACCGCCTACACCAGCGGGAATGGAGAAACGTATGATAGGTCTGCCCCCAGCCCTTTGATGAATACCTGCATGCATGGGGCCACAGGATGGAAAAACTGAGAGACGCTAATTTATGTAGGCACCAACCACCAAACGGTGACGCGTGATCCAAGTTCCTCCATCTATTCCACTGCACGGAGGTAGGACTATCTTCGACTTTCTTTCTTGACATCGTATTACGCTTGGGGGTGGGCGGTCGTGACGCCTCCGAAAAGAAAAATTCTTGGATCGGTGACCTCGTCTCTTATCCCGATCTTGATCTTGATATCACCAACATGCGTTGCGGTTTTAGAATTATATGGAGGCGGGAGGTCATCGATATCCGCCTCTGACCCCATAAGCGAATCTAGAACAGGTAGAACCCTGTACTAGTGAGCCATAGTGACCTCAGCCCGCAAGCCACTATTACAGCACATCGCTCGACCGAAGTTGGTCGTGTACGAGGAAAAACCTCATGCGCGAGACGTATTCAACTTGCCTCTCCCTCCGCCAGTCGGGCTTATCAAATTATATGCCCAGAGTCATTCATCTATCTCATACTCCGTGCTCCTACCGCGTCCTTCCCGAGCACGAGACGCCTAAAAATAGGGCCCGCTAATATCAGCTCCCGCCGTAAGTGCCCTCCTCCACGCCTAATTCTCGTACTGTCAAAGACAGGAGATACACACTTGCATGCATCGGTCGAAGTGTAAACCCATAAACTCTGCCTGCCACGCCATAACTCTACAGAGCACTCGGCTTACTTACCGTCCGCAAGCCAAGTAGCCGACTAGTAGCCGAGCATACTTGCACGACGACACATCACGAGGCCGACGGATTGCTCAAGCGTCCTAGAGACCAAGCACCCTCATACCGCCCTGCCCTACGTATGTACCGACTCCGCACCCTTTCTAGACCATGGATTTGTTAAACCCAATTCCACGGGCTTGTGAAAGGTTGGAGTGGCCCATCATGCTTTCGGATGAACTGTGCTTGCCACCTCCCATGGCTAAAGTGACCGGTCAGACTTGCGAAGCTGGTTTAGAGTTATTGGCCTTGACGAAGCACCCCTACCAACCTGGTAGTTGTCTCTATTCTAGAGGGGGTAGTGTTCGGTTCTCCCTACGGGCCCTTGCTCTAGCCAGCCTGTCCTGCAATTTTTCCGTGGCTATTGGCGGTTTCTCGATGAGACTCTGTATGCTTTCGGGAAGGAGATTTCGGGAATCCCGACGGGTGATAGCTCCTGGGAAATTCTCCGAGGGAGTATAGATATGATCTCAGCCTGTGAAACGGCTATCCGTAGGCGCTACTCCTCACAAGCAAGCCTACCAAGGATAGTAGCAGGAGCAGCAGCAGCAGCAGCAATAGACGCAGAGGAACATCCGTAGTAGACATCATATGCGCGTCACAGCGAACAGCGACATCCAGTCCCCTTCGTACTGTTATATGTTGCTCCATGGGCTCTGATGTTGGTCTGCGGGAAGAGAAGTCGAGGTCGCCCAAAGCGGTAAGAAAGCATGATGGATTAGAGTGATTACTTAAGCAAGCGTTTACTTCCGCTATTCCCGATCGAGGTCCGAGCTTGGTATCTCAACATTTAGGGGAAACGATCGAAGGTCGAACTCCCATCAAGCATTGCGGCCTCCACACGACACGATATTCGCTGTTCTTTTATTCGAACATATCGTCACTAGAGACGAACTTTATATAACTATCTTTCCTGGCACAATTCCCACACAAAATCCGCTCAAATGGCTCAATCGCGTGTCATCGAGCTAGGCAATGTCCTCGTCGTCGGTGGATGCGGTTTCGTTGGCGCCCATGTCGTCGACCAGCTGTTGAACTTCCCATCCGAAGAGTCGCTGCCCGATAAGCCGGCTTCCAGAATCTTAGACGCAAACGGGAACCCCGACTCCCGTTTCGCACACCCTCGCCTGCGCGGCCGATACCCGTCATATAAAAACACCAAAGTGTCCGTCCTCGATCTTCGGACGGCTCATAACCGATTTCCCGGCGCAGAATACTATGATGCCGATATCCTAAACACGGAACAATTGCTGGAGGTGCTCAGAATTGTGAAGCCGGATGTCATAATTGACACAGTATCTCCACCGCCGCTAGAAGGGGAGAGGGAAATGCTTTATAATGTGAATGTTAACGGAACGAAGAATCTGCTAGAGGTTGCTGGTGGTGCAAAGGGAGATTGGGGTGGGAAATGCAAAGCTTTTGTCTACACGAGTTCATCATCGGTGGTTCATGACACCCAAGGAGACTTAATAAATGTTGATGAAAGATGGCCCAAGATCGTGGGAAAGCTCCAGCAAGAATATTATACTGAAACCAAGGTTCGTAGCGGCCCTTTTATCCAGATGGCTACCTTCTTTTTTCTTGCCATTTTCGGCTAACTAATAATGACTGTCCCTTAGGCGCTTGCGGAAGATATCGTGTTGAAATATAACGGTGCTTCCCCATCCGGCATGTTGACGGTTGCTATCCGACCGGCTGGCATTCATGGTGAGCGCGATACCACTCTCACGAAGAAACTGGTCGAACACGGCTCCAAGGCATCCCCTCTCGTCCTATCCTTCCAGCTCGGTGACAATGATAACCTATTCGACTTCACTTATGTCGGCAACATTGCATATGCGCACATGCTTGCAGCACAGCTACTCCTCGCCACGAAGAAACGAGCAGAAGCAAAGGCAACACCACCACTCGACCACGAACGTGTCGACGGCGAGGCATTCAACATCACAAACGACAGCCCTGTGTATTTCTGGGACATGGCTCGCTCTATCTGGGCTCTCATGGATCGTTATGTCGAACCTAGTCAGGTTTGGGTTCTGCCCGAAGGAGCACTTACTGTTATTGGAGGAATCCTAGAAACAGTATTTGGATTGTTTGGGAAGAAACCACGTCTTACTCGCCGAGAAGTTCGATACTCGTGCATGACGAGGTATTTTTCCTGTGACAAGGCGAAGAGGAGATTGGGATATGTCCCCTATGTCCCACTTGATGAGGGTGTTGCTAGGTCTGTTGGTTTCATGTTGGAGCAGACTAAGAATGTCGAGGCAAAGAAACAGCTATAGGGTCCATGATATAAATGATATTGGTATGGGTAGGTGAAGAGAGCATATAATGACTCAAAGGTCTTGATTACATCTGTATTAATAATATTATTCAATTCTCTCTTCAATCGTTGCGCCCTTTGACTAGCAAATGCCTCTAATATTAGATATCTACCTGGGAGTTATGCCCTTGCGAGTCAATTGACTAGTTCGTATCTGTATATCAAAAAATTCTTAATTTAGTGATTCATCTAGGTTCAACTGTATATTCCACTTCGATCAATCGTCAAAGGGCCAAAACTTGTCAAAAATAGCTCTCTCGTCAGATGTATGGGCTAACTCTACCATCAACTCATCTTTTATCTGGGGGAGTCTAGCTTTGAAGTCATGGTAATCTCCGTGCTCTACTAACGCCTTTTCCGGCCACAGCCTCCCTAGCCGTTGCTGTATACTCTTCATAGCCTCAGAACTCAATTGAGCTGCTTCCCTACCCGCATCAATCTCAAGTATCTTCTCCTCCGAGAAGGAAAGCGGAAATTCAACCTTTTCTTCTTCAACGGCCTGAGATGCCAGCCACTCTTTCTGTAAATCTAGTGATAAGGCATGGAATTGCGGTTCGCCTAATTCATAGAGGCGGCGAGAAAGAAGAAGTAGATACCCTTTGGTCGTATTCTCGAACATTGCTGCAGTGTACTGGCTGGGGTTTTTTTTCTTCATGAGCATTCGCCAGGCCACCATCACTGACTTGTCAAAGTAATGTTGAATGACTCCCTTCTTTTCATCTTCTGGCAGTGATTTGATGTTTTCTGGGAGCTCCGGGCGCTTTAGACTGTCGCCGATCGGAGGCCCATCATAATCTAAGAAGGCGGGGTCCATACAATGATCAAACAATGGTGATATCTGAACTGACTGCCAGTCAATGATCCCCACAACTTCCGTGGGCTTCTCCGGATTAACGAAGATGTTCTCGCTATGAAGATCGTCGTGCCAGATATGACCGTTGACCAATGATGGATCAATAGGAAGCAGAATGCTGAGAAGCTTCAAGTAAGATTCAACCGCCTCAAGTCTCTTTTCCTGCGTAGGTTGATATAGTTCTGGGCCATAAAGCATTGCTAACTGTTTTGGAGTGCACTTTCTGCCTTCTATAGCCAACTTCTCGCGTAGTCCAATCGCTCTTCGATAATCGTATAAAGTTTTCCCTTGATTTGATGATAAGCAGAAGAACAGTATTTATTTAAAGGAATAAAAACTTACATGGCCCTCTATCACAATTCAAGAGGCTCCGACCATCATCCGACCATTCACGGCCCGTGGCAGGGCCGACAGCAAATCGACCAAAATCAACTGTTCGACCATCTTGATCAGCAATGAGAGGCTTACGAAGTGGCTCATCTAGATCATCGCTATAATAAAGGCTCCCAAAGCTAGTGAATTTTGTCGTGGTCCAAGCCCTCTGATAGTCGAAAATCCGGAGGAAGACTTTCATCTTATCTGCTGGATCCAGGGAATGCCAGACTCCTCCCAATGGAACTCCTTGGATCTTCTCCATAATTATGTATTCAGCCCCAACTTTGTTCCCGTCCTCTAACCGGGAGCTCCAGGCATACACCTCTGGTGCTGGGGTTTTCAGCACATTACGCATCTAGCAGAATCGTTAGTAGGAGGACACTAAAGCAAGGGAATGAAATTTAGGTGAAATATAACAGCATTAAACGGTCAGACTTACGAAGTCAATTGTTGCTACCTCACTTGCAGTGGTGTAGTGTGGTATTCCGGCATTTGGGTTGGGAACTTTGCCAATGACCTGTTTATCATTGTCAAAGGTAAAGACATATGCCTTATTTAACATGCCATCGGCACACTTTTCGATATTGGTACAACGTTCTGCACCAACTGATCTTGCTGCAACCTGGGCAAGCTCATTCATGTCAAACCGAACATGCCGCCTTGACATCTGCTCTCTTTCGTCGAGAATGAAGCGTCCACGGGTGAAGTTGAAGAATTCATCCTGCAGATTCCAGTCTAATTCCACAGTAAGTCACTTTGATTTCTTCTACCCTTTCCTAGTGCACATACCTTTCTGGACCGCCGTGTTTTGCATCCACGTCGAGCGCAAAGCATGCGAATGAAAGTATTGAGGTCTCTGGGTTTGCAAATGGGTATCAATATAACCAAGTAGACGGTTTCGTAACCTCATATTTCCTGGATGGTACCCAAATTCCGCGATAACAGATCATATCATCGTGTTAAAGGTGTGTATCAAAACGCGAGCCCATGTTAAATGTGACTGATACACGTACTGCATTAGCTGACCAATAACCAGGCAACTCTAGGCTGTTCGGCCAATTTATGATTCTATATTCATGATATTATAGAAAATTTATTATAAAATTGTTAGAAAAAAACTTGTAATTTCTATATGGTTTATTAAAATATAAAAGTGGTCGCTTTCCCGTGCTTTTGGCCGTTTGTTTAACTTCCACCTACACGATAGAAAACTTAACCTCCTTTCTGACTGTCTCCACGATTTCCAGCAGATGTTCCCGGCTCTTGCGAGAGAAGACATTGAAGTAGGCCACCCAAGAATTAATCCCTGACATAGGGTCGGCGACTTTGTCTCCCTTTCTTAAAAAGCAAAAGGATCCAGAGACAATGTCTTTAAGGCCGGGGCGCCTCTCAAAGAGCTCCGCGCACACATCCCCAGATTCGTACACACCACCCTTCTCAACAGGGATAAACACCATCTCGCACCAGTACTGAGGCCCATTAACAAACGTATGCGAGAGCTGCTTAGCGCGTTCCTTGTCGTCAAGAGCAAATAGGAGTCCAAGGGCAAAATAATCAACGCCGTACGTGTGCTTCACCGCAGCTGAAGCCTGGATACCCGGCGGCCGTGGATTGACCTCAATCAACCAGCAGGACGGGGCTCCCTTGGCTGGGATATCACGCTCAGCGAGGTCCAGGACGTTGTTCTTCATCATATAGTCCATGCTTGAATTTTCAACACGAGCTTCGAGGTGATAGAACCCATCACGGAAGCCCATTCGAAGTAGGCTTTTGGTCAACTCGTCTCCAAGCATCTTAAGCTCGCTTTCTGGAAGCTTAGATGGGAGGACATTTGCTAACTCGATGAACGTTTTGACGTTTCCTTGGCCATTAACATCGGCGCTCTTGGGGAAGTCATCGGAGACTTCGAAGAAAATCAGCTCGCCATCACAGAGCACAAGGTTCGCGTCTACTTCTGGTCCCTCGCAGTACTTCTCGATAACGAATTCGCTGCCGTGACGCTCTGTGTGGATGGCCTTGACGCCGACCTCAAGCTCTGGAAGACTCTGTGCTCTAAAAACCCCCTCAGAGAGGAACCCATTTGTGGGTTTTATGATCAACGGAAACTGAAGGTTATGCTCTTGTACGATATCAGATGCTTCCTCTGCACTAGAGGCTACATATGCATGATGCCCCTCCGAAACGCTGGTCTTGAACTTATCGGTGGCTATTTCGTACGCTGATGGAGGATATGTCGGTAATGACAGCTTCAAGGCGGCTTCAGCCACCGGGCGTTTGTAGTGGTCACGGAATGACACGATGCCATCAATTTGGCCCTCATAAGAGCGTACTGCATCCACGATTTTGTCGGCAAACCCTGCATCCGGGTGGAGTGGACACTCAAGCGGGACGGTCGCTTTACGCCAGCTAGTATAGCGAGGGCCATTCACCCAGTGATTAGGGCTGTCAAGCACAACCATGTCAATACCCAGAGCCCTAGCTGCCATATAGACACTTTCTCCAGTACCTCCATTGTCGGGGGCACTGATGCCGCCATCGACAATAGCTAGAGTCTTGCGTTTTGGTGCTTGGGCTGATAACCAAGGAAATGACAGGCGGTTGCGCAATTCGAGATCAAGAGAAGCTAATAGCTCCTTGACTGTGCTACCGCCGACTGGGCAAGGGGATTTAAGAATCATTGCTCCAGCAGAGGCGGCAAACGCCTTTGGAAGCTGCTGCAAAGCCTCAATTTTTATGTGTTCCCCCTCAAACAATTGGTGAACTTTTGATAGGCTTAGAACGTTCGATACCAGGGGACAGTCTAACAAACGCAATGGGATGATATCGGGGCGAACAATATAACCATGGGATTGTGGCATAACCAGCCTGATGGCAATTCCATCTTCGGGGTGTGCAATTGAGAGGCAGTCGAGTACAAAGCGGAGCGCTTCTGCTGACCCAAGCTCCTGCGATCCGATTTTATGGTACTCATTTTCGGATATCTCGATGGAGAGGCGAGTTTCATCTATGTCCGTTGGCCATGAAAAATTGGGCGATTTGGAAAACTCCCTGAAATGGACGTCGATAGTCTTCCAGGAGGTAGTGCCAGATGAATCAGTTATGGTATCGTTGACATCCCAGGTGCATTGGAATCGACCTGCGTTAAAAGGTCATGTAAGAAGGTGACAAAATTATTTGATCGGTCATTGAACGTACTTTCTTCGTTATCTTGAACTTGCGCAAGGAATAGACCAGCCATCTTGTCTATAATGGATATGAGATGTCACTAATATTTTGCGTCTGCAGTTGAACTTCTGAATGAGATTGATCGATGTTAGCTTGGTCTTATGCCAGTGGGAGGGGTTTGTCTGGGTTATTACCCGTTAACTAGCTAGCTATCCCGTCGGGAGCAAACAGTAACGATTCTCAATCTTGGTAGATAAGAATAGAGTACCCGGCAAACTGCACTTGAATTCGTGTATTACAGTAGCTTACTTTGCCAGGCTTATCTTAAATTTGCCTATGCTAAAGAAACTACTCTTCCTTCAAGTACAGAGTAATATATTAAGTATTTTTGTTCCTTCTGTGACCCGCATCTGTCTTTTGCATTTAATATACATATAGGCCAGGATCCTTCTCCAGGGTTCCACCTCGTAAATCTGAGCCTAATACGAGTATAGATTCTCTCATGATTGGATAGACTAATTAACTAGTCATTGATAGCTAAACGCAAAGCTAAAAACTAGTTCGCATCCATAATAACTCAGCTCTGATCCTTCAAAATCATTCATGGATTTTGACATCCCCCGCACAAGTCAAGTCAATGTGTGAGGGGGGCTACGAGATGTCGAACCATGATGGGAATCATCAGTAGCTAATTAAGCAGACTACTTTTGGTTCAATTGATAAGACATGATACAGTCTAAACAGGGAAATAGCTGGCGAACGCTTTTTATGTTGTTTTATTTTTTTGAACATTTGTTAACCATACCCCATACAGATGTCAGTTATCTCTACCCAAGTCTTTTAATCGATCACTGGGACCCATTCCTCACGGATCTCCTCTACTTTTCTAAGGAGATCTTGTCTTCCAACCTTGGACTCGATGACCACGACTGCAAGGAGACTTGTCTCGACCGCATCTGGAGGAGTCACATATTCACCAGGCTTAAAGTAATTGCGATAAAGAGAAATGCTGTTTCTAAGAGCTGGCTTGTTCTTGCAAAGTCTAACGGCTGGGTCAGGGGATTTGAGAATACCCCCTTTCTCGGGCATGAGATTGAGAACCGCAATCGAGTGTTTGACCTCGCTGGAGAATGGCACAGCAAGAGCCTTGAACCGGTGCTCGTCCATCACACAACGAAGGACGTGGAGTGCATAATAATCCACCCCGTATGTCCACGTAATCCCATGGACGGCAAAGTACCCAGGAGGCCGAGGATTGACTTCGATCATAAAGACACTCGGGTCAAGGCCTTCAGTCTTGGAATTCGTATCAAGGTCAGTAATGCCGTCTCGTTCGAAATAGTCCATAGCAGAATTTTTCATCCTGGCTTCACAATGGACAATTCCAGTTTGGAAGCCCATTCGGGCAACACAATCCTTTAAACGCTTATACAACATATCTTTCTCAAGCGTAGGAAGCTTTGAGGGGTATACAAAGGTCGTTTCCTGGAAATCGGTTGAACCTGTTTTATCATCCATATCGCCCAGGCTAGGGAAGTCGTCCGAGATATCAGAAAATAGAATCTCGCCTTCCCAAAGGACAAAATTAACGTCAACTTCGGGCCCATCGATATATGGTTCAATCAAGACACGGGATTGAATTGGCGTGTCGCCTTCATGCCCCAAAATTCGTGAATGAGCCTTGCGCACTGCAGCTACGAGCTCTTCTTCATCTCGCGCCTTGACTACGTTGAGGCTGCTCCAGCCGGTGCATGGCTTGACAACGACGGGGTACTGGATTCTCAAGGGTTCCTTGGGATCTCGGAGCCTCTTCTCCAACTCATCGCCATTGTTTACACAGATAATTCCATTTTCTTTGGCTTCCAACATTCGTGTCGCGTATTTGTTTGTTGCAATCGAGTATGCTGAATGAGGACTTGTGGGAAGCCCTAATAACTCGGCTGCCCTGGAAACGTGCGTTGAATAAAAGTCATAACGAGTGAAAATTCCATCCAGATTCAGGTCTTTGGCTATCTCGACGATGCGTTGCGATAGTCCGTCATCAACATTAAGATCGATTGCGTAGAAGGATTCACGCAGGTATGCAAATGGGCTTTTGGGGCTTTCCAGAAAATGGCCAGGTCTGTCGAGAACCACCAAATCGAAACCAAGGCATCTAATGGCTTCATATGTAAGAATTTCGTATGGGCAATGAACTAGCGCTATTCGTTGTCGTGGAATAAGGTCCGGCAAGAGGAATTTGATGGCAAGACGGTATCGGAATTGATCCTCTAGGGCGTCCATTGCATGGTCAATTGATTCAAAATCAGAGGAATCGACTAAGATGGCACCAATAGATGCCGATAAGATATCAAAAAGCTGCACAAGGTCGTTCTGGGGCTTCTGAGTTGGAAAATGCTTAATATGTTGTCTCGGTAGCATAAAACCTGACGCAGTTGCCGCACAAATGCAGCCGTGCATTCGCATCTCTATGATGTCTGACCTGGCCACGAAACCATCCTGCGCAGGTAATATCAACTTGATACCAATGGACGACAAAGCTCCATTCTTCCTAATTATGCTGTCGAGAAACACCCGAACAGAGGAACTGCTAGTCCCCAATCCCTCACGAAGAGCCTGTGGCCAAGCAAATTCTGCCGTGCTCTCTGACTGTTCATTGACATCTCTTGGTTCAATACTGAGATCGACGGTTCTGGCGACGAAAGATTCATAGCAAGGGTTGAATTGCCAACGAAACGAGAAGGCGGATGCTTGGTGTTGATTAGCACATGATAATGGTGATATATCTTGACAATTCCAAAGTTACTCACCTTGGCTCTCCCCTTCTAGGATATATAGCGAGTCAGCCGCGGCCCAAGTGGTTTGGGAGATCATCCTAGCTAAAATTTATTCCAACGAAAAAAATGTATTCACGGGCTCAAAGGCGAATTTTTTTTGGCAATGATATCTGATGGGAACCAGAGTCAAGAGAACAAATAAATATTAGTAAATGTCAACGTTGACAACATGTGTAAAGGTCGGCGAATAAGCTATGAAAGTGATGTCCCATCCAGCACTATAGCAAGCCACCTTATCAAACACTTTGCGACCCACTGAGCACGCTGGATAAACTGTCCTGATATCTAAATTCGGCAATTGTCTTGTTAAGATTTCCGTAAAATCCTTCGTGAAGACAACATGATGTACTCCGTAAGGAATGCCACTGCAAAAATACATATCCACGTACCCGAGGGGTTCTGCAAATGCTATCCACGAGCTTCGCCGACATAGGACGTAATCTATAATTTAATTATTCTTTCTTATTTTTCACAAATTATACTCAATTCTGCGACAGGGTTTACTGGCCGCTCACACCAGGCAGTTTCTACATATGCAATTTCCCCGTTGGGAAACAAGGCGAGTGCAAAGCGACGTATCATTTCGAGATACAAGGGTAGAACTTTGATATATGGCCGGGGGACCTTGATAGATGCAGGAACGTTCGAAGAACTATCAGCTGAGCGGCTCGGTAATGTCTTGTCGGTATTGAAATAACACGAAGGATATTGAATTTGATGCTAGTAAATTATATACTTCAAGTTTGGATAAAAAACGGCGGATCCACAATGCGGAGCAGATCCACACGGCTTCGGAGAAGCTCCACTCTCGGACCAGCAGGGGTGGACCCATGCTTATCTCGCTCAAAGTTTTATATCTTTGTTCTCCGCGCCGCGTGGCCGGTGAGGATGTGATGTCCTATGCGAGTACAGGTTCAGCCGCCATCCTTCCCAGTAACTCACCCGCGGTATCACCCCATGCTGGGCTAGCGGTGAGAGCATGCACTTTGCTTTTCGGGTGGCATATTCTCGAAACGACCTCGTATAAAAATACTTTAAGCGGCTGGTCTCGCGGAAATGTGATACCGCTTGAAGATTGAGAAACCAATCGATCCTTTAGACGCACCACGTCAATATTTCTCTCCTTGCTACCGTTACATCACATGTAGTTCCAACCGGTGAATGATAGTTGATATCCTCTTGAGGGGTTCACGGTATTGAGGCGATGGATTCAGCTGTCTGTGTGTCCGGATGCAGGTTTCACTCGGAATACCTTCTTGTGGAAATCAGTGACAGCCTTGAGCATAGAAGCGGAATAACTGTAGGAATTGACTAAAAACTAGGATACCTGTTCGGTTGCAAAGGTGGCTCTGTCGGAATCAATTCAAAGGTGATGAATGCATCTCTAGTGACTTGTCAAGATATCGAATTACTTGATGGCTAGCTAGGGCTGTAATAGGGATCCGCGCATCAACTCAATAAATATCTTGAAATTATTCTTATCATTATGCAATCAATTTCTTTAGTATGATTAATCTGTGACCCTTCAATAAATCTAGCAAAGTAGCAATAACTAAAAGTCTAGAACTCGTGAACAAAATATCCCATCAGTAGCTTTATCTATATCCAGTGAATTTTATTTTTTTCATTAAGCCAGCCCTCCACTCTCCAATACCTCCAACTCAGAAACACCATTTATCCCAGTATTTGTGCCGAGAAGATTTGCAAAGAGTCTTACAAGATCTCTGATGGCCTGCGAGTCAATCTGGTGATGACAGACAATCCGGGGACTATCAAGGGCAACGTTAAATTTTTTGCCTGTCTCAATAAGTGTGCTCTTCTCAATACCCGCGGCATCAATGTCAAGCCACACCAGGTTAGTTTCGACATCTTTGCTTAATTTACCTCCTCTCTTCGTCCACTCCTCGCCTATCCTCTTCGCCAATTTATGTACCCGGCTCAACATCGGATTTTCGATAACTGCACCCGCCCCAAAATTCTCAAAGAGAGCTTCTCGCGCAGCAGCGGTAATGACGCCGCCTTGTCTCATACCGCCACCAATTGCTTTGCGAGTCCGTCGCATTTGTAGAATCAATTTCCGATCGCCCAAGACCATCGCGCCCATAGGTGCGCCCAAATTCTTGCTGAAATCAACCGAGACCAGGTCGACTAAAGTGCAATATTCTTTCAAAGTTCCGGCACCAGCGGCAACTGCTTCAAAAAGCCTCGCTCCGTCGAGATGTGTCTTGACCCCGTGGATTTTAGCCCAGTCTCGAATCCGACGGAGCTCATGCAAAGGTAATATGCAACCTCCAGCTGTATTTTCCATGGAGATGATACCGGTTGGACATTTATGGACATCATCTGTTAGGATGGCGTGTTTTTCCAAATCTTCCACCCTTAGATACTTACCATTCGATGGCTTTATGGGTTGCGGCATTGCGCCGCTTAGGATCGAAGTACCGCCTCCCTCGAAATTGATGCTATGTGAGTCGGCATCAAGTAGGATTCCACAAGGCCGCGTTGAGACCAAGGCGTGTAGACAGAGTTGATTTGCCATTGTACCTGTGACCACGAACATGCCATCCTCTCGTCCAGAAATATTGGCAACGTGTTCTTCAAAATCGCTCGTTGTTCTATCCTCCCGAAATACATCATCACCCAATGTCGTTTCCACTATGGCCGCAAGCATACGAAGGCTTGGACGGGTAATCACGTCACCTGTAAGATGTCAGCTTGCCTCCCATTAATATAGAAATAGAGATCCTCACTTCTAAAGTCACTTTTTGCTGGGCCTGGTTGACCCCATGCAATACTTTCACTTAAGGAATGAAGTACATCCATGGTGGACGACTTGACAACTTTGGGAGTGCACAGGATTTCTGGCATCTCTCCTTTTCGTCGTTTTCTTCGGCTTTGATGATTTGACCTGTAGTAGCGTTGTATGATGACTGATTCGTAGGGATGTATGTGCCCACCTATTTGGTGGGAGGGCCTATCTACATTAATAGCATACCCTCCTCCCCAGCCCTGTCCTTCTGACTTTGTTTCTTTCACTCCAGCCTGCTTCCTACATCATAGGAAGACACGGGTAGCTGCCTCCCAATGAACTAGGGACTAGGCCGGCCTGTATTAGGAAAATTTTTATTCATCTAGAATTTACAATACAAAACTAGCTGTATAACTAACTAGCTAACAAAATAATCGGGCTTCTTCCATTAGTGAAACATGGTTCAGCCTTCCGGTATCGATGCCGATCAGAAGTGGCTTTCTGAGGAATTGAGAGGGGTTTCGAAAAAAAAAAAAAAAAAAAGGGAGGGGGATAAACTCAACCTTGATGTGGCTATTGCAAGGGTGATTGGATATAGATATAGAGACATTTCTTCAGCGTGTGTGCGGTGAGTAGCTTTTTAGTTCTCCATTACCTAGCGTTAACCCAATATTTCAGCTGGTCGTTCACATATTCATTCTTGGTTAGTTACCAATAAATGATCGATGATGATGTAACTGCTTGCTTCTATCGCCATTTGATTAATTCCCGAGGCCCCCCAAGAGCCCGCTACACCATGGTGTGAGTTCTGAATTGGTGGGTCATACTCAATCCTACTCGCGTAAAAATGAGTTTGCAAGGTAGAATGAGACGGATGAAGGACCAGACGGCTGCTTAGTCGATAATATATCCTGGTTAGTTAGCTGATCTAGCCATAACGTGGCTACTCAGGGGCTAATAAGCTGTGTCCTTACTAACACAAACAGCCTGTACAATTTTCTAGCCTGGGATCAATGATCGCAGCTGCCAAGTACGTGTAACTCACTTGACCTTGATAAGAGCCATCTCCTTTCCAACCAAAATGGCTACAACGCTGCCTATTAGCCATCAGCTCAAAATCTCCCCTGCGCCCAGATAGTCCTCGCGTTGCTCCAAATCTAGCTTCGGGAGTAGTAACGATGACTGTTTCAGAGCCTCATTCTCTTCCGCTTGGGGAATCTTTACCACCCAAAGATATACATGTACGTGATACTAACTAATCTATCAAATGCCGAGCTCATGTAAGCTACATAGGCAGTAAGCGTTTCTCTCCCGACCTGGGATGAAATCGTACGATATATGAAGGGTGACGAAAACATTCACGGAACATTGCAATCCGATTATCCAAGGTATGACCAAGCCCATTTGCTACTCTAGAAGTGTACACTATCTAATAATTGCAGATTTTACCAGCACGCAATCGTTTCAAAGTTAAACGATGCTGTCCTTGCCAGAGTTAAAGCACCTAGCTCCATGCGATGCGTAATTTTCCCCTCTAAAGATGGCTTGAAAAGATGTAGCCAGTACCTCCGCAAGAATACAGATATCGAGTACCCAATACAGGAAGTGGAATTCTGTTTACCTCAGAATGTTTCCGAAGAGAACGCTAGATGGGGTCAATTCTTTGCTGTTCTTTTTCCTGAGAAGTCCAAACAACATGCTGAGGAATTCTGGGGCTTCTTGGGGGACGGAATTTCCAGTCGTCATGCAGATTTTTGCCTCGAGAGATTTCCTTTTATGAGCTCGGTGTCCGTTGATTCCTCGTTGCAAACAGCCGCAACGTACGATGATATTGGAAAGCTGCCGGATGTACCATGGGACCATTGTGATTCTAAGACCAAGGAGAAAATCAGGAAACTCATTGCAAAATGGGCTACTTCAGAGAAACCAGGTCAAGAACCAGTCGATCCACAGGATGTTTTTCTATACCCAAAGGGCATGTGTGCAATTGGAACCTTGACAAGGTCACTTGTTCCGGCTTCCTCAGCTTCCTCTGAGGCCGTCGTATTTGGGTAAGTAGTATGCACCTTATATTGTTGGAATTGAAACTCACCTAGCCTAGATGGCCGTATGGATCAACTCCAAAGTGTATCAAGGGAAGCGGATATGAACGATTCACATTCTATGACCAAGGAACGTCAGAGGAACTAGATCTGTTAGAGGCATCTTTGAAATCTGGTCATCTGATCTCATGTCTTTTCTGCGAAGTTCCGTCCAACCCTCTTTGCGCCACACCGGACTTGCAACGCATCCGTCGTCTTGCCGATCAATACAATTTTGTTGTAGCCTGTGATGAGACTATAGGCACCTTTATCAACGTGGATGTGATGCCTTATGTCGATGTAGTCGTCACAAGCCTCACTAAGATATTTAGCGGAGCATGCAATGTCATGGGAGGAAGGTACGCTCTGCTCTCTGATTAACCAGTGTTCTGGAGATTTAATGTTTAACACTTCTGTATAGCTTGATTTTAAACACCCAGTCATCATTTTATGGGCAATTACAAGCTAAGCTTGGCAGCATCTATGAGGATCTTATCTATCCACTTGAGGCACAGGTCCTTCTTCGAAACTGCATTGACTTCCCAGCTCGAGTTCAAAAGGCAAGCCGTAGCGGCATGGCGGTTGCCAACTTTCTGAAGTCTCATGGCTCGATCTCTAAAGTCAACTATCCTACGATGGTAGATACCACGCCACTTTACGAACAATATCGACGTCCCAATGGAGGTTATGGTTCCCTTATAAGTATCGTTTTCAGAAACCCTGAAAGTGCTGTCCGGTTCTACGATGCAATTGACTTATGCAAAGGTCCTAGCTTTGGAGCCAACTTCACGCTGGTGCTCCCTTATTCCCAGCTTGCACACGCTTATGAATTGGACTGGGCAGAATCGAAAGGAATGGCAAAACATATCGTGAGGATTAGTGTCGGACTAGAAGAGGAACGTTCTTTGATCATGAAGTTTGACCAAGCCCTCAAAGTGGTCGAAGAGTTTGAGAGCTAGTCAGCTGATAGCTCTGAGAGTTATTTTGTGTCTATGATACTGGATAGCTTAGAATCAAATGCCTATATCCGCTTACACAGTCCCACACAACACCATATCATTGTACTGAGTATACTAGCTTCAATGAGTATGCGGCAAGCGTCGGTATCATTCAAATACCACGCCGTGGGTTACCGAGAAAGCGCTGAGAATGCTTCCCCACCGCGGATGGCGCTCAGAGAACTATACGGAGTACTAAATTGGCTAAGCGTTGTTGTACTTCGTAGAAATTACTAAAAATGGCGAAAAGTCCTTAGTACGGGGCTTGCCTATCCAGTTTTAATACCTGCAAGATCCATATTCAACCGTCGTGATGCCTGTCAGGTCTACCCCGTACGCGGGGACCAAAGACCTAGATCCACCCGCGCCGCTTGGCGCCATGGCGCTGGATCCTTCGCCGCACTAGTCTAACTTTAACCGAGTTGAAATAAGCTCATATATCCGCGTGGAGAAACCTTGTCTTTTCTTGGCGTAAGTTTCGAGCGCTTGACCTGCCGACCGCCTAGTGTCTGGTATGGATTCCCTCAGGCTAGGATAATCTGCAGGATTTTTAGGTCCTCCGATGTAGCTAAAATCTGGTAATATATCTAACATCAAACTAAAAGATACCGTATACAACCTTACGGAGTAACGGCGATACAATAATTGTGTCATGCTTCGGTCCTGTCCCTAAATCCTCGTAATTTACTCTGGCAGGGATCTTACGTTGACCATCGTTAGGTGTAATCTAATTCAAACACATTACCCAAACAGGTATCAGTTTGCAAAATGTTAGATCTTCAAGTGGAAGGATTGCCCTGGTAAAGGTTATTATTAACCCATACTAATGAAGTGTGGACTCCATGTACATTCCCTGATACCTATTTACAAAGTGCATATCAACAATAGCCATGTTAGCTCTTGGCCCCCTGCCATGTAACATATTTCTTCAGGAGGATGCATATTAACCTTAAAAATTATATAGCAGGGAAGGCTATAATGGTTCCGGAGAATGGCGTGATGGGATCATGGGAATGATAATAGTAGATTTTGTAGGATTATAGTCAAAACATATCCAATTGCTTGTGCACACACATGTCGGCTGAAGGGCTTCCAATGTGACTGTGCAGCTGTACCACGTACAGACATATGCTGGAGGAATTTTCACTATACGTTTTGCCTATAGAATAGCATTTTAAATCTTCTCCGATCCTTTATCAAATGTCTCTCAGCTTCAGCCTCTCTATTATCGTAACCCGGCGTAATAGCCTAAGCTAAGAAGCTAGAAAGTTTGATACGTACTATACTGAAAGGATCTGTACTTATTCTTTTCCATGTTACCTAATGTTACCTAGGTATAGTACGGGGCTAACACGATGATAAATTTATTCCTTCATACAGTAATTTAGCGGTCTATTGGGCCATACTGTGAGAACTACTCTAGGATTCCTATCCGGCCCTGAGGGTGGCTTTATCTAGGAAGCACGTCCAAATATATATATTTGCCGCCTTGCAACAACACTACATCGGCCTTCAGAATCCTACTCAATTTCTATTGTCAGTCTTCTCATTACGAAATAAGTCCCCATTACCTACCCAAAATGGATTATACTACGCGTATGCTTTCTAGTCCACCAAAGGACCCCAAATCTGCGGTAAGGTCCACGAATCTTAATCCATTTCATCGTTAGCCTAACCTCGACACAGGTATTAATCGACGCTGATCGAGAAAATCGATCAATTTCGTGGCTGGAGTATGTATCTACGGTTAAACGAATAGCCGTTGGCCTGCGAGATGCTGGACTCGCTGAAGGGGATGGCGTCGGGCTGCTCAGTGTTAATGAAATTTATTATTATGTGCTTGGAGATGGCGTGATTGCTGCGGGTGGAATTTTTGCTCCTCTACCGACAACTTCACTTGACCAGCTAGGCCTCTATATTGAGGCGGCACAGGTGAGCTGGCTCTTCGTCAGCGTCGAATTCTTGGAGGACATTTTGCTAGCCGCTCCGAACTGGAAACTGGATAAAACCAGAATTCTGGTATTCGACCCACCAGGGTTGGAGCCATATTCTGGCCGTCTACCAAAATTCAGCAACTTGTTGAGCGCCGAAGAGAGTAGATTCAAAAACCCTTACGAAGGCAAAGACCCTAAGAAACTGATATGCGTGCGATCATTCGGTAGTGGCACGACTGGGTCTATTAAGGCTATCGAAATCTCCCACGCTGCTCAATTGGCGAGACTGGATGCAGCCCTCTTTGCCCCAGATCCCCGCGATACAGCATGGCTTCAGAACATCGGCCTTTCCCATGTCAGCAGTCTCAATATGTGCAACCGAGCTTGTGCAGGTGGATTGCCCATGGCTCTTACTTCCGTTGTCGATGCACCGTCACTCCTGGACAGGATGAAAGCTTTCAGTATCAGCCAGATTCAATTGTCGCCAGCATTGATGGAGAGCATTACAGAGACTGTCAAATCCGGGCTCCGACCTGCGGATGCCCTCCAAACCCTCAGCACTGTTTTGGTGGGAGGAACCTTTTCTCGGAAAGTCTCAGTAGAGGAGTTTTCCGCACTTTTGCCTAGTCATACTCGTTTGAGGACTGGCTATGGGAGCACCGAGGCTGGCATTGTTACCATGACACCTATTGATGCTCCTTGGGAGCTAGGTTATACTGGTGTTCTTACGCCGAAAGTTGAATTAAAGTAAGTACAACTCTAAGAAATCCTAATGGGATAGAAACTTACTCGACCATATAGGATCGTTGATATCGAAACAGGGAAGGAGCTTAGCCTCGATACTCCCGGCGAAATTGTTATCCGCTCACCAGAGATGATGTCAGGATTTTGTAATAATCCGACTGCAACTAAGGAGGCATTTCTGCCAGACGTGGATGGGCGTGGGCCTTGGTTAAAGACTGGGGATAAGGGATTTGTGGATCCAGCCAACGGACAACTAGTCCTACATGCCCGCTACCATGAGCTCATCAAGATCGGGACAGAGACGGTACTCCCTGTCGATGTTGACGAGGTACTAATGACACATCCCTCCATCAAAAAAGCTGCCATCACGTCGGTCGTGGCCCGGGATGACGAACTCGACCTCGAGATTATCGCCTATATAATCGTGAAGGACGGTGCATCGATCACAGCCCAAGAATTGGTGGATTATGCTGCGTCGAAGTTGCCCAAGCATTGTGTCCCAATAGGTGGTGTGATCTTTACCAACGACCTCCCACGAAGCTTCGCAGGAAAGGTACAGCGACGTAACTTGATTCATTGCCCAGTCCTGCCTGGATCAACCAAACGTCTTAGTATCTCTTCGGGAGTTGAATATAAGGCAGAATAGGTAGATAGACTTAGACCCTAATCTTACACGGTTCCAACTTGTTAGTAATTAGACTTTCAGTCTTCTCTTTCTTGCATCTCACCTTTCGAACGAAGACTGTAACTCATACTTCAAGAAGTATAATCTTGAACAGGCGAAGCCAAGGCTCAAAAATTTGTAAAAATGGAATAGAGTGAGGGGTAGTAACTAGAACAATGGCGGGGTAATATTCATACCTATGAAACTAAAGATGGGACCAAAAGGTGATTGAGGTAGTGATTTAGAGAGTCGGACAGCACCATGGTAGTAGATTTAGATTTAGAGATGATAATTTATACCTCAAGCAATCAATGTCCTCTTATAGAGAGACTCTTCGTCTTCAATTCGCCTCTTTAGATTTTCCTCTTTCTTAAATCCGTGCCCCTCGCCCTCAAAAATAATCAGCGTAACATCCTTTCCGCCTTCGTTCATTACTTTCTCCATCTCAACTGCCTGTTGCAACGGAACAACAGGATCCTCAGATCCCTGGAATAACACTACCGGGGTCTCAATCTTCTCTGCATGGAAACAGGGACTTCTTTCTCTGTATATCTCTTCCTTTCTCTTCTCAGAGGTATCCGAAGGAAAGAGCAGATTCAACACATAACGCGATTCAAATTTATGCGTCATCTCGACGAGTCTCTTCAGGTTTCCTACGCCGAAAAGAGAGCAGCCTGCGGCGAATGCACGGGGATGAGTTACAAGGGCTTGGAGAACTGTATAGCCGCCTGAACTTCCTCCTCTAATCGCCACGTGGTTTCGGTCGATGAGATTCTGTGATGCGAGATAGTCGATACAAGAGAGCGTGTCCTCAATTTCTCTGATACCCCAGCTATAATTCAAATCGTCGCGATATGCACGTCCGAAACCAGTCGAGCCGGCGTAGTTAACGCACGTGTATGCATATCCGCGCGAGGTGAAGTATTGTGCTTCCAACGAGAGGGTAAGCGGAACATGCGCGGTTGGTCCGCCGTGGATATGGATGATGAGAGGAGGTAACGAGCCAGTCGGTGCTTCATATGAGGGGTTATGCGGAGGCACAAAGATTGTGTGTGAAGGCCTGGAAAGATCGTTCCCATGAGTTCGAGGAAAGGTGATCGCTTGCGCGGGAGATAATATTTCGACGGGTATATCGATTGTTGCCGAGCTTTTCAGGACTTGCTTTTCTTCAGGCTTGGTAATGTCGACAAGGTACACAGCCGAAGGTGATTTGGTTGTACCGCCTGTTACAACGAAAGAAGTAGGGGAGATGCATTGAATGCCGTTGAATTCCACGTGAATGAGATCGAGTGGCAGTTCTGTTACAAAGTCTGTAGCAATGTCATACGTGATGATTCCAGTAACTCCTGCTTTAGTATTCGCAATCACGAGAGTATTTTGGTCCAAGAACCCATATGTAGAACTATCACAGATCAGCTTAAGCCATGAACTCAGAGGGAAGTCGGTACTTACGTCCCAAGAAACCATTCCGCTTTCCCCATTTCGACTTTCTCATATCCTTTGATATGAACATACTCGACAGTCTTTGAAGCTAAGGGGTAACGATACACCTGCCAGATACCTTCTGGCTCGTCAACAAACCACAGGGCTCCATCGGGGCTCCATCTCGGTTGGCAGACAGAGGACGTGAGAGACTTTCCGGCCACATGAACTGCATTGATGACTTTTCCTTCGGCCCAGTCCGCAACGTAAGCTTGGCTTCCAGTCCATGGCATATTGGGATGGTCCCATTGCATCCAGGAAATGTTTTTCCCGTCAGGGCTGAACTTCGGGTGAGAGTAGAAGTCTGCACCTTCAACTATAACTTTACTAGTTCTAGTTTTAATATCAATAGCGGCAATGGTATTCACCACTTCGCCATCCTCGCGATGAAGCTCTTGTATAGCGAGAATCAACCCTGGATGGGCGGGCGAGCTATTAAAGTCGCCGTAATAGATCTTAGAAGCTTCACTTCCGGTTAAGATTTCTTCTACGTCCCCATCAGGAGACAGAAAGAAAACACCAGCTGAGTTTGCGTCCGTGAAAATGATACGACCGTCTGGGTACATCGACGCTGCACCGCCCCCGTATGTGTGAATTTTTGCCCGAACATTGAATTCCTTGGGCAGTACATCTACGCTTGCTTCTCCATTGACACGGACGATGACACCACGACCGTCTTCTGCTGGTCGATTTTCAACAACATATACGTCATTGGTCTTAGGCTAGAAAGTTGTTAGATAAGTGCCTGATTAGTGTGGAATGTTCCTTACATTGACCATCAGTTCTGCAAATGTTACCACTCCAGCACATGCAACCGACGGAGTGATCGGGCTTGTCCATGTGCCATAAGGCGCGATTTTCCGGGCGGATGTCATTCTTGATTCGACGTAAATTTTCTTTAGCAGTGTATGATGGTGGCTGCCGGCAATGAGGGTAGGGTATCTGGGAAATATAAGTCGACTCTGATGGCGAAAATACTATGGTGGGGGATAAGGCTAGTACATAGAAGCCAGAGGCCCCAGACATCCATCTAGCATACGTAACTTGTATGGACTGACTCAGGGTATGCAAATTAACTTCGCCGTCCTTATAATACCCGGTTATGCGGGCTATCCAGCAAAGCAAGATTGAAATCCTTGCCATTGCCATCGGCCAAAAGGCCAAGGGTCCGGCAGACACGGTTATTTCCAATGCACTTGAACATTATTGTGTCTCCGATCGAGTCAGCTGTATTCATGCATGATTGTGTCCCCAACCTATTCAGCTCTGTATCCATGGCCGTGGAGCGGGAATATGGCGGTATCGTGATCAAATGAGGCTGATGTCGAGGATCAAAATCATGGGTTTGATGACTAAGCATACTAACTTAGGTAGGGGTAGCTACGCTGCAAAAAAACTTCACGTCACTGACAAAATATATTCATCTAAATACACAATTACATCAAGGAAGTCAGAGCCTTCACACGCACAATCCCGAGGATTTGGCAAATTCGAGAAGCAACGCCTGACCCCTGTTGATTTTGTGTTTCGCTTTGCTTAATCCTGGGCTGAACGACACGATGAGATCCTTCGAGTTGCGGTCCCAGCTAACCCCAGAGTGCCGCGATGGCAGGGTTGATTATCGATCCTTCATACACTAAACCATCCTTCCGGTCACTTACAAGCGGCAGGACGCCGTCAAGATCAACATAGTCGCAAAACTCAGCGAGGAGTAAAGATGGCGCGATGGCAAGCGAGCTACAAGCTCTACAACCCACCATGATGCCGAATCCCAATGTCTTCGCCTCCTTGACAAGTTCCAGGGCCTCAGTCAGGCCACCTGTCTTGTCGAGCTTGAGATTCACTCCGTCATATCGATCGCGTAGCTCCGCAAAGCCTTTACGGTCATGTACACTCTCGTCGGCGTATATGGGAATCTGATGTTTGAAGCCACGTAACGCATCATCAGCACCAACCGGGAGAGGCTGCTCAACCATCTTGACGCCTACGTCAACGCAGATAGCCATTAACGCAGGCATATCTTTAACATCCCAAGACTCGTTGGCATCGACGATGAGAGTTGCGTTTGGTGCCGCAGCTCGCACTGCTCGAAGTCTTGCTTCATCATCCTTGCCGCCAAATTTGACCTTGAGGAGTGGTCGCGTTGCTTCCCTCGCGGCACTAGCAGCCATGGCGTCTGGGGTGTCGAGGAAGATGGTAAAGGCTGTCGTGGCGGGTTTAGGCGTGGAGAGGCCAGCCCGCTTGAAAGCTGGAATTCCCGTGTGTTTGGCCTCGAGATCCCAAAGTGCACAGTCAATGGCATTGCGGGCTGCGCCTGAAGGTAGAAGGCTCTGTAGGTATGTTCGGTCTGGGTTCTTCTCGATCTGAGGTGCGACATTCCTGATGGTAGTGAGGACGCTCTCCACCGATTCACCGTATCTCTCGGAAGGCACACATTCTCCTCGGCCTATGGCATCGCCTAAGCTCAGTGAGACAGTGACAACATTTGCTATGATTTGACTGCCGCGGGCTATGGTAGATGGTATCCTCAAATGGAAGTCTTCTGGCTGGCATTGGAGCTTTGCAGAGGGCAAAAGCCTAGTGGACTCTTGGTTGTTGGTGCTCATAGTGCCGTTCGCCGATTTGCGTCAAGTGGAACAATTTGAAGGGGATTTCAGCGTACACTCCTTTTGTGTATTCGTTAGGAGTGATATATGAGGGGAAGAGCAAAGAGTAAACTTTGATTGTTTACCTTCTCCTCTGTTGAAGACCCAATGCCAGGACCAACTCGTCGAACAAGACCAACACTGCCGAGAATAACCAGATCAAAAAATAGATTAATCCTGCCTCCGAACAAATTCGGTTAACTTGATGCAACGTCCAGGTATAGCTGAAGATCTGAAGTGAAGGAATACACGAATCCTACGATTTCTCACCGCTAGAGGTTTAGTGTAGGATGATACTCTCAAATTTCTAACTGTATTGTCTAGAACGATACCGACCTGACATTTTGCATACTCGGAGCTAGTATGGACCCCTGGCATAGCTTGACCGCGGAAGATAAAAGCTTCATATCAGTTCAAATACAAGTGGAGCCTTTGAAAAAGTGAATACGACCGACTAGTCTCGGAGAAAGAGTCGTTCAAAGGGTTATACCATGGGAAGTAAAAATCAGGGTTGCACCAGCGGCAGTCTATACCAGCAATATAATATGCGAGTCAACTCAAACTATTCTCTTTACCGGATGTTAAAACGTCGGAGGAATTGATGAGTTTTTCGTCTAGATTAACTTTTCGTCTGAACCTTCTAAAGTACATCAGCCTCGCCTGGATGTACTTTAGGTTACCTGCTAACAGCCATATTAGGTGCGGTTTTGTGCAAATGTAACACCCTATTACGCAGCTTTGCATGCCTATATTTGGCTGGACTGTTCAGCCTCGTTCGGCACAGTACTTTTCGACCTCCTTTTTCAGCATTTCTTTTTGCCTCAGGACGACTTCCATGATGTTATTGCAAGTTTTCCCCAAGCCTCTCGGGTCGTCTTTTAACGCCGCAGCGTGTACCTGAATCATATCATCAAGCACAGCCTCCAGTTGATTCGGCAGCCATGTTACGATTGGGCTACCACCTGTCGCTGTAGGATGATCTGAGCGTTTAAGGATGTACTCCTTTACCAAACCCCAGTGGCGCCAGCGGAATTCCCGCACCTGATCGAGAATTTGGAGCCATAGACCACGGGACTCTCGCAGGGCATCACTGGCCTCTTCGGAGCTTGCGGCGCCAAGTTGGCCAAGAGCGAACTTCTTAATTTCTAGCTCTAAGCCGCGGTCTTTGATAAAGGTGAGAAAATCTTTGTGTTTGTCGGAACGGTACTCGGAGAATTCATCAAGGATTACCGTAAGTGGTGTGTCTGGCATAGGGATTTGGAGGAAATTGTCCATGAGAGGTACCATGGCGTCATTGGCTCCAGTCTCACCCCGGAAAAACATGGGCTTGTTGTCATTACATCCATCATAGATGACACCGTCGGGAAACATGGAATTAGAGGTAATGCCAAACATGAAAGTCCGAAAGTTATTATACTCGGTCGGCTTCGACTTCTGATATATAATCTTCATAAGGGAGTTCAAGTTTGCCAGTGCGTCCACAAGCGTTGACAACCCATCGTTAAGTGACCTGCGCTGTTCACTGGTGCCACAAGGAGTTGTTGCCTGTGATGCAGCCTCGAAGGCCTTCAAAACACCTTGAACAAGTGGGCCGGAGTTCTTGACCATGGTGAGATGTACCAGGATAAATCCAGATTCGGATGAAGCGGGATCAAGGCCATGCTCGAACGCTCGGATAAGACGCAAGTTGGAAAATTCAAGGCCCGCGGCAGGATTCTCCAATCGGTAATTGAGCAAGACATACGAGCTGAATTCGAGGTACGGTTTAAAACCAGCGCTAATGATCGTTAGCTCTCGCGACTACATTAATTTTATTTGTAGGTGAAGGAACTTACATCTCTGCACATCTGACAAATGGACGTGAGATCTGCTTGGGCAAAATTGGTCGCCCAGTCCCATAGTCGCTACTCTCCATAAACTGTCTATGACATGGCTCTAGGAGGTATCCCTCTGCGAGAAAAGAATAATCTCGATACAGTGCGGTTATTACATGGAGGTTCTCTTTGTATACATCGATATGTGCAGTGAGGTCCGGAAATTCCTTATCGACAACATCCCCGAGCTTCCCCTCAGCGAGAAGACCTGGTTCACCTGAGGTGGTCTTTATGGGCATACGCTGTAGGAGCGATTCTAAAGTATCGAATTCCTTGGGCAAGGTAACAAGAGGGTCTCTAAGTGGAAGAAAGCCTCTGGCGGTAGAAACCAGGAATGGGTGGAGCGAGACATCTCCCAGACGAGAGTCATCCTCGACGACCTCGCATCGGGCGGAAGAGCCGACAGCCTTCATTGCAAAGATGGGCGGTGTTAAGTTAGGCAAAAGGGCGAATTAAGGCCAACGTTAAATCAAGGTACCTTCGCGGTAGAACGAAGGTGACAAGCTGTCTTATACGTCTACCTACCCCTCGAAATCCGCCCATACCAGTCGAGCTACGTGGCTTTGCATGAATTTCTTTTTTCCACTCTTTATCACCAAGACCTCGATGGCCGTGAAACTCCACTCACCCGGTGTCAGTGATCAAGATATCTTGTCTGACCCACACAGGGGACTCATTATTTGGGATCTGTTGACGAGAGGCTACCCTGTTGACGCCCGGATAATTCCATGAATAGTAGCCGTCTCCGCGGGGTATATTTTGCCATCAAGACACAGGCACAACCTGTGTGATAAAGTCAATGCAGGGTGACAGGGTTTTGAGGAAACTAGCTGGCCGTGGATAGAATCCGCAGTGCAAGGTAAGGCGCTCCCCAAGTGTAACAAAATAAGCCACCATGAAAGAAAATATGAGCACGCTTGAGTGAAACTGGATGCCCTTTTAATAGGCGTGGGGTAGCGATGAATTGTATGCACAATATCAAATAAAATATTATGCAAGAGCGACATCTGGATAGACGTGCATCTCGCCTTGGTCGGAACAAAATCCATATGGCCCGGGGATCAACCGTGTACTATGTGTCAAGCTTTTGCTTCCGGACTCACATCGGAACGACCATTTTCTGGTTCCTCTTCCACTTCTGCATGTGTTGTCACGGTCAGGATTACGTGGATCGGTGGGATAGTTCTTGGTTTCATACCAAATAGCGGGCCAGTCCCGTCTAAAATTTATAACCCTGCTTGAGCTCGAGCCTGTACCACCCTTGAGATAAGGACGTTTTTATTCACCGGTTACTCTTTATACAGCCTAGAGATGGAGTACTATAGCTAGATATATACAGTTGAGAAAGCGGATACAAGGGCACTCTATCTTCTACATTTTTAAGTCTGAGCTAAATATAGTTACAGTTAACTAGACTAAAGTGTGTTTGGATTGGTGGACCCATAAGTATATTTTGTCTCGAGGATAAACAGGCTAGAAAGCTAGAAAATCTCATTTAGCATCTGTCGATTTGCCTCGGGAGACCTATCCCGGAGAAGAGACGCCTCAAATCTTTTGACAACAATATAGTGCCGGACAATCTGGCTCTCCATGAATTCTTGGAAGCTATCAGAGGTCTTTTCTAACCGCTCCAGGGCCGCTGCAACGCTCTTAGGGAAAGGTTCTGTACCAGCCGTAGGAAAGTGTTCTGCGATTAAACCCGTGTCCGGCCACAGTAACGGCTCCTCGTTGATGCATCCCATTGTACCAGCACTTATTACGGCCGCTAGAGCAAGGTACATATTAGCTGTAGCGTCCACACAACGCAACTCCCAGTGACCAGTCTTTATCTGACGTATTGGGACTGCGCGGTTCTCAGATCCCCATGCCACAATATGTCCCGCAAGGTATGGCTGCACACGCTCGTACGACAAGTCATACGGGAGAAAAAAGGAACATAGCTCAGGAAGCCTACGGAGCATGCCTGCCAGGAACGAGGCTTCATTTTTGGGTGGGTTGAGTGAGATGTGGGTGTGTTGACCTGCAGCCTGTTTGTCCGACACCACCGGCCTCGGCGCCATGGTGGCTACCAGTCCATGCCGGGCAAAGAAGGACTTGATGATATCGTGGGCTAGGATCAGTTCGTCCACGGCGCGAATGGGAGACTGAGGCTCGAGGGCGATTTCGTACTGCCCTCGGTCTCCCTCCGTTTGAAAGGCGCCGACGCCCACACCGGCGTCTAGCAGTATCTTAACGATCTCCTTGACATGGGGGAAACATGGATCGCGGAGTCCGGATATAGCACAGCGACCCAGGCCAGTGCTGTGAGGTCCCAGTGTCCCATCGGCCGAGAGTTTCAAGACCTGGAATTCGACTTCAAACCCAACGAGGAAATGCACGTTAAGCAGCTTCTCTGCCTTCGCAACCACCGTCTGTAGAGCGGTACGAGGGCAGTAGTTCCAGTTTGGCTCAGGCGGCGTCGGAAGAAATTCAACGACGCGGCACATGACGGTGGCATAGTCGGGGTCCAAGCCATGTTGCGTGTACAAGGAGGTCCAGTCTGGAACCAGCCTATGGTTTCCCCTCGGGTCCATCGTAGGAGTATTGTCGTTACTCACGGTCAGTTGAAATGCACAAGCCGGTACATGCAGCTGCCTCTTTTCAGCAGCGATCGATATTGCATGCTCGATTGGGACAATGCGCGCTCTCACGACGCCCGAATAATCCTGCCACTGGCAACGGAGAAAGGAGATGCCGGGATGAAGAGCTAGGAAGGCATGAAGAGCCGTTGACCCCTCAGTGACGGATGTAGAGTTCGCTTCGATACTGGTCGTAGGTTTGTTCGCGTGGGGAGCCATGGCGCAGGTAGGTGGTCGTCTAACGAGTACGAACTGCACGGAGAGGCAGATCAAGGTATCAAAGGTATGCTGTAAACCGACTTACTGCCCGCTATACCTGTGTAAGTAAGATTGAACCAATTCAATATATAATATGAACCTGCTAGATAAGACTGAGACTTGGTTTATCTAATGCAAGGATGGGCGGGAGGATGTTGTACAGGACAGCTGCAGCGTTTCCAGGGGGCTGCGGTGATGACCAAGAGAATAAATGAGACGCAATGCACCTCGGACGAACGCAAATATGCGGAACAACGATCCGAGTCAATGATGACGTTTTGGTGACCTGGAGGCCCGGAATGTCTGCATCTATCGCATTCTTCGAGAGGCCGTTTCGAGCGGTGTTTGTGTTTTGTACTTAATGCAACCTCTCCCGGAACATGGGGCATATCTAGAAGGCCGGAGAGGCCATAGCCAGCCACCTTGCTCCGTGCAACATTGGAATGGTGTTGAAGAGTAGATTATGAGCCCTGCATCAACAAAGACAACGCATGAACCTAGGCCATGGATGCACAATTTTCGTGCATAGGCGGCCCTTCAGCCAGCCACCCTACTTACCTTATACCCGAAGGGTATTGCAAGATAGGATATCGCAAACCCTGCAATGGAGACAACACATAAAGTTAGTCAGAGTTCACGATCTTCATACATATACATCAATATCTTCAGCTAGCCACTTTGAATCTCAAAGATCTTGCGGGTAGCAGATACTTCACCCCTCATGGTCAAGACCTCAATTGGCCAATCGGCGGGTTTGAATCTATTTCCCCGTCAGCCCCTGTGGCTTTGTGCTCCCTCATTCCCACCGCTTCCCGCAGGGCCTCCAGTCTGGTACAGGGGGCACAGCTGGGAAATAGGATGGTTGACATTCGAATCGCCAAGGTCTGGGGGTATACATCTCACCAGTTCGGGTGAGAACGTGTCGAACACAAGTCGGCTATATAAGAATTAGATAAATCTTAGAGATGGTATAATAAAGTTGATAAGTACCTCATTTTATATCGCCATACCAGGCAAAAGACGTCATATTTTACCTTTTGTATTCTTCCATTGTTTCAACGATTAGAGGCGTAACGTTAGTGATAGCCAAACATGCCACCGGCAGCCGATATGATTGTTGAGAATGTCGCCAGTGCCAACGTTGCCAATGTTGATGCCGTGGCTGGTGCTAAATGGGAGCGCCAGGTAACGGTAAACGCAAAGACAGCGCCACACAGTTTGTTCCGCCAGGACAGGTGGTTCACTGGCAAGGCGCCACAGCCAGGGGTGTGCCCTGGAGTAAACGAGGCCGGAGTAATCGCCTCGCTCCCGCTCCCGAACTTGGCAACATGTGGCCATGCCGAAGTGCTGGACTATTTCGACAATTCGTGGACCCTCTATGAGACGCTGTTTGCGGGCCTGCGAACGAGGACGGCCTTCTACCGCCAACCGGACCATAAGCTGCGACACCCGCTCATCTTTTACTATGGGCACACCGCGGCCGTGTATATCAACAAGCTGAGGGTCGCTGGGCTTGTCGACAGCCCCATAAATGCCCACTTCGAAGCCCTGCTCGAGGTCGGCGTAGACGAAAACTCTTGGGACGACCTGTCGACGGATGAGACCGAGTGGCCGGAGCTCGATGAAGTACACAACTATAGAGCCCAGGCGTATAAGGTTGTCTGCGATGTCATCACCAGCACTAAGTTTGCGGCTGAGCTGGGTCGACCTGTCAACATGGACGACAGGGCCTGGGCTATAGTACTCGGGCTTGAACACGATGGCATCCACCTAGACACCAGCTCGGTTCTGATCCGAGAGATGCCCGTCGACCTGGTCTCACGCCATCCAGCCTGGCCTGCACCAACGACGTCGGCCCGTACCTCGCAGGAGGAGCGACTGGTACCTGACAATGATATGATCAGCGTGCCGGCTGGCGAGGTGGTGATGGGGAAGCCTAACGACTTCCCGTCCTTTGGATGGGACAACGAGTACGGCCACCAACGTGTCAACGTTGATGCCTTTGAGGCTAGCCGTTACCTGATCAGCAACGGCGAGTTCTATGACTTTGTAGCTGATGGCGGCTATCGAGAGCAGTTGTACTGGTCTGAAAGCGGATGGGGCCAGCGACGCCTAAATAACACGAAGCACCCCCGTTTCTGGGTGCGCGATGGCCCAGCCGGGTTACACACCTATCGCCTGCGTACTATCTTCGAGGAGGTGACCATGCCCTGGGACTGGCCCGTTTGTGTTAACTACCACGAGGCCAAGGCATACTGTACCTGGCGCAGCAAGCGCAGCGGCCGTTCGTACAGACTCATCACCGAAGTCGAGCATCACCGTATGCGGAACCCGCTGCCAGAGAACCCTGGCCCCAAGGACGACCCAGTTATGTGCCATAGTGGCCACGAACTTGCTCGCAAAGGTGTGAATCTGAGTCTTGCATTTGGCTCTGAGACGCCAACAGATGCGTCTCCCCCGACCGCTCTCGGTTTCGGAGACGTCTTCGGCAACGTTTGGCAGTGGTGCGAGGATGAATTTAGCCCGCTACCTGGGTTCGCGGTACACCCATACTATGAAGACTTCAGCACCCCCTTCTACGGGGGCGAGCACCAACTCTTGCTGGGCGGTGCCTTCGTCAGTACTGGTGACGAGGCCAGTATTTGGGGCAGGATCCCGTTCCGACCTCACTTTTTGCAACACTCTGGTATCCGTCTTGCCCTCTCCGCTGGTAGCAAGATTGATAAACCTCCAAAGGTCGAAAATCGTAACGCGACCGCAACTGAGGTTGAGGTTGATAATGATACCCGCCGCGAGCTTGATCAACGCATGCTCTTACATTATGGCACTCTTGCCGAGACACTTGGGCCAGCTGTACCAGATACGGCTGGGTTGAGCCTCTCCCACAACTATGTAAACCGTGTAGTCGAGCTACTCGTTGACACAGCACGAGCTCAAGGCCTACAGCTCGGCTCTGCCCTTGATGTTGGATGTGCCGTCGGCGGAACGTCTTTCGCACTGAGTAAGTATTTCGATAGCGTCATCGGTGTCGATCAGAGCGAGGCCTTCATTGGTGCAGCCAGCAGCATGGCTCGCGCTGGAAGCAGGATATATAGGCGTCTCGACAGCGGCGGACGCACCACCAACCTGTGTGCCCGCCTGGATACTGCTGCATACCCTGAGCGCGTTTCTTTCCAGGCTGCCGACTCCTGCGCTCTTCCGACGGACCTTGTTAACTTCGACGTGGTGTTGCTGGCCAACGCGCCGCCGAGCCGGCTTTCCAACCTGGACGCGTTCCTAGCGCGTCTAGACGGACCAGATGCTATTGTCCGTCCTGGTGGGCTCATACTTCTCTCTGACGAGGTTTTGGCCAATACAATGGCGTCTGGGTCATCTTCAAATGGCTCGTCCAACAACAGACAGCTACCTGCAGAGTACGAATTACTCCGTGCGTGCGATTTATCCATGTTGATTCGAGACAATGAGCGGAAGTTCCAGCATGTTGTGCCTCGGATTACTGTCTGGCAACGCGGAATGACAGCTTTGGCCTAAATTCTTGCTATTTATTCTCCCAAGTCCACAGGCGAAGGGCAGATATAGTAAGCCATAAAATTTCTTTCGTCAGTGATTACTGTATCGTTCCTAGCGTTGATAAATGTCTCTATTGGTCATGTTAGTTTAAATGAAGATAACGAAATGATAAGATCTATGGAGTACCTATCTATCGTTCTCAAACTACGAGACAAAAAAAAGTAGCGGGCAACGGCCGAGGCGTAAAAAATTTATCGCTCAGAGTTAATTTCTGACCCTTTTCCTAATTAGACATATTATGAAGGGTCCATACGGAGTACTGTAGAAGGCAATTTAGCGAGCTCTAGAAGCGAGGACCAGCTCTTTTCTCCGACGTTAAGAAGTCAAGATGGATCTACAGGAAAACCTTACCGGGATCCATATCAGCCTTACCCGCCTTGGCATGTAATTTAAAATAGAGGCACTATTGAGCGGTAACATTACGTTACATACCAAATTGTGAAGGGAAAATTACTTTTTTTTTTTCAATTCAGCAACATATATCCTAATGGAAGCAAGTGAGCGGGGTGTATTAACAGAGAGTTCAGTAGCGTAACAGACACCATTAGTTGGTAATCTATGAAGCTGGGGTGTAAGCGAGAAACACCGGGGTTTTCAAAACATTGGTGGTTAGGGAGAGCATATACTATGGGTTGGGAGGTCTGCCCATCACGCAATTGGACGCGCTACTGGTGCAAGAATTCCGGTGACGAAGGATTCCTCAATGCAGCTGTATTTGGCCGGCCACCGATAGATTGGTTGCTTGCGTAAGATGAGACACAATGCACCAAGAAGGATTACCTTAGGCTCGTCAAAACTACTAGATATGGACATGTATTGTACCATATGCATGAACTACAGCTACCAAGAGAGCCCAAGCATAAAACGAGATAACCTTAAACTCCTGCCGTTATATCGAGGTAAACGGCGCTAAAATTCGGATTCAAACTAACAAAATGATTAATCCAGGAAAAGCAGATATACGGTGTGAAAACGCAGTAAAGATTATTATTTAGCCCTCGTACAACTTGTTCCTACAAAGGATTAACTTTATCATCCTCTCGCCAGATAGCCCTTTATGGTAATTCAACTCACAGTCTATATAGTTAGCAACTAGCAAGTGCCGGGTGTAAGTCCCACCAAACAGGAGGGAATTGTAGTGTTGCGCAACCGTTGGTAGGGTAGCCTGGAGCCCGAGAAGCATCATGGGTGACGCGTCCATTTGTAGTGATCTCTGGCAAACGCGTTTTAACAATGGAAACTAACTGGCGGATTGTTCTGTAGTCCCGGAAATCATGCACTGCGAGGGCAAGATCCTCCGCTTTACAACGAGCAACAATTTCCATAGCTGAGAATGAATCACCACCAAGGCTCCCAAAACTTTGGTCAGCTCCAATATCAGTAACGTTTTTGTTCAGGATATCGCTCCAAATTTCTCGTAGGCGGAGCTCCATAGAATCATCTAGGCCTCGGTTTGTAGTTGTCCCATTGGCTTCCTGCTCCTTGAGACTTTCTTGCGTCAGGCTCTCCACAAACCTCTTGGCTAGTACTCGGTTCATCTTCCCAGAGATCATCAATGGAATGTCTTCCACCACAACCCAAAACTGAGGGAGCATGTAGTAGGGAACTCTCGTTGATAGGAACTCCTTCATCCTTGCCACTTCCGATGCGGATTTTTCCTTCGCAGCCCCAGTAAGGGCCCTCAGTTCACTTGTTGACTCCTTTAGTAGTGGGCTTGATTTTAAAACCACAACGGCCACTAGCTTTTTAGCATATACGCCAGCGGAGGGCAATATGACTATCGATTGTCTAGGCAAATCGTGCGACGCCAAATGATACTCGATTTCCCCTGTCTCAATCCTCCGGCCGTTGAATTTGACTTGGGTATCTTTGCGGCCAATGAAGCTGACAGTTCCGTCTTGGTTGTATTTAACCAAGTCTCCAGTTTTGTAGAACCGTCTTCGCTGACCAGGGGCCACCTTTGCCCATCTTGGATTCTCGGTAAATGATTTTTTGGTCTGCTCTGGATCTATGTAGCCCCTAGCCATTACCGGGCCTTCAATAAGTAGCTCACCAATACATCCAACTGGACAAAGATGGTCATGGTTGGTTGGACTTGTGATCCATAGGAGAGCTCCAACGCCACGACCGATGTTATTAGCAGCACTGTCGGTTTTCAAGTTCATATTTGAACAACACCAGACTGTGCACTCAGAAGGACCATACATATTATTCAAAGCAACCTTGGAAGCCCATAGCTCAAGGTTTTCTTTCACAAGCGCTTCTCCACCAAGTGACAGTGTTTTGAGGGCTGGAACGTCATCCGGCTGGAAGATACGAGCCACACTTGGTATCAAACAAGCAGAGTTGACGTTCATTCGTACCATCGCGCCTGCTAGGTCATTTACTCTCTCGTGCTCGGATGGTAGACAGAGACAAGCTCCTTGAGACAGAGTAACAAAAATGTCTCCATAGCTGAGGTCGAAAGTAAATGCTGCAAAATTCAAGTGTCTTGTAGTTGAATTGATCCTCATTGGAGTGGCTAGGCCAAGAGCGGCAGTGCAAAGAGCACGGTGTTCGACCATAACCCCCTTAGGAGAGCCGGTACTTCCAGAGGTGAAAACCACGTATGCGGTATTTGAAAAAGCTGACTGCGATCGTGTCACTTTTGGCGCTAGTGGAAGTTTTTCGGCTAACTTGGAATCAATCGCCACAACGTGTTCCATGATACCCTCGAAAAGATGACAGTGCGCTGGCTCGGCCACGACTATGGATGCTTTGGTTGCTTGGAGGATAGCCTGGATACGGCTGGCTGGATATGTAGGATCAATGGCGACGAAGGCACCGCCAGCCTTCATTATTCCTAACATGGAAACAATGGCGAAAGCAGATTTATCAAAGCAAAGAAGAACAAGGGCCTCCTGTACAACACCCAAATCAGCAAGGTGGTTGGCTAGCTTTGATGACAGGATATCAAGTTCGTGATAGGTAAAGTTGCCATCCCACGAGCAAATAGCCGGAGAATCTGGCATCTCCCTCGCGACCTCTTCGAAGTGTTGATGGAAAGTATTATCGACAGAGCGATGTATAGGCTTGTTCCACTGCATAACCTTCTCGTGATCTCGTTTGCTGAAGATATCCAAGTCTCCTACCATGGAGTCAGGGTGAACTCCAAGGCTTTCGCATATGGATTTCCCGAATGTATGGGCAATATCGGCTGTCTGCTCGGCAGAGAACTTGGAAGTGCGTGTACGGAGTGATACGGAGATGGAAGCACCATCGTTGATCAATACTCGGGCTAAGATATCGTACTATCAAAAGTGTTAGAACTATCTAATGGTGGTAAGATAGATCAACAGCAAAAAAAATATACTCACTTTCTTCACGCCTTTAAGCTGCTTTCCTTCACGCTGGACGTTAAGGGCTGCGTTGAAAAGCGGTTGGTCTTCGAGACCTATAAGTTTCTGGATATCTGAAATGGAGTAGTAGCCCCGATGGGCCCATGCGTTGTCGGAGTTTCTCTTCATCTCTACCATAGTTTGGCCCAGTGGACTTTCCGCAGTAATATGCGTTCGGCAGATGATGGTAGTATTGGATATTTCAGGCGACGAAGAAAATCCATCCTCGGTCGAATAATATCCAAAGGACACGTCCTCAACACCAGCGTAGCAATTGATGACGATGGCCCAAGCTGTTTGGAGGAGACTGCCGGATGTGACATGGTGTCTGTGGCAGAATTCCTGGATGCCCTGGTTATTCACATCGAGATCGATAGTTGTTTCCTGAAAGTCATCCTTGGTGGCAGGAGGACCATCAGAGAGGCCGGGGAAGTGACATGGCCTGAAGCCATGTAAGAAGGACTGCCAGTGCTTGCTGGCTAGTTCGTGTGAAGACGTATTCTCGATGAGCGGCATTGTCTTTTCTCTGTATTTCCAAGAAGTTACCAGGTGATGGTATGAAATCCTGAAGCCGTTTTAAATTCTCTATCGATAGCTGTGATGCTTGCCATTCCTCATGGCATTTGTATCTCAAAGTCGGAGAAACATCTTGGCAGATCCTTCAGCACGGGATCCATTAGACATTTTACCGTGCAACTAAAGTATTAGAGCAGTAGATATGCGCGCCTAGTAATGAAAAAAGAAGAAGGATCAAATACACCGCTTTGTGCCCAGACGGATCCATTTATATATTAGCTAGTGGGTCTGGGGTTGACTTTAACTCTAGCTGGAGGTCAGCTCTTAACTCTAATTTTACCTCGGATCAAGCAACTTCCTTACGTTCCGTCTTGCTTGGTTATGACACATGCCAAGAATTTTATCAGAGTGTTGTATTCGGGCTCAGCTCGCGCGTCAGGGGAAGGGCGTAATAGTGCCAACAAACATAGGAGACACAAACACACGGTAATTTAGGCGCCTCGCTCATCCCCACTGCCGAAAGCCCGATCGGCCCCCAGCCCCTTCATCACTCCCCTTTCCATCTCAAAGTGTTGCTTAAGAAGCACCTGTGAATCTCGCTCGCAGACTCTCTTGCAATAGAAGCATAACTACTCTTCAAAATGGTGGACAACAAAACGGATCACAAAATGGGCGAAACTTCGTCTATCAAGCCTCCTACGGAAGAACCAGCGGTCCTCGCTCGTGAGCCGATAGCTGACCAAAAGCGAGCGTCTACGGGGACAGAGAGCCCTTCTGACGATTCCCCGCATGTGGAATCACTCGATGTATCAGAAGACCCAAACAATACTCCAAGCCGTTCAAAGCTGCGTGTCTTTAGTATTATGCTCATGCTGTGTGTATGTTAAGTGCTACACCCGCCCCATGAACGCTAGTTGACTAACGACGCCATCTCCAGCTTGTCCTCTTCCTCTCGGCGCTTGATCAAACCATCGTTGCAACGGCTATCCCTTCCATAACTAAGGATTTACGCTCGGCTTCTGGCTACACATGGATTGGTGCTGCGTATTTGCTGTCCATGTGTGCAACCAACCCCATGTGGGTCAGAATCAGTGACATCTGGGGCCGCAAGCCTGGTCTCCTAGGAGCAATCGTCATTTTTGCCATTGGCAGCACAATTGCAGCGGCTGCTAGAAATATTGCCATGTTGATTGCTGGGCGAGCAGTACAGGGTATGGCCGGTGGAGGGATAATATCGTTGGTTCATATCATAATTGCGGACCTCTTCAGCATGCGGCACCGTGCATTATACATAAGCGGGACAGCACTCGTTTGGGTGCTTGCTGGCACCACTGGGCCCGTTATTGGAGGAGCATTGTCCCAGTATGCAAGCTGGCGTTGGTGCTTCTGGATCAATCTCCCTGTCTGTGGTGCCTCGTTCATTACCTTGACCCTCTATCTTAACTTGCACAACCCACGCACAAAGATCAGCGAGGGAATCAAGGCAATTGACTGGATCGGTACCTTCTCTATCCTAACGATAGTGGTTCTACTTCTGCTCGGGCTTGACTTCGGTGGCGTGACTTTCCCCTGGAACAGCCCAACCGTCATCTGCATGATTGTCTTTGGAACTCTGTTGATTGGCTTCTTCCTCTTCGCTGAGAAGCGGCTCGCTAAATACCCCCTAATGGACCTCAGGATCTTTAAGGATTGGTCAAATAATGCCGTCATTATTGTTGCAGCCACACACAGTATGGCAACTAGAGGCTCAGAGTACTACCTCCCCTTATACTTCCAAAGTGTGCAGCAAGCGTCACCCACCAAAAGTGGTGTTTTGATACTACCAATGATGATAGCGGCATCGCTTTGCGACCTGGGAGTCGGGGTCTTGATACACCAGACAGGCCGTTATCGAGAAATCATCTGGGCAGGGACAATTTCCTTGACTCTGGGAACGGGGCTGTATTGTTTACTCGGAATCGACACATCCCTTGCGAAAGTCATCGGCTTTGAAATCATTGGCGGCATCGGCCTCTCCCTTCTTCTCTCAACCCCCATGCTCGCAATTCAAAATAATGTCGATCAGGCCGATGTTGCGGTAGCCTCGTCGACGTTAGGTTTTATTCGCAGCATTGCAACATCATTATCTATCGTTCTCGGCGGTGTTGTCTTCCAGGATAGCATGGCTGCTAAGGAGTCATCCCTCGCTGCCGCTGGTCTCAGTCAACCCTACCTTGATGCCTTTTCCGGCTATGATGCGGCAGCAAATGTAGAGTTGGTCTCTACTCTCAAGGATCCGGGACAGTATCGAGCAGTACAGGAAGCTTATGCCTATAGCATGCGGAACATGTTTATAATGTACACTGCCGTTGCGGGTGTTGGGCTCTTAGTCAGTCCTTTCATTAAACAGCGGCATATGAGCAAGGAACACATAGAGACAAAGACGGGAATCGAAAACATGACGGAGAACAAGCGGAAGACTTAAGGTTGAAGACAAAGTCAGAGATGGTTTCTATTGCGTGAGTTTAGGGTGCAAAGGCTCCTAGACAAGGCTCAAGCTATCATCTGAACTTGATCTAACATTTTAATACTTTCCTCGCAACGCTTGCTAGGAATCTGAACCCTCGAGTTATGCAAATGTTGGGGCATGGCTACCGCCCTGGTAAATTGAGGATGATATCCTGAAAGCGGAGGTTCCAGCAGTCAAGCACTAGGACACCATTCAGGGAAACAGTTGCGTTCGTGGAATACGTGCAGATCGAGAGTGGACATCGGTCAAAGTGGCCATGGCAATATTTTAATATCCTCACCTCTCGATAACGGTACCATTTATTCATATATTTAGAGATAATGTATATAGCTGATAGGTACGGAACATTATCTCAAGTTAAATTTTATAATAATAACGGACAATAAGGCGTCTAAACTCCCATATATCTAATCTAATAGAAGAAGTAGGTAAAACGCCATACATCATTAATCAAAAGATCCTTTCTTGACCTTCAGCACCATCTCAACATGTTGCATCGCCAACGGGGCCTTTTCCTGCTTTGATAACAAGCGGGCTGTCTTTATGATGTTTTTTATCTCTCTCCCATTAAGCTCGATCTTTGCTAAAGTTTCGAGGTCCTTGTCATTCAACAAACTCTCCACTTCTCCCATTTGAACAAAAGTCTTCCATACATGGAGTCGACTCGGAATATCCAGGGCCGGATAGTGGATGGTCAGGTGGATTCGTGACTCGAATGCAGGGTCGAAGTCGCTGATACGGTTGCTGGTGAGGAACATAACACCCTTATAATATTCAAGTTGCCTCAGGAAGACTGAACAAGGTGGGCAGGTTAGCCTGGGTTGAGAAATATAATTTCATACTTAAGGGGAGTGGCTATAAACTCACTAGAGACGAGACGATTACGCCGTATGTCGGCGGTTGAGCGAGCCTCGAGGAACATGTCACATTCATCGAGAAGCAAAATAGCATTCCACTTAGTGGTCAGCTCTAGAACTTGTTCGAGCGCTTCTTCCACCTCAGTAGCCGTCTCTCCTAGTTCACTTGCACTCATTAGGTATAATGGCTGACGCATCTCCTCGGCAACTAGTACTCAGTTAGAAAACATAATTATAAACCATAGTGTAGGTAAACCCACCGGATTCCGCAGTCAAAGTTTTTCCCACACCGGGTTCTCCGCTTAGCAACATGATGAAGCCCAGACCTGCGCTTGCATCATTAGTATTGTTCTATTTGCCCATGGATTGTCAAAAATAGTTTTGTCCTACCTTTTCCGTAAACGATATCATCGAACTCATCATCTCGAGACAATTGCTCTTGAACAAAGGCACGGATGATCTCCTTGTATCCATGAGGAAGAACAAGCCTAGGAAAGGCTTTGTCACTCCAGCGTATTGAGCAAACATTCTCAACATAGAACTCAGCTATAAACAACCACATATCTCAGTAAAGAGGTTCAAATATCCTTTGTATCGAGCTCTTACCCCATGTTTTAAAAGCCAGACAGTATCCACGTACGACCGGAGTACAGAGCAAGCGTTGTTTAGGACTCAGTGTTTTATCTGTTACTAACATTAACCGTTGTTCTTTGTAATAACGAATAGGTAAGATGCAGACAGACTTACATCTACCTGACTTATCGTCTTTCGAATTCGTCTCATATTTCCTCAGGGCGTTCTGGTACTCCCGGAATGTATTGCTGGTGGCTTTGTATATCACATTGTGAGTACTAGCGAGTAATTCTTCCTCGGTTGAGTCCGCATGCGAGTCAGAATCGGACTCGATCAGCCCAAGTCCAGGTCCGGGTGTACCGTAAATGTTGAAGGTGTGCGGGTCGATGATGATACGGCTATTTTCCACCTTTCCAGAATCTCGTAGTCAGCACTTTTCCAGCTATCAAGTTTCGTGATCTTACATACATGGCGTTTCCGAATCTGCCTAGAGGACCTGGCAGTGTAGAAGCCGGAGTACGACATGTGGTAGAAGCCATTGAGCTGCTCAAATTTCTCGCCGCGTGAGTGGAGTCGATCAACAAGGTTCTCAACATCGGGGTGGAGATGACTGGGGAACGCATCGAGATCGACGAGCTTCTTTACGCCTTCAAATTTGGCGATGTCAACCGAGCCGGGCACATAGCCAAAGCTCGACCCATCACAGTCGATATATCGAAATTCCAGAGCAAAGAACTCTCCGCCCATATTGGCTCCGTACCGACTATCCGTCAGTTCCATGAGACGATCTTGGCCATCGAGTCTAGTGTATACTTCCATGCCGGGAGAAAAAATGGTCCAAAGGTAATCGAAACTGATCACCTTGTTTTTGGTCAGGTCCTTCATGGTCTCGATGTATGGCATGATTTCTTCCTTTAAGATGGGGTACAAAATGTCAAGGTGAGCTTTGGTTTCTTGATCCTGCTCGTCCTCGCGAAGCTTCTCGAAAAGATGCCATCGGTAGTAGAATGAATGGAAAGGAGCCTTGAAGGTCAATTGTTTAAGTTGAGTGTTGAGACCCTCAAGACCCCGGAATGTCCTCTCAAGCACCTTCTTGATCAAAGGGCTCTGGACGGTGATGGAATGTAGCGAGACTTGATGTGTGATCGGATGAGGTTCACGGCGTACGATAACAGCACACTCTTGAGAGTAGGAGCCTGCCTCGACATCCGCGGTGGTCTTTTCTGGAATAGACTCGTTCCAAGGCGATCTATCGTCAGACCGATACAGCTGCTGGACTTCGGCCCTCATGCCCACACTGTAGTCGGGAGTGTAGTCAGGATCAACGCTCATCTCAGACTGTTTCTTGTTAGTTTTCTACATTTCTACCATGTATCTCCCATAGGTCCTAAGACGTACCAAGCTGGCGCTAAACGATTCAACGCTCCTGCGATATGCGAGAGAACTCCCTTTGTCCGACATGTCGAGATAATGTAAGCCGTAGAGTCGATATCCCCGTAGTATTTCCTCGCTCCTCCGTAGATAATTGCCCAAATGGCCTCAAAGACGACACAATTGCTTGAAACAATAACTCGATATGTCTGAGGGGTTTGGTGAATCTCGAAAGCTTCGGTTGCATCGAAGGGCTATGGAACAGGGGGACGAGGAAAGGGCGCCAAGATCAGCCCACCAACCCACCATGCAAATATCGTTTTCGTAAAGGAAATACAGCCAACAGCTCACTAGTTAGCCAGGGGGTCAGCTTTCGTCCGATAGGCCGTCCAGGGATGTGAAGTTAAATCCTTCTGTCTTACCTGCGATGTATGTCCTTCACCGTCAGTCGATCAGCTGATTCTCAATCTGAAAATTACGCCCGTATAAGGTATACCCCTGCCGTGATATTATAACGGCGGCTCGGGATAAGCCTTGCATGGGGAAGATAAGCTTGCAGTTCCACGGTGGAGCTTGTGCCAGATCCTATTTTGCTTATTTCGAGACCGTAACACAGTATAAATATCAAGAGGATCCATCCTAATCCTGGGGCTGGAGATGAAGAAAGTCGGATCCTCCAGATTTCTGACCAAATTTGCGTACGCTGCTCTTCCCGCTAAATTGAGGATCCAGAACGATATCCGGATAGCCTTTTACTTGACCTGTACAGTATGTATACCGAAAACATAAAAAAGACGTTCGAGATGTTTTCCACTGTAATGGCTGCGTACTATGGTACAATTGCGTGCCGGGATCTGGACTTTTTCTTTTCGAGGTGGGATTCGATCTAGCACTAGATTCTTCATGAATAGCCTGTGATAAAAGTCTGGCAGTAAATATTAGAAAGTAATCTCAGTCCGTATAATGGTCTGTATATGTATATTATAAGGGCTCCATTTGTCTTCCCCATCCTACCTGTTCGTCTCTTTCCTTGCTTGTCATAGCTTCTTTATTTGCTCCATTTGTGCACTCCGTCAACATGCACGAAGCGTGTCATGATAGAAATGGCAGCCGGCAGGCCCTCTCAGTCTTGTTTGGCCCGCAGGGTACGGTAACACCCAAGTCAATGCTAGAAATCCGCACGTTACTACAAGAGAATCCAGGCTTGGACTTCCTTTCAAAAACGATATCAGATCTCCCAGAGCTATGGCCCGCAATTGTAGAGGTTCTGCCACAACTTTGCAAACTCCCGGCCAAGGAGAAATTGGCAGAGCTCTGCCAATTCTTCCAAGGAGGCCCAGTCCCGACCTTCACCGAACCCACCAACAACCTGCTCTTGAGCCCATTGGGTGTCATTTCTCAGACGATCGATTTCTGGAAGCTCAGCCATGGGCTCGACAATAGACTATCTATCGGGTCTCAGCTAGCAGACGTTCAGGGTTTCTGTCTCGGCTTCTTGACCGCGACGGCTATCTCATGCTCGAATAATGAAGCGGAATTCCAGATGCTGGCTTCGAAAGCTGTACGGCTAGCTTTGTGCACTGGAGCCCTGGTTGATGTGGAATCACTCAACTCTTCGAATGGACATGACTGTTCGTCGACTATTGCAGTTCGACGGAAGTCTCCTGCACAGTCACAGCATCTGGATAATGCTTTGAAGGCCTATCCTAGGGTTAGTAATTTTCCTGCCCAGATATTGCAATACCGGTGAACTGACGGGTTGATATAGGCATACATCTCCTGTATCACAGATTCAAAAACTGTGACCGTCACCATCCCAGAATCCGAGTTGGCCCCCTTTATGGCAGATCTAGCGAAGCAGAATCTGCTCTCGATGCCGCTTCCACCACGAGGGCGATGGCATAACCGAGATAATCTCGAGGGTCTACGGGCCATCTCGACCCTTTGTGATCGCGATGAACGATTCAGACTCCCAGACGCAGACGCGTTGAATAGTGCTCTCCTATCCAACATCACAGGGGAAACAATCACCAAAGGCGCGTTACATAACATCGCCCTCCACTCCATCCTGACCGACCAATCACGATGGGATTTGATGTTCGACACTTTTTTCAGCGCGATGAAAACGCGAAATGTCGACTATCGCTATATCAACATTGGAGAAACAGTCAATGTCCCACGAGTCGCCAACGCGACGTCTGCTGCTGGACGAGAAGCTCCTGTAAACCACCATGGAGAGAACCATGGAACTCATGGCGGAAACCATGCAGACGCTCATGTATCTTCATCCACCCAACAGTCGATCCCGAAAGGGCTCGATTTGGAGGACATCGACCTGATTCCCGAGTCTGCGATTGCGGTGATCGGTATGGCCTGCAGGTATCCTGATGCCGACTCTATCGAGGAGTTTTGGGACCTGATCAGTGCTGGAAAATGTGTTATAAGACAAATGCCCGAAGACCGGTTCAAGCCATCAGAACTCGTTCGTGAACCAAAGGGCCCCTTCTGGGGAGGTTACGTTCGGCGGCTGGATCTATTTGATCACCGTTTCTTCGGTATTTCTGGGCGAGAAGCAAAATCTATGGATCCTCAGCAAAGGCTATGTCTTCAGGTTGCCTACGAAGCTATGGAATCTGCTGGATATTATGGACTTCACTCCGACGGGTTCGATGAGGAAGTCGGATGCTACATTGGTTCAGCTAACGATGATTATTTTGATAACGTTTCTTCACACCCGGTAAACGCATTCTCGCTTACAGGGACTCTAAGATCGTTCATTAGCGGTCGTGTCAGTCATTGCCTGGGTTGGACAGGACCCTCAGTGGTAATGGACACGGCATGTTCTGCTGCGATGGTCGCTATCCATGCTGCATGCCAGGTGAGTCTATATATATTCCTGATCAACTTCCAAACGCTAACTCTCCTAGGCGCTCCAAACAAAAGATTGCTCTGTCGCGGTAGCTGGGGGAACATGTTCCATGTCTAGTTCCAGGATGACCCAAAATCTGATTGGTGCCGGTTTCCTCAGCCCAACAGGGGCATCCAAGGCATTCGACGTAGATGCCAATGGTTATTGTCGTGCTGAAGGGGCAGGTATCGTTGTGCTCAAGTCCCTGAGAGACGCAGTGCGAAACGGTGATTTTGTACTGGGGGTTATCACCGGATCTGCTGTGAACCAAGGGAGAAACGATACCGCTATCATCGTGCCCGATGGGCCCTCCCAATACTCCCTTTATCAGAAAGCCTTGGCCAGATCGGGGACGGCTGCTAAGGATGTAACTTATGTGGAAGCACATGGTACTGGCACCCAAGTCGGAGACCCCATTGAGTTCAAGAGCATCCGAGAGACATTTGGTAGCCCTCACCGGAAAGATGACGTCTACGTCGGCTCAGTGAAAGATAACATTGGCCATACTGAAGCGTCTTCGGGAGTCGCGTCGCTGATAAAGACGATCCTGATGTTTCAGCACCAGACCATACCCAAGCTGGCCAATTTTAAGCAACTTAATCCAAAAATTGAGCCACTGGGGAAAGATCACGTTCTGATACCAACACAATCGAGAGAGTGGAAAGCTACCAAACGCATAGCGTTGATCAACAATTATGGCGCTGGAGGGAACAATGCTGCTTTGGTTGTCGAGGAACGATCGGTCTCTCCTAAAGCCCGTACCCAGTTGTCTCACTTCCCTATATTTGTCTCCGGGAAGACGGCTGAAGCAGTTCGATCCTACTGCGATGTTCTCAGGACATCTTTAAGTGGGAAAGATCTGGCCGATATTGCTTACAATCTGGCTATAAAACAAAACAGAACCTTCGAAAACTGGGTAGTACTTACCAGCACTAGCGTTCAAGAACTTTCAAATCAACTTGAGCAGGCTGCATCCGGCACTATTGAGCTCCAGAAGATCCCAACCCATAAACCATCCGTTGTCCTTTGTTTTGGTGGCCAAGACGGAAGGATAGCACATATTTTGAAGGATTTGTACGATAATAGTCTGCTTCTACGGGGCCATTTAGTAAGTGCAAGCCAAACGCGTTTCTCTCCAATATTTCTTTACTGACCTCCTCCCCTTACAGGATGAATGCGAGTCTGTCCTCACAGGAGAGCTTTCTCTGCCTAGCCTATTCCCAACAATATTTGATCCTACACCAATTAATGATATTGTTACATTGCATTGTGTCCTCTTTGCGATTCAATATGCGTGCGCCAAGTCATGGCTGGACTCTGGCTTGAAGGTCGATAGACTCATTGGACACAGTTTTGGCCAACTAACTGCTCTCTGTGTGGCCGGGTCGCTCTCCCTTGTCGATACACTTAGGCTCATTTCGGGACGTGCCAGGCTAGTGGAGACGCACTGCGGTCCTGAGAACGGGATTATGTTAGTAGTTGAGGGTGAGGGATCAGACGTGGATTGCCTTCTTGATCTTGCTCAAAAACAGACTCAGCACTTTGCGGCTGATACTGCATGCTATAACGGACCTCGCAGCTTTGTCATCGCCGGCGATGAAGCATCCATCCAGGCCATCGAGAAAGCTTCAACAAGCCTTTCAGCAAGCCTCCGGCTCAAACGCCTGGAAAACAGCCATGCTTTCCACTCTCGGACGCTTGATACCATAATTCCTGATTTCCTTAAGGAGGCTAGTGAACTTCCTTTTGAGACTCCTGTGATTCCTATCGAAGCATGCTCTAATGATGATGACTGGTCCAAAATCACCGCAGAGAAGATTGTACGGCACACCCGTATGCCTGTCCACTTCATGGATGCCGTTAGAAGAGTTGAAAAGCAACTTAATGGTCCTATAATATGGCTTGAAGCAGGGTCAGGGTCGCCAATCGTACCTATGATCAAGAGAGCTGTCAGTTCAACCCATCAACATACGTATATCCCCACCGCTCTTCAAAAATCGGACGCCCTAGCCAACCTCGCAAAGGCCGTCTGTCGTCTATGGTCGAACGGTGTTAGAGCACAGTTCTGGTCATTCCACCGTTCCCAGCACACATCATACAATTGGATCAACCTGCCTCCATATCAATTTGCAAAGATAAGCCATTGGGTGGAGTATAAGCCTAGAGTATCGGTCGTTGAAACGTCTGCTGCTGCCGCTGCGCCTGCAAACCCGAACCCGGAACTAGTTACATTGCTTCCAAATCAAACTGGTCAAGGCGAAACTCTTTTCGAGATAAACCCCAATCATGAGCTGTACCAGCTTAATACTAAAGGACATGAAGTTGTTGACCAAACTCTCGTCCCAGCTTCATTGTATAACGAATTCGTCCTCACGGCCTCTCATATGCTGTCCAATGCAGAAACTGGTTATGTACCGCACATATCTAACTTGGCAATGCTCTCGCCTTTGGTGGTCAATCCGGTTGGACGGGTGCTTTTGAAACTGGTGGAGAATAAATCGCGATCAGGATCATGGGATTTCACGCTCTTTTCTCTAGTCGAAAATTCCAATCCACTGACTCATGGCACAGGATGCATCACGATTTCGAATCCTAGTGTTCCAGTGTCCATCAGCCATTTCCAGGCCCTTCAGAGCCTTATGCTTCACCGGTGCAAGGAAATCGAAAGCTCTCCCATGTCCATTGGTTTCAAGGGTCCTACTGCTTATCAGGCTATGCGCCGGGTAGTAACCTACCTTGATTACTATCATGGTATCCAAAGCATCTATAATCACGGCAATGAGGCTACCGCTCGAATCACTCTACCACCTGTGCGACCAAAAGGCATGGGAGTCGGTTTCTGCGATCCGGTCCTGGTCGACAGCTTTACTCAAGTCTCCGGAATACTTGCCAACTGCTTTTCTCTTCCTGAAGACGGCGAGATGTGGGTATGCAACTACATTAGCGACGTAGTCTTCACCCAACGATTTGTTGAAAGTGCGAGGGAGGAGAATAAGACTTGGGTTGCTTACTCCAAGTTCGACATACCAACTCCCAAGAGGCTGAAATGCAATATTTTTGCTTTTGAACCTGAAACCGGAGATATTGTTCTCACCATCATGTCGATTGAGTTTCAAAAAGTTTCGATCAAGTCATTAAGGAAGGTCCTTGGAAAGCTGAATAGCCAGCCAGCTCCCATTCAGAAGAGTGCTATCCAAACAACCCCAATACAGACAGCTCCCGTCCAATATGCCCCTACCAATGTCAGCTCCAATCACACAGGAACAACCTTCGTATCTAATGCTACCGTGGCCCCTGCACCTACATCCAGGCAAACGCCGACGCAAATACCAAGCGGGTCAGCTGATACAACCGGGAATCACCTAGGATCATTACAGAAGGTTAAAGAAATGTTGAAAGACATTCTTGAAATCCCTCTTGAAGAGATCACAACGAATGCTGCTCTCGAAGATCTTGGTGTTGATTCTCTGCTTGCCACGGAACTCTTCTCGGAAATTAATAAGCGGTTTGGCCTTTCAATATCACACTCTGATTTTGCCACTATTACTGATGTCTGGGGGCTCTCTCAACTCATACCAGGAGGAAATGAAATACCAATTTCTAGTACTCCTTCAACTTCAATTCCAACTCCCCAATCCAGCCCCACGCCCGCTATAATTCCACATAAGCCCGTGCAGGTGGCACACCAGCCAGTGGGTCACCAACCGGTGGATAAAGTTAAGGAGATGTTGGTTGAAGTTTTAGAAATTCCGATTGAAGAAATTGCGCCAAATTCAATTCTTGAAGATCTTGGGGTAGATTCTCTACTAGCTACAGAGCTCTTTTCAGAAGTCAACAAGAGATTTGGTGTATCAATCTCGCACACGGAATTTGCCACCATAACCGACGTTCAAGGCCTCGCTCAACTTGTCTCAGGGTCTAATCCGCCTCCAGCTTCTACATCAACAAATCAAACCACTAGTGTTTCTGCTCCAAAGCCCACTAGCTGTTCGACTCAACTTGATATAGAAACCGTTGTGTTCGCTGAACGAGATGGAACTCCCCTATCTGCCGATATATATTATCCTCAGGGCCTTTCTGAGACCCAAAAGGTTCTTCCAGTTGGTGAGTGAACAATTCCTCACATTAAAATCAGAGATAGAAAACTAATACTAATCTATGATTAGCTCTTATGATTCATGGTGGCGGACACGTCATATCCACCCGGAGAGATATCCGCGATGACCAGACTCAGATCCTACTAAACGCTGGCTTTCTGCCGGTGAGCGTTGATTACAGACTGTGTCCTGAAGCCACAATCCACGAAGGAGCAATGCAAGACGTCCGCGACGCTTTCTGCTGGGCACGAAAGACACTACCCACCCTATCCCTCAGCCGACCCGATATTCGACCAGATGGAGACAGGGTTGTAGCTGTGGGCTGGTCATCTGGTGGGCATCTTGCCATTTCTCTAGGATGGACTGTGCCATCACTAGGAATCAAGCCTCCAGAGGCAATTCTAGGATTTTACAGTCCAAGCGATTACGAAGACCCCTTCTGGGCCTCGCCTAATCTACCGTTTGGTCAGAAGCCCACCCCACCGCCCGAACCCGGATACAACTTTTTATACGACGGACTTCAGGACAAGCCTATCATTGGATATACTCCTCAGGCATCCAAGCGTGCGTTGGGTGGTTGGATGTCGCTCGAGGATCCGCGTTGCCGAATTATTCTTCACATGAACTGGGAGGGTAAGAGCTTGCCCGTACTCATCAACGGACTTAGACGCACTGGTACGAATTCCGTGACAAATCCTCCATTCCCGTCCGTTGAGCAGATCCAGGCAGTCAGTCCTCTGGCACAGATGCGAGCGGGCAATTACAAGACGCCAACCTTCTTCATACATGGAACCCGCGATGATCTTGTTCCTTGGCAGGCGTCTCAGAGATGCTATGAAGCCCTTCGTGAGAGAGGCATTCCTACCGGACTAGTCCTTCTGAAGGATGCGTTGCATTTGTTCGACCTGTATCCATCGAGTAAGAAGAATCCGGTCGCTGTAAAGGGGGTGAAGGATGGTTATGATTTCCTCAGTGCGCATATATAGTGTCATTTGTCTTATTAAGATGTTAGCTTATTACTGTGTTAGAATAAGATAGATTACAAGCATTCCTGTACCAGCATCATCCAAATGCATGTCATCACTTGAATAATACGCTCCATAATTATCTCTCTGGTGTATGAGGCATGCTACATCCTTCGATAGAGTTATTAAATATTTTTTAACTGGATGAGTGAAAGGTCAAAGTGAATAAAGGAAGAAATAAACTTATAGCATTTCTAATGGGTTTATTAAACATCTTGATTCTAGCACTAGGCTCATAGCTTATTTGGAAATCTCGATTCCCACCCAATGACGGCGGGTTTCACGGGCCCAGAAAGAAGCGAGGAATAGTCTGTGGCAGGTACGCCTTTTCTGCCATCTGTATTAAACAGTTTAACGTGGCGCACGATGGTCGACACAATAACTGCAAGGTTGATATATGCGAACTTCTCACCAATACATCGATGTCGACCGGCACCGAAGGGCAGGTAAGGGCTAGAAGTACCCTTTGAGACAGTACCATAGCCATAGTCAACCATCTCCCCTTCATCTTCCTTCTCAACCTGGTTATCCCAGCGATGAGGGTCCCAACGACTAGCATTGGGAAAGTACTCTTCACTCAGAGCGGTGACACCCGGGGATGCAAGAAGGACGTGGCTGGTAGGGACAATATACGGCGTGCCGGGAACTGGGAGCGGGTTTTTGACTTTGCGCATGAGCGAATGGATAGAAGAGTGCACTCGTAGTGTTTCCTTGATAACATTTCGCATTAAAGATAATCGATCCATATCCCTATACTGTAGGGGTGGAAGGCTGCCATCGCCGCTGCCGAGGTTGGTGACTTGCTCCTGATAAAGCTCCTCGATAATTTCAGGTTGAGAGGCCAGCCGTAACATGATCCAGGAGCTAATTGCAGAGGACGAGTGCTGGCCAGCCATCAGGAGTGTTATCATCATGTGGGCTATCTCTTTGTCTGGCACCGGCTGTCCGTTCTTGTATGTACATCGCATGAGGTTCCATATCATATCCGAGCTCTCGATGTCTGGATTCTTGCGACGTTCTTTGATGATTTCGGTGTAGATTTCTCGCATGCGGACGTGGGCTATGTCACGCTTTCGGTTATGTGGCAGCGGAGCCCAGGGTAGCATAAAGTTGATAGGTCGGAATCCCTTGTCCAAATCATGATATAAATCAGCAAACTCGGCAGTGAGTTTCTTGCGAACCTCTCCCCCTTGTAAGGCGCGACCGGCGGTAAATATGGTAATCTCTGCCATAGCGGCCGATACGTCGATTTCTCCTGAAGTGCCGCTGAATTTGGGGGAGGTCTTGAGATAATCAAGCACCTCCTTCTCTATCAATTGAACATGCGACTCAAGGGCAGACTGGGTGAGACCAAATTTGACGAACTTCTTCTGTTCCATCAACTTCGAGTTCGGACAGTCGTAGATAACATCGGACCCAAAGACGGGTATCGTAAGGGGCCCGTAAACTTCCTCGGCATTGACGTCTTTCAGTTTACCATTGAGGATGAACTCGTTGCCCTGGACGCCTAGGTAAACCGTCGTCTTTCGCCCTAGGAGAACAAAGGTGAAGATGTCGCCGTACTTTAACAATCAATACTCATTGTTTAGTATGCATTACAGAAAAATTTACTAACCTTCTGCCGGCACGAGAAGAAGAACGCATACGGGTCTACCCCATAGCTGATGGTGTTTCCCAAGAACGGTATCCAGTGGAAGACGACCGGCGGCTCACTCTTGTTGCGAAACAGCAACTGACGAGCAACGTTGAGTGCAATCAATACAAGGCACCCAGATACCGCATAGGCGATATTGGCAAGAAGAACGAGCATCATAGCAACATTCAAGAGAGTTATAGTAAACAGATACTATAAGGAGACATGGTAAAAGACACCGTCCAGAGAACGGGAAGGATATCATCCATCAAGAAGGGCGGGTATGAAAATGGCCCATCCCTGCCCGTATACCGGATAGGAGATCATCCTCCCGGTCCTTCGCCCTTCCGTGTCGTTCGACTTTCGCCCTCACAGTAGAGTCACGTGTTGGCATGTCCAGCGAGATATAAAATGAAGTCTCTCCCTCAACTATTATAGGCGCGTCTTGCGGCTGGCTTGGGGTTGGTGATATGAATACCGCCATAGTCCTGTCTCTCGTCCGGCTACAAGAGTTGATGACAATCTTCCAGCACGAGGACCGTTCAGTAGCGGCATGTCAAGGTATCTGCGGGAACCGGAGCAGGACGCCCTCAATGGCCACTTCGCTCTCTTCCATTCAATCCTTAATTTCCAGGTAGGAATGCCACGATAGATCTTTTTCGTCGTCCTTCGTAAGGATTCTCGCTTGGGAAGTTTCATTGATGCAAAACTTGGTGTCATCTAGTGGAGTCACGTGAGTATACCTCCCCGTTTTTTTCTCCGTTTCTTCCTCTCTTTTATAGATAGACTCTCTCTTATAGTACAATTTATCTTGGAGTGTTAGATAAAGTGGTCTATTTAAAACATCGTCCTGTGGAAAAACTTATACCAACCAACATAATTCATTACCTCATTTAGAATCGTGTGACGGTGCTCTATATCTTACACAATGAAGCGTCCAAAAGAGAAGGGGGAATAACGCCAGAAAATGCTCCACGTCCTACCTCACAATTAGTAACCGAACAAAGAAAAGTTACGATCCGCCAAACGTTTGATATAACCCTTTCAGCTTCACCCGAAGCCTCTATCCCCCTTTAGCTCCTTCACACGTCGTAGCTCTGGTTTTTCTGGTACTTTCGAACGTGATTTGGATTTTTGTTTTTGTTTGAAGCGCCTTTCCTTCAAGTAATTGTCAATGACCCTTCTAATCGGCTTAGCTTCTGGGTATCGAGAAGTTTCGCCCACTGGGTTACTCAGGGCTCAGCGAGCATACAGGTCGAGTTTATGTTTTTCGAAATTGTTAAGGTCAATAAAAGGCGTGGAATTGAAGTGTAGGATTCCATTCTCAAAATAAACTTCGCTCATCCGAACGTGCCGGTTAAAGCAAGCGACCATAAGAACCTGGACATGAGCGGTTAGTCCGAGAACAGAGTAAAAGTATGGTGATATAATAATAAGGTAAAATAGTACCGGATATATATGATGGGTAATGTACAGCGGCCGCTCCATCCTATGCATTATGATATCAATGGCTAAGAGCATTTCACTGCGGGCAAGCTTTGAATTCGTGCTTTCATCCGGGTATAGGCCATGTGTCGAAAATGAGATCGCATGAGGATGAACATAGTCACGCTGCTGGTGTCTGTCGAGGGCATTTTCAATATTCCAATTAGTTAGGTCATCGGAAACTGCTTTCCCACCAAAAACAGTACGTTGAATACTAATGGAATTTTATCGTAGTTAGAAGTAGGTAGTGTAAAGTTAGAAGTGCAGGTCTATGCCTACTTACATCACCTGGTTCCACGGCGTATAATTATAGAATGATGAGACATTGTCAATCCCATCACCGGAATTCTTTCGCACCTCAGAGGTATAGAGGCGCCAGAATTTCCAAAATACGGCCGTCGCATCCTCTACGTCGTTTGCTTCTGGATCCCATTCATCCACCTCATAAAATTCCTCATGACGTATCCAAGTCTCGAACTCCGACTGTGGAATAGGTCTGAAGAAACGGCCACCTTCCTCCAAGTCCATTCTCGACCTACATATGCTATATTTCTGTAGTCGTTCATCGGAAAAATATATGCTCTCCTTATCAACCGCAGCCTTGAGGCGCTTAAGAAGAGGCGCGAGCTTGTCATGGACCTGCTTTTTGTGGTCCATGAGGGTATCCAGTATTGCAGCATTTAGACTAGCGGGGCTAGCCATACCTGGCTGCTCAAGTATACGCCCGTTGATCCTGACGATATTTGACCCTGTGAATGTTTTTATCAACGCGAGGTCGTCGACTTCACCGCGGTTAAACAAGAGCTCCTCACGTGATGTTTATTCTTGGCAGTGAACTGGTTAAGCGCCGAGCCTCGTTTTTAGCGCCGCGCTAACAATTCACTCCAGGTTCTTCTTTATAAGAGACTGGCTCCTGACAACCATGTCTCTGCAACCAGATCTCTATCGGTGCACACCCCAGAGGTGATATAACCAAGTAGTTGGCTCAATACTGTCAGCGTGACCTCTTTGGCGTTGTCGCCATGGATCTTCTACTATCATTTAACCCAAACTACTGGGCTCCTTTTAATATTCATTTCTGAAATCCATAAGTTTATCATTCCTGGTATACCCAGCGACAAGTAACCAAAGTCCCGCAAGAATACGAAGAGGAGAATGATAACAATATTACCATCAGCCCGATGGCCAGCCGACTCCGATCGTCCGACAATGTCGAGCCCCTAGACATAAGGGAGATACCCGACACAGTATGACTCACGGGCCGGCACAGCCCGCAGAGCTTTTCCAAAAGCGGAAGATTAGCCAATCGCCAATGGATTCTTAATTGCACTTTTAATGTCCATATACATGTATCACCGAGGCGTCAAGCCGCAGCGGTCTCCGCTACACAAAGCCTTTAAGTTTGGCAGGAAAGACGGCAGCCTAGACGATGGCGATAAGCCATCTTTGTTTGAGGCAAGAACGGATGGACGCCCTGCTAGTCGATACTTACATCTCAACACTGGCGAGCTTGTTATCTATTGCTCATGACCGCTGAGATCCTACCGCGCGCCTCACAGTTGGCCCTACAATTGCGTCAATATCTCACCAACCGCTGCCCCTGGCATGCCGAATTGTACAATAACAGGGTAATCTACCAAGCCACAGCACAGATGGCTGCATGGATTTTCGAGGAGCCGGGTGTGGAGGGGAGCGCACCAAGAGCCTCAAGAGGTCAGGCTCGTTATTGTAAAGTACGATCAACGATACGTCGATTACCTCCACACCAAACCAGCCAACATTTCCGACACGTCTCTCTTGGAGATGCACGAGGCCTACACTTAGAATGTTGAAAACGAGGAATCCATGAAACAACTCGGCGTAGTTATCCTCACCCTGGCCATGCAGAATGGGAAACTAGAACACGATTAGGTTTAGTTAGGCGGTCAATGTTGGACGACAAGGGATAAAAAGACCTGATGTTCAATGGGAACCATTGGCTATAGGAACGAGTCGTACCCAATATAGAGAATATAACAGTTAATAACTACGATGAAACTTCTCTCTTGAAGCTTATTTTATACCCGCCTTATGTATGCTATTGATTGAACTAACGAAAGGAGAAGGCATTTATGAAAGTTGACATGCTGGCTTCGATTGTCAGGGGACCTCCCAGAAAGCGAGATATGCAAGTGAGGGGTAAAATAGTTCATAAGCGGCTTGGTTAACAGGCAATCTTGAAATGAGGGAGGGAATTGCCGACGCCGAAACAACGCCATTAAATACAAAGTGGTGACATTGTCATAGGAGTCACTGATAAATTGTGTAAATGTAACCTTGGCCTAGGAGAAACCGAGAGTGAGACCTCCAAAGTATCAAAAGATGTCTTAGACGAGGTTGCTAATGAGAGATCGCCGGGTATCACTCTCTGTGTCGAAGTTAGCATGATGAGGGGCGAAGGTGGGCGAGGGACTTTACAGCAAAGGGGCTACCGCTTACTCTATGCTGCGCTGAACTGAACGCCTTAACATGCGGTTATACTTCTTCTTGTCTTCTGCAGAGCCCCAGAAAAGTTTCGAGCATTCTGGATTGACGGTTGCACGGGGATCGTAAGGAGGAGATTCATCTTCTAAAGCCTCAACCATCGCTTCGACATGTGCCTTCATGTCCTCCGGTTTCTTCGGGAAGTAACACAGAATACCATCCTTTGAGATACGGTGGTGGAACAAAGGAGTCTGGACAATGACGCGAGGTTGTTCGTCAGGGAAATTTGGACTGAGAGCGATCTTGATTCTAAAGATTCCACCGTCGAGGTGGGTCATGGGTCGGCCGAAATAAGTCAACAGCCAGACGAGCGGATTTCCATCATCCAGGGAGATATCGATAGTGAAATGTCTCTTGTTTTTCAAGTCCTCGACTATCTGTTCGTACTGTCGTTGCAGGTTGACGGCAATCCGAGACTCGTTTTTCTTGGCTTTCAGACCCAGCTCTGCCCAGGAGTCGGTTTCCTTGATTATAGCTTCCTTGATAACGGAAAGTCGCTTATTTAGCTCGGCATAGTTGAAGTGTCCGTCCATCGTATTTCCGGTAAATTCGAACTGCATTCTCTGGAATCGTGAGCCGACGGGGCTCTTGGCCTCTGCCTCGGCCATTGTGTTCACGTATGTCTCGTAGTACCAGAGGAATCGACGTTTGCAGAGATCTTTAAACGGTTCAAATGGAGGTTGATTGTCTTCGTTGCCGAACATATCTTCGTCTTCCGTGGGGCCTTCTATGGATGGTGGCACAATTGTACCATCAGGTTGGATACCCAGCCATTCTTCCAGGTGTTGGATTACCGATATTCTTATATTCTCGTGTCGAATCTAGAAGTGTCAACTCTGGAACGCAGCAAACTGGGGGTACGGCACTACCTTGGCGATATAGCTCTCCATCGCTTTGAGGTCTGTAGGTGACTTGGAGTTTTCGAATCCGGGTTCGTTTTCATATGGGTTGGCAGACATCAGACTCTGGATAGAAATCAATATAGACTCTAGTCCCTGTGCTGAAGACCACTGCTCTCCACTGCTTCCTTCCCATGTTCTGTTATGTGTGTTAGTGTGCTACTCGGGACTGGGGGATAGGGGCTATAGTACCCGAGAATTGACCTGCAGCATAAGGAAGTCAGCGAAACGCCATCTCTACCAAATAACGTAGGCCAGATATCAAACTTACACGCAGACTTTCCCAGAAGCGTAGATATTGGGGTTGAAACGGCATCTCCCGCCGTTGGTAGTCATAGCCTGAACATGTGGTGGATTTGCAGGATAGTCTGATCAGGATGATATTAGCTGAACAGTCTTCCGCTCAGTTTCTATGTAGGGTATAGTCTGACCTTCAGTAAATTTGATAGAGAACTACAAGGCCATGGTATCAGCAGACATATCATGTGCGAGAAGGATCATCTACCAACATACCTCAAAAAAGCCAAATTCGTATGGCGTCCCAGGCGGACCAACGATGAGAGCCTTGACATTTCGGATATCTGCTTCCTGGCAAGCCACGGCAAGGGCTAGGAATCCATGCATATAAGTACGTTGCTAAGAAAAGGGAACCAAACTGAAACACGACCAGATGAAGAAGCGAGAAGTGAAGTGTCTCGACGTACACAAGTCAGCGCCCTGCTGGATCTGGCTGATTTCCTATACGTTTCCTCAGCGTCAGCATGTCCGTTTGAGCAAGGCAGATCCAGGACGAAGAGGCAGAGACGTACCCTCCCGATGCGAAGAAGGGCTTGGTTGGACATGGCTCTGGTCTCCGGTCTTCTACTTGGAAAAAAAAAAAAAGAAGGGAAGTGAGAGGAAGCCTGGATGGTGGTTCGGTCTTGTGTCTGGTGATTCAACAAGCTGGCCCCCAACTTTTGATAACGTTCAAGTATCCCCAGAGATCATTACAAGGTCATGAACGGTGAACTACCATGAGAAGCAGAGGTTGACTTGAGCCGGCAGCCCACTAAATGACAGCGCTAGCTATGGTAACCAGGGTGCTTAACCAGAGTGTCTAAGAGTTGCTCCTTAAGGCTTGAGGAAACCGCAACAGAAGCCGGAGGTTTCAGCCTGCTCAGACAACAAAAAAGAAGAAGAAGAAGAAGAAGCAGAAGAAGCAGCAGGAGACGCAGAAGGAACAGTCAGATAGCTGTGCGAGGCGAACAAAGGTGAGCAAGCAGAGATATCGGATTCACGCCAGACTCCCATACGGGTGCAGCGCTGACAGGAAGACCCTATATATATGCGTCCCTGAGGCTGACCGCGGCGGCTGCTTGGAGTTTATAGTCGACACGAAGCGTACAGGTGGATCCCAGGCAGCTATCCAGCAGAAGAATCCGTCAAGGGTCGCGGGCGAAGCAGAGAGTCCAGCAGGTTGAGCAACCATACAGCTTTCTCCCTGGAAACGAAGATACAACTTAGCTCCTTAGCGTCCCACCCGTTCAGGTTTAGTGGATTACGAGTCCATCTCTCTACAAATCGATATCTACGTTCTACCTCTACATATTACAGATCTACTTTCTCTACGGAGTACTGCCTACAGAGATACAGATATCTACTGGACTCGGCCTCCGTTTGGCTGCGAACTCGGACCCATGGTGGTTTGCTGGCTAGCGGAAGTTTGCCTTATCGATAAGCGTCGTTGATATCAAAGTCGATGCGATGACCATGTTGATGCCATGTTGATGCGATGGAGATGATACGATGGAGCAAGACCCGTCCCCATCTTACAGTCTCCGTTGCAGTGCCTGCATCGGTATGATAAAGCCTGCAGCCCTTTCATTTCCCGCCCAGCCTCGCTGCCATCCAACTGATCGCGCAGGGCCGTGTCTGCGCCGCAAATGCACGACTTGAGCCGCACACTCCTCTCGATGCGCCCTCCATAGTTGCTGGGATTATCCCGGCGCAGATGAGGGTTAAATGTGCATTAAATTCCCGCCGTCTCTGGAGCATCCTGACGCCCGGTTTCGAACTCTCTCTGCCAGTCGTGACGGGCCCCTTTGGCCTCCCATGAAACGTCCATCTCGACGCAGGCAAACCCCGCCATCGTAGCCCGCGAACATGACGATACTGTAAAACTACCCCTCTTATGATAACGGGTAAACATAACTGCGTATAAGCTGGGGGATGTGATATTCAAAGATGGCGTAATATTAATACGAAAACGTGTCACGTTCTCTGCCAATTGCTGTGTATTATTGGTATTCGTGTTACCATACACTCCCCAAACATCGAAAGTTGCAAGGTCGAAGGACAAACAGTTTCTCTTCACCACGACTCGACCTCAAGGAGCACAGTTTGATATCGAAGGAGTCGATACTCACTGGAGACACTTGATTGGGGCGCCATCATCAGCAAAACATAATGGAAACAGACTAGACGTGCGCAATGTGAGTGGCTTCTTCCATCAGGAGATAGAGCTCTAGAGCTGCGGCGCATCCATATACTAACTCATCGCACAGGGTTGTCTACTCCCTCATCATCATAAACAAGGCTGGAGGCCTGGTATACCAACGAGACTTCCAGGCTGGTCTCCAGAAGCTCTCGACAAACGACTACCTCGTCCTCGCCGGTACCTTTCACGGGTAAGCTACCCAGAAGAATTATATATCATTGCTCAAGTTAACCAGTTCTCGATTAACAGCGTCCATGCCATAACCCGCTCTCTCACGCCGATAATCCCCTACACGGCTCCCGCAACCTCCAATACCTCCGCATCCACTATACCCTTAACCTCTACACTACCCAATCCAGGCCTTCCCAAGACAGGGCTAGAAGTCCTCGAGACCGAACGGTTCAGATTAACATGTTTCCAGACGATAACAGGCACCAAGTTCCTGCTCTTTACTGACCCGCTGATGCCGAATGTGGATAATGTGATTGCGAGGATATACGAGCTGTACGCTGACTATGTTATGAAGAACCCGTTCTATCAATTGGAGATGCCCGTAAGATGCGAGTCGTTTGATAGACATCTAGGGACGTGGTTGCGGGGGAGGTAGCGTTTGATATAATAGACATGACTTGATGTATGGAGCTTCTTTATACGAATTAATGATACTGGAGTATTTACGGCCAGGAAACGTATGCATGGCGAATAATCGTGGCATAGAGTTGGCTGAGGCTGCTATCACATAAACCTCCCGCCTTGGGGTGTCTTGAAATAGATCGCTTCGAGTCCAATACCAGTAAAATACATCGATTTACGAACGCCGGGAATGCTGTTGAGCGTCAAAAAGTCTAGATGATTCGCCCAAAACCCCTTCTTCGAAAACAGAATAATGCCATCACGAGGTGTCCATCTTGTCCCCCTCGCCATCTTTCTTCTTATCATCCTTGCGCCCGCTTCCACTTCCGCTGGCTTCCCCGCTCTGGTTTAGAAGTGGCTGCGTCTCCCCGCCTTCTTCCGTGATCTTCTCCATCGAATCTTTCGCCTCGTTCTCCTTCTCTTGCTTCTCCTTCTCCAGCCGCGCCTTTTCTTCTTCCAGTGACATCCGAAGGGCAAACGCTAGCTCGGGATCGGCCGATGGATCGATACCGAATTCGAATCCGGGCCCAGAATCGCCTCCTTCCTCACCACGGCCGGCGCCCATACCGTCTCCTCCGAGGATTGGAGTCGTGACGATAGAATCGCTGAGAAGGTTGGGGCCTGGAGGTATAATTGCGAGATTTGATCCGTTTCCACTGTTCACAGCCTCGTGGAACGCTTCTAGCTTCTTCGTTGTTTCCGAGTCGAGTTCTCCAAACGCAATAAAGTCGATGCTAACGTTATTCTTCTTCATCTTCAACGCCAGCTTGACGAGAGACTTTCCGTCCTCGACGATGGGCGAGCACGAGAAGACGATAATCCGCTGTCTCTGGGCCCTTTCTTTTCGGTGTTTAAGTGCTAGCTATGGTAAACGGAAGAGTAGCGGTTAGCCATGCACCCGTATACTGCGAATCTAGCTGGGTATAAACCTACATAAGCAACCTGTATGCTCGAGGCAAGATGTGCAGTTCCCCCAATCTTTGTTCGGTGAAGACCTTCTAGGATTTTCCCGATATCTGCAGTCAAGGTAACCAGGACTTCTGGGCCGCTGCCTCCCATACTCATTAAACCGACTGCGGATTCTGGGTGAGCTTGTGTCTTTGCCGAATGAATCAGGTTTACCGCATCCGCCTGAGCTTCAAATCTTGTGGGGCTGCCTTCCTGGTTAGCATCCGCTTATATAGTGTAGTATATGCGTTCGTCTACCCAAGAATAGACCTACAGGTAGTCGCCATTTCTGCTGCTTTCACTATTATCGATACTATTTCGTAGCCAGTTAGCATACCGCCCGTCAACAGGACCCAGCCGGGTGAGACGAACATGATCATAGTAGCTTCGAGCGACATGATGGCGGTGGTCAGACAGCTACGTCTGGCTTGTACGATAGGAGGTAGACAGCGAGAAATGAACAGAAGAAGAGACACAGAGAGAGAGAGATGTGTTCGTGGAGGATGTACTTGGTGAAGCAGCTCAAGGTCGCCGCGAAGCTCCAACTTGCCGCCATCTCAATCGGGACTAGGGACTGTGCTTAGGTAAGCCCAACATTGTTTACATCCAACATCGCGACCTTCCTTGTTGCCCATCAACATATCACATCCACCACCACCACGACGAGGATATCACTGCGAATACCAGTTCATACCGCCATCCACAGTACATCAGCGTCCCCTGAATACCGCCCTGCTGCCACGAAAAACACAATGTCGGCCGCCGTCTCGAGAAAACGCAAGTCGCCGGAGCCGAATAGCCAATACGATGAAGCGCATACGCCTACGAGAAGCCCTTCAAAGAGACAGCTAAGAATCACGCAGAAGCAGAAGCAAGCGTTGATGGACAATCTTCAGCTAGAGAGTGGGATACGCCCTCGCAAGAACCAGTCTCGTTGGAATATAATTACTGACTAGGCTGAACTTATAGTCACGGAACGCGCGCGTAAATTACGCGCCCATTATGCTCTTCAGGCACAGGACCTGCGAGCGAGAATTGAACGACGTATAAACCGAATTCCTATGGCATTACGCAAACAAAACCTAGGCGAATTACTCGTCAAGTACTCGGAAGCCGCCAAAGAAACAAATACCAAGTCTCCATTTAAGAAACCCACATTACCGTTGAAACCCACAAAGACGGTGCGCCCCATCACACAAGCATCAGCTACTTCAAGTAGCAACATTGCGGGAGTTCTGCGTTCCGGGGCGACGCGTCAGAGGTACGTGAACCTGCTGTCTACCCTATTAACTCCCAATCTAACGAACTATCCTTAGCAACGACTCTTCCGATAAAGAAAACGTCGGCTATCCAGACCTTACAAATCATCCTCTCACAAATCCAAAACAGCGCAGCAAAGCCAATGCACCAGCCGGCTCTTCCCGCGCGGCTTCCCAACGCACCGAGTCCAACATCCTATCGCCAAAGTCGTCCAATTCCCGGACATTTCCCCAATCCCCGCTGAAGATGTCGCCTACCAAACCACAACAACAAGAACCTTATCATATCCGTGCCTTCTCCCCATTCAAGCACACTAGCCCGACCAAAAATTTCAACATCGCAGGTACTGCTACTGGAGCCGTACCGCGACTCAGGTCGACTAGGGGCGCAGCAGGAGTTCGCAGGGTAACCCCTCCAGACACCAGCTCTGATGCAGCACCGGCGAGGGCTCCCAGGCCGAAGAAGGCTCTGTCAGTCAAATCTGCACCAGCAACTTCGAGAAAGGGACCTTCAAGGCCAGCTACACGCCAAACCAACCGACAGGTCAGTAACAGTACTACGTCATCTAGCGCTTCAGCGGCAACTGCAGGAACAACGATCGTACGCTCCACAAAAACTGCTGGCCCTAGAAAGATGTCAATCTCAACTACTACATCCTCAACCTCGAAGAAACCAACCGCGACCAGAGCCCGCGGAGCCACAATTGCAACGGCCTCGGCTGCAAGGAAGATGACGGCTGCTGCCGCTAGAAAGGCTCAAGCAGTAGAACAACCTGCTCCTGGAAGGAGAGTTCTTCGAAGCAGAGCCTAGGTATATATTCTTTTATTCGACAATTGGTTCTTGGTTATTTCGATTCCTACTCTCGCTATCGGGGCAACATTAAATATATTCACACCTTACACATGATTATAATGACATTTGAAAATTTGGCGGGCTGGATGGGCTAAGCAGGTTGGGCAGGTTAGGTCGGTGTGTGGATCAGGAGTTAGATGTATAAAGTATCTATCAGGGCAAAATTAGCAATTATTTGATGGCAGGAGCATCTACAACTTTAATTATTCTAAACCAATGACCCTTTTCCCAGTACGAAATTATAAATATCTAGACCGTAGGAAAAACAGGGAAAAGGCAGAGATTAAAAATACGTATTTACTATGTGTAATTGCCATCACCATGTTTCTAGCTAAGTGACGCCTACCAAGCATTAAACAGATGATTTCGGCATGGTTTTTTGTATTGAGGGAAATGAAAGGACAAAAAAAATGTAACCACTGGTATACGTCCACAGGGAGCAAAAGCAGCAAGCAATCATGTAGAAAGAAAAGGGACCGGCTAATGTATATGGGATGGCGTTAGGAAAAAAAAAATTGATTCGGTTGAAAATGCAAAGAGGTAGGTTGAAGGTAGTGGGAGTAGAAGAGTTAGAAGTAGAAGAAGTAAAAAGGGTAGGTAGAAGAAGTGGAAGAATTGAAAGAAATCAAATTAAAAAGAAAAGAAAAAACATTGGGGAATCAATAGGGTGTTTAATAAAGAAAGGAAATGAGTTGAAAGAAGGTGAAGAAAATTAGAGGGTAGGAGTTGTTGATCATAACGAGGTATTTGCAGAAGTGAGGAACTCGGTGGGTGGGTAAAATGGATATGCACAAAGAAGGCTCTGGGGGAGAGTGCTGTGAGGAAGTTAAGAGAAAATTAGAGGCACAAAGGGAGGTATGGAGGGAGGAGTAGCAGTAAAAGGGAAACGAAAAAAAGGTTAATAGCAGCATGCAAATATCCACATTTTCCTGCATGGCAGCTGAAGAAGAGTAAAAGAAGGGGGTAAAAGGGGTCTCGATAGAAGAGAAAAAAAGGGGGGAAGGTATGCTTGCCAGATCGAGAATCATCCAGGGTACTGCGCCGGCTGCATTTAAGGAGGGATTTTTTTCATTATTTTAGATTTGGAAGTGAATGGGGAAGAGGATGAAGGGTTGAAGGGGGAACCACGAAGATATCAAAAGAAGAAAATGGAGAAAAGAAGAAGACGAGGAATGGAGGGAGGAGAAAGGGTGGGAGAAAATTCAAGCAGTACCAGACCATTTGTTCCGTGTAAAAAAAAAGCCAACAGTAAAAGAGAAACAAACCCCCAATGAACCAAGTTTTGAGCACCAAGTGAGCCGCGCCGTAATTGTTGCCCAGTCCGGTGCAATGCAAATAGGGTAGATTTGGACGCCATATGCAAAGATGCAAGAAGCAGGTCAAGGTCGTCTCATATTTCCTCTCAATCTAGCGGAACGTTTGAAAAACATACTAAATAGCAGGTGGGCGGCCGCGGTATGCTAGCTGCGGTTGCGTGAGATGTTGCTGATGGGGTTGTTGTGGTGGGATTCCACTATAGCCCTGGCCCTGGCTTTGGTGGCTGTCGCCGCTATCACTTCGGATTGGTGGTGGTGGGAAATGAGCGTTTGGGTCCTGAGGGCCTTGGACGTGTCTTACAGAACTCTGCATCTGCCAGGCTGTAGCTTGAGATGGGTCGGTGTCAATACGAGCGGCAATTGTAGAATTATTTCCTTTCGAAGAGCCAGAACGCACAGGAATGGTTTCTGCGACAGTTGGAGCCCTCTGGGGTACAGGCAGTTTACCCAAGGCCCCATATCGCTTGAGGATTTCTTTGGTAGTGATTTCGGCACTGCCGTTGAAAAGGGTCGAGTCCGTGAGGATGGACAGAAGATCTTCAGGCACCTGTTGAAAATGTTAACATGAGGTTTTGAAAGGTGGATGATTGGCGATGTAGAGTACATACCTCGCACATGGCATCGTTGTTCTCGATTAAGGAGGTGACTGCCTCGATAGCTAAAAAGCTGTCATCAACGCCAGCCACTTTTGTATTAGAGTAAAGAATATTCGGAGTCATCACGGTAGCAAGATTGTGAATATCCATCTTACTACCGGTCTCATCATCAATGTGGCAGAACGACGAGGCCCAGTTGAGGAATGAAAATAGTACTTCCATTGTGTCTCGATGTGACTTTGGCAGCAAACAGCACGTCAGATGAAGAACCCGTTTCCGCTTCACAGGGTCAGATATTTCTATTGTTTCTATTAGCTTCTCCGTTCTAGTTCATATAAGGTGAATATCGACTTACTTTGCGCAATAACAAATAAGCCGTGAAGCTTAAATGTGAGAAGCGGATCAGGCATCTCTCGAAGGAACTTCTTCATCAAGGCCGCGACCTGAACAGCGGTTTCTTTATCCAGATCGGCCGCCTCGTATTTAGTGTCGATAAGCTCAGCAGTCTCCCTGAGTCGCTTGATATTTCCATTCTTACGGAACACACCCTCAACAGACATGTCCATCTGTCGCATGGCAGAAATAGCGTCGTCGATAAACGTGGGTATCCGCAGTGTACCTGGTCCAACACCATGAGTCGATTCAGTACCGTCTTTTTCGACGATTTGCTCCAAGGCTACGCCGAAGACTCCCTTCTTTTTGCCCACTTTGCGAGGGTCATTCTTGAAGGCGCGGTTGAATATGTTCCAGATAGTTGGTTTGCGTGGCTCGATAAGGCCCAGGAGTTCCTCTAGGTTGAAGCTGCCTTCTAGCAACGGCTCCATAGAAAGCACGGCAACGTGTCGAACGATGAAATACTCCAAAGCAGACAGCTCTGAAAAGTATTTCCTAGCTCTCGGTCGTTCCATGGCGCCAAGTTGGTCCATAGATACGCCTCGTTGATGTCCATTGACAAGCTTGGCTGCTGGACCACCGCTGCCGATGAGGTTCTGTCCAGCATGTTTATACGCATTTGGACGCTGTTCCTTGGCCTGTTCGGCAGCAACGATTCTCGGAATGTCATCTAGTGTCAGCGCATCCTGGTTTCCAAAGGTAAGGTCTGCGACAGGCTCGCCATCAGCGTCTCGTTCTTCGACGATCTGGAAGTTTTGGTTTTGCGAGTTATTTGCTCCACCTTGGGCACCTGGTTGAGCGCTGCTGCTTTCAGGGCCAGAAATAATGCGTGAAGTTCGAGCCTTTTTGAATGTGGTGGATATGGCACGTTCGTTTCTAGTGGATCGTAGCCTTCTCATTTCGCCAACTGTCTGCTCTAAGGAGGAGGGTGTCGTTTCTTCCTTAGGCTCTCCAGTGTAGGACATTGACCGGGTATTGGAGCGCTGAGGCGGGAGATGGGGGTCATGCTGGGGAGGGATTCGGTGGCCATCATTTGCTTCGTATTGTTTCAAGTTAGGGTCATCTGTATAGCTTATCAGTAAAACGGAATGGTTTAATAGCGGCTGGAGAGAGGTGGTGATGCGTACCCGATGTGTGTGGTAGTGTACCGCCCGAGCGCAGGACAGAGAGGAGTCTCGCAAGAGCCACCCGTAGGAGGAAGATGTATTGCTGCAACTTGGTAACATGCTCAAATCCAGCGATAGCCTGGGGGTCATGGCCTCTCTGCACCGCACAAGTCACACAGAACGGCCGATCGTTCGTCTCACTCCATCTGGCTCGGTCAAGATCCTGAGTCAAGTCATCATGACAAGCACCACAGACAAGGTGAGGAGGTTTCTTATGCCACTGCCTCCGCCCTAAGACAATACATTCATCATCAATTGGTTCAGTGCAGGCTGCACAGCAATCAGACTGTGAGTTGGCCAGCTGTGAGGTGTCGGCGTTTAAATCACTAGCTGTAATATTGTTCACTTCTTCCAGGTCTGAAGTCAGCTCTAGGAATGTATAGAGGGACTCTGAAGATTTTGTTTCACGCTCTAGCCTCAGGGAACCCTGCAGACCAATGCGGATGAGGAGCTTTAAATAGTGTGCGAGCCCTGTGACCAGGGCAAGGAGTTCCTGTGTAACACCAAGCTTCCGAACACCAGTCTCCTGTGTCTTTGAAAGTAAGGAAAAGAACGAGACAACCTTCTTACAAAGAAGCTTAGCTTCTCTGCCATATGCCATTTCTATGCAGTGTTAGTATAGCCATGTTGTCAACATGTTGCCTGAAAAGGGGGTAAAAACTCACCTTTTACACCCAATGCCAAAACTTGAGCCGCGAGCAGATCGGTGCCCTTGAACAAGACCTCGACGTGGAAAATGAACTTTTTAGCAACAATAACTCCATCAATATATGCACCGTTGCTGACATGTAGCAACATATCAGAAATGCAGGCGGCGGAAGATTCCTCAAAGGCAGAGAGTACGCTCCAGATGCGGTAAACTTTTTCCTCCATCTTTTCCTCGTCATCGCGAATTTTCTCACGTTCTTCGGTGCTGATGTCCCTGTCTATCTCTGGCGGTTCAAACGGCTTCCCACTCGGAGACAGGCGCACATTCCAGAATTTGTGGATCATGTAACACTCAGGGTGCCAATGTTGGTTTTGGCCGTTGCGGAAAATTTCGACAAACTGTTTAAGGATGGCAGTTTGGCACCCGTTGCACCGTTGGGCGAATTGTGTCGAGTAGTGGTAGTGGCAGTATACCTTGCCTTCATGTTCATAATAACTGTCCTGAGCGCCGAAGACGGTAGGGCAAACTGAACAGGTGAAATGTTCAATGTGATATTTGTGCTCCAACGCAGTGATGTAGGAACCTCTAAGGGCACCTCCACATTCAAAACACAATAGGTTTAATCGTCGAAAGTAGTCACGTTCACAAAGGGGGTGTTGGGAGGTCCCATCACCAGAATCTACAGGGAAGAACTTTGATGCGACAATCTCTCCGCAGTCCTTTATTTTATTAGGTCAGAAGCGCGCTCACATCATATAATAAAGACTAAGTAGAAGGGTAAACTCACTTTGCATTGGAAACATTCCAAGTGAAATGTACCGCCTAGCGCACGAACAAACTGTCCCAGCAGAGGCTCTCCACACGCCCTACAGATTCTAGTATTACCGCTCGGCGACTTGCTGCTCGAGGGACCATTGGATTTATTATGGCGTTCGCGCGACTTTGTTCTACCGGGCGGGCTTCGATAGCTGTCCGGCTGCTGTCTGGGCGATCGGTCTTCTGGATTGACATTAGACTCGCTGGGAGCAGACGGCGGGATGTCAGACCACGGAGCGCCGCCTCTGGTCGTATCCGGGCTTTCTATCGGCGACTGGCTCTGGAATCCATCACCGTACAACCCGCTATTCGTGATCTGTAGACCGCCGTCTTCACTTCGATTCCCCGGCAGCAGACCGGGTGGGATATGACGACCACCGGGAGACGTCATCTCTGCGTCGAACAACCTCCCCCGAAAATGTGTGAGACGTGAAGCTGTGTTTCCGAGCTCGGGGGCGGGTAGCTCAAGGGGTCGATTCCCCTATCCGAAAGCGCGTTTGGTGAGAGGAAAGGTCAGGACTGTGAACGAGTGTGGTTTGGAGATATTATTTTTCGCGACAGAGCGATCGCTTAGACAGGTGACGGTTATAAGTTAGGCGACGCGAGGATGCAGCTAAGCATTGACGGTGAGAGAGAAACCCGGAGTAGATGATGTCGTCTGCGTTGCCCTCAACAGGTATGAAAAATGAACGAGCGTGTTAAGGTCTGATATCAGGAGTCAGAGAACGGACGTCCAGGAGTTTCATCAACGGGATAGAGGAGGCTGGTGGGAGTGGGGAATACCTCTCTTGGGGGGTCGTTAAATCGTTAATTCAGCAGGAAGCCAGAAAGCCGGTCAAAGGAGAGACAGAGTGAGCTGTGTGAATTAAGTGTCTCCTTTTGATATTGCAGGATGTCTATACAGTGGGCGGTTAGTGGCAGGTCATCAAAGAAGGGTGTTTAAAACGGTTTCTGGCCCAGCCCTCTCACTCTCCCTCTCACTCTCTCTAGCGGGACAGGGGACATAAACGGGGTAAAAGCAATAATTAGACCACAGGGAAAAGCATGGGCTCCATCCTTCACCAACTTACCTTGCAGAACAGCTCACGTTTGCCGGTGCTGTCACTGGTTCCAGACGGTGATGTCAGGAGCAATTAATGCTGAGTAGTTGCTTTTTGATTCCCCAGGGATACCAGCCGGCGAAGCTGCTTGGCATGCAGACCGATAGTTAGCTGGTGATGTGTCTGCCCCTGCTTCTGAGGAGGAAGAGCAGGCAGAGCAGCAGAGAAGTAGAAGACACCGTCCCTGTGTCTCAACGCGTAGAGCAGCAACCTGGCGATGGTTGTTGTTCTTCTCTCGCTGTCGCTTTTTCTGCTCGCGGCTTCACCTTCGTCTCAAAGTGGCAGGCGGCGCTAGGCCCAAAGAGAAACATCTCACGTGATGTGCAGATAGACAATATAGATGAAGAGAATATAAGATAATATAGAGGACAGAATACGGAGTATACATAGAATATAGACAGGATATAGAATATAGATAGAATAGGATATAGAAGAGCAGACTGGTGGAGGTACAGTGACCATGGTTCAATCAGGAACAGAACTTACGCATCTCGCCACATTCCAGCCTGATGGAGAGATACAAGGCCCTACAGGTGGCGTATATGAAACATAACTCTATTCCAGGCCTTTGGTTAACGTCTATAGAAGAGAAGAACAGCTCATGATATAAAAATAGCCTCATCTAAGCCCCGTCTACAGTCTCGCCTTCTCCTGCTTGTCTTTATCCTTCTGCCTGGCGTGGTGCCTGTCTCGCATCTCTCTGCGCAGCATCTTACCCGAGGGCGTTCGAGGTATCTGCAGCCGTTAGTATGGTGTACGGAGGAGTATACAGGGAGAGGAAGACTTACGCTGTCGACTATCTCGATGCCGCCGGCGAGATGTTTATACTTTGACAGCCTGCTCTTGACAAAGGCGTCTAGCTGCTGGATGACTCTCTCTGGAGCATGTCGTCTTCCCTCGTCGGATAGCACTACCCAGGCACGAGGGAAGAGGCCGCCGTCTCCTCGCCCGTTGTCTACTCCGGCTACACAGGCGTCCCGTACCAGCCGATCCGGATGAGAGAGCAGCGTGTCCTCGACCTCCGTCGCCGCAACCTGCAGACCCTTCACCTTGATCATCTCCTTCAGCCGGTCGAGATAGTGAAGTCGGTCCTCTGCGTCTCGCTTGACCAGGTCGCCTGTTCGCAGCCAGCCCGGCTCGGCAAATAGCTCTGCGGTCGCGGTGCGGTCTTTAAAGTATCCTGGCGTGACCACGGGGGCCCGGACCCAGAGCTCGCCCTTCGATCCCTTAGCTACTGGCTCATACGTGTCTGGGTTGACTACTTTGGCCTCGACGCCAGGAAGAAGGTGTCCAATCGTGCCTGGCTCGGAGCGAGAGAGCCCAAAGATACCCTCTGTAATTGGCTGGGCGATGGATAGAGCTTCCGACAGCCCGTAGCCTGAAGGGATGGGAGCCTTTTGCGGCAGTTTCTGGCCCAGTGCGTGCGCTACGTCGGGAGGCAGGTATGCTGCTGCGCTCGCGGCGGCTACCACAGACGAGAGATCGTACTTTTCCGTTAGCGGTGATAGGGCGAGCTGTCGGACAAGTGGCGGAACGAGCGGGAGTACGGTGACCTTGTACTTCTCGATGAGCTGCAGCGCGGTTTCTAGGTCCCATTTTGACATCAATACGTTCGTGCACCGGGTTACGTTCACGCGCAGAGTCCATAGAATCAGGCCAAACGAGTGGTATGCTGGGATAATGCCCAGGACCACAGACTGTTGTAGTGGAACACCAAGCTGGTCGTCTATACATCAGTATATCGAGTCTAAAACTAAAGAACAGGCAGGACTTACAAACTCGGCTGTCCGGGAAGACGTTATCATGCTCTGCATGGTAGTGTGTACTGCGTTCTTATGTGATATCATCATGGCCTTTGGAAACCCGGACGTTCCAGACGACTGAAGGAGATAACATAGCCTGTCTCCTCCCAACAGCTTCCTCGGCCTCTCAGGTAATGTAGAGCCGAGTCTGATCAACGACTCGACGGTGGGATACCCGTGGACCGTGTCCAACGCCGGATCATCCGATATGATTATTATCTTTCTAGGGTCAAAGACGAAATCCAAGGTACTATCGTTGCCCCCTTGCGGGCCATTCTTGACAGTCTGCAGCAGCAACGGAAGCAGGGATTCATGGACAGCCATGGACGTCGTCTGCATCTTGCGCATAACATGGTATAGCTCATACGGGGTCGAATTAGGACTGATTCCACCAAACACCAGCTCTGATCGAAAACAGGAGTGCGCCAGCAGCGGCCACGCGAGATGATTCTTTGATAGTATGCCGATGATCTCACCGCTTCCACTATCATCATATGGTGATTTTCCCAGTCCTACCGGGTTGGGTCCGTCATGCCGCAGCACCCTCGAGAGACAGAGCACCCTGTCGTGGAACTGGTACAGTGATACCGTCGTGCCAGTCGCCGCATCGATGAACAGGTCATGATCAGGAGAATGGAGCGGGTTATCCGGAGGGAAGAAGAAGTCATGCAGGTTCAGATCAGGGTCGACCTTGGGGAATGGCCCGAACGGACTACGAAATATCACTTCGTCCGTCGGCTGGTATTTGCTGTGCACATCCGGACTGTTTGGCCCGGTGGTATATTTCAACAACGCCTTCGACATCATGGAATCTTTCCTGGTAAAACGCGTGGGGGCAGTGAAATTCGCATGGAGAGTTGTGTTTGGTGAGGACCACCAAGATATATAAGAAGGCCCAACGCCTCCAAAGCCAGTCCTTCACTTCTTGCATTCACTTTATATACATCCTGGATCTTGGCGGCCGAGCTCGAGTGAATCGAGTAATTGCTGCACGATGTCGCTAAGGGAGCTGGCTTCCTCCATCTCTTCTGCTGTCAGGGATGGCTGCTGTAACTCCGTACGGAGAACTCCACATCGTGCTCGTTACGAAGCCTGATAGCCCGAAGTTCTCCGGTTAGATATACCCCCCCCACAGAATATATACTTAACAAAGGCCTAGCTCGTCACTCGCACGGCTTCGACAAAGTTGGAATATGCGCGACTGCGCGGCATTGGTCGCTTATACGGTACGCGGAGAACGAGGGGCGAAAAGCAATATTCGGCAGATGTTTCATGCCAATTGCGAGACACATAGAGACGAATTGAAGCCCAGTTGCGATTAACCTCTTTACGTAAACCTACCAGAGCTATATATCCGGAATCAACCTAGAGTATAGGAGCTGGGATTGTCGGAATTCAAATCTCAGTCAAATGCTTGTTCTGCGCCAGCCAAAGAGATGAAAAGTTGAACCAGCAAATATATGTATTATGTAAGAAGGTCACGTGGTATAGACATCGCGAAGAAGAAGAAGACGAGAAGACAGGACAAGAAGACGAGAAGAAGAAGAAAGACAGAAGACGAGAAGAAAGAAGACGATAAGAAGAACGGAACCGACACATTAGACCAGGTATATCGCCATGAGCTCTTCAACACCGATCCACGAACCCACGCACCGCAAGCGCGAGCTGCCCCAGAGCGAGCTTGAGGCCACCTCCCAGCTCAAGCTCGGTGAATTCCAGAATGTGCCGACACTGTCTCTTTCGGAGGCACGATTGGTTATCAACAAGGTGCTCGATCTGCGGAGAAAGGGAGAGAACAAGTTCGAAGAGCGGGAGTGAGTTGGCATGGCACTCATAACTCATGTGGTCCGCCATATATTAATCCTGCGCCAATCGATAGAACCCTGATCAAGACACAAGACTACCTCGAGGTATTCGCCAGGTTCAAGGAGAAGGAAAACATCGAGGCTGTTGAACGGCTGCTATCTGCGCACACAGAGCTAGAGTTCTTTGAGCGGTCACAGCTAGGTATGCTGCTTCTGAAGTGGTTGAACTCAGGAACACTTCTAACCATCATGATAGGGAGTCTGTGCTGTGATAATGCCGAGGAAGCAAAGTCCCTCATCCCTAGTATTGGAAACAAGATCTCGGATGCCGACCTGCAGGAACTTCTCGACGAACTCACCAAGCTAAGGAACTTCGTCGAGTGATGTTATACAGGAACTTGGGAACGGCCCTGACAGTTGTCTGATAATGAAGGGATAATAACCGTGGATGCCCAACTTATCTTGCTGGGTGGGAAGATATTTTACGCAATGCAAGGCGTTCAGGTTAGGAAAAGGATACCTTACTGGAGATTGGCATTTTGCACGACGTTATGATTACTGGATGGAAATGCAGAATGTGTAGATTATGCGAAGCGACATACCATTATTAGCCAGAAGCCAAAGGCTTAGAAAATGGAAAGAATTCTATATCAAGAGCTGCACGTAGCTATTGTTACGTGATGTAAACCATTCTATGATCGAGGAGCATATCCATGAAACCGGGAACCCCAACTCCATCCCAATGGTTGTTAACCGCAGGCTATGAAAATATATATTCTATCGTACATGACTCTATGTTCCAGAAAATGCTAACCAATCAACAGGGGAAAGATGCTAAAGGAAGTGGTTAAAGGTTCTTCGCTCACTTTTAATAGCTAACCGCATGAATGAAACCACAAGCTGAAGACATCTCTATATAAGGGTAAATCAGGCCTTGAAAATAACCTCCGCCGGAAGCCTGAATGATGCGCAGAACATCCGCTTGTTGGGAGAAACCAGCCTGACATCACGGATCTCAAGTTCTAGCTCCTGGTTGCCCGTCCCACCAACCATATCTTCGGGAGTTATCTTGTGTTGCAGTTTGTCGGAAATGCGCTGACAAATATCCGCGTACTCGATCATGTTATCATCGCTGTTGGAGGAGAAACAGTACACATGAACGAGAGGTCGTTTACGGTCGGTGTATGGTGCGAAGAGAGATTCCTTGCCAGCATACACGCCAATAAAGGCATCGAGGAATTCGATCGCGGAGGCAGGGAGGTTCATGACGTAGTGATCAAAGGTAGGCGGGCAGACGTATACTTCAGGAATAAGCTTTGCCTTCACCAGCGCCTGGCTGCGTTTCACTTTTGGATATATCTTCACCGTGTGCTCGAGTGTGTATAGCTCTCTGGTAGCGTGTCCAATAAATTCACTTCCATCCATGTTATGCGGCTTCACGAAGTCTCTAACTTTGTTTCGGGCGATCCCTTCCTTCATCTTCTCGTAGCCGTGAGGGTTGAGGTCATTGGCATAGACAAACACTCTCTTCTTCCCGGCTGGAAGAGCAAAGGGCCCAACGCCAGCCATAACATCACATACCGCTTCACCCTCTTTAAACCGACCAACGAGATGGGCGTGTTCGTTCCCCAGGCGCGAGTTCCAGTAAACTTTAGAGTAGTCGAATGCAAACTCGCAGTTTTGCTCATGCTGGATAACATTCATGTCCTTGTCTCCAACTAGATGTTCGTAGGCGAAAGTGCGGTATTGACTGTTTGCGCCAACGTCGTCAACTTTGTTAATAACTGTTCGAACCGTTGGGTTTTTATCCTTGATGACTTCGGCAATTAAAAGCTTGTATGGAAGGTACTGTTCTCGAAGGTTAAGGTGCGCTGTAATATAGGGCAAAAATATATAATCAGTTTATCATTCCTCTTGCACGGCGGCTTCAAGTTCACATACCAATATGGCCAACTTGATTGAAACCAGCGGGAGTCTCTTCAAGCTGTTCTTCTGGTAATATCGATGCAAGGATATCGTCTATTGAAAAGTAATTTGATCCGTATTAGAAGCCATACTAAGTGCACTGAGCATGGGAAGGGAACCTACGATAGAGCCAGTAGTCATAGTCGAGGTGAAGGTCGTACGGCTTCAACTCCATAGACTTAGCTTCCACTAACTGCCGTATCGTCGGAGACCACGTAGTTATGTCATTAGCCTGTATCTTTTCCTTCAGCAAGATACACTTCTTGTTCTTATCCTCTTCTGTAGCGGGGTTCTGGACAGGCCGGATAGCCATTAATCGAGGAGCGTTCAGTATATCCTTGCTTTTTGACAGCTGCTCTTTGATTCCTCCAAGATTTTTCGGGTCGAACACCGTCGCAGCGGCAAGAGGTATTGTTCTTTTGAAGAACGATCGATCTAGTACGCGCATTGCGCGATTGATGGGAGGCCGGAACATGACTTGGGAGTTGGTAGTGTGGTCGCGTGGGAGGGTTGAAGTCTGCGCATAGGTAACAGAGTCAGTTAATCTGTAGTTTAAGGGGCGGTTGAAGGAGATAGCAATCGTACAGTCTTGTTCAAATCCATTTAAGTGCTTTGCTCAATTAAAAGATAAATTGTAAGATGCACGAATTGCGGCGATTGATGCGTCGTTTTATAGACACATTGCGCGAAACAGATTGTCTAATTTAAGTTGTAGTATTTGTATAAATTGAGGTCCAGAATCATTACCCAGAGGCCATCCTATAGTATAAGTGAAGTTAGGTCTGATATAAAATATTCATACAAGCGCTTTCGAGATTGCATGATGTCAGTTTTCTCTGAAAAAATTATTAGTCACGTGCCGTCCGAACTTGCGACCAAACAAACATCGACATCGACATGAACAACATCAACATCATCAACAACACACTGGTAGACTGCTCTAAACATCCCAAAGCTATCGCTGTCCAGTGAGATATGTCGGTTACCGAGTATCCTTTATACAGAGCGCTGTTCACGCAATGCAAACGGATCCTCCCGCGAGTCCTTCGCAATAAAAGCTGCCACGAGCAGCCCCATCAAGGAGCGTCCCTTGCATCTCCTTTGCATATCACAAGAAGCCGATAATCAACCGATCATTAAGGCTCCCCGAGTCAGAACAACTAACTAAGGAGAATGCTGGGTATTAATCATCAAGTACGGAGGATATTCCGCGTCTCGCTTGCTTTCGGATGCAAATCATCCCTGAGATAGAAGAGCAATCGACGGACGAAATTTGCCCCAAAACGGCCAAAGATCGGAGAAGGATTGGGATCATCTTCCCCTGTGAGGCGACTATTTAACGATTGACAGAGCCAAAGTAACGCCTCCTTGGCGGTTGGTAGTAAAATGTCTGGAAACAACGGTTCCTGGCTGTTTCTGAGGAGCCTCAAGTTCAACAAGTATGCAAGCCACTCCATAAACAACCAACGGCCAGAGCACGTACAGGGAGCAGTTGGCACTCTGGCCACCAGGTCATGCGTTGTCAAATGTCAGTTCGAGAGCCTGATTCAATGAGGTTGCCTTTCGATACGGAGGGAGGACCCAGCGCACCCTTACCATTCAACAAAAGGGGCGTAGTCGATTTGTGCCGTGCAGGTCGGCGTTTTTCCTTGCGCTATGAAGTCTGAATCAGAACAAGTGCTTACTTTCAGCGCGCCCCTTGGAGGGATAGGCCAATAATCATCAACTGGGATGATGACCGCTGAGCCTCAGCTGGCAGCGTGTGATCTCGGGAGCGCAATTATTCAGCCGTTTAACTTCGCCGGACCTCAGGCGATTGACCTGAAGCACCAGTCATCGAGCCAGCGGAACGAGATTGCCAAGAATGCCACCCATCGAGGCGAGGTTAAAAGCTTTTCAGCCGAGCAGGTTGCACATGGCCTTGGGCTCTGGACGGGTTACCGGGGTACTCCAACCATTCGTCTCACCTTCAGCTGGGACGGCAAGATGCCCGTCCATACAAAGTACGGAGTACTCCTGCTTGTTTATATGGATACCCCAGAGGGTTACAACCCAGGGCACACTTTGATGGGCTCGGGTGCTATTTATAAACTAGTGGATACGCTAACTTTACCAGCCGTTTAGCTATGGACAAAAGGGACTAACTTGATGGAAATACTCCGTCCATCCAAAGTCTTGGTATTTCGGAGATTGCTTGCAAAACGAACGATGAATCACGACCGCACAAGAGATTTACAAAACGAGGCTTGGGAAAGGAGCGCGGACTGCGTGAAGTCCGCGAAGTGCATCTCCCAGCAGGACGGGAGTGGGACCCCCCGGGTGGGCATTACGGAGAAGACAAAAACGAGGCTCAAAGGCGCCAAGCTTTTTAGAGCAACCTACTTCTTCAAAACCGTCTGGGATGTTGTTGTTTGTCTAGTGTAGGTTCCTCCTCGCCTACTTGCAGGACAAGCGGATGCCAGACCGTCTCCAAGTCCATATGTATTTTCTCGACAGGCTCAATGCGTTTGTGCCCAACGATCATAGACTACAGCACGGGAAAACTGCACAAAATATTAATCAGATCGACACGTCAAGCCACCCACCTCGTATTTCCCCCTATTCTCTACAGTGCTTTTTGTGATAGAGCCTGGTGGATACCAATTTTGTTCAAGGCTAACAGCATCGCGAACAGAGCCAAAATACGAGCAGCGAATGGAAAGGGCTCATCGAAGGGAGCCATTCCCTTCTCCAGACTAGTGCGCAGTTCCACATGCGCCTTTCGAAGAGCCAAAGCCAAAAAGTTTTCGAGCTCCCCTAGCAATCTGGATAGAAACCTTTATATCCTGACCAATGATACGGAGCATTGGTATTGATAATGTTGATCGGGGCGCATAGCCTCATCCGCGTGAGGGCAGACATGGGCTCTTGAAGCGAGCTGCTGCCAAATACGGAGTAGAGTGCGGAGCCTGTCAATAGATATCCGATATACGGTGCCTCGCGTATATTTTTAGGACAGGACCTCGATTTTTTTTATTTAATATCTCCCCAGCGCCTCTTCCTCTCTTTCCATTTGGTCCTGTTTACTTTCTCAAACGATAGGCAACAGCTTTATACCGCCACCGTCAAACTCCAGTCGTTCTTTTTTTGTTCATCTACATCTCGATAATACCATATAATTTCAAGCTTACAAGATGCGCTTCTCTATTGCATCCATCCTCTTCCTTGGAGCGGCCTTGGTTGCTGCCGGCCCTGACGATGCTCCAGCTGCCTCCAAAGGCACTCACGCCCTCAGCCGAGAGGGTAACTCCCAGCTGAAGGCCCGTGGCCTATTCTCCCGCAGTGACTCCTGTTCCGGCAAATTCGTTACCTGTGTGAGCTGCTTCGGTGCTGGTTATAGGGAATGCCCCGGCGATTCGTCCAAGTGCTACAACCCAGACGTCCCTGAGTACTCTACCTGCGGCGGAACCTCTGGCGGCTCTGGTGGCTCTGGTGGAAGCTCTGGTGGCTCTGACTCTTGCTCTGGTAAGGGTGTTACCTGCCAGAGCTGTTTCGGCAGTGGTTACAAGGAATGCCCCAACGATGCGACCAAGTGCTACAACCCAGATGTCCCAAAATACTCCAAGTGCAGCGGAAGCTCCTCTGGTGGTAGCGGTGGCTCCGGCGGCTCTGGCGGCAGTGGTGCTAGCGATGAGAGCTGTGCTCGCACTTACGGTGCTGGAAACAAGCTCTGCGGTACCAACAGCTGCTACGACCCTACCGCAGGAGAAACTTGCTGCGCCAACACCGGAAGTAAGTTAACTTCGTACATGTTGTTATTGAACCTATAGTAACCCATTTCTCTTTAGGTCACTGTGACAGAGGCAAGAAATGTTCTAAGTCTGGAACCCTTTGCTGTGCTCCTGTAAGTGAAAACACAAGCCCCAGTCAATTAACTATGTCTCCCGACTAACAATTTAAATAGGGCTCAAGTAACCCAGACTGCAGAGGTACTAGCTCCTCCGACAACACTTCAACCTCCTCCACCAGCACTGCAACTTCTACCTCCCGCTACGGAAGCTCTTACCCAACTTCCACTAACGTCATTGGCTCTGGTCCATCATCTCTACCAGATACTCCCAAAGGCAATGGCGCTGGCTGTGTGGCCCCTGCTGCCGTTCTCCCCATTCTCGCCGGTGGATTGGGCTTCATCGCCGCCCTCTAAATGACATACCATATTACCGCACTGTCAGAAGCCGATAACATACGTTCCGCTCGTCCAATTATGCGCCCCGATATATACCTTTACTTCTTACCTTTATAATGTTCATATCTGTTCTATTCTCTCGCCTTGAGCTCTTTTATATCCAATTAATTTGCGGGTAAACTGCCACCTTTACCACAAAATTTGCCATTTAATCATCTGACGGGGCTTATTGGACCAAGGGTTAATGGATCTTGTTGTTATCACTTTTGCGCCTCTTGAAATCCGTATCCTTACATGAAATGAAACGAATACCTTTATTACAATTATATTACTACGTTAATCTTACTCAAACCAAATATTATCAAGTAGAGCTCCATAGATTTGATGTAGTTTCTCATATTCAATCTGTACCTATAGCTTCCAGCGACATGATCTAGATATATTCTGCACTCTCAAGAGGCTCCTCCCCACGTCCATTATCCGCGCTCCCAACGACACTGCCATTTGGCAGAGTACTGTATATATTTAACGATAGTGCCCTCCACGACTCCCTTTCTGCCTCCAGGACCTCGATGCGGCTCAATAAGCCTTCTATTCGCTTCTCCCGTTCCTTTATAGCTAGTCTCGATATGTCCCTTCCCTTTATAATCCCTAGCGTCCGTAGGTCGTTCATATCAAGCAACCCGGCTAAATCTTGCTTAGTCTTGAGCGGTAAATGGACTTTGTGAGACTCTAGTAAGTCAAAAATTTGTGTCTTGAGCTCAGATTGTCGAGATCGTTTATTGTTTCCTTCTGACGCAGGTAAGCAGAAAGGCGAAGATGCGACTCGTGACGGAGTTGGAGTTGACGGGAGGTCAGGTAACGTTTCCCGAGTTGTGCGTGTAACGCTTCCCAGCGACTGTGTTCTTTTATTAGGGGTGGAAAATAGAGGTGGTGGAGGAATTGCATCCAAGACATCTAATCTTGATGCTAATGAAGGGTACGAGACGTCCTGGTTTTCTGTAAAAAGGGGGGTGATATCTCGTCTTGTTGTCTGTGAGGCGGATATGTTCAACCTCCCGCGCTTGCTAGGACTTTCGTCTGGATCCAAATAGTCGGTAATATCCCCATCTCTCCTTCTCTTTGGCTGAGATTCTGGTGTAAGAAGCCCGCCGCGGAAGATTGAATCGCGGATACGGTTTGCCTGTGGGGTTCGTAATATGGGACTTTGTTTGACTCTCTCATCCACGGCGTGGACTAGGTCACTTTCAAAAGCTTCATAGCAGTCTTCCTCCTCGGCTGTTGGCTTTTGCGCTGCCTCTCTTTGCTTTGCGTCATCGTCCCATAGAAAGAACCCGCATCCCTTGCCTCGCGGTTTAGAACACGTATAGACTGCGATGTGTCCGCCCAAGCAGTCAGCAAGATTGGCATGATATGCGGAGTATATGGAATAAGATGATCAACTAACACCATCGCCCGTGATTCTTGCCGCCGTTCTTCGTCTCAAAATAATTTGCTTCTCGAGGAGGATCGCAGTTGCATTGGTGGCTTCCGTCGGTGGGGAGGTGGGATTCAGGCTTCCCCCCAGCCCAAGACGGACGTCGATTAGGAGAAGACTGGCTTCTACCTTGCAGCGACATTCTGGGTGCCGTCAGCCATGAATGTCAGGGCTGGTAGGCATGTTGAAATTGCATGTAGCTGTAGTCGTAGCCATGGCAACCTTCTTATCGGGAGGCTGGGGCTTATCTAAAGTGGAAAAACTCACTCCACATAAGCTTAAGCATGTAGAACCGGAACCACCATTCGGTTTGTTTATAAGCTCTAGTAGAAATTATTACTCTGGCTCGTATATATGATGTGTTGCTTACAACATTAATGGTCGACAAGCATGTATCTAATAAGGTCGACGATAGAGAAAATGGAGTCGGTGGTATTTTGCCAATATATTAATCTTTTACTTTGCTGCTCACGAAGCGGCATCGCTTTTAGGCTGAACATATTTCTATATTCGCCTATTAAATGTGTACATTTCCTATCATGCTTCATCTTGGAGACAGGAGCTTCCTTGCAGCTTTTCACCACCTTAATAGAGTCCGTAGGCATATTTTCGAGTGGTATCATTCATGCGAGGTCTAGAGCCAGAAAGAACAGAGGAACGCTACCACGTATTCTCTAACCAGCGAGGACCATCCTCAGCATCGACCCGAATGAATCCCGCAATTTCAATATTTCTGATACGTTAGGCTTCACCGGCTCACCCGCAGTGCGACGCAGGCGATCCTGATGTTTAGCGCGACGTTTCCGTTCGAATGCGATAGGGTCCATTTCGTCGTCTTCTGAGTCTTCATCAGACGGATCCGAAGCATCATCTTCAATTGCTAGATCTTCCAAATCGGCCTACAAATTAAAGGTTAGCATTTAAGTTTCACGTCACAGAATGGCTTAGAACAATAATGATATTTTGTAAGGAATATATGGAGAAGCCTCTCACGAACCTCGTCTAGCCCAAAGTCACTGCTCTTGAATGTCGTGACACCCGGCATTGGGTCAGAAACCCCTTCGGCAGCCATCTTCTGTCGGGTTTTGTCCTGGTGCCATTTCTTTCGGTCTGAATGCCATTTGATAACAGCATCAATCTCTTGGATGGCGAGAGTCTTGTCGATTTGGCTGGCTGAAACAGCTCCTTGAAAGAGGGCATTCATGTCAAGCTTGCCTCCACTTTCTGGCCCCTCACGGAGGAACTTGAGAATATCTTCCAGCCAGCTCATCAGTGAAGCAAACAAGCCATTGTCATGAAGATGTACCTCATGGACAAATTTGTAAAAGCTCTGCTGATGGCGAGTGCAAAGATCGATGAAGGACTGGACAGTTTGGTTTGGATCAGCAGAAACATCCTGTCGTTGGGCTCGCTCAATCACGGCTATAGCGTCGTTCGCAAATTCTGCAAAGTCCGTAATGCTATTGTAGACATTTGCAGATTTGTAAACACGGACGAGAGGTTCGTAGAAGATGGTGAATAAGTCACGGAAAAGTTGTAATGTCACGGGCTGATCCACACGTTAGTAGGTATATATGGTTGAAGTCAAACGGAAGCAGCAGCCTTACCTCTTCAATAATGTTTAACATCATTGCCTTGTCCCTCTGTCTGGTGAGTACTTTCAGGAGCTGCTTTAGATACGAGAACCATTGGGCGCCTTGTTGTATTTCAGGATCATGAATCTGTGTCGCGGAAGTCAGCTGAGAACCTTAGGTGGAGGGGGTGTTGAAAAACGTACACTCTCAACTGCGCTGACCCAGGCAACGTATGAATTAAACACCTTCTCTATCTGACGAACTGTCAATTCCGGCTCAAAATGCTCTGACCGTAATATAACAACGACAATATCAACGCTTTCTGCCTCTGCCTCTGCACGAAGGTCGTTTTTCACGCTTTCATCAGCTTCTGTAAATGCTCGTAGTTTATCGACCAGAATGTCGTCTTCGATCTTAGTGGCTAAACTATCAACTGATTTCTGGAAAGCCTTCATGCCGTCTTGGATTGCCATGGAGAATATGCGTTGCAGAAGAGATCGAGCCCCGAATGGCTGAGCAAGGAAAAGGTCCAGGACACCCGCCATCACAGCAGCAGGGTTGGCTATGCGGATAACATTCTTTAAAATAGTATACGGGATCAGTGAATGTATTCTTTTAGCCTGGGCAAATAACTCGGGAGAATTGTCCTCGGCTAAAAAGACGTGGTATAGCGTGGCGGCGACCCTATTATAAGTTGTTAGTACTAATGGACTAGAGCGTACGGAGTAGATAATTTAGTAATATGCATACTCGATACGCAACCACTCCGCAAACTTTTGATATTTGGGGCTTAAAGCTTCTACGGAGTCCTTTTCCTTGATCTCTTGGAACAATTTCGTAAGGCCATCTATGATTAAGTAAAGTTAACGCTGTATCCTAAGAAGGAAGACTAGCTTCTGGACGGTGCATTCGACTTACTACTTTCCACTATATCCCGCCTGAACTGTTCCATGTAGACATCCAACTCCCGAGCGCGTTTCCGGGCAATTTCATAGAAGCGTTTCTGCTCTTCGATTCGTTTGGCGTCAAGTTCTTTCCTTCTCGCAATATCTATCTGTTCCTCCTCGTTCAGAGTGATTGGTTTATCGGTTAAGAACTGCTTCATAGCCTTTGACGAAGCTATCCTATGGTTTTGTAGAATCAGTCTCAAAAAGGCTCGAAGGGAGACTCGTTGCTCCTCTCTGTATAAGGTGACTCTTTCTCCTAGAAGTTCACCTGACGCCCTAGGTGACTGCGATCCTATGGATTTAAAGGAAGAGATAGAAGTCTTGTGCTTTAGAGTACCTGGTACAACGAGGTTTCGTGTCGATTGGCCCTCGGCTGTATCTAGGGTATTAACAGAGGATGTGGATGATGCGTCGTCGTCTATGTTTGAGCTGAGGAATGAGGATGACACTGAGTTCCTATTTTTCCTCGGGAGGGGAGGTATAATCTTTCCTGGCAGCTCTGTCCGCAAATTTTTGTGTAGCCTCGCAAAATCACCAAAACGCCGACCAATGTATATGCTTTCGCCATCTTGTTGTCGAACCCGGATTAAAAATTCCTGCAAATACGTGATAAGAAACGGGGTTTGGAGGTGATATGGGGCATGCTAGAGGGGAAGGGCTAGCCACATACCGCATGTTGGTGATATCTCAATGTTCGTCTCACCAAAGTCGTCCTGACCGCCGCAATGTTAACGTCCCAACCATTTATAGCATGCCCTTCAGGCATGTTAACAAGTAGGCCTTGCTCGTTAGCACTTCTGTCAACGACCTCCATTTCCGAAAAGCGTATTCTCTCCTCATATCCGGAAGAAGTTGGTATTCCGGATACCATCATCAGTTCAACCACTTTTTCACATTTCTTCGCAAGCTTTCTTCGCTTTGTTTCTTCGTGGCGATCCTCGCTAGAGGAAATATTCTTATTGGCAAAGGATTCTAAAAACTATGGCATCGAAGACAGAGAGTCAGTATAGGTACTAAGTGTAGTTTCAAGGTCTCATGTGTAAGAGCTGGCTGGGAGTAAAACGTACCACCTGTAGACGGTCCTGCCAAAATTCCTTCTCATGCGCCTTATCCAAAAACGGGAAATTTCGCACATGGTTGACGAATATATACCGGAGAATAGGTAATTCTGAGTCAACTGGTGCTATTTCTCCAAAATCCGACTTGAAGGGAGCACCGAATCTCCGTAACGCGGTTGGGGAATTGAGCTCCGCGATCTCGCCCGAAACTTGACAGCCGATTAATTCTCGCTTAAGGTCTAAATGTAGTTGAAGAGAATTCGTCAGTTTAAGAGTTCCATTCAAATTGCAGGGGTCGGACATATATAATGGAGGGGCTGTTTTTAGAGGTACGAACAGTGTTCCTGTTTTCCCGACAGGATCTGGCTGGAGGAAGTCCCATTTCTTTCCGTCCCTTTCTCTCCGTTTACGCTCTCCTCTGCGTTATTTCCCATTCTTGCAATTGCGGGCTGCTGTTTGATATCGAGGTACTGCGGCGACAGATAAGTATAAACGACAACTCTGCGAGTCGGAGCGGAGTTTCGCGGATAGGGCGAGGAGGAGCTTGAACTGTGACAGAGCCAAGTATCAGGTTTGACTACCGGCTAAGAAGTACAGGCTGGTGGCTGGTGGACGCTGTATTGATTTCGGTGGTAGTACGCGGTACTCCGTAGCTGCATAGGCTTTTAAAGTTGGCTAAGTTGGAGCTGGTAGAGACAGCTGCCCAAGACGGAAATGCAGTCGTGCACCGGTGGACACGCAAAGGAAGAAGAGCCTGTTGTCGGTCCGGCGTACGCAGATGAAGGTGAAGAGGAAGACGAGACGCGGTTGTTGTGAAGGAAGAGAAGGTCGTTTTTGTGCATGATGATGACTTGCCGGATCGGGCTACATTTACGTTTTTCGACGTCAGCTCCGCCCTACACGCCAACAACAACCTTGCACACCAAACAGACTCGAGACTATGCCTGTTGCTTTTCTATTTAAAGAGATCTAGCTCCTCTGAAGGAATCTAGCATTGCAGCTGAGCATTACGACGCCCTTTGGCCTCGCCGGCCTTCGTCCTCCAGCGCGCTAAACGGACTTTCCCCCCCTCGATGCACGTAATCGTCATGGATAAATATGTGGCTGCACAGCACCAAAACACTGCTCCAGGCCCACTGCTAACGGGGTCATCCATGTCCCTTGGCAGGAATCTGGCGTAGCAGAGCCACATCAGATCTCGCTGGCGTGACGGAGAGACGCAGGCAGTGGGCGAAGCAGCGTTCAAAGTTGCGGTCGAATTTACTCTCAAAACGACCGGAGGGCCGAATAGAAGGGGAATCCCAGGATCACCGGGTGTATTCGACGACGTGATAAACTCGACCCGCTAATCGGGGAACATGGCGATCCAGTGCTACTTGATACCGAACCCTATCATCCTGCGAGACGACTATACGGAGCCGGCATCGACAGCTGAGGATGAAGATGTTTCGGCTTGCTTACGTGGATGTTCGCACAAAGTCACGGAAGTAACTTTACCTGATAGGGGTATAAATCTTCGAATTACCCGAAATCATGCTCCGACCTTTCTTGCGGTATATATGGAGTGAAGTTAAGATCTGGGTGATCGGCGCCTAGCAAAGCGAACTAACAGCGGAACAACGGATGGGTTGATTGCGTCCAGCGCACACCGTGCGATCCGAGCACAAACTACGGACTACGCAGGAGAGAGGCATTACAAAAATAATGTTACACAGTGCTTGTTGGCTGCGCGTTGAATTTTGGATTGTCAAAGTCATACTATGATTCTTGACATAACTCATTTTGAGTGATCGAGAAGATCTGGCGCAGTATATATATACATATATATATCACACTGCCAGCCGCCCCTGGTGGCCAAGCGTCCGCCCCCGCGAGCGAGATCACTGTGTAGCTTCCTCTGGCCAGACATCATAGCCAAAGGTATCCTTCATATTAACAAAGCGTGAGTGTCTCCCTTCAGCCACTTTATTGACAGCCTCGAATTCTTCATTGGATAGCTCGATCTCCTTGAAGTTGCTTTCGATTCGTTGCGGGTTCGAGCTCTTCGGGAGCACCACATAGCCTCTCTTCTCGCCCCAAGCAATCAGCACCTGTGCCAGAGTGTGTCCGCCGTTCTTAGCAATCTCATTCAGCGTAGGGTTGGTTCCGACCTTCTCGCCGGTCGTTGGGACTTGGTTTTGAGATCCAAGTGGCGAGTATGCCTGTGGCATGATGTTCTTCGAGAAACAAAAGTCGACGAGTTCGGTATTAGGAAGAAATGGGTGGATTTCAATCTGGTTGACATGGGGAGGTACTCTGGCGAAGGATAGAATCTGCTTTACCCCTGAAATGGTGAAGTTCGATACTCCGATAGCTTTCGCCTTGCCCGCATCGTACAATGCCTCCATTGCACGCCAGGTGGGCTCGGGGTTCTCAGTTAACTCCTTTTTGATAACGTACTGCTCACATTAACATTCATTTAGTATCTGGTGTCTCTTCGCCTATCTTCTGACAAAGTATAGGATAAGGCACTGATATCGTACCTTGCCGTCAGGGCCGATCTTGGGCATCCACTTGTCATCCTTTTCACAGGCAATTGGCCAGTGGACCAAGAAGAGGTCGACATAGTCAAGTTGAAGATTCTTCAACGAATTGTCCAACGACCAGGCCACCTCGTCCTTTTCGTGCAAGTGGTTCCAGACCTTGGTTGTGATAAACAAGTCGGATCGCTTTACGCTGGTGTTCTCCTTGAGGAAATCTTGAATGGCCTGCCCGATTTCATCCTCGTTCAGATAGAACCAAGCACAGTCAAGGTGCCTATACCCTGTCCGGAGGGCATGCAGAACAGCCTTGTACGCCTCTCCCTTCGATCCCTCGTTGGAAAAGGTACCGAATCCGAGTCCTGGAATGGTGACGCCGTTGCTTAATTTGAAGGTGATATTGCGAGACATATTGGAATAATGATTATTATCAGTGAAATGAGAAGAACACAACAAAAATAATGGACTCCGTTTTCTTATCACGGCCACCTTCCTTCGGAGCGGTGTATCGGCAATTTCCGTTTATTGAAGAGAGATCTTCTATCGACAAGGACTGAAACTACGGTGGGATGTTTTCCTATAGGGAGATGCCTAGGATAGCGTTGAAACCGTGACTGAACTCTCGAATCCCATTGCCTTTTGCTGCAATCTGCCCTAGAATTTTTCGTGGTATGGAGAATCGACTCCATCCTCCCACGCATATGACGTTATCGCGAACTCAATTTTCCCATACACACTCATTGAGGGAGCGGATACCAGTGGATATATGTGCCTGCTAGGAGGTATGTGTGTGCTGTGCGGCCGCCTCTCTTGCATGGACCAACCCGGGAGTGGACTCAATGGAGACTTACGCCCTTGGTTAGTCTCCAGAAATAATCGGAGTTGAGGCCTACGGATTAGGGCAAGGGTCCAATTATTACCAAGACGGGGAGGGGGGTCCACCCGATCATCGAGTGGGACTTGCTGGCTTCCGGGCCAGTGGAGATCGAGGAGGAGAGCAATCCCTACAGCTCAACTCGGACATTAACCGCTCACACAATCCAATTATCCACAGTACATAAGATGGGCAGAACAAAGTCGACGTTGTATCAATTCCTATCCACTTATGTACAGACATTTTGCAGACATTCCACCATTACCATTGTTCGCATTTGCTTGGGTCCAATAGGAACCCTTGGTCGCCACACATAACGTCACATCCTGGCCGTCGCCGTTTCGAACCATTGCAATGGTTAAAAGGGAATACTTATGAGAATTCCACCTGTGATGATCTCCGAGGGAAACAGAGGATCTGATTTTTTTTGTCAAAGTCCGGCGGCTCCTTCATGAGTAAATTTATTCAAAGGGAATATATATATATATAAGCTGACCCGGCCTTTTCAATTGATGTTAAATCTCATACTGCACAGATCTTCTTACACATCATCCCCTCCACTCTACACACAATTTTCTACCTTGAGTTCCCATATCTAATACAAATCTATCATTGACTACCCCCCAATTGCTCCCTCAGTCGAAGCTATGTCTCAATCTCACCAAGATGGTGAGTGGACGAGAAGGGACAGTGCCGTCAGGCGAGGGCAACTCAGCATCCCGTCAGACCAGGGTAACGCAATCGAAGTGCGAGCCTTGAGAAGTTCGATCAGCGATGCAGGCTCACTAATGCATAACCTGAGCCTATCCCCCTCGTTTCAGGATAGACGGGGATCTCGGAATTCTTTTGGTATGGCTCTGCCCATTCCAAAGTCCCCACGAGCTTCACGACTATCCGGCTCCCGTGATCCCGCAAGTCTGAAGCGGGATGTCCTTGCTTCACAGCTCCAGGACATGGCCAAGGAGAAGGTGGAGGCGGCCAAAAATATGGCATTCGCTTTCGACATTGATGGCGTGCTGGTTCACGGCAGCAAACTTATCCCCGAGGCTGCTAGAGTGATGGAGGTATTGAACGGAGACAACGAGCTAGGAATCAAGCTACCCTACATATTGTTGACCAACGGCGGAGGCAAGACTGAGAGTGCCCGAGTTGATGAACTTTCTGGAATTCTCAAATCACCAATTTCCACCGATCAGTTCATCCAATCCCACACACCCATGCAGGCCTTGTCCGAATACTACGAAACTGTCCTTGTTTGTGGCGGTGAGGGATTCAAAATCCGACAGGTGGCAGAAGAGTACGGATTCAAGACCGTGGTTCACACTAAGGACGTCCAAGCATGGGACCCTACAATCTCCCCCTGGAGCAAACTGACGGAGGACGAACGTAAACAAGCCAAAATTCGCGACTTCGACAACATGAACTTCGACGCTATCATGGTATTTGCTGACTCAAGAGATTACCAAACCGACATGCAGATCATCATGGATCTTCTCCTCAGCGAAAATGGCCGGCTGAAAACGAAGGCGAAGAACCCCCTTGCCAACCAGATCCCAATCTACTTCTCACAAGGAGACTTGATTTTCCCTACCGAGCACGCCCTTCCACGTTTGACACAAGGCGCATTCCGCATTTCTATCGAATCCCAGTACAAGACCCTCACAGGCGGAGACCTCGAGCGTGTTGTATACGGTAAACCAGAGCTTGCAGCGTACAAGTACGCAGACACAGTGATACAGCAATGGATGAAGGAAATCCATAACGAACACATCCTACCCAAGAACATCTACATGATCGGTGACAACCCTCAGTCTGACATCTGTGGCGGCAACATGTATGGCTGGAACACTTGTTTGGTCCGCACTGGTGTATTCCAGGGAGGCGATAACGACACCAACAACCCAGCAAACTTCGGTGTTTTTGCCAATGGCCTCGACGCCGTCCAGGCCGCAGTGAAGAAGGAACTTGGGCACGAGTTCAAGCTAAAGTGGCAGGATGAGTTCAATCCCGTCATCCAGCCTGGTGGGGTTTCCGCAATCGAGTAGAACGGGCAGGGAAAAGTTTCAAGGATTTGTTTGCTTGCATTTAGTTAACTACATGATTGGTCCAGGTCTTAAATTTTCTTTGAGGCCCATACTTTTTCTCTTTTCATTATTTTCATATTTTTTTTTCGGGGGCAAGGAAAAGTGTCAAGGTCATAATATCCCTAACCCAGATGGGTTACAGCGAGTCTACATAGGTAAATAGATATATTCAACTGGAAATACTTCGTGCCAGCAAGTGACGTTGCAACGGGATCGCCCTCGACATGTTCTCTGATTGAAGTCTCGTAGATCATGGTTGTGGTTGGTTGTACTAGTTACACTTTAAATACGAGTACATCAAGAGCTTACTCCAAGCATCTGCAAGTGATCAGACATCGGAGGGTGATCAAAGCCGCTATCTACAGATTATTACCAAAAAGATAGCACTTGTAGGAATGTGAACGTGGATTCTCAATCAACAACTTTGTTTGACGAGGCTACTCTGTAAAGCAAAGCTCCAAGCAGTTAATTAATTAAGGTCGATTGTGACAGTAGACAGACTTTATGGGCACAAATACGGAAGCCCTAGGCTCATCGTGGTGCACCGTTACGGACCTCCCTGTGCAGTCCGGAGTGCTATAACATCCACCAGTTAGTATGAATTCTATCATTGCTCAGGGGAATCCTAGAAACTGGAGGAACGCTTACAAGTATACCAAGCAGGTGGCGTTAACGAGTCTCATCGAACCGATTGTTTGTTTGTTGCTGGAAATTACAATGTGTTAATAATATGGAACAATAGGAGTGCATCGGTGTATATCCTGAGGCGTACCCAAAAACGACACATTTGGCATATTGGACGTCGACCTCGAGGCCACCATAGTTGGATCCCTCATAAAGGATAACCTGGTTATATTTATTAGAACTTTCACGAGTTTCTAGTAAGGAGTTAGGTGCAATACATACACCCGACTTATAATCGTCATCTAATGGAGTCGATCTATGAACGAATTTTGCTTGAGCAATAGGGAGAACTGCAAGGGCCGATGCCACAGCTTTAAAGAGATGCATTTCGAAAAAATTAAAGAAAAAAAATAAATAGGAAGATTATTTGCTTTGAAGTTAGCTGTTTTTGGACAAGGAGGCGGATTTGGAATATTATTTTAGGAAAATGGGAAAGGTGTTTATTGATTTATATGTTAATGAGATAGCATCGAGGAATTCACCGCCCAGGATAAAAGTCCCAAAGGGAACCCAGATAGTGACCATAATAGTGGAGTTGTGCAAGTTCCATTGCATTCAACAAAGAACGCCTAAGCGAGCTATCACTGCAAAGGGCACCTGCAGTTGACTCTAAATCAATATGTAGAAAATGTTTGGATTAAGTTCTTGTTGTTTAAATGTCTTCGAGTGCATTATTATGGGCACTAGCTATGTAGTGTAGCTTCACCTCCCAGTACAAAAGCAGCATAGAATGCCTGAGCCATTCAACAATGAGATATCACTGTGCAACAATCGTGGCGGACTTGGGCTTTGTATGTGGGATTACATCTCTTTGTATATGACTTGCATTAATAGAGCATTCAGTGAATCCCAAACAAAGGATATAATTCACGTTTCACATCTATCAGCGAGGCCAAAAGTTAGGTCAGTCTTATATAGAATATGTTGTTGAAATATGCGTAGAACTATCAGCATTGTAATATCCAAGACTTACATATAGAGGCGTAGTCTTCTACTAGAGAGAAAATTCTGGGTAGAGCATGCCTCAATAGGCCGGTCTAGTCGGGTAAGAGAAACATGCGTACAATATCCATAGATATATTAAGAAGAGGTATTATAGATTGCAAATTATATCCGCTAGTGGATCTGGATGTCATATTAAAATAAAGACAGGTAAGGAAGCTAAGTTCATTAAGGCATTAGTAAGATCTCCGGAGAGAGACAAAAGATAATAGTAAAGAAAAAAAATGCAGCCGATGTACTATTATATCGCTATACTGCAAATAGATGGTGGATTCCGACTAAGCAGAAGTCGCAGAACATATGATTGCGTACACCGTAAGACCATCCTTTACAAGGTCTTCTCGATCCGAGGTAGCTTCGTCAAGAGGTTCCCCTCCACAGCCGCGGCTCCTATAACTCTGCGTTAGAATCATTCCAGAAATGTAGCATTTTGTAGGGCGGAGATGAAGTTACCTGTATAATTGACAGGTGGTTCCTGGTGTCACTTTTAGTGAGCCAATAGGGTTGTTACTAGACGATAGGTTAGCACCACGGAATCCTTAGGGCATTTTAACCTAGGAAAATTATTGTAGGACATACTGGTCGGGGATCATGTAAGAGCAGATTCCAGAAGCTGTAGAGGCAACCGGTTGCATATAACCTTCAAAGTTGGCCAATTTATAGATGGTAGCCTATATAGTCCAGGATTAGCGCGAGTTTGAATATCAAAACCATGACAATGGATTAAGTATACGTACCAGTGGTTTCGTCTCGACAGGGGCCGCTAGAGATGTAGGGACAATGGCGAAGGCCAAAGCTACAAACTTGGAGAACTGCATTGTGATGTGAATATGGAGTAGAAAATATTAAGTTTCGTTCTTGAGTGTAGATGAGATGCTTTTGGGATGATGCTTAAGAATGATTATTGACGAACCTCGAAGCAGGAAACGTCCTCTATTTATGTATTCACAGAGGGGGCTATCCCTCAAAAGTATCAGTGCTGATTCGATTCATGTCTCTGTTAGAACCGCCGGTCATATGCCCGAGGGAATATCAGCGCCGCAAGGTTTCACAGAGAAAAAAGCAAACACGACAGGTAGCTGAGAGTATATGGACGACTGTTCGTCCGCTGGATTGTTTGAATTCGTGTGTCATGTCTCAGAGTACTCCGAGACAGTCCATCCTAAAATACCTATGCTCTGCAGGCGCCTGGGGATCCAAAGCCTAGGGGCATCACACCTTTCGCTGCAGAAGGCGAAGCTTGCCGCCGTAGACCGATCTCCAATGACGGGACATGACTCTATAGATCGACAATGCACATAAAATGTGGCAGAATGCATTGGCTGCGTAGGAGCCGGATTGATCGGCCCGAACTGTGCAGATAGCCTCGATTGGAAAGCTGCCGGAGTCGCGGCTCCAGCTTTACATGTATCCATTCCCCACAGCCAGACAGAATACAAGTCAACAGAACTTTGCGTGTCGGATGAAACTGTGGCTGAGTTATATCACCACAGAACCAAGTATGAGTTCTGTTTGTCGATAGATCCTTGTCGTATGTTAGGGATATTGACCGTCGGAGTTGAACGTACGAGTAAGGATTAAATCCTCTCGCTATATTGCGCTATCGAAATGTTAAGTATGCATCTCCAACGTCATCGAGAACGAGACTATCACCTAAGAATAGCCAGAGCTCTAAAGAACAAAAAGGGAATGCATGTATCTTAGGTCTTCCGGTATGTGTGTCTCAGATACACGCAGCTGTCCATGAGACCTAAAGTGGGGAATGGCCTCGACTTATAGATAGCAATATTAAAACATAAAAATGGGCATCATGGGCGAAGTGAGAAATGTGAAAACACCATCGCGACTAACAGCAAAGCACTGCAAGTCACGAATACTTTGTTTCTATATTCCTCGCCTTCATGGACACCATTTATTAGTATAACTTGCACCTTATAAGCGGGAGGATAATTCGACTGGGGGATGAATGTCTCACCTTCTGTGGTGAATATCAGGCCTGCGACAACAAAACAGTTCAACGGGAGTCGAAATAATGCATACACCCCTGCTCGATGCTTATCCTGGACAAGAACACTTTTGAGTACACCCATGTTTGGGTAGTACATGCCAATGCTGAATTCGTAGACACAGAATGCCCAGAGAGTGGATAGTTTTGTTGGAAATAGCACAGCCCAAATTAAGCTAATACTCCCTATAGATAGGAGGAAGGCGAGCAAGTGGGAGGACCTGGATACGCTAAGATGGTTATGGTCTTCGATGGAAGATAAAGAATGCCGCGATGAAGACGATGAAGTATCGGATGAGGGCGACGGTATCATCAATTGGGAGGAAACCTGGGAGCCTAACATCATAGCCGTCATAAAGCTGGCGAAAATAACGCCGAATGGCGGACCATCGAGGGTATCGGCCTTGCTAGCTGAAATAATTGCGGGAGACCAAAAGACTACAAAAAGGTACATGGAACCTTCGGATACCATTGTAACGAGGCCGAGGGTCGTGATACGAGTGTCTTCAATGTCAATTGGTTAGTTGTATGCAAGTAGACGGTGACTGTTATATCAAGGTATCGCTTACCTTTGATTAGAGCAGCATACGGGGCTTGCTGTTCCGCTGTAGCCTCAGTGCTATGGTCGCCAGCATCACCGAGGTAATTCTCGTTCTAGAACATTTCAGGGGATGATTAGGTCTCCATCTTTATTGACACTCTAGGCAAACACATACCCATAATCCTGATATGAGCAAAAAGGCCAAGCCAAGGCAGATAGGGCTCGCAAGAAATGGCGCCCGTCTGGAATTTGTAAGCCAGACTAGATAATTGCTTAGCAGTCCAGATAAAACTGCAACCACGCTGTTTAGTACCGTCATCATCCCTAGTAGGTGGTTTAACTCTGTTGCCTCTTCTGGGGCTTTGGTGCGGTGGAATTCGGCAACCAGCCATGCCTCAAAGACGGTGAAAAGTAGCGTTGTTCCTATCCCCCCAAGGACTCGGCCAAGGAAAAGAATAAATATGTTTGACGATGACGCCGTCATGATACAGGATAGGCTGTATATCATGCAGAACGACTGGCATGCTTTTCGGCGACCATATCTATCGGCTAGTTTGCCCACGAATGAGGCGCCAAATGCCCCTGAGACAAACCCCGTAGAAAATAGGGTCGCGACAACATGATCAGGAAGTTGGAGAGTTTCCTTATATAGGGGAAAAAAGTATGGGCCCTGAAATAAACAAGTTCCATGATCAGTTTCCATGCAGATATAAGAGGCTGTCTTGATGAAAGTTGTCCCGAAATTTGAGCGGGAGGTGTTAGCCAACCTGCATCCAGTCTGAAGCCACAACTAGCACATAGACGGGGAGAAAAGCAAGCACGAGGCTGTTATTATTCGACTGGTTGTCATTTCGACGGCTGAATAGTTTGGATATATTGCTAGTGAAATTTCGAAGACCTGCCCTTCCCTCACTATCGTTGAGGCGGTACGATGCGAGCCCAAAATTGGCAAGTATCAAAGTGAATAGAGTCCCAGCATAGATATCCATAACGCACATCTTATATTCAAACGGATAGGAGTAAGCGCTCTGTTTACATGGTTCAAATATAACCCGTATTGGCCGATCAGACGGAAATAGTAATTGAAGAAAAATGGTATGGATATATATCTGAGCCCGACCAGCCGGTCTACAATGATAACCTTGACTTGTGGGTATAAGTAACTTCGATAAGAGTGCAAGGTGATTATCGTGATATAATCTAGCAGTTTGGATGTTGTTTTCTCGTTGCAAAACCCTGGAGGAAAGCAGCGGCACGTGATGACCTTGGGATTATGCTGCCCAGGTTCAATACGATATAAATGGAAGATATACAGCGATGTGCTCTCAAGGTTCAGCTCCCAAGGTTGATGTCAGAGTAACCGGCATAATGAGAACACGGAATCTGCGAGTGTGTAGAGGATAATGATATAACGGCCGCCTGAAACTCGTATACAAACAAACCAGAACGCTCTAAACGCCAGGAGAGCTTCTATCTAAGGGGTTCTAAGATTTATTCATTTATGCCTTTTTATCCTTTACTTGTTGCTGCCTCTTTAGTCTTGCCCCTTCATTGGCATATATCCCGCCTCCCAAAAACACCATAGTGGCGCCAGCAAGAACGCCCATGGTTAGGACGTTCCCAAAAAGATAAACGGAGAGAATCAGCGAAACTAATTTGCGAATGTTCAGCACAATAACCACGGTTAGTGAAGAGGTTTTTGCCAATAGGAGGTAGACGCCTCTGATACAGATGTACTGTGTCAACGCATTCAGGAGGAGGTAGGCGATTTTGATGGGGATCATTGAGAGGATTGGGTGTATTGACGGGTGGTTCGTGAGAAAGTGTATAAGCGGTAATACCGAGGTGATAAACTGCGTCGTATTTCCCGGAGGAGTAGACGTGGTTGCAGAAGTAGCTTGGATGAAGCTGGTGACAGACGGAGACGCCAATAAGGATTTTAACTGTGGCAGTAACTGCGGATACGAGGGAAGTAGGAATGGTATCGACAGAGCGTGTGAGTAGAACAAGCCTTCCCGCCAATTATCGCGGCCGTATTTCTGATATAGGCGATCAGCATATACGCCCTGAAATGCAGCGAGAACCATAGCTAAGCCAAGCATCGTAAACCCGGTTAGAGTCAGGACTGGAGAGGAAGATCCCTCGCCGGGGGTCAATCCAAGATCCAAAGGTTTTCCTTTCGCGCTTGCATCGGCAAAAGCTGCCGCGACCACCCCGATTGAAAGAATGGCAACTGAGACAATTTGCATGCGAGTATATGTCTTAGAGTTGTACAAATACCCTACAATCATTGAGGCAACAGGGCCCCCGCTTCGAATAATGATATGTAGAGGTACCGAAATTTCGAATATAAAGGCGGCATTGTTGAGTAGGTTTACCGACATGAAAAATGCAGTGTATATCGCCCATGACTTTAATGGGATGGCAGGCTTGGAGATGAAGAGAGATTTGACTCCGGCCGCGGGGGAAACAATAGTTGGGAAGGTAAGAGTGGCTATTATTACAAATTGCGCAAATGTAATAAGTGTCCCTATAGCATGTTAGTATATTCAATCTCCATCGAGGTCGTGCTTGCGGTGACTTACCGGAGTTAGGGTCATCTCTGGAATCCAAATATCAAGGTTAGCAGCCAAATACCACAGATATCGGTCCTAATGGCAGAATTTCGTAAAATCCACTCACTTTATTAGAGCCTCTAGGGAAAACACCTATGTCAAAAGTCAGCTTATAATCCAAGGCTGACAGATGCGCCTCAACAAGAATTCACCTACATTTGAGCAACACCCTCCGAATATCAGAGATGCGATGATCACGATATTCACCCAAGCAGGAACCGTGGACTGCGCAACTGCAGATGCCACACTGCTCAATTTATCATTGGTTACCACTTCGGGGCAACCTCCATTACTCAAGGAATGGCTTTCCATACCATCCGCACCCGGTACATCCGCTGAAGTGGCATCATCAAGCATGTTAGACTTTCCAAGGCCCGGCGAACGTGATATATTTTTGGCCCGATGCTTTGCCCGAGAAGAACCTCTTGGTTCTTCCATCCTGGCCATTGTCAAACTGAGCGGGACGATTGAACCTTGAAAACCTGGGTAAAGTTAGCATGCTAGACGGCTCAAGAACAAATCACGAGGAAGTACGAAGTGCTGAATACCTTTCGAGGCCAACAAGGTCCAGCCACAATGAAGTATCGATCCAGAATGGATCGCATTGAAGGCTGCCGCGTTCGCCATTTTGTTTTATCGCGAGCGCATTTTGCCGATAACCGGAGCGGAAAAACTAAATTACGTATGATCTTATCAGATCCTCGGATCTTTCCTTATCTCCGTCTTTATCTTGTTGATGGTAACCGCGATGGTAACAATGACGATATCTCTTCGTAGGATTCGCTGTTGATGGTGGTCCTCTATTGCTAGACGAATTGCATATTGTTGAAGAGATCTCTATTGTATTACTTGATGCTAGCTTTGACATATAAGAAGCTAAAAAGAATAGGCACTTTGACGAGACATTCCACTCAACAAAGTCATTAAGCGGCCAAGTCAAACGGATACCGCTAGCAAAACATTATGTTGGCATTTCATGTTTCCAAAACAGCTATATTAAAGTTATAGATGGTGGAATACGCTCCGCATACTGTGGGGTGCGTTGAATATAAATCACAATGGCCTCTCTTCGCCTGTTAATCATCCTCGATATCATCGTCACTCAAGACGAGTTTATCCACTGCCTCTTCAACAGTAGGCAGGGTTGAGGCGTTGGACGCCGTTAGCATCGGTTGTCGCATCCTATTCTTTCGAGGAGAATTGAAACTTGAGCCGTAAGATGCATCATCGCCGAGTTGGAAATCATCATCTTCAAGCTCTTGGCTTCGCCTTATCAGACCACTGAAGCGGGTTACTTTCTCTATATTTTTCCGCACGGAAGGGTCCTTGGATATTATTCTCATATAATGGAGACGTTCCAAGAGCATCTCATCCCTAGATACCATGCACCGTGGTGCAATATCGCTGTCTTGGTCGTTTTGCGACGACAAATCAGAAAACCCGGCGCGGTTCCTCCATGACTCAACCCCCTCCGTTCGTCGAGGCGCTGAATCCGGGACATTTAAGCTGGTAGCGGCAGCTGTCATCCGTCGCATCCAAAGGGAAACTAGTCCATCCACTTCTTCAGCTTGGCGCCACAGCCGTAGCGAGGAAGGATAGAACATCTTGTGTGCGTCGGGTCCGCGTCTGTTGATTGGGTAGGGGAGGGAGAAGAGAAGGCCGCGTGAGGCGACCTGGAAACTTATCTCGTCTTGACGTAGAATATCGATACCCGTTCCCCCGCCTTGGAAAGCGAGGCGAGCGGCTCCCAGTCCTCTAGCAGATTGCATATTCCTGCGATTTCCAATACCTAGAATATCCGCAGCTGACAGCTGCTCTGAGCAGTCGTCAAAACACTCAGTGAACAAATCACCGTGGCAGGATGGGGGGAAATTTTCATGTAGCGCAGAAAGAAACGTTTGGATATCGGTTCCGGTTTCGTTTATCAATTCGTCCACAGAAACCTGGGATACCAAACGATTGTGCTCTCGAAGATGCGAAAGGGGTTTCCCAACACCTGAACTTCCACGAGTAGATGCTAAAGAGTTCGCATCGTCCCGTTTGTTGTACATAATTTTACCAACGGCATGGAAAATGCCGAGACTGGCTTCCCTTTGCGTGACCATTTCAAGGGTTTCGATTTCCATAGCTGTAGGCGGAACGGCTGCTTTTCCCGATCGTTTCGGGCGGCCATTAATCGTGCCACTGAACCCTTCAAAGTCGCCGCCCCGAAGGCAGATAAACTCCAATGATGAAATTGCACTGCGGATGTCTCCCATCTCCGCGAATCTCTTCAACACTCCAGGCCCTGGGATACGCTTTCGTTGAGATATATGCGCTTCCTTCTTTAAGACGAGATCCAATGCCTTGGTGAGAAACGTTGGAGCAATTGGGTTAAATTCGATAATGCTAACGCCAGGATGGTTGGAAAGTTCTGGCCCCAGTAATCGATGGACTGTGAAATTATCCGATAAAGAGGCACCATCTCCCAATAGTGTCTCGGAGACAATGATAATAATTGGAGTACTCGATTCAGCATCGGGGCGAGATGCCATCCGAGTAGCTACTGAAGGCAATGCCGAGGCGGCATGACGCTGAAGCGCTGATCGAAACGCGACCAAGCCCGAGGACCCTGGGCTCAGGGATGAAGGGAATTCTTCAACAAGAATCACACGATTCCTAGCCGACCGTGTGGCTGCGCCGCCATTAGGCGCCGAAGAGGGTGGCTCATTGTCTAGATCCAAACAGCTATATTTCTCGCTTCGCCCAAGGAAGTCGTCAAATTGGGTCCCGGTCGATGTATATCCCTGAGCCGAGTATTCTGTTCCAGCAGAATTTCTCCATTCAACGACATCATATCCGAGGACTCTAGATAACAGGGAGACAGTGGTGGTCTTGCCGCTGCCAGCAGGTCCTTTCAAAACGAGGATGCGCTGCAATCGTCTGTGTTAGCATAATTGCTCGAGAATCAAGTAGGTAGCAACAAAGAGAAGGAAGATATCATGTCTACCTACGCGTCTACTTCGGCCAGAGAAAACCTCGTTCAGCCAATTCTGCACATCCGAGACCTTCCTCTTATGCACTGCGAGTTCGTCCAGGTTAGCTGGCGCAAACTGCTCCGCCCATGGTTTACCGGTCGCCTGTGTTGGCGCTGTAGATGACCCAAACGATCCAAACGAGGCGAAAGTAGACTGCGAGGAGGGCCCGAGATCGTTATTATCGGCGTGAAGTATGAATCTCTTCGCCGGCCGAGGTATCTTTTCCGGTTTAACCACGGAGGCGCCGCCCTTGGTTGCTGGCGGGCTCTTTTTCCGTCGATCCAACGTTGGATGCCCACGGAAACTTGTCAATGGAGCCTTATTGATCTTCTGCCGGGGCTGGGATAACATCTCGTCCAATGAATCGTCATCCTCAATCATGTCTTCCAGCATATCATTCTGAAGCTCCAGAAACATCTGCCTTTCCTTCTCCTTTTCTTTCTCCCTTTCCTTTTCCCGCCGTAGTCTGCTCCATCTCTCCTCCTCGGTAGCTGGTTGAAAGAAAGTCCGTAGTGATTTACTAGTGTGTTCAGCTTGCTCCTCCCCGGTATGCTTCTTGGTCTTTCGTTTCTTGTCAGGAGATGATGCGGGAGTCGTGCGCGCCGAAGGAATGGAGGGCGCCTTGCTCGGCGATCTAAGCACGCTGTTCAGCGTTCGCTTTGGGGGAGGCGGTCGAGCCTGCGTGGATAATCGCGTAGGTAGATTTGACGATAGCGACAGCTGTAGAGTTCCATTGTAATTTTTGCTGCCCGCCGTTTCAGCCGGTGTCACTCTTGAGTTTGCTAAAGGGCGTTTCTGGCTCGGTGTCCCCTGCGCCCGTGTCGTCGGTTTCCCTCTAACGGAGACTGGACTTTCGAGCTCGTCGTCTGAAGAGTGAACTATGAGTTTCCGTTGTCGCTTTCGTGGGGGTGGAGAGCCCATGGCGAGTGAAAGACGGTGGAATCAGAGGCTACATTCTTCGGCGGGAAGGACAATGCCTGAAGAATGGCGCTGCTGGATTATTCCTTGTAGAACATGGCTTGAAACGAATGGTTTTGCGTGGTTCGGGCTGTTCGAGTTGTTGTAGATGGACTGGATGTTACTTTTTGTAAGTCGCGATGCGATATTCGCTGTTTGCATGGTTTGCTCTAGCGTAGATTTACAACCAGGCGAAGAAGATAGTTACAGTAATACATCAGGAGAAAAGAAAGATAAGTACATGGGCACCGGCAAGAAAAAGGGTATATAGATTTCTTTCCTCTCCAACAAAATCAGCTGCCGCCAAAAATATCATAATAATAGTCTTCATCCAATCCCTCCCGACTAGGAACTTCGGGGCAGTCGCCCGTAAATGCGGCATCATCGAAGCGTACATTCAACAGCCTGATTTTCAGCCCATAGTTACTGATCAGGTTGATCAGTTTGTTTGTTTCGGCTGTTATGGGCTGCTGGTTGAGGATCATCAGTAGGCCATCCAGCCACTCTGATGCTATGCTGTGTGATTGGGGGTAGAGAGTAAGCAGGACAACTTCGCTCCGGCCTTCCTTGTCGTTTTGATTGTCAGCGGGCTTGCTGTCCGATCTACTAAGGCCCTGGGAGCTATGAGAGTGCGAGGAGGTTGATTTAGCGTGTCCGTGAATGGTGATTTTGGTTGATGAAGTTGAAGTATGGGGCAGGGTCTTGATCGTCGAGCCTGAGGAATCGTCCGTGGAGGCCGACACGTTAGACACAACGGAAGACACGGTGTTTAAATCGACTGTAATCATGTCGAATTAGCACGGACACTAGAAGGAAGGGAGAAGTAGTGGAACATACTCTTATTAGATAGGGAATCCAAATCGGGCTTGAAGTCGTCGCCCATGGATTCGAAATCCCCGTAGTGCAAGTGTCGTCGATTATGCGATAGCTGGACATACCTATAATGTCCGGGGGCAGCTCGCTTGTCCGACGTCCCGTTACTATCGTTCATCGCCTTAGAAGTCGACTCGGTACTCGGAAACCAAGCGCCCTGCAACAGACACCTAACACGCTGCTCCTTGACAAACTGCAATGCCTCGTGGTGAAGCTCTTCCCGAACCTGATGCAGATGTTGGCCCCATACATCCTCATACGTCAGCTCCAACAGCTCCATCTGAAGCTCTCTTAGTCGGTGATACTCGAAGTCGGCCATCTCCTCTTCAACCTCCAGCACGTCCTTGACACGCGAAGCTCCACCGATAACACTTTCAATCAATATCCGAACGAGTTCTACTATTTTGGAGAAGTCTTCTAGTTCGGCATCGGTGGATTTCCAGAGTCGGAAGAATGCGTGCAAACCAGCAACATGCAATCTCGGCCAGTGGAGGAGAATGGGCTTGAATAGCTTATCGAAATTAGTCTTGGATTCGAGAGCGAGGTAGCTTTTGGGATCATCGATCTCGGCCTTGTCGACTTCGAAATGCTCGTATAGAACGGAGGTCACTGCCAGTGAGGCGCGGGCAATTGGACATCGCTGCTCGGCTGGTCGGGTTGACTGCTCCAGAAGCATCTTCTGGAACTCATCTTGATATCTCCTGACATAATCCGTCAAATCCATCATACCCAAGAATCCCATCTCCTGGAACTCCCACTGTGGGCTCTCGGTCTCGAACCCCAGTCGGCGCCATTTCTGAGGGTGGTGCCTCCTGGACGATTTATGCGGGAGAGAGCCATCGCCGAGCCTGTCGTCGGCTGCGTCTGCACCCGACTCCTTGTCTAAGGCGGTCTCCTTCTCTGCTCGTTCAGGGTTACTGGCGAGGTGAATCCCCTTTAGCGCCCGCCGGTGCTCTGATCTTTCCAGCTCGACCGCAACCTCTCTCCATTTCCGTAGAAGCACCTTGGTAAGAGACTGGAACTCAATGAGAGGGTGGGCCAAGTCCTGCAACGCGCTTCCCTGCATAAGTACATATACAGCGCGTATAACTCCCAGGTCCTGTAATCGCTTGATAAAGTTGGGCCATTCTGTTTCACTCTGGTTCGAGATGGAGTCCCTCATCAGGGAATTAATGAGTTGTAGGGCATTGGCGCATAACGCATGATCGGCGGAAGAGAGCCTTCTCACCAGCATCTCTAGGAACTGCGGATGGATGGCAATGGCTGGTTTGAGGGCCTGGAAGCCAAACATTCCAGGGACAGATGCGCGGCCAGAGGTGTGAGGGTGGGACACAATTGAAACGAGTATAGACATGGCGCCTCGCAGGATATTAACAAGGGGATGCGTGACGATGAGTTTGACGATCTAGCAAGATATCAGCAAGTGAAAAAGGGGTGAGGGAGAGGAGGAGGACGAACTCGCTCGATCAGGTCTGTCGCTACAAACTCCCATCCCTTGTCGACTTCCAGCAACCTCGCGAAGGAAGTCAGACTGTATGCCAGCGTATTTCCCGAGGCCGTCATCGCAAGATGTTTCAACTTGGCCAGCCCTCCCTCTGAGATGAATATGTCCGCAAACGAGGGATCCCCTATATTCGACTGCAGCTTGAAGACAGCCATCTTCCGGACCGCATCTTCATCGCTGCCCAATCGCTCCACGAGCTCGGAGACGTTGACGTTCTCCATGTGTACGTACTTCAACTCGCCAGGGGGTACCTCTCCAGGAGGTATGTAAATATGTAACCTGCGTGTCTCGAGGACGAGGGATCGAGGAATTGAACCGACGAATTGACGAATCGACGAATTGGGCGCAATTGGGATCTCGACAGTCGCAAACAGCGCACCACCGACTCTGCTGGACGGTTACAGTCGCCGGTCGGCCTGCAGGGAGGGAGATCGATCGCGCCGGGCTAGCTGCAGGCGACGCTCGAGGGGTGTATACGGGGTAGATAGGTACTCTGTCGAAAGGGACGCGGGATATTTAAATAACGGCCAGACAGCCACGGAGGAGAGCCTGGAGGGAGGACGGGGCGGGCTATGTCGCACCTCCTAGCGCTGCGGTGGCTCAACTGCAATTGCGTAGCGAGGGCCTGAGCAATTTCATTTTCGCGATCTCCCCCTTTACATTAATTGGCGTTTCCCCGAGTCTTTGATTCCCTGCTCGATTCCCCTGTATCTCCACGTCACATGATCGATCTTCTACATACATCTACATCTACATCTATATCTACATCTATATGTATAATATCTATATGTATAATATCTATATGTATAATACGGAGTATACGGAGTATAGTTATGTAGATAGCTACTTGTGTGAGCTAGAACTACGGAGGAATATGGATATGTAAAGATGTATTAATACTAGATTTAATAACAAGCGGAAGCGCCTTCGTTAATCGTAACTTCATAGATCTATAAAGCACTTTTGTAGCCTAAACTTCACTATGATACTCTGTTCGTCGTATCTCGGAGCGTTGTGTATGGCCATGCTTGACGTCCGGTCCATGCCGGCGTCAGGAATAGGCTGCTCGATCTCTGAAAGAGCGATGCTGGCCATGTCAAGCAGTAAGAATGTGCCACTAATTCGTTCGACAGCCAAGCGGCTGCGTGTCGATTTGGTCTATACTCTTAGGAGTAGCGGAGCCTCAACTTTTGATGATAATAGTGCTGTAAACGTAGGGACGTTGACGTAATATCAAATAGACAGTCTGTAGTGTAGAAGTGTCTGAGTATTTAGGGCCCATGTTGACTGGCGCGGAGTTGTCGCCGTAGTTTCGCAGTGACCTGGTCCATCCTGGAGGGATAAGGATATGTTAGATTCAAATGTGCCCTCGCACACGTGTCGGCTAGTCAGCCGCGCCAGCCAACATTCCATATAACATGCGCGATATCTCTGGCCGTGTTGACGGTGTCGATGACCCTATCAATCACGCCACGGCTGGCATTTCTGCCGTTCTCGTCAGGCCACTCATACTCCCCGTCAGAACTGTTGTCGCCATATCCAAACGGCATGAACACGCCAGAGGAGGAGAAAGACTTCCCCTGCTCGCTCGTGCTTTGCGAAGTAGTCGGTTTGGCCTTTGCGTTGCCGAACCACTGGCTGCTGAGGGATGGAGAGGAAGCAGACGAGGTCGGTCTAACCGGCTTGGGTTGCTGGACCTTCCAGTCGGTGTCCCAGCCTGTGTTCCAATCTTCGTCGAGGCCGTACTCTTCATCTAGGAAGAAGTCGCCGTGGGAGATTGTTTTGGCGGCATGATGGCTGGATGGACGCAGGGTTTCGGCAGATGAGGAGCGAGACAGGGTAGGTCGTACGGGCCGCGGGGTGGTGGCCTCTTGCTGGGGTTCGGGGGTATCAGGTCGGTATTTTAGAGTGGTGGACGGCAGATGTGCGATGATCCTGCTGTCACTACTGAAACTGCTTCGTGGCGTGCTCTGGGAGCTGAGGGGCGGTCTGTCCTGGTAGTGTCTCGTCATCATCACGCCGTCGTCAGACGCTTCATCGTCTTCGAGTACGCCACAGTCGTGAACGGGGTGGTAGTAGCCGTAGTATTCTCCGTCAAACGCCTCGTCGTCGTCTTCCACCGCCACGCACTGCGCTACCTCGTTGCTGAAGCTGATGTGTCGTTTATCGGGGAGGTTGCTGTTGTTTTCCGGGAAGAACATGTTTGCCACAGCACTGTCCGAGCTGACTCCGAGCGACTTTTCGACATCCTGACGGGACACCGGGTAGTCGGAGAGATATCTTCCATCTGAGCCGTCCTGGGCCTTGATCAGGGCGTTGGCAAGCCGTAGAAAGGTGTGTGTAGAGTGTGGTCGTTGTAGTATGGACTGTGAGATGGTCCGCTTCTTCAGGATCGGTTTTTTATCGATAAGGGAGGAGTTCGAGGTAGCTGGAGACGAAGGAGTCGGAGACGAGGTACTTGACCGGTCATCGAGGTCGTCTCCTTGTACTTGTAGTGGCCCGTAGAGCCAAGTGACATCTATATCCTTTTGCCTAGTTGATAAACATCAGTATTGTCTACTCCGTATATAACAGTATATATATAACCGACCAGTTCAGAGCTTCTGCAGGAAACGATCCCAGATCGAAGCGAATCCTTGCCCAGGAACGCCATGCAGCATTCTCCAGTCTGTGTCCACTCTCGTACTCGTCCCTTTTGGCCGAGATATACCTCCACGAGCTGCAGACGTCCTCCTCCCGCCAGGAATGAGACAGATAGTCGACATGTCTCGAGGGTTCTCGTTCTATCGAGCCGTCGTCACCGGCCCTAGCCCTGCACTCCATGTCCATGTCCGCACACAAACACAACTAGCTGTGAGAAATATGATGAGCCGAGCAGTGAGGGAAAGCCGAGTAATCAGCTCGTTGCCAGTGGCATCGAGGGCCGACTGCGAGAGTGTCTCTGCGAGCGTCCGGTATATGGGGCGGGAAGTGAGAGATTGGAGGAGTCGGTGGAGGAGAGTGCGATAAAGAGAGCTGCGGGACGGCGGGTAGGTGGGAAGTATATGAACCACAGAGCAGCTGGAAGAGCCGGAGCAGCGCAAGATGTAAGCCGCAGCATCTACCAGGAAACCAATTGAAGCGTCATCAGTAACTTGTCGGTGGGTAGGGCGGGCTATGGGCTTATGGGCTATAAGATTAGCGATGGCCAGGTTTGGCTGTGGAAGCGCAAAATCTAATCGCGGCCCATCCATGCAAGTCGCAAAAGGCAAAGTGAATGCAAAAGCAAAAGAAAAAAAAGGGAAAAGAGGGTAAAAAAAGAATATCGGAGACACGAAGAGGTGCCAGCAGTCTAGAACAGCCCTGGTTTGCCTCCAAAGTCCACTTGCCGGTACATGGATGAGCTGTTCCCTGGTCTATATCGACGGCTTCTACCACAGCAGATATACAAGATATACAGGATACGGCGACGACGGAGGTATCAGGCAGTGTGTCAGAGGCAAGACAGAGATTTATCGGTTCCACTGGCCCGTATTCCGCCATCTTATCGGCTTCTCTTATCCGCCAGCTCGTCTATAAATTGTTTTATCACAGCTACATACACATTGATATCGACTCTGTAGGTTCCGCTTATCGCGGAGTGGGCCATCCAGACCGTCTCCCTGTCTCTCCCTATCGTCTCTGGTCCCTCTCTCTTCCCTGCGTCAGGATGAGAAGGATGAACAGATCAAGGAAGACGTCCGGGTGTGCCTTGACCTCCGGGAAGCCTCCAATATCCCTGCGCTTCAGAGTCTTCTGGGCTCCACCGCACGAAGAATAACGAAGGCAAAGGACGCCCATGAAGTCCAGTAAAGCCCAGTAAAGCCCAGTAGAGCCCAGTAGAGCCCAGTAGAGCCCTGGAGATGGCCAGGAGTCGCCCGCCTGTCGCCACGATGAAGCGGACTAGAGATGCCTAGCCCGCCTTATACATGTCCTATACATATCATGGCCACGGCCCCGCCCCGCGCTTGACGCAGTTTCAAAGACATCTCCGAGTCATCCATCGCCAGCTCCGAAAGGCCGCAAAAACCAAGAAAGGTCGAGACAACGAGGGGGAGCCTGGCAAGGTTGCGAGATATCGACAACCACAGCCTCACTCCACGTGTGGTGAGATCGATGTTGTGCGGTTTGAGTATAAAATTCATGAATACCGCGGGCACAGCATCATCAAGCTTTCGAGGTGAAGTTGGAAACTCGGTATTTGCTTTTCCCTCCCAGTGTCGCGGTGCAACCTCTATCGGCCGTGCAGGCCGTGTGTTGTGCATCATCTTGTACTCGGTACCACAGCACCTGTACCTTGAGCCGCCAGGAATGAGGGAGGTTCGGGATATGGTTGGCGTCTATAGGCTCGTCGCTTGCGACTCGATCTCCTGCTTGTCTTAGATGTGGAATCGAGATTGATATCGAACTCTCAGGAGAATTTGGGATTTTCTTGTTATCGGGCCATTTCCCATGCAGCAGCAAACCTGCCGCTTCGCTTCTCCGGAATACTCCGCCAGGCGGGATGGAATGGCCTATCTACGACTGCCTCTCCCCAAGGAACTGCGGGGAATTATGATACGAACTATGGTGTCACCATCCACAGCGCCTGGTACTTGCTGATGATCGACCGTCTAGCTGCTCAAACGTCGAGCTTATGCCTATGTATAGATGACAGTGGGAGCTCGGTACTTTTCATGTCAACCGCATCCCTGCACCGCTAAACGAGGGGCAGGAGGGAGGGGCATAGGGAGACTTGCACTGTACATGTACACTTATCCCTCATCCTACGGCAAGATAAAAGTCGAGAATATCCCGCGGGCAACCTGTAAATCTAGGCCAGCATACGTATGCCGGAACCAGTTAGCATTGCAAGGCCGATACGAACGAGACCTGGGCAGGTTTATCTTCCTTGATGTGTTGCAATTTCATCCCTAGGCCAGTTGTCGAGGCATGCCGTCGAGCCGCTGGTGGTCGGCAATGGGAAGGAATCAGCACAATGCATGTAATTTGCAAGTATCCATGAGTCTTAACGGCCATGCATATATCCGATCCATGTCAGGGTTGTATAATTCGCTGGTCGTAGTCAGGCAGTTCAATTGTGCAGATACATCATCTAGAGCTATCATTCGTGTATGCGTTGATAACACAGCTGACACCGTGTAGATAAGAATCGTGCAGGTTAGAACTGTGTAGGTTAGAACCTCGAGGGGGGGTTTCGATATCGACAGGGGTGCTATAGGAACAACGGCCTGGAAAATCAGGTCGTAACCCTAGAAACCTCTTCACCCAGGATGTTTATTGAGGATAGTTTCTCCTATCTTGTCGGTGTAAGTATAGATACTCGCACGCCTGGTGTCGCTTGACGGTCTCTCTGGGGATGATTTAAGCGACATCCTCGGCATTCCGCCTATGAGTTGAGTAGAGATACGCAGTAGTTACCGCGGAGACCTTGGGAGCTCTCGAAAACACGGCTACATAGTTCCAAGACCAGGGCCAGGCCAGCTAGATGGCATGATTCTATCCATGTAGTCGCAATATATATACCGAGCTCATGTAACTAGCGATGACTTCAGTCCTCCTCCATTGGCGTCTCGTAGAGTAATCTCGGTTCGTTCGGCAGATAGTACTTACAGCGAGACTTGAACCAGGGCCACTCAAATGTCGAATTATCCTTTGCCAGTGCTCTCTGCGAGAGATAGACCGAAAGACAAGTCCACGTCGTCATGCGATCTAAACAAAGGATATTAAACGGTTTGAGGCGCCGGAGATCGCCTGGTCAGATAAGCCCATACCTCGATAGGCCTGGCGGGATACCACCCTATGCCGGCTCGCCGCACGACGGCTGCTACCCTGCGTCATCGCGCAAAGAGACCCAAGGATGAGCAGAAAGTCATCCTCTTCCCACTGTTGAAGAAGAAGAAAGACGTTCATCTTTGGGATCTACCTTCCTTTTACATCCGGCCTTAGGTAAGCATCTTAGATAAGCATAAATTATTACATAAGCTGGTCTATCTTGTTCCTGGACGACGCAGAAAGTAGAAGCACGAAGCCACCGAGATCAACTGCGCCCTTTATACACCGAATATAAAGGCTGAATCATGGCAGACACTGATAATGGAGACTCGCACGCTGCCCCTGCCGAGCCTCAGGCCCGCCATATAGTTTACTGTGGAGGTAGGCCCTGGATCTAGCTGCAGATTTACCCCTCCAAAACTGATAGTGGGATGAAGGATGCTAACATGTCAGATGGCTCTATACAGTGTGCTCTCTTCCTCCAGAGGTATGGAATACCATCCGATAAGGAAGATTTGTTCATATACCGCTATATATGTTCCGCTTCACACTATCTAAAGCTTCAGGGGACTCGCGTGACTGACTAGGACGCCATGATCTAGTACTGTGAATTTGGCGGCACAGCAAAGAAATGCGAAGAATGGCTAGAGAAATCACACCCCCAGCTTTACGAGACACTATACTCTGACGGTACTAACCCCCCATGCTCACCGCCTGTTCCTCCTTCTCTACATATATCTATATCAAGGTTTAACGATGGTCAGAAACGATCGCCGCAAACCTCTCCACCCTGTCCGTAGCAGCTCGCGAACGCGCAGCCAAAGACGCAGCCAAAAAGGAAGCTAAAGCCGCCCAAGCTGAGACCCGTGAACATGAGAAGAAAGCTGCGTCGAAGATCCTTATTCGACGTGTGGAGAGGAACAAGCGGAAGTTCGTCACCGTGATATCAGGACTAGAGGCACATGGGCTGGATAACAAGAAGGTAGCAAAGGGGCTAGGCAAGAAGTTTGCTACTGGCAGTTCGGTAACGAAGGCTACTGGCGCTGCCGCCGCGACAGGTACGAACGAGGAGATCACAGTGCAAGGAGACGTGAGCGAGGAGGTGATGGAGTGGTTGTTGGAAAACTACGGGGACGTGCCGGAGGATAACTTTGAGCTGGTAGAGGATAAGAAGAAGAAATCTGGAGCTGCCGCTGGTGCGCCGGGTGCTGCTGCTTGAGCGAAGAGGGTGAGGCAGCTCGTTTCAGTGATGATATTCTGGATATTTGCTGCCCGGGTTTTACGCTTGGATGGTGTGCTTTGGGAATGCGCGTCTTTGGTTTCTGCATATGAACGGTCACGACATATTATGGTTGAGGGTTTTTGCCGTGTGATAAAAACGGCTTCATACAACTTACAGTATAAGTATATCTACGTGTAGATAAATATCCGATAATTATGCTGCATAAATGAACAGCAAATTCGATCTCATTAGATTGCAAATGGGGTATCATATACAGATGTAAAATACATAAAAACGCCAGGTTATTTCAACCAATATCCTCCAACTCCGTGCTGTCTACCGTGAAGTATCAGTGTAGCCGTAACCTCTTAACCCATCAGGACGCCATTCCATGCAAGTCTACCCAATTCGTTCAATGGTAGAATGGGATGTCCAACTCAGCCCTGATTCTGGTAAGGTGATGATTCGAACTTGGTATTGAGATGTGTGAGCAGACATGTTGCAAACAAGGGATGCGAATTCAGAGCTCGTCGATGATCCGCTGCAAAGGCTCCTCCAAGCCAGCTGCCTCAATGGTAGTAGATCTGGATGCTGTATGGTCGACAGCTTTAGTTGCAATCTCAACAGCGGCCTCTGTACCAGGAGAAGACTTCAAGCAGCTCCAGTCCGGCGAGACACCCTGCGAACACACTTCAGCATCCGCCCCTCCCGGAACAGCAGCCACTGCAGTCGTCTTGGAACGGAAAATATCAAACACAGGCTCCGGATGCCACCAGCCCATGATCTTCATGCCCACCCAAGCAACGAACATCAGAATAACCGCCGCAGCCAACATCCTCAGACGCCGCGTGATCTTAGCCTGCCATTCATCCTCCTCGCGGTCCCAGGCCATGATTCTCCCACGCGCAGTTTCCAATCTCTTATCCAGCACTGCCGCCTCCTTCCTGGCAGCTATAATTCGTGCCTCCAAGGCGTCGATGCCCTTTATCTGACGGCTGAAGTTGTCGAATTTCATAATCTGTGCCTTGGCTTCGCGCAGCATGGCGGAGGAGCGGACATCGAAATCTCTATGACGTTCAACAGTGCGATTGGTGATCACTTGGACGGAGCGGATGGAGGTACGGATGTCAGCTGCGTTGTCGAGAAGGTTGTAGCATGCCTTGTCGAGACGTTGGGAGAAGGAAGCCGACTGATCTGTAATATCTCCGAGAGCATCGGAATTTGCTCTACTCATATATATATTAGTAAATTGAAGCACCATTGACCAGATATAAACGTACTGTTCCTCCTTGAGTCTCTTCTCGCGTAACTCCTCGAGATCGGCCTTCTTGAGGACCTCTTCCTTTTTAACAAACGGAAACCGACCAGCCAGCTCTTCCCTCGCCTCCTTCGCCTCTCTCAGTCGACGGGCTTCCTCTTCTCGCTCCCTCTCTCTCGCCCTCGCCTTCTCCTCGGCTTCCGCAGCAGCCGCGCGAGCTCTCTTCTTACCCAGCTGGAACGGCATCTCCGTCACATGCTCTATAGGGAAACTCTGGGTTCGAGCGTGTTTCTCGTCGCGCTCATGCCGCGATTTATGGTGCTTATGGTGTTTCCGGCGCAGTATATCGCGTTTCTCGACGTCGGAGGACTTGTCTTCCGGCTGGCTGGAGAAGGAGAACAGCGTCGGGTCTGGCACGCTTGCCTGGTGAGGGATGTAGAGGTTGTTATGGAGAGAAGGATAGTGTCTGCCATGGAGAGGAGAGCGGCGGACGGTGCCTGTACCTGTTGCTGTAGCTGTTGCTATCGCCGCGCTGGGTGAAGCTGTTTGCATCTCGGTGTTTTCATCGGCGACGCCTGCAGCACTTTGTTGTGCGGCAGGCACCACTAAAGGGGGTATCTTGAGGTTCTCTGCCTTGTCCATCTTTGGCTTCTCTCAATATCTGGCTGCTTAGTGAAGGGATGCACTCCACAGTGCAGTCGCGGTTTAGGAGCTGGGGTTGCAGGATGGTTGTTGGCTGACGTTTTTGCTATCGACAAGGGTTTGTTTTTCTACGTACGTCATCCCTGAGCTCTGCAGCAAATAGTCTTCTAGGCTCAAGCTTACATAGATACTGTAGCTTACTCTGTATATAGATACTGTGAAGGCTACATTTAGTCTATTCATTGATTGATGCTCTACTATGTGCTGTTCTGTCTACAAGTGCTGTTAGTCTTGATCAATGGAACAACCTCAAAGATGTTTCACTGTATTCAGCCATGTGGGGTGGTTTCAACGGCCTCTCCCTGGGATAAAGGAGTCTTAGGCAGGTCAATATATGGCCGGTGTCTGGAGCCTTCAGCCCACTCGTTGATTCACCCGTAGTGCAGTCTTATTTTCATAAAGATCCCTTTCGAAATCTGCCCAAAGTCGACTTTTAAAAATCCATCATAAGCTCCGTACTCCAGCGCATGCAAGTAAACCCGTATAATAGTGAATCCATCTAAGAATTGAGCAGCTTATTCCTCTTCTCGCGCTTCCTCAACCGCTCGACTCGTTTCTTGTGCATTTTCTCTGCCAGTTTCTCGTATCGCTGTTTCTCTTCCTTGGCTGCTCTCCGGTCCTTGATCGCTTGTATACGGGCCTAGTCGAGACATGCATTAGATGGATGTAGAGTATGCAGCGAGCCAGATGAAGGACTGACCTGTCGTATGGACTCCTTTTCATCCTTCATCTCCTTCTCTTTCTCCTTCATGACGGCCATCGCTTTTCGCTCCTCGAGTCGTTTTGCGTATGAGGTCTGTCCGGCAGTAGGCCTGAAGGCAGTCTTGGGCGCATGCCAGTTTTTACCTAGACGAGGTCAGAGAATTGAGCAGAGAGAGCAAGGGCATTGCGAGGAGGAGGTTACCATTTTTCCGCATTCCCTTTGGCTGTCCTGACGTGGAAGAAGCGGGAGCAGGGACGGTGGGCGTCTCCGAGGGCGTCTCAACGGACTTCTGCATGTCTTCTGCCATCTTTCCTTCTCCTTCTTTTCTGCTTCTCCTTCTTCTGTTCTTTACTGTTCTTCTCTTCTCTGCTGTTTCTTTCTTTCTTTCCGAGAAAAGTTACCCAAAGAGGACTAGCGTATCATCTTATCTTTTTGATCAGATAAGCGGATCTAAGTGGGGCCGAAGTCCGAGATGTCCCACTTTTATCTATGACTAAGCAAGAAACTTCTCTTGGCCCAAAAAGGAAAAAAAAAAGAAACGAAAGGGACGAAGAAAAGGACGAAGATAGAGAGAACGAGAAAACAAAAACCAGACGAGATGGACGAAGCTTGACCTCAGCACGCAAAGCCGTTTATATCTGACACCCGCTGTCTGCATATCTCGTTTCTTCGTCGTTGGCGTCATTCTCAGCCGCCTACCGTCTATTTATAAGTCAACCTACCCACATCGCATCAGCTTTAAATTTGGTTAAAGTCCGTTCCACCGTATAGTTACAAGCACCAGTGTTGGCATGCAGTTCTCGTGGGAATAATGTTTCGCTTCACCGGAGACAGTCCTTCTGTGATGTCCCTCCGATAGCGGCTTATCCAGCAACTACATCTGATCCTCTCCTCCGCCGGTGTTCAGCCCCTAAACCACCCAACCGCCTGCATCGGTCACCGCCATGGCCATGGATGGAGATACGCTCTCAGCGGTGAAGCAGCAGCCGACCATCCATGCGATGAACGTCGAGCTCTCCGACCTGCCTGTGAGGGCTCAACATCATGGCATCGATGCGGCCAAGGACATCGTCTTCGGCTCTGTAAGCTCGTAACACCACCTACAATTGCAAAGCTCTCAGCTAACCACTCTCAGATCGCCGGAATGGTCGGAAAATGCATCGAATACCCCTTCGACACCGTCAAAGTACGCCTACAGTCCCAGCCTGACGGCGTCCCCCTCCGCTACAATGGCCCAATCGATTGTTTCCGCCAGTCCCTCCGTCAAGAAGGCATACATGGTCTATACCGCGGCATCAGCGCTCCCCTTCTCGGTGCTGCGATCGAAAACAGCTCTCTCTTCTTCAGCTACCGTCTCACACAAAACCTGGCACGGAAATACATCTACGGTGGCCAGGAGAATCTTCCCTACACCGGTTTGCTAGCTTGCGGTGCTGCATCTGGCTCATTCACTTCCATACTCCTCACGCCCGTCGAGCTGGTTAAATGCAAAATGCAAGTTCCCAGCGGCGAGCACGCAAAAACACTCCGACCACTGGCTATCGTCTCGGCTGTGTTTCGAACGCATGGGCTTCTGGGTCTCTGGCGCGGCCAGCTAGGCACCTTGATACGTGAAACGGGCGGTTCTGCATCGTGGTTCGGTGGTTATGAAGGTGTCTCTGCGATGTTTCGGCATTATAATTCTCCGCCGCAAGGGAAACTGGGGAGTAACGATGAGCAGCCGAATCTACCGGTATATCAGCAGATGATCGCCGGAGCGACGGCCGGTGTCCTCTATAACTTCATCTTCTACCCAGCCGACACCATCAAGTCGCGGATTCAGACAGAGGATATCGCCGCGCATTCGGCCAAGGGTGGTACGAAGATGCCTTCCTTTTGGTCCGTGGGGAAAACTCTCTGGAAGCAGCACGGGCTAGCTGGGCTGTATCGTGGGTGTGGCATAACAGTTGCTCGATCAGCGCCCAGCTCTGCCTTTATATTCGTTATATACGAGGGACTAAAGTCGCATTTCCAGTAGTCCGCGATCTTATTTTCTTGCTTATTATTCTTTTCTTACCCCGCCATCTTGGATCTGCGGTATACATACATCGACTTGCATCGGACGGTTGGTAGACATAGGAGGAGCCCGGCGTTTCTTCAGAGATCCTTTCGGATCAATATTTTCTTTTTTTTCTTTCACCATGCTATTTCAAAACATATACATCCCGTCCCAGGATCTAGATGGACGGAACATCTTAATGCGATCTACGGAATCCCTTTCCCAGTTTTCTTTTTCTCCTTTTTCTGACTCATGCCTGCATCGTTTTAGCCGCGTATGAAGTCATACATGGCACTCGACCTTCCCATTTCTTCAACTGCTCGTATCGCCAAAATAATCTACCTTTTGAGCCTATATAAACATCACATTTATGGAATATATTCGTATAGCATGGAGTAGAAGTGATTAAATACTATGACCGGCGGACTCCGCCCTGAACTAGCCTTTAGACTTTCTTCTCTATATAACCGACCCTCACCTCCCTCCAAGTCCATAACATCGTCAACTCCCACACACGCTCTAACTAAGCTCTAACTAAGCTGCAAACACCACGTACGCCCAAGATGTCAGCTTCGATCACAGCCGCAGAGTTGGAGACTCTCTCCCAGAAGGCCATTGCAGCCAAAGACCGTGCCTACTGTTCGTTGTATCAGCTACTGCACCACTGCCCATCACATAAGAGGTTGACTGACTGGTGATATAGGTGTGTACTCGAAGTTCCGTGTCGGTGCATGTCTTCTCACCGAGAGCGGGGAGTTCATCACCGGCGTAAACGTCGAGAACGTCAGCTACCCCGTCGGCGTATGCGCTGAGCGATGCGCGATGGGGACGGCAGTGGTACGCACACCCGCATATATATAATATTATAACCGCGTTATTAACTTATATCGAAGGCGGCGGGCCATACTCGATTCAAGGCCATCGCTGTGGCTACGGATATCACTCCCGGAGCTTCGCCGTGTGGTATGTGTCGGCAGTTGTAAGTGGCATATTTATTCCCTCTCATGGTCCATATATATGCACGCTAACGGGGCCGTTTACAACGCTGTTGCTTGTCATTAGTATGCGCCAATTCTGTGCCTTAGATTTCCCTATCTACATGTATGATGGACAGGGGAAGTATACGATGCGGACGATGGGAGAGGTATGTATCCGACTTTACCTAAATGGTGATTAAGTGGTGTGTTAATGAGGGTTATAGCTGCTTCCTGCCTCCTTCAGCCCGGCGGATCTGCCGCCGCCCGATAGCTAGATGTAGACAAGGTCGTTCCCTAGTCCGATAGGAGCTCAATATAGCACTATGAGAAGATCCATCTACAGGGACCAGCTGCGCATGTACGGTAAGTATACTGCGGTTAAATGATAGGAATGAAAATAATATATAAATATATGACGAATATATAAATCTACCACCAAAGAAATAGATTCATGCTGTGCTCCTATGGACATGATGCCCGTATCTGCTCAATCTCCTCAGCTGGTGAAGCTGGGTCCGCCTTCTCTTCAAAGGAGGGAGAATACTCGTCGCCACCTTGACATACCATCTCCTCTGCCTCTCCCACCTTCTCCTCAAACCCATAATGCGTGTCTTCACCAGGAACCTTGAACACCACACAGAGAGCCCAGTATGCAAGACCACCAACCAAAAAGCTAAGTACCCAGCCGAGAGAAAACATATGATCTGCCGCGCTGGACACGGGGTTGCCAAAACTGCCTATCAGACCTGGTAGGGGGAGCAAGGCACCAATGACGAATGCAGCAAAGGCACGAAGGTTGAACCCCTTGGTAAAGTAGTATCTCGCGGTAGATGAGTGGCGATATAGATCCGGTAAGTAGAGGTTTCCTCGTCGGACAAGGAAGTAGTCGACCATCATAATTCCGACAACGGGGCCCTGGAAGATGCAGTATCCAGTCAGGAATCGGAGGAAGCTGCTTGCAGTACCAACAAGGCGCCTAGATGTATATTAGAATACTGGACTGTGCATAGGTCGGGCCGAGACATATACATACCATGGCACGATGCCTAAGGAAATGACCAACCAAATACACTGTCCTCGAACAATGTTTACGTATTTTGGTGCAAGGCAGGTGATATCTGCGGCGAATGGCACGGCATTGCAGGCAATAGATGTTCCAAGAGTTGCAAATGCCCAGGAAGCAGCTGCAAAGAAAACTCCCGCCCGCGCTTTTGGCGTGTAGCCATGATCAAGTATGCCATTAAGTAGATCATAAGGATTCCAGTATGCTTCTCCATACATGTTCTTCACCGCAGCCTATCAAGTATACGTTAGCCTAGTTCGGGTAGAATATGGATAGATATTCTACAAACCGTGGTGATAATTCCAAATGCTGCGCATATAGTTTGAGATAGAGGTAACCCGAGAGCCTGCCCATATACCTGGGCGTTTCGAGTTGTTGAATACCGAGCAAGATCGGGGACTGTAACAATCAACGCCGAGTTGGTGCCTAAAACAGCATTGAGCTGAGAAACAAGTGCCCATGCAAATATGGAAGTTGATTCTCGCTTCGACTCATCCACCAGCTTATCTGCGGAAACCCCCTTGTTGGCGGCTATGGCCCAGCATACAATACCTAGGCCTGCTAGTGGTACTATAATTGCCTTGACGCTAAACATATGACGGATCTTTGTTGTGTGGATGAGGGTGAATGGAATCGCGGATAAGAATGCAAGAAAGAACCCGATCAATCCTTGAACGGTGATCGATTGGCTCTGAGGGTGATTTAGTTTCGGTTCAGGTATTCTAAGAGGGAGCACATACGGCAGGTATAGTGTTTGGAATCTGGTTCCATCCGGGGAATATGCAACGAAGACATACAGAAATGAACTGGCCTTCATAGTATAGCTGTACGCCACCTGGAATTAATATTCGAGATTAGTATGGCGAGAAAAGAAACAGGCGGCCAAAGCTAGCAATGGATGTAGCATGTCGGAATATGACGTACCCCAGACAATGCCTACTAAGGCACGAAGTACGACAACAAAGTATTGCCCGTATATTCCAAAACTAGCTCTCGATTGGACCGGGAACCCTATGTGATATGCAGCGGCAGCTCTCCCGTTCAATACAATCACAATGGATGTAAGTATGTTTCCGAAGAGAACAATCAAGACTGCATCTCGTACTGTCGCTCCCAGGGTCACTAGAGAAGCTCCAATCGACCATGCTGCAACCGCCCATGATTCACTCCACCTAAATCACCAGGAGAAGGAGGTAAGTAAAAGGAAGGGCCTCGAAGTTGTAGGATGTATAGCAGCAACAATGGAATCACACAAACTCGGATTATGTACCAGTAGGCGAAGAAATCGAACGAAGTCCAAGTACGCTTTTCTGGGGGCGACGGGAATAGGTCTTCATTGGCAAGACTTGAGGAGGAGCTCTCTAGTCTAAGGGCATCATGTAAAGCATGTAACGATGTGAAAGCGTTTGCAAACCGTCGACATCTTGACAGACTAGAGGCGGACAGCTTGAATGGCATCTTTCACAACCTTCAAGGCATCCGTCTAACGCTGACGGTATGTAATGGAGAATCAAACCAAATCATCGCTGATCTGGCTGAGGCCATGGGCCTAATATTTAAATGAAAGAATTCCTCCAGAGTTACACCAAGAGGATCAAGGACTCCATTAGCTTCGCAGTAGTAACAGAGCGTTAGCGTTTGATAACACCCATTACCGTTGGGACATTCCGTTAAATGCATTCCGGTTCACCTGTCCCAGTCCACCTAGAGCGTAACAGGATCGCTGTACAGAAAGAAGCCGGGGAGATCATATTGGGCTATCTTTTACTGTCGTCACGTATCCACCATCCTTGATAAGGGTCATGATCCAAGGAGGCGGATGACACGCGAAGACTAGGGATCCATGGCCTTGATCCTCCGTTTAGATATTCATGATATCAGCCTTGCGGAGGTTGCCGGCGTGGAGCTGTAGATAACTGTGCCGGTTTGTGGCCGAGGTTGGGAGACTTTGGGAGACTTTGGGAGACTCTGGGGAGGTTGGATGGGATGAACATGTGACCTCACCCCCTATTTCGTCTTATACTCCAGCACAGATATACGACGGGGAGTTTCAGCTTCTACCCCAGTGGAGGGGATCTTTCGGCAGGGAGCCACGTAGGTAGCTGATAATGACTGCGGGGGGTTCATGTAGCCGACATTCTTGTCTCTATTGGATGGTGGAGGTTGTCTTGTCGTACAAGGAAATGCCAGTATAAATTGTGTGGGGATGAAATGGATATAGTTACAAGGACAAGGGGGATATATAAATTGCTGAAGAGAGTAACCGAGCATTTATCTACCTATAAAGACCATGGAGAGAAGTATATGACATATATAAAACAGGGTACCAGAAAGGGAGGGAAACAGGCTTGAGGTGGAAAAAAAAGGAAAAAGGATTTGTTCGCATCAGTTACTGTCAGCATAATCGTTGTCCATTAAAAAGTGTTATCCATTCCTAGTAACGGAAGAGACATAGATTGAGTATCGTGAAGACGTCTTGTTCACGCTTCCTCTTCTTCATCACCCTCGAACTCTTCAGCTCCTAGAAGCTCATCCTCATCGTCAACAACACCAACATAGTCGCCTCGACGGGCTGCAAAGGCACCTCTCGACGAGTATGGCCTCTGCCCACCTCGTCTAGGTACTCGCGCGTACCCTCTAAAGCTTCGCCAGAGGCTAGAAAACAAGAGAGGCAACGCTGTGAAAACCGCAACAGTTCCAGCCACGATAGTTACAGGGATAGAGATGAGGGGAGAGTTTCCAGCGAAGATGCTCTCCGGGCCTGGTTCGCCGAGACGGATGCGACCAAACTTGCCATCCCACTTTGAGAAAGCATAGTATCCCACTGCGGCGGCGGCAGCGAAAGGGAAGAAGATGGCTAAAAATAAGCCAAATCCGCTGATACCAGGATGTTTCTTTTCGAATTCCTTTTCTTTGTTGGGGCAAGGACGGGCGACGATGTGGTTGAGTTGGAGGCCGCCTTCACATGTGGTCATCGGGAGTCGTCGATAACCAGTGGGATCGAAGTATTCTACAGCTTCTGGGTCATCCTTGCAGATCTGCATAGGGTTAGCCGGTTCCAAGCCGGGTACCAAGGCGCAGGTTCCGTCGTTCTGTCGCTGGTAGTTGTAGTCACTGATAGAAAGGTTAGCATTACATGACTTTTTCATCAGAAACGTGTCTACATAACATACCATTCGTAGTCTCGGCGGGTACACTCGCAATTCTTCTTCTCGCTGCTTAATCTATCAAGCCTTGGACCATTGAAGCACTTAGCCTCAGGCTTTTTGCGGTGGTACAGGGAAACATGGCCGAATAAACAGTTGTCTTTCTGCAGCGGGTGCTTGGGGGACCAAAGGAAATAGTCGTCTGCCTCGGGGGCTTCTTTTCTCAACACGCATTGTTTCTGCCTCTCCTTAAGGCCAGTGAAATCAATGTTGATAGTAACGAAGTGAGACTTAGAGTCTTTCCTACCCCACAGCATGAAATTCCGTGACGTATCCGATGGAACGGTAGAGATATCTTCGATCTTTGACTCATCTTTGCTGAACTCGAAATCTTTCCAGGTCTTGCCCTCGTCAAGCGTGTATGAGATAATTTTGGTTGGCTTGTCCTCGGCGACGATCACGATGATTGACCCCTGGTCTCCGTATTCCCATTGATAACGCCCCTTTCTGACGGAGTGCCAGGTGATACCCGCATCACGAGACATGAACGTATCGGCATCATTCCTGGGTGACAAAGAGCTGCCGACGTTGCCGATGCCCATCATAAGTCCAATGGCTGAGCCGGAAGAAAGAGAATCCCGGGGATCACGTCGTTCGGTGTAGCCATGGAGGTGCAAGGCACAGTCTTCTGTTCCTTTATCCTTAACTGTGCACTTGAAGGCATGTCCCTCGGCGTCCTTCTTAGGAGGAGGTAGGAGTGCCCATTCAGCGCCGTCGTTATGAGTTATCACTGTTCTCAGTATCTTTGCTGCGCCTTTATTGACCTCTGGAGTGTTAGCAACTATATTTGTCAGGGCAACTCCTTCAATGCCATGCATTTTTTCGAAGTCAACATAGACGTTCTTGTTCCTATTAGCGCCGCTAAGACTGAGGACATAAGATGTGCCGTTGCTGTTGCTCTTCAGGAGACTGCCAAACTCATGTCCAGGGGTATTATTCTCCGTAACGTGTAGGAAGACCGAGTGTGTCGAGCTATCTAAAACAGTATACGCTTTCTGGGCGTCGACGTGGAAATTTGGCGGGAATGCAGCGTGTGCAAATGTTTCGCCGTCTACACTTGTGTATGACTGCAGTTCGGATCCATTTTTGGTAGCAACAACGATGAACTCGGCCATCTTCGCGAAATCTGCGATGTGGTTACCGTTGAAATGGGTGATAGTGTTCTTTTCGAACATATCCTCACTGGAGACAAGCTGAAGGCCTTTCTCTCGGTTTTCGCCCTCGTGCTGCGAGCAGAATACAAGTTCGTCTTTCGTAAGTTTGCCCTGTTTGCCGATAAACTTGCATCGCATCACGCCGCGCAATAGTAGATCCCATTTGTCTCCACGTTTTTTAGAATAATATGCAACGTCATTGCACTTTCCGCTGTCACATTTATCTCCACCAGTCCAAATCAGCCAGTCGGGATGGCTGGGGTGGAAACTGAGGGGGTGCACGCCCCTTGTTCGAGAAGGAGGAAGTTTGGCTTCGAATGATTTGAAAGTATGCCCTCGGTCTACACTCCAAAAGGCCTTTTCCTTCGCGGTGAGAAGATACACAACGTCGTCGTCATATGTATGAGGAATAACTCTTTCGATGGTTTCGCCGAGCTTGCTCTGCTCCCAAGTTTTACCGTGATCCTTGGTGACGTAGATATCCCCATTGTCCGTTTTCAGGATGACGGTCTCATCGTCACCAGAACTGCTGTCACTGCGTTCCAGGTAGCGATATTGATAATTCGTGTGTTTGAAAGGGCTGATCTCGACGGTGATATCGCCACTTGCAGGAGCTTTGGTGGTCTCCTTGCAGACATGTTCAACTTCCTTCTCAAGATCAGCTCCTCCCTTTTTGATGCAGTCATTTCCAGGAATCATTCGGTATCCAGAGGGGCCCATGTATTTATCCTCAGGATTCTTACACTTTCCTTCAGGCGGGGTCAACTTCAATTTCAGTTCACACTTATAACCGTCGCCACGTTTGAAACCAGGAGCACACTCAAAATCTTCCTCTGTGCACTTGCAAGGCTCGGTTTCTGGGAGGGGCTCTTTGAATTTTTCCTTGACGAAACAATCGGCATCGGCCTTTCGGCGCCTATAGAACTGCTTGTGGCCCATAAGACAGTCCGGTTCACCCTTTTCATCCAACCTAGCAGTCCAACGCTCAAAATCATTCTTCCCACACTTTCTCTCGTGAAGTCCGCTAAAGTCAATGGACATGATGTAATAATTCTCCTTCTCGCCTTGCCCGACGAGTAAGAACTGTAGGGAGGTAGAGTCTGGGGTGGTAGTAAGCTGTAGCGCAGATACCTTATGAGGTAGTTTGGCCTTTTTCCAATCTTTGCCGTGGTTTAGGGAATAAGAAATTTCATCGGTGAATGGCTTCTTGTTGCCTTTTTCTTCGTCGAAAATGGCCACGAGAAGAGACCCTTGATCTCCGAATTCGTACTTGTGCGCCTTGTCAAGGGCCTTGCGCCATGAAATTCCAGCATCGTCAGAAACGTAGAGGTTGCCTTCTTCGTAAGGCTTAAGGCTATCTCCCGAATTACCAACTCCCATGATCAGGCCAGGGGCCGGACTTGAGAAGGTAAGCCCCGAATTTGACGGTTTGGTAATAGAATGAAGATGGATTTCCTTGTCCTTGTATTTCAAAGGCTTGAAGGTCCTGCCATCATCGAACGAGATGCGGCTGACAAGCTTTTTCTCCGAAGCAGCGCCTGACCGGGCATCCTCAGCGTTGTCAACCTTGTTAATCAAGAAGATGCCTTGGATTCCAGACACCTGTTCAAAATCGGTATACATATGCTTGTCCTCATTGACCGAGTCGACGTTCATGGTGAAGGAAGTTCCATTAGAGTCCGAGGTAAACAAGCTCCCAATTGGAAGTCTGGACGTACGGGAAGCGACGTTGACCTGAAGACTGTAGTTCGTAGATCCGAGAAATGTAAAAAGTCCATCCCGAACCTTTGGGCCGCCGTAAAATTCCGCGCGGTCCCAATGCGTGGCATCCTTGCTGACGTATAGAGCCGCTTCGCTGCTTCGCTCTGACGTAGAACCTATAACAAGGAATTTCTTGACGGAAATAATCTTGTTGGCACCTCTGAACGCACGACCATTAAATTCTACCTCGGTGGCCTTATTGTCGCTAAAGAAGTTGTCTGAGTAGACGAGGCGCGGATTTGCGAAGGAGTTCGTATCTTTAGGCCAGATACAGAAGATTCGGTCGTCGATTTCCTTTGGCAGATCCATGCCTTCGCCGAAGACAGGGTTGCCTACTGCCCAGTAACAGCCTTGATCACCCTCGAATAATTTCTTAGTGGTCTTGAACCCATCGGTGGTATAGTAGGATACTCGCCGGCATATACCGGGGAGCAAGCACTCTTCGGCGTTGGCAATGACCTTGTTTGGGTCCTTTCCGTGAAAAGTAAACGGATACAGTCCCTGCAATCCGTTGTATAGCAATTTTTCCGGAATCTTGAATTCGCGCCATGTCTTTGCCGCATCGAACGTCACCCAGTGCTTGCGCTCGCTTCCCACGACCAAAGCACTCTGCGTATGAAACTTATTCGGCCATAACAGCCCCGTCTTATCTTTTATAAGCTCCCATGACGCTGCTGCATCGGTCGATATGTGGATATTCGCTTTCCCTTCTTGGAACAGTATCGTATCCGTGTCCTCGAAATAGTAGACGTTGGTCGGCAAATTATCAAGCTCCTTGACCTTGATCTCAGGTCCGTCGGATTTCGCGAGCACGCCTAGAACGGCACTGGCCAGTAGCAGGCTACCGGCCCACAGGAGGCTCCTGATGATCATGATGAAGTGTGGGATTGCCGGAACGACATAAGTATGGAAACGACGCGCGATAAGACCAGAGGGCTTCGAATAAAGCTTGTCCGTACGCGATAGGGCAGCGTAATATGCGATAGGAGAGAAGAAACTACTGGAATATCGTCAGTATTAGAACTAGATGGCCGTCGCCTCTAGCAAGCAGGCAGCTATATAGGTGGACGATGAACGAACGCGAGGTCAAATTAAACTTATTAATAGCTCTGGATGTCTCGTAGGATAGATAGAAAGAAATCCAACACCGAAAGAAAATGTCAGCAATTCACAGCTGCTCGCGCCCTTATTAGTCCTTAGCCAGAGAGAAAGAGACGGCGCTGAAGTCGTGAAAGCAGTGATGTTGGCCATCTTCGTGTCCTCAGCTTGTTGCAGCGTCAGCTTACGATGCAGATCACGTGATATGGTTTCTCATTTTTGGGGCCAGAAGCAGCCATCTTTACTACGGTCCATACAGCTACAGAGCAGAGAGCAGAGAGCAAAGACACGGAGACGGTGGCAGAGATAGATACAGAGGATGACATGTACTCTATAGACTCGAGCATCCGTGACTCCGAATTATAGAAGGCCGTCGACGCCTCTCCCGGAAGGTCTCCCGCTGCCGCTCGAAGTCGAAACGATGCCAACGGGGAACTGCATACATAACTACTCCATACCTTGGTCAAACGGGGTCGCGGTATGCAGCTTGCTCAAAAATGGCCTTCCGAGTCTCCAACAAGGCGGCCTGCATATGTACTCCGTAAGTCGGATGCATAATACACGGCCGATATAGTTCTTCCAATATTCAAGATGTGAGGTATCGCATCAGGGAAGAAGTGTGGACTTGCTTGGAAGACGGGGCGGAGATATGGGGCAGCGCTTACGCTTATGTACACCCTGTGCATCTCGAATAACATACATGACTGGGTATGGGCCAAGGGTCAAGGGTCAAGGATGTAGGGGCTGAGGAACGAACGGCAAGGGTAGGACTACATACTTACATACGGCCGGCACAACATGCATCTCATATTTCTTCCTCGTCCTCGTATGCATGCAAGTGGGCTAGATGTACGAGAGAGTAAAAGCGGTTTAGTCGAATGCGTTTGAAGAGTTCAATTCATCGAGAAAGTGGATACGTTACGTGTAGTGGCCGGTTACTTGCATTACATTGGTGTGGAATAATTTGTTCATCTGCGTGATATTCATTTTTTTTCTAGACTAGGCTAAAGGTCTAGCTAGGAGAACAAGAAGGCAGGGCGTAGATGAAAGAATAACCAAGCTCCATCCATGCGAATGAGGGCTGAAAACAGTACTTCGTTCCGATGCAAATCAATTACAAACAAGTAGCAGTCAATAGGGGAGGGAAAAAAGGGAATGAACGAGAGGTATGTTAAAGGCAATAATGCAAACTCAAGAGTCGCTATATGATGAAAGAAAAAAAGTTCGCAGGTAGCTGGCGATTAGTAGAGATTTGGTTTTGGTCATAAAGGGCATCAAAAGTATGGGTATGGTAGATGTAAGGAAGATAATAAAAGGAAGTATGGGTATGTAGGCAAGGCATGCAAGCATGTTGAAGAAGTGAAAGTAGAAAATATGCTGAAATTAAAGATCGTGTGAGGGACAGGCCCTCAGTATGGTGGTTTATAGTGATCATCTGCGTGTAATCTTCCTCCACACGCTCTTGACTGAACACTTCTCAGGCTTATCCCAGACAGTAGCCTTCTCGTCGACAACGGGCAGATCAGCCAGCTTCAGCGGGTCTTCTTCACAGGTCGATGTCTTGGGAGAAGAGAGCAGGTCGCTCGATCTGAGGTCGGGTCGGGTCAGGGTCATCTTTAGCGTCATCTCTCTGCTTCCCAGGTTGGATGAATTGAGGACCATGGGCTGGTGCGGGCGAGGACGACGATCAGAGAAGGAAGGCCTCGAGTGCTGGGAGTCGCATACCGATGGCTTCCGCCATGTGTTTTCCGTCAGGTCGGCGGCGGAGGTGGCTGGTCGCGGGGACTGGCGCGGGCTGGGTGGACCGTTGCTGTCCAAGGGAGAGATGAAGTCAGAGTCGAGGAAGTTGTGTGCGGTGGGAGATTCCTGCATCTTCCATTTCCTGTCGAAAAAGGGGGTTCCCAGGTTATCGTTGTGTTCGAGCGAAGGGAAGCCGAACTCGATGGCCTCGTCGAACTTTTGCGGAGAGGCGAGATAGACTCTCAGCTTGAGACGGGCTTCGGGGTCCTGGTAGAACTGGGCCGGGTGGTCGATGGAGCCCTGGGGTGATTGCGGTAGGTGGGAGGGTAGGTGTGGTGTCGGTACGGACTTTGATACCGAGCGTGACCGTGAGTTGTTGCTGTTCTGGAAGTGAGGGTTGAAGGATAGAGGGTGTGGCTGCGAGGCCGTCTGGCTGCGCATGCGAGGAGACGGGAGTGCGCTGATATTGTTCGAGGAAGAGGAGATGGAGAATGTGCGCCGGAAGGAAGACGGCCGTCTGCGATGGGACGACTTGGCCTTCTTGGAGGCAGCGGCGGCCTCTGCGAGATGCGCATGGTAGTCGAGGGAGAGGTCGATATCGTCCTCCTCGTCCAGCCATCTGAAGCTGTCATAGAGTGAGCCATCGACATCAATGCCGGAATCCGCGAACCGGGCGGTCGACGACATGCTTGATATCGACGAGGAGCGGGACAAGGTAGAGGTAGCGGGCAGCGAGAGCGAGGACTCTCCAGGCGTGCTTCCGAACTTGTAGAGGGCCTGGTCGGCGGCGTCGAAGATGACACTGGAGCGCCAGCCACCGAGACGGGTCTGCTCCTCGACGCTGAAATGGCGCTGCTGGACCTTTGGAGGCAGCGATTGAAACCACTCGGAGTCAGCCTGAGCGGTCAGATAGGCGGTCTGAAGCTGCGCCGACGACTTCTGCAGCACGCGATGCGAGGTCTTGCACCGTCTCCTGCTCGAGGGCACAGCGCTGCAGGTGGTTGGCTTGTTGGCGTGTCTCCGTCGTTCGCCTAGTAGCTGTTAGAACGATGACTAGAACAGGATAGAACAGATACTAGGACGGGAGGATGGTTAAAGAAGAAAAAGAAGAAAGAAGAGTGAACATACGAGACTGACTGCCCCTGGACTGTCTGCATAACTTTGCACCCGAAGTGGATGCGAAAGGGGGGCATCGCGATGATTGATCACTTCCACGGCGGTCGAGCGTGCTGACCTGCGCTAGTCTCATTTGCTCGAGGCGGAAGCGCTCGAGGTTGGAGAAGAGCTAGAGAGAGAGACTCCTGTTAGCGGGCGTATAGTGAAGCAGAGTGATGCATCGCATAATGCTATGGTAAGATGCCAATCCGTGTCACCGCGAGCGCCATCAACCCTCCAGGCCAGTCAAAGAGGCCGCAAGAGCAGGCGATGGAGTCGGGGAGCGTGCGAGAAAGTGAGGTCAGAAAGTGAAACCGGGCGGCCCGGCGGATGCTCAGTTAAAGCGTCCAGGGCTAGCGACGCCATGCCTGCCCCTAAGCCAGGTAAGCAAGCCTAGGCTAGGTAAGCCAGGCCTAAGGCAGGCCTAAGCCAGGGCCTAACCCAGGTAAGCCAGCGCTGGAGAACGCCTAGCCTAAGCCTAAGTTTAAGCCTAGCCTAGCCAGCTCCAGTTAAGCTGCCAAGCGCCTAGCCTGGATGATGCGGAGGAGATGCAGAGGAAGATGAGAGATGGCGATGTCGATGAGATGAGATGAGAAGATGAAGACGAGATGAGAGAGAAGATGAGAGAGAGAAGACGTAGAAGAGAGAGAAGATGTGAGAGAGGAGATGTAGAGGCTAACCTTTCGTCGGAGGGCTGGTGGGAGGGAGTCGAACACTTCGATCTCCTGTTCGTCCATCGTGTCTTCACCGTAAATAGTCTGTGTCGTCGATGTCTGTGTCGATGTGATGCCGTCGATGTGTCGATGTCGATGTGTCGATGTCGACGCTGATGTTCGTATGATGTCGACCAGATGTTCGGTGATGCCGTTGATGATGTCTGTGATGTCTGTGTCAACGAGTCGACGATATCGACGTTATATCAAGAGACTGCAAGTGGCGGTGATGCGAGGAGGAGACGGTTGATATATATACGGAGTGCTAGTCGCTAAACACGTACCGCTAGCATCGCATCCTCCATATACTCGTGGCCATGGCCAACACCAACGCCGTTCCTGGTTCCTGCAGTGGAGTTTCTACCGCCCTGTTCCTTTATTTGCTTCTTTGCTCGCTCTTCGCCTGAACATGTACATCGGTTGCTCCCCCATGCTGCCCGACGCATGGCCCCCTGCCCCTGCCAAGCGGGTGTTCGATATGTCCAGCATGACCAGCTTGTTTTCTTTTTCTCCCGCTTCCACCTTGTCCACCTTCGATCAGGAAGACGTGCATCCGGCTTTACTTTTTCAGTACTCCTCCAAAGTGTAAAAGGATGGATGATCCGGTTCAGGTTTGGGAGCCCAAGCGCCGTGCTCGAGCAGTTGCTGATTTGGATCTTAGTCTGCAGAGTCAGCACTTACATTACAGTTATAGTTAAGCCAGAGTCAGCCAGCGTCAAGCAGAGTTACAGCAGAGTCAGAGTTACAGCAGAGTTACGGAGTTAACGCCTATGCTCCTGTTTCGGCCTCGGGCTCTTTGTCTGCTGTGTTGGCTTTGCTCTGGGCGCGATGCTTCATTCTTACTGGCCTGGTCCAGCCGTGGAGGATGGGCGGCTTTTTCTTTTTCTCCCTGCCGAAGTGAACGCTGGAATGGGCATCGTTGGGCGAGATGTAGTCAAGATACTACGCTGACGGACTGCAGTTCGAGTACATACCGCTGCGAGTCGTCGTCTCGAGAGGAAGCACGACGCTGACATCGAGCGGATGATTATAGAGACCCATGATGTATCATACCACTAAGCACCCGCAGCAAACTAGCGACCCCGGCAAGAGATGGATGGGATACGGGCAAATCTATCGACATCGGCCAATACGAGGCCCAGCGGTACCGAACGTGAGGAATCGATCCAGCCTCAACGGTTTCCCTCTCTCACTGCCATCTTTCTCTCTCTCTCACCGCTGATACGGAGTACTCACCGGGCTGATCTAGGTTAGTTGGAATAGCCTGTTGATGTTCATTCGGCTATCCCGTACTTGCTACATATACACGCCTGTGTGACCCCGTCTGCCTCCAAGCGGGACACAGAGACCCCTGAAAACGTTAAAAGCAAGAAACCAGGACGAAGAAGAAAGCAGACGGGAAAAAGCAAAGCGTAGCCCTTTTCTATTACGCCGCTCTGTCGGTACCAACGTAAGCATTCAAAGCGCCGTCAGCTTAGCAATTCGCCCCCTGTCGATGGAGAAGATGGATATCGCTAAGTGGGGGATCTCCGCAAGGTTATGAAGATGGCAGATCGCTAGTTCACGTTCAAGCGTGCAGAAAGATGATGGACGACAGAAATCATACAGATAACAAAATCGTCCAAGCGAGATATCGATTTTCAATTAGATCACGGAAGGTAAAAAAGGATATCAAAAATCCACTTCTTCCTTTTTTTTTACTTGTTCGGCTGGACCGACGCAGTTATTGGCCGAGGGTGGCGGCCAGACTGGCTACACTGAATTGCTTGCTGCGAGCGGCATGATGTATCAGAAATGCAGTGCCACGCACAGGTCAGATCACAACATCGTGCATCGTGCATATATGTAGACGGAGTACATGGAAGCATAAAGCATAGGCTCGACCTTTTTCCTTTCTCGCGACAGCGGATGAGGGGTATGATGAGCCGATTTATCAGCCATTTTTGATTTCAATACTTTATACCTTTCAGGGGAAGAAGCGAGCTCTCTCTTTCTTTCTTCCTGTGCCTGTTCGAGGTCGGTGTAGCCACACTCCCGTGGCTCCGTCCTACTCTCGGTCTAGATCAAAGGGGGGTGTTGTGTTACTGGACATCCATCACCGGCGGTCAACTATGGTTGATACCACTATCTGCAGACGGTATGGCAAAAGCTCTGCCAGAAACTCTAGACTCCCTCCCCCCGGACAATTCACCGTAACGTTGAGGGTCGAGAGGTCGGACCTCACGGCCCCGGTCGATAGCTCCATGGTGCCCGAGTCTTGCTCGCGGCTCGAACCGATCTTCCCTCCTTGCCTCCGTATATTAATAGCAACCCGCCAGAGAGGGAAGAGGGAAGAGGGAAGATTATACTCGATATGGATAGCTCGGGGCTCCGAACTGAACTGGCTTTGAGGGTTGGCCCCAAGCACTAGACTCCGGGGAAGGCGAAACCTAACCACTGATCATTTACCAGAACCTGGTCACTGTTACCGCGACCGAGTGGCTAGTGAGCGCACATCCTCCCTCTCGAGCGCGGTGATAGTGGTGACGATCATGGCTTTCGCGTGAAGAGACACCGATGCGTAGGTTCAGCCTGAGCGGTGGGCGGCGCCATCCCCGTCCCTGAGCCGAGGAATATATGGATGGCTTTTTCCTCCCTTCCCTCTAGGCCTCTCGCTAGCTCGTCGAACGGACTCGCTTGCAGTATCTGCGCATTCCAGGCGCTCGCCCGTTTTGGGATCGTCCTGGTTTAAACCACATAAATCCAATCTGTGGCGTCGCAGACCAGCCAAGCAGCTTTCCTGTACAACGCTGAGGTGCCTCTGTTTCATAACGATCGCGGCGATGAACTGCTCAATAGGTAACCCGCACCGGCTCGAGCCGAGATATAAACAGCTCAGCCTCAAGCCATCAAACCGAAATCCTGCAAATCTTCCACGGAGCTGTCATATCACACGTTGTGTGCCATGGTGTCGGTCTGATATCCATTCCACGCGAATCAAGGCGTGGCATATCATACGCAGTGCATGATGTCGCTTGGCCGTAATAGCGATGGGAGGTGAGAAGTGCCGTGTCGGGGCTGTATTTGCTGCTACCGATTGGATAAACGTATGTTTGCCCAACCTGTCAAATGTGCATCAATCCTTTCCAGCACGCCCTGTCTTGAGGGGACAGGGCGTCCAACATGTCAGAGCCACATGTCACTCCTTCGGAAAGACTTGCAGGTCTCCATCCGTTTGGCTGTTGAATATCGAATAGATTTGTTCGACGCTCCCGCATAGCAACGTGCGAATGGGGAGACAAAGGGTGTACGATGTGCGCCCGAAATAGCTGATAGGGCTATGCGTTGAACCCGCCAATGGGCTCGGCTTTACAACCATACCCGGCCCTAATTGATATAGCTGCTCAGCTATACCCCTGTACTATTTGCGCTGTTGATGTTGGTGGCCGGCATAGCCTTACACAGGGTTTCGATATCACAGATCACATATAAGTGATAACAATAATTCGAATATCCCTGCAGGTATCCATGGCAACTAGCATCACTGACTTGTCCCAACGGCTATCTCTCTCAGTAAGGGCAAGGCAAAGCCCGTTCGCAAAGACCGATACACAGCCGACTCCAAAACAGATCTGCTTCTCCAGACATGCTGCTCGAGTTGGCGTTATCCACCACACCAACCCAAGAATTCAGCAGATCCTCCATGAAAGGGGCAGTTTTCCTTTTAATGCAGCAATGTGGGCTTTCCTGCCGTCCTGGACGCGTGGTATTCTTCTAGAACGTAAATCCATATTTCCAGAACAGTGTCGTTGCATCGCATCCACCAGCTGGGCATCCATAAGATGCCGACACCGAGATATTGACATGGTGCGATAAAAATAACATATCCTGTCAGGGATAATTTCAAGGGTTGTCCCTTCATAGGCTAGGATACACCGCGTAGCCGCCCTGTCATAGCCGTTTCCGCTCAGTGCATACTCAGCTTGTGTTTCAGGTGTTTTCTCGTGCACCTATAGGATATCCAGCCTCGTAACCGCCAGCGGCATACTCTATTATCCTTTATGCGTTTTCAGCGCCCGTTTCAGCATCAGCGACCACGTCGGCGGATAGTCGACGCCCCGTTAAAGAGGTAATAGACTTGACCATGCTCGCAACCCATGCTTGCTTAGCCTGCATGCCTAGCTATCCCAGTTATGCAAGGGGCACAGCCATGCGCGACAATTATGTCATTGTACAGCCGATATGTGCATACAGGAACCTCAAAGACAAAGATGACTATCGAAAATGAAACAAAGAAGGATGCAGAAGTTCCTTCTTTCGAATATTCTCGACTTTCCAGGGGAGGTTAATGCTTCTCCTATTGATAGTCAGCCACGAGATGAAATGCATCTGCATCCATCTGATGTCATTGTCACCCTTCGACATTGCATGAAGCGTGTAGAGTACAAAGTACAGAGTAAACAAAGGGGCGGAAGTTTCAAGTTATTAATGATCTTCTCCATCTTAGCAGCTTATTAACTGTATGCAGTGTGTTTCTGGAACTGTCTTGCAGATTGTCGCTGCGAGATTTTACCCATTGCCTGTATTTCGTGGCCCCCAAGTTGACCAACCCCCAATTAACTGATATCAGGGCCGGCGTCGATGTGATCTTCTTCCGCGATCATTCCTGCACCATGGATTTATAATCGAACGACAACAAAGCGTATGGCTGCAATTTGCCCCTTACCTTTATCTCCTCGGAGCGCGCTGGCTTAGGGAATAAAGGGCCGTCTTATCCAGGTATAACTAGTTCGCGCGATATATCAACAAGTTTATCGGGTCATTAATCCCCGAGCCATTTAAGTACATGCTATACGTAATGACGTAGCCATATCTGGGAAGATACTCCGTACAATAAAAAGAATAAAAAGGGGTCAGAGCAATTGATTGACGCACGTTCTGGGAGTTGTGGATCGCCCGCGCTTTCATTCTTCTAAATATTTCGCCATGGCCAAAAATCAAACTTGCTTTTCTCTGATCTATTCGTAAGGGAGAAGTTTCCCCTGAAATAAGACTGCCCAACAGTTACCACTGCACTTCCATACACACTGCTCCACGACTAAGGCTTCAGTAGTCACCCATGTTAGGATTGAAATTCGCTCCAGGAAGCTCATCTGACACCAAAATCCACAAATCATGTACCATTCTTTCCATCAATCTAATCACGCGGGGGCTCCATGGCCCTGGGGAAGATTCGACCTGCGCTATCAATTCGGTCGTGCTGATTGATATACCCGCTAAGCTATCGAGTAGTCGGGGGTATGTCAGTGGTTCGTGAGGCTCGTCGACGTTGTAATAGAATATATTGCGAAAGTAATTGATTTCCCTCAGAACATTTATTATGCGATCGCTGGTAGTAGGATTTCGGGAACTCTCGTCAGCTCGGGACGATAGGTTCTCTTTGCCTAGTTGGAAGTGCATCGCTTCTACTTGACGCCAGGGGAAGTCCAGTTCATCGGAGATCTTTGTCCAGAACTTCTTCTTGTGTCTGCGTCTGTATTAGACGGATATGAAAAATCACTTCTGGCGGATCTAACAGAGTCTTACCTTCTATATTGCACTGCCAACGCATATTTGGCATCTTCATCCCATTCATCACTACCTGTATCCTCGTTGGGTCCATCGGCCTTCAATATATTAGCTTGCAGAGCTGGAAGTTTCGCTGGGAGAAACGTACTTCAGGGGAGAATCTGTCATCCATTTCGATATCACTATCTTCCTTGTCAATATCCTCCATGTCGCTATCCTCCTTATTGCTATCATCCTCGCTGCTTTTCCCGTTCTCGCTGGCAGAATGCTCTACATTTTCGTGACTATCACCCCCACCATGACGAGCAGCATCCGGCACCATGACAGACATTCGGCTTCCATCGTCCTCAAGAGCGGGATTTGACATGTTTGCCGAAGTGATATTGGCCTTAGGTAACTTCCGATGTAAAGGGTGAGTTCGCTATACAGAAGTTGCAGGTTTGAGATGCCGACGGCCACTGGTAAATGGTAAAGGATATGAAATCTCCTGCGTAGAGATGTGCCTTTATAGCTTTAACTGATGAAGAAGAGGAAATTGGTATATATAACTTATATATGCGATATTCTTCCATTGGTAGCGGGTGAAAGAACCTGAAGCAACTTCCAGAAAATCATAAAGATGTAGAAACATCTTTTTCTAAAAACAAAGTAAAAGGAGGGTATGAAAAACATAAACCAATATAAACATATAAACGGTTTAGGATAGACAGACAATATAAGAAGGATGCTTGGCCCGTGAAGCAGAACAGAATTAATGTATAGATCAAACATTGCATATGTATAACAATGTATATAAAAATGGAAACTTGTTTCTGCTCCTAAAGATATAAAGAAACAGCAGCTAAGGAAGAGACATAAACATGAAAAAGAATATAGATGTCCCTTTCCTGTCGGGGTTAGCTCTATGAACCTGTCTCTAACCAGGTTACGAGCATGAAACATTCACATAAAGCAAAATCAGGCGGTCACTTTATCAAACCATAACAACTTTTATTCTTTTCGGGAGATAGGATGGCTTATATGGACATATCATACCTCAAGGACTATATCCTTGAGTCTCTTACGGCCCTTTAAGTATCCCTATTTATCTCCAGCTAAGCTAAGCCAAGTTACTCAACCTGAACCAAGTCAATATAATATCAGTGTCAATGTTGACCACGGTTGCACCACGCCGGTGCATCACGTGACCCAGTAACAACTTTCCATCCTGCGACTACCAGGACATCAGGAGATGAACAACCTTCACCACCGTCATAAGATACCCTGCAGTCCTGTCGTGTGAGGTCTTTACCTAAAGCTAGGTAAAAAAAAACCCGGGCGCGGACCCGTCCCCAGTCTACACGAGATGAATCAAAGTACTAATATTGATGGAAGGAATAAAGCAAAATATAATCCAGAATGAATGGAGGATCTGGTTATCCAAGAACTCAGACCTCCCACTTTGGATTAATAATGAGTGCAAGAGATACGTTGCCAGCCTTGTCAACATTGCTTTTCCTCATCACGTTATTCTTAGCTATGACAACGAAAAAATATGTATACGGCAAAGCATTCACGAAGGATTTGTTTTCATCCAATCTAATGCCCGGATTGCTGCCGGGGCCACTTAGCGGGGTGGGTGGACTTGCTCCCCTCATATAAATGCCACATGCCCGCAATAAAATGCTCATTGCTGTCTCGATGAGTTTGAGCTACCCAAAGACGAGCCCTCTATTTGAGTGTAACAATATTTTCTTCAGGAGAAAGCCTCAACTGGCTGCAACCTACCAAAGGCATAATGTTTCGTGGAGAAAAGAACCAAATCCCTGCTGTCTACAGCGAAGCAATAAAAAAGTATGAGGAAATCACCAAAAAACCGCTGCTTGACCCCACACTGCTTGAAATCACATCTACCGACGCTTTGCTGGATAAAATCGAGAAGGAAAATGGCAAATTCGACGATTTTAGGGCAACCAGGAACGGTTTATTCAACGCACTAGAGTGTGCTCTGAAACCCATCGAACTGGTTGGACATCTTGCGTCCGGTGCAGCGTCCATAGCTTTTCCTCCGAGCTCTCTTGTGTTTGGTTCGGTTCTTTACCTGATCAATGCTGCTAAAGGAGTGTCTTCTTCCTACAATGCTATTCAGGACTTGATGGAGTCGCTTGAGGTATGACCCGTGAGATAATTAAGTCATTATTAAGCTAATGAAATAAAATAGAATTTCACGGTTCGGCTACGCATATATAACCGTGAGCATATTTCAAACGAATTGAGCAAGCATCTTAGTGACATCCTCGTCGTTCTGATCGAGGTCTTCGCCTTATCCAGAAAGGCGATCAAAGGTGGCAGGTTCCTCAAGTTTGCAAGGAACGTTTTAATTGGCAACGACGACAAAATTCAGGGTGCAGTAGGAAGACTCGCCAAACTTACTGAAACTGAGCAACGCCTTGTGGGTGCTGAAACATTAACGGAGAGTAAGAAAACGAGCCGTGTTGTTGATGATGTTGCCACAAATCTCGCAGCTACAAGCTTGACTGTTGACAAAACCAGCGTCTCAGTTTCCCAGATGAGTCTTGAAGTCACAGATATGAACAAAAAGTTGAATACCCTTATACAGGACGCGACATCGTCAAACGAAATATCAAAAGCCGAACAAGATAGAAATCGCCAAGACATTATTAAAGGGGTCCTCGAGCCTTCGGTTACTGCTTATGACTGGTACGACAAGATCAATAAGGCTCGAGTTAAGGACACTGGAGATTGGATCAGAAATGAGCAGTCTTTTATATCCTGGATAGAAAAAAAGATACCCATTCTACGGGTCTCTGGTAACCCGGGGGCTGGAAAGTCTTATCTCTCAGCCAACATCATATCCTATCTGAATGGCCAATATCCACAACTCGTCCATCACTCGTCCCGTGTCTCAGTAGGATATTTCTTCTTCAAGGACGACAACCCGAAAACCAGGTCTATTCACCAAGCTCTTCGGGACCTTGCATACCAAATCAGTCAAAATGACCCTGTTTATGCGAAATATATTGTGACAAGCGCCCTCACCGCCGAGGATGTCAGCACCCTGGAAAGTGCTTGGCGAACGCTCTTTATCGATTTCTTCGTCAAAAAGACAAGCGTGACTAGCAGTGTTTATTTACTCCTTGATGGTGTTGATGAAGCATTCGAAGCCGAAATAGAGCCATTTTTCGACCTTGTTAAAGATATAAATGAAGGTAGGCATTTCTCTTATCTAAACCTCAAACTCATTAAGGTCGAATGAGGGTTTTGGCGGAATCAGCCTTTAGCTAATAGTTTTTTTTAGTGACCGATAATTCTCGAATTCAGCTGGCCATAGTTGGAAGGCCCCAACTCGGTGATCTTATTTCAGACTCTCTTGAAGAGGATGTCCCTACGATTTATATCACGGAAAGTAAAAATTCATCCGATATCATTCGTTACATTAATAATAGTATCCGAAAATCAAACACTCTTAAAAGGGTGTCAACGAAACTACGATCCGAAATTGTCAAGAAGCTTTCTGATAGGGCTCAAGGCATGTTCATTTGGGTATATTTGATGCTGAAAGAGCTACTGAAGAAGAGGAGTGAGTCAGCGATCCGTGAGGCCCTGGATGATGCGCCTCGTGGATTGAATGACATGCTCTCTCACGTCCTCAAAAGTTTCTCTTTGACTCTTACCGACGATTACCTAGATACCCTAAATGAATTGCTAGCTTGGGTAACATGTGTGCAGTGGCCACTGACGCTGAGAGAGCTCGATACGATCATAAAACTTAAATCCTCCGACGGAGATGGTATGATCTATCTTGAAGGGCCACTTCGGAGACAATTTGCTTCCTTTTTCAGTCTTAATCGCGAAGATGGACTAACTACCGCGGACCTACATCTCATAAATCCAAACGTTGCTGACTCGGATGAAGAAGATATCGATGACGGCCAAGGGGATAGCTTTGAGGATATTGATGATGCAACTCAGTTTGACTCGAATCTAGACACAACAACGGTTACATTCTGCCATTCATCTATAGGAGATTTCTTTCGAGCTGCCAAGGGTAAAATCTCAGCTGGTGACGGATATCCCAGTATCGGCGTCGATATTGACGCCGCTGAATTCAACGTCACGACGACATGCCTTGATATTTTGTGCGGTGACGAGTCCATGGTTAATGCTGAAAATAAAGCCGCGAGCTTGCGATATTATGAGGATAGGCACTGGCCAAAAAACCCCCATATGCTTGGTGCTTCAACAAAGTCATCCCTTGAAATTTCATGCGATGAAGCGTCCATGATTAAGGTAGAGGATAAAGCCGCAAGCTTGCGATACTATTCGGCTAGGAACTGGCTAAAACACCTCCAAATGCTTGATACCCCAACGATAGCAAACCAGCAGACGATACAGATAGCCACTTTGTTGTGTCGAATGTTTAGCCAACAAAGTACCATGAAGTATTGGGCATTTACAGTCGGTCCGCCATTCTTAACCGCTGCTACCCTTGACTTGGTCAGAAAATGGCTGGACGACAAGCAAATTATGGCTGCGCTACCCCGTGACAGTCAAGAATTTGTCAAGTCAACGTCCGAGTCGCCGGTAGAAACATTTAAGCCATTAATCCAGGTTGTCCAAAGATATTGGCTGGGTGATTTACTAGGCCATTCCATCACTTGCTGTGACATGGTCTTTAACTACTTTTGCCTGAAAGATGGAACTCCAGATCTGCAGCGTGAAGGTTGCAATTCAGCGGCGAAGATTATCTCCATAGCTGAGCGGTTGGGCATGGAGAAAACTGCTAATTGGTACCGGAGAGTTGCCGTTACTCTTCGTGACAAAGGCTTTCCTGAAGAGTCATTGGTATACTTTACCAAATCCTTGGAGCTTGATAGTACGCTGTGGCGTTCGCGTGGGGGGATGGCATCAGCCTATTTTCAACTAGGGCAGTATGAGAAGGTTGTTGAACTGCACGAAATGTTGGTAGCCGAAACTCAACAAGATACTTCGTTGCGAAAGGGGGACCTCTCTGAGATGAATAAATACCTTCATGCAATACATGAACAGACGGCTGAATGTTATGTCAAACTGGGAGATACGGAAAATGCGCTGAAATATTATCAGAATGGCCACAACATTTCGCCTCAATGCAATAAATGTATTTGCCAGCTTCTACTCTTGATGGATGCTCAAGGCCGCTGCGATGATATCATCTTGACGCTGAAAGCCATGAAAAATAAGATAATCCCGACTGGGGAATATTCTGCTTTGGCTGCCTTCATATATATCAATTTCGAGGTTGACTCGGATTACTTCAAACTCGCCGCGCGTGCCGCAAGGAATACCGGGGAAGTGGATTTTTTCATCGAGGCCTGCCGGGACACGATTCGTGTGACCAAAAAATTGTTGATTTCGGTTGAATCGAACAAGCTAGAGCTTTGTCTTGCAGATTTCTATTACAAGAATACAAATGAGCAAACCAAAGCTATCCGGATATGGAACAAGGTCATTGAAACCTTTGCGGAACCCAGACTTGGAAGTGCCATATTCTTCGTCAAGGATGAGGCAACAGACCGGCTAGCTACCCATTATAGCGCAAAAATGTGGCAGGCGGGCATTGGCTCACCTGATGCCGAAAACGATGTCAAGAATTTGGAGCGGTTGGCGAAACAGGAGTCAAGCCAAGACAGCAGCTCCTCCGTAATATACGCTGCGAATAAGGCTGCCATTCGCCTTGGGCTGTGGTACCGCCTGCAAGGTAGAAAAGAGGATGCAGATGCCTGCTTCCGGCCATCGATCAAATACGCGATTGAATTATTGTCAGATGATGACCAGGGAAATAATGCATTCGCTTATAAAACCCTCAGGGAGGTACTGTTAGCCACTGGGGAGGACGAACTCGTCGTTCCCGTTTTCTATTGCCTCGTAGCCATCCTCAACGATTCGATGAGGAATCAAACCGGAAAAGATAGGAAAGCAAACGATGATGACAAACCCTACATTGGGGAATGTAATGGGTGCCAAAAGCAACTTCGAGGAAACGACAGCGTCTATGTCTGCACCTACTGTCTTGGAATGACGTTGTTATGCGAAAACTGCGAACTGCTTGCAAAAGGTGGCGAGATGCGAGAGGGAGCGTGCAATGTATCGCATGTCCGGATGCTTATCCCGCCCAATCCTGATCCATATGTGGCTGAAAAGTTCCGTGTTCAGGGGATGCTTGTTGATTCGGAGGGCTTCAAAAAGCAGCTAGCAAAGCGTTGGGGGCTTTGATTAGAATCCAAAGGCAAACGAGGAGAACGATGATGTTACTTAACTATCAATCTAGTAAGAAATTCGAAGATTATTCAGTAGTTACATTTGGGTCTTGGACTCGAAAAGTTACTTGTAGGTCTGCTGTAATTGGTTATAAGGAGTTTTCAAAACATGATTACCCCTGGAAGTGATCACCGAATATCAAACATCAAATGAACTTTAGCGTGCATTGATATTGGCCTAAGATGCAGGCTCGGTTCGACCGTTATAGAACTGAGAGAGCGCACTTTTCATGGTGTAAATATTGAATTCTTCAGACCTCCTAGCAACCGAGTAAACAATAAGATATTCTGGTTACATTGGATCTAGATAGGGGTAAGATAAAATTAATTAAAGATAGTCTTCTTAAACCAAACAAGGAGCCAGTCAGCCTGAGCTCTTGAATTGCAAGAACAATCAACATAGATAGTCATTTTATCCTGGAGCTTCCACTGGGTACAAGACTCAAAGGTTGACAGACCACCACGTAGCGGAGCATCATGTAGGCACCAGCTTGATAAAGAGTCCCTGGAGCTATTCCCAAGAGCAAGAAGTAACACATATATCAAGTCGGGCTCATATATTTCCAAGGGAGGCATTATGGTGCAGTCAGGACACTCCGGGCCGGCCGGATAGCGCTCACCACCTCCCATTTTTTTTCCTCTTTGGGACGAGGCCTGGCGTGAGTTCGAACCTGGCCGAGGGCTGTTTTTTTCCTCCCCAGCCCCCTTACATGGGCATATAACCGGCTCACTCCCTACATATTTTAACCGAGAGGTAAGATGGTGCAGTCAGGTGACTCCAGCCCCGAGCTGGATAGCGCTCACCACCCCTCTCAGACTTTTTTGCACCCCGGGTTCGATCTCTGCTGAGGGCGCTTTTTTTTCCTCCCCAGCCCCTTCCACCCAGCCATATACACCAGTTCTCCATATACTTCAACCTAGAGGTAAGATAGTGAAGGCTAGTCACTCCAGCCTTGAGTTGGATATCACTCACCACCCCCTCTTTTTTTGTCCCCTGGTTCGGTCCCTCTGAGTGCCTGTGGTTTTCTCTCCTCCAGAACGACCTCCCACCACTTCCTCTCTTCCTTTATGGGGGTATTATCACCAGACACACACATACTTGGCCACCACAGATTATTATCGCGTGTTCTCCTGGAAATATCCACGTTTATGGGTAATACTCCGAAGGGTATATAGATAACCAGACGCAGTGGTGGTTTGGGGTTTTTGAAGGTATATGGCAACGCTTAGTTACTACAGTTACTATCGTATCTGCTCCTAACAATATCTACGTTTGATATTTTCTTTCGCATGGACGGGTATTGATCCAGCATGGCGCTCGAGTCCCTGCTGGAATTTATCCAAGTCGTTGTTCCCTCGGGTCTAGGCACAATGTATGGACGACTACCAGGTTACACAGTGTCTAGAAGGGTATAGAAGGGTATAGATGACCGTAGAGATGATGGTATATGCCCAGCAACGAGATTGGGTCATCCTGGACTTGGTATCCCAGGCAACGGGTTGGGGTGTCCTTAGTTCTAGGAAAGCGCGTCCCATGGAACAAAGCGAGTTTCGGAGCCAGACCAGGCCAGTTGACATCGTTGGAACGCGTCGTTCTAACATCAAGGTCTGACATCTCAAGGAGGTGAACAGTTCCTGATGTCGCGTCTGAGTTTTTGATGTTTCGATAGGGTTGCCAAGACCAGGCGTGGACGTGGTGCCAAGCCATCTCCACAACACCCAATTTTTATAAGGACGACAGGACACTTTCTCCTTTTACTTGACATGTTGGATATCTTGAAGCGAATAATGTGTGTCAGCTGGGGTGATGAGGCGAGTTTCCACCTCAACAGCCTCATTATTAAATATATGGAGAGGTTTGCTAATCCCAAACCTGACTATTAGTCAAAAGGAGCAAGGCTACAAGAAAATATGGACTTTAGAAGAAGGCGATGAAGTATAATTATAATAAGGCCTACAGAGTATTTTATTGATATGAAGAAATAATCGCTACTATGGGATACCTCAAATATAACTGGTCATAGAATGATATTTGAGTATGCACCTTACGTTTTTCTCTTGGTCCTTGAATGCTCTGATTTCTACCATTTCACCTTGAAGCTTGAAAGAACAAGAGATATATCTAACCATGTATTTATCTTCTCTCCTACAACCTCATATCCAACTGCTGATACTATGTTTTGCCTGCTCCAAGAACGGTTTTTGGTCACAAGAGCAGCCAAGACACCCTCTGATTACATAATCAGCCTATCTTTAATGACAATTTTCGGAACTGAGCCAGGCGAGCGCGACTTCAGGATATCACCACAGCTTCACATTCACTGCTGGTTCACACTCAGCGCCACTTAACGCCGGTAACCTGCAGGAGCCCTTATACTGCTTCACTTGGTATGGCTGAGTGCTATTAGTGGTGAGTTTACTTGCTATCCAGCGCCACGCGATGCGACCAGCCTGGCTTGTCACATTCCCCCCTTCCCCTCTTTAGAGACGCCAATGTTATAATCCCCTACCACAAGAGTCATTATTATATACATTATGCTCCTGTCATTGGGTGTGATCGCGTAGATTTTGTTCACTTCTGTATTGGTGCGCATGTATATTGGCTCTGGGAATTTGGGAGCAATTGTTTGGTGCTGCGTCTGTTTCATACAGGAATACCAGTTGCCCTATATCTTAGTTTGGGTCCTTATGTTGCCAGTGACTTCAGTTGTTTTCTATGTCTTTGTTATATTAATTGGGAGGATTCATGCTAACAGTTTCTTTGCAGCTATATAGGTCTCCTTACCCTCGCCTCAAATTCATCATCACTCACACACTTTTCTTCTACGCATCTTCGAAAACCGGATAACAGCTTAGGCAACGGTGGGACGAGAGCCAGCAGTATGGACGCCAAGGAGATTGAGCTGAAGTCGAAGGCTTTGAATAAAGCCTCCGCTGCCGGTGAACCGAGTACCACGATTATCTCGATGCTAAAGGAGCTCCAGAAAGGAATTCAGCCCACCGAGGATCTTTTACGCTCGACAAAAATCGGTATCATAGTTAACAGACTCAAACAGCACAAGGCACCTGAAGTCGCCAGGCTTTCCAGCGAGATAGTTTCGAAATGGCGAGCGGAAGTCAACAAGCAGAAGAAAACCGCATCCCCGGTGGCAAGCGATTCCCCCAAAAGCGCTCCGAATGGCACCTCCACCCCGGCGTCTGCGGCGGATGATAAGGCGCAAAAATCAAATGTACCACCAGACAAGCGTACCTGGAAGGCCGACCAAGTCAACACTGCAGTTACTGGCGTCAAAGCACGCGACAGTTGCCTTGGCCTGATGTACGATGGCTTGTGTATCGGGTCTACCGAACCCGCTCGCGCAGTTTTGCAAAAAGCAACTGAGGTGGAGGCCGCAACGTTCAACACCTATGGACCAGAAACCAAAGAACAATACCGCACGAAGATTCGCAGTTTGTACCAGAATTTGAAGAACAAGTCGAATCTTAGCCTCCGAACCCGTGTTCTCTCCGGTGAAGTGGCACCCGAGCGATTCGTTACCATGACCCATGAAGAGCTGAAATCCGATGAGCGGAGAGAAGAAGATCGCAAGATCCAAAAGGAGAACATGGACAAGGCAATGGTTGGCCAGCCCGAGCGAAGTATCAGTAAGAGTTTACAATGCGGTAAATGCGGACAGCGAAAGGTCACATACACCGAGGCACAGACACGAAGTGCTGATGAACCGATGACCCTCTTCTGCACATGTCTTGCTTGCGGAAAGTCATGGCGCCAATAAACCCGGAGACTATTTTTCTTGTTTCCTTCTCAAAATTGTCTTAGCACTGGGTTTGTCCATTTATTCCCCGGAGCTTATGGAGGGGTTGGAAGGCGCCGGCGTTCTACTTCCTCAGGCAAGAATACTATTTTCTCCCTTCTTCTTGCATAATACTTGCAATGTGGTTTCATTTGCTTCCCCTTCCCTACAAACCTCTAGAAGAATATCGCTCGGTGTTGTAGAAATATCAGCCCCATCAACACCTTGCGTTTGTACCTTTATGCTCCCCAATTATTCTTCTGGCCTGGGTTTGTTGTGTTTCTAGTTGTACGCTGACGTCGAAAATGAAATTTGTTCCCACATCATTTCTTTCCCTAGGTGATCCGTCTATCATTAATCCCACCTCCAGGCCGCGCTGTACGGAGTATAGCCATAGCTCCTCTATCAGCTACAGTTCGAGGTGTGATATAAATTGTATGTATTTAATGGCCTTGAGAAATACGCTCTGATTAAGGAACACATAACAAAGTGAATACGGAGCGCATTAATATGATAGCAATAGGGAGACAAAGATTCGCGGAACCATTTCCAACTGGGCCAACTAGTTAATCTCAATATGTAGATGGCTTGGCCACTCCTGAGCTAACTGCTTAGTTATATAACTCGAGGTCGGTAGAATTTGCCCCAGCTCTCAATCGAGTTCTCTATTCTCTTCTTCGTGTCGATAGTCTTGTCGCCATACCGAGAGAGCATCAAAAATGGGCTGCCTCAATCAACATAAATCATCGGAGCCATGGCTTTTCAAGTTGCGGTCGTCGGAAGGGTTCATCATCTTTGTGATCTCTATTGCTATGTTAACTGTGAGTGAGGCTGATATCATTGGGGAGTGCAATAACTAATCATTTTGCAGGATATGCTTCTTTATACACTGGTGAGTCTTCAACATCAGACGAAGAAGTCATCTAACGGATTTAGATCATACCAATTCTCCCAAAAATTCTGGTTTCGCGTGCAGGTGTCCCGGAGGAGGATGGTATGGATTTTCTCCTTATTCTTTTTCCGTTTTGCGAGATGCTAAAGCTACTATAGCTCAATTTTGGATATCGATACTTCTCGCTGCCTACGGTGCTACGCTTCTATTGGGATCCCGTACGTATTACTAAAACTTGGCGCGTCAAGTCTATCAGAGCTAACGCTGTAACAGTTCTATTTGGATACTTTTCAGACCAGTTTGGATCACGAAGGGCTCCGTTCACCTTGGGCCTCGGAGCACTATGTGCTTCCACCCTTCTCTTCGCAATTGCACGCACGCCTTTAATGCTAGTTCTTGCCAGGGCCTTCCAAGGCCTGTCATGTGCTGCGGTCGGGGTGATTGGCCTAGTGTTAATCGTTGACAACGTTGCTCAGGAGCGTATTGGAGAAGCCATGGGCTATACAACAATAGGAATGACGGCGGGTGGTCTTCTTGGGCCTGTGATAGGAGGCGTCGGCTATGATTTCATAGGATATTATGGAGTCTTCGTTTTGCCAACAGTACTGATTATCTTTGATATCATACTGCGGCTTGCAATGATTGAGCGGAGGGGTAAGAAACCCCTATCCTTTCGACATGCTACATACTGAAGGTTTTAGCTATCAATCAACCACTTGGTGATGAACCAGCTGAAGATACAGAACACGATACCCACGGCACGTCGCCTGACCTCGATCCAGCTTTCCGCAGCCAACAAGATGAGATTGCGCGTCTAATACCAACACGCTCTCGTGGTGTCAATAATGGCAAGAAGGCTGGCGTGTTGCTTCTCTTACGCTCACCGCGTTTACTAGTTTCCCTCCTTTCTGCGCTTATGCTTTCTTTGATCCTGACGAGCATGGAGACGGTAGGATATCTACAATCTTACTATCGAGAAACAAAAAACTGTCTGCTAATTTTTCACTAGACTGTTCCACTTTATGTGATGGAGATATTCCACTGGACTCCAAGCGCTGTCGGGTTAATATTTCTTGCGTCCGCTATCTCAGACTTGTCTGGGTCGCTTATAGGACGACTTGTGGACCGATTCGGAGGACGGCGCCCAGCGTTCCTTGCCTTTGTGCTGGCCGGAGCAGCATTCTTTTCTCTGCGATTCATACAACATAATAACACTTTTGAAAAGGTTCTTCTGGGTATCCTATTTGCGCTTATCGGCCTCGGAGTCATGACTGTCCAGATCGTTGCCATGACTGAGATTTCCCAAGTAGTTTATGATTACGAAGCTCAATCTCCGGGTATTTTCGGTGACAAAGCCCCCCTGGCTCAGGGTTACGCCCTATTTAATATGGCATATGCCAGTGGACAATTTTTGGGGCCAATTATTGCCGGGTCTCTGCGTGTTCGAGCCGGCTGGGCAGGAATCACGCTCTTCTTCGGGATTCTCGGTGTAGTATGCGCCATTCCTGTCGGCATTTGGAGTGGATCATCATCCAGTGAATCACAAAGTGATGATGACGGTGTTCATGCTCAAGTCTGAATAGTTGGTGACGTTTTCTGCTTGCTTTAGAGCACACTCGCGTATAAAGTGTCCACATGTACTCTATATAGCAAATGGTATTTAACTCCGCATATCCGGAGTAAGTTTTCTATTTACCACTATCTAAATCTTGTCCTTTTTTGCAAATTACTAGTTAAAGCTAAAAAAAAATGACGTTGAATATTTTGTGTATTTTATTCTCCTACGATTGTCAGATGGATTTTAAATTGGGCTAAACCAATTTTTGAGAAACTTACTCCGTATTCCATTTCGAGACATGTACAGAGTTGCGTTTCGTATATTCTATAACTAGTATTTATTGTAATCAAGTAATCCAGTACGGAGTATAAAGGTCATATATAAGGGCCACCCACTTGACACTTCCACCACATAGACACATTGATTTCCCATTATAAAGCTGCAATTTGGATTATTGCTTTGAATTCTACTCCTCCCTACCTCTGTCCATCCAATTTTCAGTCCATCACAAACAACCATGGCCAAAGAAGTGTCCAGTTACTGTGGTTCGCCTTACCTAGCAGAGCTTTACGAGCTCCAATGGGCTAGGCCCAACATGCCAGACGTCGAATTGTACACGAAAGTGCTCATCGATGCGGTCTCTAAGCACAGGGAGGCAGCCTCAGACCGTCAATTCACCTTTCTCGAGATCGGTACTGGCTCTGGCCGTGTGATGCTAGGTATTTTGAAACGCCTCGCAGCTGCATCGTTCAACACCAGCAACATCGAGATGATCGGTTTAGATTACATGCAGGTCATGCTAGATTTGGCAGTTAAGCTAGAATCTAAGGAGAGTGGGCTTTCTCCTCCCGTAACCTGGGTGTTGGGCGATGCACTGGCAATGGAAAAGCTGCCCGTTCTATCGCCGCGAGCGGGCAAAGATGTCACCGTCGACCTGCTCCTTTTCCCATTCAGTAGCATTGTCCACATGGTGGAGGATGGGCAGCTAGAGCAGTTATTCTTGCAAATTGGCAAAGTGCTCACACCAGGCACAGGGCGAGCCTACATATCTCTGCTCAATTGGTTCTTTATCAGACCGGGCGACGACCTCAAAGCTCGAGTCGAAACTGAAGTCTTGCCACCACCGACGGACGTCCAGAGTGAAGAGTTTCCCGGGATTCGGTACTATAGCGAGACGAAGAAGAGCGAATACATGGGTAAACAGGTGGCTTACCGCGCAGACGTACAGATCTTCAAGCGAGAGGATGACGGGCAGGAAAAGGAAATCGAGAGCTATCGAATTAAACAGACATTACGATGGTTTTCCGAGGCCGCCATCATGGCAGCCATTGAAGCGGCCGGCTTGAAGCTGTTGGAGACGACGATGGTGGGATTAGACATGGAAGGGGTGGATGCCGACTATCAAGAAAACATATTCGTCCTGCAGCGGGTGTAATACAATAACGTATGGTATTACATTATTCTGTGGAATACAGCCTATATATTAATAGAACTATACTCCGCACTTGCACGAGGGTATATATATCCCTCCTATGATCCCACCCTCCTGTAAATATATATAAGTAGGAAATCAGAAGTACGTCTGAAATAACAATATCTTACCTAGACACGAACAAAATGGAAGAACTTTCTAAATCGGTTGCTTTGAACGCAAGCATTCTCGCCGCAGAGATCCAGGAAAAGGGCCTCCCCCCACTCGATGATGAATTATTCCCCGTTTCATTCCCCCTTCTCAGTCCCGCAGGCTCCCATGCTCGATTTGAGTTGATATCTGCTGCCCTGAATATTGTGCGGCTGGCCAGCGGCCCGTCTGAGTTTCTGGGGAACATAGGCTTGCAGGTAACTTCAAAGACAGGACGGTAGATAGACGAATGGAAGGCTAATTGACTATGCCTAGGGGTTTGAACTCAACACCATCGGGACCATGATCAAACTCGGAGTGCCTCAGCGCATCCCCTTAGGCGGATCTGTCTCACTGAGCTCTCTGGCGGAGCATGCCCAGGTCGAGGAAGGACTATTCACTCGTCTTGTCCGATACTCCATCTCCTCGGGCTTTCTGTCAGAGAAAACACCTGGCCAAATCAGCCATAACTCTGCTTCGTCCGTTTGTGTCCGCGACCCAAAAACTACCGATAGTCTCATATCAAATATCAACGTTGCAAACCCAGCGTCTGTGAAGATGGTAGAATCTCTAAAGCTTAACCCCGCGGGGAATGATGGGACAAAGGCACCGCTCAGTCTTGCATTTCCCAGACACTCAGCCGATGGGGTCGAGCAGTTGGGCAGCATGTGGGATTTCCTTCGCGAACACCCGGAGGAGGAGGTTCGGTTCCATAATTCCATGGCAGCCACATACTCTTCCTCGATCTATTCATGTGAACATGTAGTTCGCGGGTTTGACTGGGCCCAGGTTAAGACAATTGTTGACGTGAGTACCTCAACCATCGTCCCACGTCCAGGACTAACTTCAATATCAGGTTGGTGGCTCAGAAGGGCACGTTAGCATGGCTATCGTTAACTCATATCCCCATATCAAATCAACCGTTCAAGACCTCGGCGAGGTAGTCGTCACCTCGCGTCAAGAGCTGCCCGCCCAGTATAACCAAGCCATTGATTTTGTCGAGCATGATTTCTTCCAGCCCCAGCCTGTGCAGGCCGACGCGTATGTTATGCGGTTTATCCTGCATAACTGGTCCGATGAAGATGCTAAACGTATAATTCGCGGCTTGATGCCTGTGTTGAAACCAGGTGTCCGGGTGCTGGTTTGTGAACATGTCATCCCTGAGAAAGGGACTGTCTCGCTCTATGCAGACCGGATTGTGCGCAATATGGATGTGACCATGTTTGGATTGTTGGCTGGAAAAGAGCGAACGGCTCAGGATTACGCAGACCTCCTCGGCAACGTGGATCCAAGGCTGAAACTGAAGGGTAATAAATGTCCAGGTGGAAGTGTGATGACTATTTTGGAGTTTGTCGTAGAGTAACTATTTACTATAGCTATATTGTGGCAGACTGCTCGAATGATAAGAGTTTGAACTAAGAATAACTACTATATTCAACTATAGGAACCTAGTATATAACTAACTAACAGGGGGCAGGATAAATCTCCGCACCAAGAGAGCCTAGATGACTTGCTCTCTATTTAGACCATCATGCCAACCTCTCTATTTCTGAGATACGAGATATTTGATTGATTTGGTTGGTCAGGTGGGTCTGGAGCAATCTATGAGATTTCAATCTATCAAGCACTGATCATCTAAATACACGATATTGAGCTCCTATTTATGTTCCTCATACGGCCATGTATCTTGCCATCGCGGAGATGCCAGCTACAGCTGAAACAGGCGTTAAAACGCCGGGCGTAGCATTTGTTCGATGATGGAGAGCTGACACTGATATTTAATGAAACGGCGTAGTTGACTAACGTGTTTCGTACGATCAGGCAGTATTACACCGAATCTCCGTTCAACACTATTACTACTCCGTACACCAAACATGATTTGATTGCCATCAACTCAACTACAGACCTCACTTGCTCATTCCGCCTTCGATTGGAGATAGTTCAGATATCGCTTCATCAGATCCTTGTCTAGAGCCGGAAATTTGAGGCCACCTGGATAATCTGCGAGTGCGTTCATCGTGTTGGTCGTCTCGTAGATGGGCATATTCTCGTATAGCTCCCATCGGGTCAACCCATCCTGCACTTTCTCTGCCAGCATAGGCTCCAGTGGCTGCAGACGCTCAGGAGGATTAGCTGACAGCAGCTTAATCCATTCGCTGTATGAGACGCCCCGGATCTGATCACCGCCGCATTCACCGATCATATCCATCGAATCGTCCATGTCGATGGAGACCTCCCGGCTGGGGGGAACGATATGGTAGGCATGGCCTAGAGACGATCGAGATGAGGCAATGTGCAGGATCGCAGAATTAACATAGTCGACTGGAACGAATTCTTTTCGCTGGTTTGGTAGCTGTGGGTAGCATTTCATCTCCTGGCACGCATGGATCAATCGGCTAAAGAAATCATCATGGTTGCAGGCTCCTGTCTGGCTGTGGCCAGTAATGAACCCCGGTCGATATACGGCGACGGGGAATCCACGGTCGATGAGTCGGCGTAAAAGCTGCTCTGCGACCCATTGGCTTTGTGCATACCCATGGTCATAGGGAAGCGCTGCTAGGTGTGGGATTAGGGATTCATCTTCCCTTACTCTCTGTGTACCGGTCACGAAGCCGGTTGGCCCAAAACAAGATATACTGGACACATAGTGTACTGCTTTCGTACGCCCCTTGAAGGCCAGTTTCAAGACATTCAGTGTTCCCAAGGTGTTGGCTGGGCGATGCAGAGAATACGGCTGGGTATAGTTGACACGAGCTCCAAGATGGAAGACTACACTGGCCCAGTTGGCGATTTCTTCGAATCGGTCCGGCCCGAGGCCTAAGAATTCATCTTCCAGCTCTCCAGGCAGAGCTAGCAACTTGAATGCAAACTGTTCGTCCCAGAGGCCGTATTTGGCCATTGCAGTTCTTAGACGCTGCAGGCCGACTGCTGCATCCTTTGCACGCACCAAACATCCAATCTGACGGACATGGGGCATGCGCAGCAAATCTGCCAGCATAAATGCTCCTACAAACCCAGTTGCTCCAGTGATGAATACACGGCCTTCAGTGTCGCGAGTCCAGTCGATCACTGGCCCAGCTAAGCAAGACAGGCCGTCCGCAATCTTGGTATCAGCCACCCACAGGTCACTCTCGTTTCGAACCGTCTCGAACTCACCCTTCTGGCGCTCTTGAATAATCGACGTGAGCGAAGCCAATGTTGGATGATCGTAGAGGGTCAGCAAGGATACTTCAGAGCCAAAGGTGCGACGAATCTGGCTGATAAGCAATGATGCTTGGAGAGATGTGCCACCATGGCGAAAAAAATCGTCTTCGTCCCTATACGACTCCACCGGGGATGCCAGAATGTTGGACCAGAGATTAGCCAATGCCGAACGGGCATCTTTGGGCTTCTCTTTAGGTGTGAGCGAGGAACTCTTCTTCCATCGGGTGCAGTACAGCTCCGCTAACTGCTTCCTATCCACTTTGGCATGGCTATTGAGAGGCATACTGGAGATCAACTCCAGTTGAGGGATCATATAATCCGGAAGTATTTCCCGAAGTACTTTCAACGCCTCGTCGACATTGGGAAACTTGGATACATTCACAGGCACTGCATATGCGACTAGTATTGAACCGGCTCCCTCCTGTGGTGGTTCGATCCTCATAGCCACGGCTTCAGAGAAATAACCCGTTTTCAGCAATCCGGCCTCAACTGACCCCAACTCAACTCGGAATCCTCGAATCTTGACCTGGTGATCGGAACGTCCGACGTAGTCGATCTGGCCGTCTGCCCGACGCCGGACGATATCACCGGTTCGATATAGCCGCATTGGTTCACCCGATGATGTTACTAGACCGTCGACTGTCACGAACAAAGCAGCGTTCTTCTCGGGTAGGTTGACATATCCTGGAGATATTCCCGCACCGCCAACCCAGAGTTCTCCCTCGTCACTAGATTTACCGGTATCATCGGCTATATAGGCAATAGTGTGGCCAATCGGCTTGCCTATGCTGACGGAGCCGGCTTCGATATCCTCGGGGACAATCTGATGAGTTAAACAGAAGATGCAACACTCAGTCGGCCCATAGGCATTGATCAACATCTCTGGAGGACCCTCCTCGAAGATTGTTTTGATAGCTGCAACGTTCGCGGCCTCACCTCCAATAAAGCAAATGCGTAACTTGGAAAAGGCGCTCGGATAAGTGGATGCAGCGAGATTCAGCAACGCAGTGGTGGTGGCCATGACAGTGATTCCTAGACGCTCGATGTGCTCTGCCATAACCGGAAGGTCCAGGAGAGTTACCTTACTCAACACAGCGATCGATGCACCGCGGAGTAAAGGGGCCCAAATGTCAAAAAGCGAAACGTCAAAGCTGCTGTTATTGACGTGTGCAACGACATCATTTTCCCTCACCGGTTCAAAAGGAGCATGGAAAACGACCTGTAGGATTGATCGTGCTGCGATCTGGACTGCTTTCGGCTCGCTAGTTGTTCCCGAAGTATGAATCAAATGGGTACGATGTTCTAAGTCTGTTGGAACGGGATATTTGTCCCCGGACCCAGAGACAAGACCCTCGAGCGGAATTCTGGAAAAGGGGAGGTCTCGGCCTTTGTTGAGTTGATCAACCAGAATAAACCGAGCGTTTAGCCTCTCTAGCCGGCCCTGGATTTGCTGGTCAGGGAGGGTAGGATCCATAGGGGCACAGCTACCGCCGGCATAGATAATGGCAATCTGCGCAATGATATCGCTGATTCCATGTTGGACGATGACCCCCACCGGCTCTTCAAAGGATAACGATTCTTGCACCAGAGTATGGGCAATATGCAAGGCTTGCAAATGCAATTGTTCATATGTCAAAGAAATTTCTCCGTCAACAACTGCAATGGCGTCGGGGTTGAGTCGGACCTTGTTGTAAAAGAGCTGGCCAAGGCCTTCATCTCGACTAACTGTGAAGTCGTATTCCTGGAAGGGGGTTGAAGTGATGGAGGGCATTCTCTCTAATAGTGACCCGTACGCCGTACAGGATATAATAATGTTGAATTAGAGAGGACGAGCTTCGTTTGGGGGAGTTGAGAATGGTTATAGAGTATAAAATCCCAAACTGGAGGAGAAAGGGGACACCGATCAAGTATTATATAAAATCAATTGCTCCCATTGCAAAGCTAATCCTTTCTGTCTTAAAAAACTCGCCCGACCTACCGATCTAAAACGTTAGATTTTCATACCAAATTTTCCTGATTTTACTAACTACCTGGAGCTGCAATTACGCATTACATAGCTCGCCATGATACGAGTAGGGGCTTCATTGCTCTGTTGGGCCATCTATTGAAGGCATCTTGTTTACAATTTGCAAATTTGCGGTCTGGCCAGTGCTCCACTAGTTGTATTATACTAGTTTAACAAAGTTAAAGTAGCGGCAGGGACCCGCTTCCTGCGCCGAAAATAAACATCCGCGGGCCTCGTCTAAGGCCCGTGGTCGGTGACGTGGATGCGCGAGCTAAATATGAACACTAGCACTCGGTATCAATAGCTCTGAGTCCTCCGATTGGAGGTTTGTAACTTCACCAAATTTTGACTGAAATTTGAGGTGAAACTACGGCGTTAAGATTAGCTATCTGGCATACCAGGCTAATTCCTTGGTAAAAAGCTGTTGAAACCACCCACCTAACGCTTTGAAACAGCTCAGTCTTCGCTTCAGAGACAACATTCGAGTTCGATTGTCCCAGCTAAAGCAGCTCACTCACCGAGAATGTCGCGCGTTATTGCTGTTGTTGGCGCCACTGGCAACCAAGGCGGTTCAGTTGCCCGTTCTCTTCTTCAGAATCCGTCCTTCAAGGTTCGCGCCATTACGCGTGATCCCTCCTCAAAGGCCAGTCAGGCATTGGCCGCCGCAGGAGCAGAGGTGGTTCAAGCAAATGGCTTCAATAACGAGGAGATGCTCCGCGCATTCGATGGTGCCTGGGGGTTCTATGTCAACCTGAACTCGGATGACAAAATGTGGAGCGATCCCAATGGCCCTACTGAGTTTGATCTGGGTAAATCGATTGTTGATGCGGCAGCCCAGGCTGGCGTGCAAAATTTCGTGTTCAGTTCGGGTCCTCCGTGCACTGAAATGACGGGGGGGAAGGTGAGGATGAAGGCTATGGACAGTGAGTAGAAAGTTGTTTCTTGGTATCTTCAGTACTAATGGTCACTCTCTGTAGTGAAAAATAAAATTGAACAGTACGCAAAACAGCTCGGAAAATTCCAGACAATTATCCCCATCAACGCCGCATGGTACCTAGAAAACTTCCTAGTGAAAGAGGTTGCTCCGGTTTTTGGTGGATTTCCTCATTTCCCCGACGAGGAAGGCTACTTGACATATCGAGTTCCTAATTGGGGTGGAGACAACAAGGTGCCATTCTTGAGTATCACAGATGACTACGGTGATATTGTTCATGGCATCTTTTTGGATCCAGCTCGATGGAATGGTCATGTTGTGCAAGCCATGAGCGACATGATTGGTTTCGACCAGTTGACGGTCAATTTTGAAGAGTGTGAGTAAAATGAACAGTGATATTGATATGTGGATAATACAGGCTAACAATTGGCAGTAACCGGGAAAAAGGCTCGATTTCAGCCAATTCTTCCCTCTTGGGAAGCCTTTGAAACTCATGGTGTTCATGAGTTGGAGGATGTTAAGCTCATGTTCGGTTTCACGCAAATAACCGGCGGTCGTTATTTTGGTCCTGAGCCTTCAAACATCAAGACATCTGCAGAATTAAAACACATAACAGCTACAGCACTAGGCCGACCAGAGGGCCAGAGAGAATTGATGTCTTCAAAGGACTGGTTTCGATCGCAGTTTGCGTAGAATATGAGGAGGCATAGGTTAACGTTAAATAAGTTAATGCGCATTTTGTTTGCAACGCATTCCACACATATATATCCCTAACATATGATATAGCAATTAAATTGAAATAACCCCTCACATTATATTACCCATATAAGATTCTGTATTGGACTTGAAGAATTGAGTGCAGTAACCAATAAAAAGCTTACTAAATCGCAATAAGGTCTAACCCCAAACTACAAACTACATATGATAACATGCTTGTACTTATCGGCTGGGTTAATTTGGTCTATAAATTCCTGTTCGCTACTTTCTGTACCATCCGTTCTTTCATCCCACCACCCATCGCCATGTCTCCCTTCGAATTTCTTACCCTGGTAGCTGGACTGGTTAGGCGTCCCTTGGATAGTCTTTTGAGATCTCCTGCTAACAACTTATCTAGTGGGCTATCTGTCATATCCTTCTCGCAGTTTACAACGTCTTCCTTCATCCTCTACGCAAATACCCCGGGCCAATCCTCGATGCCGTAACGCAGCTCCCGTATGCCTACCATATGATCAAGGGCGATAATGCCAAATATATTGCTAGGCTTCATGAAAAATATGGCGATACTGTACGAGTTGGGCCACGCGAAATCTCGTACACCAGCGCATCTGCCAACCGAATTATCTTTGGCGGTCGGCCAACAGAGGATACAGTTTTTGAGAAGAACCCAGTGGTCTGGCTGCAGGGATCAGGAGAAATCCATAATATTTTCTTCGCTCGCCATCGTGAACATATACGTTATCGCAAGATGATGGCACCAGCATTCTCAGAAGCTGCGATCCGGGAACAAGAGCCTGTCATCCAGCAGTATGTCTCCAAATTCTTGGATGGGATGCGCCAGCGGTCCGGCAAGGCGTTATATCCAGATGCAAACGGAGTCGTTAATATCCAAGCCTGGTATAATTTCTTTGTGTTTGACGTCCTCAGTCGATTATCGTTTGGTACGACCGTGGGTTCTTTGGATCAAGGTGATTATCACCCTTGGGTGACGGTCATTTTCGGCGCAATCAAGCATTCACAATATGTTCAGGCAGCTCATCGACTGCAGCCATACCATCGGCTGCTCGAGCTTCTTATTCCAAAAGCAGTTAGCGAACCCTACGATACACATATGAAGTTTGCCGGGAAAACACTACTGGAACGACAGAAGGGTGACTTCATTGGTCGGGCAGACTTTGCCTCATTCATCCTGAAGGGAATGACTGAGGAGGAGCTACTAGATAATGTGAACATTCTAGTTACCGCTGGCGGCGACACAACTGCCGCAACGATGACATCGATGACCTACTACCTGACGCACAACCCGGACAGCTACCGGAAACTAGTTGATGAGATTCGAGGAACTTTCCAGACCGAGGATGAAATTACCGTGTGCTCGGTTGCAAATCTCAAGTATCTCCGAGCAGTAATTCAGGAGACTATGCGAATCCACCCGCCAGTCCCCGTAGGACTTCATCGAGTAGCTCCTCGGAGTGGGTGTGCAATTGATGGTCGTTGGGTACCTGGTCAGGTACGTATTCGTGTCTAGATGCCCTTTAAGCGAGGGAGATCTCCTGTCACAATATTATAATGCTGACAGAGGGATAGACCTGGGTATCCGTGGCACCACTGGCAGCGTACCGTAGCTCCAAGCATTGGCGAGACCCAGAAAAATTCATCCCTGAGCGATGGCTGGGAGATCTCAAGTTTGATTCTGATCAGCGTGAGGTCTGCACGCCATTTTCCATTGGACAGCGAAGCTGCATCGGTATCAAGTAAGTTATACAAGCGTCATATGACGTACTTTATTTCTACTCTTGGAAAGATTATGCAACTAACCTGGACAGCCTGGCCAAATTGAATCTTCGATTGGTCATCGCTCGTCTGTTGTGGAGATTCGACCTGGAAGCTTTGCCAGGTAACATTGATCCTCACGACCATCTCGAGTATGGCGTGTGGCAGGGAGAACCGCTTTGGATTCAGGTGAAAGAAATCACGAGCTCGTAAAGGCAGGCTGCGCATGGCTATACTCTGTACTCCATACTCCAGACTGGTTAAGGTTACAAAAATTACATTTATTTGTGGGGTCTCCTGTTGTACAAACTCTAAATAAGGATGTGGGTCCATATCGGAAGTTTGAACTTTAAGCCATTTAACAATCCGGTGGGGGCCTTGGCAGTGTTTGTTTGAGCATCGCTCGAGCTCTAGTTAGGATAGGGCACAGAGTACTCCGTAGTCCGTAATACAAAATTACCCACTCTATGCGCGGATCTGGAAGAATAACACAAACTTCCATTGAATAAGTGTTGCTTGGCACTCATCATTTGCTCAGGCTCATGCTGGAAGCCTACAAAACTGCCAATCGCGCCCAACGTGCTAGTTAATACGTTATCTTTCAATGGCTTGAGCAATGTGGTCCTTCAAGCAGCCCCCGTTAAAAATCGCACAGGTCTAACTTTCAAATCACCGCTACAGCTGTGAAGCTTAGGGTATTTGCCCGCCCTAGCCACGATACAGGCCGAAAAGTACCATATAGTACATGAATTTATCTCCAAGACTTGCATAGCGAGTGTTCCGATCTCCTTTAAACCTCAGCCACAATATCGCACATTTGAAGTCACTCGTGTTCATTGGATTGGCGGTGTATGGAGAATAACGTAAGTTTAGAGGAAGGTGAATATCGGCCTCGTGATGGGATTAGAGCCTTGTAGGCACAAGAAGTACTTCGTATACAAGCTTTCAAACCGTGCACTCAACAAGGATCTCCCATTATTGCTCACAGGGTAACTCGGGGACTTGGTACTGACGTATGAAGGCAATTTCAAGATCTCCTAACTCAAAATACTCCGTAGGCTTGGTGGATTGCACTCGGTCCACATGGTGCATACATAAAATGTTAGATACTACTCTGTAATTGGCACCTGTATTTTCAGTCACGGATGCACCAGCATCCGCGATTTGAGAGGCCAGCAAGCAATTCAAGGTACAAGTCATAGGCCATTTTCCACTTCGTTGATCTGGTAGGAGGTGCCGAGTACTCCGTGCGGATGAAAATGGCCGCTAACGCACATAATTGAATTCTCCTCTGCCATAAGCGAGAGGATAGCGTTCGTATATCATCTGATCTAATCGACCTTCCTACTCAGATTACGGAGTACTTGTTTTAGTGGTTACCTAGGAAAGAGTCAGATATCAAACTGTAATAACTGATCTTTCAATCGCGGAGTATTTTGTGGTTTTTCTTATTTTGATCATACACGTTATGTCTGAAAATTCAGCTGCCCATAGAGAAAACATGAAGTTTACTTTTCCTATCACAAGCGGGTTATTGTACCAGGGATTTATATTTGAGACAGTCACAACGTCATAATGAAAATGAAATGAAAGGGTTAAGGGACTAACTAATTCGCAAAAATATTAGGCTTCAACTACAAGATATTGCTCGAGGATTCCGTACGAGTTCCTGAACATAAAAAACCAGGGTATCAATCATGGAGTTGGCGGATGGCTCATCTAAATGTGCGTTTGTAGTCGAGATTTGTAAGGTATGCGTTTGATCGTTGAAAGTGGATTGAACAACAAATTCGCGCTGCTCCTTGGTTGGCTGAGGTGCATAGTATTCATTCAAAGAAGCAGATACACTGCCAAATTTCAGTGCGCAGAGAGGCCCGCCACCCTGATGCAGAAGTGTTGTGCCAAAAACGGTATCCCGAGGCCAATCGGTGGATCTGTTGATAATATCTTTGAATTGGACCCGATCATGTGCTATCGAGTCTACATTCTGCTCTTGAATGGTGTGTAGCAAATCCTCGCAATTTTCAATATCAGTCAGGTTGGCACGAACTGGAATCATGTTGATGCATAGTCCAACTACTGTTTCGTCGCCTGGAAATCCATGGCCTCGACCGTGAACAACCTGACCAAATACAACATCACGCTTCTGAGCGTATTTGGACAGAGTCAGTGACCACGCTGCTTTGACCAAGGTGGCGAGCGTGATTCCCTTGGGAGGCTCTAAAACTGGAAAACTGCGCGTGACGTCAACAAAGACCTCTTGTCCTTCCATGTCGGCCAGTGGATTTCCTATGTAGGTCATGGAGGAACCTTCAAGTAAAGTCTTCCAGAACCCATAGGTCTCAGTAGTTGCTGAGGCAAAAAAGTCATAAGCCCAAGGTGAGAAATGATTAGGAGGGGAAAGTGGCTGTCCATTATAGATATCCGCAACGTCTTTCAGAATAATTGGTAATGATTGTGCATCATATACAGCGTGAGTTAATCGTATAATAAGCGTATGCTGTCGGTCACTTTCGGAGAGGAGGTAGAAACGGGTAGAAGGCACATTCCATGGCATGGGTTTGTTGGTGTCGTCTTCGAGCAGGCGAGTTTGAAGGCCACTGAGTTCTCCGGGGCATTCATAATGTTCAAATGCGACCGACACTTCTCGCAAAATCACCTGGAATAAGGAATTGCTGTGTTTGATAAATACGGTACGGAGGATTTCATGTCGGCAAACCACGTTTTCGCACACAGCTTTCAGTTTGGCAGTATCTACTGGACCAGGAATATGAATAATCTGATACTGTGGAGGATAGGGAAGCATAAGAAGCTGCAGCTCTGTGGCCGGAAGGACGTCAAGGATATCTGCCTCCCTAACATCTAGTTTTGATGCCATCTCGATCGGTGTACCAGAAAACATGGTAAATGGCGCCCTCTTAGGTTCAGTATTCAAACCCCCGTTTGTAAAATGGACCGCACGTTCCGTTAACTTATTAAGGTCAGAATGTTGAAGGATTTCGCCAACAGATAAGGCGATATGACTCCGTCGAAGGAGCACTGCTAACTTCATCGCTGTGATAGAATCACCTCCAAGCTGGATGAAACTTTCCGCAATACCAACATATTGTAGTTCAAGACCAAGAACTTCGCCAACAGCTTTTTGGATGGAACGTCCTGTATCAGAGTTAGGCTGTTGCTTGGCATCTCCTGCTGTTTTAGTGCTGTACGACTCAAGGTCTGTAATTGTGAGCTGCTCCACGATCGCTCGCAGGCGACGGCGGTCTGTTTTCCCTGTCAGAGTAAGCGGCATGTGGGAAATCGGAAGGGCTAATGTAGGGACCATATACGAAGGGAGAGATGCCTGCATTTTGGGACGCACTCGATCCAGCCAATTGGAAAGAAAAAGAGGGCAATGAGGAATTATTAGTGATGTTTCTTCCAGAACCGAACCCCTATCATGTTCGTTGATGAAGGCAATCAGGACCGGGCGTGCCCCTTTTCTTGCAGCAGGAGTAGCCACTTCAGCCACCACACAATGCGAGCTGGGGTACAGTTGCCGAAGATGATGTTCGACATCGCCCATTTCCACTCGCTGACCACGGATTTTCACCTGGGTGTCTTTGCGGCCGATGAACTCGATAGAGCCATCCGAATCTATATAATGGACAAGATCGCCTGTTCGATAAGCGCGGTAGGGCTGTGGCGAAACTGCCGGCCATAAGCCGGGGCTTAGGAAAGCCGCTGCTTTGGCTCCTGTGCTGTTTATATATCCACGGCTCACAGGGGGCCCCTCAATGACCAGCTCTCCAATGGCCCCAACAGGTGCCAGTTGATCAGGACTCCGCGTATCAGCGACCCAGAGGTGGACTCCCAGCCCTTGTCCCAAGACCCGGTGGTTATAAGGCTCTGATAGAGGGCCTTGGGCAGCGATTATCACGGTACATTCGGTTGGTCCGTATACATGGAAAAGTCGGGTTGACTGCGCCCATTGGTCAAAAAGCGCCTTTGTTGTAGCCTCACCACCTAGGAGTAAAATCTCTAATCCAGGCATATCTGCTGGGGACAATGTCTGCAAAACAGATGGCGTGACAAAAAAGAAGTTTGCCCGGAGCGCCGCAAAAGCTCCTGGAATATCATCACGTCGACCCGCCTCTGAGGGTATGCAAGTGCATCCCCCGTGCATCAACGGGCCTAAATTCTCAAGAACAGCCGCATCGAAGGCATATGCAGCAAACTGAAAGACGCGTGACTGCGAGCTTAACGAAAATTCAAAGGCCTTAACCACAGTGCTAAACATGGCATGCTCCATGACAGCGCCCTTGGGGTTGCCCGTCGAACCAGATGTGAAGCAAATGAAGGCCGCATTATCTGGCCGTATCGTCGGTGGTTTCAGCTCAACGTCAGGTGTTAGAATTCCGGGGCCAATCTCAAGGAGAGGTAAGTTCAAGGTTCGTGCACCATCTACATCTCGAGGGGAGGAGACAATCAGTTTCGCGCCCACATCTCGACACATATCTCGTAGACGACTTGGAGGATGGGATGGGTCCAGCAATACGAAGGCGCCGCCAGCCTTTAGCACTGCCAACATCGCCATTGTCGTCCAGCGGGATTTGGTGAAATATAAAGGTACAAAGACCTCGGGCTGCACTCCTCTAGCCTGTAGAAGGGCAGCAAACCGTGAGCTAAGCTCGTCGAGTTCCTTATAGGTGAAAGTGCCGTCCCAGGCACATATTGCTATCTCATCTTTGCGAAGCCTGCATTGTTCCGTGATCCGCTCATGTATACATGCGTCGTGACGAGCGAGTTCGTTGCCGTTCCATCTTTGGATTTGATTCAGATCGTCATAATGAATGTTCGACGTTATAGCGGCTACCGGAGTGTTGCCGGGCGCCCGCTTAATCAGGCTCACAACATGTCTCATCTGACGGACCATTTGTTCGCATTTCCATGTGTTCTCACCACACCCTTGAATAGCGAGGTCTTCCGAGGTCAGGTCACAAATCACAACGGTTTGCTTGGATCTACCGCTATAATGATCTGGGGCTGATCCCTGGACGTTAATGACCAGCAAACTCTGTTGACTATCATTTTCGCTGTTTGCCGTCGTTTTACGAATGGTTTGATTGATGACTTCGAGGCCCTCTTGGATGGTCTTATCATATGGGAATTGAAAGTGCAGCGACGCGCTAATCGAATAATTTTCTGAGGTTGCCAGGCCAAAGTTGATCTCATCAGTTCCGGTAAACTGAGCCAGTGTTGTTGCCCAGGCCAAAGCCAGGATAGGAGATGTTGTAGCCATGGGTATAGTTTATAGCAAGTTCACCGAAAGAGTGGTTGCCTTGTCAAGCAGTCGCTTGACAGGACGAGAAGAAAGGCTCACAGTGATATAGATGGGTATGGCCTATTAAAGAAACATACGAAGACATACTCCGTACATTTATCCTTGTATAAATAACCCAAAAATACCAACCTTATAAGTTGCAAAAAGAAAGTAAGAGAAAAAGAAAAAATGCCGAGCTACCCAACCTCATAATTTGGTCCTGCAGCTCTCTCCACTTCTGTCGCTTGATATTCTCCTAGCGTTAGCTATGGTTAGTTACCGAGTGTCCTCTGCGATGACTTGCAAATTGAAAAACCGGAAAATTGGAGATATCATATTTCTCATACTTCTCACAGCAGTGCAAAAGCAAGCATGATACTCGAGAAAGTGGTGAGCACCCCACAATCGAAGATATCTTTATAAAAGTACTCTTCCTCTCCGCCAGATGTTGCTAAAGGCTGGATCAAAGGATATAGAAAGAGACATATAACTTTGGTCAACAGGTTTTTAAATAACGATGACAACCTTCACTCCTACACAGCATACATCGGTCTATCCGGCAATCGACGCGAGCTTGCCGGAGCTCTCTCAGGCTGACCGAACGGTTTTGATCACTGGCGGATCCTTTGGCATTGGCTTCATTGCTGCGCAGGGCTTTGCAAAGGCATCTGCCTCTAAGATCATCCTCTTGGGCCGTCAGCGAGACTCTCTAGTCTCAGCCTGTGATCGGCTACGCAAGCAATATCCAGAATTCCAGGGCGAATTGATCACATATGTATGCGACGTTGGTGATGCAGTCCGCGTCGCCGAAGTCTGGGATGACCTAAATAAGAAGGCCATTGCAGTTGACGTATTGATCGTGAATGCGTGCTATTTCACCGTCGAAGGACAGATAGCCGATATCCCCCTACAGCTGGCTTGGAGGGGTTATGAGGTGAATATTCGTGGCAACCTGGATATGACGCAGCGATTTATACAGCAGGGCAAGACGGCCGATTTCAGCGGAAGAAAGGCAAGTGACGCTACATACCCTACTTTACCTTGATATATCCTGATCAGAACAAATCTAATATTCAATAGCGGGCCTTGATCAATATTTCCTCCCGCCTGACCCACGACCATGACGCCAGCGTTGGCTTTGGAAGTTATGCTAGTACCAAAATTGCATTCAGCGCTATCGTCCAGCATCTAGCTACCGAGGTCCCTGTTGAACAGATCCAGGTTCTCAATGTCCACCCTGGAGATGTGTATACGGAAGGCGTTTCAAAGATATGTGAGAAGGATTCCTGGCCTGATTGGGATGAACGTGAGTGCAATTTTCCACCGCATATCCATGCTTGGGATCACGTTCACTAATTGCTGTAAACGAACGTTTAGCCAGCCTTCCCGAAAATTTTCTTGTCTGGGCGGCATCACCCGCTGCATCCTTCCTGCATGGCCGATTCGTCTGGGCTAACTGGGACGTCACTGAGCTCAAAAATTGTGAAGCCCTGACAGATGGCAAACCGGAGAACAAGCAACTTCTCAAACTTGGGGTCAATGGGCTGGTGTTTGCAGTGCCTACTATGGCCGCTCTGAAGACTTAATTTACGCCACCCGCGGGATGCGAAAGACTTTTAAGTCATAAAATAGTCATATAGTGATTGTGTTTAGAAATAGATAGACAATTCATACGTCAATATTGGACGTGTCGTTCCCTAGACCATTCCAAAGTCAGCTCATCGCGCGCTTCCGAGGCCCGGGTATAATTTGTGAATATTCGATATTGACACTTGGGGTGGCATTGACAGCAGCCAGAAGATGGAGGATGGGATCCCTTCCATAGAAGACTCCGCGGCCTTTGATAAATGTATATTGCGTTGAGATCAGCCATATGCTTGATTGGCTGACCACTGCCGACTCAAAAATTGAACTGCATCTATGCCGTATAGTTATCGTAGGGTAGCGTAGGTGCACGGAACTTCCTACCATATATCCAATCCACATCCCAGTGCAGTCTATCAAGCAGTGCCAGTACAGCTCATCCATCATTTGATATATATACTCTGTTCAAACATATATTTCAAGCCCTCTCACGATGACTTCTGGCGAGCAAAACAAGAGCATATATGGCTCGCCATACATGGCCGAGTTTTATGAGTTACGATGGGCATGTGGTGTAGGGCTGGAGGATGTTGAGCTGGTCTATTGGCCGGCGTTTGTCGAAATGTTTTCCAAGCACCCTCGAGGAGCCCAATTTACCTTCATCGACATCGGCACAGGGGGCGGTCGTTCAATCCTGGGTTTGCTCGATAAAGCAGTTGCCGAGTCGTTCGAAATCCCCCTTGGGTCTGCTCAGTTTATTGGGATGGATATCGAAGAGAACATGCTTGACTACGCTGCCAGGGAGGCCTCGAAACACCCTGGAATCAGCCCCGTCACTTGGTCTCTTGGTTCAGCGCTGGCACTGGACAAACTGCGTGAGCTGGCCGACAGGAAGACCACAGTCGACATGCTCATCTTCACATATGGCAGTATCGCCCATTTGACAGGAGACGGCGAGCTGGGGCAGTTCTTTACCCAGGTCTCTCGTGTGTTGACTCCCGGGAGCGGCCGCGCCTATGTTGATTTTTTTGATGATATCTTCATTCCCCACGGCCAGGACGGCGCCAAAATGGAGGATGCGTCCACTGATGCGCATCCAGATGTCCAGAGCGCAGAGATAAAGAGCATTCAGTGGCCAGGTATCTCGTACCAGATGGAGACATCGAAGTTTGTGACGGCCGGCGTCTTCTGTGACGCGGACCTGATGGTGCATGTTGTGAGAGAGGATAAGACGGTCGTCCAGAGCAACTCCATCCATCACCATCTGCGTATACACCGGGAAGACCACGTCCAGGCTGCTTCGCGGGAGGCAGGGCTAGTCCAGGTCGGCAAGAAAAGCTGTATGAAGGACACAGTCTTCATCTTCCAGAAGCCTGCTTGATTGTTTTTGTGGCTTTCTATCTCCTGGCAGCGGTCCTATGCGACTTGTACTCCATATATAGTCGCCCTTGGATACAAATCATATAGCAGCAATCAAACACGTCGACCTAGCATGTCTACTCCGTACAGAGATAGGATAACTATACGAGTAACGAGCGGTGGTGCACCAGTGGCGTAGAGATGGATGTTGAAGGGGGCTCGTAAATTCTTCCTGCTCCGAGACCTATTTATCACCCATAAACATAGGCTGTCCGGACAACAAACCACCGCCATTGTCAACAGAGACCAGGTACAGGGTGTCCTGGGTGTGAAAATGGTCGATGTGAGGTCACTGGCTGCATGAGTATTTCCATCTTATCCTTATCCTTTTTCCTGCTACTCTTTCAATCGCCGGTCCTGCTTTAAAAACATCACCCTCATGCCAGGGACAATCAACTGGGAGCCAGCAGCTTCACAGACAAGCTCACAAGCCATGGGCATGATGGTACTGAAGAAGAGGAAGAGGGATATTGATCCGGGACAAAATAGCAACACACTGCTCTCGTAAGTCATTCTGAATGGCAGCGGAAGCTCTACAGCCGAACGTTGGAAGGCCAAATAATAACATCCGGTTCTACTTTAGGCACCCTTCGGAGATTGATTCCAATTCCTACACGAGGGCAGAAGCTTCTTCCATCGCTGCTAGCTACTCTCGAACCAACACGGGTCCAGGTTCGCCCATAGTAACAGCTTCAAACCACCGATCACGCATACGCCCCCTAATACCCTTGAAGAAAAGACGGCTGGACCCGAAGATACTACCATCACAACCCTCCCAACCGCTCTTCTTCTATACTCGAACACCACAGGGTGGACAGCAGCGAGAATACCCCGATGAGAATCTCCAACATGCTCGGAATCCACATTCCCTAGCAACAACGCCTCTTACGACATCAGATGACTATAATATGAAAAATGTGGGAGATATTCCTAGACACATATACCGATACCACATACAGGACGACGAGTATGATCGATCAATACCCGGGAGCCACGGCTCGTCGGTCAAGCCAGCAACAAAGGCTAGTAAACAGACGCTCGCACCATGTCATATTTGCCATCGACGGCCTACGACACGGACATTATTAGACGCCTATGCAGACTGTGAAATATGCAATGAGAGATCATGCTATGTTTGTTTGCGGGAGTGCAATGACGTCTCTTGCCGGGAATGGGAGGGTCATATAGATTCAGGAGACCCGGGGGGGAACGAACAGGCGAGATCTCTAGGGCGGAGGGTATGTTCGTCCTGTGCTGTGGAGGGAATCCTTGAGACTGGGGAGGAGGTTGTTCGATGCCTAGTTTGCGTTGAGCGTGGATAGACGATTTTATCTTGCATTCATCGGAGCAGAGTCTTTCATTTCATCTTTGGGCTGGCTAACTCAATTATTGTTATTACTTATTATATTATTCCTTAGCGAGGAAACATCACACTGTTTAACCATTTGAACAAAGATAGGCATTTCCCTTTTAAATTATAAGTTAAGAATATTTTGTGGGTGATTATTTCACACAGGTGTCTAGGTAGAACAGCCAGTAGGAAGGGAAGAGAGGGAAGAATAAAAGGGGTGATGCTCTATCGTCCGAACCTCATTTCAGCTCTGGCATACCTCCACAGCCCCTTTATAAATCTTTGATATTCTACGGCCTCGACCTCGCCAGCAATGCCGGTGCTATGGTCTCCGGTGCAGAATATCTCTGACAACCTAATTTGCCATGGAGGGTAACCGTCTAGCTTGACATATGGGCCGAAGATAAGGACCAGATCTGGATCTGCCTTGGTCAACGGGGTCAGGTTATTCCCAGCTGCCGAATCTGTGCCGTTGGTGTCGTTTCCGGATTCTTGGGGTGAAGGTGCTGGGATGGTCATCATCTCAGCTAATTCAGCATCGATCAGCTTGGTGCCGATATCCTGCGGTGAGACCTTGCCATGCTGTGCCATTTCAGCGAGTGTCTTGGTAAGGTCGACCAGTGTCTCACGGCCATCCGTGCTCGAGAGGAGGAGGACGGTGATTGTCTCGATGTTCGACTTTGACGATTGAGGGACGAGTGTAGGCGCGTATAGCGGGTGATGGGGGGCAAACACGCCGAGAGCGGGCTGATGGGATGGCGGGCCATAGTAAGTGTCGAGTTTGCTGGTGATGATTCTATGGAGAGCTGGTATGTGTGATTTCAGGATACCTAGATATAACAACAGCGGTTAGCTACTTGGTTTGGTATAGAGTAGAGGACAACTAACCGGTCTTCTCGTAGATGCTCAATGCCGGAATCCCAGCGCATGAGCTCCAGGCAGTCAACTCGGCCACCTCGTCCATGAGCGTCTCCAGGGAGTCTTCATCTTTCCTGAGCGTCAGCACCACGCTGAGATGCTCTGGCAGCCTGTTCAGCCCTCTCACGTCCTTCCGGATCAGCTCGGGCGTTCGATGGTGGTAGTATAATATTGCGAGTACACGATCGACGATGGCATGGTAGCTCTGGCGTATCCGCGTATAGATGCTGAAGACGATGTGTATTAGGAAATAGAGAAGATAGTATAGCTTCGACCGGAGAAATGTGCGGACTGGCTTCGAGTTTCCCTTGCGGCCCTTGACGGACGACTTTCGAACCCGCGGAGGCAGCAGAAATGGCTTGATGAGACTCTCGCGCTCTGCAGCCGGAAGAGTTTCGAGCTGCTTTCGAAGCTCCGGGCCCTCCACGAACGCCATGGTCGCCTGTAGCCCGGTAATCTGCTAATATATGGCGAATGAAGAGAAAGTTGGTGGTGGTGAGGACGAGATTTTGCAGATATTCAGGAGTCCAGTGGATGGAAAGGACAATCAGAGCAATCAGAGAGCTGCCACCGCGTCATGTCTCCCTATATATTCGTTTGTGTATCTTCAGCTTTTAGTATTTTATATTTTAGCAAATTATTGCGATCACTGACGTATCTCAAAAGTCAAGCCACAATCCAGTGCGTGGCAGTACAAAACACTAGATGGTTAGGTGGTTTGTTAGTAAACTCGCATCCCAGAGCTTCAAGTCTTGAGATAGGGCACATCGCATGGATGGCCGGTGAACTGGTCTAATATGTGAAGGGATCTCGCTACGGCATTGATGATAAGAGCTATACCTCCGGCCTGCCATCCCTCATCCCATCTTATCCATGTCTAGACGACGCCAACGCGCATCGCAACCATGCCTGACCAGAGCCACCAGTCTGATATGCGAAGGTCGATATTCAACAAGGGCCCGAACTTCACCCTAGAGACCTTTTCAAACCGAGACTTCATCGTCAAGGACTTCATCGAGTCTCTCTCCGACGCTGCGATCCAGCGCCGCTCCGGAGGCATCGGGAACCAGCCCTTCGACCCCAAACCCCTTATCCGCGCCTTCGAACATGCGCAACGCCGTCTAACCGAGTTATCGGGGGATCTGGAACAGCGCGAGAATGAGCTGTCTGCGGCTGTGCGGAAGGCAGAAGCTCAACATACGCAGAACGCAAGCAATCTGGGCTGGAAGTTGAATCAAGCTATCGAGTCGTTCCAGAAGCTAGACACCTCGTTGAACGGGCCCCGGCGACCTTCTACACGGGATGGACCGTCGAGTGGGAACGGGAATGTGGCCGTTGAGACAGGGAAGAAGCTGGAAGAGCTAGATCGCCAGAGACGTAAAGCTCTGGATGCACATTTCCTCATCGGATGCTGGGATGAAGTGAGCAATCGCGGGGAGCTGACGATGCTGGAAAATCTACGGCGCTCGGGGAGCGGAGAGGGAAAAGTTCGGTCTGCGCGCATCGCCAGACAGCTGTTACGGATAAGCCAGAGACTGGATCCGTTGAGCTGGAGTGAAAATAACGGAGGTGGTGAGAATATACCACCTAGCCCTGGAGATCACTCGGCCAACGGTAACGGTCCCAAGAGGAGGAACACACGAGAGATCATCGAGAAATTCTCAGAAACGCTCGAGAAGGACCTGCTGAAACAGTTTGATCATTTCTATCGAAAGGCAAACTTCGAAGGCATGAAGGACTGCGCGAGCGTGCTACATGATTTCAACGGAGGAGCTAGTGTCATTGCTCTATTCGTCAATCAACATCAATTCTTCATAGACCGCAGTCAGCTTATCTCTGAAGAAGTCAGCGGAGATTCTGAAGCCTGGGAGCAGCTCGCAGACCCTGATGCAGAGTCTCCAGGGGCAGAGCCCAGCCTGCAGTCGCTGGTCGACGAGGTCCAAGTGGTTGTCCAGGAGGAATCAGCAATCATCAAACGAGCTTTCCCCTATTACGAACAGGTTCTCAGCAAGTTTTTGCAGAGAGTGTTCCAACAGTCGATACAGCAACGCCTTGAGCTTGTCTTGGATAAAGCTAGTTCCGTGTCCTCTTTGGCGTTTCTGAGAACCCTACAATCGGCACGGAGCTATATAAGTGCTCTAGTTGACGACCTGAAAGCTCATGGGCTGACTGAACACCCGGATACCATGTCGTCACAGACCGCGATATTCCTCGACCAGCAACTAGAGGAACTTTTCATACCATATCTCATGGGATCGTCCTACATTGAAAGGGAGAAGAACAATCTGGAAGAGCTTTACACGTCCCTCATGTTCAAGTTTGTTACCTTCCACTCCCGACGAAAGAAGACACCCACAACATTCATGTCCTCCCTTGCAAAGTCAGGGAGTGAACTACTCGCCTCAGCAAGAGATGCATATATAAATAGCCTCGACTCTTCCGATTTCACACCCACCCAACGCAAAATGCTTCTACGAGTTGCTGGGCTCAAAGAGAACGGCGAATTACAAAAACAAAACGAGATCGAGCTCACGGAAGAAGACGGACAGCTAAGCGTTGCGTTTGCTAAACGCATGCTCCGATGGCTGGCAGAAGGCGTCGGTAGAAGTCTAGAACTTAGCGTGAGCAGCGAGACACCAAAGGATGTGTCCACGCTTCTCAACATGCTCTTATCCAGGATGGGCGAGGGATACATTGAAATGGCCCTCGATGCATCACTGGATTCCGCCCATGCTCAAGAATCCGGCAAAGCCGAGCCGGACTTTAACTATTTGACCACTCTAAGAACGGCTATCAGCGTGACATACCTAATGATGACTTGCATCAACGCTGTGCTAGTTCCGTTGGCCGCATCTAATATAACAATAAAAAGAGACATGGAGAAGAAGACCAATCTGATAATGCATCGCATTGAGGAAAAGATCAACTCAATTGAACAGAAAACCGTCGATGTAACCCTTGCTTGGGTTGCGCGAGTTCTCTCGGGTCAGAAGAAGAACGATTTCCGACCGAAGGAGGGTGTGGCGGACGAAACTGGATGGCTAGAAATGCTCCAAACACCGGTAAGTCGCCTCTTCTTTACTTTGTACATGAGACGCCCTCGAAAGCTTCACCTACTAACGTATCATCTAGACCTGTGCATCTATCTCGGGTTTCCTTACTCGACTGCATAATATAACCCTGACATCACTGCCGTCTAGCGGTTCCAACGTACGAATATTCCTCACTGAAATCGCCCTAGGTACTCGGGCATTACTCCTGGATCATTTCAAAAAGTTCCCTGTCAACGCCCCTGGTGGCCTCATGGTGACGAAAGATATGACCCGGTACACCGAACTGTTGCGGTCCTGGAACATCGACGAGGCCGTCAAAGGCGTTGGTGGAGCCTTGGATGTGTTGCTTGAAGTCGGTAGTCTCTTCGTCATCGGACCGCAAGCACTCAAGGAACGGGTCCGGGCGGGAACGGCTGGTGGAAGCAGTGGTGCTTCAGGGGGTGCTGCCGGTAGTGGCGGGACAGCAGGTGGAAGCCAAGGTAAATCGAATGCCGGCCTCAGCGTGCAGGAGGTGCGTGCTTATGTGTTGCGTCGCGAGGATTCGGGGAGCGTTGCGATGCAGGGGGTTTTCAACGCATTTTGATACCATAGGTCCGGACACGTATTATTATTTTTGGTGAAGGATCTTCTCATATATGCTCATAGAGTTACGTTTACGCTGGCCATGTCTTCATACAATCAATCACACATAGGGAATATACCCTTTCTACACCATAGAATTTAAAAAGGCGTAGAGAGTAGAGTCATATTTGTTAAGTGAGGAAGTAGAGATTTACCTCCAAGGAATCAACTTAGGCCCCTTTGACTCCACCTACATCACATATGCTATTCCAGGATATATTTTGTAGACCCCTAGGAACGGAGAGACCCTCAACAGTCCAACTAGCAATAGCTAGCTCAAAGGTCCACGCTAATACTGCTTTCCCCCAGTGTGATTTTCTCCCCCATATAGCAGTCTCAATCACAGTTCCAATGCCGTTTAGCAAAAAGAAAGTGATTATACGCACCACGCCGTCTATTGGCAAAAGGGGCCCAAGGCCGTATGCATGGAAAAGTCCCATCAATGAGAACGAAGCCAGAATACCGATAGCCTTTGCAAATGACTCAGGTACACCATATCTCGCTGGTAGGTGTCGTCGTAAAGGGTCGTAGGCAAGAGACCGACAAGGACTAGCAAAGGCAGTGTGCCATGTCTCGCTCCAAAAGGAGGCAAGGGATGAAGCAGTGTATACCGGGCCAAATAGAGGTGGGCTAGTTTTGTATCGGAGGACAAGCTGGAGTGATTCCCAAATAACATAGATGGCGAGAAGGATCTGGACAGCCAGAACTGTAGGGTTGGACTGTGGGAAGAGAGCTTGAAGGACCCAGAAAATAGCACCGTGTAAGATTAGGTTGAACGTCTCGGAGAAACGATGAGGACTTTGGCGTCGTGTGTGATGAGATATGTATCTCTTCCCAGTTGCGGAAATGAAGTTGTTCTTGCAACATTTCTCACCTCCACGCTTACGATGACAGCAACTATATTCTGTCATAGAATCTTCCTCTAACTGAGCCGGAGCCGGAGCTGTGCGGAGATAGTTTGGTGTGAATGACTCGTATCTTAACTCTGTGAAATAGAGCAACGCGATAATGCCGTCAGATGGCGGATTCGGATACGCATATCTCGGGGGTGATTTCCTTCGAGCATAAAAATCCAACGCTTTCATGCTACCAATTGCCACTATTATTCTCTAAAGTTAGCACCATCTTATAGAGTGTTGTCTATAAAGAATAAGTAACTAAACAATGATATCCTCACCTGCGAATAGTTGCAAGCTTCGAGCAACCGAGCATTCCAATACCACCAGCGTGCCACTGCCTATAAAGGCACAAATAGCCATCCAGTCCAGGATCTCAAACAGCCGTACTTTTTTCTTCACCAAGGCATAGAGAGCAAGGTATAGCAGTCCAGCTGGAATGACGAGCGAAATGAGCCCATCTCGGATATCAGCACCTGCTTCCGCGAAAGCTGCTTGGGCATCAGGCGAGAGATCTGGCATGATATTCAAACATTTTGGTATCATTTTGATTTTTTGAAAATTTTTTTCCCTCGTCCCCTTCGCTTTATAAGAGCACGTATCACCCCCTCTCTCTTGATTCGCGTTTTCGACCTCGATCTCGTGTCTCGTTTCTTCGCAATTTCAGCCAGAGATAGCAGATCTTGTTGCAGAACAGGGGAGCTCTTTCTAGCTGCGCTCAAGTGGTAACTTTCAGCAAGGAAGAGAAGTATAAATTAGGAAAAGGACAATGTGGTATATAAACAAAGATGCTAGGTTATAGGACAAAAGACTCTTCACATATATCGGGCGTTATATCTGCGTTTCATTAGCAACAGAGCTAGGGAAACGCTTTAATGCAACCAGACAAGAAGGACGTCCTCTAACCAAACCAAAACAGGAAGAACAGGAAAGGCCAGCTATGCAATATAGTTGGGCAGTATATAAATTATCTGTGAGAGGAGTCACGATGCCTGCCAGCCAGCTGGATAATTGACGTCAGGATGAGCAAGGTTGGTCTGTCTATAATATAAACCCCAGAACAATAATCACCTTTCTAAATGGCAGCGTTAGATAGGAAAACATCAAGAACAATTAGGCTATTAGAATAATGAGATAGAGGATTCCCCTAGAATAAAGAGGTATTTTCGTTAAAGAAGATAAAAGAGCAAGAATCCACCGGCTATAGGTTTGCATGCAGGGGTTAGGGATATCATTGGGATATTCGTATGCCTCCTGCATGTGCTGCCGGATGATTCGGAGAACTTGACTTCAGCTGCTTAGATACTTACCCCCTGAGCCGTATCACAAGGAAGACGCTAATGTTATGCATATTCTACCTGTAAAGCTTCATCCTCGCCTGCAGGATCTACAGTGCATGCATCGACGGGGTACAACATCCTTGGTCCGGAAGAAAGGAATTGTTAAACATATTCTGCATTTATTCTCGGTCATAGCTACTGGTCAGGCATTACTCGAAGCCACACGTCTCGACGCCCTTCTTACAGCTGTGAACATGCGGGTGTTCTAAATCTATCTCCCTGCAACCCCCGTAGCCATCATCAGCCACTGGCTAACTATATCCCCGTAGCGGCAAGTTTTGAAGCAAGCTCATCAACCTTCTTATCTGTATCCTGGGCGACCTTCTCGTTCTCAGCACGTTCGGCATCCTTGACAACTCGTTCGGCCTTCTCTGCTACCTCCTCGTCGCTCTCTGGCTCCTCTGCCTCTTCTTCTTCATCTTCCTCTTCTTCGTCTTCATCCTCACTCTCCAGTTCATCAAGCTCATCCAAGCCCCAGGCAGATTCATCGTCCTCATCTTTACCTAGTTTCTTCTTGCGCTCCTCAAGCAGGTCACGAAGTTCACCGAGGTGCAGATCTTCCTTGTTTAATTTATTTCCATTCAACTCAACACGTTTCAAAGCTGGGAGAGATGTCTTCGCAGACTGAACAAATTCCTTCAAACCCTCAGCGGTGATATCATTATAGGCCAAACGAAGGGTTTCGATCTTCTTGTTTTCTCCCTTTGCCAGGCTCTTCGCGACAAGAGTTGCGCCTTTTCCTTTAAGATAGCAGTCGCTTAAACTAACTTCGCGGATATTAGGCCATCCGGTAATTACGCGGGCCAGGACTCGGGAACCGGTCATGGTGAAGGTGTTATCTTGTAAATCCAATACTTCAAGCTCAGGGGCGTGTTGGAGACCCATATCAAGAAGTAGAACTATTCCATCTTGGCGAATACCATTCTGCGTCATCCGTATGCTGCGAAGGCCCTTTCCGTGATCCTTCACCATTTTCGCCCATGTGGCCATGCTTCCGCTCTCAAGTCTATTACGGCCACATACTATCGTTTCCAGGTATGGCACCTGCACCTTGGGATTCGACGACCGAGCCTCCTCCTTTTTCGTATGCAACTCCCTCAACGCATCAGCAATAAGGTTTCCCGCCTTTGGACCCAAGCCGTTATTGTTCAAAATCAAATGACGTAGTGGGACGTGTGCCTTTAAAAATTCGACCAGCGGAGCCTGGGTATTCAATCCGAAAGCATTGTCACTTAAATCGATAGTTTCGAGAGTGTCAACTTCATGCAGCGCTTTTAGAAGGGAGGAGAGGGCCTGCGGTATCTCGTCTAGAAGTCGAGAGGTAAAGATATCGGCTAGGTTTGCTGTGTGAAGCTTCTTCTGGGTTCGGAGCACGCTGGCTAGACGTTCGGATGCGGGGACACCAAATGTATTTCCACCCAGGCGGATTTCCGTAATAACATCATTGCTTTCAACGAGGGGTTTGATAAATGGTTCCAGGTCAGCGGCGGTGTCGAATCTCTGCCCCTTGCCCTCAATCGAGAAGAGAGAGGGAGAAGCCATGGCGGGGTAGTCTCCTAGGATGTTTGATGCTATCCCGTGTACGTGTAGCCACAGATCGAAGAGTGTAGTCAGAGGAGAGGTTGATAAGGAATAAGAAGCAAAAAAAGGGGTATATCAGAAGAACTGGCGCTGGAAAAGGACCTATCAAAAAGCTGTAGGGAGGTAAAAAGGAGGCTCCAAACCCCACGAAAGGAAGCGCGCACTCTTTTTTCTTTGGTGGGTTGAATGCTGACTAATGAATATCCGGAGTAACATATCTCCGCGATGACATAATATGTCAGTTACCGGAGTTTAAAATGGAACCTGGAAATTGATTGATCATCAAGAAGCCGAAACTGATCGCAGCTTCAACGACGATATAGCGATTCTTCTCTCGTTTTAACAATGTCTTCTCCAGCAAGCCTCTCGTCGTCTCTCTCCACAGGTAAGTCCGTGATTTATGATAGCGGGAGCAGCATACTGACAGACATCATTAGCTCCGGCTGCCTCTACCGGCGCTTCCGCTACCACCGAAACCTCAAAGCCGAAGGTATGTCTCATCAGATTTGTTGCATATCCGCCAATTGAAGAGCTGCGCTTACAATATCTAGCCATGCTGCGTCTGCAAACCCGAAAAAGCTGCACGAGACGACTGCATGCTATTCTCTAAATCGGATGATCCCGCCGCAAAAGAATGCTTGTCATTCGTACAAGAATACAAGGCCTGCATGGCTGGGTTCGGATTTAAGGTCTGAAATATACTTGGACAGCGGGATATCACTCGGAAGATGCAGAATTTCGAAGCCAACCTTGGAGTCAGCGGGTGGTTCGGTATCTGCGAATCGATTCTGGAGATTTAATCGACCATGCGCACATAACGGCCAGGAACACATGCTCTTCTGAGGTTTTGTTGTATGATATGGCTTGGGAAACTGGTTATAGAATGGTTTATAGAATTTGGTGGACCCTGAGATATGGGTCTCAATGTACAACACGCAATTTAACGGAATATCTCTAATCGCGAAGCTTTTGACTCGACTCTTTGGATTTAAGTGTACGCTAAATTATTCATATCAAGGTTATCGATTTACGGAGCACAAAAGATGGTAGGCAAAACTCAGTCCACTATATTATCTACATATAGATCGGTTCATATATAGTTGTAATACGTTGCTTGAGACCTAAACCGTCGGAAGAAAAGTTTCAGCTTGAAGATGGATACCTTACACCGACTATGGTGCTGATCTCAGCCCAGAGTTTTCTCGCTGGTTCTGTTCAAAAGGTCGGAGATGATAGATCTTGGTAGAAATTCGTCCATCACTTAATGTCTGCTCTACCCAACTATTACTAACACATTGCATAGATATCAAAGCCCAGCATATCGTTTTCGCACTAGAGAACCATCAATTTTACAGAGTGGGATGATACATATACACCTAGATCCATATCATACTCCTAAGGTTATTTTAGGGATGGAATGGAGGTCGAAAGTGGATATCTGGAATGTCGACGTGTTGGCATGTAATATCGTGGATATTTACTGAAGTTTATCTTAACATTTTCAAAGGTAGCATTTATTCGAGGATTGTTTCACGTTCAATGGCCGTGGACTTGAGGAAAAGCATTCCAACGCTCATTTGCTAGCTGAAATGGTCCCGTTCTATGGAAGCCTGCGAGCGTCGAATACTGGGATGAGTCAGGTAATTCACCGCTTGGAGAATGAAAGTACGCTGACGAGGTAATGATACGTCAAGTGTTGAGAATATAGGTAGTTGGAGGGTCCAGTTGAGATTCCGGAGAATTACTGTCTTGAGGGCATGAACAAAGATAAATTCTTGCAATTCATGCGAAGGACGCTAAGATGGGATCAGACGAGAGAGCGTGCGCGAGCGAACTTCTGGTTGATCAGTAGCTTGTAACCTCTTAAGGGCGAGCTGAAAAAAATTGCCTAACGGGGCCTTAAGCTAAGCGCTCAAACTAAAGGGAGTTGAGCTAGTTGCCCACGGCTTTCTTCCCCTTGGAGGTATCCTTGCTGCTGACCCCAGACACCCCCTTTGCATTATTTTCTCTGACTTCGCTAAGAGGAGCTTTCTCGACAATAGGGCGTTTGCGTATAGTGCTTAACGGGGATTGCTGCGGCTCAAGGAGGACTGCTTGTGCGAGCTTCCAGTTACACCATAAGTAGATGATACCAAAGCCAGACGCTCCAATTATAGAGTTTAGAACCACCCAAATGTCGGGCTTTGTGGCGGGCGGGCTAACGGTAGATTCAAGAACATGCCATCCAAGCATGGCCGCATAATAAGATAAGTGTATGAATTTGGTCATGGAGAATAGCTCGGCAGAACTCTCAGCGGGCCCTCCACGGTTTCTATAGAGGTCTAGAGACGTTGGAGGTAGCCCGAGCATATACGCCCATAACAGCGTGAGAACGGCGTACGGAATTCTCAATTCGTCCCGCTTTAGTAGCGGAAACATCGTCCAGGCGCCGAGCATATTAGCCAAGCCAACCCACGAGCGTAGTTCCTTGCTAAGCCCTCCGGCGCTTCCTAGGAGTAACGTCATGGGTAAAAGGGGTAATAAAACGCTCTTCTCGTGGACTTGGAAGGAGCAAAGAAAAAACCCCCAGCCTGTGCTTGCTAATGCGTAGGGCAGGAGATGTGTCCGGGGATAACGTCCGATGATGAAGCAGGAGGGTATAATGGCAAACAGTGTGGCGCTCAGTGCTGCTAGCTTGAGAATGCTAGGGTCGAATTTGTTAAGTTTGTAGAAAGTGTGGATGGTACACCAGATGTTGGCGACTTTGTCTTCGAATAGACCTCGCGCAAACGGGAATACACGATGGATGCATTGAGTAAGCTGGAGAACCACCGAATAAAGCCATGAGTCCTCCTTTATCTGTATGGGAAGCGCCTTCATCAATGGAGGCAGGTTAGTAGGCCCTGGTATTTTGCGATATCTGTCTGAAAGTGCGCCGGCAAGAAGTGGCGTGAACAAGACAGCAAATGCAACTATGGTAATCAAGGCAATGCTAAATAGTCTGTTGGGCCGGATTCGAGGGGAGAAGCAAATGCCTAATAGGTAGGCGAACACGACAGGAGCAAAGTATAGCGACATCTGCTTGTATCCCAGAGCGGCGACGAAGAATATGCTAGCCCACAGTGGCCTTTGTGCATACATACTTTCGAGAGTGGCGACGATAAATCCAAGCATCACGGTATTGTACTGGAAGTGTCCGTGATCAATGAGTATCGTAGATGGTTGCATAAGGACTGCACAGAGGGCAATAGAGCTTGCCCACGGCGCAACGCCTTGTTCACGAGCGTACCGCCTGAGGAAGATGACAACGGCGGGTATGTAAATTAGGTACTCGGAGACGACGACAGTAGCACGCATATAAACCCTTAAAAGCGGTCCTTCCAGGCCTCGGGATTCGTCCAGTGCGAACCAGGTCGGATCTATAAGTTGACCTCTACTTCACGTTAGCCTTTGAAATTGTACAGTAACGGACGAGATGTGATATCAACGACGTACATCTTCCCTAGTAGCCAGCTATGGTAAGCCGTTAACGGAGGATAATCCAGCCCCCAATACTGCAAGTCATAGAAATACCACCAGGAGGTAGGGAGGTGGATTGTCAGCTCCATCCAGTGTCTCTGAGCTTCAAAGTCGCCGTGCATCGGAGGTACGCCATAGCCTACGCAAATCGGTCAATACAAGTGCCTGATGGAAGCGTGTTGAGCGTTGGATATGTAGATACCTGAGTGACCCCACAATGAAGTCCCCCACCGGAATAGGCCAACAATCATCAACACGACGGGGAGGATGAGCCATTGTGACACGCCAGACCGCGCAGACCAGAAGAAGGCAACCAAGGGAAAAGCGGGCGTCTGCACATTGTTATCCCCAGATAGCATCAGGTCGGAGTTAAGCCCATGATGAGTACCGGATAAGACTCGGCGTTTCTTTCGAGGTCTGTGTGCTGCAGGCGAAGACGGTGCCATTGTATCAGCCAGGGAGTCCGTCCATATGACGGACGACAAGGGAATACAGGCAGTGATGCGCAGTGAAAATGTCAAGTCGTCAAACAGCCAGCTCGCATCGTCGGTGGTTTTCCTGGCAACTATGCAAAAGAAAGTCGTGAAGGAGTCGCGAATTACCGAATTCGGACTTCCAGGAGTAGAGTTATGACTAAGCAGGCACGAGAGCTAGGGCCGACGCTAGACTACTTTAGGCCTAGAAAAGTGGAGAGCTACGAAGGGCGGTGAGGGTGAAATTTTAAATGGCAGAAAAAAGTTCCCAGCCTTCAAAGCGGAAAAAAAAGCTTGGATAAATATCAAGTTGCTTTCCCGCACAGAGACTTCTTTCTTCGTTTTCCCCCCCATCACACATCACACCTCTTTTATTCTCTTCTCTTGATCAAGGCTTCCAGCTTTCGAGTGATTGCAAAGAGACCTATACGTTCTGTGTAGAACTCTTCGTAACTCGCTAGTGTTCCGTGGGCTTCCTGTGGGCTTGTCGCGTGAGATCATATTTTCAGAGGGCTTTATCTGTTCGCTTGTCGGCTGAGGGCTTAGGATATCTTGACATCTGTGGGATTTTGCTTGCTCGTATCTACGTCTACATAGACCGGTCATTTGAAAGAGTGTCCGTCTTGTTGGCTTGTGGCTTATTTGTGACATTATCTGTGGGCTTGAGAGATTAGTTCCTGTTGGTTCTTGACTGAATATTGCATTGTGGGCTCTGTTCCTTACTGAAGGCTGGTGCTATCAAGTGGGACGTTCTATTCTCCGTTTTAAACAATTATCAAGTGGTGAGTCCTGCTCAACAATCATGTCTCCTTCCCCTCCGGCGATTCTGACCTTTATGCGAAACAGGGAAGCAAATATGAAGGGTCCAAAGGCTCAATCTGTCGCTAAGAGCGACAAGGTCCTCACCAAGGTGAAGGATGGTGGTGTGAAGAAGGCAACTGCCGCTCTGAAGGCAAAGGAGGCTGCCAAGAAGGTCGCTGCTAAGAAGGTCAAGGAGGTCAAGAAGAAGGCTCCAACTCCATCGGACAGCTCTAACTCTGATAGCTCTGAGGAGAGCGAGGAGAGCGAAGAGGAGGCCGCCCCTGTCAAGAACGGTGCTGCCACCTCCGACTCTTCCGACGAGTCTTCCGAGTCCGAGGATGAGAAGCCAGTTAAGAATGGCGCCAAGGCTACCAATGGCAAGAAGGCCGAGAGTGAGAGCGAGAGTGAGGAAGAGGACAGTGACGACTCTGACGACTCTGAGGAAGAGGTGAAGGTCGCTGCTAAGGAGGTCAAGGACACCAAGGCTAAGGAAGCTGATTCCGACGACTCTGACGATTCTGAGGAGTCTGACTCTGAGGAAGCTGCTAAGGAGGTAGGTCTAACCCCAAGTCTTTCGTTCCACTGAGCAGCCTAACTAACCACATATTTAGGACGACTCTGATGATTCTGACGATTCCAGCGAGGAGGAAGAGGAAGAGGAAGAAGAAGCTGAGAAGCCACAGAAGAAACGCAAGGCCGAGGAGGACGCCGAACCTGCTGCTAAGAAGGCCAAGGTTGATGTCCCAGAGGGTGCTTCCGCCAACCTCTTCGCTGGTAACTTGTCCTGGAACGTCGATGAGGAGTGGCTCCGCTCCGAGTTCGAGGAGTTCGGTGAGCTCAGCGGTGTCCGCATCGTCACTGACCGTGAATCTGGCCGATCCAGAGGGTAAGCTCAATCACCTCTTACTGATGAAAGTAGAACTTTCAACTAATATAACTACACAGATTCGGCTATGTTGAATTCGTCAACGTCGAGGATGCCGTCAAGGCCCACGCTGCTAAGAAGGACGTCGACCTCGATGGCCGCAAGCTGAACCTCGACTTCGCCAACGCCCGCGCCAACAACGCCGGCGGTGCCAACCCACGCGAGCGCGCTGACAGCCGTGCCAAATCTTTCGGTGACCAGACCAGCCCCGAGAGCGACACTCTCTTCATCGGAAACATCTCCTTCTCCGCCGACGAGAACATGGTCCAGGAGCTCTTCTCCAAGCACGGATCCATCCAGGGCATCCGTCTCCCAACTGACCCCGACTCCGGTCGTCCAAAGGGCTTCGGTTACGTCCAGTTCTCTTCCGTCGACGAGGCTCGCGCTGCCATGGAGGCCGAGCACGGTGCTGACCTTGGTGGCCGTGCCATCCGTCTTGACTTCAGCACTCCCAGACAGCCCGGATCTGGAGGTGACCGCGGCGGTCGTGGCGGTGGCCGTGGTGGCTTTGGCGGTCGCGGTGGTGGTCGCGGCGGTGGTCGTGGTGGCTTCGGCGACCGCGGTGGCCGTGGAGGTGGCCGTGGCGGTGGTCGTGGAGGCTCTTCCTTCGCCGGCAAGAAGACCACTTTCTAAACTGATTTATCGACGACTCTAAAAAGGTTTCCTGTTACGAACGGTAGAGCGTGTATGACTCTCCAGGTAATGTATAACACCCATCTTTACACCCCCATCCCAAAACGAAAAAAAGTCCTGTTTCCGGAGTTTGTCTGTGCAATTGATTTTCCTCCCCTTTTACGCCTGTTCCTACTGTAGAGTGTTTTCTTGTATCTCCTTACTGTCGTGTTGTTAGGGCAGAATATAAAAAAACGAATTTCTATCTTTTTTCTCCATGAGTTCTTATCTTCTGCTTAGTCAGCCGTAGATCAGGCCATTGCGGGGTAGGGTAGCTCCAGCCACGCACTTCTCTGCCACTACTGCAACGCACTCACCCTCTACTGCCCTTAAAGTTGTACAGCTGACCTTTATAGCCACTGCCATATACACACGTCCATGATGACATAAGCAGTTTGATTTGCGCCTGATACGGCAACTGGAGACGAAGTTTCACCGCCATCCCGCAATCGTCATCTTTCTTCTTTCGCATCTTTATATCTTCATCTTCTCTTCTTCTTCTTTTCGTCTCTTCTATACCACTTTTATACCACTTCTTGATGCTGGCCTCCGTCTTGTATGACTAGACTGGATGCGCCAAACTACGCAGTCGAGTTTTCACACTGATGCAGGCTGCCTTCCTCGTGCTCTAGTCAGGTGAGAGGGCTAGTTGCCTCCTGCTCAGCCTGTCTACTTATTGCGCTGGACGTCTTCTCTTGGATCTCTTCCACTACACCTCTGGTGACTTGACGGAGGAGTCGCATGGAGCTGGCTTGTGCTGTTGTTCTGACTGCATGTGTATGTCCTAAGCCGAGATGTTGGGGGCGTGAGGGGGAGCACTCTGACTATAGTGGAACTTGTTGACATATACTGATACTATGATTATCTAGTAAACATTTAACTCGAATCTACATATCTATCCAGATCGATCCAGGTCTATATACTGGCTCTATCAGTCAAGTGCTTCAGTCGTTGACTACGCATATATACGGCTATCTACCGTGTGGAGGTCGACTTGGAGATACATGCAATCCACGCCCTCTACCACCCACCATGGCTGCGGATAGTCCATCACCAGGGCGTGGCATACGACCTCAAACCGCGCAGGGAGGTCATCCACGTCGATCAGAAGGTGAGTTCACGTCTCGTTCTGGTCTTGATCGGCTTTCCAGTTGGCATAGACCCTTCTGGAAACAGGATTCAACTCCCGTATCTGCCTAACATTGCTACATCTTCCCTGAAAATCTTCCCGTCCCTGCATGAAACACCTCGTTTATGCATCAACTTATTGGATATCAAAGCCAAAGTGTTACAATGTACTCATTCAGGTATTACGTAGATTCTTGGATCGAACTTTCTTCTCAGCCTTCCTCCTCTTCTCTATCTTCGGCCGGCGCGCCCGATGAGATCGTTACAACTGGCCTAAGGGTCCAACAGCTTCGCAGGCGGCGGGCTGCACAGCATCATCATCATCACCACGGCGGATATCATGTTCCACCGCAGGATTTAGATATCGCCTATTCACATCGCCCGTCAAGTGCTACGGGGAGCAGTCAAGATGAGAACGAAGAGACGGAGAGCGAGTCGGATCGTGTCTCGAACGACGACTTCCCAACACGACTACTCAGACCGGATATCAATATGCTACCGGAAATATCTTCTCAGTCGGATGAACAGCTATCCAGCGACGATGAAGACGATACATCTACGGCGCTGGGATTTAACCCACAACCCAACGCTTTCTCTCACCCACCAGCATCTATACGGACAGCGCAATCGCGGAGCTCGTTTGATTCCGCCAGACTACAGAATCGGTCCAGCACACGGCGGAATTCACGATCAAGCCTGCCGAACGCTGGCTCCCGACGCGCTTCAAACCAACACCCTCAGCACTCTCCCTTCAATATAATGTCACCATCACACCAAGCAGACCACGATGCAGCTCTACGGGCAAGCCTCTCTACTCTCCTCTCCTGTGCAGCTGCTGCTCGCGGATTGCCCAAGAACGACAGCCAACCTTCAGTCGCTGAGCGATCACCACCCAGAGCCGAGCCATCAACATTCCGTCTCCTCCCGGGGGCTACTGACACTGAAGACGAACCTATCGCACCAACACGTACCCACCAGCCACCACGATTCATATCTTCAACACCGGTGTCTCCCAGACGTTCACGGTCCCCCATTTCCGCAGGCCAGAAAACCCAGCGAAAGGCCAGCCCCTCCAAGGACCGTTCGGTAGCCAAAAAGGCCAGACGGCCCATGGCCACGGAGACGAGTCAAGTCATCAGCCCGACTGTGATGACCTGGGTTATCAGTGCCGGTGTCGTCGTGCTCTTTTCAGCCATCAGCTTCTCTGCCGGCTACGTTCTTGGACGAGAAGTAGGCAGGATCGAGTCCGGTCACAGCCTATATGGAAACGGAATAAGCAACATCAGCGAGCCTGGAAGCAGTGGGTTCCCGTCTGGAGCTGGGTGCGGCAGGGAGGCAGTGAAGGGCGGCCTGGGGAGGTTCAGGTGGAGCGGAGGCAGCGTCTCAGCATGACTTGCCATCTCAATGACTCTATTTTCCTTTCTTTTGTTTATTTACCAGCTCACCCGAATCAACGGAAGCGCCAACATCCAACGACCTATATATGATGTCAGACGAAACCGATATGAATGGCGATATGAATGGAGCTTTAGAGAATGCGGGATTTCAACAGACTGGCGGCTGGGATCGGAGTTAACTCGGACAAACGGCATTGGGAGGTGTTTCACTGGGGTTTTAATTGATGTTTTTGATGTTTTTTCTTCTTTTCTTCAATTCCCCTTTTTTATATCGATCATTTTGCAATTTTGAGCTAGTATCCAATTTGCCAGATGACCTTCTCCTTCGACATGTAATTACTTGCCCGTTTTCCCCGAGCCTGTCCTTGCGGTAAAACGTCTTAGGTAGTTTTAATATAGCCCTATTCTTCCCTTCCAACGCATCCTCGTATGTTGTTAACCCTTGCCTGCCAGCTTGGCGTTTCCCTTGCCCCTCCCCCACCTTCGCTCCCGTTAAATTCTTCCTTTCTTCCTCTTCCTTTCTCTCTTCCAAACACATCGCCAATTCATCGATTTCAGTCATCCAGCTCACTCAATTTCATCTACCAACTCACCTACAACAACTCTCAGACGGTACGAAGCGCCAGAAGTTTCGAGGTCGCGAATACAGGGGACGGTTTCCTGCCATGGAGCTGTCCCAGTTCGTTATGGATTCATCCGAGAGTCAAGGTATTGTGGTATATATCATATCAGTCACGAGTGACAGGTGTTCGGCTCGGTGTCTCTCTCCATAGCTGCCAGAAGATATATCGTCGTCACCAGCTTCAGTGCTCGGTGACGGTGCTGGTGGCTGTGGTGAGAGACATCGGGCTGTTCTGAGATTATACTGTCTGAACTTGATCTAGATAATTCTAGCGAAAGGACACACGCGACTTCACTTCTCCCTATTCCTCCCTGTTCCATTTTACCCCTCTGTATGAGGGTGCTTTGTGATGCTAACGATGCACAGTCGGGTTTTTCTTGACCTCACCTCCGTAATCATGTCTACCGATAAGATTACCTTCCTCACCAACTGGTAGGTCTTGAGAGTGGCTTAAATGGACTATTTCTTTTTGTTGCAGTTTATTCTTTGTATTCTTATCTTTTGTTTATTGGTTGCTCGTCTTTGAAAGTAACGTTTCGAAAGGCATGCTACCCCGTACCACGCCCCCCTATACCTCGCCCAGAAGAAGGGATACTTCCAGGACGAAGGCATCAAGGTCGCCATCTTGGAGCCAAATGACCCTTCCGATGTCACCGAGATCATTGGAAGTGAAAAGGTCGACCTGGGTTTCAAGGCCATGATCCATACCCTCGCTGTCAGTGGCCCTCGCTATCTATCAATTGCTCTTCCGATATTGAGATATTGACGTTGATGTATAACAGGCCAAGGCACGAAACTTCCCTGTCCTGTCCATCGGTTCTCTCCTCGACGAGCCATTCACCGGTGTCGTCTACCTCAAGGACAGCGGAATCACCACCGACTTCCGCTCCTTGAAGGGTAAGCGTATCGGCTATGTTGGAGAGTTTGGAAAGGTATTTGATTCCCCCTACTAGGTTCTAATTGTATCAATTGGCCAGTACTGACCGTGATAGATCCAAATCGACGAACTCACCAAGTACTATGGCATGACTGCCGATGACTACACCGCCATCCGCTGCGGTATGAACGTCAGCAAGGCCATCATCCAAGGTGACATCGACGCCGGAATCGGTCTCGAGAACGTCCAGATGGTCGAACTCGAGGAGTGGCTCGCCGGCCAAAACCGTCCTCGCTCCGACGTCCAGATGCTCCGCATCGACGAGCTCGCTGAGCTAGGATGCTGCTGCTTCTGCTCCATCCTCTACATCGGTAACGAGAAATTCATCTCCGAGAACCCCGAGAAGGTCCAGAAGTTCATGAAGGCCGTCAAGCGCGCTACCGACTACGTTTTGGAGAAGCCTGAAGCCGCGTACGAGGAATACATTGACATGAAGCCTATCATGGACACTGCCGTGAACCGCAAGATCTACGAGCGCTCCTACGCCTACTTCAGCAAGGACTTGAAGAACGTTGCTCGTGACTGGGAGAAGGTGACCAAGTACGGCAAGCGATTGGGCGTTCTCGACGAGTCGTTCAAGCCAAACTACACCAACGAGTTCCTTACCTGGGAGATGGAGCCAGAGTCCACTGACCCAACCGGTGACCAGAAGAAGATGTGCGCTCTCCAGAAGAAGGTTGCTGAAGAGGGTGGATTCAAGAGAGTCCCACTCTCTGCTTAGATGTGAGGACCGTCGTTACATCTGACAAAACGGCCAAAAGGAACTTGTTTGTTAGGGGTCTCTTGTTCTCATTCTAACTCTGTCCATCCTTTTGTGTTCTTTTGCTTGGCTTTGTCAAGTCGAATTCGAAAGTAGCAGCCGCTCATTTATCTTGTGATGATGAATCATATGAGAAAAAACAAACCTATTCCTTACTATGGAGTAGTTTATATAAATAAAGAAGAAACAACATTGTCTTCTCAAGTTTTGTTCCTGTCGAATCACGTAGCTCTTTGAGGCATTAAGTCATTCCCTTGACCGCTGCAAATGACCTTGCTCATCTTATCTTTCTGGTAACATAATGTTCGTAATGAGAATCGTCCGAGCAAGTTATACATTGCAGGAATAACATTGTAGAATACAGGTATTTTCTAAAGTTAGTATACAAAAAGCGAGTAAAAAATTGACTACAGCTGCTTTGCCTCCACAAGCCGGCCGTTATGATACAGCCAAAAGATATCAAGCCATTCTTCTTGGCTCCAGATCCCATAACCTCTATCAACCAATTACTCCAAAGGCTCGTACTCTCCCATGACAAGGCCGTTTACAATCCGCGCAAGAAGTTGGATTCCTTGATAGCCTTCTTCCTTGCATTACGAGCACTCTTGGTGATTTCCTCCCTAACAGCCAATCCAGAAGTAGCGGCTTCGATATTATCAGCAGCTTGCGCTTCGCCAGCGCTAGGGTCGATATTATAACTCGCAGGCGTAATGTCAGTGGCCTGCTCGTGTGCTGGAATCGGGCGTGGCTTCCCAGCAGCCAAAGCAGCCATTTTCTTATCGTGCTTCTTGCGTGCTTTCTTATTCATACCTAAAAAGCAGAATATGTCAGTAAATGTCTCTTGATATAACGGATGATTCCACAGCTCAAATATAGCTTGGCCTGTTCGATATCGAGATATAACGTACTTGCAACATCAACTGATCCAGCCGCTGCCTTTTTACCAGGACTATCTAATAGAGTCCATAACCAATCCGGATATTCGTGGTCTTCCATCGCAATCGGGTCTTGTTTGTTCTTCTCATAGTTCAATCCCTCCAGTTTTGTGCCGGCAGGGGTGGCGCTGACGACCTTTGGGCGAGCTTTTGAAGGAGCACCGGCGGGAGAGGGCGAGGTAGCTTTTGTTTCTGCGGTGGGTGGTGCGGAGCTGTAGAATCGGGATTGGGATAGTAGGTGCTGCCGCGATGCGAGGTTGGCGTATGAAGACGATGAAAGTCGGGAGGATGGGAGGCGGGAGAGGAGAGACGAGCGGCACTGTCGACAGATCATTTTGGCGGCTTTGGATTTCCTGCAATTGAGGTGCTGGTTAAATTGCAGGAATCTCGTCTTTCTTGTCTCGTCTTGAAGCTCGTGTGCAAAAGGGAAAAAAAATGGTTTCGATGGCCTGTGTCACGTGACATAATACCAGGCACAAGTTTCTTTCAATGTTTATGGGAGATATGCTATACGCTGGAGGTAAGAGAGTGAAATTAGATAAAAGGATGGATAGTTGATTTGATTCTCTTCTTAATTTTCTATATACAGGACTACTAACTAATAATGTAACTTCCGCCAGGTATAAACCCAATAACCAACAAAACAGACTTTAGATAGAGGAGATATCGGTGACATAAAAAATATCAGCGCAAGTTATTCTGCAAACGATTGTTAGTGTTCCTGACATGGGAACAAGTATATTGTATGGAAAGTCCCTTAGGTAGACGGACTCCCTTTATGACCCTTTTTTTCTGGATACTCCATGAAGCTCATCACATGGGACGGAGCTTCTAGTTCCCGACATTGTTGCTGTTGCGTGCTAGTAGAATCGTTCAAGTTCGGCCGTAATATGACGCCTTCCGGTGTTGTCACGGTTAACACAACGCCTTCAGCAGGACAAAGAGACTGTGGATGAGGAAGCTGCTGTGGCGGTGGTTGTGGGCAAGGTGATGGTGTTTGCTGGTCGGAGCTATCTAGTTCAGCCAGAGCTGGATGGCATGAGGTGGTGGCCGACAGCTTAGGGATCAAGCTAGTATTGTGCCCGTGTCTTGTGGCTGAAAGCGGACTAAATCCTCGTAATGGGGACGAGGTAGTATCTTGTATGACTATCTTTTCGTTTGACCAGGTCATGCTTTGTGTGCTGGGGCTTGCGGTGGACGAGGACCCGATTGAAGGGGAATCGTTGAATTTTTTAGGGCTTGCGCTTAGGGTAGAGCCTTCAGACGGAGCAAACATCTCAGCTCTGTAATTATTCCCTATTCAGACGTGTTAGAATGCGCAGTTAGATATTAAGTCATACCAAAAATGAGAACATACCATCAAGTTCACCGCATAGTCCCTGGTCTGGAGATTTTTCTAAACTGGGACTGGCAATGTTTTCGGCAGCCTCCTTCTTACGTCGGCCCGTGATCATCGCACGAGTCCCTTCCCATTTTCCAGCATTTTTCCTTTTTCGTCGAACGAGGAACCAGAATAATACAAATCCGAGAAAGAGTAGAACAATAACCACGGCCCCTACAATACCACCGATCAAAGCACCGCGGGAAGGCCTTGAAGGGATATAAGCTGGCTCCGGGGTAGCTGTCGACCCTGTTTCTGTGGCAGTTGCAAATGAGGAGCTACTAGCTGACGTGGATATTGTAGATGAGGTAGATATTGTGGATGCTGAGCTGTTGCTTGTTGACGGTATGGAGGTGTGGATAGTGGTCCAGGAGCTGGTGAGGTTCGATGTCGTCCGGGTCTGGGTCCGAGTCTGGGACTGGGACTGGGTTTTTTGTGAAGATCGGCTGCTGGTAGTCGACAATAAAGAGCTACTCTTTGGGCTATCCGGACACTCACCAGTGTTGCAAGGATCTATCGTACAGCATCCCCTGAACAAGCCCTTGGAACATGTATAGAACTGGCTACCCTTCTCACAATCCGTGTCATGACTGTCAGGGCTGCGAAAGGGAGGTGTTTTGTCTGTCATGGTTTCTGGTAGCAGACTATCTCTTCGCTTGAGAATGGATGGTCGAGAGTGAAAAGTGGCAGCAACCGGTCCACGGGTGGTGGTACAAGTATATTATCCGGAAGTAGACTTTTCCGCAATCCTAGCCCCAGTGGACATTGCGGGATAATACCAGAGATGAGATATTATCCACGTCTCCGCGCAGTGAAACTATAGAAAAGAACGGATGGCAACAAAAGCACTCAGGCCATGGGCTCTGATGGAAGGACGTGGTCTCCTCCCCTTGAGAGACCCCGGCTGAAGGGAGCCACGGGCATAAAGAAAAGAAATCCAGGGCGGGCGCAAACGGCACTGCCCTGGCAACGGCCACTCGGGGTATCCATCGTAATAATCGCCTTGAAAGGGGTGCAGTGCCGGTTGCTTGTGCTGCACGACGGGTTGGCGCGATGCAACCGCAAACAGCAAAGCGAATCATCTTTTTGCACCGCGCGGAAGTTGATGTTGGATATTATATAAGCATGCTTACTCAGCCACGTCTTGTCCAACCACGGTCACGGGTTTAGCGCGCTCTCCATGGCATCTGCATACGCCCCTTGCTCTTGCGCTTGATATAGAGACCGTAGGGGCCATCTGGATGTTGGTAGGGTCCGATTGGGCGCAGTTTATACTGTTGGCGGTCTCGGGGGGGCATCTATACATAGCATACGGAATATCACTCTATATACCCCTATCCGGAATAGTTGGGCAGCGTAGGACAATATGTTGGTGTGTACCTAATTTAGATATATTTCCGGCAAGCAAACAAATAGATCAGACAAAACAGTTTTGGATTTCTATTACCTATGCTGAGACTTTTATCATGTACCATGTTTATTATCAAAAACATACCGGCCCGGACCCCAGGCGGCAGCACGCACCTCAAAATCGTCCCAACAGTCAAAGACTATTGTCTTCCCCGCTATATCCTCTCTTATCTCGACAGAGCAATGTCATCAATTCGTAAAATAAGCTTGACGGTTTCAGCTGCAAGCTCAACTGCACTTGTGCTAACCAACAGTGGCTGCAGAACGCGCTCATCGGCTATGTTGATTTTGACACCGCCGCTTCGGATGCTTACACCGGCGTTCTTCTCACCCATCTCGTGACGATGGCGAAGATCGGTGACGACCTTGATGCTGTTCAAGCCTGCGTTCTCAGCAAGGGTAACTGGGATGACTTCCATGGCGCTGGCGAATGCTTTCCAGCAGATAGCTTCAGTTCCGGTCAAGAGACGGGCTTGCTTGGCCAAGGCCTGTGCGATTTCGATCTCGGGAGCTCCTCCACCGGCAATCAGGGCACGCTTCTTAACCAGACATCTAACCACGCAGAGGGCATCGTGGAGAGAACGTTCCACCTCGTCGAGAATCAAGCTGTTGGCTCCACGTGCGACGATAGATACGGTCTGGGCAACGGTTGGGGTGCGGATGCCGGTGATCTTGAGGTATCTGGATCCGGACGAGTTCACTTCCTCGACCAAGTCAGCAGTTCCAAGCTTATCGTCGGTAAAGGAGTCGATGTTAGCAATGGGTTTGCAGCCTAAGCTCTTGCAGACGAACTCTACTTCGTCACGCTCGATATCCTTCACAGCGAGGATCTTGACACGGGAAAGGAAGTTGAGAGAAAGGTCGTTGACGGCATCTCGTAGAATCGATTTCTGAATAAGGATAACATTGCATTTGGTCTTGGCGATCTTTCGGATCATGTTGAGGAGATACGTGCGCTCTTCTTTGAGAATCTTATCCATCTGTCGGTAATCGTTGACAACAATCTGGTTCTCCATCTATAAGTTTTGCGGTGGTTAGTATCATCAAGTTGAGTGGAGGGGCACGGGTTACGAACATCTGGCTTGGGAGGGCTCAGTTGGAACTGGATAAGAGCAATCTTGGCTTTTTCCACCCTGGTAGGACCACCCGCGCTCTTCATCACAGGCTGGTTCATTATCAAACCATCAATCATCTCGCTGTCTTCAATCGTACCGCCAACCTTCTTCACTATTCTAATGTTGCGGAGATCAACGTTTTCGGCAGTCTTTTGGTCAATAACACGGAGAACAGAGTCTACTGCCATGGGAGAGAGGAGACTAGAGTATTGAGAGACAATCTTTGAAGACAACGAGGTCGATGCGGCTTGGAGGAGAATAGCCCTATCGGATAGGGAGATTGGCTGGGACATTCCTTCGAGGATCTTGACTGCAGCGGCAGCAGCGCGCTGGAAGGACTCGGAGATGACAGTAGGATGTAGTCCTAGATACAGGTGTTAAAGGAATGAAGCTCGAAACGGCAGTTCACACTATCGTACCTTTGGAAAGTAATCTCTCTGCGGCCCCTAATAGACTTCCAGCAATGACAACAACGGACGTAGTGCCGTCACCAGCTTCAACATCCTGTGCCGCACTCAAGTCTACCAGCATTTTAGCAGCGGGGTGCATAACAGCCATATCCTTCAACATGGTATTTCCATCGTTCGTCTGTGTTCAGGGGGGTCAGTAGGGCGGGCATCCGGTGGGTCGATATCACAGATTTCAACGTACAATTATCGTCTCTCCCTTTCCAGTTTGTATCTAGAGGAACATCCCGTTAGTATAGATAGCCGTGAGAGTAAATAATTGCTCGACATACCATCTTATCCATACCCCTTGGCCCAAGCGACTTTGCTACAAGTTAGCCCCGCGTTCTGTTAGATTAGAGGATGAAGCTATCGTACCGTCCTTATAGCGTCCGCAACGGCTATATTTCAAGTTAGCAAACGTTCCTCAGTGCAGCAATGAAGCCAACCATACCTCTGGCTGCCATGATGTTCGCAGCGCGAACCGCCATGGGCTTCTCCTTATCCTAGTAAAGGTCAGTACATTTAGGCACCGATTAACAGATTAAAGGCGATAACGGAAACACCAACCTTGAAAGTATTATTCATAGTTCCCTGAATACCTAGAGCAGCCGCCATCTTGAAATTCGTAGCCTCGTTGGCGGAAAATCGGGTTGTGTTTTGTTGAATATTATTATCACCACGCTTGTGGAGGGAGTTTGGATTTGTGAGCTTTCCATAGAATTTCGTAGGTGAGATGCTTGGCGCGATCTCCTAGCGTTAGAAAGGTGTAGCTTCATCCGGAACCTCGACCTTGCAACAGCTCTTGTGACAACAAACACACACCTCACCCAGGACACCACTCGGAGCGCCGTCTTCTACCAGCTACAGCTACCGCTTATTCTTTACGCTCGCTTCTATTCTGCTCCTCGATCCCGTTCATTTTACGCCGGTCTCGTTCCTGACCATCACAACGTCAACATGCCCAGCGCCACGGGCCAGAACTGGGAGAAGTACAAGAAGAATTTTGCCGACGATGACGAGCCCGAGAAGAAGATAACGCCGTTGACGGATGAGTTAGTCTACCTGGCCGCTGTTTGATGATAGATGTGCTAACCTCTGTGAAGGGATATCCAGGTCCTGAAAACGTACGGCGCCGCCCCATATGCTGCTGCGATAAAGAAGCTCGAGAAACAGATCAAGGACAAACAAGCAAGCGTAAATGAGAAGATAGGGGTTAAAGTATGTGCTGCCGCTATGGTCCTTGCTATGACTTTGGTTACTCATTCTCTTCTAGGAGTCCGACACAGGGCTGGCACCACCACATCTCTGGGATGTTGCGGCAGATAGGCAGCGGATGGCGGAAGAGCAGCCTCTACAAGTTGCTCGGTGTACAAAGATTATTCAGGATGAAAAGGACGCCGACAAGAGCAAATATGTCATCAACGTGAAGCAGATCGCCAAGTTTGTAGTAAACTTGGGTGAACGTGTCAGTCCTACAGATATCGAAGAGGGAATGCGAGTAGGGTAAGTTAGAGAGTGGTGCCAATATGCGTGTCTATTTACTAATAACAATAACCGCTCAACAGTGTCGACCGGAATAAGTACCAAATTCTCCTACCGCTGCCTCCAAAGATCGATCCCAGTGTTACGATGATGACGGTTGAAGATAAACCTGATGTTACATACGGCGATGTTGGAGGAAGTAAAGAACAGATCGAAAAACTCAGAGAAGTTGTAGAGATGCCACTTCTATCACCTGAGCGATTTGTTGGCCTTGGAATAGACCCTCCCAAGGGAGCTCTGCTCTATGGACCTCCAGGAACCGGAAAGACTCTTTGCGCGCGAGCAGTGGCGAACCGAACGGACGCAACATTTATTCGTGTTATTGGCAGTGAGCTTGTTCAGAAATATGTCGGCGAAGGTGCTAGGATGGTGAGGGAGCTTTTCGAGATGGCCCGGACCAAGAAGGCGTGCATTATCTTCTTCGACGAAATCGATGCTATTGGCGGTGCTCGTTTCGACGACGGTGCTGGCGGTGACAACGAGGTCCAGAGAACTATGTTGGAACTGATCACACAGCTGGACGGTTTCGACTCTAGAGGAAACATCAAGGTTATGTTTGCCACCAACAGACCGTCGACTCTCGACCCTGCCCTGATGAGACCCGGCCGTATTGATCGAAAGATCGAATTCTCTCTTCCCGATCTAGATGGACGTGCTAATATTCTGCGAATTCACGCTAAGAGCATGTCGGTGGAGCGTGACATAAGATGGGAGCTCATCTCACGATTATGTCCCAACTCGACCGGTGCCGAGCTGCGCAGTGTTGCTACCGAAGCGGGCATGTTCGCCATCAGGGCACGCCGCAAGGTCGCAACCGAGAAGGACTTTTTGGCCGCCGTGGACAAGGTCATCAAGGGTAACCTGAAATTCAACTCCACGGCCACGTACATGCAATACAACTAAACATCACCCTCTCCTTTGAACTTCCGGCCGGGGCGTGGATTGGATGGGGTACCGCGGATTTGAATGGTGCGTCCGCATCAACATGTTATACTACTGTTCATTAAATAGAAGCACTTAGCGTTTCTCTTCCCTGGCACATCCTATCTGTCTTTTGTAGTTATATAGTTTTATGCCTTGCCTTCAGGAACATCGATATCACGTGCCATGGATCGGGCTAAATCGGGTAAGCTGACCGATAGACGGCCTCTGATTGGCTGGACGAGCCTCGGGATGAGGGTGCTTATATAAGCTTTCGTTTTGCAGCCAACTTCGCACCTGGAAGAAACTCGCCCAGCATCGAAACATTGAAGCATTCCATACTCGCCCACCCATCAATTCACTCATTGCAGTCTCGCACATAACTCTGCTGGCTGGAGTAGCATCATGAGCTTCAGTGGTCTCCGGAGCATCGCTCCGACACGTCAGGTAGGGCTTCCCGTTCGGGTTGTTGATCTTGTGTCCAGCCTACTGACCACGCTGGATCGCAGTTCACTCGGGCTCTACGGGACCAGAAGAGGTATTTCTCGCAAACTCGCACTGCAGGTATGTGTCCTCGTCGGATTGTCGCAGTCATTTGAACTCGAATTGACCGAATTTCCAACTTTGCAGCTCGAATCATCGCCAGTCAGCCTCTACGCGCGAAGGAAGCTTCTCCCTTCGTCTCACAGAAATACCCCGTCATCGTACGTCTAGACGCCCAATTGGAATATATTCTACCTCTGTGGGACGCTCCGCCTGACATTTATAGGACCATGAATTCGATGCTGTCGTCGTAGGTGCTGGTGGTGCCGGTCTGCGAGCGGCTTTCGGTCTCGCAGAAGCCGGCTTCAACACCGCGTGTGTCACAAAGCTCTTCCCCACAAGAAGTCACACAGTTGCTGCCCAGGGAGGTATAAACGCTGCGCTTGGAAAGTATGTTGATCCGTTTTATGTATATATCTGAGCTGAGATTTGCTAACAATCTCTCCCAGCATGCACAAAGATGACTGGAGATGGCACATGTACGATACCGTGAAGGGATCCGACTGGCTTGGTGACCAAGACGCTATTCATTACATGACCAGAGAAGCCCCCCAGAGTGTTATCGAACTCGAGGGCTACGGTTGCCCCTTCTCTCGAACTGAGGACGGACGTATCTACCAGCGAGCTTTCGGTGGACAGTCGCAAGATTTCGGAAAAGGTGGCCAGGCTTATCGATGCTGTGCCGCTGCTGACAGAACTGGCCATGCCCTTCTCCACACTCTCTATGGTCAATCCCTCCGCCACAACGCCAACTACTTCATCGAATACTTCGCCATGGATCTACTCATGGAAGACGGTGAATGTAAGGGAATCATTGCCTATAACCAGGAGGATGGTACTCTCCACCGATTCCGCGCCCACCACACCGTTCTAGCCACCGGTGGATACGGCCGAGCCTACTTCAGCTGTACTTCCGCCCATACCTGCACTGGTGACGGTATGGCTATGGTTGCTCGTGCTGGACTCCCCAACCAGGATTTGGAATTCGTTCAGTTCCATCCTACTGGTATCTACGGTGCTGGATGTCTTATCACCGAGGGTTCCCGAGGTGAGGGTGGTTACCTACTCAACTCCAACGGTGAACGATTCATGGAGAAATATGCCCCAACCGCCAAGGATTTGGCCAGTCGTGACGTCGTCTCCCGATCCATGACAATGGAAATCCGTGAGGGACGTGGTGTCGGCCCGGATAAGGACCACATCTACCTTCAACTTAGCCATCTTCCCGCTGAAATTCTCCACGAGCGTCTCCCCGGTATTTCCGAAACCGCCTCTATCTTCGCTGGTGTCGATGTTACCAAACAGCCAATTCCTGTCCTCCCAACTGTCCACTACAACATGGGTGGTATCCCAACTAAATACACCGGAGAAGTCATCACCATCGACGAGAGTGGCAATGACAAGATTGTTCCTGGTCTGTATGCTTGTGGTGAAGCCGCCTGTGTTTCCGTCCATGGTGCCAACCGTCTTGGAGCCAACTCTCTCCTCGATCTTATCGTTTTTGGCCGTGCTGTCTCTCATACCGTCAGGGATAAGGCATCTCCTGGAGCTCCACACAAGGAGATCAGTGCTGACGCTGGTGCTGAGTCTATTGCCGCCCTTGACAAAGCCAGAACTGCTGATGGATCCAAATCTACCTTCGAGATCAGAAACGCTATGCAGAGAACTATGCAGACTGACGTCAGCGTTTTCAGAACTCAGGAAAGTTTGGACGAGGGTGTTGCTAAGATCAACGAGGTTGATAAAACCTACGCCGATGTTGCTATCAAGGACCGCAGCATGATCTGGAACTCCGACCTTGTTGAGACTTTGGAATTGAGGAACCTGTTGACTTGCGCGTAAGTTTCTATCTCACATCCAGCTCATGGCCCGTTTAACTCTCTTTCATATATGCTTACCAAAACCTCTAGTACCCAAACCGCAACCGCCGCAGCCAACCGTAAGGAATCTCGTGGGGCCCATGCTCGCGAGGATTACCCCGAACGAGACGACAAGAACTGGATGAAGCATACCCTTACCTTCCAAAAGGAGCCCCATGGTAAGGTCGACCTCACATACCGTGCTGTTACCGGAACCACTCTCGACGAGGCCGAATGCAAGGCTGTTCCACCATTCAAGCGTACATACTAGACACGTCTAGTGGAGAATCAACCCTTAGCAGGTGATGTTCCCCGGTTATATACACCGAAACTCGGCGAGGGGAGGACTTCGGTGACGGAGAATTTCTATTCAGACACTACCTGTATATAACACATTGATTGCATCTTGTCATTTTGAAGTGGCATCTTTTCCTACCGCGTTCCTACCACCGCATTGTACCCTATTTCCATTGTTATTTTTCCCACCCGTTCTTGGCGCTTTTCCTTAATATAGCAATGCAAACTATTCCATAATCCAATCCTACCCCCATACTTATATATCAATAACATCTTAGAAGTATCATTATGAGTAAAAGTCCGGGGAAACGCATAAACTCTATCTATTGATCCTCCTGCCAAGCGTTCCCTATTTCCATCCAGCCAATGACTGGCCCAAACTGTTGGAGCTTCCAAGGTTACAGACTACAACAGCCTTTCAACTCGCCATATGTTGGTATAACGACCTCCTCACCAAGGCTCTTTGATGCGCGGAAGTGGAAGAGCAGAGATATGATTTGATCCGTTAGACGTTGTTTATAATACTGTGCTGCGATCGCAAACGGATCAGTGGGAGGCTCCCGAGAGGCCAGACAAGATGGGATCCGATAACCGCATCAACGACGAAGAAGTCATTCCACTCACGGGCCGCGGACGAGGCTCTCGAGACTCGATCGATTCGTCTTCAACGGCTTCCATATCACTTACCCTCGTCGACGACGCCAGTCACACGGCTGCAGGACCGTCCAAACCAGCAGACAAGCGAGGTGGTCAGGCAGGAGACAGATACAAGAATGAGAAATACCGCGATGATGATGACGAGGAGGAAGGCTTAGGAGAAGATGATTACATTCCATCAGGCGGGAAGCATACACAGCGGAGAACACAAATAGCATTCTGGCTGCTCGTGGCACTCTGTGTTGGTGGTTGGGCCGTGGCCTTTATATTCTTCATTGCATCCCCAAGCCATAGCGGAAATGCAGCAGATAAAAACCCCGGTGGCTCAGGAGGCCATATCACCGTACCTGCTGGTCCATACGACCGCGCCAAAATTACACTGGATGACGTTCTAAACCAGGCATGGGTGCCTGTTGAACATACGATATCATGGATTGCTGGGCCCAAGGGAGAAGATGGGTTGCTGTTGCAGAAAAGTGAGGGAGGGATTGGACCGTATCTTCATGTGGAAGACGTCCGGAATTTCCATGGCATGCAGGCAAACAACAAGTCAATTACGCTGATGAAGGACTCGATGTTCTTTTATGACGACGAACCCATCACTCCCGATCAGATTTGGCCATCACCAGATATGAAAACCGTGCTTGTCATGTCAAGGGAAAAGAAGAACTGGAGGCATTCTTACACTGGATTATACTGGCTGTTTGATGTCAAGACCCAGAAGGCCCAACCTCTTGACCCAGAAGCACCCAAGAAGAGAATACAGCTTGCTTCTTGGTCCCCAACCTCTGATGCTGTTGCTTTTACAAGGGATAATAATATGTTCCTCAGAAACCTCACTTCAAAGACTGTCAAACGTATCACAACTGATGGAGGGGCAGACCTATTCTACGGAATACCCGACTGGGTATATGAAGAGGAGGTTTTTGAAGGAAACAGTGCCACATGGTGGTCACTTGACGGGAAGTATATTTCATTCCTCCGTACAAACGAGACAATGGTCCCAGAGTTTCCTGTAGACTTCTATCTTTCGAAACCACCGGGCTATACCTCACCACCAGATGAAGAAGCGTACCCATACGTCCAACAAATTAAATACCCCAAAGCTGGCGCGCCAAACCCTATAGTCAACCTTCAGTTTCATGATGTCGAACGCGGAGATACTTTCTCGGTTGAGGTGAAGGATAACTTCATAGATGACGACAAAATTATAGTGGAAGTCATTCCCGCCTCTGGAGGGAAAATGTTGGTCCGAGAAACAAACCGTGAAAGCGACATCGTCAAGGTGACCATCATCGATTCGACTAAGCGAGAGGGCAAAATAGTCCGATCGGACAACATTGGTGAAATTGATGGTGGGTGGGTTGAGCCATCACACACCACAAGGTATATACCCTCTGATCCGGCTGCTGGCCGAACAGATGATGGGTATATCGACACTGTTATACATGAAGGCTATAACCACCTTGCATATTTCACACCGTTGGAAAACCCTAAGCCGAAGTTGCTCACCTCTGGAAATTGGGAGGTTGTTGATGCCCCTTCAGCCGTTGACCTCAAGAATAACGTTGTATATTTTGTTACTACTAAGGAGAGTCCGATCGACAGGCACGTATACAGCGTGAAACTCGACGGCTCGGAGCTTCAGCAACTCAAAAATACTGAAAAATCTGCATACTATGATGTTTCATTCTCTAATGGTGCCGGCTACATGCTATTGAAATACCAGGGACCCAATATTCCAATGCAGAAGATTATCAGTTCTCCTAGCAATGAAGACAACTATGCGGAAATCATCGAGGAAAACAAGAATCTGGCTAGGCTTTCGAATGAATTTGCTCTACCCTCGCTGCACTACTCAACGATTAAAGTTGACGGATTTGCATTGCCTGTTGTCGAGCGACGGCCCGCAAACTTTAACGAGACGAAAAAATACCCCGTTCTTTTCCAGTTGTACGGAGGTCCTGGATCCCAAAAGGTTAGCAAAAAATTCGCCGTTGATTTTCAGTCCTACGTTGCTTCCAACCTAGGCTACATCGTCGTCACTGTCGACGGCAGGGGCACCGGGTTCAACGGTCGAAAATTTAGATGCATAGTACGAGGAAACCTTGGTTACTATGAAGCCCATGACCAAATTCAAACCGCTAAGGAATGGGGCAAAAAACACTACGTTGACAAGACTCGAATGGCAATATGGGGTTGGAGTTACGGCGGGTTCATGACATTGAAAACTCTTGAACAAGATGCGGGGGAAACTTTCCAGTATGGTATGGCGGTGGCTCCAGTGACGGACTGGCGATATTATGGTAAGGACCTTTACATCCAAACGAGCCCGTTCAACCTACTTTGTTCCAGACAATCTAATTTTTATGTAGACTCCATATACACGGAACGTTACATGCATATGCCACAGCATAACAAGGAAGGATATGACAATTCATCAATATCAAATACGACTTCTTTATCGCAAACTAGCCGATTTTTGATAATGCATGGTTCGGCGGATGACAACGTCCATTTCCAAAACTCTCTCACACTGTTGGATAAATTTGACCTTATGGGTGTGAACAATTACGATGTTCATGTATTCCCGGATTCAAATCACGGAATCTACTTCCATCATGCATACAAGATGGTTCATCAACGTAAGGACTCTATTCTATTTTCCCCAATAGCGATTGTCATTAACCATTGTTTCTCCCATAGGTCTTTCTGACTGGCTTGTCAATGCTTTTAACGGGGAGTGGGAGAGGGTTCGCGACCCTAAGCCTAAGCCATCAGTGATCAAGCGTGCGATACGTCAATTGTTACATTTTGGATAAGTATAGATCTATCTTTTTAGGATGAGTTGTTTTGAATATCTCAAGCCCCAGGTAGTTATTGATATATTGCTATATTCGCATATTCGCCCCCTTTTTTTCTTGCAAGGCGCTCTCGGATTCCAGTGGTTAGTGTAAGAATTGGAATATGATACGACAGAATTGTTTTAAATGCGTGAGCGGGCTGTGGTTATAAATCTACTCCGTAGAAATACACATACATTTATTATTCAAGCTCTTTTTTTTGTTAACGATGCAATTTTATTCTGTATACCATTTGAGGTAGGGTGGGCCAGCGAGTTGGCCGATGAGTTAGGCCCAACTAGTCCCAACGACGCTTTGACAAGCCATTGAGCCCATATTGACTGACGGATAGCCCATGAGCTAAGTGGTACTCAGGCCAAGTACATTGGTTTATCTATACCTAGTCTAGTATCATGCATTGAGTGAGTGCATGCTGTACAGTAGATTAGTTACTCCGTCCAGAGTATATGTTTTGCTTTCTCAAGTGCAGCTGGGATACGTTTCCCATAGAATTCGACAGGCCGCTTCATTTCATACGCCGATAGGGAGAAATAGGTCTTTAGTACGGACTCTGTAGCAAAAAAAAAAAAAAAAAAACGCTCTGATCCTACCCGTAGCTATCTGATCGCACTGTGAGACCGAAATTAGGCCGGACCACGTTAAATCTGCAACAGGCCGTTGTGGGTAATCCTTGGGAGTGATCAGCCCGGTTTGAAATGTTTAACTAGCGTTTTCATAATTAGTTTTTTGATACAACTAGCAAGCTGAGCTGTTTTCGAGGTATCATAAACCATAGCTACCCAAGTCATGTATCAAAAGTTAAGCGGGTCTATTGATATAGGGAGTAGCGAGGCGGCTCTCTATATAAGAGGAGCCGAGCATATCGGATGAGCAGGAGTAAGTTGCGCATTTGGTTCCGCACCAACCTCTGTAGTAAAAGGATCAATCCTCATGCACAGCTACAGCTGCTTGAGCCAACCCCGCAACAGCTAGTGTGGGGGTTCACAGATCAGCCATAAGGAGACCTTGTGGAATCCCCTATCCATTGCAGCACGAGGGCCCGTGAGCGAATAGAGACCAGGGGCTGCGAGATGCAGGTTCGCCTAAAATAGGAGGAATGGAACGCGGGAAGCTGAAGGTATCAGAGCGTGTTTTATGATAGGCTGACGAGGACGTTGCTGACCAGGGTTGCACCTTTCAAATTGATATCAGGCTGCCTAATGCAAGAATTGCAGGAGATTTGAAAACAACCCCATCAGCATGAGGTATCTGCAGCGGTACTCCGTATAGTACACCAATCATCTTGATTGAAAAACAAAATGCAATGCACTTGCGGGAGGGGAGATCAAACCCCGATGAAATTTGCCTCATAGAATCCAAACTTGGGTACCCTATGCGTATCAATTGCAAGTCTTGCTTGGGAGTAAGCGTTGCTGTGGGGAATGCAAGACATCGGGCACACATCGACCGAAGGCAGCTCCTCAGGCATGCAGCCATAGCATCATCGAGTATTTACTGCGTGGCTAGTGCACTCGCTACACACTTGCACCAGCTGACTCCATCTCGTTCCCCGGGTATGTTGCGGGTTTTATGAGGCTTTTCAGGATCCGCGTGGTCAAGGTGGTTTTCCGCTTCATAACCCGAGACATTTCGGGCTGTTTCCGTATGATAACCAGGTTCTATCAAGATTTGGTGTATCCGTGACTTGAGAGGCTTTACGGAGTACCCAGCTCACAGTTGTTTTTCCTCGTTGTTACGGGAGAGTAACTGTGCAAATACCCACACTGAGAAAGCTGCAGCCACATCCTGTGAGACCTTGGGGTGTTGGATTATATAAGGGAAGGTGAAGATTCCATTGCCTTGTGGCATATATTCCAGAGTTTGGTAGGTAGCTGGGGAATCGTAGTCTTAAGGCCAACAGATTGCTCGCTAAACAACTCGTGCGAGGTGGATAAGCTAAGCTAACCGTAGACATTTAGACAAGTCAGAGAACGAGCAGACGCCGCTACTGTGCATTGAATCTGTAACCCTTCATGATGGGAGGGTACTTCGCGGTCTTGGTGTTCATGTCATGGTATGGAGTAAATAGTCCGACTTCTAGGAGTTGGGGGACTATAAAAGGTCCTAACAAACGAGTTAGTTACTGAGAAACTCGTAGGTAAAGAGCCTGAAGGCCTATAACGCGTAGCATCTTACGTATATAACATTCTGCGTCGTGTCGTGGAGTGAAGGAGGCCAATTAAATATGCGAGTTCCCACTAGGGGGCGGATTAAATAAATCGCCTCGTCAGCTTCACCGTCACTCATCCTCATCTCCTCAACAACAAGAAAGAAACCAGTGTCAGCCCGCAAAAACGACGAACAGAAGTCAGAATTCGCTTGAAGGGTGATATAATACGCCTCCAGGTAAAGCTGTAGCCGAAAAGAAACCCCGTGACGGCCATCGGTACTTCCCTGCCCGCATAAATTTCGCCGCAGAGCAAGTACCATCCCAAAATGGCATCAACAACGTCCTCGCCTCCAACGTACAAAGTCGACTCCTTTCATCCCGCCGTCCTCTCTCACTTGGAACGTATCTATGAATCACTGAAGTCACAGGGACAGGCTCGTACTGCTCCAGATGGCGGGAATACTACTCCATCAGCTCATTTCCTGCAGGTCATCCAGCAAGACCGGCACTGCAAGGACAGTGAAACTCCCGGTCACCAGCAGGATGGTGTACTCAACAGCCTCTCTAGCTTCCTTACATACATGTCGACTGCGACGGCGATACCGCAGTTTTCAGACACCGCGGCGTATGAAGAAGACCTGTCGTTCCCCATGCCCAATTACTTCATTAACTCAAGCCACAACACCTACTTGACTGGCAACCAGCTGTACAGCGAGGCCAGCACGGAGGTGTATAAGAATGTACGTGGCTGAATTTCCTTAATTTTTCGTCCAGTTATTTCTTTTTCCTGGGGTTTATAAGGTATGGTCCATGTCGATCTGCAACCCCCATTTGATACCCGCCTAGGGGGAGGGATATATGTGCATAAATATTCAGCATGGAATATTCTGTCTGTCAACGAGTCAGCAGGGAACATACGGAGTATTCCTCGCATAATACGACCTTGAGCTTCGGACCTTGAGCGAAAGTTAAATAGCTGCTATATGCGCCAGAAAGAGACCAAAGCGCTAGTGGTGACAATAGCAGGCTGAAGATCAAATCCGGTGATAGTTGCTGCACTTGTTTTATGTATTTTCTTTTTTACGTACTCCGTATGGTGGTTCTCTACTCCGTACTGCACCGTGCGCTGATTTCCATGTCTATCTGTTCTTTGGTTTCCTCATTGGGACATACCCAGGCTATCATGCACTGCAAAACTATAGCCCGCAATTACTTATCGCATCTGGATAGCTAATTGTCAGCCAGGTTCTACTCGATGGCTGTAGATGCCTCGAAATTGATGTTTGGGATGGCGAATTGGATTCCTCCAGCTCTGAATCTGAGGATAGCTCAGCTGGTAGCCATAAGGAAAAAAATAAAAAGAGCCACGAAAGGCTTCGAAAGGAGAGCAGCACCGGACGATTCAGTCTATCATCGCTCTCAGACCGTCTTGATAAACTCAGTGCCAAAAACGCACCTGACCCGACCCCAGCTAAGGTCCCATCTTCAAATTCCATACGCCCTGAGCCCCGGGTGTTCCATGGACATACGTTAACTAAAGAAGTTACCTTCCGCGACGTATGTTACACCATCCGTGATAATGCGTTTGTGACTAGCGACCTACCGGTGATCGTCAGCCTTGAGGTGCACACTTCTCATGAGCAACAGGAGGTGATGGTCGAAATTATGACAGAGGCGTGGAAAGGCCTACTTGTGGAATTTACGCCAGAGATGGAGGTTCAGCTTGGCAAGGGGGACCTCCACCATCTGTCCAGCCCAGGCTCTCTCAAGAACAAAATCCTTATCAAGGTGAAATGGGTATCTCCCAATAAAGAAGATACCCCGCCCACCGAAGGCTGCATTGAGGTTGTCGGCCTCAGGGCCGTTGGGAGTGCAGACGATGGAACTCAGAATAAGGTAATAGCTGGACAGTCGTCAACCAAAACAAAGCCTCAAAAGATTATTCAATCCCTTAGCCGACTCGGGATATTCACGCGCGGTTATACTTTTAACGACTTTTCGCAACCTGGTAAGCCTCACTTTAGTTTAATTTTAGCCCTTCTCCCGTCTCCCGTTCCCCGTACCTGGTGCATTGGCCATTTGCCAGGCCATATTGAAATGACGGGCGAAAAACAAAAGAGAGCTATTGGCTTGCATTGGCCTGTAGCTTGAGGAGATGAGAAGATGGAAAGGATGATCGTCGTGTCAAAAACACATACTTTCTACAAAGAAGAAACCCGTTCTTGATACTATGCTTACATATATTCTCACAGAGGCAAAACTACCACACCACATATTTTCGCTCTCAGAGGCTGCGGTGAAAGGCGCCCATGAGAAAGAACGTCGAGCATTATTCGACCACAACAAAGACTTCATGATGCGTACCTATCCATCTGGGATGCGAGTAGATTCCTCAAACTTAGACCCATCTTTTGCCTGGCGTCAAGGAATTCAGGTGGTCGCTCTAAACTGGCAGCGGTGCGACAAAGGAATGATGCTTAACAAAGGGATGTTCGCAGGAAGTGGGGGATGGGCACTCAAACCCCCAGAATATCGCGGATCGACTGGACGCAGCAGCTCGATCGATTCATCGTCGCAAGAGCCGGTGACCTCCGTCGTCAATGAAGGTAATAGCAAGGGCGTGCAGGCAAGTATGAAGTTCCGACGCACAGTGAATTTGTCTATTGAAATATATGCAGGACAGAACATAATGGCTGGGGATGGGAAGTCGAACCCCAAAAGTTTCCACCCATATGTAGCCTGTCATTTGCATGTTGAGCGACCGAAGGACAGCATCCATGCTACCGGCAAGGATTATGACAGCAGCGACCCCAAATACAAATGTCGAACTAAAACCTGCAGTGGCGCCGATCCGGACTTTGGAGGCCAAGTCCTCCAATTCCCAAGCGCTCCTGGCATCCTTGAGGAGCTCTCTTTCGTCAGGTTAGTGAAATTTCAACCAATCATCCCTTCCACCACCCGAATCGCATACAAAACCAGCGCCGCATCACTTTGAGAGACTTAATATGTAGGCGTTTGTCATCCGTCATCATCTCCACCTGTCTTTGTGATTCCTTTTTATGGCTGCATCACCTGGTGACTTGCTCCGTATACATATCCAAATGGAAGAGGATAGCTGAGCCGGTATCCTAAGCCGTGCCAGAAAGCCGCAGTGGTCTCTCTGCTGCATAAGAAAAGCACCACTAACTCTCCCATCCATCTCACCTACTTTCCTCTTTGGGTTTCGAGCAAACATTGATTGTCATCAACATCAAACTTGCGTATACTCCGATTCTCATTCCCTTCCCTTCCTCCAAAGCCACACTAACCCCCACCCCGCCATATCGCCCACCTTCCTTTTTTTTTCTTCAGCCCACATATTGTTCTATTTTGAACTGACAATCCTACCATCTCGTCACTCATCGGTTTCCCCCGCTAACCGATATCCCTTGGCAGATTCAAGATCAAAGACGACGAAATTGGCATCGACGAATTAGCGGCATGGGCCTGTATAAGGCTAGATCGCCTACGTCAAGGTTTCCGGCTCATTCGGTTATTTGGTGCCAATGGGAAACCAACCGACGGAATTCTTCTTGTTCGGATATCGAAGCGCGAGGAGTGATTCATTAATTATCACATTGCTCTCTCCTAATCAGGGTGGTAGCCAGTAAAAGCCTGTTAGATGGCATAGTGCCTTCAAGCTTGCTTCTCGTCGGCCGATTCTACGAGTATTATGGAGGTGCTACTTTTCATTCTCGCATTACACTTGGTTACCACATTCTTGTGATAACTATATAGAATGGAGCCAATATATATAGCCGCTGCATAGTACGGATACTTCACTCTTCCGAGAGGGCGCCGTACATATACATGATGTTAGTGTACAACTTGCAGTAATGCATGCTTTGGATGTATGCGTGAATTGTATCCCTGGTTCCGTCGCAGCGGTTGATCGAAGGTGGATACCGCTCTTCCTTGCGCAGGGTATAACACGATCGTATACTTCGTACACAAGCGACACCCAAGGGACATCGTATCCCTACACGCTATTTCCGCGTGCTTCACGTTTTAAGACCGGCTAGGATCAGGTGTGGGAACAGAACGCCGAATTACGGATTCAGGCGTATCTCAAGCTTTCAGCTACTGGCTATAGGGTGCGGTGGGGGTACATGGATGTGAAGAGGGCATGCATCTCATTGTTTCAAGCCACAGCCTGGGTCGAATAACCTCCAGGCCGATTCATTGCATGAACCGTACGGAGTATGTTTCCATGCCGAGGGTTGAAACGCTCCAACTGGTCGACAAAACACCATATCGGATTTGCCTTCCCGGAGTAAACAGGAAGCGAAAATAGGCTAGAATAGCTTAAATCCATCGGCCTCTTGGCCTTCTGCCATGATATGATATGGGTACGTTAGATGTCGGTCTGTCTCCTCCGTATACTGCGCGGCAACCTTTTTCAGAAGAGCAGACCCGCTCTCCAAAGCGACGGTACTTGGGGAAGGCAAAGGGCCACTGAGGTAAAAATATTAAAAAAAATTTAAAAAATCTTATCCTTGGACCTTTCTTGGCTCGTCCACTAACTTTTTGGTGTGATGCTGCGCCGCTTGACTATCAAAGACTGTCCCTCTGTAAAACTATGGTTCACCATCGACCACCCACCCCTAAGGGCCCAATAAGGGGTGCTTGCTCGGCTCAAGTTGAACAGGTTCGAGGTGTTAAATGTATGTATAACCGTCGCATACTGCTACGCGGGTCATCTCAGCATGTTTTGTGTGTGTGTGTGCGCTCCATTCTCCGTAAATAGTCACAAAATAATATTGATGTGAGATATACTTATTTAGGCGTGGGTGGCGAGAAGGTGCTGTGGGGAGCTCCCTGGCTTCTCAGACTTGATCGCGGGACGAAATACCCATCGGTCACACTTGCGTAAACCCCATAGGGACATCCTCGCGTGAAAAGGGGGTTGATCCAGATGCCTTATTTGGGTAATATATACCAATTGCTGGGATGGTCCCGAAGGATGCCGTATCAAACTGGTTGCATCTTCGTCTTCTCAATTTTTTTTTCGCTTTCCCTTTTTTTTCTCTTGGGAATGCTAAATATGTAGGCTAAGGACGCAGGGTTTGGCCATCCCTGACTCGAGCTGTCACATTTCGCTCGTGCCACCCTCGTCATTATGCGGCAGGCCGTTAGCCGCTAATGATTCTGACTGGTGGATTGCCCCATGTGAGGTCGCACTAGGTGTGGGCCATCATTATTGATCGATCAAGATGCAGAGGGCCTGCGTGAGCGTTATTCTTGGAGGGCAGTTTCCGTGTGTCATAATTAATGTCATTTGCTCCCTTGATGCAAACTGGATTGAAAACAAAGGAGCGGAGCTGGTTGGAGGGCTATCATGCTCCGTGCTCCGTACACATCCTTGAACAGAAATCTGGAACGTAGGAGAGGGATCCAGGGTAGGCAAATGTGACGAAGAGGCGAGAATCACGTATAGTGTCATATTAGCCTAGTTTCATTCGTGGATTCGAAACCATTTTTTCCCATAACGGCACCCCGTATGTCCGAACTTGTCCTGGATACGGAATAGTCGGGTCCCCGTCCCTCTGGCCTTCAGCTTGATGCTAGACAGCTCAGGTGATTGAAACCGCCAGAGTGTCGTCATCCGACTTGGAACGGTTTGATACTCGTGGGGAAGCGCCGAGCTCAGCGTAGCTAGTGGAGCGGATGAGGGGCGAGTCAACAGGCACTCTTGGAGGCACAGCTTAGGACCAGAGAGGCGAACGGGCGGTGATAGTACGGCATACAGGGGACAGAAGCATATCTTGGGATGGGCCCCACAGGACCAGGATTGGCCATTTCGGCCCTGAATATGCTGACTTACTTGATAGTAGCGCTTGTTGTTTTTTGAAGAATTTAATTATCATCAGCGTCAGCCATTCGAATCCACAGGGCGTCGACGCTAGGGAGAGTATCTGTCTCTCTCCAGTGGGTTTCGTGGCGGCCTGAAGTTAGATTCGGGGGAGGATTGGGGGGTAGTTTATGACAACTCATCTGTATGAAGGTATCCCGATGTATCCCAAGGAAAGCAGCCGAAGATCGAAGGAAACAACCCCAACGCTGGTAAAAACGGCCGTGCTGTACGTGTATGCTTGTGAAGAATGGACGAAGAGCTGCGATTCGCTCCGTTTGCCTGGAGATATTGGACATCCAATAGATTGGATAGTAGCAATGTTGGGACCGTCGCCCGAGCTAAACCAATTTTCTGACATCACATCGCAAAATTAACCTTGTGCATGTCGGCAAATGTATCAGTACCCATCGGTCCCTTGTTGGTAGCGTCGATCGTGGAGCCCGCAGAGGTAAAATAGTACATACCGCGAACTTGGGGAAATTGGTGGGTATCACAGATATAAAGCTCGCCTGCCTCCGCATCCCAAGGTATCATGTTTCTTTGACGAAGGCAAAAAAAAATTCCAAGTTGATAATATAAGGAAAATTCCAACCGCATCCTACTGCCATTCAAAAACGACAAAATCAATAATACACCACGCACACCACAGATATTCTTTCAGTCATAACGCCATTGAGCCCACCCTCTGTCACCGCCCATCGATCACAAAAGAAGAGGTCGTCTATTGAGAACATCTGCTGTCGGTAGCTGTTCAAGGAATTGCACACTGAGAGAAGAAGGGCGGAAGCGTCGAACACACACACTGGGATTGCGGGAACCCACGGGTTTGGAGGAATAGCATCATCGATATCACAGGAAAACAGTTGTTAAAATGGTGGCAATCGCTCGTCTCAGACCAGTTGGCAACTCTGCCAGACAGACTCACATTCAATCACAATCCCGGACCCGGAATCATATGTCTCCAGTAAGTTTTCTTTGGCGCTTTAATCGGTATCCGACCATGTACTAACGAAAGTTGTCTAGATGCCAGGAGTCCTCTGTCCCAGCTGCAAGTCAAACGGAGAAGATACATGGGTTATCCCCGGGAAAAACTGCCATGTATGTGGCACGTCGTGTTGAGAATCCGAGGTATGCTTATGTCCTGGGAGCAACAACGAAGCTCCCCTGATTTCAGAAGTGAAGCATAGAATGGGCATGGAGCTCACGGCGGACTAGACACAATTTCGGGCTCGAAGAGGCAGTTCAATTTTAGACGACATGAGAGGCACAAGTTGTTGACAACCTGATGGTTAATCGATTCGAGCTCAGAGGATAATGGGACTAAAAGATGGGAAGATTGAGACTTTCGTTTCGGACAAATCAAATCAGGCTACTGGCCCCTGGCGCTTTATGGGATAGCAGGGAGTGCGAGAAGAAGACTCGCGAAGAATATTTTGGTGGAGATGGTGCTGCATTTCACAGGCGGAGGATAAAATTCCTACTTACCCCCTATATCTTGCATCCATGTATGATTAATATGATCGTTGGCGTCGTGTTGCGTTCCTTGTTGACAAGGGAAATGAAGGCAATGGCGATAAATTTCATCCGTTTTCAAGTGGACTCTTTCAGGCGCAATATGGTGGCCTTTTCCAGCTGCATCATTCTTGACTCGCGGGTACAGGAGCGTCTTGGTTGCCGTTGGCATATAACGCGTCCACCACGTCCTGAAGGCGGTACGCTGCGCATATTGGCTCCATGAGGACACAATATGCGTGAAAGGATCTGAATGAAGGGTATCTATCAGCCATCTCCGCCGTTGAGGTGGTAAGCCGGTGAACAAGCACGACCAATGGCAACTTCGTTACCATATAAACAGCCCTTATCATCTCAGCCTTCGACCTCAAACGGGTAAATATATGCTCTCTCGCTCGGCAACTAACCCAGTTATAAAACTAAAGGAGAGAGCCACACCTAGATTTCGGGATACCAGTCCCTGGTTAGAGATAGATAAGCCCATGGGTGCACGAAGGCTGCTGCTCGCTTGTGGCGTGGGGGGTATGTTGTAGATATCGTCGAGAGAGGGATGGTTGGAATCCGCGTCTAGTTAACAAAGCAGACAGCTCAGATCTGAAACTCGCACACTTACTCGATTGCTAAACCTTCGGCATAGAAGAGAGTCGTGAAAGAAGAAGATCTTTGCCAGAAGCTCCCCGCAACCTTTTGCTGGGGTGCTCCTTGCATATGCTGGGATTCGAGATAGACGAATAAGCGGCCAGACGAAGCGCAATGTACTAACTATAAAAATAAACTTCATAAACAACTTGTGTAGCTTAACGCGCTGGAAGACAGTAATATAGCAGGTATGAATCCAAATTATTTATATTTTGGCTCGTTTTGACCAAGACAAATTGCCAATATTGCTTCGTCCTTATGTCCCCCTTTATGGAACTAGACTTCAAAATTTGAACAAACCCGTAGAGCTCCGGTTCCAGAGAGTTTCAGTGCACCAAAATGTGCCAATCACCATAACTTGGGGGCCATAGACACAGGACGAACCCCTCACCACATTCACACCACTCTGCTCATGAGGGTTTGATACAGGTCTTCAGCCTTCTTCTACCCCTGTTGGACCTTGGCTTCCATTCAGCTGGACTGCCACAGCTATCAAAAATAGGCTTCTGTGATTACCGTATCCCGTGTCAGTAGGCAGACGGAGGGGGGCCGAGGAATGGGATAGGGCGGAGGTCGGTGCATAACGTTTGTGATAGAGACCCCTAGGCTGGCTGGCCATCTTTAAACGTTCGGTTCTGTAAAGCCGAGACCCCAGTTTAACTTCGCAACTGGTAAATATGTTCCAATAATTTTCACTGAACGATTGACCGGTCAGAGATCCATTCTCAATGTTAGGGTATAGCAAGCGAGATGATTCAAAGCTGCGGGATATATCTGTAGCCAAAGCTGAAGTAGTTGATGATCATGGTGACGACGCAGCAGTCATAAATTTTAAACTGGCCGAGAGACTTAATTATCGGTAGAAGAGACCGGCTGTCTGGGTAGAGTTCCAGGGCCTGGGGGGCACTAAACATGGGTCAATCGTCGGGCATGGGAGGAAATACGCACAACAAGTACCTGGACTTGTATGTATCAGTCATATCAGGGACTCTTGTCGAAGAGGTCTAGAAGTCCGACCTCCCACTCTTTGAATCTCCTTCCAGATGGGGGCAGTACACTGGTACTCCTCTCCAGAACCCCTTTAATACAGTCATATATATCAAGTGGCAAATGGAGTTCTTCCAGCGAAGCGGCTGATGGCATTCCCAGTTCTGGATTTACCAGGGACTGCACGTTTGCAACATGTTGGTAGAACACTTTCAATGCACGCTGCGCCGATATCGCACGAGTTCCACTAGAGGCACTGGCATTGCAGGAGTACCGCACGTCTGTGTTGAAGACCCATACCTATACAAGGAAGTTAGAAATTATATATGCTGGTCGTAACATCGAGGAAACTTCATACCAGTAGTCCATCATTTCGCTGGCTCCCTCCTTCGCCGTTATGGATAGCAAACCGTCTAGCACCTGATCGTTCGATACATTCTAGAAGCTGGGATCCAACAATTACCTCTGCTGGACAAGATTCGAGGAATTGCCTGTTGATAGTAGTGCTCGGAACATTATCTGCCTTCCGTAATATAGAAACATTGGCTTTGAACAGCTCTAGCCCCTGGAGAGAAAAATGTTCTTCACCAACAGGCGCGCTGCAGAATTTGCAACACAGGCTTACAGCATTAGATACCTGGGAAGGCGAATCGCTAGATTGATCTTGGGACGGACGTTCCTTGCCATTCTAAGGTTGAGAGAATATATATATTAGCACCTGAAGATACCGTATGTATCACGCCTTTAGAAATCTCATGTAGGAGTAAATTATCACAAGATATCATCCACATTGCCACCAGCTGTCCCATGTATATGTTGTTCAACAAAAATAAGTCAACATTATTATAACAATAGATTGCAGTGTTGTTTCGACGCATGTATCTCAGACTGTATCTCAAACCGGCCAATGGGTCTCTGGCTAAATTCAATGCATGGAATACGTCTAGATCATCAATATCTTTGGTTTCCACTCCGTCACCTCTCGCAACCCCAAGTTCGCCGGAAATATATATCCAGAGAGCACGAAAGAAAAGAAGGAATGCAAGGAACAATATCACCGCCCATCTCTTGTCAGGCACCGACTACTAGACACGGAGCCTATGTAGGAAGCGAAATTCAAGGAGGGTGATGATATCGTTGCAATACAAGCCACCCAAGCCCCGAGCTCTCTGAACACTCTCCCCGGTGCCCCTGGAGTATGCTCGAAGATTAAGAGTGAATGCCTCTAATATTGGGCTGATTGATCTAGGGCAATTGTATCGGAAACCGGTCCATGGAAGGGCGAGCCGGTCTCCTTCTTGTTGCCCAACAACATTTATGCTTCTCTGATACGCCTGGAGTAGGGGTAATTTGGCGAAAGGAAAGTTCGCAAGGGGCATCTAAAGACAGCATGTTAACGGGGGTAATTTCTTACCGCTCTTTTCACGCCCTGACAGTCACTTTCCGTCATGATGAACGAAGAAACATTGACAAAAATAGTCCCAGGCTCACAAACAACCCGGTTCGTGGCGCCATATCCCTTAGTATGTCCGTTCACGTCTTTGGATGCCTCGCCGCCGTCTTTCTCAGGCACTGGATCAGGCTTATGACAATGCCATAGATCCATCATTTCAGCCCAGTCTGCACTTGGTAAATCCTTCCACACAATGGTCTGGTCGTCACTTGGAGCGAAAAGTGTCCTCGAGCACTCACGGCAGCAAATACGCGTCTGCGGGGTCATACTATTCGCTGACCAAGGGGACTGTGGTGCATGATAATCATCAGGGGTGGCATCTGACAGCGCAGCCGCTTCATCTATTGGAAGGCGGAAGGTGTATTCATTCTCTTTGTCGTGGGGTGCGGAATGGCTCGCTCTCAAGTATTCACGGGACTTTTCAGACACAGTACGAGGGAGCTTAAGAGAGAGAGACTCATTAAGATGTGATACAGTGACAGAGGATCGAGAGGTAGAAAGCGAGAGTTCTGGTGACGGTCCGGGAGGCTCCCTATGAGACGATGTCGAGTTTATAGCTGTAACGAAGAGGCGTATCTGGCGGATATTGGCTAGCAATTCAGCGTACAGTAGCACGCATGGCTCGGAGGAAGTTAACATCGCCACCAAGTTCCATATTCCAGCGTGTCAACGCAGAGATGTTCTTGTCCTGGCTGTAAAGAATGAAGCTGGTTTTGGAGCAAAGGTCGATATGATATGTAGTGCAAACAGAGCATCGCGACCTCAACGCCAAAACATAGAAAAAGGAATATAAAATGCGCTGTGGCTAGGGCGAACAAGGATGTAGAAAATGACTTCAGACTTCGTATAAAGGGACCAGGCAACACAATTCACAATTCCACGCCTTTCCCCTTGTGGGGACAGCTCGAACTCCGCCAGCTGTGGCTAAGCAGCCCGAGACAGCTGCTTCGAGGTGAGGCTCAGGATATATGACTTTATAGCAAAGCCATACCACCATAGTCTCGCAAGCCAAAGGCATTCATTCATTATATTCGCAGCCATGGAGAAATCTGCATCTGCCCTTTCTTTACCCAGTCCCAACGTTCAACGGCGGCCGGTTCCAGCGCCGGTTCAATCCCCTCCCCAAGATGCTCCTCCAGACTATACTGAACCCTCGGCTACCCCCCTTCAGGAGTCATCCAGCTCTCGAGGTCCCGTTATCTCTAATTCTTACCTTCCACCAATAAACTTTGCACAATATCATATTCCCGGGTCGAGTCTGTCAAAAGATGGACTCACTATCACCGTGGCGCCATCAGAACTCAGCTCTAACCCACCGGCATTGACAAAGTTCATAGCACAGCAAGCCGCACTACCACCTAAGCCAGAGGTGCGCATACTCGGTGTCCGAGATATTCCCGGTGATCGCAAGGTTGATTTCGATATCCGGATAAACATGCTGAATCATATAGTTCGAGCTTCTGGGCCGTCTTCATCCTGGAACTATGTGAAGATAGCCGGGAGTCGTTCTACTGGACCATCAGGGGGTACTAATGGAGACATTGCTACATTTGTTGATCGGTTTTGTAGAGATCCGGCTACCAACAAGACGTAAGTAGGAGCTACGGCACATAGAGGGTGTGAGGTGTCGAGACGTAACAAACCAATAGCATCTTACTGACGACACGGTAGCTTCATCCTAACTCGAGAGGTGATCAATTGGAACACTCAGATACTGGAAGGCCGGCTGAGGACCCTAATAGCGTCCCTACGCTACCAAGGCCGCGTTACAATCACTTTTCCAACCACACATTCCCGCATCATCGTTCCGGGGCCCAAAACGAACAATTCGTTCTACACCCAGCTTATATCCTTGTTCAAAGACCCGAAACGATACGATATGGTACGGTCTATATGGCCGTATGCCAACATGGCAGGTTCAGAGACCTCAGAAGACCCCAGACGAGTCTGCGCTGTTCAATCGGAAAACGACTGGTGGGATGAGTGGAAAATGGTGATTGCTACTGCTATACTGGCAGGGAGGCAGGGCTGGCTGTCACTGGACGACTTGGTTGAGTTTGCTATGAGCCCGGTGAGAGAGGTCAAAGTCGGCGGCCACTGGGGTGGGGCAATGGACGTGGAAAGGGCTTACTAGGGGAGTACTTTACCCCAGACTCCTTCATTATACTAGCGAGAAACCTTATGTTTGGTGCTGATGAAGTTGACGGCGTTGGCAGGAGTTAAAAGTACGATATACATAGTCGGTTACTGGTTTTTGGAGTTTAATAGCTTAGATTGCATTATCGGGGTAGTCCGATTGATAACCAGCCCAATTCAATAGATTAATAATTGAGCGAAATATGAGCTGTAGATATACTTCGTATTCCTATATCGAACATCAAATCTGACGGCTTGGGCCGGGTCCATCAATCAGCCAAAGCCACTGAAGCCATTGAACGTCTCGACGAATTGCACAGCAGCCCGCAGGTAAAATTCATCATCTCCCCAGGTTTTAGCGGCCTCCTTGAGGGTCCGAAGAGGCTTGATATAATGAGGTGAGACTGCCATCTCGTTAGTGAGGGCTTGATTATCCACCCAATTCCAGTCCTTCTCCCCAATAGCGTAACGCCCAACATCGTTGATTTTTATTTTCGGCCGCAGCTGAGCAACATAAACAGCTATAGCCAATAGGAACCATTGGCGAAGCAAAGGAAGGTGAAATTTTGCAGGGATCACAGGAATGACAACACGAAGCGCATGGGTCGTCGTTAAAAGATGGGCGAAGAAGAAATCATGCGGTTTCCCCGCATGGCGGGTAATTATCAGCGTCGTAGCAAACTGTTGTATCATGCGGAATTGTTCTGTTGGGCCCATATCTTTGGGATCCCACGCCATCCAATGCTCCAAAAGCAAAGTTTGATGGGTTTTGAATATGTCTTCAACGTTGTTACCTCCCGGGTTCGTAAAAATCCCATCGAATCGCCTATCACCCCGGATTTCTTCGAAGGCTTCAAATAGGGAACTAGTCGTATATCGTTGGGTCATGTTTCTCTGAATGTCCGAGGGTTCGTCGAAGAACTTATGCATGTCGTCATAGCAGCATGAAATCATTGCAAGGGCTTCCATAGCAACCTCACGGCTTGATATTTCGAACGCAAAGCCAAGATGTATGAGTGGATGACCAACTGTGGAAAGAAGCCTTAGAACGATACAAGCGAGGGATACGTATCATATTCAATACTTACACCCAGCAATTAAGGAGTTGATCAGCGGCTTATCGCCAGAACAGAGGTACTCTAGCACCACTGCGTTCCAATCATACCCACGATTTACCAGGACATCCTCAAAGAAATCCAGATAAGCCCTTTGAAACCTGCCAACGAGGTTAGGGGCTTTACTGGCATGTTAAGTTTAACAGATATTCAATAGTTCAGGACTTACTCTCTCTTCCCAAGTGCCAATCTCCAATCTTCAACCTGGCCGATCTCGCCAGGAGAGTCCGCCCAAGGTTCTAGTTCCTTGGATTCCTCTTCATATAGCCTGTCTAGATGCTCTGGGCCTGCGCCAAACAAATATGCCGTAGAGAGAAGCTACTCTAAATGTTAAAGTCCGAACCGAAATATTTGAAAATAAACAGTGGCTCACATGGGGTATATGGTTGTAGAAAGTGAGGTTGTTATATATAATGGAATGGGTGGCATGGTTTAATTTCAAAAGCTGCCTTAAGCGCCTGCCCGGCTTCTCCTCTGCGGCTTCAATATCATGCGTTTGAATGGGTTTGACGTCAACACTTGGTGAACCGTCATTCTTCTGGCCCTTTGACGAAAACCATGAGAATGGCGAAGAAATGGATATCATGGAGTCCATGATAGCGGATATCGCTGGAGTCTTGGATGCCTGTTAGACCAGCGACTTGACTTGATATACAATTCTGAAGGGTGGTTGTAACGACAATATTAATCATACAGGAGCATATACTGACCAGAGAACTTGTGCTATGCTCTGTTCAACTATATCTAGCTGTTCGTCGCCTGGAGGTGGCAGCTTGTTAAGGATCTGGTGAACCAGACAGTGATTGGTTGAACAGTGCGAAATGCTTCGTACAATATATCCGTACGGTTGGTAAGCATATCTTGACACTTTTGGTAGTCTTTTTTCATCTCGACTCCTTGAACAACCAACTGTTATCACGCCCATCACGGAATTTACAGAGACGAACTGCCTGCGTGTATATCAGTGGCCGCACGAACCCTCTGGGTTGCGAGCTGCGCTGGGATATGCTGGTGATGTGCTAGGGAGCGGTCCATCTCCTCTTTTTCGGATCTATGCCGTTGTAATTCTCACATGTATCTTATTTAACTATTCATAACACCAGAGTAGGCAGTACTTGGAATGGCAGAGAGAAGCCGTGCCTTCGTCTGTTCAACCCCTATGGCCCCTATATCTGCATCCTCTGCGGGCGAGTCAGTTCATCTCACCAGTATACGAGCGTGGCTCCTGGAGATCGTCAATAGAGGGGTTATGGCCCAGAGTATAAATATCTATCACAAGAAGCTCACATTTCTTTGTTCTCACCTCTAACTGATCGAAAAACGAGATTCAACGAACAAAATGTCACTTCACGGAAAAAACTACTCTGGTCCTCGAGAAGATGAAGACTCGGAAGAATACATGGCGATACTCCATCAGGCAGAGGAGTTTGAGGATGCCGATGACTGGGAGAAGGCGTGCGAGGCACAGCAACGAGCCGTGAAGTACGCCGAAGAACACTACGGCGATGATTTAAAAGTCAAAAGCGGCCTGGCATACATCTATCGTCAATTGAGTCGTCATCGGGAGGCGGAAGAGTTAGATAGGTTCATCCTCTCGATGCGGCAGCAAATCTTCGGCAGTGACCACGAAGACACGGTAGCGAGCCTCAATAATCTTGCAATCGATTTGAAGGCTCAAGGAGAATATGACGAGTCGCTGGAGCTTGACAAGAGGGCACTCGATATCATGCTTCGTATTGAGGGGGAGGATTCTCAAAGCACGCAGACAAGCATGCACAACCTGGCCAATAGCTACTACAACAACGAGAACTACCAAGCCGCACTCGAACTGCATCAAAGGACATTAGAGCTCCGAAATAAGACTCTTGGTCCGGAGCATTTTCAGACGATTATGACCATGGACCTGCTGGGTAGGGATTATGGTGCCTTGGACAGACTCCAGGACGCTGTAGCCCTTCAGGAGAAAGCCGTGGAAGCTGCCAAAACCCATCTCGGCCCATCCAACCAGACAACAATCAAGTGCAGTCTTAACTTGGCGAGCACTTATGGTCGGCTAAACCAGACCGGCGCTCAGGAGATGCCCGGCGGAAGCTGGGAGTCCAAGTCAATCCGTATTCTTGAAGGCGTGGTAGAGATGCAGCGGCAGGGTCCTGGGGAGGATCATTCAGATACCACTGCCGCTATGAATAATCTGAGCGTGGCATATTTCCGTGCCGGTCGCTTGCAAGAGGCCGTCCCTCTCATGCAGAAAGTTGTCGACTGGAATATGGAGAAAATGGGCCCAGATCACCCCCAAACGAAAGCTGCGTCGGGCAACTTGGACTATGTGTATAGTAAACTTGGTTTGACTCGTGCTTCGGCCTTTTAAGTCTGGAGTCGAATCATTTTTGGATACAAGGCCAAAATGGTCGTTTGTTTATAGCTTGGCCATGTACCCGGAAATTAATAGACCTTCCAACCTTGAACCTAGTCGGGCATATCTATTATAGGCTGAGTTGAAAAGTAGGCATCGAATAGTGACGCGAATTCTCTAGGTATTATACACAAATACTTCTAATATATATATCACAAATAAGGTGAGGAAGGTGTATTATGCCGATCGCTGAATTGATAGTCAACGTGCATATCCGTTACTTTGACGATTCTGGTTTCACCAGATGATCTGTTCTGATTATATAGTCGTCGTCTTCTCCATCGCCTTCTGGTCGATTGGGGCCGTTGAGAGCCTCGCCTATGGTCATGGAACCGTCTGCCATCATATCCACGGCCTCGTCGGATTCGCCTTCAATGCCCTTTTTCCCATTGGAAGGAGAAGATTTCTTGGTATCAACGGTTTCAAACGTCTTACGCACCCGCTCGAAGTGTTCAAGCTCTTTCGCACTATTCGTATAGTTAGCAAGTTAAGTCATACGAGAAGCGGCATAATATCACGAAACATAACAACATACCTAACACTAGGAACCAGTTCATTCTTTGCGTCAATGAAATCTTTCTCTGTAACCATCACTGCAGTATCTTCGAGGGTGGCGAGATGGTCAAAGAAATAGGCTGTTGTAACTGGTCCAGTAGGGAGAGCCTTGATTTTCTCATCCACAGCGGTGGCCTGTCGAGTAATTGCCTTGAGCATTGCATCCGAACACAATGCATACAAATCGGCACCGGTATAGGTAAATGGCAGCAGTTCAGCAACTCGCCGCAACGAAAGATCAGGATGTAAGTTAAACTTGCGGCTCAAAGCTTCCAAGATAGTAAGCTGTTTATCGTGCGTGTCTGACACGCCAAGGTATAACATCTTATCGAATCGGCCAGGTCGTAACAAGGCAGCGTCTAAAAGATCAGGACGGTTGGTAGCGCCGATAACAAAAACGCCGCCACCATTCTCGTCACCACCACTCATGCCGTCGAGCTCAGCCAGAAGCTGACTGACGATTCTGTCCATGACACCACCACTGTCTCCTTGGTTACCTCGCTTGGGTGCGACGGAGTCCAACTCGTCAAAAAAGACGACGCATGGTCGTGCGTCTCGAGCGCGCTGGAAGACCCGTCGTACGTTGGCCTCAGATTCTCCGATATACATATTAAGCAGCTCAGGGCCTTTGACGGAGAAGAAATTGAGGGAAAATTCCGTAGCAATCGCCTTTGCAAGCAAGGTCTTTCCTGTTCCTGGTGGGCCGTAGAATAGAATACCGCTTCTCTTCTTCATGCCCTTGGCAAAGAGCTCTGGACGTTCAAGTGGAAGCTGGATTGTTTCCATGACAGCATCTTTCACATTAGTGAGACCACCGACATCATCCCAGGTGACGTTGGGAATCTTTGGAGCTCCAATGGAATCTGCAAAATTCTTCCTTGCAGCATCAACTGCTGCGTCGAAATCGGCCTTGGTGACAGATCGTGTGGAATCTCCACCAGCAATATGAACGTCTCGAACACTGACACTCGAGCTGGCGTCAAGCGCCACTGCGGAATCGGCAAGCTTTTGTAGCCGCAGAGTACGTTCAGCTACAGCCCGCTCGACGACGTCGACCAAGTCACCAGCAACAAGCGCGGCTGTCTTGACGGCTACCGAAGCCAAGTCAACATTAGGTGATAGTCGTAGCGCTAAGTCTGCCACGGCATTTCTAAGAATTCCTTCTCTCTCCTTCTCCTCTGGGGCTTTCATTTCCAATTCATGTGTAAAAAGACTTCGGATTCCCTCTGGAACCTTCTCCACATCTGTGGTTGTTGCAATGATAACTCGGGCACTAGCAACGATCTCTTTCAATGATGTAACGATTCTATCCGCTGTCAACACTTCAATATGTTCAATGAGCAACGCGGTGCAGGTAGGGCCGCATGTAAATGCCCTGTCTGCTCTCGCCTTGAGATATGCTTCCGTCTTCATATCGCCTCCATTAGCACCTCCTTCACTTAGGATATCATAGGAATCAATAGCGAATGTATGAAGGCCGATATCAGCACATGCTCGACGAGCAACCGTCGATTTACCGATGTTTCTCTGTGTAGATGTGAGAAGAATAACGACGGGCTTCATTCCGAGCTGGATTGCGCGTGGGCTAGTGGCGGCGGCTATCAACTCTCGCACACGTTTTTGAATAGATGGGATGAAAACCGCAGGTGATTCTGTTGGTACCCACGGAGTTGCTCGCTGCTCTACGCTCGGTTGTGGCGCTGACTTCACATTGAGCCAGTACTCCCATGTGTTTTCGAGGGTTCCGGGAACAGTACCGATCTCACTTCCAGCCTGGACCATTCGAGTATTGAGGGTATCAATAGCTGCTACTCCGCCCCATTGCTCATGGTCAGGCGCGCTATCCGGTTCTGAGCTGGTGGTCGGAGCCGTGACATGGCTGACACGGAACCAAGCGACGCCAACCTTGCTGGAAGGGCTGTTCTTGGGTGAAGAGAATGCAAACTGAGAAGGCAACTCGTCTTCCTGGCCGGCTGCGTCTGCGCTCTTAGTCGCTGAGAATATCGTCTTTCCCAATCCTTCGTCGATACCAATTCCAATCATGTCCCCGCTCTTTACTAGCCGTCTTTTTGATTCGAAGTGATGTTTCAACGCAGCAAAGATGGCTGGCTGGAGTGCTCTATCTACGGATAGAGCGGTAGATATCTTCAGTAGAGTGACCTCCTTAGCGGTAGGTGGTGCTTTTGGCATACTGCTACCCCGTGAGGCTGTCAGCCCAAGCTTCGACGGTCCATGTTGAGCTGGGCCAAACGACAAAGGAGAAAGCTTTATATATTTGGGACTTTGCAGATTATGCAGTAGAAGCGGAGGTACCAGAACCGTAGGCGCGAGACTCTGGGTCGGCATCTGTGAAATGCTTGACGATCTATCCGCGGACTTGTTCATTGCATATCGGATCTTCGGGGGGGACAGGCCAGTAACACCATAGACTTTTGCAGCACGCCAGTTTTCAGGCTCCTCAGTTCCTCCCATTAAACCATTGAGGCCACTAAAGGCTAGCGAGGATAGCATGTTTCGCTGCGGCTCCTCCGTGGGTGCTACACGAACCCAGTCGCCGGAGAAACACCCTATCTTGACAAGAGTGTGCACGTCGACGAAAATAAATGCATCCGAATCATCCTCCTCCCGTGGTTTAGGATGAAGAAGCTCATTAGGTATGCTATCGAGAAGACACTCGGCTTTGAACGTTTTACCAGCGTGTCTACCCTGACGAGCAGTGTTGGACGTGAAACTCGAAAATACGGAGCCGGGAGAATGTATGCCTAACGACCTCCCCCCAAGCCTGGGCGTGGCAGAGGAAAAAGCCGACATTGCCCCCGAAGGTTGTTGAGGAAGTTCAGGGGCGCTAAGTGAGATCATATCTTCCAGAGAGTCGTCAGAATCATCGGTGTCGTCGGCATCACTACGACTCTGAACGGAAGCCTCTGTATCAGACTCATCAGGTGGTGATGGGCTCTCGATATCTGTACCTTCCTCCAGCGCCTTTTCCTCACCCGCAGAATAAAACAAGTCATTCGACGTATCTTCGGTGTCATCTTCAGTAACTCGTTTTAGCAAGCCGGTGCCAGAGATAGACATGGTCTTGGAGCGCGATTTCTGCACCGAGCGAGCCTGTAGAAGCACAATTTTTGTCTTTGCCATCAAACGGCCCTGTGCGACTGGTTCACAGAATGAGATTCTCGCTGGTGGCGGAGGAGCGTGCGTAATAGGGTGTGATGGCAAAGGGAGAGGGATTATATCTCCATTATGCAATATATCCCGTGCAGCCAACCCTCGCCGAATAGCTTCCATGAGCCGTTCCTCCCTCTGAGCAGGAGACTGCTTTGTCCCCTTGGATATGGTACGGTCATGCAGCGAAGCTGATCCTTTACCCTTGGCCCATAGCCCATTCGAGGCCCGCGACTTGGTACTGAACCCTCCTCCAAACTTGCCTTGTATCTCATCGATGTCTCGTAACAAGTGCCGTTCCACGGTGACATACACGGTATCCAGATGTAGTGGGGTGACATTGACGATATGGATCTCAATGCCTCGCTGAGCTAGGAGGAAGGAAGACCGCGACGGGTCGCCTTGCAGAACCTGGATGAATGGCTGAATTGAGTTCGCGGAGACGGGGAAATGGATGGCTGAATTCGAGATGAAGGAGGCCTTGGTCTTCTCGTTGGCCTGGGTATGGACGGGTACAATGGTCCATTGGACATCTTCGACGGTCGTGAGGTTAGGGATCCAAGGTGCCAGGGCGACATAGATGATATCCGGACGCGCTTCGGAATCTATTTCATGAAGAGCGAGTTAGCTTGTCTTCTTCCGATGTATCAGCGCCGTGACGACGGGGGGTATGCGATCTCACCGTCTGAGCACAGCCGTGGGAACAGGTCTGCCAGCAGCTCGTCAGAAAGCACTCCGACTTCACCCTTCAGACGGATATCGAGCATCAAACGAGCAGGTATAGGCCCCTTGTTGGAATTTCGCTGGCGGAGGGCGGCTTTTCGGCGGCGACGCTGGGGGTCGTCCGACCCGACCACAGGGCCATTTGACTCCATTATGATGCTAATTAATTGACAACTGCTGCTCTACTCGATCCCCATTCAAAGAACCGCAGCAGAATTGACTGAGAGAGAGAGGCAGTCGTTGTAATTGTGTCTGTTGTTTCTTTTGGAGGCGGACGAGCATATGTTCACGTTACCCGCAAGCGCAGCTTGTTCGTGATGCCGAGGTCCAAGGATCTGGGGAAGCGCCGGCCAAACTTCGCTCTACACATGCGCGTCTACTACGCGATCTATACAGACATGTCTACCATTTGATGAAGCTACAAGAGAAAATGGTTATTACCGTTTACCAATCAACGGAGGAGAGTTACAACTTTAAATAAACCATTTAAGAACCACAAAGTCAGCCACTCTACAGCGTCCTATTTAGTAATTTAAGCCGACTCTCGAGAGCTTGTTGTATAAGAACGAAGTAAGCTACGTGTTAATATATTTAAGGTAAGACGTTCGGATCTTTATTGCCTGGTGCAACAGTCTCTCCATTCACAATGGCTGAAGTAACAGGGATTCTACGCGTCGCATCCAGCTGGCCCAGAAACTCGCTTCTTTACTTTATATTTTTCTTAATCCGCCTTGACAATACTTTAAACTGTGCCAGTCTCTACTTGGCATATCATCTGTCTGATTGGAGATAGAAGTATAAGCAGAGCGCCGTGAGGTCTAATATATTGAGCTCTCATACTTCCGCTTAACATCCCCCTACGAGGAATAAATGGAGGCTGATGTAGTACTCCATAGTCTAGAACAGATGGCAGGTGAATATTGTCATTATATAAATGGCGTTCATTCCTCCTCCTACTTGCTAATTTCTAGAATCACCATCGTCAAGTCTGGTGCATTATTTATCCTCTATATAGGAAAAAATTCACCGTATAATGGCTCCCTTCAAGTCTCTCATCCTGGTAGCAGCAGCTATTGCTCCAGTCTTTACTGCATCGGTATTATCAAGCATCACCTATATTGGTATAATACACTGACAATATCCAAGCCCAAGATCTATACTGAGCCCGGCTTCCGCGGCCACGCCATGGAGATTCTGAAGACCCACACTTGCTACAAGTTGAAGCCTCCATTGTAAGTAAATGATCTGATCGCTGCACCAGAAGCTAATGGAAAGGATAGTAAAAACCATGTTGGCTCTATCCGAATAAACGACCATGAGATGCGTTGTGAAATCTATAGGTATGTAGAGTCCATCCAGTATAGATAATATCCACGCTAAAACAAATATCTATGTTAGCAATGGCGACTGCAAGAAGCCATCCCTCCAGAATATTACATCTCAGGACGGTAACCTCTTTGATGGCAGTGATGATGGTCATAAGGTTGCTGGCATCAGGTGTTGTACAAGGCACGGCCACTGCTAGATCAACAACCGCCTTATTTCGGGTTTCGATCAAGCACCAGGATGTAGCTATGGCAGTACTCAGCCCCCAGATGAATTCAGGTAGTTGGGCGGCCAAATAGCTGGCTAGTGACCCCTGGCATGAACAAATTGATCATATATCTATCACCGTATACTGAGCCTGCAGCTCCTGTGCAGGTCCGGAGTAGATACTACCCCCAGTGTTTGATCTATTAAATGACTTCTTGCTAATATGCGAGGCACTTTCCAGGCAGCTTTATTAGACACAGGTATATTGCTGTGAAGCGGGTAGACATGGCATCAGAATCCAACCAGAAACTACCCCGGAGAAGGCGGAGCGATCAATAAAAAGGAAAGAGAAGAGAAGAAGCCCGAAAACCAGACTAGTGACGTATGGAGGGCGGAATATGGTTACGAGAGAGCAACAGGACACAAGGCTCTCTCCGACGACCTGGCTATGCATGTTGAGCCGGGCGATGAAGGCATATTGTGACGGCTTGTAAAAGGGAGAAGCCGGGACGCAAAGTGATGCAAAGTGATGAAGCGCGATCCAAACCAGGATCAGATCAAGGAACCAGGGATTTCCCTCAGCTGGAGACGGCGAGAGAGCAAGTCCAGACTCGGCGATCACAGCAGTCCTCCTGTTGCTGCTGCTCCGCGCCTGCTGCTACGGGGCTGGTCGATTGGACGAAGCTGCCGGGCGCTGAGCCTGAGCCTCAACTCCCCTCTCAATCACCATGCCAACCAGCATCACTCCAGCATCAGGCCAGCAGCAAGCCAGCATTTATCCCCCCAGACGTGTGACTGTGACTCACCAGAATGCAGGGATGGAAAGTAAAACGCGAAGTCTGTCTCGTCAATGACCGCAAGGGGACGAGCGATTCGTCCAGCGGCCCAGGAGAGAGAACCTTCGTGAACGGTCGAATCCTCGACCTGTTTTAAGCCGCAAGTCCAAAGTCGGAGTTTACAACTGTCCGACCCCCTGACAAGGTTACGTCCTTTGCTGTCTCAAAAGCGCATTCCGCGGGTCGAGGGGCGATGCTGGTTGGTGGAAGGGAAAGCGCGAGGATGTTCCGGAGCCAGTGAGAATGGGACAAATTGGCGAAGGATGAGCTCCGCGTCGCAAGGAGCATGAAGCGGGTGAACACAGCGCAGCAGAGCTGGCCTCTTCGTGTTGGGAAACGGCGGAGCTCGATTGGTGGAAGGTTGGCCATCGCTAACCTATATTTACGTACGTTGCTAGCTTGATGAGGCTACCTTGCGCAGCGTCGTGGCTGTGCCTCATTAGCATCGTCTCAAGATCACCATCAGATACTCACCTATACTCCTATACTCTCTATCCTCTCCTCTGCTCCTATACTCATACTCCTATCCTATACTCCTATACTCATATCGCGGTGTTTTATATCGAGGTTGAAAGAAAGAAGGAGATTATTAAGCCGGAGCCGCAACGCCGAGACTCCGAACGAAAAAAGAAAGGCGCGACCCACTTTTCCCATCAGGCAACCGCCAAAAACACGCGAGTCCCGGCTCTTATCTTCCCTCCTCCATCACTTTTACATCTCTCTCCATATCAACATAACAACATCTCTCGATATCACCACTCTCGTTCCACAGTCTCGCTCTCTGGCTCGTTGCTGTCCTTCAGTGGCGTGTCTTCAGTGTTCAGCTCCATCGTTATCCGGCCTTATCTACTTGTTGATAGTAAAAGGCTATCTGCAACGTTCTTCTGGCATCAGTCTGGGGCTGCTCAGGCAGTTCGTCGTCTATCTCCTTGCGGGATTGATATATCAGCGTTGATAGGAACGTCTGCTTGGTCGTTGCTGTCTTCATTGGCAGCGCGGAATCATACTCTAGACTTTTTGATTGCTGTTTGCCGTTACTGCTGTGAGTATGGCACACTGAACAAGCTACCAGCAGAGAACGTCCCTAATCTTGTCCGGCCGTCAAAGTCTTCCGAGTCTTCGAAGTCTTGTCAAGTCTCGTGAATTTCTGTCAAAGGTTGATCGAAGCTTGAAATCAGTTGAGATATTTCCTGAATCGCCATCTATATAGATCTGGCTGCAGCACAACAAGAAATAAGAAGCAATTCAGTCCAGTTAGCTTGTTTATAAGTTAGTTTTTATTCAAAGGAATAGCTGGTGAGTCATGAGAATACCCCTCCTACACGAACTCGCCTTGCTCATTGGATCCGGCCTGCAGAAATTGTGACTACCCCCCCAGTCACTCAGTATGTCGTCCGATCTCTGTTCAAATCCACGCCGGCGGCCATTTATGAATGCCAACCTCCCCCGTCTCTCAACCGATACTCGTGATGGCTGTTTCCCCAGCTCTCAGACAACCACAGTTCGCCATGCTACACTGAGAAAAGAAGCTACATTTCACGTCTCGGCCTCCCCGTCGTCTGAAGAAGGAGACCCAATCCTACACTTCCCCACCTTACTGCGTCGTTCTCCCACCAGCCCAGACACCCACCAGGAAGTCATCGCTGCCAGTGAGAGACGGGTTGCAGGGTGGCTCGGCAGCATTGAGCGCAACTTGACTGGTCCCGGAAGCAAGTCACTATCGAAACGAAAGGACAACAACCTACTGGCTCCTCGCGGAGCCCTGAACGCTCGCCTCACCTCTGCTAACCTGATGGAAATCGACTCGTCATTTAGGAATCCAACCAAATCTGGATTGGCCGGGAACGAGAACACCCGCGCCCAACCCTCGGACAGCGGTGTTGGTACTTCAGTTGACGAAGAGAAAGGTCCGTGGCATGAATATCCGGTGATAGCAGAGTTTGTATGGAGTACTAACTATCATATAGACTCGTTGAAGCGAGGCCCTGTCGGGGCTGTCACATCTTTCTCTCGTGACTCAGTGATTCCTTCTGGAGCTGCTCTCAGCTCAGGAGGTAAAAGGCAGATCCAACGTCATATCCTCATCCCTCTTCTTAAGGAACAACGCTTGAAATCATTCCAGTCACTAGTCAGAACTGTACCACAACGTATCCAGAGTAACGAGATCACTTGTCTTCGAGACCTCGAGAAGACTTTGCTCTATCTGGCTCCCCACCACGCCATTTCCAGATCGTCGTACTTGAGCTTCTGCGAGTTTACCATTCAGTGTGTTCACACAACTGTTGGATACCTCAACGACCGTGACCAACGACGACCAGCAGACCGCCCCTACACCAACGGATATTTCTTAGATCTCGTTGAACAGATTCGCCAGTATGCTGCTTTGATCAGAACTGCTCGTGAAAGGCGTTCGGCTACTCCTACCCGCGACAATCTTGGCTATTCTTCGTATGTATCCTGCCTCACTAGTTTCATAACGCTTGCTTACCGTCTTATAGAGGTGAGGAACTTGTCCTCGAAGGCGGACTTGCCAGCACCGGCCGTCCAGCCGAACTTGTCAGGAAGAAGAAGGGCCAGACCATCTCCCTAAAAACCGGACAACCGTACGTGGAAGAGAAACCAGTCGTCCCAAGCTTGAAACGCGCTCCAAGTATGGAGAACAAGGACAGCGTCATGCGCTCTATGGCGCGACGCAAGAAGGATGCTCCACCAATGAATATCAATGAGAAGTGCAAGCACTGTGATAAGGTCTTCCGTCGTCCATGCGATCTCACGTAAGTTACCCTAATTCACCTAATGCCTAGTCAACAAGCTAACGGCATAATAGGAAGCATGAGAAAATCCACACCCGTCCATGGAAGTGCTTTGATACCAAGTGCAAGTACCATGAACTCGGATGGCCAACGGAGAAGGAGAGAGACCGTCATATGAATGACAAACACTCCAAGTCCCCGAAGAAGTTCAAATGTCTCTATCCGGGATGTCCATATGATACCAAGCGCCAGAGTAACTGTAAACAGCACATGGAGAAGCTCCATGGCTACACGTATGTTCGATCCAAGAACAATGGCAAGACTGCCAACCAGACCTCTCCCCAATCCACCCCAATGACCACCAACATTAGTACCCCACAGGCACCTGCGGCGAATGTTTCTACTCCTCTCAGTGCCCGGGCGACTATGTCCCCATACTTGTCCCCGTATGAACAGCTATCTCCTTCTTATGAGCAGCCAATGTCGAGTGGAACTCCCAGCATTCATGCCCAGAGCCCCATTGGCGGTGCCCAAAGCCCTGGCGTGTATCCTGCACCAAGCCCAAGTGTCTACACACCAAGTGAAATTGGACAGCTACACACTACTCCCGATGATTTCCTGCTCTTCCCTGACGCTGGATCACTGAACGAATATAACCCATGCCACGACGATTTCAGTGCTTTCTATGCCGACCTCCATGCCGGAAACCCATGCGACACTCTCCCCCAGCTTGACATGAGTGTCCCCTCGGCCTCATCTACCCCAGCAGGCAACTACTCCGCGGGATTCCATGCCCAATCCCCACCTGAGCTTGTGGGAGGAAATATCGATCTAGATTTCCAATTCGACATGGCCGAGAATGAATACACATCCATGAATGTCCAGCTTCTGAGCCCGGCGCAATCCATCGAAGCACAGGCCATGAAATCCCACTCTGGACCTGAAACTCTCTGTCTTCCTGTCCCAGCCATGGAGAAGAATCCTAACATCTCCCCGGCCGGACACGGAAACGTAATGCTGTACTCTCCTGCCTCGTATGATAATGACGAAGGCTTTGATGATGGCTTCGAGTGTATGGACATGGAAATGTGTAAACAAGCCGGCGACTTCACACTCTTTGGCAGCCCTGAGGACAACAACATGACCGCCTCGGGCATGGTTGGAAACAGCTCTGAGTCTTGGAATATCTCGAGCATGTTCCCACCCCTTGGCACTTTGAATGATCAACTAAACAATGCCGATTGGCCACAACAGTTGAACTCAAAGGATATGGACATTGACTCGATCATGGAAATGGATGACAACTTCTAAGCAAGACATCATATACGCGTTACGTATATATCCAAGAATATGCTCGCCTTATAAGACATCCTGTCCGTCTTGCTCTGATCTAGAGTCATTTTGCACCAGCTATTCCCGCTAGTTATCAATTTTTATTTATCTGGATGTGGTCTATGAAGCCTTCCCCACTCACACTTTGTTCTTGCTCTTGCCCTTGTCATTCTCATTTCCTCCGCCCATTTAGCCAGCACTCTTCTCTCCCCAACATGCTATTCTATTTTCCAATTATTTAATTTCCTCAATGAATGACCTCTTTTATCTGTCCTCGTGTTTGTAACTCGTCCCTTGCGTTACTTGCTCCTTTTTGCACACTCCCCTATCTTCCCCTATTTCATCTATCTATCTGTTACGAATTCTTTCTGTTACTTCATCGTTAGAAGACACGGCTTGAAGGATTGGTGGTTGGTGGTTGGTTGTTGGGTTGAGTGGCTGACAACCACTAATGATACTGTTGGTTGCTGTTTTTAGGGCTTTTGTACTATCCGTTTACATGCATGTACCGTACCCCAAGGTTCGAATGAAAAGCACAAGAGAGTGCACATAGATATATATGAATGAGGAAAGATCTTTTGCGCTCTACCAAATATACCCTACCTTTCCGTACAGTGAGGAATAATCGAAATAATACATTGACGTAGGCATAAGCATAAACATACCTATATAAGCGTAGGCTAAACGTGAAAAGACCTCCCATTTACATACATATATACGTACACGCATCCAGTTTCGCGCAATTCCTTGCCTCATTTCATTCTCTTCTGTCAAACCATCTTCAATCATGGCCTTCTCCAATCTCGCCCCCTTCATTCCGTCTATCTAGTCAACCAACAACATGTATCAGTTTCCGTACGTGGATAGGGGTTCCCTCTATCATTCCCGTCTCCCGGTCTCCCACGATATGACCCGTTTATTATAGAATTCGGAAATATAATAAGACAGTAGTGGAAAGATAGCAAGCAAGCAGCAAAGGAATTTAGCCACATAGACAACGAATCACTGCATAACAAGGAACATCGAACATCAAGACCAAATAAGATATAAGAAAGAGTGGTGTGCGTTATACGATAGACAGAGACAGACAGGTAAGCATTTGAAATAATCATAGCATAAGAACAAGATAGAAGCAGAGGTTAGATAAGATAATTTACAAAACTTCGCCCACGATCTTCGCGGCCTCTTTATAGGTGTCGAGTAGCTTCTCGCACTTCTCGCGTTCAGCCTTGATGCCATCGTCTTCATAAAGGAGTTCAGGGAAGAGGTCTTCCCGGTAAAGTTCGCTGACTAGGCGATTTTGAACCACTTCTTTGCTGTGGTTGACGAGAAGGTGCATGATGGCCTTCGGTACCTGGTCGGCTATTGTTTCGCGGACAATGTTGAAGTAGGATGAGATTAGGCGGCGGATGAGTTCTGTCTCTAGAGCCTCGCGGTCTGTGAGGACTGGTTCGGCATTGTCGTTCTATGCGATGTTAGTATTTCTCACCTTGAGGGTGAATGGGGGGTATGTGGAACTTACAGCTAAAGTCATATCGCCATATTCAGATGGAGCGTATTCCTCGTGCTGCGTAGGATAGTGTGCTGTGGATGGAGATCGGACTTCGTTTCGACGGAAGCTCTGGCTGAAACTTGGCTCCATCGAGTGGCTGACATGACGTGAAAGGCTAGATGATGTTGGTGGAGGAGCACTACCCGGTAGGCCGTCCTTGCCGAAGAAATAGTTCAAGAAAGAGTCCTTGGCATTTCCGTGCTGGCTTCCTAACCGTGGTGGGGAGGATGACTGGAAGCCGTTTACGGCAGAGGATATGGATTCAGGGTTGCGGCCGGGATGTGGGGAGTGGGTTCTGGCCACCTTCGAGTGACCTCTCACTGGAAGGCCCTGTTGCTTCTCATCTGCATGCTCCTCTTCTTCGTCGGGCGTAGCCACTCCGTTTGCAGCTCCTAGCTCCTTCAATCGCCGCCTATCTCTTTTCCGCTTCTCATCAGCAAGAGCAGCTTTCTTTTCTTTCTCCTGCTTGCTTTGAATGACAGACGACATGGCAGCAGCTGCGCCAAGGAAGTTGGGGTGATTGGTATTGATATATGCGCGCTGAATAGAAATGAGAGACTCCACATAATTTGAGCAAGGCCCTAGACGCTCTCTAAGAAGGTCGGAAACAACTTCGATCAGCTTTGCCTGCAGCCTTGGGAATCGAGAAAGTTCAGTCGAGCCGCAGGTATGGCATATCTTGATAAGTTCTTCATAAACAAGCTCAACGCAGCGCTGACTGGGTATCTCAAGGAGTTTTATCTGCGGTTTCACAAGCAAGTCGAACGCAAGCTCTGGAACGAAAAGACTGGGTCGAGGGCCGGTAGAGTTGCGGATGGCGGTTCTAATATCGAGAACGGAAAGGTTGTGGGTAGGATCGATGGTTTCTAGGGAGTTTCCAAACACTGAATTAAAAATATAATAAATCCTTGCACCTCCGCATAGCTCCTTCGTCGATATCTCAGAAGACGTTCCGTCAATAGACGATATGAAGGAAGAAGCGAAGCGCGTCATGAGCTGTAGTATCAAGGATCCGCGGTGCTCTCGTCCACTAAATTGCTTGTTTCCGTAGCTGGCTAGCTCCTGTTGGGTTTGGCCCATCAAAGTATTAAGGCGAGCCTTAATATCTGGTAGTCGGTCACGGATATGTGACATTAGAGTTGTGTTCAAGCTCTTTGCGAGGAATTGGGTTCCGCATCGATTGGCCATATTTCGGTAAGCTGGATGGTGTCTGAAGAACTCGGCTTCCGACTTCAGAGCTTCTCCCAGGGACTTTCCAGCCTGAATATCCTGCTGAGAACGATTGACTACACCAATGAAACCTAGTTTTAATGGGTAGACTCGTCCAGTGAGGATATCCATTGCGTTGGTTCCGTGGTCCATAAGATCCAGTTTGGTGAGCACACCAATCGTTCGCTTCCCCACCGGATCGACATGACGAGCAAGCTTCAGGGCCTCGGAGTTCACAATGTCGACGTTCGCGGGAGAGACGGCAAGAATGATACTGTTTGGCTTGGCGATATATTCAGAAATCAACGTGCGTGTTTGCTTCTCGATGTCAGACGGCTGGTCGCCGATAGGCACCTTGGTCAAGCCAGGAAGATCCACCAGCGTCAAATTAAGCACATGCGGCGAAAAGATCTTCAGGTTTATCGGCTGTCGGTTGATTCCCTTATTATTCCCGGCTATCCTAGCGGTTTCATTCTCGATTTCCTGCTTTATGTGCGCGAAGTCGGTATATTTACGGCCGGGCTGGTGGTGGAATTCTCCCCATTCCCCGTGTGCTTCCACGCTAGCAGCCGTGTGAGGGGCGTTCCTCTCATCATCATCATCTTCATCGTCACTATCGCTAGGTACGTTGATAAGCTGGAGAATCAAAGGCCGCCGAGTAACAATGCCGCTCCCTCGAGGTAGAAAGTCTCTCCCAACGATGTTTTCAAGCACCGAGGACTTCCCGGACGATTGCGAACCGACAACTACCTATACAGTAGAGTAAAAAGTACCATGTCAGTCACTGTTCATGTCTCCAAGTACAACGCCGAGAAGCGTGACCGCGGTCCCAGCTAGGCCAAAAGCTGCTGGTTGCGGCCGTTATTGTTTTTGTGGCAGACATACAATCTGTGGCAAATCCAAGGAATCATTCCCAATGGTATTAAACACCAAATCCTGCAGCTTGTTCACGGTAACAAGCAAGTCGTCGCCCAGGGACGTCATCTTGCCGGACTCTAGCGATCAGCCAGACTATCGCGTGGACGAGCTACGTGACGTTGCCGGGGGGGCTGCTCTAGGAGGAGTTAGGAGGGCAAAACAAAGCTGGCGAGCGCCGACGTCTTCTCCGGCATTCACCCGGAGACCGAGAGAAGCGAACGAGCACAAGCAAGCTGGACGTGGAGGTGGAAGCGAAGGGCGATGCGGTCGGTGGTGCAGGGAGGGAGATGTTGATGCTCGCAGCCCTTCCCGTGATGGCGGCTTCTTTCTGGTCCTTTTGCTTGTTTTCCAGCACTTTTTACGTTCCTTTTTTGCCTGCGGAGTTTCTTTCTTCCGAGCCGAGGCACGTGAGACCTCGATATACAAGGATATCTATATAAAGAGAATAGATAAGGGGATGGAATAAAATAAGGAAGAGAAGAGGATGGAATAGAGTAAGGAAGAAGGGATGAACGGTCTAACGGCTTTTGCATTTACAAGACTATCCAGGAGCAACGAGCGGAAACAGGCAAAAGACAGTGTATATCATTTTCCAAGCAGACAAGCGCTGCACAAAACAGTAGAAGTATGTACGCCGAAGAGCTCTCTAGTTGTCGAGCTGCACGTAGTTCGCAGGGAACAAGCCTACTTTACCCTTGTACTCGCCCGTCCACCAGTCCTCATCGGGGAATTCCTAGGTTAAGTGTAAGTTTAAGTTATGACAGTAGAGATGAGGTAGACTTACGACATTGGTAATTTTGGCGTCTTCTGGGAAGCTAAGCTCGTTGTCTTCGGCGGCTTCGTAGTCGTATAGAGCAGTGGCAGTATGTTGCTCGGCTGCCACTGGTGGTGCGGCAGGGGGAGGAGGGGCGACTGCTGCAGCTGGTTCTTCGTGGACAGGGCGAGCCGGAGCCGGGGGAGCAGCCTCTTCTGCGGCAGCCTCGCCTTCGACGAGCTCAACGTAGTTCCTTGGGAAGAGACCTGCTTCACCGCTTGAGTTGACGCCGAGCCACCAATCTTCATCAACCATATCAATGTTAGTGATACGCTCTCCTTCTCGCAACTCGATCTCGTTATCTTCGGCCTTCTCGTAGTCGTACTGCGCAATCGCCTGGATTCCGCTACCGGCTGCGGGCGCTGCTGCGTAGGTTGGCTCTGGTTCTTTCGGCGTCTCCTCGTGCACGGCCTGGTGTTGGGTGGTGACTGGAAGCGGCGGCTGCTCCTGCTCAGCTGCGTGTTCCTCCTGTGCAGATCCACGGCCAACAGGCATTGCTACCCGGATAGGCGAGCTGGGAGCCTCCTCTTGCTCCACCTCCTGCTCCTCTAGCTCAGCAGGGACCGGAGGTGGAGGTGGAACAGAGCGTTGAGTTTCTTCATGTGCTGGCTGGGAAAGACCTGGAATTGGAACACCGCGGCTTGCAGTTGGTTTGTTGCTGGTATCAAGTGGTGGTGGAGAGGGAGCAGATCTCTCGTAATTGGAGGCACCCATAGGAGCAGTGTGGGCAAATCGGTCTCGGATTGAGCCAACATTACCAGTATGGGGCTCCTCTTGTTGCTCTTCCTTTTCTTCTGTAGCAGGAGCCTCTGCGTGGCCGGCAGAAGCACCTGTAGCCGTCGTGGCAACTGGAGCCCACGACTTTCCGGTGTACGAGCTCTTCCATCCTGACTCTTGGCTCCCTGGGGCCTCCCTCGACTGTGACTCGGGGGCTGGAGCTGGGCTCGGAACACCTCCTTGCTTAGCCTTCTTTTCAGCCCATAGTTGAGCTGGTGTTTTGCCCCCTTGGTCGGCAAAAGTTCGACTGGCTATTCCAACGGGAGCTGCAGCAACTGGAGCCTTGGGCTCAAACCCGCCAGGCAGAGGAGCTTTTGTTCCAGTGAATGAAGCCGCAGCGCCGAACTTACCAGCAACTTTGGGCTTGGGAAGGGTGGTCAACCGTTCCGAGGCAGTGAAGGCTGCAGAACGTTCAGCCAGTGGCCTTGGCCGTTCATCGTTACCTCCAGAACCACCAGTAACTGCTGGTGAAATAGAGCTTGGAGGGGTGTTGCTGGCATCACCACCTTTAGCCTTGGCGCGGATAGCAGCGATATCTACCTTCCCAACCGGCTCATAGGCTCCCTTGACAATCTCTGGACGGTCGCTAGTGGTCTGTCCGGATTCTCGCGCCTGTCTTCTGATGGCCGCGATGTCAACCTTGCCAATTGGCTGGTATGTACCCTTGACAACATCGCCAGCAGGTGCATCTCGTTCGGTGGCAGGTCCAGAAGTCGTTGATGATTTTTGCGAAGTTAGCTCCTTCATATCGACCTTGGTGGGCCTATATGCTGGCGCTACCTTTTCAAGCTGTGTTCTCGTGACTGGCGGGGCATCAGCACCCCAGCCATCGTTGTCAACCGGCTCGTTCTTCGTGTAGCCAGTTTGACTACCTCGCGCAGGTGGTTTAAATGATCCCGCCGTACGGGTGGGGTTGAAGGCTGGCTTTGCGGCCACAGGAGGTTTTGTTGAGCTGGGAGGTGGAACGGAGGCGTCTCCAGAGTATTTAGCACCTGAGGCATCGGATACCTTTTGAATGATACCTTCGGGTGTGAGGTCACGGTCGGATCGCGCAGTGACTTGAACATGGTAGCCCTGATTAGAATGTTAGAAGAGAAGGGGTAAACAGTAAACTGTGTCAAAATAAGGAGAACCTGCGCACCTGCAAAAACTTGGATACGGCGGCCAAGTGGCTGGTGAAATAGCCCTTGGTTCGCTCAGGGACTCCCTCTCCACACCACGCTATGAGGACATGTTTCGGCAGGCTGGTATTGGGATCCTTTACTTTGACGAATCCGAACTGTATCTTCCCATCAGAGAAGTCTTCGATTAGGTCGACTAGTTCTCCCTCTGTATGACCTGTTAGATAACCACCGTCAAGCTGTCGCAAACACGAACAGGGCAGAACATACCTCCTGTGCTTTGGACCTTCAGAACGCTCTCTTTCTGAGCACCGCCCTGTTGAAATGCATTTACCAGCGGTGCCGTGACCGAGAACAGAGCCCATGCACCATATGTTGGGGACGCCGCGGCAGGTCCGGATGGAGCTGGAGCATTTACCACCGACTGGTAGCTTTTCGTTATCGACGGGCCGTTCGTCGAGAGATTGAGCGAAGCCATGATCTAGCAGCGAGTGTGGACAATTGTATAACAGGACGGGTTGGAGCCTGGTTTGTAGCGAGCGGGCTCTGTGATGTGGTGCTCAGCTGAGATCACACCGTGAATCCCAAAGGCGAGGCAGTGAAGAAGAATATCACCAAGACAAAAAGAATAATAGCAGCCTGGAGGGCCTGGTCAATGGTAAGAATGAGAGATGATGCTGTTCTGCAGTGAGTGTTGACATCTGGAGATAGTTCGATGGTGGCATACTGAGGCCGATAAGAACCAGATACGCAACCCGGCCAAAAACGACGTGGGAAGGTGTGGCGCAGTCCAACGCCTCAGAGCCTTCGAGAACAACTTCTATACATATCATCTATACAGCTACAACCAGCTGGTAGTTATGGTCATATCTAATAGCCTGATCTACTTCGTATATCTCCACTAGACTCTTAATAGTCCTGATATAACCTCAGCTTCTCGATTACTTTATATCGGCTTACTGGTGCTTCCACAGTTTATCAACGACCATTCTATCTCTTGAATGTTTCGTAAAGTGGTACTAACGATCAGCCCGCCTTGCCTCTAACCGCTACTCATCTTTCTACTCTTATCTCTTTATACTGCTCTTAAATCTGTCAAATCCTGGAGTCAACATATATACCTAGGTATGCCTACTATGATACTTCGGAGGGCCGGGGTATAGATAGTCCGATGTAGGGTTGTTATCTTCACGTGATTATCGGAAAAACTAAGTCCCGTGATATCAAGGTTCGAAATCTTGGCGTTCAATTTTCAAATTTCGCAGAAGCTTCAAGTTTTGATGCAAAGCTCAAACAACGCTCAATCCGTCGAATACAGACGATATACCCATTGTTCTTAATATTTGATACCCTGATTAACGTTTGCAGACACAATGTTGCGAGAAGTGTAAGTATACTCACTCTCTACCTTCGCCGGTTTCTATAGAGATAGATGCAAGGATCTAATATCAGTAATTGATAGAGTACCCCGAAATGCACGAACGCGGCGCCTTCTCAAAGCCAAAGAACCGCAATTGATTGAAAAGCCAAAGCAGACACTGCTGCTACATGGCCCAAAATGCCCTCTGCCCCTCCACACAGTGCTCAAGACCATCCACTCGCTCACAAAGCCTCACTCGGTGCTCTTCCACAAGAAGAACGAAAACATCCACCCCTTTGAGAACACAGAGAGTCTCGAGTTCCTGGCCACAAAGAACGAATGCGGTATCGCTATTTACGGAAGCAGCAACAAGAAGAGACCGAATTGCATAACAGTGATGCGCATATTCGATTCCAAGGTGCTCGATATGTGCGAACTGCTACTGCTAGGAACCCAGGCCGAGATGGAGGCCGACGCAGCTGCGCTTCGAAAAAACCCCAAGGCCGCTTTACAGCTGAACGTGGGCGTGGGTATGAAGCCGATGATGCTGTTTTCTGGAACCGTCTGGGCTGATGAGACGTCCGGCGTGTTCACCATGCTCAAGAGCATGTTTCTGGATATTTTCAAAGGCGAGGAGACGGATAAGATTGACGTAGAGGGACTACAGTATATCCTCATGGTTGCAGCCGAGGAACCAAACGCAAGCGGAATCGCGGCTGCAAACGGGAGTGCGGCCGCTGATAGCTCACTGCCAGCTATTCATTTACGGTGGTACAAGATCCGGACACGGAGAAGTGGACACAAGCTTCCCCGCGTAGAGCTGGAAGAAGTTGGACCCAAGTTTGATTTCCGGATCGGAAGAGTCCGAGAAGCTGACGAGGATGCTATGAAGACGGCGCTGAAACAAGGGAAACGGCCTCAGGATATGGAGAAGACGAAGAAGAATGTTAGCATGGATACTATCGGTGATAAGATTGGACGAGTTCATCTTGGCCGTCAAGACCTGAGCGATTTGCAGACCAGGAAGATGAAGGGTCTCAAACGACGGGCTGGCATTGATGATGAGGACGAGGAAGGCGGCGTGGATGCTATGGAGGTGGATGAGGTCTCAGAGGACGAGGATAACCACAAGCGGTCGAAGCGAGATCAGCTTGGTCGTTGACAGAGAAAAAGTTATGCGGATTTTTTTTTTGTAATCTTATTCATTAGCATGGCGTTATGTTAGGTTGGGCTGCGACAGTTGAACAAATTACGATATAGTTCAGTTGGTCCTATCTTGCTTATTTATTCCGTACTGTATATGCCGTACTGTATATGCACGTCTTTGAAACGCGATTAGGCTCAAATTAAACTATTAAGGATTATGTATATACTGGGCCACAAAGGTATCCGTGCAGAGAAGGCCAACTGACCCACTAAACAAGAAACAAAAAAAAATACCACTAAAGCCGCCCAAAAATAGAAGATATGGAACAAGATGAAATAAGACCCAATGGGGCGTTAAGCGGGTGGTATCGAAAGTAGATCGATCAACACCTATCCACGCCAGTGACATTCCATAACAAAAAATTAAAAAGGTTTTAATCCGAGAAATAGCAAAGATAGCTCCTCATGTATACATTGCGAATATGCCTAGGACCCTTTCCCTCAGGCTGGCTCATAATTTATAGAAGAACAGCGAAGCCAGCAAGGAACCCACCCAGAACGACGGCCATTCCATACATCTGACCAACGTGCAACAATACCTGCTGACCGGCCATGCCCTTCTTTGGAGTGTCGGTGGAGGAGGCAGAGCCGTCACCGAAACCGGTATAGACGGCACCACTCGAGGCAGTGGAGCTAGCTGACTGGGTGGCTGTCATGGTAGGCTTCGTTGTAGAGTTTGGTGGAGTAGGATTCTGGGCACCACACGGGTGGTCTTCGCGGCAGGCAGACTGACAGGCGTGGACACCGTTGCAGTCCTTGACGCACTTGTTGTTGGACTCGGTGCAGAGGAAGTATGGGATCGTCTGGGAGTATTCAGTTGCGTTGGGGGTCATACCGTTGCTGCATGTGCAGTCGAAGGCGAGGGTATCCTATTCACGCCGGGTTAGTCGTCAAGCTATTCTTTGATACTGAAAGTTGGAATGGTAACATACTGGGTCACAGTCGTTGGCCGAGGGAGTCTCGGTAGTTCCTCGCAGCTGGAGACAGATCAAGGGGCAAGAGGTCTGCTGAGCCAAACACCACTGGGCTATAGACACGTTAGCTATGGTATCAAAAAGCAGGTTCTGGAAAACTAACCTCTGGTGGCCTCGTCGACATCTTGAGGGTTGATAACCTGTGCAGAGGCTAGACTGGCAACGGTCACGAAAGCGAAAAGAGCTGATGAGAACAACATGATGTCTAGATCTGGTAGAGAGATGTTAGCAGCTGGTCCCAGTATACACCAAATGCTCCGTCGAGATATATGATATGAGATCCCAACATCGAGGAACTGGGATGAAGCTGTACGGGAGTACATGCGTAACAGCCCTCGTGGACGTACCTGGGGGCTCCGGGGGTAGGACAGATTGCAGCAGCTATCAGATAAGTAGCGACACGTGCACGAAAAGAAACTATTCACAGAGCGAGAGACTGGAGAAAAAGAAGAATGGTAGCGGCCGGAGAAACGAACGATGGGGCTTATAACGACTGTGGGAAGCTGGGGGAGGGACTGGGAGGAGAAAGGGTGAAAAATGAAGCGATGCCCCCCTGCCCCGAAAAGGTAATTGAGACAACAATATAAAGCTGCCCAGGGTCGTGATTGGTCAGCCGCGTGACCCGCGGATCGGCCGGACTATGCTCCTTTAGGAATAGCGCGTCCACTACACGGGAAGCTATAAGCCAAGACGCTAGCCGGATACGGACATGTCATTATGTCAGCTCAACGTCGTGGTTCTATTTATAAAACAAGCTTATATTAACGTGGTATATAAGCTATATAGGGCGATAAAAAACACATCTATAGACGCTATGGACATGCTATAATGGCGTATACAGTGCTGGGACAAGTGCTGGGTTGGGGTTGAGGTGTTTGCAAAGGCCGTGATCGTCAAGGTTCGGGACCCTACTAGCGGCCAGCCGATGTGGCACCGGGCCTTGGCTGCGTTGCCTTGACATTCTGCAGAGAAACATCAGCCAGACTGAACATATCATACACTCCTGCCCATCTCCAGTCCTTTTTATCATCTTTCATAGTCGTCATCGAGTTGCCACATTGATTCCAGGTGTGTTCAGTTGTCGCCAGAGCTTCAGGCTCCCTCCCCCCCCCCCCCCCCCCCCCCCCCCCCCTCCCCCTCCTGGTCTGTGGTTCGCCATTTCCCAACAATAGCCTTCCGCTCTTGTCTCACCCCATGCAATCTCTCCATGTGTGAACTTGAGACACGCATTGATCATGTCACACGGTGCCTCCTTCCACGTCAGAGGAACCGACCTCGCTAAAGTATTGTCTCATCTATAGTTATACATCTGAAAGCCGGCCTTTCCCGCATACCTGCAGCTACCGCAAATCCCTCGTCTATCCCTCGGCGTTATATATTCTTTGACGCGGACCCTGATATCCCTCTGATGGATGGAGCCGGCGAGTGAAGGGGCCCGATCGCCTCGCGCGCAGTACGCGACACCTCACCAGCCACGCATGCCACACCATGTGGGTGCTATAGGCGCTGATAATGCGTCTATATCCTCGGCACCCCGCGCTGGAACGCGGCCGTCGAGGCCCACGACCACAACCACGACCACGACCACTACCCCGCCTTACTGGAGACATTCACGCAATGTCTCGCATGCATCACATACCTCCCTTGACCGGTCGAGTGGCCTGATAACGCTAGAGGATCATAGCGAGGATCCCTCGTGCGATACGAGCAAGGGACTATGGGCGAAGAATGTTACGATTGATGACCACGCCGTTGTCAAGGGACAGTCGGGGATCGGGGCCTATGTCGTGTGGATATGCAATATTCAGACTCTCGAGGTGTGCATTGCTTCAGCTCCTTGCTAAGGATACAGCCAGATGCTGATTGTGGAATAACTAGGGAACATCTATGATCGTTCGGATGAGGTTTGTTACCACCAGTATCATACGTTTAACCAGCGTTAACCGATCACCTTCCAACTCAGGTACTCCCAATTCGTAGACCTTCGATCCAAGCTCGCCGAGGCCTTCCCTCACGCTAAAAAGTCCTTGCCGGCTTTGCCACCTAAGAGTGCGCTATGTACGTCCTGTCGACCAGATATCCAAGCCTTATCCCAAATTAACTCACCGTTTAGTTAAATTTAACAAAAAATTCCTGGAAACTAGACGGCTTGGTCTTGCTTATTTCTTAAAGTGAGTTCAAATGAGTATTCGGTTCTCCAATACTGCTTCTAATACGTTATAGCTGCGTTCTTCTCAACCCAGAATTCTCTGGCTCTCCCATCCTTAAAGATACCCTGTTCACCCACTCCGCATAATATAACGTCACCCCTGCACCTAAGTAGCTAGAATGTCTTTCGGGAATCGTGGTTGATGATACCTTACAGGGTTGGGTGGAAGCTGTTAAGTACCCGTCTAAACCTAAATGTTACCCTGGATAAGCTTTGCATAAAGTGATAGTACTTATCTATATCTATATGGTTAAAGTCTGCTATCTTTTAACTAATACGTCGGCATGTGTTAGTCACTATCGATACTTAAAGTGTATACCGACCCAGAGGATCTCTAACCCCGTAAAACTATAACCAGTTGGGTAGCCTCTATTAAGTGTAAGAACACTTAGGGGCCGCCGGGAGATATAGGTTCGTGGCTATGTTCATAGCCTGGCTATGAGGTGACCTTCGTTCGCCAATACCATCTAGCCACTTTTGAGATTGCCATAGAGCCTAGTCAAGCATACTAATATACCCCATACTGTCTATGCGTTGGCCGTTTTTTAAACGGGATTTCTTTATTTCATTCGTATATCATGAGCTAACAGGCCTCCTATACCTATAAATTATTGATACCCTACGGGTTGAGGAAGTCGTCCTTGGAGACAAATTGCCCTTAACACCAGTTTATTTAATCTTGGTGTGATTCTTCCGTCCATGCAATATTGTCATATTGCATGAGCCTACGTGACCAACGGGATGTGGTCAATGGTCATCACTAACAAGTGTCCCCACCAATAACCTTCTCTGGTAGTTTTCTTGCATTCCCTCGGCATCGGTCTAGCACATCAGGGTGGTTGAATACCATTATTACGTTTAAATAATGAAGTACATAGGAAGTGGGACCTGCTATCGTTTCTTGACTAGCAACGTACATATCGCCCCGAAAATAAGACGACAGTATCTTGAGTTAACCATGCCCTACCCATATGAATACCATACTTTGCAAACCCATGGGCGTTTCAACATGGCCTTATATCATCCTACTTATTGTGGCAGCAAGGAAGAACCGCTCACATTTTCCACACGTGCTGACTTGCGTTTGGCCTTTTTGATTGTGCGCGTAATAGCTCTGAATGCCGCTTCCAGTTTCTGGTGCGTCTCCAGCGCTATAGGTAGGCCAACTTCATGGCAGCTGCGAATGTAGATTCTTAACCACATATAGTGGCGCATTTCAGGGGTATCGGGCATCTATACCCCAAAAGAGTTAACAATTGCAAGTTTACAAAATGCCCAGAACACGAAAGTAACATAGAGGAGCCAGCACAAACTCACCGCCTCGCATTTATGGCAATCCTTCAAACAACGGAGGCATTCTTCGCCTGGTCTGGTTTTACACACCTCGAAAATGCTGGAGAAGTACCCGAGGCAGTATCTGCATGGGATATTGCTATCAGTTTTATTAGCCTAATTCAAAACGAGCAAAACGCGTCAAATATCGGCGCCCAGAGGCATTGAAACGCATCCGAAAGAACTCGGGAGTATTATCCAGCGTCTTAAGGTATTAAGGTGTTAATCGGGCTCAGCCTGATAAATTCAAGAAACAGGGCCCCCCATATCATCAACTCACCAAAGAGAAGGAGCAATGTCCTCCATTTCTTTCACGTACTTCTCATCCATGGCACGCGAAAGACAGCCAAACTAGCTTATGATAAGCTTAGCTAGTGGTGAGGGATGAGACTATACAAGCTCAACTGTTGGAGGCTTGTGACGAGGCTTGGTGGTGTAAGGAGGATGGTGGTTGGACCTGAAGTTCTCCTGAGATCAGGAGCATCATTAAGCAAATAGTCTTAGCGCACTTCGCCAATATCATGCTCCCGCAGTGATATTGACTGGCTTACTATAGTTGTTATTCTCGCTCCTCAAGAGTCGAGAGATGGGATAAGAACAAGTAACATTTTACAGGTTATTTCAGTCACTGATATAATATCACTGAATAACAGAGTATAGGAGCCTGACAGCCAAAAACATCTATACCTCAGCACGTAACTATCAGTGACAGTGAATATATCTTCCATCGATGCTGTAAACTTGACATTTTTATATGGACGTGCAGTTATATTGTCTAGTCAGCAGACATTTACGTATTATTACAGATAAATACGACAATACACACTATAGCTTCAATACACACCTAGCAACTCTGCGTAATCCCGTAACGCGGCCAACTCTATCTCGACTTCCTCGCCTTCGAGATAGGCAAAAAAGAGGCGACGGCGAGGTCGCGAGCAGTCGACAATTGGCCGTACTCTCATACCAGAGCGTCGTGCCGTCTACCTGAATGCAAGGAGCAGATTCAGGGGAGCAACCAGAGCATCGTCACTGTCCGGATTCCCCTCGCAGGCAAGCCCAGCAGCTTGTCCTCCTATCTCTGTTCCGCCATGGTGGTTGCTGTCTAAGAGAAAATTTCCCTACACCAGCCCGGATGATGACTCGCACTGTGACAACTCCGCCGTCGTGCAGTACTCGGACCAAAACACAGCGGCAACAGCAGCACCAGCAGCAGGACCTGGCATCTCCCATATTCACCGAACCGCCACCGTCCACGCCTAGTTCCGCGATACCTCCTCCGCATCAACACACCCATGCAAATACACATACCCATACACACCCGTTCATCTACACCCACGACCAACCACCCTCGAAACGAGCGAAGCTACACCACTCCCCGCCCCAAGTATCAGGGCAACTTCCCCTACGCGCTAGAGATGCCCACAGCCTATCGAACGTCGTTCCACGACCAGATTCGCTCCCCAAACGTCAGATACAGACACAATTGGTGAATATCAGGGGCCCCAGAGACGGCGATGACGGATCTGGGGAAGGTAAAGGTGGTCGTCTATCGTTTGCTAGACCCGGCGCTATGCCTGATACCAACAACAAGGCCACTGAGTCCGCCTTAGCTCGTCCTACAAGGAGCTCATTGCGCCATCCTCAATCTATACAGACAGATGAAGGAGATATGGCCCTTGTCAAGGAAGTTAAGGAGGGCGGTGAAGATGCAAACATGCATGGTAATATTGTTACTAAGAATGAGGTTCATTTAAAACCAACCCCAGGACCCAGTACCAGTGCCCCAGCTGGGAGTGAGAAGAGGTCCTTGCGGTCTCATGATGGAGGTACTAGACCATCAAAGAGTGAATTGGCTATGTACTTTCCCAACTATGAACAGATTCTTAGTTTAGAGCCAGTGAAACAAGGTATTTGGAGCTTCAACTCGATCCATAGGCCTCACAGTGACTGATATGCTCTCAATTAGAATTTCTTTGTGCGGAGACCACAGTTACCCTTGTGGATGATTTAAGGGAGCCCATAGTGCTCAATCGTGATGATGTGCCATCATCATCAAAAGCACCATGCAACCCTCTTGAGAATCTGCATAAAGCAGAGGTCGTTGATCTAGGACTGTTTGCGGAAACCAGTGACAAGGACCCATTAGACGAAGACGCCTTCTTCAAAGCCCATAGAAGGCTAGAAAGACAGGAAAAACAACTACGCAATCTTGAAAAAGAGCGAGCCCAGTACGAGAAGGTCCAACTGGACCATCTGCTGGGTGAGCTACAAGGTCATGACTGGCTACGGGTGATGGGCATTAATGGGGTTACTGACACGGAGAAGAAGCTCTACGAGCCTAAGCGCGACTATTTCGTAGGAGAAGTCACAGCCTTGCTTGAAAAGTTCCGAGCATGGAAGGAAGAGGAGAAACGCAGGAGAGTAGAACGAGAACAAGCACTACAAGCAGAAGAAGATGAAGAAGAAGAATCTGACTCCCAAGAAGAAGATGAAGCTGAAGATGAAGAAGGCGAGGGTGAAAGCGATGTCGTTGATGAAAGCTCCGAACATACATCGCCTACAGCTGTCGGCAGTGTTCCAGACCCGGATGACGTTGACGGACTAGCTGCACACCAGCTCTACCAGGAAGCGATATCTGCATCCAAAAGCAAGAAGCTCAAGACCCGCAACGACAAACCAACCTCCCAACCACGACAACAGCCTAAACCGCAATCCCAGCCCAAGACCCATACCCAGCAACAAGCCCCGTCAAGCAACCCCCCTGAGACGACCGTTGCAGCACCGTACATCGAACCCGACCTGTGGGTTGTAGGACCGTTTATATCATTCTACTCCAAACCCCATCTCCGCGAAGCAGCAATTAAAAAGCACAAACGCGGTCGGACGCGGACGGCATTCGGGAAGCCACTCCCAGAATTCGACGATGCGCCATTCCGGTTGCCTGAGGATATTCTTACTCCGGAGGCTATTAGGGCGAGTCAACGGAGGAATAGACGAATGAGGCGGGAAGATGGGAGGCCGGGAAAGCGTTAAGTCTTCTTGCTCGTCTATTGTATGTTATGTATCTATTAGCAGGGCGCGTGGTTATCATTGTAAATTTAATATACCTTACTTTATCTCTTCCAAGGAGCATGCGGAGTCCAATACCAATGGGGTGGAGGACAGTTTAGATTTAGATGGAGGTGACTATATAATTTATATACGGAGGTCGCGCCCATAAGTCTTGATTCTACAATAGGATACTCTATCCATAACCATTAGAATTCATTCTAAAACTAGTGTTACGTAATTTATTTTATAAAAAGTGGTATCTCAGCCCCTTGCGGCATCTCGCCCAAGGAATAGAAGTAGAACATGTTTTTTTCCCGAGAAACCAGGGTTCGCAAGCGCAGCTGAGATAATTCAAATCAATATTAATAGCAGCTATTCGCCTAGGACTGCGAAGAGTTTATTTTGCTTTCCTGCAGATTCTCTCCTTGCAACCCCCCTAGATTGCAAATACTTGCGGCATTTCCCATATGGACCCCGTGCTTGTCATCGGTGGCTGCGGTGGGCTCGGCCACCACATCGTGAAGCGACTGCTTGAGAAGCAGGACGCTTCAAACATCACGGTCTTCGACCTGAATATCGACCGAAACGTCTACCCGGGTGTCAAATACACTCGAGGCAGCCTGGCTTCTCGGGAGGATGTCCAGAAAGTGATCGAAAATGCTAAACCACAAGTCATCTTTCACACCGCATCCCCATTCATGATGGAGCAGAAAAATAGCCATGACATCTTTGAAAAGGTCAATATTGGCGGTACTCGTATCCTGCTGGATACCACCCGTGATACGGACCACGTCAAAGCTGTGGTGTATACGTCCAGCTCATCCGTCGTTCACAACGGATATACAGATATCGTGAACGCAACCGAGGACGCGCCCAAGGTCTACTTACCCGAGCAGAAGGAATTCTATACACATACAAAGGCCGTTGCAGAGGATATGGTTCTGGCCGCTAACAGAAAACACGGCTACAAGACCACGGTGCTGCGTGGCTGTACCCTCTTCGGCGAGGGCGATGTCACCACAATCCCAAAGATCGTCGATAATGCAAAAGCCGGACGTGGAAAGCTACAGGTTGGATACAACGAGAATCTCTACGACTACACCTACCTCGGCAACGCAGCCGACGCGCACATTCTCGCCGCGAAAGCCCTGCTCAGCCCCTCCACGCCAGAAGACGGACCCGTTGACGGCGAAGTGTTCAACATCACCAACGACGAACCGTGGCCGTTCTGGGCCTTTGCGCACGCGGTCTCAGGCGCTGCCGGATACCCCGTCACAAGCGTGTGGGTGGTGCCGCCGTTTGTCTTCTACGCGCTCGCCGTGGTGCTTGAATGGGTTGTGTGGCTCAGTAGCTTTGGGACGCGGTCGTCGCAGCTCAATCGGAAGATGGTGAGATTCTTCACTATGACCCGGACTTTTGACATCTCGAAAGCGAAGAAGCGGCTGGGGTACCGGCCGGAAGTCAGTATGAAAGACGCGATCAATCGGTCCGTTGCTGCGTACCTAGCGAGTTCTGAAAATGCTAAGAAGAAGAAGAAGAAGAAATGAATGATGGCTTGTTCATGTTCGAACCGTTCTCCGTAGCCCTCTCATTCTGTCTTTGCCCTTTTCCAAATCTTTTGCCTGCTTCGAATATTCTCCCCCTACTTTGAGTCCTCAGAGTGGATAGACAAGGAACCGAGGACCCTCCACCACTACCCAGTCAACTTTTGTCGTCCGGTGCGCAGCAATCCACTCTCCCAGCTTATTGCGAGATGTTAGATGACAAAAGTGACTTTTTGGCTAAATGGAGCCTACCTTATTTCTAGACAACACTCGCTCGTAGCTATTATTATTATTATTATTCTATATTATATTCCCATGTATAGGGAGCCAGGCTCCGGCAGTGCTAGTGGCACTGGTTGTAATAACGTTATTATTATATTAATTGACTTCTATCTAGTATTAGGGATAGTGATAATATATATAGATGTTATATAGGCGGTATATACCGCACAAGGGACGCCGCATATCCTTTAAGCTTAAAAGATATAGTAGTAACTAAATATATAATAATATACGTTTTAATAGCGTATTAAGTAATCTTAAACTACTATCTATAAATTGCCTTATATATATAAATTTTTAATAGGCATTATTATTATTAGGATCTTTTCGAAGATGGGTTTATTATCCAGTTTGCGCATAAGGATCAACGGGATGTTCCATAGGTACTCGAGGGATCATTCTGCTATAGGGGTTCGAGTTTTATATCATGAATCTCACTTGAAGCTGCAAGGAATGTATTTAGTACATATCATGGAAGCACAGGCTATATCTTGTTCGGTTCAACTTTGGTTTACTGGTGGATGCTGAAAACTGGGTTTCGGAAGTCTATACTCACTTCGATATCTACTTCCACGATCCATCGACCTTGACATACCTGTACCGACCGAGCAAACAAGCCACCAGGATTTGAGGAGATGGCAGAGGATAACTAACGGTTTTCACTAAGCGAGGCGGTGATGGTGCACCCAGGAGTGTCGTCTACCTGTACATTCTGACTTGTCCTTTCTTTCTCTTTTGCTATTACAGATGATATGCATCCTCGATCACTTTAGTAGATAAGACTTATATTTCTCCATCATATATTGAGCAAGCATTGATACTAAGTAAACAAGGACCACCGTCCCGAGTTTAAGCGTGTTAAGCTTAACTTAATATATTTGTGTAGTTAGCAAGTTATGATGGACCATGAGGGACAAAAGGCCCAGTGTCCAATGGGGACCATTGGCTACAGGAACGAGTCGTACCCAACACCGAGAATCTGACAAGTTATATCCTTTGCTTTTTGTGACCCACAATCTCGCGAGAGTGGCACGATGAAGCACGCAATCTGCGGAAGACTATCCTAGTCTGTCTTGAAAAATAGAGCAGGCAATTTTTTGATTCGCTATAGAGGCTGATCCAGGTACTTAGCCAAGCTATGTCGTTAGACCGATCTTCTAGAGTTTGGGGTACCTGGTCTGTTCAACGACATGCCGACATGACACTCTATAAAAGTGCTATAAAAGTGCTATACAAGTGCTATACAGATGCTATGCAATGTGTGACGGGTCCAGTCGGTTGACATGGATATATAAGGTGTAACGCATGCTTCGTAAACATTCAGTGGAACCAGACCCTCTCCTGCGAGCAGTAGGAGGCGGAGATAACTTGCTATCAAAATTCCGAATCAGAGGAAGCGCGTCGAGCCTCCTAATACGGCATCAGCAGAATGGGTGGGAGCTGCGGCGTAAATTTTCTGGTATGTAGCCTTGTAATGGGGATTAAGTTTTAATGAATGCTTTGAGATGTCGCACAAGCGGAGCAGAGAAATTTCGGGTGCTGTTTTTTTTTTTTTTTTTTTTTTTTTTTTTTTTTTTTCACTCATGGAGTACCCTTTTGAGTCGAACAGCTCATTCGCTTTTCAAATCAGCTGAGGCCAGTTTTCCTAGGTCGCATTAGTGGTTCGCTCCTATCATGCCAAGGAGAAATTGCTAGGGGTCGCTGGTTGTGAGCGCCTTTCGTTGGTAAGGGAGTTTCTTCCGGTGGCTTCCAAGAGAGAGAGGATAATCTTTCTGCCCTGCTGCCTGCGCTGTGAGTGTATATCGTTCCATGCCCTAGTCAAGACAGCGGTCGCATATGACATCTCAGAAGTGCTTGCGGTAATTGGTATATGTGCACCTCATATCTCGGAGGGTAGACTTAGCGGTTATATTTTGCATCTGTAATTTGTTCACACGCTCGTCAAGCGGGAGGGTTATCTGCATTGGGCGCCTGAAGGATCATTTTGTGTCCCACCAGTATCTATTTGAAATGATCGTCGCTGGGCTTTTAAGTATTGATGGGAAAAAATAATCGAAAAATCGACAGGAAACTGGAGAAGTCTGGCTGATTTTCGTGTATTGTCGTTTTCCGTTCCCCAACCACCCTCCATCTTGGAATATGATGCATATTGCAGTAAATAGGAACTCCATTTGCAGTGCTACGTGGCAACCATGATGCAGAAGATAGAGCTTTTTCGTTACTTCTAACGCTCGTTTCCAGGGCCAAACTGTAGCCAGGTGTGTGTTTTTGTCGATTGCAATTTCCCTGCGTTGTCAACAGGGGGTGGTAAAGTATGCTAGGCGGGAGCAAGGCTCAGCTCTCCACTATGATACCATGGTAACCCCATTAGAAAGCAGTTGGCTTGCATTCTATCGGTCCGTTGCCCCAGGTTGTGAATATACTCAGCTCCTCTCCGTGGGTGCTTTCTAACCAGTTGGGCAGATAATGGGATAATTGCCAGTGCAGAGAAATACTCTCCGTTCTGGCCTGCCGTTCGTCAGGCATTGTAGCAACCGCCTCACTTGGGGTATTGGTTATTGCACACCGCTAGATCAACTCTCGATTTCGCATCATGTATATGTAAACCGTTGTCTAGGTCACCACCCATGGAGACAGATTGATTCCCTTGCTTGCAAGGGATGGAGGAGGAGCCTCATTCGATAGCTCCATGGTGATTTGGGCTGATCCACAAGTACAAGCTGGCGTTGTCAATTGCGGCGTGGTATTTAACAGTTATTCCAGATTGCTGCAACTAAACTTTTCGCCGCCTTTCTAGGGTATTATGCTGTCTTATATTTCTTTTTTTACAGGCCTGCTCTCCTCTGTTGGTCTCGCTAAGCGCCGCGCCCCTCTGTCATCGCTGGCTAGCACGTATGCTGCACCAACGCAAGAAGACGGGGCGCAGGAGAGGTTCATGCGAAACTGCACGTGCTGTGTGAAGAGGCTTGTCTTTATGGCTGCTCCATGCCTTGACTCTGCATATCGAGCATTCCATTTGTTCTCGTTAGGTATCCTATCGTGGTATCCTCTCCCACAACCACCAGGAGATAATTCACCTCACCCTCACCCTAGCACCTCGCGCTGGCATGCAGGCTCAAAGTTTTCATATGCACCTTGACAATCTTTGCCTGATGTTTCAGAATTGTACTAAAACTAGTTGGCAAAAAAGAATTTTGGTTCAGCCGCCAAGTTTGCTCTTATGTCCCAATCAATCACAAAGGGGCTTTGGATTGGTTGACTTGTATCTTGTGTGACAGCTGTCAAATCGTCTGTTCTCGCGGAGCTGATTGATACCGTCACGGTAACCGTTTGTGTCCCACGAAGCCTGTAGTCGACCATTATTTGACTATATGATCACCGATCAACACAATGGGGAAAACGTATCTCGACATATGGTTGTAGTCACGTACATCCCGCTAAATTGAATCCCCTGGCTATGAATATATAAAAATGATGGGGGAAAAACCAACAGTTAAGCATGGTATACTCGTAAAACTAGGGCACCATGTAAGCCACATGCAGGTACAGTGAAGCATGTTCGATCCACGCCACATTTGACAAGGAACGGTAGTCTATCAGCGTCATAACAGGAACCAGTAAGTTAGAAGAAAAGGTTATACTCCATCATACACCAAATGAGGGCCTCAAAATACGCACCTAGTGTTGACAAGTTGACAACAGGCCGGATAATTATGATATGCTTCTGCCTTCCTTTCTGCGCTAATCATATGTATCCCCTTTCTTTTTCGGACATCGCCTACGCCATTTCTCTCTCGAAATTCTAGCTGGTCATCGACACCATTTTTGAATAGAAACGAAACCACTCGAGCCCCAAGCTAAAAACTTAGCCTTGGTTTCCTTCACCTGATTAAGCAGGCTAGGGCCCACAAAGCTCAAAAGACGTTAGAGTCAACCCGACTATTGGGGGAGTTTCACACGTCAGTCTTGAAAATGACAAAAAAACGAAAGATAGAATGGTGATAGATCATATGTAATCCTCCTTGAACGCTGGCTGATCATGGGTATAGGGCAGTGCCTGGGTGTACCCACAACACCATCAAGCATCCCATCGCTTTTCCGGCCCTCCATTACCGCGCGGTAGAAACATGCGTTGAATTGAAACGCAGTCCCGATGTCGATAGAAAGGGATACCCGAGGGAGGCCTACTGGTTATAAATAATAGCCAGTTCCTCTTTTGGTTTTGGATTTGAAGCCCAAGCAACAAGCAACACAACTAGCACAGGAAGCACAGAGCTCATTTATTCTTTCCTGTTCCGCACACACCTCACTGCACTATCCCTTTCTCTGTAACCTTCGCTACCGTTCGCAGAGATGCCTCCACCGAGCCAACCGAGCCCATCAAGCCCAAGGTCTTCTTTTGGAAATGATTCGACGGACGCTCAATATGGAGTCTCGCCGCCTCTTGCAGAAGCATGGCAAGATGGCGACGCAAGGTCTGTTTCGGCCCAAGTCGAAAAAAGGCCCACGAAGCTAGGGGCGAATGCTGATACTAGCGTTCACAGTCATCCATTGGGCTGGGCTGGGTCCCCGTCGGCGAAGGTTGTCCAAGATGATAGCAGCCGGTCTCAGAACATCTCGCCGTCGGCAGAGACAACTATGCCATTCGTCCTATACGCCGGTGAGCGGGGGTCCAATTTCTTTAGTAGAGATAGTTGTCAATTGGCTGCATCTGGCTAATCATTGGGCTCAAGGCACGCAAGAATTATCGGGATACAAAAGAGCGGAGGGTATTCTGTTTGAATCCGATTCGTCTGATTCCGTCACTGCTTCAACAAAGAGACGTAAACGCGATCATCAGGGTACTTGGCTGAAGGCTACCCAGAGAGAAACTAGCCAAATTCCTGCATCCCCGGATGCAGGACCGCCTGATGGAGAGTCTGACCGCAGTCCGGCTGAGGGAAATAAGATCGAAGAAAGAGAAAACGAGACGACGGGGAAGCAGGAAGGGCAAGGAGCAGATGTCGACGAAGCTTCAAAGTAATAAACCTAATTGTCGGGGCATCACACGAAGATCCCGGATCTACCAATCAGGGGCAGATGGAATCTGATGGCGAATCGCCTTCTATGGGGAGAAATGGAATCCGGTTCCTTGGGAGTGAGGCTCGTGGCAGCCCGTTCAGGTTGAAAGTTGTCTTGGGTCCGATCTGAGGTTAAGATTAAGTTATTTTTACTTTCGTTGATGGATAGATATAGAAGCAGAATAATAATTAGACTTCTCTCCTCTAGTCTGAGCTCCACCTTCGACGATAAAGGTTCTTGCCGCGCACTGCCCTCTACAAGGCCATGAAAAAGGGGGTTTCCCTCAGCTCAGCAATATACGGAGAGTTCCGCAAATGTATTTCTTCTGGCTGTCGGGTGACGTTGCTCAATGAGCTCTATCACAATTTTTCGAAGGAGATAGAGGCGGAAGGTGACGCCCCAATGACGAAGCAGGGAGTAGGCGAACGGAAGCACTAAGAAGCTCCGGGGAACACAAAGGAACGGTCCGCGAGAAAAGCAAAGTTGGAGTCTAGCGTTACGCCCCATGGTTCGTCACCCTTAGTCGTCCCGGGGAGACGGGGGGGCGGGGACGGGGAAGTTGTGAATATCTGAACGCTCGACATACTGCAGGTGTAGTTTATTTAAAGTATCCGATCGTACGGAGCATGTATATTGCTTCTCGTGGACCATACTAAATCTAGCCCATATCCGTGGCCGCTGTGTGGTGAGATCTCTGAAACCCTTTCTTGGCGTGGGTGGTCAAACGTTTGTGCAGAACGATGACAGCTCCCTCCCCTTACCCCAGGCTGGGATGATGAGGGCCAAGTATATGGAGGTGCTACCCCTGCCTCACCAGTGTGACTTGGACGTCCCTCTATTAGGCTTATATGCCCAGATTTTTGCGAGTAGGAATCAATCCTGTTCCATGTGTACTTGGTGCTTACACTTAATTGGAGTAAGGCGTTCGCCATCATTTTTGTCCCGATGTATATAGCTTTCAAACGAAATTGAAAATAAAATAAATAATATGATAGCCGGGCGGTGATGACTTATTTGCATGGAGCGGTCGATGTTCCGGCCAATGGGGGAGTCTGGAATGGTCGGATGGCGTCCCATTGCGATCTGCCCAGCTAGACCCCCCAGGGCCTGCTGTTGGCCTTGCATCTGAAAATGTCCTCTGGCTATAATGGGCGCTTTGACCTTTGCCTTCGACAAAGTATCGTTGTTAATGAAAAAAATAAAAATAAAAATAAAAACAGCCTGGCGTGACAGGAAGCGGCCCTGACACGCTGTGAATTTTTTTGACTTGGCTACACCGATATGTCGAAGCGGCTCCATGGTTTGATTTTCTCGCCTATGTTGTTTATATATAAATGCTCATCTTTGTTCCTGACTTTTAGACTCCCTCTCCGTTCATTCAACCGCCAAATATTCACGACACCTGAGAGTTCTCTAGGTGTCAAGCCGCAATTTAAGATTTAGTTCCGGCAAGCCAAGTCTCCTTTGAGTCGTCTTAGAGGAAAGAGAGTCACCACTGAACGGTTGATATCATGGGTGTTCCGCTAGATGGGGGCGAGAAATGGAGAGCTGAGAGAGCGAAGGCTGGGCGAGAACAGTGAGTTGCCTCCATGCATCATTATTTGTCGTTAAGGTGCTGACCATCGTGTCATCAACTAGAATTGATCTCCTTGCACCAATAAACAAGGCTGTTGAGAAGCTCAACGCCAGAGCAGCCGTACATCAAAATGAGACGGCTGGAGAGGCAAAGAACGAAACGTCCACGGGAGGCGACATAGATGTAGATCAACCGTGTGATCCACTCGACCTCGATGCCTACGCCAGGTCTCAAGAGAACGGGCCCTTCTCGAGACGCCTCAGCAGCTGGCTGAGGTTCCACGGCCTTGACCCTAATGAAGTTAATGGTTGATAGTTTCGAGTGAGTTTTCACCCATCAATGCCCAAGTAACATAGGAACGCAAATGGCAAAGAGTATTGGTCAGAGCTAACTTCTCAGTCGAACTGTAGGCTATAACCAGCTTTTACCAAACACTCCATATCAATGGCCAAATCTCCGTAAAGACGCGCGCCGCCCAGTTCCTTACCTGCTCATAATCATACAACTAGAGGTTTTTTTTTGTCTTATTTAGGCGTTTAGACGATATGGCGCTTTTTTGGTTTTTGGTGTTTCCTTTAAATCTGTCCGACTTGGCGGAGGAATTAAGTTAGTATAATCCATGTTTCTTTAGGAAAGAGGCATAATCAAGAATGTGTGATTTTATTTCAGAGAGAAGATTAATTTCTCGTCATGGTCCTGTGATATCCCACTCTTCGAGCTGTCTAAGACAGGGACAAAGAGCAGGTAGCAGGGCGTACGACTAAGGATGACGATACAAAGGTTTTCATCATGCTATGGATTTAGGGTAGTATTTTTATAGAAAGAACTCACAAATTCATAAAGGTGGGGCCAGCATTGTCGTTTGGCTGCTCGGTACGTAGAGTAAGGTACGAATCCCAGCTCCACGGTACCAGATTGGTGGTTGATTTTGATAACGTTTATCTAACGGTATAGAAAACGCACTGGCATATCTTCATGCATCACCATAGGAAACAAGGCGTCGTTGAAATTCGGCTGGTGCTTTAGCTGTCTTCTTTCCTTCTGGTTGAAAAGTCCCAATCTGGTTCAAATCGTTCTGGACGGGGCGTTTGAAATTATTCGGCGTTTCATTGATTTGACCGTTTATGTCGTCTATTAGTTTTGTGCGTTTTGACTGGCCATGTTCCTTACAAACTCCTTTCTTGTTATTCGACGCTGTATAGCTGGTAGAGGCAGCTACATCGATTTGGCCACGTGCTTCATATTTGACCGAGCCATCTTTGGTCTGCTCGTCATTACCAAAAGATTGTTCTTCGAGCTCCTTCTGGCGGAGAAGAGCTTGAATCTCACTATGTCTGAATATTTGAATCTGCTGGTCGGTGAGTGTACGTTTTACCCCGTCAGGATAATACCCCAGGCCATCGTCAAAAGAGTTCTCATAACCCGTAGCTGCAGTTTCTATGGCATTACAGGCCGGTGTTATGATATTAGAGGCTATTGCTGATTTGAAATTATGAGTCGCGAAATGTTTGGCATGGAATGTAGCCAGGTCATCCTAGACGACGATTAGCTGGAAAGTAGCAAGCAGAGATAAGTTTCCAGGCAGTGGTATGACGTACACATGTGACGGGCGGAACTTTCGTAGCCATTACAGATATTCCGCGGCCGCGAAGCTAGCTATATAGCAATAGGTGGCGAGTAGTTGGCCGTTTGAGAGCTCGACGCGAGGTCGAGCTTGAGAGCTAGAAAGTAAAATATCGTACTTTTGCCTAGAGAAATGTCGTGATTGTATTTATAATATACCAGAGGATATGAATTCACCCCAACAAAAGGAATGAGGATACACAATACGATAGAGAGAGTACCGTGTTTTCAACTCACGGTTTATCGTAGAGCTGGCGTGATGATGGCAAGGAGGTTGGAAGTTCGGAGCTTGAAGTGAGGTAGTATCACGTGATATAATTGAACTTGTGGGGTCATGTGATATCAGGCTTACGGCAAAAGGGGAGCAAAGATACGCAGAGGGATGTACCCTTTCACTACTTGGATTCAGGCAAACTGAAGATTTCCATGGTTAATAGCTTGAGTTTGGATCATATAACTGTAAGGGGCTCCCGTACTAACGCGGCAAGGAGGATTATCTTTCTATTTTTTGCCCAACGCTTCCATTTCCCTACCATGGTGACATGTGAGATTGCAGTAGGGGTCATAAAAAATCGACACTAGGTTCATAGAACCTATGAAAGGAGGCTGGGTAGACCATGATTATATCTACCCGGCAATACATAAACTAGGATATGATCAGAGGCCTGTAATAATGAGCTAGATCGTCTCCTTTAGCCTACCAAGCAGAATATTGTCTAAATTATTCAAAGCTTCCAAGGCGCTCCCATCAAGGAGAGATTTCCCGGCAGTCATAGTTAGTCTGCCTGGGGTCGGCTGTTCCAGGTATGTCATTATACGTGCCCGGTGAGATGCTCTGTATACCTACAGTGTATTAGAAGTACTGGCAGATAATTATGTAAAGAAACAACCATACCTGCATTTGGTTGACCATCCTCATAACTTCATCCTTCATATCCTCATCTTCTCGTAGTCTATGGCGAAAAGAATACTTCTTAAACAGAGAGGCAAGCTTTCTCTGGGTAGCTGGGATGTTTCTCATCCTCTCTTCATCAGAGAGGTAGAGTTCTAGCCCCAGAAAAGCATCTACCGCAAAGAAGAATAGCATGTGGCTGCCGGAGAGGCCATTGTACTTGACAAACTTTCCGTTGACCATTTTCCCTATACCCCAGCCATGGAAGCCTTGGATATAGCTAGACCATACTGAGGGGCATATGCAGCGTTTGGTAAAGCTTTCGTAATATACGCGCAGAACGTCACGAAGAGTCGAGTTAATTCTTTTAAGGTGCTGCAGGCAGTGCACCTTGTTATTGTTTTGATAAGATATTATTGCACGGACCATATCATAATAGAGAGGGCCTTCAAGCATCAGTTAGAAAACGGGTGTTGATACAAGAGACTGCTCACATACCAAGGTTTCAATCTGGCGGAAAATACGAAAGAAAGCCTCCTCAGATGAGGTTATCAGATCCGGTACGCCGACGTTAATTTTGTATATAATCTCGCCTTTCTGGGAAAAATTATGCAAGACGTTTGCAGTGCCATTTCCACACTCAGACGTCACGCCAAATTTTCGCTGGAAGTAGGACCATGGGATCACCAGTTCTGGCGGGAACTCGACAATAGTTTCAAGTTGAGCGACTTTGACAATAGGGTTCAGTGCCCATCTGATATACTTCTTAGTTCGAGCTTACCCCCATGGGAGAGTAACATGATGGCTACTGACCTGTAGGCATGGCGGGATGTTGCTATACAGCAATAAATACCGTTGTATGCATCTCGAGGAAACCCATTCCAAACTCCTCTTTCCACCTTAGCAAGGGCTTTTTCAACCTCTACGATGTTGATACGCTCCACCAAAAGCTTTCTCATAAGCGATCGATAGTGATTTCGCCGCTCATTGCTGATATTATCGTGAAGCACTGGTTCAGCTGTGGTGAACAGTGGCAGCAGCTCTAGATATATGTCCTTGTATGGACGGAAAGCCGCTGGCCATGCGTTGTGCTCTGCATTTGGTGGCCAAGCTCCTGCCCCGTCCTCGTCAATGAGCTTTAGTAGCGCTGAGGCAGTTTCATGACGGGGTGCGAGAGTTCTAAGGTCTCGAATGATCTCAAGAATCCCTCTTCGATTAGCTTTTTCAACTCGTGAGCGTAATCTCCATATCAGGTCTCCTACAACAACGACCAGGACCAGGGCGACGAAGGGGAGGGGAATCATGTCGCCGCAGAGAAGAGGAGGAGCCAACAAAATGTTTTTTGCCTTGCCCATCGGGTGACAGTGTGTATAAGTACTCATCTTGAGATATCCCATGTCAAAGGGATTTTGCGTAATTTGTGTAAATTTATTTCCCCAAAAGACGCAAGTGTCGAGCTCCGCCTGCCTGCTGCTCACCTAGCAGTTTCCAAGAGTATAATTTCGCAGGTTAATTTTTCATATTCAAAAATAACCCACTGAATTTTGTCCCTTGCAACAGAGCTGGAATTGGGATAACTTAGCTTCAGCCAATCCCGCAATTCAGCATAAACTGCTAAGGGTCTGTGAAACAACATTGACTGACATATAATGGTGTTTTCAAATGCCCCTTTGAGAGAATATAGGCTGTAAAGATAGTGACTTCGTGCGAAGGGCCACAAAACACTTTAGTATATTGAAGTATAAGAACAGGCCATGTCAAGTATCCGTATAGCATTATACCAATATATGTGTCCGACATATGTGGCGTGAGATGGGTGAAATTGACCGATCACTGGATTTGGAGTAGATCTTTGGGCTGGAAAGCTAACCGATATCCGGTAACAACCGCTGATAATTAGGAATATTTAAGCCATCCATGAAGTGTATATCGCCGGGGTAGGTATAAAAAGCCTGTCAAGGTGGCGGGCGTATGACCATATAATAATATAGGTATATGAATAGGTATGAGCTGTCGCGCGAATAGTGACGTAGCCGCATTAATTCTATACCAGGAGCACTTATGGTCAACTGACCGAAACGTCTAAGCCTTGATATGGAATACAAAGGCACATAAAAAGTTTTCTCCAGGGGGTAACTCTCTGATCTTGCTATAGCAGACATTCCCGCTACAGGTGGCAGGCAACAACCTTTTAAGTTGAAGATAGCCTCTTCCGGTAAAGAAGTATTCTCTCAAAATGAAGCAGCAACGTTATAAAATCCCCATTTTAACATTCCTGATCCTCAGATACCCTCAAGTCCACTTTCGTCCGTCATCGACGTAGGTAGAACTTCACTGTGTATTTGGTTCCCAACTTTAGCTTTGACGTTATTGAATTTAATTTCCAGCTTGCAAGACTGTAAGTCGATAGAAGATAGTCTTTCTTTATCATCGGCAGAGGGCTCTTCCAACGACCAGGCGATAGAAACATGGAAACAGTCTGTGTAATCGGCATTTCTCAAGTCGGGAGATGGAAGCGGATCGTCTTTATTCCCCCCTTGTCTGCCTCGTTTCTTCCCCTGTATGCCAATACGATTTTCGTATAGCGGTGGCTGGTTAAACTGTGCAAGAGTTACATTTGATAGGTTTAGCAACCGATTCAAACTGTTGTTTTCTGGGCGGTTCAAGCGTAGGACGAGAAACCACCTCGTATGTTCAAAATTTGACACCCAGTCCAGACTGTTAAGTGAGACCTCGAATCTAAGTTTTTTGAGTTGCATCAATTCTCTAGTCACTCGCAGCATACCACCAAGACGCCTGGGTTACTCACGGGTGAACTTCTGACTTTTTAATCCCGTCACAAAACATCTCAAGGAATATTTCACGCTGGTTTGTGGATAGGACCACAGGTCGAGACAGGCTGATATGGAGCGGTAGTTGTGCTCCCAGGTCACTATAGAGTAGGCTATGGATCCCCGTACCGCCTGAAGCCGTGGCCTCACATCGAGTAATAATTTCCGACAATGTTCCTAGTTCACTATTGTTTGGGTACCCTCCAGCAAATCAGCAATGATCGAGAGCTGGCATTCCTTGCATTAAGCCAGGTAAATATGGGTATAAGAAAACATCCGCCTACACTCGAGGTAAATATGTGTCGGCCAGTTTCCAGCAACATGAGGAACCGCTCGAGTTCTTCCATTATGAAGGCTGGGATCATCCTGTACGCTAACTCTCACAGATGTCGAGTACAAGTCGCGAAATTCAGCGGGAAGTGGTGGCAGGGCAGTGTGATTTCGCCTGTCGGATTCTAGTTGCCTGTCAGACTCGCGGCAGAGCCTCTTTGGAGATGCCGACGTGCTACCAGGTCCATGCTGGTATGTAGCGTCCTCCTCAGATTCGGTGTCAGAGTACTGGACGAGAGGCATGGCTAATAGCTGGTCGTTCTCGATCATGTCAAACCTCTCGATGTCGTTGTTGGATAGAAGTGAAGATAATCACTATGCCAACTCGGAAAGGATAAAAGAATATACGGAGAACCCTGCCCTTGATAAAGAGCTAATGACAGCGTCCGACTCAGGAGCTATCGCAATATACAGCTTTCTTGAGAATTAAGGGCCATGTTCTCTTAAACTAGTTACGGATACACCTAGTTATAATATTTCTTTACTGTTGTGCTGAGTGAAGGGCAAAAGAGACCACCTGGGATGTAGCCTGCCGTCCTCCAGAGCTCTCTCATGCCGGAATCCTCGCTGGAATTCGTTCTTTTTACGTAGCTGGAGGCACAAAGGTTTATCACATTGTTTTCGGAGTGCTCATTATGCTTGGAAGATCAGCAGCGCCCTTGATTAGGCGCGCTGGTCGTATCTCAACCGCCGTCTACCCAGCTTTCTATCGCCAACGACCAGCACAATCGTTGAGAATGGGCGGGAAGCTGAGCTCTCCTATATTAGATGCTCATCGCCTTAACGCATCGAGATCGTTCTCGGGCGGATCTGAAGCCAGGATACACCCAGTCCCAAGTAAGTTAGACACACGCTGGCAACGGAACGAAATCTGAGTGTTTACAGAAATCTGCTACTCGGCCCAGGTCAAGACCCATGCGCATACACAGCAGGACGCTTCCTCCACCAAGACGAGCTTCAGCGCAGCGTGAGACATATCCAGTTCAATTTCTCCAAGTTATGTGAGGTTGCCATCAGGCTGTCTGAGGGCGCGTCTCGCGTCACAAGCTATGAAAAGAAGGAAGGCGGTTATAACAGAGTGTTCATCCTCTCCCTCGACAATGGCAGACGCCTTGTAGCAAGAATTCCTACGCGTGTCGCCGGGGCGCCACGGTTAACGACCAATTCAGAGGTTGCAACGATTGCATATTGTAAGATATACGGCTAGTTAATTAATTTGCTTATCCTCTCACCAAGCTTGGTTTTACGCTTGGTTATCTAACGACTATTCCAGTACGGTCGAAAACCTCTCTCCCTCTTCCTCAAGTCCTGGCCTGGTGCGATGATCCTAGCAATCCTGTTGGTGCCGAGTATATTATTCAAGCACACGTCGACGGTGCCTTGTTGCATGAACAATGGCCACATATGAATGTTCTCCAACATATGCAATGCACCAAGCACCTATCCCAGATGACTCCGGAGATGACATCGCTCAACTTCCCAGCTTATGGGAACATTTACTTTTCTAATGCTCCGATCGAAGCTGGTCTGAAGGTTCCGCTACAGGACGATGACGGATTCTGCATCGGACCTTATTGCAGTCCATTATTCTGGCATCTCGGAGCTGGAGAACCCGAGCTCTACGGAGAGCCTAGTGAAAACCGTGGACCTTGTAAGTTCTTTTTATATATACCCAAGCCTATCACCTCTTACCTGGAGTTATATAGTCCAATGCTAACATATTGTTAGGGAAAACCCTTGATGACTATGTGTCCGGACTAATCGACACTGCTCTCTCCCGTATACCGAAGGAACAGGGCAATGGTCTTCCATACCGTGGCTCCATGGAAGAGCATATTCGTCTTGTGAAGATCTGTCGGGAAGTAATGCACAAATTGGTACAAAGTCCTCACATCCAGGGGGCTGGTATGCCGACTTTGATCCATGCAGATTACAACAAACGCAACATCTTCGTTTCCTCTGACGACCCAACTGCTATCACTGGCATAATCGACTGGCAGCTAACATGTGTCGAGCCGGCGTTCATACACGCACACATGACTCCAGATTTTGCAGCATTTCCTGAAATCGACCCAAGCGAAGATGCCAGTGAAACAAAATCTAAAGAAGAAGAGAGACTGCTCGAAGACCTCTCTATATGCAGTCAAACATTTAATGTGATCATGACATACAAGAACCCGAAAATTAAACCAGGAAGGCTACTTGATTCCACTCTTTTCCGCCTCTTCCACTACTGCTTTACTACATGGCGTGATGGGATACCCGCCATCCGTCAAGAACTTATTGACCTCAACCCCCTTTGGCATAAGCCCGAACTAAGCTTGCCAGCCCCTTACCCATATGTTACTAGTGAACAGGAGCTCGCGGAGCACAAGAAGCAATACGACGATTTCGAAGCCAGAGAAAAGCTGAAAGCATGGTTGAGAATATCTTTGCAGACGACTTCAGACGGATGGATCCCGAATGAGCTTTGGGAGGACGCAAAGGAGGCAAATAGGATGGCGTATGAACAATGGATAGAAACAGCAAGGGAGGCGGAGGCTCGGGGGGATGATGATATGACAGTTGAGAAGGCAGAAAAGCTATGGCCATTTGATGCCAGGTAGGTTGGTGCCATTTTTCAACGTGTTTATTTGCGATATTGACACTCTCTTATCATATGTATGTAGAAATGTAACAATAGTAAGCGAGCTCATAGATAAAATTCGCTACGGTATAGAATATTTTCAGTTTGTGTCCCGTGAATGCGGATCACATGCATTCCCCCCTTGTAGTAGGGTCCACTGCCAGCTGAACTCTTGCTGCTGAAATCAAATTCAATTTCCATAGACATACGAATACCGTCAAAATTGGCTGTGATGTTCCTGAAGTCGACCTTAATGACGCATGGTTTTTTATCATGCAGATTTGTTCGTTGCCCGCGCCATCAGAGCGGAGTTTTACAAGTTCGACGCGGAAAGTCTCACACTTTGCTGCAAGGAGGACCGGAGGTATAACTGGAATCCATGGAAGCACTTGGATGTCTGCTTCAAGCGCTTTTTATAGATCGACAGCACGCCAAGCTCCTGTAACTAAGTTCCTGGAAACGGGAAGCCAAAAGTCTAGTTCAATAATAGCTTTCGAGGGGCAAAAATCAAACATCCTGTCTGTCGTCCGACAGCATCCATGATTTCAATATACCCAGCAATCTTCCATGCCAGCTCTACAACACATATACCAGGCGTATCAGAATGCAGCAGTGAGGTCGTCGTTAAACGCTGACATAAGCCACATAGTCACGTGATAAGCCTCTGCTGACCAAAGAAATAAGTTGTCTTGGCAAGGCTTGGTACGGTACATCACGTGGTATAAAGTCCATGACATCACGAGACGCTGGCAACTGGTCCACGGGGTGGTAAATAGAGTCATGGACCTTTAACAAACCGTTGGAATCAACGCTCGCCAACCATGGCTTGCTGGGTGAGGCATGGCAATCGTGTGGTCATAATGAAAACTCTTCGCATAGCCCCATGGTTGGCCTATATATCTCACATCTCAGATGCTTCCGCTTCTCAGATTTCCTTTCGTCCTATATCTATACTCGTCCGTCAATGAAGCTATCGCCTGCTAGCTTTATTTACTCTTTAGGATCACATATACTATAATACTACCCAAGAACTACTATCCTCCTTAAGACTTTGGTATATTACCAAAGTAATTAATACTTCATAATGGTCTTTTGCACGTCTCCGCGTCCGGGCCCCCCAAAACGCCGGGATGGGGAATTCATCCTGCCAGCAGAGTCGATGCTTCCAACGGACCAAATCTCGCGTGGAAGACGGACGTTCCAATCAGCCGGAGATTCATCGGCGCACCGAGAACCGCACATGCCACCACAAGCAGCCAGACATCACAACGACTATTACGATTGTCCTCACGAGCCTTCCTTTCAACAAGCTAGGCCCAGACCACATATGCGGCTGGACTTCGTTGATAAAATGGACACCGCAAGTGAGCCCTACCATCATGAAGGCCCATTTGATTTTGCTGCTCGAGAGAGAATTTTCCTCTCAGACCATCCCGCTCTCCAAGCCCTCCAGGATTCCAACGAGGAAGATCTCAAAGCCACACCAAATGATATGATTCTCGATAGTTTTCACAACCATCATCCGTTTGATGGAGTTGCTACGTTCCCACCTAGATCAGTGGGTCGGGATGGCCGAATATTTGATTATAAACAGGGCACAAGCATGACAGAAGATCAGGGCAAGTTTCAACAACACGCTGGAGTATGTTTACCTCCCTTCTACACATTTTCCTGCTCTTGTAATCTAGCAGCTAATCCCTATTACTAGAAATCTGAAAACGGAGACTTGCTCTCTGATCCTTACTACCATCAGGAAGAGCGTGAACTGCGTCGGCTTCAGCGCAAACGAGTTCGCACTACTACGGAGGCCATGGACGATGAAGACCGCCCTCAACGTAAGCGTCCCTACTCAAGCCGACGGAAAAAGGCCACCCTATAGACTTTCAAAGACTTTAATGGCCTTCCTGGTTTTATTGCTATCTGCTTATAATATGCCCATTTGCAATATATTCACCGCTGAAGGTGAGGGTCTTTCCAAGTGTTCCAATCTACCCACCACTCATATTTATTATCTTATCGGTGTCTCAGGCGCTGGAGGAGTTAGGTTGGCTAGGGATTAAAGAACGGTTGTTATGCTTTATCTGGGCACTACGATTTAAAGTGTGGGTTCAGATCTGCTTCTTTATGTAACAAATAATGTTTAATATCTACTTTAATCTTTTACTCGAAATATAACCAGAGCAAATCAATTTATTTTTTCCTACCAATTTTGGGTATTATATTGAGAAGAGCTGGGCTAAATGCTATCGATGAAGTATTCATCTAATCAAAACACAGGACCAATGTTGGAAGAAGAAAAATCCCATATTATACAGTAATCATCACACTGGCATTCTTATACCAACCCAAGAGAGGGTTCTCGCCGTTCCTTGTCTGGGTGTCTTCAAGGTATGCCCAACGCTTCATGAAGTCGTCATGACCCGTTAGCCTTGTCAATTTTCCGGTAATTGCTCGATACACATCTTCCATCACATTAAAGTCGGTCGGAAAGAATATATCAAAGTATCCCTGGTGGACCTGTAATTAAATACTGTTAATATATGTTTTCTTTGTACGGACCAGGCGCCCAAAAGAGTTGGTTCCGCGTAATTTCGGCAGGGTCACTTACATATGGTGTAGTTGCCTGGACATTCCTCCTTTGATATCGAGTCTGGACTACAGGTGCACTGAAGCCCGGCACGGCATCAGGAAGCGAGTTGAAGTCACTCGCAATAAGACGATGAGCTGGGAAATAATCATGCAAAACGTCATAGAATTGCATTAATCGTGTTGGAATATATTCCGGCAACGTCATATTGGGCGCAAATGGAAGCGCACTTTGAAGCTTGCGCCACATAGGTGGTCCTAGCGGTGTAGTAAATGGTCGACGAGCCGCTGCCTGCCTGACTCGCAGAAACCGGGCTGCCGAGCGGTCCAGGTCTGGAACGTAGTATTCGTAAAACTCACCATCAGAATCAATAAGAACACATCCTTGTCGAGGTTGACCGGTCTCCATATCGTAGCGAATAACATCGTGGCCAAAATTATCGAACACCTCCAACGCCAAGAAGAAACACGGTGAATGAACATAGGTGTCCCAGTCGAATATCGATCGATTGATGATTTCAGCATGCCCGCCATGACCGCCTACGTGAATTGAGTGGTTGAGGTTCTGCTGTTGCAGATTGGCAAGACTGCTCGAGATTTCGATGATCTTATACTTCGTTCTCTGGTATACCTCGGGTTCAACATCTCGTATGTAGTCCAAAATATTGAGCATCATAGTACCATTCCCCGCTCCCATTTCGTAGATTATCAGATCGTGGTATGGGAACAAAGTCAATTTGTAGTTTGTAACGAGGTATCGAGCAATAGCTTCGCCATAATAAGGACGGAAGAGCTCAGTGGGAGTATGCCACAGCTGTCGAGTTTCATCGTAGTTTGTCTCGTCCAGTTTATCTTCAAATTCCACGTATCGCTCGTCTAGCAATTTGTTGAATGCAGGTCCATCTTCAATGTTATTAAAGTCGAATGGTTCGCCGGGAGTAAAGATAGTCGCGTGCTTCGAGAAATAGCCGTAATGCGGGTTATACAGGCTGTCTATAATAAGAGGATTAACAATTAACCAAAATTAGACGGCTTACAATTCATGAATTGTCCCATGAATTGTCCCAGCTCGCACCTTCAATAAAATCTCTTGTCAACATCTTTACCCGCTTTGGCCGTTCGCGTCGACTCCGTAGCTCTACCGCAGTCACCAATGGATAGTCCCTGAGCTCTTGTGACATGTCCTTTGGGAAATGATCTATTCTGTGCCTCCATAGTGTTTCGTTGTCATCTTCCTTTTTTCGTCTGCTCCCGAGTTTCTTCGAAAAGTAGCGCGACTGCTGATGACCGCAGGAGCATGATTGCAGCGAGTGTCGAGATCGCAATGGCGGAGGAAATGATAAGGACCGGGTCGCCTGATGCCGAAATAGCTGGCGGAAGAGGTGCGATACAACTGGCGAATCCATTGCTTGTCTCAAGCTGGAAGATGTTGACCGGATGCTCAATTTGCCCTCGTCCTAGTGAAATAGAAGAAGGTGGTCCGAGCTTTTTTTTAAGATAAATATTTATTCCATCACATTGAAACATCCTCCAGCCGCACTACGCCAGACCAACTGTTTATATCCAACAATTGGATAGCGGGAGGATTAATTACATTCTCCCATCTTCGAGATGGAAACGTCTTCTCGTACACCGATTTACATAGCCGCTGCTTTCGCAACGGGCGCCCTATGTACCATTGCAGCCGATCGGTTCTTACTCTCTGATGGACTACTAAACCGAAGAGAGCGTGTTAGCAAGGACGCGCTCAATGGCCAGCCGACAGCTAATGGAATAGCACATTCTGAGTCCAATAGAAAACCTCAGCCTCCTCCAATCGTGGATGGCATAGAAGGGTGCATTGGAAATACTCCACTAGTTCGCATCCGCTCTCTATCAGAGGCGACGGGCTGCGAGATACTAGCAAAAGCAGAAGTACGACATGTTCCGCCACTGTATATGTTTTAGCATTTCCGATATTTGTCTATCCATAAACCGGCCAGCTTCTAATTCGGGTTTTGTAGTTTTTGAATGGGGCTGGAGGGAGCCCCAAAGATCGTGTTGCGTTGAGCATGATACAGCAGGTCAGATATAAATTTACGGAGTGCCTAATACCGTTTATCCAAGTATTGATATGGTTACCTAGGCTGAAGAGAATGGCCTCCTCACACCATTTGTAGGAGATGCAATATACGAAGGCACGGTTGGGTCTACAGGAATTTCTCTCGCCACCCTTGCAAGAGCGAGAGGATACCTTGCGCATATGTAAGAGACACCCCCCTATATACACGCCTTTATTAGGCTATGCTAGCTCACACATATATACGCCGAATATAGATGTATGCCATCGGACCAATCAACGGAGAAATCAAACTTGCTCCTTAAACTAGGGGCAGTGGTTGACAGGGTACCGCCAGCTCCGATAGTTGAAACCAGCCATTTCGTTAATAGAGCTCGAAGCCTGGCACAATCCCATGGCCCAGAGCACTCTCCCGTTCGTGAATCATCACCATTTGAGAAACCAAATATCGAGCTCATGACGTCGGAAGCTGCTGCCAAACAGAGCCGAGGTTTCTTCGCTGACCAGTTTGAGAATGCCGCCAACTGGCAAGCCCACTACCGCACAACAGGGCCCGAAATTTATGAACAGTGCGAGGGTAAAGTAGATGCATTCGTTGCAGGTGCTGGAACTGGAGGCACTATCTCTGGAGTCGCACGATACCTGAAACCACGGATCTCTAACATGACCGTCGTTCTGGCTGATCCCCAAGGGAGCGGACTGTATAACCGTGTCCGATACGGCGTCATGTTTGACACGAAGGAAAGAGAAGGAACAAGAAGAAGACAGCAAGTCGATTCTATCGTTGAAGGCATAGGGATCAATCGTGTCACCGCAAATTTCGAGGCTGGCCGGGAGTTGGTTGATGACGCGGTCAGAGTTACTGATGCACAGGCTATCGCTATGGCTAAATGGCTTGTCGAAAAGGACGGTATATTCATCGGCAGTAGTAGTGCTGTAAACTGTAGGTATTCTATCGCGTTAACAAATTCTTTGGCAACGGAAATTAACAGGTCTATCCGCCCAGGTTTTGCTGCTGTTAAAACAGCTCTAAAGTTGGGTCCAGGACATCGAGTCGTTACAATCCTCTGTGATTCCGGAACAAGGCACTTATCGAAATTCTGGGCCGAGGCAGGGAACGTTGGAGGCGCCGTTGGTACTAGGCTTGAGGATGTCCTCAATGCCAAGGAATGAATGTTTGTTCCATGAAGCTGATTTAAATTGCAGAAGTTACTGATACAACTGCAAATTTGGATAAACGAGCTGCTCTCGTTGCAAAGAGAGCCGGGTCGCTGGCCTAATCCATAGGCTATCATAACGAGATAGCCCTAACTACAGACGTGATATAACATGGCTGGCTTCACCAACACATGCCAGAAGAGGAGGCCGCCTTTTATTATAATCCGATAATGCTGCGAGATTTGCTATTGGACAAAAGATGCTTCTTAGGCGTGCGAGAGGCTCTTGGTGGAGTGCTTATCTGCACTCCAGACAAACCAGTGCCATGCCACGCTTTCTCAAATGCCTCGGAGAGGGGGTCAGGGCTTTCATCCCGGTCTTCTCTGGAAACTACGGTATCAGACGGAGTTTCTTTCGCAGCTGGGCGTTCAGTAACATCCCGGGGTAGTGTGGTAGGGCGGAGTGGTGATGCAATGATGGTAGAAATCCCAATTGGTGTTTGAGGAGAATGTGGTTCCTGGGGAAACGATCGCTTTTTTGCTTTGCTTGGTGTTTTTGAATTGACCCAACTCTCCCATAGGTTTTCTCCAACGCAAGTTTTAACCCATTCATGCTGTATTTCCTCCAAACTTTTGTTTAAGAATTTAGATCGAATAGTCTCCCAGGAATCTCCAGTTTCCGGTGCGAGTGAGCCTAGCTTCGTTCGCTCCGCATCAGTCCAAGGTTTAGATGCGGAAAAGTTGTTGGTGTTGCGGCTGCAGTAGACATAATACCACTGACGTAATTGGACATTTGAGCGGGAGGGAATAGCTAAAGAGACCTCGCGCCAGGGCTTCCTCTTGACCAGCCTTAGAGTCACGAGCCTCTTCACTTCTTGAGGTGTCAGAGTGTCAAGCAAGTCTTTTGAGGCTAGCAATTCAGCGCCAGGGCTATCCATAACATTATCAGCTCCGGTGGTTCCATCTTTTTTGCTCGTAGATACTACTTCTTGATTGAGGTAATTATCCGCTTCGAGGGTACATTCGAGGCTAGTTGGCGTCACCGGGTCAGCTGGCTTGTTGGTAAGGGGGGTATCCATAATGGGATTGCTAGCAGTTTCCTGCTCGTTAATCGTAACATCATTGGTGTCATTATGTTCAAGGCTAGGTAAGGGTTCCTCTTGAGATGGGTTATATATATTTTTAGAAGGAGCTGGAGTCTGAAGAGTAGAGATTTTGGGTGATAGAATGGTATTGATATTAACAGGTCGCTTTGGGGTTGAGGATATTGGAGTGTCATCCTGAATTGGGTCGTCGGAATCAGAGTCGTTAATGGTAATTTTTGATTTGCGAATTGGAGTTCGCTTTGGGAGATCCTTGGGCTCATTTATTCGGGGTATCCGCTTGCGCCTTGAATGTGGCGCCGCCCATAATGATCCAGAGTTGTCTGGTGACGGCGTTCTTTCGATGAGCCTATCTGCTGCAATTGCCATATCCTCTAGCCCCGTTGTTAGAGCTGTAGTTGGTATTGGGGGGGCGTCCCATATAGAGTCCCCAGGAGGATTATGTGCAGGGGTATCATAATTTTCGTGACCAAACAGACGATCACGCCCAATACTCTTTTGTGGAGTTGTAACGGTCGTGAGGTTTGCATCCCCATCGAGCTTTTCCGAAGAGCTTTCTGGCTGGTGGTTTAAAATCTGATGTCCCAGGTGGTGATTCATGCTGCAAGTAGACAGGGAGCCCACTCCATATCCGTTCGCAAATTGATCTCCATTTTCAGTCGGCGTATTGTAATCATCTTGCACCACCCATTCTTGGAAAAACGCGCTCCCTCCCTCAGCACTTCCCGTAGTATCGGGTGGTGATTTTGTATCCAGACCTGGCGCATCATTGTCCTCATCACTCTCGTCTTCGGGGTGAAAATCGTCCCATAAGCCTCTTCCAACGTCATGTTCATCGCCCATCTCGGTAAGGTGCCCATTGTCCACCACAATCGTCCCCTTTGCCAAATCTATCTCGTCGCCAACAGAACTAAAGTCCTTCCCGTATTTCTCGAAGATGGACTCAAATCGAGACTTGAGCCGTAGATCGTTTGCCTTTCTAGCTTGGTTCACATCGAAATCTTGAGATTGACCCTCGAACGGGCTAAACTGGCCGTCGATTCTGCGGCGTTTGTTTGGTGGTGACATCTTCGGTAGATGGGAGATATGAGACCGCGCATTGCGCAGTTTGCGGTGAAGCTGCAAAAACCAGGGAAACCGCCTATACAGGCAAACGCCGATAAAGGGAAAAGGGCTATAAAAGAGCAATAGAAACCCGCTTGCTGTGTTCTGTCTCCATCATCAGTAAATGGTTGTCTTTGTGGTCAACGGCGAAGTAAATAAAAACCACCGCCGTTCGCCAAGATCACCTGCTGCCAACGTCGTCATAGGGCATCACATCGCAAGCCAGCGTTCACCACGGACACAGCAGCATGTAGCTTGAGTTCTCTGCGCAAACTGCACACAGTCATGGTCGCCGGGAAGTACAGCTGGAATCATGTACTGCCAGAAATGTCGCACGCCTCTCAAGCTGGATAGTTCCCTTGAAGAGCTTAATCCCGCCGCATACGATCTTCTCGTAGGTAGGTATTCAAACCGGGTACAGCTTCGTGCCTCTCAAGACTATATATACATAGGGACTAACTCTATACGCAGGCTCAGCAGGGAAATCTGCACCAAATCCATCCGGCCTGAGTCGTTCCCGACCCTCATATCCTCCAGAGCGCAAAGAACGGTATGACCAAGTGGCTGGTCGGACGACCTCACCAGTTTACAGAAAGGATATCCCAGCCTCACGACATGGACGGGGTAGCCCAGACTCTGGGTCGCGAGATGCTGCTCCGGGGATGTCCTTTGTGATGCTGAATGAGTCTCTACACTCCTCCTCTTACCAACCGAACGGGGTGGCCCAGCAGAAAACGAAACGCAGGATACAAGAAAACCCCGAAATTCAACCTCAGAGCCAGGAAATACTATTTGCGGATCAGGTCGAAAGGACAACACGGATCTTTGAGATCGTGTCTGCGCGATCAGATATCGATCATCCAATATGTGTCGACTGCACGGATATGCTGGTCGATGGACTACAGCATAGACTGGCAATAGCAACAAAGGAGCGTGACGCCTACATATCATTTCTCAAGAATCTAAACACCTCTATCCCTTCGACGGACGAGATTACAACAGTGAAAGAAACCCTAGAGGCTACACTTAAGACTGAGGCAGAGGCCTTTGAGCAGCTACTTGAGTTGGAGAGTCAAAAACGAGCAGTGGATAAAGAAATAGCGACGTTGGAAGAGGAGTCACGGCAGCTGGACTTGGAGGAACAAGACTTCTGGCATGACCGAAACGCATTTGCTTTAGCCCTATCGGAATTCCAAAATGAGCGGGATGCTTTAAATGTCAAATTTGATCATGACTCGCGACAGCTTGAACGCTTGCAGCGAACGAACGTATACAACGACGCATTTTGCATCAGCCACGATGGATATTTCGGTACCATAAATGGCCTACGACTTGGACGACTCGCTAATCCATCTGTTGAATGGTCGGAGATAAACGCAGCATGGGGACAAACCATACTCCTCCTTGCTACAGTTGCGGAAAGGATAGGTTTTCAATTCCAGGGCTATAAGCTACGACCCATGGGCTCGACGTCTAGAATCGATAAGATCGAATACCCTCAGCCGAATCAATCTCAGTCACAATCCCAACCTACAACTCGACATGACCCCGTTACTAACGGCGGCCAAAATAAAATACAGCCCAAGGTTACGCCCCTTGACCTCTTCTCTTCTGGTGACCTTCCGTTGAATCTGCCCTGGCTCCATCGCCGATTTGACGCTGGCATGGTTGCCTTCCTAGAATGCCTTCGACAGCTGGGTAACCAGGTCGAAAGGACTCCTACCTCCATATCCGCTCCGGCAGAACCACCATCCTCGAGGCTGGGGAACCCACAACGACGTCAGAATCAGACACAAGTGACGGGCCTAAAGTTGCCGTACGAGATCAAGCGTGATAAAATTGGCGATGCCAGTATTAAGCTTGGGTTCAACCAGAACGACGAAACTTGGACCCGCGCGTGCAAATATACACTTACATGCTGTAAATTTTTACTAGCACATGCAAGTAACGCTGGATCTACCAACAGATCGAGTGGCTAAGACAGGTCACGGACGCGTTTTCTTTTTCTTTTCCGATAAAGGTTCGACGAGACGATTTCCTTTTTCTTCTATGTATCACTACACCACCTACTGCACCATCTAGAACTGTTACGATACTTTTAATTTGGCTGGATTCAAAATATGGGGGACCCCAATACTATTAAATCATTTCTATCTATCAGTATCAGATTTATCAACAAGAAGTTCGCATATCCGCCATATCTTAGCACGCTTTAATTTACTTTTCAAGCCTGCACCTAAAAGAAATGGGAGAATCGCTTGCTCCCTGGAAAATCTCAAAACATAATACACATTGCAAAACGAGGGGCCCTCCATAAAACCAAGACGACAGCAGAAAGGAACAAGTCAAACAAAGCCGTTATGCCACTGAATCGTATAACCTGAATATTTCATGTCATCCATATCCAGTGGCGCCATTATAGTGTCATAAAACGTATTTCAGGGAAAAAGAGCATCATCGACGGCGACGTTATTAAGGAAAGTAGAGGCAAATTGAACGAACTTGAAAGCATCGGCGAAATTGGACACCAGACCAAGGGAGATGCGAACAAAGCCGCCATTCGGAAGGCCGATATCACTCAGGGAGGCCTCGCTTTCTCTCCTCTTCTCCATCATTCGGCTTTCATCTACACTCTCAACGGATGTCTTTTGTATGGCGTCCGACGCATCAGAGTCTGAGACGGGAGCTTCTCCTGCACCTGGCTGGAAGACAGAGCCTGCATGCAACGAGACGTTGAAGGCAGAGGCTCTTCGTGCCACCGTTGCTTCATTAATGAGACAGCCCTTCATATCGACGAAGTTAAGAGCAATAGTACCTCCACGAGGCAGCTCGGTTGTCTGTGGGCCATAGACGACCACCAGGGCTTCGCCGTTGGTATGGCTTAGACCATGGAGCTCGTTAAGCAGCCATTTGGTAAGGCATGAAACGCGGGTGTGGATGGCTTCCATACCGATCCCGGCTATATGATTGAGGCCGATACGGATTGCAGGGAGGGAGAGGAAGTTAATAGTTCCATCCTCGAAGCCCTCGTTGTCTGCCAGCAACATATGTCCGTTGGCCTGGACCGAACTGCCCCAGACGGTGCCTCCAGCAAACCACGGACGGCCGAGTTTGGCAAAGGCCTCCCTGCGAGCCAGCACCGCTCCAACGCTGGACGGATGGCCGAACATCTTGTAAAACGACACGGTCACAAAGTCAGGGTGCCAGCGGGTGAGATCCAGTTTATTTGTGGGAGCATAATTGTCCGCGTCTAATAAGACATGCCATCCCTGTTCCTGAGCTGCTGCAACCCACTCTAGAGGATGCTGGACACCGGTAAAGTTCGACTGGGCGGTATACGCGAAGAGACGAGCAGGAGTATCATCGCTGCTTTCCTTACGGGCCAGGGCCGACTTGACGGCGGCTTCGTCGCACCGTAACTCGGGCTGTTTCACGGGCACATACGAAACAGCCGCGCCCCGTCCCTTTGCAAAGTCACGCAAGCCGAGTACAGCATGTTGGTTGTCGTTCAGCAGTAGCAGTTCACCTCCTTCAGCGAATGGATAAGCTTCTCCGATCAGCTTGAGCGCATTGGAAGAGTTGATAGTAAAGATAACTATGTATTCCGCCGGATCTGCTCGGAAGAAGGACAGCACTCGGGCTCTGGCCTGCTCGTCGAGACGGGTGATGGCACTCGACGTCGGATTGATCGAATGAGGATTGCCAAAGACGTTGCTGCGAAGAAGTTCGAAGTGTCGCTGCAGCTGTGATTCGCCGTGAATCCCGGACCCGGCATAGTCCAGATAGATGCGGTTTTCTTTATCCAACACTGGATAGTCGATCTGGCGGATATGGTCCAATCGAAGAGTTTCGTCATAGGTTGGGTTGGCCTTGCGGAATTTTTGTTCAGCCTTGCGAAGAGCACGAGCGACTTTATATTTGAGAATCAACCGCCTGCGCGCTAATTCGATCTTATCGAGATATCGTCCCAGCGGCAAGCATACAGCACTCATGGACGGTTGAGAAGCCATTGGGGACAAGATTATTCAAACAATTACCGAGCAAGACGACTGTTTTTTTGGCCAGCTATCAACTCGCTCAATGAGGATTCCCCTGGATTTGAATAATCGATTGCCTCGAGCCTGCTCCCTGTAAGACCCTGGCAGGCATTATATCCTGCAACGTACACCTGGCGACTGCGTCCAACTGTCCGCAAGGGCCTGGCATGGGTTCCCAGGGTTAATTCCGCGTTACGATTACTACACTGCACGGCCAGAGTACAGGCCCGCCGCCATGCAGCATTTAGTGCAGGATTTTCGCTATGGGCTAGCCTGGATAGGTGCGAAGCGCGGTTATTTACTCCATGTCCACATGAAAAGACAACCGTGTGCCGTGCGCAGCTAAAGTCGATTGGCTCTTGTTTGGGGGTCCTACCGAAAGGCAAAGCCCGCTGGCAGGGTCCATTTGAACCGGGGGAGAGAAAGGTGCATCGGTGGCCGGGGGGCGCGGAGGACGGAGGACGGAGGAGCTACTGCAGACCTTCCCTGTAGACAAGGCGAATACGGGGGGCGATGAGATCTGATTTTTGGGAAGTGGATGGAGGTGGGTACGAAACTATTCATTTTTTGATGATGTTGCGAGGAAGATATATATACACCGGCCATTCCACCCACAGTACGAAATATATCACATATATTAGCAATAATTGTATAACACCGCCGGACCAAACACGCTCAGAGACCTCATAACCAACACCGTCCGAAAGGGCACAAAAGAGAGAGAGAGAGAGCGGGAGGGAGAGAGAAAGGAAGATGAAGGCTAAGAGTAGAAATTGCTCTTCTGGAAGTTCTCCAGGGAGATATCGGTTGGCTTCCCCTTGACGGGCTCGGGAGCCTGGCCCCCCTTGAGTGCAGTCAGGCTCTTGGTCCTCGCCTCCGCTGAGTTGCCGACCAGTGTGCTTGTCCTCGTAGCTGGCGCGCTGTTGTTCGCAGCCGCAGTCGTTCCAGCTGTGATCGCTTGCTGCTGTGGCCTGCGTTGAATGGCTTCCAGATACGGGCTTGGCAGGTATCCAACAGAGCCATCGCGACCTCTGCACCTCCACCATTCGGATGGGTTCCCCATTGGATCAGATTTGCTCAGCACGGCAACGAGATCGCCCTTCTTGACTGCCAAATCTATACCGCCAGTCGCCTGTGTATCGGGCGAGTAGTCGTACAAGACCCGACAGAAGTCAAGCTTCGACGGGTCGATCGAACCCTGCTGCTGGGCTTCGTTTAGTAATTCTTGCTGTCGTTTGGCTTCCTGCTCTTGTGACCGGGCAAGGACGCGGATGAGCTTCGACATGAGATACGGTAGGCCGAAGACGGCGGCAAGGAAGAAGAAGAAGGGCTTCTTTGATGGCTTCGGTCGGCCGGAGCCATCTGGTAGGCCACCGTTGTTGCCAGTAAATGCAGAGAATGCTGAGGGAGTAAGAGCAGTCGCATCTGCGGGTAGAGGGCGACCAGTCAATTTAGCGAGCAGTGTTCGGAACCACCGAAGAATTGTGAAGATGCCCAGGACGGAGCCTAGTGTGTTTTTGAGAGTCCCAAATTGTTCTGCGACTGATACCATAGCTAAATACCAACATAGCTAGTTAGTAAAAAAAATGTGTCTTGACGGATATTTTTTGAGACTTACCGAAGAATGAGCTATGTGTTGCCATATATGTGCTTTCCAGCATCTGGGCAAATCCTCCGAACGCCCCGACGATGCTCTCGATCATCTGGAACGTCGCCTGCGTACTCTGGTTAAACGAGTTTGTCAAGCTGTTCGGGTCACCGCCGTTCTGCATGCCTCCGTACATTCCACCCATTCCACCCATACCGCCATACATCCCTCCCATTCCGCCATAACCACCATACATCGAACCCATGCCCCCCATGGCCCCAAACCGTGAATATGGCGATGAGTAATTGTTATACCCACCACCATACGGCGCCGTGCCTAGTCTGGATGCGCCATATGGAGAATAATTCGAGGCTGTCTGGCTGACCACAGCGTTCAGCGAGCTTGGCCGGGACGGGAGTTCAGGTGTCGATGTAGCGGTAGAAGATGGCGCAGCAGCGGTAGAAGGTTGAGGTGTCGAGGAAGCCATTGCGGTCTGTGGTGCCAGAGCTGAGCCTTTATGATATTGTCAGTTCAGAATGTCCATTTGATATTAATATATCTATCTTGGTGGCAAGGAGGGGGGTTGTCCTTTGTTTCCTAGGGCGGTGAAAGGAATCTAGCCAATACTCACCTGCAGTTGAAACTCCTGCTCGCTCCCACGGCTTGGGCGGCGAAACGGACGCCATCGCGCAGTGTGCTGTATCCAATCCCCCCTTTAACGGTGGCGCATCGATAGGGAAGGCTCTTAACGGCCTGTAAACGTTGAACTGAGTATGGCTGACACCGGGGCTGGGAGTTGTCTATTCGGGTCTGTTTGGTGTAAAAAAACGGCGGGGAAGAGAGGGTGAACGCCAGCAGTCTGGGGAAACGCCAGAGAGTATGGAGAGACGGAGCGAGATGGCGGTTTTGTCGCGGCCAAAACTTCCTCGTCCTCTTCGTCCTTCTCGGTCCCTGGATGCAACTTTGAACTTTCAGCCGAGGATGTAAATTTGCGTCTCGTGACTCGCCATCTCTACGTCACATTCCTCGGCTAAACTTAACTCCGCTCCCTTTGTCACGTGATATAAAAGTATTACCTAAGCCAGACAGACTTGGACCCTTTTTACTCTTTACTCTTTACTCTTACCTCTTACCACTTACCATATTTCTGATATACAGGCCATAGAGTGCTATCCATTTACTTCTATACACTAATGAACCAGATGCCAGACCAGCGATAGAGTCTATCAGCTACCACTAGAAGACACTCCCAGAGCTTGTGGTGACAAAGATAAGGGCTTCGAGTACATTACACATGAACAGCTACAGCGTCGAGCTGGCCGGACTGATACCACTTGAAGCACCTCCGGAGAATCACCTGCTTCTCTCCCTTGCAGGTAGAGCTGGTCAAGCAGGGGCCGTTACCAGGTTACTGGGGACCACTGGCATGAACTATGAGGATGCGGACCTGCTTATTTTAGAGCACTACAAGGATTCGTTCACCATGGCCGATCTCACTGCGGAAGAGGCGCAGTTGGTACATGACATCTTGCATATAGAGGCCCAAGCCGTGCAGAAGTGACTAAAAATTGTCAGGGATGGTATTTTGAGGCTAGGGGACGTGAAGTTGGTTGCAGACTCAAGGCTGTCTCCTATCCTGGCAATGCTACAGCCCGCTTGAGACGGCAGCAACACGTCTTAATACGCAAGGGTTATCCCGATATCAATCGCCGAGACCCGCAATTTATTATACCCTTGATATCCAGTTACCTATCCCACCATGCTGCGGAAACGTGTTCAATTACCCGCAGCAGGACGGTACGGGTCGGCTCTCCGGAGATTTTTAATCTCCTTCGATATGCCAGTTAGCCCCAGGGAAGTTCACATAGGTTGAGTACCTGGCCGCTCCCTGCTGCATCTTTTACCCAAGAGACAGCGCCCAGCCGGTGTACCACGTGACCTCGGATTTCGCTGCCCAGATGGCTTCATCCTAGCCGACTCTACTCGCAGATTTGATATCAATCAGATCATCCTCTATCATTGTTATCCCTGGACCATTGGTGGATCGTTACACTAGGGAGCTGGTTCGTTATGATACAGTCGAAAGTCTTTCCGCTATACAGCCAGCCACTTCCCTGCATGCTCCGTTGATTATAAATGTCTATGCATCGTACTACGTACATCCGACGAAATGCATTTATAATCAAAGTATCTACCCCGCCATTCCAAGATGACAATTATATATAGTTTCCTTCGGGACTATATCATGTAACCCATCGACTTGCAATTCACTATTTCCCAAGCCATCAACACACACCGGCCAACATCATGCCAGGTGATAATATTAAGCTATGGTATTTGCCGGGGTCCTGCGCCCTTGCCCCCCACATACTCCTCCGAGAAATCGGAAAAGACTTCGAATTGGTCGAGATGACGATGGAAAAGCTCTCCGGAGAATACGACGCCATCAACCCCAAGCGCCGAGTCCCAGCGCTCGCCCTCAATAGCAATGAAATAATTACCGAGAACCCCGCGGTTATGTTGGCAATTTCAAATCTCGCGCCTGAGAAACATCTGATGGGGAAGACGCAAATGGATACTGTTCGCGCAATTGAGTGGGGGACCTGGTTGTCTGGCACAATGCACGGTCAGGCATTCGCTGGAGTATGGAGGCCTCACAGATTCATAGGTGAACCCGAGTTTTATGACAAGATTAAAGCCCAAGGCATGATCACTATCAAGGAATCGTTCAAGTTTATTGAAGATAAGCTCTCTGGATTACATGCTGTCGGCGATGAGTTTACTGGTACTGATGCGTATCTTTTCGCCATTTACCGATGGGGACAAACGATCAAGTTGCCTATGGCGTCGGACTACCCGAAGCTCACTGCTCTGGTACTCGAAGTTTCGAAGCGGGAGTCTGCAATTGCCGCTTTAAAAGCAGAGGGACGTCCTCCGTTCACGGTGCAGTGAAGAGCTACTGGGAATCGATGATGCTGAATGCATATTAAAACCTTCTATGAAAATACTACCGTCAATAGCTGTTGATATATAGTTATTGAATATCTAGGGATTATGACTCTTGATGGAATATGTTCGCCATCTTTTGTAAAGATATTATTAATGAAAGAATCAAAGGCATTATGTATATGAATCAATAATTAAATCTGTAAAGTATCCGAGTTTCTCCCCTGAAACCAAAACATTAAACCAAAAAACTGCCGCGACATAGTCTACAATTCATCAGGACTTGGGAAATGAATCTTCCATGACCTCGGTGGAACAGGTAAGCCAAGCCAGAAGTTCCACAAACGACCAAGTTCCATTACTAGAATTTCCCATCTATAGACACAAATGAAGCGGTTAGCCTGAGTTAGAAAGCAGAACGCAGAATATAACATATCGAGGGGAGGTAAGCAACTTACGCAAGTGCAGGGAAGTTAATCCAGCTCTTCAGGATAAAGATATAGGCACGCCATATTAAACCGGCCTCTGCAGCAATCATATCCATAATACTTTCCGGCTCGTCCTCCTCCTCTGGTTGAGTATCCGGTTTTGCCTCCTCGACATCTTCCAAAGGCAAGGACTCCTCCTTTCTCGGAGGAAGAGAATCCTTTATTTCTTCCGAAGACTTATCTATTGCCTCGTGCTGGGAATACATAGCTTCATTCCTTGATCCGATCGCGTCTTCGAATTTCTGAACGGATGCCAAACTGTGGGATACACGGCCAAGGGTGTTGATTAGAGCAACAAGCTCCGTTCTTCGGATGGGAGGGTTCTCTCCGTTCTTGGTCTCATCATATTCAAACAATACTTTAAGGGCTGCACCGTATCCAGCCGTTTGGAGCTTCCCCCATAGCCGGCATTTGTCACATCCAATGCAATCCATTACTCGGCTGACGTTCCGGAATCGGTTGCGGAAATCCTCCTTGAGCCCACTCGCAACAGAGTCCTGGAACATGGTAGTTTCGTCGAATATCTGGGGATGGGTGGCGACCATGTGCGTTAAAGTATTCATCTTCTGCTTTGTGTCGTAATCCTGGTCTGGGTCGCTGATACAGAAACTATAGCCCTGAAGATGTTTCTGTAGTTTAGCAACAGCGCGGGTGAGGAGGCCGAAGTTGAAGTAAAGGTTGGCTATTCGCTCCGGGTGTGAGTGAAGCCTCTCCTTGAAACATTGCATATTGGGAGCCCACTTTCCAGTAGATTGGTTGAAATAATCCCAGCAAAGATGTGTCGAAATAGATGCGTGCATGCCACTGACTATTCGGTGGAACACACGTTTTTCAAGACATTCGTCGTCTAGAGGGTATAATTCGTCCCGAACGGCCCCAGAGACTACCTGGTTTAGCTCATGGCTTTCGAGGACATGTCGAAAATCCTCCACAGCCTGAGAGCCCAATGGCGCTCCAAACACATTGTTCGGTGCCACCTGGGACTTCACTTGGGGCTTTATGAAGCAATTCTCTCTGTAAATTGCATTCCAAACGTGCCTGGCCCCTGGTCCCGAGTATCCTGTAAACCGCTCTGGATTGTCGACCAAGCTCACATAGTCGCCTTTCCCTGTGGCGCCCTCATCTTCCGGAACGCAATAATCGCGCTCATCGCATTCGTCGTCATATTCAACGACGCACGATTCACCAACGCCTTCACCGAGCATTCCCTGGAGTGGTTTCTCCTTTGGCCGCTCTTCCTGCTGTCTTTTCCCTGGATGGCCAGCTTTGGGGCCTTCCAGCTTACTCAGTTCCTCCGCTCTCCATATCAGCGGTATATCTGCCTCTGAATCTAACGTGCTGACCGAACAGGCAATATTTCCACACATCCCGGCATCGTCTGACCAAAATGGACATTCTTTATTAAAGAGATTTAGACGGTAATAGGAGAAAAAGTCCGAATGTTGCGTGAGGGAGTTTAGAACGGGGGTTATTTGGCTGTTTATGCCGTCGAAGGTGGCGAAGGAGGCACACGCATCGGAGACGGTTGACCTGGCATCAATCTGTATAAGACATCTTCGATTAGCAGTGTTCAACTGTGCAGGAACAGGCTGGCTCTCACGTACCGCGCAGGAATGAGATCTAGATCTATTCTCTTCTCCATGAGCTGGAGCAAGAAGGGTAAAAACAGCAAGGTAAAAGAGCTTTGAAGCGCCGCCCATCTTGGCTAACGAAGGATAGTGAAACTGCCTGTCGTGCACTGGTCTCAAACGATATAAATACCGAATGAACAGACCTATCTGGTGGAGCTTCTTGAGATATCTCCGACGCACTAAAAGATAGCCTAAAGAGGGTAGATAGCGATCAATCCCTTAAGAGACAGTGTAAAGCATGAGAGAGAGTATCAACGAAGGTTCATCTCACTGAACTCCTATCGGCAGCAGTTATTTCGGCGTAAATAGGGGGCGATCGCCTTTATATGTTCCATCTCGAAGATTTGAGATTGCATGGTTTCTTTTGTTCGCAGGAAGATGACATGTGGCCTCCAACCAATAGTTAGTGACGTCAGCGTGGCCTTATACCACTGCGCCTACAACAACGAGCTAACTGTCTACGGAGTACGAGAGCTTACGGAGGTCATGATAGAAGTCTGTTCTTATGATATACTACGTCTCGAGTCTATCGGCACAATATCCTGGTTCAACCATGGTTATTGCTAGTTACAGCACCCTGGTAAGACAGGGCTCTGAAGCACCGAACTATATCATGAAATAGCTCTTACAATGCTATTACTGCTATTATACCAATATCTCTTATCTAGTCAGAGCACCTCCATAATACGTCGACCAATGCCACAGTCGTTTAGGCAGAGAGGATACGCCGCCTACAAGTTATAGAAAGAGGCAAAGTTGTAGCTGGTCCAGTCTCGAATAATGGATCACCAACTATGAACAAAAGTCCTGAAGACAGCACTCTGCTTCCCTTGTTTGCTAGTATGTTTAGGTTCCATGAAGGGTTGAAGGCGCTATGTAGCTCCATTTGCCGAGATATTAAGTATTAACTGGAAATATATCGTTGAATATTGGTATATATACATCGAGGAATGGCGAGGGCTACTGGTTCATCTATGTCGAGAACCCATGGCATACCAATCTATAGCTTCGACCCTTGCTTGTCTTTCTTTGCAGCTTGCCATCCAAACTCAATAGTTTGCCCTATGCCAGGCTCGATGATAACGTTGACAATGGTAAACCTCTCCTTCTCCGCAAATCCTGCTCTTGTTGCCTTTTCCAACTCTTCCTCATTCCGTACAAAGAAGCCCTGTCCACCGCACACGCTTGCTAAACGGTCATATCGCGTCTCGTATAAAAGACTTGTAGATCGAAGCCCCTTCTTGTCCGAAGTAGAAGACCTAGTGGGTTCATCTACTCTTGTCTCATTTGAAAGCGTTTCCTGCTGTAGAATACGCCAGTCCTCTTCTGTCTTGGCATCACCGTGATATACACCGGAGTTGTTCATCACGAAGATCAAGGCAGGAATTTGGTGTCGAGCAAGAGTTTCGACCTCCATGGCACTAAAACCAAATGCGCTGTCACCCTCTAATGCAACAATTTTCTTCGGTGATGGCGCTTCAAGTGTGCCATCTGGTTGGGGAAGGTTATAAGCTGCATGGGCAGCGATGATGTAACCTAGGCCAACACCCATGGTTGCATAGGTACCAGCATCGAGCCTCTGACGGGGGTGCTGTAGAGGGAACGCAGAGCGGGAGATATCCATTGTGTTAGCACCTTCGGAAACATAGACGATGTCTCCGTTTTCCGGAGGTGAAAGAGAGTTGAGTGTTGTTTTAATGAGGTGGAAAGCGCGCTGGAAGGTCAAAAACTTCCCGGATGCCGTGACTTGGAGGGCCTTCTCCTGTGACTTATTTTCATTCTTGGTGGCAGAAGCAGACAACAGCGCAGGATAAGAAGTGGGTGAGTTAGAAGGTGGCTGATAGTGCCAATCACCGAGAGCCCTATGGAGCTGATCAACCACCAGCTCTATATCACCCACTATACCCAATTCACCGCTCCCAGAGTTGCGGCCAATCTCTTCGGCATGGACGTCCACTTGGATAATCTTGACATCCGGTGACCAACGGGGCGCTTCACCAAAGTGCAAAATCCAATTCAGTCTAGCCCCGAGAAGCAGAACGACATCCGCGTTCTTCAACGCAACACTCCGTGCACTGGAGGTGTTGAGTGGGTGGGAATCAGGTACAACACCCTTACCCATCGGGGTCGGTAAGAATGGCAAACGTGCGCTATTGATCAGCTTGCGAATAGGTTCTTCAGCTCTTGCGTACGCTGATCCCTTGCCCACAACCACTAAAGGAGCACGGGCAGATCTGAGAAGTTGTGCCACTTTGAATATAACACTGGGGTCACCGGCGGGTTTCGGGGGTGCATGCACCAATTGTAGACCCGCGGATGGCGAGATGTTTGTTGCTTTCCCTTGTATCAAATCCGCCGGTAGGTCAACGAAAGTTGTGCCCGGGCGGCCATACCAACATGTTCTGTAAGCATCATATATGGCATTTTCGGTATGATCTACCGATACAGGCCTCACAGATAATTTAGTATGTGGAGTAAGCAATGATATAGCATCCATCTCTTGGAATCCTCCTTTAGTCACGAGAGTCGTTTCTGCTGAACCAGCAAGAACAAGCAACGGGAACGCATTTACAGATGCATTTCCAATCTAAAGGGAATTATAAGCCGATTGTCCGTTGGCGTGATATCAAATTAAATAGAATTTCGAGGTAAAGAACTCAGACATACCCCTGCCATTGCATGTAATACTCCAGGACCTCCCACGACCAAGCAAACACCAGGCGTCCCAGTGATATATCCGTAGACGCTAGCTGCATAGCTGCATGCTTGTTCGTTCCGAAAAGCGATGAACCGTATCCCCAAATTGATTGCTTCTTCAGCAATCTCAACAATCGGGATGCCGACAATGCCGAAGATGACTGTAACCCCAAGATTTTTAAGAGCTCGCGCAATTACCTGCGCTCCAGTTGGCTGGTTCATCTTCGAGTTCATAAAACAAACCGCAGAATGTGTGAATGGAGTGCGGTCTCAAGTTAAACAAGAGTCAAAAGCCGGCTAAACCGCCCGACTAAATCGCATGTGTTTCAAGTGATATCGTGTAAATAATTGGCGAACGGTCACTTCACGTCACTGGTCGACACAGTAAAGTGAATAGTCCCCTTGGGATGATGGGAAGGAGGAAGAAAACTTCTAGTTAAGTAAAATTCCGGTCTATGCGGAGAAGTTGGAGAAGTTGGAGAAGTTTCTCAGCTTGAAGTCGAGATTTCCCGATCGGGCCAGCGGTGACGCCATCCGGAGTTCAGCCGAGGTTAAGTAAATACCAGGGATTTTTGGAGTAATAAGTCAACAATTAACAAACAGCTTAAGATCAAGATGAAACGATGGCCGAAAAAAGTGGTATTGATTATATCGTATCTCAAAATCGGCAAGTGATTCTATAACAAACATATATGCGAACCTGCTCAAGGTAGAACAAAGATAAAAACATCCATCCATCCATATACAGAACGAATAATTAAATATATACCCTGTCCAAAGTATTTTCCCTTCCCATCACATCCACTCCATATCGGTACGCTGTTGGCTTTCCAGGTGACCGTCATTGGGACCTTTAACGATGAACTCCAACTCTATCATGGCGGAATCCCGCTGGGTTCTAAAAGTCGAACTCCCCCTTGAATACCGAAACGTCCATTCCGCTGACTACCATGTCGCTGAGGTCTCTGCGGCCCATCTGACTAAACACTCGTCGCAAGGTATCGTATAAGTTCGTACTCTGGTTTTGGCTAATGTGGATCATGCGTTCAAGCTCCGCGTCATCGATACCATCGACTCCCTCGACAATCTCCCTTGCTCGTTCGCGGCCTTCTTGCTCGACAACCTTGTGCATTGACAAGGCGCCGAGTAGATGCTGAGCTGCTTCGGGGTAGCAGCCGATATTGATGCAGGATACACCTAGATTGTAGCGAGCGCGAACGAAGTTGGGGTTGATTGTGAGAGCCTTCTCATAGGCTTCGATGGCTTCCTCTGATCGGCCGGAGTTTGCGAGGGTCGCACCAAGCCTATTCCAGAGTAGATGGATCTGTCCTTTTTGATTTGAGGTTCCTGATTCAGTGGAGGCGAGGGCAGCAGAGAAGCAGTCGACAGCTTTGTCGTATTCCTCTGCGCCGTAGAATAGAACACCCAACCCAACCTGTACATCAGGGTCCATAAGCTCACCATGTGGCGATAGTTGTGCCGCCTTGATGAAAAGGTCCGTCACTTTCTCGTGTAATAGGTGTCGGTCGGTAAATCCCATCTCAGTTTCAGTTCCGATGTCCTTGGGGTCAATAACTTGAGGGTACTTGATAGATAGCCACCTCTCCAAGGTTCGGTAGGCTGTCGAGTCGTATCCTTCGTTGGTATATGATACTGCTAAGCCCATGAGTGCATCGAGGTTATTGGCATCTAGCTTCAATGCTTGCTCCAACGCCCTGATAGCCGGGCTTTCTTTCTCATTCTGCGCCTGTGCCGACCCCAACATAGTCCACGCCTGGACATGACTCGGATCCTTCTGAACAGCAGCTTCAAACGCAAGGGCGGCAAGAGATAGGTTCCCACCCTCTTCCAGAATTCGTACTCCCTCCTCGAACGGGTTGCCAACAGCCCTGAACGCGTTTTCGTCTTCGAATAGATAATCTCCAAGCTGTGGGTCCCTATAATTATGGGTATTCAACCCACTATCAAAATTCTCCCACTCGCTGAAGTCGCCCATCGCCATGTTTTCGATCTTCTCGTCCTGGTCCACCAGTTGTCTATTTGCAGCGGTCTCAGCTTGAATTCCTCTCCACACATTCTCAAAATCTGAAAAATCGTTCGCTTCTGCGGGAACTGACCTATCCAAATCTTCAAGTTCTTTCTCCATGGCAGCATTCGCCTTGTCATCCAGGGTCTCCTGGCCTGAAGCATCTATCTCGGCAAACTGAGCTTCCCAGTTTTGATCGTCCAATTCGATCATCCTTCCCTTGCCTTTAACATCCTGTTGTTCCATTGGCTGTTGTTGGGGCTGTTGTTGCATGCTCATAGGCATATATGATGAGTTCATCATGCCCATTTGGCCCATTCCCATGCCATACCCTCTAGCCATTGGTCTCTGGTACTGTGACATCATCGGGCTCGCCGTTCCTGAAACAGCTCCGGCTCTGCTCTGCTGAAATCGTGCGAATTCCGATGCCTGGAAGGCATTATTACCCTTCATCATGCCGGGTGGCGGTGACTGAAACGCGGCTTCCATGCGGGCTTGCTCTCCGGGATCAAACTCCGCGGCCCAGCCAGGCGATCCTGTCCTCTGAGGAGATGGCTGGAAGTTTTCTAGCTCTCGACGCATCTGTTCCATGGCAAAGGGTTGTGCTGGTCCCTGCGGCATCTGATCGGTTTGTTGTAGGAATTCTTCCATCATCTAGATTTCAAAGCCAACAGGTAGGTTAGTTCCTCATCTCTACGCCTAAATGTATCTTGTTCATCGCGACTTACATGATCTTGCCCGCCCATCATCCCTCTTGACCGCATGGTCTCCTGTCGTCCAGGTCCATTCCCAGCCAACCTATCCCTCTGGAGTGACTTGTCGTCTTGAACATGTTTTGTGAACTGCGTAAGGGGGTTTCCTGCCGTTGAGCACTCCGAACCGCCCAGGAAAGACATTTTCTCTGGTAAATAGGTGTGAATCAAGCTAGGCGGCTGGTGGTAAGGATCGCGGGAAAAGGGTCTCGGGTATCTGTATACGAAGGCAGCAATGAAAAAGAACGGGGGGTAGCTTTAAATGGAGTAATAGAAAATCGACTATAAGCACCGGGTATATGGATTTAAATGATTAGGGGAGAGAAGAGGAATTAATAAAAGGTCGTGGCTTCGAGGCAAACGTAAAGGATATATTACTGTATCTCCCTGCGAGCGTGGGGAAGTTTAGCAGGGCAAAACACAGTTTCTTCCTCGGTCTCTTTTTTGGGGCGAACTTGCTTACTCAGCGAGCCGAGGGATAAATCATGTGACACGGTAGTTTTGATAGAACGGAGCTTGCCTACCAAAAGCATAGTGAAAGTAATAATAATATACATGTAGAGTGAGTGTGTGCGATGAGGGGAGTTCAAAAGATATAGCATTGGATAAGGATGTTCATGTAGATACAGAAGAAGACAAAAACAGGCCACAGACAAGACACCCCATGCAAGATCATCAGAAAACAAACGCAATCCCTTTATATACTACAGTTGCTTAGCAATTTTGAAAGAATAAGAAAACATAGGTTCATAGTAAAAACAGCCAAGAAGGGGGGAAGGGTGGAGAAATTAGGGCGACGGTTAGGAAAGGGGATCAACGAGGAGGGTGGGTTTCGAACATGAGAGGGAAAGAGACGTAGAGGACATCAACATGCCAGAATGCTCCTCTATAAAGCCAGTAAACCCATCCGGCCGTAGAAATATAAAAACAAAACTCCCCTTATACTCTGAAACTAGACTGGAAAAAGCTGGAGATAAAGGGGAGTTTAAATGTGCTGAAACACCCAAATTAAGCGTTCCCATTTTGTATTCGTTGGGGCTGAGGCCTTAAATGAACGTTCGGTCCTTCGGCTTTATGCGTCCGCTTTAGATTTGAGCGGCTTTAGGGGCAGTCTCCTGAGAGGACTCTCCTTGGGTCTCCTGTTGGGTCTGTTCTTGGGCTTCTGGCTGGGCTTCTGGTTGGGTCTCTTGCTGGATCTCTTGCTGGGCCTCTTGCTGGGCTTCTGGCTCAACGTTTATCTCAGTCTCTGGCCCAGAATTTAGTATTTCGGTTGCGCGGGACGTTTTCTTCTGGGGCTCGGCGGCATTGCTGTAATCCAATCGAAGTGGGCGGCCATAAGGCGCTTTACCCTGGAGGATATCAAACCCCGCGATGGCACTCTCGACGTCGGTAAACTCGGCGTGAGCAAATCCTCTCGGCATGCCGGTTCTGCGGTCAACAGCAACACGGACATCGACGACGTTTGGAATATCATCGAAAAGTTCATGGAGGTCACGATCGGTGATCTGGTGAGCGATGTTGCCAACAAAGAGGGTTCGGGTTGGGGTTGCGCGCGGCTTAATATGCTCGGTCAGCAACTCAGTTTGTGCAAAGTTGGCAGTCAATTGGCGACCCTCGTGTTCCATAAGGTGCATGTGGTCAACTGCGTTTGCAGCCATCTCGACTGTTTCGAATTTGACATATCCGAATCTGAAGAACGGGAGTTAGTAAAGGGGAGCCAATATATATAAAGGGTAAAAGGAGGAAGGACTACCCTCTGCTCAAACCACGACTGTCGTAAATGACGCGAGTGTTCACAACCGTACCAAACTGGCTTGACACGTTCTTTAGGTCTTCGGCGGTCACGTCGAAAAGGATGTTACCGATGTAGAGAGTGCATTTCGGAGTTGGTGGAGGGCGCGAGGGCGGCAGGCCGAATGCACGATCACCGGCCCCTCGACGGTTATCAGCACCCGTGCCACGTTGACCAACCGATCTGACTACAGGCTTCCTGTCACTATATCTGTCTTCAGACTGATTCTCAAAGCTGTCATCATTGAAGAGTCGTCGTTGCGAAGCCCAGAGCTGGTTTCCCATCACTCTTGTTACTTGGCTCAATTGTGAGTTTGAAAACTGAGGCTTAGCAATAAATGATCTGGCCGCGCTTCCGCTGGCAGCGGAAGAAGCGCGGTACATTGCATGCCTGAGGGAAAGCCTATAGAGAGAACAAAAAAAGCCATTAGCATTGTCAATCGCTCTAAACCCGGATCGTGACTGGATAAAGACGGGCTCCCGAAGGAATATGGAGAGACGTACATTGTCAAGGAATGTACAAGCAAAAGTGTTTTACAAGTGTGTGATTAGAAAATAGTAAGTCTCAGTAAGACAACCAACGTGAGAAAGAAATAGAAGAAGACTGTGCCGGAGAAGGTAGAGCTTGAATGGAAGAGAATGAAGATTTGAACCTGGTCAAAAAAAAAAAACTTTTGAGGGTTTCGTCGAGAAATTCTGGCCTTGTCCCGATCGAGGTTAGCGCGTTACCTAACACTCATATCACGTGATTACTTGTATAGAACGCGATTTTAGGGGCAAAAGTGAAGAGTGAAGAGAAACAATATGGACGAAGAACGGGGACATAGGTCATGTATTGCTTTATTTTACTTTTAGCCCTCCATTGTACTATATATACCCATTCATTAACACGGACCAACCAAATAGGCCGACATAAACAGAACGCAATAGGGCCGTAGGGCCGTAAGGAGAGCAGAGGATTTCAAGGATATCAAATTACGGAAAGAAATTGGGGCTGGATAATAATATTATAGAGTGACTCTAGGAGCCCTGGTCGCCACTTTGATAACTATTGCCGTCCATATATGAGGAATGAGTGGAAGGGTTGCCGTTGCCGTCATATGTGCCGTTCTGCGGTTGGTATGCTGGCGGTCTGCTAGCCGACATATTTTGTTCGTTTTCAGCGGAAGTTTGCGGTTGATGTGATTGCTGGAATTCCTGCCGTTGGGATAACTCTGCCCAGTTTTGGCTGGTTGGGTCCAGGGAAGCAGATTGTATATAGTTATCCCATGCGTCCTATAACATGTGCAATTAGCCAGGCATTATCTCATGAGAGGTTAGATCTATAGTCGTATATATGAACGTACCCAGTCGAGGTTAAACGGCTGCATGTCAGGCATCTGTCCAAACATGCCAAACGGCGAGTTTGGAGCTCCTGCTTGGTCGATACCAGATGGAAGGCCCCCTGGTGGAGGCCCCGTTGAACGATCGATTCCTAGCATAGAGTCCGTGAACTGCGGCGGACTTGTAGGTCCAAGTGGCGTGAGTCCACTACTTAGCAGGCCAAGAGTCATCGCAGCGCTCTGTTTTTCGTCCTGGGGGTCAAAGGTCCGTTCGATAGACGGCGGGTCTCTAGTTTCTGGTCCGTGACTCAACCTTTCCAGCAGCAATCCTAGCACAGAGGACGCCTTCCATGCATCCATGGATTCATCTTTCTGCTCGTTCCATATCATGTAGGAATGTCGAAGGCTAGCAAGCATTTCGTCCTGCATTCCGCCTCCCCAATCATATGGACTCTCGCCTTGTCGCCTGGTTGCAGCTAACTGGTATAAATCAAGGGCAAGGATTGTGCTGGCTAACAGGAAATCGTGAGAAGTAAGGGGTGTGGTATACCACCTGGGGTATCGTATTCTTCCGTCTGATATCTTTTCAGCATGTAACATTGCTTGAAATCGTAAAAGCTCCAAGGAGCTGTCAACGCAGGCTCGACGCGACAGCGTATACCGTGGATTTTCACGTGCTTTTGTGTAATAAGGACGATGTAGAACGCATTGTGCTTTGTGGTAAATACTTTCAATCTGTAATTCATCGTACCAGTTAGCACGTTAATGGTCTAGTGGCTTTAGTAGGGATCGAACGTACCCCGAATCTATTCATTATTTTAGTAGCCGGCTCATGGGAACATTCCGGAATAGGCTTCAGCTGCAACCACTCTGGTATCATGTCGCGGACTCGACGAAGTTCCCTGTCTAACTCTAGAACTTCCTCGTAAGCACACCCTCGGAATTTCTGTGATTGCTCTAATACACGTCCAAAAACCGTAGAGAGCCTAGCTTGAACAACGGTATATGTAACGGGAGTCGGCTGGTCAGCTGGCCTCTCGGGTGGCAGTTCTTTGCAGTCCTCATCAAAGTCTTCATCATATATGCATCGAGGGAACTCGGTGTCAGCATCGCCAGTCCGAATCATACTAGGAAGGCCCGCCTCAAAGGAAAATAGTAGATCTGCCTGTCGAACCCAGGTCCAAAGCCTTCGTCGCATTTCCCCTTGGAATATCGAGATGTTCGGGAACATCTTGGAATCACGATGGTAACCCATTCGCATTCCTAGGCGGACAATCATTCCAACAAGGATCCAGACCGAGGTCTCTGATTCGCAACTTTGCGAATACTCTGCTTGTAGATGGAACGCCAAAGTTTCGATTAGATATCGATGAGGCTTTGTGAAATCTGAAAACACCAGGCCTTGTGCCATTGCTAATCGGTATGTTTTCGCTATATCTAATGATTTTCCTCGGAACTCTGGAGGCTCATCTCGATCTCGATGGTAAGATAACATTGCCATTCGAAGCATTGCAAAGACCATTGCTATCCAGACCATGTTCGTTTTAGAAGGATTCTGCCAGTGCGCCTCGTACTATAATTGTCATGGTTAGCAACCGCACAAATAGATACTCGATTAACAGTTAGAATACATACCTCTTTCCAAAAGGTCGGGCCATGGACAAGCGCTAGATAGAAGTAAGTCGTCCTGTTTCAATATATAGACATTGCTGGGCTGAAAAGTATGAACTTACTGATGGAAGGGTCGTGGCTGGAGAAGAAGCGCTGGAGAAGCATATCAGCAGTATATTTTGAAGGGAAAGATGCCATGATCTCCCCTTCGGTCGGCATTGACATTGCGCCAAATATCAAAGCAGAGCCCTTCAGGTCCTGCGTCTGCTTTGCTGCTTGGACTTTCACAGCCTGCTCTTCATACTGCTTCTTATGGGTGACCCAGAACTGTTTGACTTCCGAAATCTAGATAAAACCGTTAACCATTGATCGAGGGATATATCAAATAAGAACAGCCCTTACATCATTCAGGATCGTCGACCAATGCGCCTCAGACACATAGTACGATCTCTGGCTTTGGTTGTCAACCTTCATGACGCCAAACGACTTTGTGACTTGTTCTGTATCACTCTCCTCGTCCTTCAGGTCAATATCGATCGTGTTAGCGCCTGCGCTATGTGGTCCTTGTGAGTCTATACTACCATCTCCAGACACAGTAGCAACCGCAGCAGTAGGGCCAGCCGACTGCGAGCCGTTGGTCATCAATGATAAGACAAGACTCTCCAATCGATCTATGCGATTCTGCATATCGTCGGGCGTAGATAGTGCTGACTGGGTATTCTGGTTTCTGCGCCGGTTCGTCGATTGGGCGTATGAGCAAGACGAGGCGTCGTCTCTCTTCACGCAATTCTCACAGGGCATCGCACGGTTACATTTTAACCTATATGTAGACAGGCGCCGGTAATTAGCGATATGGAACAGCATGAAGACAGAGCACACATGCCATGGCAATGGGAGCTTCCTACTTTCGGTTTCTGCATGGCGCGCAGGACACTGGCACTCGATTTCTTTTTCGAACGACACGGTATTGACCTTCTGGCGAATGCGTACTCGACGACGTTGTAGGTGGTGTAGGAGACATCTTGACGTTATATACAAGGGTTTTCGTTGCGAGCGTAACAGGCGGAGGGGTATGGATAGATTCTGCGCCCGGCGGATCAGGGTCCAGGTGACGGTAGAAGTAGGATGAATTGCTCCGATGAAAGTTGAAGCCTACAGGCCCAACTACGCCCCCGGAGCCTGGTGGCTCAAAAAACCGTCACGTCCACGAAAGCTGTCGTTGATCACTACGGCGTTCCGCGCCGGCTTCGGCGCAGTTAAAAGCTGCCTGCTCGTTCAAACAGCTTCAAGTCGCCTGCTGTGAGCTCTGGCTAAATATGTTCGCGTTAAGATATAGGTGTTTTCGACAGGTCCTGCGCCGGCCGTGTACGCTGTGTGAGCGCGATAGGTGGTGGCCTATCTAGAGGTCGAGGTAGGATGTTAGCATGGCTCTAGCTACCGTCGAGTGGGATGACTAGAAAGGTGCCAGCCAGAGTATAGCAGAAGACACAACTTCAGGCAATCAAAGTAGCATACTTACTGTCTACCTGGAGTTTGATGGAAGTTTTCGTCGTTCTTCCGGCTTGCGCTGGGGTCGGAGAGAGATGGATGAGTCTGCAGTCATGAGCCTGCAGTGCAATCTCCGTACGTTAATATCGCGCTTTTATAGACTTCCCCGGCCGCACAGCTCAAGCAGCGCGGTAAAGGTAGAATATATCCCTACAGCGACTTGAGACGAGCAGCCTTGACGCTGAACAGCACGATATACGGCGGTAGAAGTAGGACGAGGAAGAAATGCGATGCTAAATTACAACTTTCTCTCGGAGATAACAGTCTCTATCACCAGACGTATAAACATTTGACGTAACACTACACCAAGCGAATAAATACATCCAGCATGGAACAAACATTGCAGTAATAGTAGTAATAGCAGTAATAGTACTTGTATATTGAAACAATTTCTCTAGCTTCGAAGACAAAAAATAAAATAAAACTAAAGACAAAGAGTGACGCTGATTGCAATCGTTTCGTCTGAGTCGTGACATCGCCCGTGTATTCGTTTCAGTGTAGCGCAAGTAGCGATTGCAAAAAAATCTCCCAAACATAGTGACGGACGGAAAGAGAAGGGTAAAAAGAAAGAAGAGGGGGTAGTCATAAAACATGGAAAGAAGAAGATGAAGGGTGATATGACGATATCAACAGTGGTGGGTGAATCTTAAGGAGAAAAGGTTGTAAAAGAGATGGTGAAATACAGTATATGGAAATGAAAAGACTGGAGTGCTGCCGAAAGCCAGTGTAGACGGTATCCTGGATGGATTTTATTTTTAGTCGTCCTCGTCCCCGAAACCCCAGGTCTTCTGGTAGGCACTGCGGCGGTTCGGGTTGGCGCGAATAGGACGGTCAACGACAGGGACTTCCTCGGGTTTGTTTTCATCGAACTTATCCCAGCTGGAGTCCATCAGCTTGACCACGTTCATACGGCTGTTGGGGACAGGCTTGTCTTCATTCTTAGCTTCCGCAGCGTCCTCGGGGCTGGCGTCGTCCTTCATCTCCCACTGGCGATCGAAGATCTTGCGTCTGCTGTTGTTATTAGTGGTATTGGTTCCGTTGGAGGTGGTCAATGGCTCTGCGCGGTTCCCATCTTCATCGTAAAGATTGTGCTCGTAGAGCTTAAGCCCTCTATTGTGTGCAGCTCCCGGCTCACGGCCAGTGGTCTTCTCAGACGCAAGAGGAGTCTGCTTATCCTGAAGCTTGAAATGGGTTTCAGCATCGCGCCTCGGCTGGGTGATGCGTGGCTTTGGCTTGGGAGTTTCCAACTGGTCGACTTCATCATCGCTCCATCCGAAGTGACGGACGTTCTGGCCCCGGACTGGCTTCTGCTTGGGCTTTTCAGGAGTCACGAAATCTTCAAAGTCCCATTGGGAAAGGTGTTTGGACGATCTAGGTCGCACAGGCAACGGGCGGGCATCACCTTCTCCAAACTCGAAATGGCCTGGGTCGTGGGATTTTGCAGCAGCCTTTTCCATCTCCTCCAACACTTCTGGCTCGGCATCGTGCCCGAATTCAAAATGGCCAGGTATTTTGGCCTCGTTGATCGGCTGGTCACCGGGAAGCTTCCCTTCGCCGAATTCAAAATGGGTATATGTCTTGGAGATCGTTTTGGGAGTTGAGAGGATGCTCGAGGCCTGACCCCTTGACCTCGGAGGAGTCACCAGGGGCTCGTCGTCACCCTGGAACAGGTCATTGTAGTCTCGTGGCGCCGGCTTCGCGGAGAGAGTAGAGGCACGAGACTTGGTAACTGGCACTGGTTCTTCAACGCTCTGAGCTTCGAAGAAGGACAGAGGAGTAGCCTCGGTTTCCTTTGCGGCCTTGGTAGACACGGCGGCCTCCACTGGAGCTTCTTCCTTCGCCTTCTCCTTCTCCTTCTCCGGCTCAGGTACAGGTACAGCCTTCTTCGAGCATTTCGCCGCAGCTGCAATGGAGGAGCTAACCAGCCGTTTCTGGTCGGCACTGTCGCCAATTGGCCAGTTATTCCGCGATCCAATGACGCCGAGCTGTTTCAAGAGAGCTGCTTGATCCCAGTACTGGCGGATCTGTACGATTTTATCCTCTGCGTCAAAGTGGACGATATGAACCTGTTACACGTCAGCGAGTCCACGCCTCCATCGCGCTAGTAGAAAGACATACCATTGGGATTGTGACTGTCCGATCGACAAGGAAGTTATCGTCCAGTGAGAGCAGATAAGGCCCCCCACCACTGGTAAAGAGCATGGTGGTTTCGACATCGAGACAGAGGGAGCTGGCCCCTTCGACCACGCCGAGCGTCTTCTGCGACTTCTTGTCCAGCGCGCGGCCGGCGGCCTGGAGGTGTTTGATGATGTCCTGGGCGCCGGTATGCGTGGTTGTTGTGGTGATGTAGTGCAGCGAGGCCTGCTCAGCGAGTGCCTCGGGCTCTGGCCTGGCCAGGAAGCCCTCATAGATCGCCTGAAGGGCCATCGTGATGGACAGGGCGAGAGTACGGAGTAGCGAGTGTGTAAACAAAGGAGAACAAGCAGCAGAGAACGAAGCGAAGAGAGTGTAGATATATGACCCCTGAGCGAGGTAGAGGTGAAGTTGGTCCTAAGGGGGAACCTCCGCGTGTTGTTGTATAAACAAACTGACCAAGGCCACAGTTCAAGTCTTCTCCAGGCGCAAAAGACACAAAACACTAAACACGGGGGAGCAATTGGCCGACACGGAACAAGGGGAAAACTGAAGCGAAGAGGAAGACGAAGAAGAAGAAAAAAGCCGGCTGTTACATGGACCTCCACCTAAATTAATCACAACAGAGTGCTGACGGTGGGTTCGCGTGTACCGCAGCGCCCCTGGCTACACATGCCTAGCTTCATGCCCGTCAATCTAGAATGCGAAACTCCGACGTTTCAGAGTGATGATTATTTCTTTTTTGCGCACTGGCTGAATTTCTATAGGTCGAATTATTCCAGTTTATGCAGGTTGGGGCTATTTTAGACTTCTAGCACCGTTGTTTCAGAGATACGCCCCAGAAATGCCCGAGGATGATACAGATTAGTGCGCCTTGGGGGTAGAAAGGAGAAGGAAAAGGGAGAAGGGAGAGTGGAAGACAGGGAAGTTGACAGGAAGTTCGGCTGGATGTATTATATTAATCCGACGATAGAGCTCTAGTCTACAGGTTATCTCATTCATCCAGATAAGCAGTAACTGAGTAATTCCGATGCCAGGTCGAAGAAAGTGTATGTGTGAGTTTGTGTAAAAGGGCATCGCTGAGAGTTTGCCAGGGTTTTCCCCTTCTCCCGTGTCGTATCGCCAGATAGCCGAGTTAGAGGCTCAGGTGGAGGTATAAAAGACAGTGCTCGAGTTGGCGGTTCTGATGTATGAACCATCACTCTGTTATCGTCTTCGATATGTCTGTTGTTGGTATTTATGCTGTGCAAAACGCTTCAGCTGGTGTAAACATGCTGGTTTGTGCATGTCCACAATATTGATAGATGTTTCCATGCGACAGTGTAGTCAAAAAGAATTACAGGGTTCTGGTTGCGTGTATTGTCAGTAAACTGGACTTCAAACTCCTGACACAGAGTAACAAACCCAAGATAATCTTCCCTGATGCTGCCAATTGCAAACATGTTGCGCACATCATTTCGCAGTCCAATCAGCTTGATGCGCAGGTTTGTTCCCTTCTCAATGACCTGATCTGCATTATCTGTATACTGTGGAGGAGTCGCGTCTGGATCCCACTTGATCTCCGGCGGTATTAACTATCGAGGGTCAGCTTGTCTCGCCCTGGTAGGAATGACATCAGGAGACTGCTCCATACATGTTTAGAGACGAAGACTGTCAACGGGCCAACCTCAGCAAAGATGCCCTGGTTCTTCACAGAGGTGACAATCGCATCCACCTCCACGCGAGAACACCACAGTCAGCACAAAACAGGCATCACAGTTGTCAGTCCCATGGTTCGATCCCTTACCGTCTCTCCCTTGAAGGGCTTCCAGACAATGGCGCGGTAGATGATGGTGTACTCCGCCAGTCCGCTGCCAGGTATAATCTTTCCTTCTGAGATATCGTACATGTCCATCACGCAGACGATGTAGTAGTCGCCCGTACACACTCCCTCCACATCATCTAGGAGCTTCTGGGTCAGGTATTCCTTGACATGCGAGCCGAAGAAGGACGGATGCAGCGTCAGGACGTGTTCGAGGAAGTGTATGAAAAACATCGTAGCGCTTGACGCGTGAAGAGATATCCAAACACTCCTTTCCCTCTCAACGGTTCCGTCGTAGCTCTCTGATCAGTCGAGGCTCTCCCGCCCAGTCCCTCTATCCGACGCCGTAGACCGTAGTATTGTTCGATTCCGAGCAGGCAATGCACTTCCGTTTTCGTTGCGATCGTGCAAAGGGCCCTTGGGCAGCAGCGCTTACAACTGCTCGTCACCAACAGCTCTCAGTTCATCTCTCTCTACACACCCGTCGCTCGGCTGAAGGGACGTCGTTTCAAAGGCGCGGCTTCGCAGGGGTCTCCTGACAGGTAAAGTCGAGGCAGCAGTATCGACTCTGGGGCGATTGACGGCGGGAGAGGAGACACTGGGCTCGCGATGAAGTATTCCAAGTGCTGAAACTGTTTTCCGTTGGATGAAAAACACGCGAAATCCCTTTTTCTTGATATCACGTGATATGTAGCTAGCTGTTGGCCTTTTCCCACGTCGTTTCTCTCCCTCTCCCTCTTCCCCCGGATGAGGCTCGAATATCACGGACGATGGGAGAAGACAGTCCAGTTGTTGCAGCGAGGATTCACCCGGTTTGCTCTATCTCTTTGGCGTGACGCGGTAAGAGCTGTCTCTTGTCCATCTGCTGGAGTACATATCACATGCTAAATCGGGCTTCTATATATTTTAGTTGATCCCGACGAGCGCCGCCATAAGTCTTGTACTTCGTCCCGCGCCCTCTTCTTCCCCATAAAACCGTCCATAAACCGATATCGACAGCCGTATAGCGTCTTTCAGCCGGCCGAAGCTGGGCAGAGCAGAGCGTGGACGAGGCAGCAGCCATGCTGGACCTAGAGAAGCAGTTCCTCTTTGTATGCAGATGTCCGTATGATAAAAAGAGGGAAGAGTGGAAAGGCTAACATGGCATCTCAGTATGGGGCATACCATCACCATCCTGTGTGTAGGACCAGAACTATTACCTCTCGAGACAGAAGAACAGAATAGACTAATAGTTGCTGTGAAGGTTAACGTGGTCATCCATATAACATGCGTCCCCGTTATAATGCTCTGCATGTTCCTACTGGTGGGTTGCCGTTAACCATGCTGTGAGACTATAAGGGGAAAACGCATACTAACACCAGTGATGCATATTTACAGGCGGGAAGTGCAGGGCCACTCTTCTATGTCCCAGAGGCAATCAGCGTCCAGCATCTCCCCGCTAATGCTGGAACAATAGCAGCATTTGTCTACCTGACGCTGTACATGCTGATGGAGCCCGTGGCTGGAGCTCTTCTGGCACCTCTGCTGCTGAGCGGAACAGCCTACATGAACTACCTGGTCAGTGCCTACGGCATGACCGCCGTCTACTGGTCGTTGGCCGTCCAGGGAGTAGCCTGGATCCTGCAGTTCGTCGGCCACGGCGTCTTTGAGGGTCGTGCACCTGCCTTGCTCGATAACCTGGTGCAGGCCTTCTTCCTGGCGCCCTTCTTCGTCTGGCTCGAGGTTCTCTTCTTCCTCGGCTACCGTCCAGAGCTGAAGTCCCGTATCGACAAGGCCGTTGCGAAGGAGGTGGCCAAATTCAATAAGGAGAAGGAGGAGAAGGCGAAGGCGAAGAAGTGATATAGTGGCAGAGGTGCAGAGGTTATAGAAACGGAGCGATACCTGCGGTAATGGTGTAATTTGACATCCCGGCTCCTTCATATATCATTATTACGTTTTTGATGCATGCTAGACTGTAGATTAGTTTGGCGGCTTACCACGATAGCTATCACGACGAGCAGTTCCTTATATCAGTGTCTTTATATCATCTTATATCGTCTTATATCATCTTATATCGTATATATCCTCGTATGCCGTATTGTCACGTACGGCCCATTCCGGTTCTTCCCGAGGCCCAACACAGCACCTCTATGAACACCTCCAGTATCTGTCTATTATATCGTCTTAATTTCATCGTACTGATATATCTATCATATAATTATATAGAAGTAAATATCGACAGTAGTATATGCGTATTGTATGTGGTGGTGTATGGATGTTGTGCTCGGCACCGCTTGTGGCCTAGCGCGCTTCAGAAACCTCTCCCAAAAAACGACCAGCTTCCTCTTCCACAAACCTCACCTCTTCACGGTCTGCTAACCGCTTCAATTGCACTGCTCCCTCCACCTTTCCAACTCTCTACTCCTCTACTCCTCGTCCACAATGTTCAGAAGCGCTCTACGGCAGTCGAGCCGCTCCGTGACGGCCGTCGCTGCCACTGGCAGAGTCTCCGCTGTAAGAGTTTTCCTCGTTTTTCCTTCTTGCTCTCCAACGTCAGCCCTCGACTCCCACGCCCGAACAACGCCCAATCCATCCTCAATCGCGCGGATAACGGCCATTGGGGCCTCCAGGGCGATGGATTCGATGGCTACGTCGAGCTTTTGATGGATTGAGCTCTTTGTTGTTGCCAATTGACGTGCTGACATCCGCTTTTTTTCACTCTTCCAGGTCCGAGCCAGCACTCCCAGCCCATTGGCCTCTGTGTCCAAGCAAGTCAGATCCTACGCCGCTGAGGCCAAACCCGCCCCTACTGAGGTCTCCTCCATCCTCGAACAGAGGATCCGTGGTGTCCAGGAGGAGGCTGGCCTCGCTGAGACCGGTCGTGTCCTTTCCGTCGGGTAAGTCGGTTCGAGACTGGGTCACTCCCCCAGCCAATTGAGGCATGCCAGTTCGAATGAAGCTTGCAGCCAACCTGCTATTGAGTGATGATATGCTGACTTGAGTTGATAGTGACGGTATCGCCCGTGTCCATGGCATGCACAACGTCCAGGCCGAGGAACTCGTTGAGTACGTATTTTATCAAAGCTTCCTCAAATGAGACATCAAACTAATGCCATTGATAGGTTCGCCTCTGGTGTCAAGGGCATGTGCATGAACTTGGAAGCCGGCCAGGTCGGTGTCGTGCTTTTCGGTTCTGATCGTCTCGTCAAGGAGGGTGAGACCGTCAAGCGTACCGGAGAGATTGTATGTTTTATATTGGACATTATACCCTCTATAACTCAATTAAAGTGCTAACCATTCCCAACCAGGTCGACGTCCCAGTCGGTCCCGAGCTTTTGGGCCGTGTCGTCGATGCTCTCGGTAACCCAATTGATGGAAAGGGCCCAATCAAGGTCACCGAGAAGCGCCGTGCCCAGCTCAAGGCTCCTGGTATCTTGCCACGAAAGTCTGTCAACCAGCCCGTCCAGACTGGTATGAAGTGTGTCGACTCCATGGTGCCAATTGGTCGTGGTCAGCGTGAGTTGATCATTGGTGATCGTCAAACTGGAAAGACTGCCGTCGCTCTTGACACCATGCTCAACCAGAAGCGATGGAACTCCTCCAACGACGAGACCAAGAAGCTCTACTGTGTCTACGTCGCCGTTGGCCAGAAGCGATCCACCGTTGCCCAGCTCGTCAAGACCCTTGAGGAGAACGACGCCATGAAGTACTCCATCATCGTCGCTGCCACCGCCTCTGAGGCCGCTCCTCTGCAATACATTGCTCCTTTCACCGGATGTGCCATGGGTGAATGGTTCCGTGACAACGGCCGCCACGCCCTCATCATCTACGACGATCTGTCCAAGCAGGCCGTTGCTTACCGTCAAATGTCCCTCTTGCTTCGTCGTCCCCCAGGTCGTGAGGCTTACCCCGGAGAGTATGTTTCTTCCATCATTATCTATGCATATACCTGACACTAACACTCTATAGCGTTTTCTACCTCCACTCCCGTCTTCTCGAGCGTGCCGCCAAGTTGAACGACAACCACAAGGGTGGCTCTCTCACTGCCCTGCCCATCATTGAGACCCAGGGTGGTGACGTGTCTGCCTATATCCCAACCAACGTCATTTCCATCACTGATGGCCAGATCTTCTTGGAAGCCGAACTCTTCTACAAGGGTATCCGACCAGCCATTAACGTCGGTCTTTCCGTCTCCCGTGTCGGTTCCGCTGCCCAGCTTAAGGCCATGAAGCAAGTCGCTGGTTCCCTCAAGCTCTTCTTGGCCCAGTACCGTGAAGTCGCTGCTTTCGCCCAGTTCGGTTCCGATTTGGATGCCTCCACCAAGCAGACCCTTAACCGAGGTCTCCGTCTCACTGAGCTCCTCAAGCAGAAGCAATACCAGCCCATGGCCGTCAACGAGATGGTTCCTCTCATCTACGCCGGTGTCAACGGTCTCCTTGACGGTGTCCCAGTCGAAAAGATCCTCACCTGGGAAGCTGACTTCCTCGCCCACCTCCGCTCCAACGAGCCTGAGATTCTCGCCAAGATCGAGAAGGAAGGTCAACTCAGCAAGGACTTGGAGGCCCAGATCAAGGACTGCATTGTCACTTTCAACAAGAGCTTCTCTTAGAGTTAATTGTACAACAAGACAACGCCCGTGTGTGATGTGATGGTGACATGCATGGCTTTGGTGATCCCTCAATTCCCTTCTCGTTTTCCCTGACTCTATGTATAGAAAGATAGCTTGTGTAAAATCTCGAGATCAGAAAACACTTATCCCGCTCTAGTCAGAAATTCCATTTGTAATTTTGTCACTGTTCATTATTTTACCTTGTCCCTAGTGCTTTTTGCATCTCCTTTGGCAGTTATCTCATATGTCCGTGTACTTCTATCAAACGCGAAAATGTCTAGGTATTCAATGTATGATGTACACCCTTACTTCTATCACCAGCATCATGATCATGGCCCGTAGTGATATATGTATATAGACGAATAGAAACCAGGGCATACTCGGCAAATAACCTCCCTTTATATTAACATCCTAATATCTCTATCCAATCGCAGTTCCTTGTTGTATACTATCACGCGCGCCAGCAAGAGTCATAATATAGTACTTAAAAAGTCAATTAAAAAAAAAAAAAATAGAAAAACTTCCCGCAATCTTCCTATATCCAACATCTCCCTCCAAACCAGAAATCACTTCAATTCCCAAAGATCATTCACCGTATACGCCTATATCTCACCATGGCTACAGACCCTGACCATGGACCGGCATCGTGTAAGGTGGTTTTAGCTGCCTCCGTCGCCCGCGGGCTTCTCGCAGAAGTCATTGAGGGGCGAAAGGCGCTCGATAAGCCACCCCACCTCGTTGGATTTTTGGCCAATTCTGATCCTGCGGCGCGCATGTATGCGAACTGGACGGAGAAAACTTGCAAGGAAAAGTAAGTGGTGCCGGCCGTCGTTATTCATTCGTATGCGTATGTTGGGTGATCCGTTTATCACCATGGGCGCATCGCATCGCATCGCCGTTACCCAAATACATTTCGAATATGAAAACTAACTCGAACAAAAATTATACAGTGGATTCCGCTATACCTGTCGAGAAGTAACTCGCGATGATATCGAAGACGCTATCATCGCCGCCAATACCGATGACGATGTCGACGGAATAATGGTATACTACCCCATCTTCAACAACCGACAAGACCAATACCTCCAGCAAATCGTCGACATAAGTAAAGATGTCGAAGGCCTTAGCCATAGATACATCTTCAACATGTATCAGAACATACGCTTCTTAGATCCTTCGCCGGCCGCTCAGCAGCAAAAGTCAATATTACCATGCACGCCTCTAGCGGTTGTAAAGATTCTAGAATACCTGCGAATATATAACACCATTCTACCATACGGGAACAGGCTATTTGGACATACGATATGTGTTATTAATAGGTCTGAGGTTGTGGGGAGACCGCTTGCTGCCCTGTTGGCGAACGACGGTGCGCTCGTGTATAGTGTTGATATCACTGGTGTGCAGAAGTTTACTCGTGGCGAAGGATTGAAGAAACGACGACACGAAGTAGTGGATATGGAAGGTTGGTCATTGAAAGATGCCGTTCCACATTGTGATGTTGTTATATCTGGTGTGCCTGGTGAATCGTTCAAGTTCGACGAAAGCCTTCTGCGCCCTGGTGCCGTGTGTATAAATTTCTCAAGCGAGAAGGTATAGTATTTCCATCCCAGAGCTGATTCTTCCAGGCTAGTTCCATGCTAATTCGTGAAATCCGATATAGAACTTTACGCCAGCAATAAAGGAGAAGGCGTCGATATATGTTCCAGCAATTGGCAAAGTCACGATTGTTGTACTTCTTCGAAACTTATTGGTGAGTCTTCCATAAGAGTCTTTTAATATTGGGATATCGTTTCTGACGAGGGCTCCTTGAACCTTTTCAGAGACTTGCGCAGAACCGTAGACCCGAAGGTGGCCATCCAGCGGACGCTGTCGAGAAGCCAGGGACCCTCGAAGGTACAACAAGTAATTGACCATCCAGCAGCCCAGTTGTCCAGGTATGAAAATCACTGAGTCTGAGAAGATATAGACGAGGGCTGTTTTAAAGTGTATTGATCATTTCCGGCTCAATATTGATGGCATTCTGTTGCGGATTTCAACAAACACTGCAGATATACGTGCTTTTTAACAAGGTGAAAAGTTCAAGGTATTTAGGAAGCTGCTAGATTGTATTTTGAGTAAGGTTCTGTAGATTTAGATGTAAATCTAACGATACCGTCAAACAAATCTTGCGTTGTCCCCGGGAGGTAATCATTTCCTAGAATACTCAGGGGTATATGGTAGGGATCCACCTCATGAAATCAACAATTCAGTGCGCGTAGCGCATTTTCGTATAAATAAGCAATACCTATATGGTAGAAATAAATGAGGAATTAATTTTTCATTGATCCCTAGCTGTCTTTCTGTATAATGAACATCTTATTCCATCGCTTACAGATCTTTTGATATCCCTAGATTGGTCCAATCCTACTCTTTCATGCTCAATAGCCTTACTTAGAGGATTCTAAAGAAGATTCCTCTACAAGTTTGATCTCATGTCTGAGCCATGCCGAAAATGGTTCAAAATGCAGCTTTCCATCTGCAGAAAACCACTTGGCGAAAGGAGCTTCAATTGTTTTCTCTTGTACCACCTTTCCTGAGGACGAGGTGTGTCGAAAGTGGAGTTTGTATGTCGGCGAGAATTTCTTGGATAGGGACAATATTTGGAGCTAGTATTTTAGAATTATCGTTAGATAACTTTCCTTCCGTAGGTACCTTCATTATGAAGATATAGAAAAAGTCAAGGGTTTAAATACCGATTCTCCCTTTGATGTGGAACCTTCAAACACCTGTCCGCTTTCAACCAGCCATATCCACGCGGTGTATGCGGTGTTTAGGATGAAGTATGCGATCACAGCATATACCATCCATGGTGCTGTAAACTTCCAACCCTTCATATAGTCAAAATAAAAGGAGACTCCAGCAATTGAAACAGCAGAGTACCCTAGTATAAGGCGGATATCGGATTTTGTGTTGCTTGCGACGAATCTATTGGGTTTAGGAAGACCAAGGGTGAGGTATGTTGTGATCGCATCGTCAGAGGTATTTTTGAGGTCTATAGAAGCGGGTCAATGATAATTCCTTAGTTGCACAGTTGTGCATATCAATAGAGAAGAGTATCTCGAGCTTATAAATTGAAGGAGTTGGGTGTGCAAGTCTTACCAGATGAGGAGTAAACAGGAACTGGTGCAGGGGAATTGAGCGGCATCGTTGGAGATATTTTGTAAAGTGATCGCAATTATTAGATATTGAGGGGTTTCCAAAAAAATATTCCTTCCTCAGGAATCCTTAATGGTAGAGCTGCTTAGTGGAAGCTGAGGGTTGGTGGCTTCAAGATAGAGCTACCGTGTTCACTTCTAGAACTGGCGCAGGCACCTAGATAAACACCGGTAATATTTACCGCTGATTCAGATCGCAACGAGCAGTGAGCCTGCTAGGCGCAGTAAGAGAGAAATAAATTATATGCAGTTATGGTCTATGGAGGAGCAAGCTGGCATCTCTAGATGTCTTGAGCCGGAGGAGGTCAAAGTAGATATCACGTGATATACCCATGATGATCTCCTAAGCTTATCGCTTGCATCGTCAACGTTGAGCTCGATGCGACTTTCAAGACAGCTTCTCCCACAACTTTTCAAAGGGGACAAGCCTCTCAGCAGTTAACATGGCTGCTCACGGCCTGGACCAGACAATCCTTCGGGATCCAGCGCTCTTGTATGCCTTAAAACCCCTTCACGTCTCAGACTAAGCTAATTATTCCCAAAGCTACTGGATCCTGATACCTATTTCAGTGGTCATGGTATGTTATATTCCGAATAGAGTAGCGATCTTATACCAATTCATTGGAGGAAATAGCCTAACCGTATAGATCCTTACCGGTATCCTCCGCCACTATGCCACCGTTCTTATGACCAGCTCTCCCAAACCCGCCGCCAGCCTAGCAGAGTTCCGCGAAAGACTCGCTCTCTTCCGTGGAGTTAACCTACGAAGCAATGCGTCTGCTGTCCTTACTCCCTCGAGCTTGGCCTCGCGCAAAGCATACTTGATCAATGCATACAAAAGCGGCGCCTTCTTGAAAGATCCGGAAAACCGTGGCGGTGGGGCGCCAAACCCCATGACGGACCCGGCTGGCATGGACGCAATGATGGGGATGATGAAGGGAAACATGGCCATGATGATTCCACAGACTCTTATTATGTCTTGGATCAACGCCTTCTTTTCCGGATTTGTGATTTGTAGGAACTCCCCTCCTTTTATCAATATCGATACAGCATTAACCTAGCCGTTCGTGTTTTCTAGTGAAACTTCCATTCCCATTGACCATTAGATTCAAGTCTATGCTTCAATCTGGTGTCATGACCCGCGATCTCGATGTGAGATGGGTCTCCAGTTTGTCCTGGTATTTCCTGAATTTGTTCGGTCTCCAATCTGTTTTTGGATTTATACTAGGAAGTGACAATTGTAAGAATGACTCTCCAATTTTTTTTTTAGATTCTATACCGTTTCTATGGTTTGATACTGATACTTTGTATTTGTATAGCCGCTGGCCAGGTGATGCAGCAAATGGGGGTGACGAACCCTGGTGTGAATCCATTCCAGCCGGGACAAGACCCAGAGAAAATATTCCAGGGCGAGGCAGAGAATATTGAGGTTATGGAACATTATTGCATCCTAGACGGAATCGAGGAGAGGTTACTGCAAAAGGCGTCATGATTACTTTTTAAGTGATGTTCGTTATCAAACATTTTGGTTATCGAATTCTTTACAAGGTTCGACTATATGGGTTCCGCGTCTGAAAATTGGTGTACATTGATGAAATGGCGGTTTATGTGACTCGCATTTAGATCACGGGTATATATATCCCGTACACAGCCGAAAATGCTAGATTCCCTTAAAATAAAGACAAAGAAAGGAACAAATCAACAATAAAATCCTACAGATATTCGTAAATCATAACCTGCCATAGCATCTACATAAACAGGCGCTATTGCTTCACAAGTAGTCGATAACGCCGTTTATAACCCAAACTTCACCATTGGCGACCTGAGAGACTATATCCTCAACCTCGATATTGCCTGGATGGATCTGCCCAACCGTTAGCATCTCATTTAACCTTTAGCTTCTCACACCATCATTCAATGACTTACGTATTTCTTCCCATCCTTCTCTTCCCAGAATATTTTCCTTCCCCCAAGAGTTTCAACTTCCTTGCCCGCATTCCAAGAGCCCTGAGGTATCAAATGTGCTGCAACAAACTTCTCCAGGTTTTGAGAAGCTCGTTTCTGCCCTGCTGCACCCGCATACGCCTCCTGTGTTCCAAAGGCCGTGTATTCGCTAGGATTCTCCCATGGCTTGTGAGATAGGCGTTGGATAGCAACATTGTTAGGAGCTAGGACTATCGTATCCTTGCTATCGTTGTCTAGACGCATGGAGATATTCTCGTCACCTCGCGTCATGGAGGCAAACATGTTGACCTCTCGAGTCTTCCCTAGGATATCTGACACACGGACACCGCCACCCATATCGCCGCGAGCTGTCTCTTTAGACGGAGGTAGAACGTACTGCGGGATGGCGTCGGAGTCTATTGGAGGGCTCCGGTTAAGTCTATCGATGTTATTCTGCCCTTTGTCGAGGTTCTTCGGGCTTCGATATTCTCGTGGGAGTAATCGCCTTCTCGATAGTATGGGAGGGTTCCAGTGCGAACAGGAAACTGCGAACAGAGACGACAACAGTAGGAGAGTAGAAAGAGTGACGAGTTTCATAGCGAGCAGCGAGTCTAAGGATGCATAGTTATAAACCGGTTTCAGGTTGTGATTGTATTACAGAGAATCCTCAACGTCGCCTTGCTCGTTCGCATATAAGATGCAGTTTCATATGACGTAGCAAGGCGACAAGGTCACGTGTAGCAACCGCGGGACGAGATGAGCACGTGATCTTATCGATAAGGACTTCTAGATAACCACAAGCAAAAAGTCAAGATGCCCGCCATGTACCTCTGCATCCAGCACGAAGAGAGACAGACAGCTGGCAAGATGGCGGAGCTGCAGGATTTTATGCTGGAGGTCGAGAGCAACCGGGAAGAAGCAATCCGGATAGCTGGAATTGTTGCATCAAGTGAGTCTATCTCCTTGGCCTTTTATCGTGTATTTATCTAATTACCGAACTCTGAAAACTAGAGCTTGAGAGCAAACAAACGACCCTGATAGAGATTGTGACATCCTTGGGCGAATATATTAATGATGAAGACCCTAGTATACGTGGGAAGGCTGTGTCCTATTTAACGGCGGTGATAAAAGCTCTACCGGAGAAGTTCCTCAGCCGACAGCAAATTCAAGTTTTGACCACATTCTATTGTGCCCGCATTGAAGATGGCGGTGCTATCACCGGATTGCGCACTCTCCAGGCCCAGGATAGGTTTGAGAAATTTATGGCTCAGGATACATTTCGAGCGTAAGTTTGTTGGGTTTATAAATGAAGCTCCAGCGAAGGCGATGTCACTGACTATAACTCATAGACTCTATCAACACTCTACCGAATTTCGTGGCCGTCCACAGTCTCAACGATTACAGGTTCTCCACTTGCTAAACGAATTGATGATAAAGAACCGAGCGGGTACTTTCTCCAAAATTACATAACACTGCCAGATGACACGAAGCTAATCGTTTATAGCCTTACGTGAGATGAACGATGAGTCGCTAATAGGTATCGTGGATCTTGTAAGCGGGGAGCGAGATCCCCGAAACCTCATGGTTGTCTTTTCTATTCTTAAAGTTGTGATGATGGAGTGGGATATATCAGGGCACACTCAGGTAAGTTCACCCCTTTAGAATCCTTGATGCGAGCCTGCGATTGATTGATACTCGTAAATTCTAAAGGAACTGTTTGACGCCGCTTATAACTATTTCCCGATTACATTTCGTCCACCTCCAAACGATCCATATGGAGTGACTGCGCAGGACCTGAAGGACCGGTTGCAGGCTTGCATAACATCAACGCCCCTCTTTGCACCCCACGCTTTCCCATCATTGCTGGACAAACTGGATTCAACATCAGCCAATGTGAAGGTATTCTATCCGTTATATTTTCTTATCTGTTTAAGTGTTAACGTCAAACTAGCGCGATGCTTTAAGAGCACTCGGTGGGTGCATTGAATCGTACAGTCCCTCCACCATAGCACGGTACGCAATAACAATTTGGGACTGCCTGAAATTTGAGATACTTAATGCTCAAGATGAGATTCTTCCTGAAGAATCTCTACGTGTGCTACACGCCTTGGCCTCGAAACTTTCCATGACATCAACTGGCGCAAAGAAGTCGCCGCTCGCCCAATTTCTGAAACCGATTACCAACGAATGCATTGAACAATTACGAGAGCCACTACAAAAACAAGCGAAACCTGCGCGACATATTCTGAGTTCATTATCCTCTGCATCTGTATCTTCATTTACACTGATCGCCGAGGCTATTGTCCGCCAATTGATCGATATCTACCAAAACGCGGACAGCATTTCGAAGCAGCGAGAGATTCTGGAAACCTTTGCTGAACTCTTTAAATCAGCTGTAACTGTCTTTGGGACGTGGTCAACGATTACTGCAGATTCAAGCCTCACAAACCCGCTTGTTTCATACAAAGATGGCCTCACGGAAATATTTAGCAAATCTCTAATGAGCTCAGCTAAAGATGAAACCTCCTTCCGACTATCAGCCTTGAGAGGACTCATAGAGCTTTCTATTCTACCGAACTTTCTTCAAGATAATGAGATTGGCCTGTTTGTACAGTACTTCGATGATATCCTACTTCATGAACGATCTTCAGCGCAGGAGGAGCTACGCAAAGAGACCATTCGTGCCCTTGCCCAGATATCAAAGCATAAACCACAACTTATCATTGATATCACCTTTCCCGCGTTGTTGGCTACTTTGCCTGATGTGGATAATGAGGCGGACGAGTCCTACCTTCGTTCCCTTGACAACCTAGCCCGGATAAGCACCGAAAAAGAGGTATTTAATACACTTGTCAGGCGGCTACTAAGCAAGCTGGATGTTATTATTTGTCCTGCCAACAAGAGTTCCTCAACATATACTGGTGCGATTCTAATGACAATTTTGTACGCAATGGAACACCGCGAAGACCTGGAAAGAGACCCAAACTTGAATTTCTATTATGAAAAGATCGTCCAGTCGCTATGCAGCCGCGTTGCTAAGGCATCTACAGGGGGAGGCTCGACACTAAATCACCCTCAAGTTCTTGATACGTTGGGCAAACTCTGTAATCTCATTGTCCGGTCTTTGCCACGGTCGACGCAGGATGAAGTCTGCAAGAATATATATGCATTATATACTACTGAAGAAGAGTTCACTCCCGCACTTTTCTCAGACAACTCTCAGCAAAGGCAGACGATAATTGTTTCCACTTATATCCTTGCTGCCCTTCCAAAGGATATCTCGCCACTACCATACGCTAGCCCGAATATTGAACCCCTGTTACGTACAACTATACAAGCTGCGATATCTGAAGATACTGATGCGTCAACTCGGTTATCTTTAGTTCGTCATGTTGGGCTTCTAGCAAACAAGTTCCTCCCCAAACATGAGGTTCAAGTTGCTTCAGACATTCTGTTCTCATTAATATCACCTACACCGTCTACCCAGGTATTATCTCAGCAGACCATTAGAACCATTTTCTGGCTCTCTAAAGCTCTCATACTTCGTTTGGCGCCCTCCACGACTCAGATATTAACCTCACTTTTGGACCTACTGGATTCTCCCGACCCAGTAACAAGCGAACTCTCTGCCCGAGGATTCAGCATTATTCTCGCAGAAGATAGTATCCTTAATTCGAAAAATGGAGCAAACATCCGCCTCCTTGCAAAACAGAAGGTCTTCACAACTGTCACCCCTCTAATATCAGCTAGAGTCCACGAAGCGAACACCACCGCTACGGTTCAGGGGGAAGCGGCAAACCCTTCATCTAGGAAATCCTGCTCTAAAGAATCATACCTGACAGCACTATCTGGCCTCTTACCCACCATACCCTCCTCATTGGTAATGACAAAATTACCCACCCTCCTACCCCTTTTACTCCAAACTCTAGACCTCAATGTCGCCAACGAGACATCATCTTCTCAACCATCACTCACCCCAAATAGCAATATCAAAGCCGCCACGCTCAAAACATTAGCCATAGTAATCCATGAAAATGGAGTTCAACTGATACACGAAATCGGCTACGTTGAGGATCTCGTCACACGCCTTTTAAGGACGGCAGCAATACATAACAAAACTGAGGCAGATATTCAGATCAATAAGTCCATCAAGTCCGAAACTACGAAGGCATATGACGCCAATGATCTTGAAAATCCTGCGCGAGTTCGTGTCCAAGCACTACAATGTTTATTCCTACTTGCAAGCAATCCCGTTGGGCAGGCAGCGGAGGGAGAAAATAAGAAGGTACTTACTACTGTCTCCCCTCTGTTACGACTGAAGAGGATGGTCCTTAGATCTTTGTTATATATACTGGATGACCCGAAACGCGAAGTTCGAAAGGCTGCGGTCGATGCACGGGCGGCTTGGTTAAGAAACGTGGAGGATGAGGCAGAGAATGATGATGACTAGAGGAGGTTTTCTCCTGGGGTTACTCGTTTTCTGAATAAGGAACCTCTAATAAGAGATTCATAGTCAGCTATTATCCCTCTAATTGTTAATTGTATTCGTGTTGAGCTTCACATTATTTGGCCGATTTATCAAAAGTAGGTTATAAAATATATACCATTTAGAACTTTAAACATTACACATTATTGCTCGTTGAAGATAAACTCTACTTTCAGATGTTACAAAATGACGAACAGGAGGACCTAGTTAAGAGTAAATAGACTAGGGAAGTGATTTCTACAAGTGCCTACGTTCTGATATCAAAAATACGAAATAGAAAGCTTTTTGGGGCGAAGTCAAGTAACGATATTTAGAAAACGAAATTTAAATTTTATTTGTGAAATAAAATCTATTTAAACCTAGTTTGGCATTAATGATAGCGGTATTGCTGGCTGATCACCAATACTCGCCCTGGGTAACCTGCGTAGGAGCGACACTCTTGTTCATCTCAGAAGCTTTGGCTTTACCGCCTTCTGTTTGGGAGGCATCGAATGGACCAGCTGGCGCAGAAGCTGAGGGAGATGGATATTTATCCAGGGTGAAGGTAGCTGTATGATTGCCCCAGCCGATAACATCAATTTTCTCCACTACCTTTCTTGCAAGACGGAACAAACTGCCAATTCCAGACGAGCCGACTGCGCGCTCGGCCATTGTTAGGAATTCGACAGGCCGAGATTCCTCAGTGACGTTTCCGCCCAGGTGAGATTCAATACCAAGTAAGTCGTCAGGGAACCATGAATCCACACGCTCTCCAACAGTAAGGTACTTGTTTGTCTCGAAGATTTTTTCGATAGCAGGGCTAACGATAGAGGCTTCAAACCAGAGGCGGGAAGTATCAACCATCTCTTCTGGACTAACAGCACGCGCGCGGATAGCGGTTTTATCAGTAGGGGTGTTACCGGAAACTAGTCTTTGGACTTCAGTAATTTGGAGAAAAACAGACTGCTCGTTGGTAAAATCAGGGAGTTTGGACTTGTCAAATAGAGGCTTGCCAATGTACTTGTGACGCGTGGTTCGCCGCATCAGAATTTTTGTAACCCTGAGTGCACTGTCTTCTGGTACACGGGTATACATAATAACCCTAGATCGATCGGGAGGAACATATAAGTTGTCAACCAAACATTTCACGGTCATTGAAATCCCGCTCTCAGGTGTTGTAGGGTATTCCTGAGATCCTTTTACTGTAGCTTGGAGATCCCAAATATTCAGAGGAAAGTGCACATTGACAGCCCCAAGGACAACGTCTGGTCTATTGACGCTAGCAGCCCCAGCCTCATCAACTAAGACAATGAGAGTATCATTATCCTTCGTTTGACAGTGAAACTCATAGAAAACTTGGCGGAGTTGGGGCTCTGGTTCAAAGTAGAGCTGGACATCGGGGCCACTCCCGTCACCAAGCTTGAAGAAGTAGTCGACATCTGCCCCAGATGTCGTCAACATGTTGTTAAATACTGTAGTCAGACATAACAAACCGTGACGAGGTCGAAAGTGCGGGTTCCAGGTCTTGACGTCAAGGGTCCTCCCTATATGGATCTTGGGGACTGAATTAGTAAGAATCAAGCCCAGCTGTATTTCCATTGTTAGAGTGCCAGTAAAGTGTTGAACAGCATCGAGGATAGGTTGAAGACAGTTGAATAGATCTTTGACACTTTCAACATCAGATGTCTCCTCTTTAGCAAGTTGTGCCTTTTTCCACTGACTAGGCTCAGGGGGCGAGGCTGGTTTACACGGAGGAGCAACCGGAGTTGAGCCCCATGCCTCTGACAGTGCAGCCTGTCTTCTCGCCTTTTGCTCTGCTTTTGTCTCACGTTTAGCTGAAGGTGCTGGTACTGGTGCTCCTTGTCCCATGGTGCGATGAAATACTCTTGTGGATTCTTCTCCTTCGATGATTGCGGGTTTAAGCCCCGCAAACGCTCTGGACGACATTTTTGTCGAGAGCTTTAGTTTTCGCAGTCTTTCTTCGTTCGATTCTTCATTCGATTCTCTAACGGTTTCTTTACCGGCCGCTGGGTCTTTATTTTCTTCCATACGTGCTTGAGGACCGAAAGCATCACTGACATTAGAAGGCACTGAGACTGAAGGGTTAACCACAGGGGAGGCTAGAGAAGGCCTAAGAGTAGGTTGAAGGGGAATCAAGATCTGGGTGAAGGCCATTGGTGGAATAGAGGAAACGGTAGGTCCAGTTTCAGCTATTGAAGTATCTAGTAAGGTAGGCAATTTTCGCGCAGTGGTTTCTCTTCCCCTTTCCCATGATCGCTGATTCATAGCCTGGGATTTACTCGCTAGTTGACGCGAAGGAGATGGTTTTGGATGTCCGTAAGCGGCCGAGTTGAATGAAGGTGGCATAACACTCACGGGAAGAGTCGCCGCTGGCTGTACAGTTATTTTTGGAGCGGAGTTGATACAAGTGGGCTTTTCAATAACGGGTGGAGTTTTTGAGACACCTCGATTGTTCCCAGATGGTAAAGGCTGACGCCTTTTTAGGCCCCACGGTGGTTTGGGTGCATCCGTAACTTCAGCAGAAGGCTCAGGAGGGAGGGTGCTATTTGGTTCTGAGCCAGTAGGCCCAATGGCACCAGCCTGCACTCCATCTGTCACCCACTTGTTAACGTAAGAGGCCTTCTCGTGGCTGAGCCAAGGGTGACTCTCAACTGCCACTTCTTCATGCACGCTATCATCCTTGATAGAGGACGAAGACTTCGAGGCTATACCCTCCTTAGTATTTGCCCCAGGATTAGGAAGAACTGAGGCATCCCCCAGCTGTGGAAATTTGAAATCCCCCCAGATACGAGCCCGCCCTTTTCGTTGCTCTGTGAATCGTGGTGGAGCAGCAATGTTCTGGGAGACCGTGAGCTCACGAGTCTCTGGGTCAAGAGTCTCCATCACTGTAACAAACATGTCATGGAGATGGCTGATAACCCTTGACTCAGGGCCATCAACCAACACACGCCGCAGGGCAATATCGTTTAAGGACTTGTAGGGTAGGATTCTGAGCCGGAATTCTGTGGCACTGCCCACGTGAAGGATGTTCGCAACTTGAGGTGAGACCATGAGAGACTACAATATCGAGTTAGACGACTTGTACAGAAGAAGGGAGATATAAATGATTTTAAAGTAAGTAGAAGTACACTTACTAAAAACCTTTGAAGATTGGAAAGCCGTTCCATTGCATTGTCAGCCTGCCACGGCTCAATGCTTGTAACGCGGATCCTTTGGTTGCTCGCCTCAATATCTATCTGTGCCCCAGTCGCTTGGGTCACTGCGGTAATGAGTGAACGAGGGGCCTTGACGAAACAATCAATAGCAGCACCTTCTCCTTGCCAGTACCTAATGGCCATTGGCAGTTTCATCGCCTCAGGGGGCGGAAGAGTCTCGATAAGTTGATCGTCATCACCAGCGTCTACCTCGACATCACCTTCCTCAGGACCAGTAGGTATAGCAACTCGGGTAATTTTTGGATTCTATTTATACATGGATGAGAGATTAGAGATTAGATAGCTTAGATGAAAAACAGATTCTTCATAGGGATAGTCAAACCTCGAGCAAGTCGTTTCCTCTTTCATTGTTTACAAACTCTGCTAAGAACTCGGCAAGCGCCAAGGCAGAATGGGAGGTATTGCAATTATCGATGGTAAATACCTAATTTTGAACCCCGTTAGATATGTACTTGATAAAAGGAGACCTGGCTCATATACTCACATGGTCCGTCGATTCATATTTGCAGAATCCATCCGAGCCATGAGGTAAGGCCCTGGGATGACAAGGGTTAATAGCCGCATATTCTGCAACAAACAAAACAAAGGGAAAGTTGCTAGATGATTTTGTATAGGATCGAGATAGCTCACTTGAAGAATTTCGTCACCTGATCTATCTATACACACAAAGTGATGCAGGTTAGCAGGCCATTTCAAACAAGCAGGGAATAGGACAGCACAACGTACTCCCTCGGTTTCGAGCCTCCAGGTGGACGCAATAGTCAACCTACAAGGCGAAGCCATGGTTTAATGCGTCTTTAAAGCTGATTTTGAGGCTAAGACGCGCTCAAGTTGCCTTGCCTTGACGGGGATTTCCACACTGCTAGGCAGAGAAATGTAGGCCTGAGATATGCTATCGACGAAGTAAAAGCCACGAGCTTTCGAACAACAACTGAGCCGAATCTGGAGTCAAAAGACAAAGCGAGAGAAAACGAGGACACGAGTACCAGCTTTCTAGCCTTCGACCTGGGAGAAACGCGAGAGAGCAGGATATATGCCACAGATCTGACGGAAAACAGTGAACTGTCAGCATTCACTCCATAACAAAGTAACAGCCTCCCCAGAGGTTGGAGAAGAAAACATTTTCGATTCACTTACTGTCTCAGCACTGTTTGTTTTCCTGGAATGTAGCAGCAATAAAGAAGCAGGAGCGGAATCCTGCAGATGCCGCTTGCAGGAGCTCAGAAGAACAGCCAAATAGCAAGCAGGAAGCAACAAAAACCTGTGATGGGACAGTAAAAGAAGAGAGACGAAGAAGAGAAGAAGAGAAAACAAGTAGCAGGAAAATATGCTGATTCACTGCGCTGATATAGCCTCTGGTATCACCTAACGACGCGCACTCTGGACTTTTGGATATTGCAATTGCATCTTCATAGAGCTTGTTATGGACAGAAGTAAATAAGAGCGCCATGATCTCTATATTGTCCTCTTATTGTGAGGAGGGCATATAACACAGGCGGGGTTATTAAGCCGTAGGCCAAATTGGGAAACACAGGCATGGTTGACCCTCTGGATGGCGGTGATGTGATATAATTTGGGGGTTTATCACAAGGAACTGCAGAATAGAACAAGTCAAAACAGTTGTAAGATATATATGGTATCTCTTTGAGGTGAAGGTCCATTGATATGAGTTGATCGATCGAGAGAAGTGGAAGTTGGATACGCCAAAAGAGAAATTGAAATTATTACTAAGCGAGGTTCTAGGTGACTTCGATGTTGACTCCTGACTAGGATTGTATAAAAGAATAATAATGATGATAACGATAAGATAAAATGCTGAGAAGTATATTGGATGGTCACCGGGGTCAAACATTGGTTGACACTACATTTCGTCGAGATAAACGGGACGGGTTATCCCTAGCTGGAAGCTCCGCCAACAATCCTATCAAATCTACGTATCTTTGAACAAGGCATTAAATGCAACAGTCGCCGTCCGCCATGAACCACAAAGACGTCAACTGTAAGGTCAAGGGGTATTTTGCATTCTAGCGGAGGATATAAAAATGCCGGGTGGCCACCTACCTCCTTCTGTAAGTACTTCCACAAAAGTCAACCAGACTTTGATCATTTATCACATCTTGACCATCAACCAACATTGATATTTTAAGAGAAAGATACGCCGAAGCTGTGCAGACTCGGTGTCTTTCAGCCTTAATAAGGTAGAGGAAGTTCCGAAGACACGTAGAACAAACCAAGACAGTTGCTCGCAGTGGTGTCACAATGGCGGAAGCCTTTATTGAGTGCGATGGGGAGAACACTGTTTGTTGCCCTGAATTCTGGATTGATTGCTAATGGCCACTGACTCGTTTGTGTAGATGGTGAATTATGGGCGACTGACGGCAGCATTTCCTCGGGATTTTGTGGAACCCTTTCTCAGGTTGGTAGAGGATGCTCGATGTGTGTTCGAGGTAAACCTGGAGGGATATAATGCCTTTGTCTACGTGAATGCACCACGGAATGCCGCAGTTGAACGGGCTTTCGCCAATTTCCTCTGTCAGGAGAACGAGTTTGATTCTTCATCGTCAGATGAGACTAGAGCATTTACAGTTAGTTGTGCTTTATTGGTTGGATTCGGTCTTGTCACTGACCTATTTTCTTTTAGCACGATATCATGTATCGCCAAGGTACTTGGGGTTATGATTATCGGCAGGTTTATTTAAGGCTATATAGCCGGGCAGCGTGCCAACGTGAGCTGAACTATCTGATGACGCGCCCCAATGATAGGTTTGCGCTTGCTGCAGATGATGAGCTGATGTACACGTCTCTTCCGAAGAATTTTTGCAGAGTGCGGCGTCTCGGTAGACAGCTGAATGTTTCTAGCGGTTGGCTGGAGCTGAGAGATTATGATTGACGGCTGAAGTGTATTTGGCGGTTCCAGCATTGGTGAATATCTTGGGCTAAAGTTGTGGAATGACTCGTCCATGTTGCTCGAGATTGATGAATGAGGGGAGATTCCATCTTTGATGGACTGGAGTGACCCAGCTTCTCCGTTAATTCAAATTAGGATTATGGGTAAGAATGAGGCAGTGAATCCAGTGATGAATCGGGTATGTTCTGTACTTTGTTAGATAGGCGGAAAACAAATATATCTAGCTATAGATATAGACAAAGCAAATGATACTGGTATTTAGGCTTTTGAGAACAGGTGAGAAGCTCCCATAACCCCGTCAGTCGAATGTACAACGATTGGAGGGTTAAAAGGATGGTATCTCGTCAGGAATGAGGTTGAATGTGTAAGTGCCATTGGCCTCTAGCTCTCAGTAGCGCAGAGCGACATCCGGTATGGACTACCTCCCTCTGCTTGGATCAAAAGATGATATTAGACGGGTTATTCCCTGGCAAAGTGACCGAAGCTGGTGTTGATGGTGGTGTTGGACAGAGGAAGTTGAAGTCGGAGGTTGATTTAGGCTCGTGTTATATTTGGGTGTTGGGTGGACCATGGAACCACAAATATGCCAGGAACCAGGCACAAACACCAGCAACGTTATGCCCACACTCTTCACATAATATACTAGGTAAGAATGAAAACATATAAAGAATTAAATAAGCAGTACTATCTCCCTGCATTTATATTATTAAAACTGGCAATGCAACCAAAATGCCTCAGAAACTCAACATGCCAATATCAAGCCACCATGAAAGGTGAAACCCAGATATAGAAAGAAAATGCAATGAAAGATGAAAGAAAAAAAAGAGCAAAAAAGAAGTGATATCCACACATATGTGCCCCCCAATGCCCTGCCTTATGAATGTAAAAGTAAAATATGTATAACTCAGACACCCTCCCCGTTGCTCGCCGATCTATGCTATGTTTTGTACTTTTTCATTTTTCCATCGCCAAAATATATCCGTACAGAAGAATCAACAGGGGTAAAGACGGTTCGACGGTTCGATTAATGGTCGATGGTTTGCCCGAACGTGAATGGAAAGAAGATAAAGAAGAGTGACACCGGCAAGCACTGGGTATCTACCGGTAGCATCACTCTGGACGTGCGCAGAGAGTATGGGAATGTTCTGTTCTGGCGTGTCGGTCGAATGTAGATAAAGAAGCCCTTTCGTGCAAAAAAATAAAATGAAGCCCATCACCCTCGAATACGGGGGACGAGTTTGAAAGATAACACCAAAACCAACCAAGGCTTAATAGAGTCCGCGTCCAATGGTCATGATGGACAATCCGGTCCAACCCCGAACTCCGCCGTCTTTGGAAATGCGAAACGAAGCGAAACGAAAAAAAACAAGAGGAAGGAAGAAGAACAAATTATCCGGTCCAGCGGAGTTGATATACACGTCAAAACATAAGCGGGCATGATTCGATCGAAAACGGCATGGGCAAGGGCTGTCGTTATGAAGAGCAAGGCAAGCGCGAGACCATCATCCGGCACCTTTGACTTTCCCCTTAACGTTGACCACCCACTTCATCTTATCGGTGGCCTCTTTGGCGTCTCGCAACGCCTTGTCGACACCCTGATCATTCCGTCTGCTTCTTTCGACGAGTTCTCTTAGGGTATCATCGCTCATCGTTTTATAGTCTTCATATAACGTGGTGACTTGTTCCGTCCGATCCCTCGCGGCTCGTATCTCGCGATCTTTCTGCTCGATAATGACATCCAGCCGGCTTAGTTGGTTCTGTCGCTCTAGTTCTCTCTTACATAGCTCATCAAAGTCTTTTCTGAACATGTTGAAGCGGGACTGGAATTCATTTCTGTCGCGTAGTCGGGCCTGTGATAGGGCATCATATTGACATTGTGATCGTTGGGCGACCTCCTGTGCCTCCGCAAAGGCACGTTGGTGGTCCTCACGTTGCTGTGCGGCAAGTTGGGTAGTTTCCAATGCATCATTTTCAGCCTTGAGGCGTCGATTCTTCTCGCCCAATGCCTCGGATTTTAAGTCTTCTATTTTCCTATCCTTGCGTGCGATGGTTATCAGGCTGGCTTCGTGGGATTGTTCGGAGTTGCGTAGTCGGTCTGTAACAGTCTGTAGTTGCTGTTTCAGTATTTCGTTCATGCGCTGGGTTTCTTCAGCACGGGTTCGGTGGAGGTTGCACTCGCGAGTTAGACGAGTTATCTGTTCTTGGAGGTTATGGATGACTCTGCCAGATTTACCGGTCATGGCGTGACCGATGGCGGAGGACCATTCTGTGGAAGACGTCGAGTTCAAGGTAGAGTCGCCGTTGGTAGGCGGAGACGTGGAGGTAACTATATCACCCAGTCGTTCAGTATCTCCCAGTTCACGAGGTCTAATTATGGTTATCGGCGCACGGAGAGAGTCCTCCTTCCTGGTGACGCCATTGGCAGCATCGGCGCCATCGGAATGGGAGTTGTCAAAAAGGCCGTTGGGCGAATGCATGTTCAAGTCCGTCTCGACGTCGGGAAGGTTAACTTGCGGTGGTGTTTCGGCGGTAGAGGTAGATATGGAAGCTGACGCAGAGACAGAAGCTGAAGTCGATGCTTTAACAATAAGGACGGTAGAGTTAGCGCTTTGCTTGCGGAAATGAAACATATTCCTGATCTTCTGGACGGGTTGAATCATTGTTCACTACTGCCACGGTATATGACCGGGCAAAGTAGACGGATGGTATTGTTTGACTGTGCTGAAGGTGCTGAACTGACTGAAGGGGAATTGGCTGTATGATTGACTGATTGGGGGTGATATGACGGTACAAAGAGGGAAGTAGAAGAAGAGGTCAGTTGGTACCGCTGGAGTTCAGATTCCACCGCTTTATTTCAATCAAACGGGTCTGGGAAGAATTGGGATGCTGGTTCATTGTCAGATCGGGCTGGTCATGATGCGCCTGCTCCGTTGCTGTGGGAATGAAACGAACAGGACGGACACGACGGGCAGGCTGCCTGATGTGTTGGCGCCGTATATGCGCGGCCAAAAACGTATGTATCAAAGAGAGCGTGAGTATGTAGCGATTAAAGAAAACGGCCAGTCCCTCCCGAATCCTCCGGTTGGCTCTCTCCTCCCACAAGGACGGCAGGCCAGGGTCATGGACGGAGGTATCGCTGTTCAGGTATATCGAATATGTTGGCTGACGTCGGTCGTTTCGACGGCGATAAGATTGCTGGGGCCCAAAAATTTCCCAGCCGCAGTCGAAGATGATGTCAGCAGCTATCGTCAATATTTAAAAAAAAAGCAAAGAAATATAAAATTATAAAAAATAAAAGAATCCTAAAAAAAAAGAGAAAAAAAGATATTGAGAGATGCGCGATTCGAACGCGCGAATCAAAAGAAATCAGGGGAAGAAGTTACATTACGTAAGCCTAAACCTGACGCCATAACCACTCGGCCAATCTCCCATTACTTGGCCAGTTTACGGCCTGGAAAATACAACTGCCCAGTCTCATACCTTACTTGATGATTTTACTATCACTGTGATTAGAGCATAATGGCAGACAATAACTACGAGAAAGGGCTGACAATCGCCTCGTTAATGGGAGTCATCCTACTCCTGATCCCAGTCCATATCAATGTCGATATCCTCTGCATCAACACACTCCTTGAACTCTCTAGCCTCCATCTCCTTGTCGAGTGCCTCAAAGAGTCGGGTGAGATATATTTTCTCACCAGGAATACTGATACCAACATCCATACCCGAGAAAATAGACGCGTCGAAGCAAGACTTGGCCAGCTTGACAACGGACGGAACTTCGGATCGATACAGATCTTTGAAGCGCTGTCTCCAGAAGAGCCAGCGTTGAACACTGAATCCGACCTGTGTGACGCCTGCTTTTACCGCCAGGTTGCCTGGCATGGTCGTGTCATCATGGCCACCGTCGGACGAATGGATTCCGGTGTAGTTTGCCTGTGAGAGCCTCACCAGCTTGATATTGCTATATTTCAGCCATGCAAGACACGCGGGTAGAAGGTCCTGGATGGTTGGACAAGTATCTTCCTTGTCTCCCTTCGAGTCACCTTGTCCGTCGTCCTCGATGAGTTGCCTGTCCGTCTCTAGAGCCTGTTTGAATAGCCACAGCGCGCAGCGGCTGAGGTCGTCTGAGCAGACACCGGCAGCACATAGCTTAGCAGTCCACACGGCAACGCTCTCCCGCTCAGCCCGCGTAAAACCCATCGATTCCTTGGTCCATGAATCCGTCACTTCCTGGGTGAGATAGGGGAGATCAATCCATAGCCGTTGTCCGTTGGGTAGGACGACCTCATCCCGTATTTGGCTGGGAGAGGTAGATGCGGATGCAGCGGCCCTATCCTCTTTATTCTGTGTGAAGATCCCCAGCTCACGAGCTTCTATCACCAGTAGCACAAGTCGGTCATGTTCAGCGCTGGCGGCGGGTGTGATCTTAGCCGCATGGATGAGCTCGTCCCAAATGTCGTGTAGCTGGTCTTTGATCTCGGTTGCGGGAAAGTCATTGCCGAAGTAGCCTCTTCCTATCCCAATGATGCTGTTGCGGAGGTTTTCCCATGTTTCGCGTACATTGCCTGGGTCATTCTCGTAATCCTTGCGTTTCTGCTCACGGGTGGTGTTGGGCAAGGCACAGTAAGCCATGCTTGCTTGACTTGACTGTAAGTTAGAAGGTTGTGAAGGATGAAGATGTGAGGCCGATGATGGGGTGCATGTGAGGGGGAGGATATATTAAATGCTGGATATTTGGCTATTGGCCTGGTATGACAGTTTGATGTATGATGTGTGTCTTTGTTGACGTAGAGTGTTACACTAGGTAGAGGGAGCCGAGTAAGAACTGATGGAAGTAACGGTATTGTCTACCTACAACGAAATCCAATATAAAATCCCCGCCCTTGCTTCAACTTTACTCCTTCAAAAGCAAGAAACGATAGACTCTAGACCGCCCTACCAAGCATCTTCACCCAGATTCCCTGCTATACATACAATGAAGTTCAGCTTCATCCTTCTGGCAGCCTTCCTGGCCTCCCCCGTCCAACCGGCTGCCATCCGCGGGACAAGTGAAGTTGACCTCGCTGAAATGGGCACTTCTCCCGCTAATGACGCGTCTCCCCTCAAACCTAGGCTGGTAGGACTCTCTCCGATAAGGTACCTACATCGATACTCGCTAATGATGTGAAATAGGCATGCGCTGGATATTGCGTAGCGACGACATGCTTCTGCACAACTGGGGCTACGTGTGCCTGTCAGAGCCTCGGAATTTGCAACTGTGCTTGAACATAGGGTATACTTCTACTCGATGACCCTGCCTCAAGATATACATTATGTTCCGCCATATTTATCCCTAAAACCTACCCAGGTGGATAGGAATGATTCTGAAGTGCGATAGCCTTGAGTATGGATGTTCAGGCCAGGCGTATGCAATAAACGAGTGACCTAGTGAGTTGGTGAAGGGAGAGATATATATGATGATGTCTGATGGCTCATGATATCTAAAAACGAGTATTTTTTAATCCGAAATATAAGCTTAATATTGTGTCATAACTGGTACCAACTTAAAATTATAAATTAACTGTCAAACGTTCTTAGGAACTCAATGTTTCTTCGTCGACTCAACATCATAAGCTTTCGTATCCATGATGAGTCTGGTTCCCGGTTGATCTTCTTTTGCTTCCGTTAGGAAGTATCAAGGGAAATAAAGATGGGAGACCGGTGGTAGACGCCCGAGGGAACACAAATTCATACCTGAATCCTTCGAGTATGACCTGACACGGCCTATCATCAACTGGACCATACATTGAGGAGTTTATCTCGAAACAACTACTTTGATGGCATATAGGTTACACTGGAGAAGGAAGAGAGGGGTAGATGAGGGTAGACAGAACCGTTTTTTTGATATAATATCAGATATAAAAACGTCGTCCTTTCCGCTCTTTACTACACCTTACTCTCAAGACATCCAAATCAGTATACCAAGCAATATCACTACAGAACATCATCATCATCAGCATCATTATCGTCAATCGATACCCAGGTCACCTATATACACAATGAAGTTCAGCTTTGTCCTTGCTGCAGCCATCCTGGCTACCCCTATCTTTGCCTCCACCATCCCCGAAGTCAGCGAAGCCATGGACCTTGACCTCGCTGAGCGTGATGTCTGCAGCTGATGAAGGGAATGAGCTTACAGCCAGAAAGGTTTGATCTTCTAGAACATTATCTATAAGAATACCACCACTGACAAAGGTGCGGGGGTAGAGGTGCTACGGAAAATGCTCTAAGAATGGATGTCACTGCACAAGACCAGTGAGGGTGTGTCCGTGCAAGAAACCCGGCACCAAGTGTGTTTGCCGTTAAAACATCATGCTATGTCGAGTGTCATGTCATGTCATGCCGTGTCATGTATCGATGAGGATATTTCGGTTTATTTCTTTTGTCTAGGCAGCATATATGTCCAGTCGTTACCACTACAATCAGCCGTGAAGCATGTACTCGAGCTCGGACGAGGGCGGCCGTCAGAACAAGCATTCGAGGACGGATATCAACTCATGGATTGGTCAATGCGAAGGCATGGACTGGCGGATGACTGATATATGTCCAACCTTGTATTGAAGCAGAATCATCATAAGTCTATCATCATCAGTTACGTCACCATTCGAGTTACCAGTAGTTAAAAAGCCAAATATATCTCCAAGTGCATTAATTATTATCGTGATATAGTCAAATGTTCAACATAAAGACTATAGGTATATGGATCAGAAGGCACCCTAACATTCCAACATAGCCATTCAATCCCTTCCGCCCTAGCGACTGATCCAAATAACCTCGACATCATCACACTCGCCTGTGCGGCCTGCTACCAACCATCTAGCCATTCAACATATCCTAGCTTTGACATGCAAGTATGTCCAGGCCATAGCAATGTAAGACTATTTGATTATTTGTTGACAGTGCATAGTCTTTTGCTGACGTCAAAGATAAGGTCTGCATATTAGGTTAACATGCCGCCCTATGTGAAGAGAAATAGAAAAAGAGCAAAACATACTGATTTCTTTCTCTGAAACGCCGCATTTTTTCGCGCAAGGTGCAGTATCAGTTTTAATTTTGTCCAAGTTGAGGCAGAGCGTAGTGAGTGGGCCTCCGGTGCATTCCAGCTTGTCGGCACTTTGTCCTATGCAGGGCAAGACACACTTCGCCTTCTTCAACTACGGGCCAAGTGATGATAATAGGTTACCAATACTGGCGGCTTGTACGCTGCCAACGAGAAGGAGAACGGCGGGTACGGAGAACTTCATTGTGACTGAGATTGGGAATATAGGCGCGTAAGATTATGGCTGGTTAAAGCTTGATGAGATAGATGATTATGGCAAGAGTAGAGTGTGTTGAGGTGCGAGAACAAGCAATAGATTGAACTTCCAGGAGGGCGGAAGCCTGATTTTATACTGTCTGGTGAGTAGAACTAGAGGTCATGATATGAAGTAGAGAGCCGCAGAAATGATAGAGGCCCATTTCCTATCCCCAATATTGGGTGAAGTCAATCAACGGCGCGAGGTTCAACGGCGTAGAAATGGCTGGCTTTTACCAATCGTTGTCTTTAGCTATATTATATTCCAAGCCAAATTTGACCGAAGATGCGCCAGCACTGGTCCGAGTGTACGTCGTCACAGACTTAGAGTCTAACCCGACGCAGTGGCGCAACAAAATGGGCATCGCCATCACTCTAACTGGTCGGTAACCGATGTGAGAGCAGTTGCTGCATAACGTTGCCTCAAATTTGAGAGTCCATAGCTTGCATGTTGGCTCGGGGTATCCATTATCTCCTGAGGACTTTAGGAACGGGATCTCAATCCCTTAGCTCCTAACCCCTCTTCACAATGCGCCTGGCGGAGCATTTTCTGGTATGCCAATGGCGGTGAGCCACGATGGAGGGTATTATTGTCGATTCCAACAGTTCCGATGGGACAACGTTGCGCCTTTAAGGGTAGTTGACTAGTGAGGTGATTGGGGTGCATGGAGAATTATAGTCCATGCGGGCCTGACTTAAAGGAGAATAAACATTCGCTTCGATCCTCTGCTTTCGAAGATCCTGATCTCTAAGCAAGCCACTGGTGCCCATCTTTGAGACGTAGGGTTGAAGCTTCAGATCGTCGCAACTAGCGTTTTTATACGGAGAAAGCTTGCCCAAAGCCGTTATTATGTAATCAGTACATCGCTTATTAACATCTTAGTCATCAAAATTCACGGAACGGATAAACATAAAGGCCATCGCCTAGTCATATGTTGATCTATCACGTGGTAGTTTGTTTACACTCCCGAGGCTTGTTCAGGGGTTAACCTCAACCCTGCAAACCGACTGGGAAGCTGGGAACGACTGGGAACGGGTCCAACCTTTATAGATCGAGCAGATGCTATATATAAAGTGGCCAACGATACACCAACGGTACAGGAAATCCAAGCATTTAGGCTTGAACATGGGAGCGGGGGGGCTGACCGCGAGGCGCACCCTTACATCCATCTACCAGACTGAGTACAGACATCAAAGAAACACACCTCTATCCGTCTATTTCTATTGATCACCCATCACATCCCATCTCTTCTATAAACGACGCCGGATCCATCATCCAACCACCCCGCCACTCAATAATCACACAAGAACGAGCATGACCATCTGATCGCGTGGTAAGTATAGAGTTCAATAACGAGCAAGACGGTAGGACGGTATTCCACAGAGGCAAGGAAGAAGATGAACAAAATGAATATGGCCTATACGGATACGTATGCCCATAGCGCAGGCAAGGGGGAATGGGAAAGGGGGAAAAAGGCAAAAAGAAAAGAAGATCGACGATGGACGATGGATCAAATCAAGGCGGGGATTCAATATAAGTAAGTCAACGCCCAAGGCAAGGAAGATGGTATTACGCACCGGCGAGGACGAGGACAAGAAAACAGGCAAAACCGATGAGTAAAAAGAAATAAACTTGTTAGGATAGCATGATACGGCAGCGTGTGCACGTATGTACGTAGTGTACTATCTGTGGTGGTGGTGCTGTAGGTAGTGTAAGTCCTGTCCTGTCTCGTTCCGCTATGTACATCCATCATCGATCAAACTCCGTCGCAAAAAAAGACAACAACAGGCAGAGGTATTGGCTCGCCTAAGAAAGAGAAAAAAAAAAGGGAATCAAGATTTAAAGGTAGTGGTGTAGAAGATTGGAAAATAAAATGGCATAAAAGGTTTTTCAAGGATCAGTCAATCAAATCAAATCGTGAAGAGCCGGCCATGCAAGAAGGGTGGGCAAGTTAAAAGTTAAGTAAACACATCAATCAGAATCGAATCAATATCGAGTCACAGGGTAAAATATAAGAAAAAAAGAGAGCCTATCCCGCGTAGTCCCATCCCCCACCGTACTTGACGCACGCATGGCATGGCTTAGTTGAGGTAAGCAAAGGCAGCGAGAGCGGCCATGATTAGCGCAAGAGGGCTGGACATGGCAGCCAGCGAAGAGGCAGCGTTGCCAGTTGGCTTAGCGGTGGGGGAGAGAGTAGGGGTACGGGTGGAGGAGAGGGTTGGGGTGGCCATGGTGGTGTTGCGGTGGGTGGTGGTGCCGGTTCCCATGCTGGCGGTGCCAGAGGAAGTCATGGTCATCATGGTGGTAGAGTTGGCAGAGTTAGTGATGGTCATGCTTGCGTGGGTAGTAGAGACAGGCTTGGTGACTGGCTTGGTTGGGTATCCAGAGGAAGCAGTGGTGGTAGCAGAGGTGGAAGATGGCTTGCCGGTGCCGCCGGTGATGGAGAAGAGACCGGTGTAGTTGATCTGGCTACCCTGGGTGATCTGAAGAGCATAGTCTGGGCCGGAGACGAGAGAAGTGGATGGAGTGAAGGTGTAGCTGCCACCGGTTGCAGAGGCTATACACTGTTAGATCTAGATCACTACTGACATAGCTGGAGTACTTACAGGTCAAGACGGCGACATCCTTGAGGTCGTCGCTGGGTCCCTTGCGCAGAGTGATGGTAACAGGCTATTCACACATTAGTATCTCTTCAATTGGTTATATATCAATGGAGAATACGTACAGCTCCGGGAGCACCGCCAGTCCACTTAACCTCGAATGGCTTTCCGGCAACGAGATTGCTTGGGAAAGAGGTGAAAGCAATCTGTCCCTGAGCAACGACAGAGGCAACGAGGGCCGCGCCGGCAAGAAGAGTCTTGAAGAGTTGCATTGTGAATATTAAGTGAGGGTATTAATTAACGCGAGTGCGAGTGTAGATGTTGTGCTGTGGTTGCGAAGGAGTGTAGATTAAGGACAGTGTTTTCTAAGACAGTGGTTTCTGTAAAGAGTGTGGTGTGTGTTAAAGAACGACTTTGAGCAGCGAGACTGGTAATTAATAGAAAAGAAGAAGAGAAGAAGAGAAGGGGAAAGGAGAAAAGGATGGAGATGCTTGCTTTTGCCTTCTTGAGGAGCTAACGGACTTGGTGGACTAGCGAACCTTGCCCTGACCTGGTCTCGCCCTTGCCCCCTGCCCCTGACCTGTTCGCCCTGCGCCTGTTTCTCTGCTGCATCTGTTTCTCTACTGTCTCTGCTCTGCATCGTCGACAGCTTCTGTTTCTCTATCGTTTCCCTGCATCCTTTGTTGGCTTCCGTCGCAGTAACACCCGTGTATCATCCTCCGTACTCCGTAGCTCAGAGAGTACTTTGTAGAGAGAGAGACTATATCAGAGTCAACCCCTAAGGCATCTCCGTCACCCCTGCCCATGTCTGCCATCCACATCCTCCACACCTATATCCAACCAGCATCTGTCCCTGGCGCCTCGAAAACCTTGCCTCTCCACGCGCGCATTAACAGACTGCCCAAACTGTTCTTCTATTCGCGGGCCCACGCATGCTTTTGATTAGCTCGTCCGACCACTTGCCTGCCTTGCTCGCAGGTCTTGTCTTTCTTGCCGGCCTTGAGTGGGCGGTTCTCGTGCTCCGTTGGGCGGAGGCTATATCACCCATGCTAAGCTGTGCGAGCGGGATCTTGTTTTTGCTTCTTCCTGCTTTCTTCTTCCTTCAGAGCCGTTTGTTTGGTCCGTTGGCCGCAGTTTAGTTTGAGATATGGATAAAGAAGCGTTGAGGCGTCGGGCCTTGCGCTGTTGGTCTTGTTCCTGACAGCACACCGAGTAATGCAGATACTCCGTATGTGTCGTGGATGTCCTCTTGCAGGACGCAGGCTAGGTTCGGTATATTCGGTGTACGTATGCAATAAGACAGGTTGATATACCTGCCCCGGACAGGCAAGCCTACCTGTTTGGTCGCTCGTCGCCGTGGTCTCTTCGGGGACGGGCGAGTTATATCCCAGGCACCGCCAGGTACCCGGCCCAACACGGCTGCTCGCTCGCCACCGCCGGACGGACCCCTGGAGAGCTCTCATTTCGGAGATTCTCGTTGGTAAGACATGGGGGGAGAGCTGTCCAGTTACATGCGCTGCGGAGGTGGTGCTGATGGGCCGCGTCTTTAGTAGACATAAAGAACGGCTGTCGTCAATCGCCAACGGCTGTAGGAGTAACATATACTAACTGCAGACTAACCTGCGATCCGTCGCGTTGGCTGATTCACTTTGATTGTTTATTTGGCTTCGGCTTTCGGCTTTTATCGTGGCAATTCTCTGTTGGACCTGGTCAAAGAGATCTTAATAGACGTTCAGTGCGGGTGCAGAGTGCTCCGTATAGGTGTTATCTTCAGGATAACTCTCAACGGGCATAGAATAAGCCCAATGTGGGTGTGTAGAGCAGACCTCTACCGCCATGGCTGTACTATGTACGCCGTGATCTGTCGCTTGCTGGAGCAGATGTGATGTCGACGTCGAGTTGGACTCGTCAAACAGCCACCTCCACATCCTCTCCTCTCTCTCTCTCTCTCTCTCTCTCTCTCTCTCTCTCTCTCTGTGTGTGTGTGTGTGTGTGTGTGTGTGTGTGTGTGTGTGTTAGCTGTTGCTTGGAGGAAGGGTTGAGTTGATGATCGTGGTTGCTCCTGGCTATGGAGCCCAAGTATCATCTCTCTGATACTGTTTATACCATCAACACACGCTGTCAGCACTCGTTTAACCACCAGTCCACTCGTTTATGTCTATCTCTTAGTATTCATTCATATACCAGGTCACTCGTTTAGTACTACACTCGCTATTCCAGCATGAGCATAGATTCCGGCGTCGCGGGCTTGGACAACCTCGATTCCAGGCCAGCTATCAATACCAGGTTCCCCCGAAAGCCAGACATCGAGGGATCTACTTGCAGCCATGCTTCCGAGGAATACTACTCCGTCGGATCAGACTTGTCCAGTCCCAGGTCATCCTCATCCAGCATAGGAAGCCCCAGGGCATCCAGTGCTTCGTCACCGTCAGCCTCTCAACAGCTATCATCAGTCCTTCAGCTCCCGGTGAAATCTGTGCCAAAACATCTCCAAGAAGCCCGCGCAGGTGCTACGAAGATCCTAGGCCTCTACCGTTCAACCCTGGTCGAACTCGAGCTGAACCGTCTGAGTACCGCTCGCGTGGGCTTACAGGATTGGATCGACTATTGGCACTCCGTCTACTCGGCCAAGTTTGCAGCTCTCCTTTGCCAGAAGATCATCATCGTTAGAATACACGTTGACTGTGTATTCAAAGAAGCATCGCATGACATCTGTGATATCATCAACGAGGTGGAGGGGAGCCTGTCTGTGTCGAAAAGTCGTAAGGAAATCAAAGCTCGAATGGGGCATTTAAGGGCACGGATTCATCGAGTTGTAGATGAACGTCAAGTCAAGGCCAGCAATCTGATGGAACAGTTGAGATGCGATATCGAGTCCATCCCCGTCGATATTGCGGATATAACGTTCGATAGGTTGAAGAAGCGTGTGTACGGGCTTGACCCCGATGGTCGCTATCATCCTAACCCCAACGAGCCTGATGCCGTCGACCCCCAGGACATACTAAACGCCACGGTGTTGAGTTATATCGAGTATCGAAGGCGGGAGATGGCCGTTTCACGCATGACGGCTGACCTTGAGCCGATATCTAATGGTGACGAGAACGATGGTGACGAGAGTGATGGTGATGAGAGCGATGGTGATGAGAGCGATGGTGATGAGAGCGATGGTGATGAGACCCAAGAGGACTACGATGATGACGAAGAGCAAGGGGAGTCTCTGGATAACCCTGATGGAAATGCCATACCTTGCTAAGTTGTATTGTGGTGGCTACTTCGTAACGTTCGTTCTATGACTGTTCCTGTCTCGCACTGTTTATCAGATTGGGCATTCGGCATCGTTCATGACGAGTTGTGATTTCAAGGTGAGGGTATACACTCCTTTGGCTTAGATAGGTAGTAATAAATTGTGGAATCAGAATGACATTGGAATATGTACTATTCTAATTAAAGTCCCACAACCTCCGAACCAAAGACCCTGGCTCAGTATCCTCCTCTCTCCCTTCCAGTCCACGGTCAGTGAATATCCTCTTCGGAATCTGAAACTCCACCACAGGAATCTTCTTCAGCGCCTTCTCCTCCTTGCCCAACTCCGTACTCAACAGAGCCTGATAGGAAAGATCCAAAAAGTCCTCGACGTTATATTGCTGTTTCGTGAACTGTTCAGATATTATCTTAGCCAACGCCGCGGTGTTCGGGTGATAATGAGACTGTAACGTCTCAATCTCCCACAGACTGCTATCGATAGCGTTCGTAAGGGTGGGGTTTGGCTCAAGGGCATCAAACGGATCATCCATACCCTGCTCCTCTATCTCCTCATATAACGATGTGTTATGCTTCTTTAGATCCCGATGTATCATAAACGTGCATGTAGGATGTGATTTGAGCATGTTATACATCCATGGAACGATCACCACGATGGCCGAAGGAGGTGCGTTGAGCGCTAGTCGCGATAACCGTTTAATAAAGCTCGCTACCATCGTGGCGGGCAGATGGGAAGATGCTAGAAAGGTATCTAGTAACCGGAAGAAACGCGAGCGGTGTTTCGAATGTAACATGTCCCGATCAAGAAGGGAGTATAGTTTCGTGTAGAACTGCGGATAATCTAGGTTCTTCTCCTGTATCAGGTAGAAAAGACCGGATAGGGAAAGGAGAGATATCGATCCGCCTTCGTCATAGCAGTCTGTTAAAAAGTCCATGAGGAGTTCTGGCTTTGCGAACCAAGGTACGACGACATGCGACATGATGCGTAGCAGGTGTTTTCGCTGGGATTTAGTCATTTCGTTCCGTAGCACTGCAAGCCAGGTGGTCTGCACGCGGATTTTAAATGCGTTCTCGGACGTGAATGGGCCTTTGTTCTTTTGACTTGTCTTCGACGTGTCTGTGTATGTGTTCTCGAAACGCTCCTGGAGTTCCGTGGGCTCGCCAAGGTTAGAAAGCAGCTCGATTATATTATCTAGTGTTTCTGCGTTTCTTTGCTTGGACAGGTAGTTTCTATTATAAACCGTGTTAGCAGGTATATTATAGTGGTAGGTGAACTCTGGAGACGTACGCAAGTCGTAAGACGGTATAGACTGTGATATCATGGTATTTCTGGAAAAAGTTCTCGGTGAAATGCGCACCGACTTTATCATTGCCGGGTTTGATAACGGCAGCTAGTACATCGTCGAAGAAACCTCCGTTCCATACTGGATATTCTGATGCGGGTAGGTACGCGGTATGTTCTTTTATCAGTTGCATGGCCAAGCTGAGAGTTGCAAGCTATCCACACACGTTAGTATATACATATATAGATCCAAAGAACGATATATACCTGTTGCGATGACCCTCCGTTATTTAGGACCGTAAGTAAGGCTTGCTGGTATTCCTGGTATCTCTCTTTCAACCATGCGACCAATATCAAGTCTTGCTCCATTGCGTCCTTGGGCATATTCATATGCCCACCAGCCAATAGCCGACAGAAAACCCTGCAAAGAGAAATCGCAACAGCCTTCCTGTTGGCTTTATCCGAGTCCGCATCGTCAAGTTTTGCAAGTAGAGTCACTATATTATTATAATATTTCCGAGATTCAGCAATCTGATCTTCCAGCTCTTGGATATGCTCTGCTTCCGATCTGCCGCTCTCCTCTTCCACTGCTCTCCATTTCATTGACCGGCGAGTAGAGTCCGTATCGTTCTTTTTCCGCTTCTTAGAGCTTTTCAGCTCGTCATTAAGTGCCGGCGACATCGTGGCTGCTGTTCTGTTCAAGTTATCAACTTCTCATCGCATAAAAGTTCCCTTATCATAACTTTTTTTTCTCTGCTCTCAGTGTCGACACGCGCTAGTCCTGTTACGGCTAGCGTCCTGAATCACCCGAACCTCATCTTCCAAACTGCATCCAAAACCTCATCCACGAAGTTCATCAACCCATCACATTCCAACGTTACTACAATGGCGTCACGGTTGGCTAAGAGCGCCATTGGTATGTAAATCGATGCTCACACGATGATTGATATGGCCATTGAAAGAGTGCGATGCTAATTGGGCTGCCAGGCGCCGCTCGTATCCGTCCTTCGGTTCTCCCTCGATCTGTCCCAGCACTCACCAGCGTCACTCCAGCGCGATATGCCTCCAACGTGCCGGCCGAGGACCCAAAGAGCAAGGCTCAATCCATCATCGATGCTTTGCCCGGTAACTCGATCGTCTCCAAGACCGCAATTCTCTCCGGTGCCGCTGGTCTCTCCGTTGCCGCTATCAGCAACGAGCTTTACATCCTGAACGAGGAGTCCGTCGTCGCCTTCTGTCTGCTCAGTGTCTTCTACGCTGCTTTCAAGCTCGGTGGACCCGGCTACAAGGAGTGGGCCGCCACCCAGATCCAGAAGCAGAAGGATATCCTCAACTCTGCCCGTGTCGACCACACAAATGCCGTTAAGCAGAGAATCGAGAACGTCCAGCCCTTGAGCGGCGTTGTCGATGTCACCAAGCAGCTCTTCGAGGTTTCCAAGGTAAGAATATATGTGGAAGTTGATGACTTTCGGCTTGTCTTGATGGCATTGGGCTTGGCGTTTTACTGACTTGATATTATAGGAATCCGCTCGCTTGGAGGCTCAGGCTTTCGAGTTGGAGCAGCGAACTGCTCTTGCCGCCGAGGCCAAGAAGGTCCTTGAATCCTGGGTTTCCTACGAGAGCCAGGTCAAGCAGCGTGAACAGCGCGAGCTCGCTGAGTCCGTTATTGCCAAGATCCAGAAGGAACTGCAGAACCCCAAGATGCTGCAGCAAGTCCTGCAACAATCCGTCGCTGACGTTGAGAGTATGTTCCGCCCTACGCTCTATTCTAATGTACTACGCACCATTTACTAACTACGTGGTTATAGGAATTGTTGCCTCAAAGGCTCAATAGATAAGATATGCAGCTTGTTTTTTTGCCAGCTTAGGCCCTAGTTGTCGGCAGTAACATTTGTCAATTTAGTGTACAAAAATCAAATAGAAAGAGTCGCAATTCCGTGCCAGTATTTCCCTCTTTTTTTGTCTTTTTCCATTTTAAACCCACCAACCATATGTTATGCAGTTCGCTATATTTCATGCAGTTCCGTTATAATGTATACTGATTTCGTTGTGCTCGAGCTTCGACTTAAATTCATAATAATCGTTACTGATTCTTCATATCTCCCATGTGTTTCTCACGTAGCTGAGTTAAGAGTTGCTAGGCTGGACGCCTCTTCTGTCATGTGTCATGTGTCGTGGGCCTAACGGTAGGACCGGAGAAGCTGGGACGGAGTAATTGCTCGATCCTCTCTCGGTGGCAGAAGACGAACGAATGCTTCATTGGGGACAGCTTCGAATGGTGGCAGATCAACAGGGTAAACGAGACGTGCCAGTTCGCGGATGCGAGGGCGATCAGCTTTGGTCTTTGTCATTCCAGCCAGCACGCAGCTATGCAAGTCTTCGCTGTATGTCTCCCCGACCCCGCCCATTGGGTCTGCTCCACACCAGTTCACAACAGACAAACATTGAATCACGGCGGTAGCAGAGAAGACATCGCTGCGCTTGCTGCAGTTGGGGAACTCCGGAGCCATCCATCCCTCAGTGCCGGAGGTAGCAAACGGCATCTTTAAATCTTTCTTGGAAACGCTCATCCCAAAGTCGCCGAATTTGATGATGGGGTACTCTCCAGCGACATCTGGCGACTTGATGAAGATATTGTCAAGCTTGATGTCGCGATGTAAGATGGCATTCCACCCATTCTTATCAGGCACATCCTCGTTGATGATGTCCCTATCATTGCGAAGTCCGGTCTGCATGTAGCTGAGTGCACGAATCAACTGTCTAAAGACGTGCCAGAGGAATGCTTCAGGGATAGGGGCCTCAGTGGTTGCCATCCATTGCTTGAAGTAGTCTAGGGTACCTAGGTCGCAGAACTCGAGGAAGATCTCGGCCTTTCTTGGACTGATGGACGCCTCCAGGTATTTTTCGACGTTCGGATGGTCCATGGCACGAGTTGCTTTCACCTCTCTCAGCCAGCGTCTAGGTTTGGCTTTGCTGCAGATCAAGAAGCTCTTGCGGATGCAGACGAGACCGTCGGGCTTGCGCGAGACAATATCGATGGCCTTGTTGTATCCTCCACTATAAGGACGGAGTTCAACTACCACATTGTACTTGTGGTCCAGATTATGGTGGACGATCTCCTCAAATTCTGGATAGGCACCCTCCAGAGCCTGCAAAGACTCTAGACGTGTACGCAAAGCCTCTGCCTCCTTGGCACGCTTGACTCTATCAAAGGTAGAAGAAGAAGAAGACATATCTGATGCTGACACGGTTAATGTGTTATGCAGGAGACTAGTCACAGAGATCCGCTGATTCCTGTGTCCGGACCAGTTAGTTATTTCTAAATATAGCTGCTTAAGACCCGGAAGCTGGATAGTTACCGTTAATGTGATGCACAGTTATTCCACCTTAAGTAGAGGCCACAACTCTTTGATGGTCTTGCTGAGATTAAGCCTAGGCTATATAAGGAACACAGTTAGTAGAGGCCTTAGCATATAAGTAGTATACAGACAAGAATAAGCCAGAAGCACAGAGCTACTCACCGGTGCTTGAGAGGAAAGTTGCAAGCAAACTAATAAGACCTGTCAGGGCTGGGTATGAGCAGTCCTCAGAGAGAGTCCTCAGAGCAGAAGAAAGACAAGTAGCTAAGAATAAGGCATTAATATCTGATATCCTGATGGATACTGGTAGATACTGATAAAAAGAAGGCCATGGGAGGGATGAACTGCAACAGGAGCTGGCCGTCAAACAGCATGATGGACTTACCAGCTGCAGCTAAGGTGATGGCCCCCTCCCTGGGAGAGGGAGAGTGCAGAGATCTCTCAAGAAGATGAAGCCTGGGAAGTTCCTTTTGTAGTGGCAGAACGTGATGAGCACGTGGTCTGTGAAGCCCTGATTGCGATAGAGGTTAGTGAGAAAGTGAGAAAGTGAGGTTGGAGGAAGAAAACAAGAAGAAGAACAAGAGGGACGTTGTTGACCTCCCACTTGCCGCAATGGGACGAGTCACTGGACTCTTCACTGTCAGCCTGTTCTCGGCGCTGACATCTTCCTTTATCTATCTCAATAACTTCATGTCTATCTTTATGTCTTCATTAATCTTCATGGAGTGCTCTTAGATATAGATCTATTCAGCTCTGGTGTATGGCATGGTATGTTCAATGTCTTGACTCATTGACTTGTTGACTCATTGTATAGCTATTGTGACGTTATATGCTAACCACCTCAATAGATATAGACAAGGGACCAGTCAGTGGTATATATTAGTTGAATGGCTCAATAGGCTGGTATCATAGAGAACATTCTTGATATATCTGCCATTTATCAAGATTAATAACCCTGGCTAGGCAGTAGCTCAGTCAACGTGCAGCTTCACAGGCTAACCGCTGCATCTCTAGGTGACAGCCTGTCCAGTTTCAACTCCATATGAAACCATACATCAGCAGCCGGAATCTCTCTACAAGGTCTATCCACGGTCAAGGCTGACCCGGCCGGCGCTAGATGTAACAACCAGCAAGAGAGCAGACAGAGCATCCCTGGCTTATCAACACCGCCATAACTCAACACACTGAGATAACTATTACCCAGCTGGTGCGCCCTGTAACGAAAAGACGACATGGAGATGGCTGGAGATGGTATATTCCGCATCTGGGGCCACCTACCGCTCCGTAGCGATATTAACATCAGACATGAAGGAACGCAAAAACCTTAGCCACGGGGCTCGTTCGTTGGACCTAATTAATAAATAATTCAAAGTCAATCACAAATGTCGACTCGATTAACTCTGCCACGAGGAAACATCATCTGGCGCTCTCTCCACCGTAACTGTTTGATTTTAATTGGCTTTGGCCGTGTTCCGGCGCTCTGCAATGTTTGGACTGCGCCGGCTGGGGCTTACGCGCCCACGCAATCTATTATCAGCGTCGTTCGCGGAGATATAAATACTATGACGGAGCCTCAAGAGTGGACTAGAACTTCTGTGTCCCTCATTATTTTATAGACAAAGTGAATACGGAGAACAATAAAGGATAAAGCGCAGAGCAAGGATAGCTTCATCCGCTGGTCCGCAACGAACGCAGATATGCCGCTGATAAAGAACATGCTTCATAGGAAGCAGGAAAAGGACGATCAACAACCTACTCAGGCTGAGACGCCTGAATTTCGCATCATCCGCACAGATACACATACCGAAGAATCGATCGAAGTTCCTCCATTCCAGTCGATCGAAAGCGGCCCCGCGTCCCCTCGCAAGTCGTTTGGCCTCTTCCGCCGTTCCCTAGACGTATCGTCCAGCAGGCGCAGCAGCCAGGATTCACACTCGCCCCGAGAAAGTCGGCTGTCGCGACTACATATTGGCCATCGGTCAAGATCTGGGAGCTCCTCGTCCACTAATTTGCCAGAGAACCTGCCCGAGATCGAAAATGATATTGAAGATGAGCATGAAAGGGAGGCACAGTGGGAAAAGCGGGCTACGGTTTTGGTGCAAAATCGATCACAATCTGCGCTGTCGCCTGGGCTGAAGGAAGGAAGATCGAGGAGTCCAAGTGTTGGGAGGGTGAATGATCCCGAGGGAGATGTAGGTTCTCCGAGCTTGACTTGACGATACAATAGAGGCTGAACTGACTGTCGGTTATAGGAAAATATACAAGAGGCAATTCGACTACACGAAGAAGGACGTAAGTTGCAATCTGCGCATGCATGCATCCATCAACCTGCTCTCAAGTTAACTCTAGGTTAGATCTAGAAAAGTCAACACATATTTTTGGCAAGCTGGCAGATCCCCACGGCCAAAACAACGCTTTAAGTCAGGTTCTCTTCGGCCTCGCCTTAAGGTCCGTACATTCGTACCCTCTATTCTACCCTCGGAAGCCAACTAACCATCTCCTAGACACGGCTGGGGCTGCGAACCTAACGCCGAAATGGCAGTCCAATACCTTAGCGCGGCAGCTTCGAACTCCGCCTCGATTGAAGAAGAGGCTCTTCGTGCAGGCATGAAGAAAGGTGGAGCTGCCAAGGGTGAACTGGTGCTTGCTATCTATGAGCTGGCAAATTGCTACCGCAACGGATGGGGTGTGGCCAAGGATCCCGCTGCGGCGAGACAATACTATGAGACAGCCGCCAACCTGGGAGATACAGATGCCATGAATGAGGCCGGTTGGTGTTACCTTGAAGGATTTGGTGGGAAGAAAGATAAGGTATGCATGATTCTTGATGATAGGTCCTAGTGAGTAATAATAAGGGCCCTGCTAATTGATTTAGTTTACTGCTGCAAAATATTATAGGCTTGCTGAGGAGAATGGTAATAAGACACTCGGTAACTCCTGGTATGCATTCTCCATGCCGTTCCTTCTTTGTGATTTTGATATTAACGGTGTAATAGGATCTGGAAGGACAAATATAAACCGAAATGACGCGCCAATTTAACAGCTCATGATATTTGAATACCCCAATCTTGCCTTTGAATGATGCAGCGATGTACAGGTTTACCCATTTAGCCATTGACCTCTTTTAGCCTTTGATATATCCTGTGGTAAATTTGACTACAGTGATCACGACGATAATGAAGATAGTAATAAAAATAATTCTGCGCTTCCAATATTATATAAAATTAACCCTATATGAATGATCACACCTACACAAACCGAACTAGACGAGTAAAACCAGCCCAGCTATCCAATGAGACCATTTGCGTCCTAACAGAAAACCGTGAGATCCGAAACAAAAGAGCCCTGTCATCGTTACGAGAAATATACATTCAGAACGCCAACCCTGGTTTAGCTATTATTTTGTTGAGCTTTCAACATGGTTGCTAGCCGTTTATAATCCTCCAGTAGCTCGGGTACATCTCCCAGCTTTAACTCGGAGGCATCACTCATATCCAAGAACTTTTGAATAGCAGGGGCTCCTTTTGTCGTGGACGAAGGGCCTGGTGTTCTGGTGCTGGTGATATGACTGGAAGCTACAGTAGTGGGCTCAGGGGCTCGACCTAGACCACGAATCATATTAGGTATATGACTGAGCGGATTCAACGAGGTACCAAAACCTCTAACGGATCCGAACCCCGCGTTTGCAGCACTGGCGCTGGATGAAGCGGGTGGTGCGCCGGTTGGCGCGATAGGGTTATCAGTTGCCTTTGTATCGGACCGATTGGTACTAGAGTCACGTCGAGTTATGCCTGGCCGTCTTCGGCCGGCGACCAAACCAGCTAGCCGGTCGTCGAGGGGCTGTCTTGATGAAATAGAGGGAGTAGGCGTGGGCGTGCGGTCCTCCTTTATCGACCCGTCTTCACTGATAGCGTCATCTGGAAGCATAGGACTGGCTTTAACCTGTACAAGCTTCCGCGCATCGTCAAGTGTTTTGGGAACAATGGGTGTGACACGCTGATCACTATCACCCTGAGAGATTTGGACTTCTTTCAACCTTCCGAACAAGAAGGTGAAACTGTTGTCCAACGTACTGCTTATGGTTTTCAAGCCCTGATCGGCGGTACTTCGCACAATATCATTTGCCGCTCCAAGGGCTTTTGCAGGAGGTTGGAGTAAGTCGGACAGTCGTTGCTGGGCGGAAGGGTGAGTAGATGGAGGGGGTCTTGTATCCGAGTTAGAGGGTAAGGTGCTAGTGGCAAGTGAGGCAGTAGACGGACTTTTCTCGTGGGCTTCACTTGAGTTAGAATCCAGAGGTGTAGGGTATAGGAGACTCATGTCAGGCTGGTCAATCGGTGTCCGGCCTTCTTCCATACGAAGGCTAGTTAAATCAACATTCTCTAGGAAATCGATAGCGGCTTCTAAGTTCGTAAGACAATAGGCTGTCTCACCGTCGACTTTATTTGATGCTCTGAACCTCTGTATGAAATTGAGATTGCTGATGATATTGACCCCCTCTGGTGGCGAGAGGATTAGGGTATATATTAACGTAGGGAGGATCTCGTCTGCTGAGGACGAGGACGGGAGTATGTTCGTCAAGGCATCTACAATCGCCTTGTGCGCCGCTACGATGAGTTGGAGTTTGCCGAGAGGGAACTTCTCGTCGTTCATCCGTATCAAGCACTGACGAGCTGCGGAAACGCATTCCTTTGGGTCTACCGTTTTCCCAGCGCCTTGCTTGGAGATATCCACTCCCAGGTCCTTCAGCTCAATCCCCATTACCAGTAATGCCGCCGTTTTTGACCGTAGCTTCTCGTCTCGAACGTCATCTATTGTACTCCGGTGTCGCCATATCTTGTCGTATATGGTTTCACACGCCCTCCGTTCAACGGCTTCCTCAAGAGCGTGCTGCTTGAACTGGAGTAGCTTTCGTGCCTTTCGTCTTTCCGCAACCTCTTCAGCTGTGAGCATCTGTTGCTCAGGTGTATCCTTTTGTGGGCCATTGGAGCTTGGGGGACGCCTTGAGGACTTGGAGGCCTGTGACTGGAGAGAAGAAGTCGAGCTATCACGATGTAGCCGTGATGCTAAAGTGGAGACGTGTGTTGCAATATGTGAGCCCGCACGGAGGTAGAACTCTTGAAACAAATCGGAGAGTGTATCTATTGACGGAGGGGTGGTGTACGTTTTGGCACTAAGAGAGGCGATAAACCTAGGAATATACATGTATTAGTACAACCATTTTATAGTAGTGTATATATATATATATATATATATATTCCTAACCTGTCCGTGAGGCTAGCCAGCTCTATAGGAAGCTCGTCGAACTGCTCTGGGAGCTCAACAGGCAGCTGTCCAATAACAGGTTCTGCGTCCTCACCATCTCCATGTGACGGATCGGAATCCTTCTTTTCAAAGACATCCCCTGTCGCCTCTGTCATCCCGGGCCCAGCTGAGCCTACCGCGTTCTCCGAAGTACCTTGTATAGCTTCCGTCGAATCGGCAGCTGTTGGGTCTATCCTTGAGAATGGGCTGCTATTCTCCAGACGACTGAACGAGTTGGATCCCCCGCTACGCTGCTTCGCCTGGGTAGACGGCGCGTGATCTTTCGTCTCAGACATCGTATTGTACGGCTGAACTGTTCAAACCATGGACATCCAGAAATATCAATCAACTCCGTCTCTCACGCGGATTATCGTACGTGTGCCTCGCGTTACACCTGGAAGGCAAAAGCGAGTGCTTAAGACGGCGTCTGCAGGGCCTCACGCGATATCTCTGATGCGGTACAACACTGTCCGCGTTTCCCCTTCGCCATCAGAATAAGCATCTCCCTTCTCTGGCAGCCTATCCCATCTGCTTTAATATATGTCCAGGTTGATATATCTACAAGGTTGATCCCAGACGCGCGGATCTCGGAGAAACGATCATCCACTCACGGGGTCATGTGGGCCGCTGAGTAAGCCATCCGGGGTTCTTTTGGTCTTTCTGTCGTCACTTTCGACGTCAACCGTTGTTAATCCTCATCGTCGCCGGTGTCGAAGCATATCTTTATCCTATCGCATATATCTACAGGTGTTATGAGTGGCAGATAGCTAGAGCCCTCTAGTGTTGAATCTGCATGATGTTGGACTCGTGACAAAAGAGCTAGTGAACTTGTTATTCGATCATGCTGTTGCCTATAAGCATACTACTCTCCCTGCTCGCCATCCCGGCATCGTACGCCTCGGCTGCTCCCCGCGATGTGTATGAGCCAGATCAGATCGCTCTTGGACCGTCTGAGGACGCCGGAGTAGATTCAAAGTCTCTCCGTACAGACCATGAGTTCGTAAGTGACTGCCGCTTCCGTCTATCTCTGTGGCGACTATACGCTAACTTGAAAGGACAGTCACTTCGGCACGTCTTCCACCATGGAACGTACGAAGACCCCTCGCTACATAAACGCCTTGACGTCGAGTCGGACACGGAGCTGTGGATGGAGTCAGAGGATGGCGAGAGGATAGAACTACCAAAGACCTTCCATGCATCGGGACAACCGGTCAGGATCAGGCGACTTACCGATCGACGGCCGGAAATCATGGAAGGCCGGCTCCACGCAGCTCGGAACCCGGGGCTTGCGAGCTTCATGCCTCCAGCAGAATGGACGATAGATGAAGTACCAGGCCCCGACGTCAGTGACAGACTGACAATCCTCAACCTGGCGAAGATGACCGCCAATGCATACATACAGAAACCCGGGTCTGCAGAATGGATGAGTCTGGGACATGCCCCATGGAAACATTCCAACAGATTCGGGTGGGAGAACGATGGTCTGCGAGGGCACATATACGCGGACAAGGGTAACGACACTATAATCATTGCCCTGAAAGGCACCTCGGCAGCCCTGTTTGACGGCGAGGAGACCACGACCAATGACAAGATCAACGACAACCTCTTCTTTAGCTGCTGCTGCGGCCAAGGGGGCCAGTACTTCTGGCGGCAGGTCTGCGACTGTTATACGTCCACGTTTACGTGCAATATTACCTGTGTAGCCTCATCTCTTAGATCCGAGAATCGGTACTACAGAGCGGCTCTAGATCTGTTCGCTAATGTGACAGAGCTATATCCGACCTCTAACATCTGGCTAGCCGGTCATTCACTTGGCGGTGCGGTATCAAGCATGCTTGGAAGAACATACGGGCTTCCTGCTGTGACCTTCGAAGCCGTTCCCGAAGCCCTCCCTATTTCCCGCTTGGGGCTCCCTGTACCACCTGGCGGCGACCCGTTCGCCCCTGAAACCGAATATACTGGCTCCTTCCACTTCGGTCACACAGCTGATCCCGTTTATATGGGCAGCTGTAACGGCGCAACGTCAATATGCACGCTGGGCGGCTATGCCATGGAATCCGCGTGTTTTACTGGCAAAAGATGCGTGTATGATACCGTCCAGGATCTGGGCTGGCGTGTAGCTATAGGCACCCACCGAATCGTCAGCGTCATCAACGATGTGCTTAAGAAATACGATACCGTCCCGACCTGCAAACCGGATAAAGCGTGCGTTGACTGTCCCAACTGGAAGTTCTTCCGTAGCAATGGCACCGAGCGCACGACGACTAGAACGACGAGCACTACGTCGACGGCTACGAGGACTTCGACTTGCGAAACTCCTGGATGGTGGGGATGCCTCGACGATACCACCAGCCAGACCACGCATACGGCTACCACTTCGTCAACCTCTTCAACGAGTACAACATCTACCTGCAAAACGCCCGGCTGGTTCTGGTGCAAGGACGAAAGCACTACAGCAACAAGCGTAACGACGACTCCGGCCACAACTTCCACGTCGACTACCACTACTCCCCAATCGACAACCGCCACGACGACCTGTGAAACCCCAGGGTGGTTTGGGTGTAACGACTCAACCACGACGACGGTTATAACGACCATGAATCCGTCGTCGTCAACGTCATCTTCTTCATCATCGTCTTCTAGCTCAACCTGCAAAACGCCCGGTATCATATGGGGCTGCAACGACGTTACTACTACCACCCCGGCGGGTACATCGACCCCCACGCCCACGCCGCCCATCGGCCCAACGGCGACCGCGTAGGCTGTTCAACAACCTGAAAGCTTTTGGCTATTGCATTAGTCTGTCATTTATTGCGATTTACCACTATATATATCAGGTACTCCCTAGAGGACGAGTCACGACAATTTGCTCAGTTTATTGCTTTACATTTGGATTTTTGGATTCTGCTTGACTTGTTACTTGGAGCAATATTGAGAAATTGGAACTCAAGGCTGATGTTTTGTTACTGTTTGCCGTGGTTTAGATATTTTTTGTATGCTTATTATTGGATGATTTCGGCATTGGTATGGGTATCACAGGAAAGCGCTTGTTAGGAATACATATCACCTAGAATTTGCTACCACTCGTTCCTTTTTGGAGGTTACTTCTCAGTACACATCGCAACAGATACTTGCTTCTCGCATCAGCAAACAATGAAATGGGCTTCTTCGGCTAGCGTGGGATTGTCCCTCGTCTCACATGCGCTTCAAAACATGGATCCCCTCTCTACTCTGCATGTTGGACGACGGTCTACGGAGTAGCTTCTCCCGGCTCAAACGAACGACCAGTCTCATGAACCACGGACCGGATTTCAGGCCGAACCACAAACCGCGAACCACAAGCTCAACTCCTTCTTACAAACAGCGCGTTTTCCCTCAAAGCTCGGCTTCCGTCATGCCGAAACTTTTCACCGAAAAGAAGATAATATTCGCCTGATTGTAAGCTACTAGTGTCAATAATCCTCCACCTGCTAGCCAGGGGTAGAACAGCCATTAACGCCCAGACAGGAAACTGATTCATAATCAGCTCCAGCCCAGAAAGCCCGCTTCACTACTCCGTATTTTGTTTTACTTGAACCCGACACATAGTGGCGGACGGGAGCTTGACTATTTTATGTACCCAGAGTCTTGACCAGCCAGGCTGGGTTGCAGCGGCACAGCCGTGCTAGGTTCCTTTGCTTTCTTTTTACTCTCTTTGCTTTTCTTCTGCCCTGCCCGCCCTGTCCGGGAAGATGAAGCTGTGCCGGATCTTCTGGACGACGGCCACTAGCAAACGGACGATCGCGTTGTACTGATATCACGACGACCAGGGCTTATGCGATGAGTCTCCTTGGATACGAATAGTGGCGAGCTCCTTATTATTTTCCGACATCAGGAGTAAAGGAGTTAAACAGAAAAGGTGGTCCGTGGCTTGATCAAATATCATGCCCGATCTCCCACCGTCTAGCTTGAGAGAATCGAATCAATCAATCGTGTTCGAATTCTAGCTGCAGCTCTCCCGCGTCCGCTACAAGGAGACCCCAGCGGGTGCACGACGATCAGATCTAGCCAGTGTCGAGTTGTGTCGGGAGTTGCATCAAGCCTGTATCGAGGGCTGCTTGATGTGCAGTTCGGGCCAATACGCTCCCGGCCGCCATCCTCTGCTCTGCCACAGTTGAGGAGTAGCAATGCGCTGTGTGACGTTGTTTGTGATACACTGACAGGGAGAAACTGTGATATAACTGTTCTTGACTCCGTATCAGACAGTCGCAATATTTGGCTGGCGTGATCGTTTTCAGATTTGGGGCATGGTAGAAGGGGAGAAGCGCGCGGCAAGACGAGACGAAAAATGGAACTTACCTTCATCACCATACACGGCAAGTCAACCTTTTGCAGACTGCATAACTTCATTCTCCATGCTCAGCCCTGCCCAATATCATACGTATGGAGTGGGCTAACATGAACAAGATCTCTCCCCGGACGCCCGCACGCGCTACGTCTCCAGCGCGATAGAGGATATCCTTGGATACCAGCCTCCTGAGGTGCTGAATAGGCCGATATGGGAATTCTTCCACGCCGACGAGCTCTCGCAGGCGCGCACAATTTATTCGCGTTCCGTCCGACACGACAAGGCCGCGGGGCTGAACTATTTCCGCATCAGACATAAGAATGGCTACTGGGTTGCATGCGAGTGCGTTTTTACCGTTGTCTGCGACGTACTCATCGCCAGCACCAGTATCTACCATCGGGGGAAGAGGAGCCAGAGTACGTGTTCATCGTGGGTTCTACAACTGTTTATTTTTCGTTATGCTAATATCTGTGTAGTGCGTGCCGCCGATGCTCCCGTCGTGCGCCGGCTGTTTGCATCCTCTTCTCGCGACCCGCGCTACCATATGCTAAGTTGCATGTCTACGAAATTTAAGCCGTCACCATCACCAACCAGTGGCTCTCCGAATGGCTCACACGAACCGCGGGCGGCGCTCTTCCTCAACCGCTTCACTCGCTCTGCAGCCGTCATATATGCCACCCCTAGCGTCGCGAACGTACTAGGCGTATCGGCCGCGTCTCTTATCTCGACGAGCTTCTACTACTGTATCGAGGAATGCTGCCTCCCACAGGCCGTACAGTGTCTAGAGAGTGCAAAGGCAAATGATTCAATTGCTTATTTACGTTTTTGGTTCCGCAACCCAACCGACCAGCGAAACACGAACCCATATCCAGAACGACGCAGACGATATACCAACCTAGACACGAACAACAACGACTATTACCCCTCTCCATCTCCATCGCCATCAGCTTGCGGGCCAGGGTGGGGGTCTGGCCCAGAATCATCTTCCTTTGATAGCGCATCGCCTGCATTACCGGGTCTACAGCAACGGCCTTCAACGTCGTGCTCGAATTCGCTTCCTCCGCCCATCGAGCTTGAAGCAATCGTCTCCTGCTCCTCTGACGGGCTGGTAGTTATCGTACGACGCGCAAGACCACCCATACCAGGCTCCGTGAAACATCCTAGCCACCCGATCTACGGCCGGGGTATGTATTTCCCCCCTTCACTACTGCCGAATCCCAGCGAGAAGTCGATCTATGCCGCCATCGGCTCTTCCGGCGGATCAGACGCTGACGCCGATGCTGACGGTATGGGTGAGCGTCATGGAAGTGGTAGTGGTAGTGGTAAGGGATTAGCGCCAGGCGGTCCTGAGCCCGAGGTCCTGATGAACACGATCCGCGACGCGATGCACACATAACTTCATACCCTTTAAAAAACAACCACCTGCATTCAAATCTTCCCTCGCCCTCTCCATTCCGATAATGGTGGCCGTGCCATTTCTCAGCGTCGCATCTAGGATACCCCATCTTCTCACCACCCATTCGGCATACCAGCTCCACCTTTCATCTAATCTCGTCTCAGCTTCAGACACATTCCTACCTTACCATCGCTTAACTACCGCCTCACCCTCCGCCCCATTCATCAACTCTTCGACTCGGCTCGGCTTTGTCTCGTTATATTTCATTTAGCCCGGTTATGGTTCTGGGTCTCATAGCGTTTCGTCTTCGTTTTCGTCATCATCAGGTCATACTTATAGTCGAGCGTTATCTACCTATAGCTTGTTCGTTAAGCTCAACGACATTAAACTAATTATCTAACTCCGTAATTAATGAAGGAAAATTTTCTACATCATCTACCATCCATTGCTTCAATCATTACTTCATTCATTGCTTCGTGATTTCACAGCTGGATTAGCTGCGTAGTTCATAAGAACCAATCAACTGCCTAAACTAACTCACGGAACTCACGGAATTCACGGAATTCACGGAACTCACAGCACCAACTACACCGAACAAGGTTAACAAACCACCGCCCAGGCATGGTAAATAGATAGCAAACAGATGAAAAAATAGTCAGGAAAAATAAAAATTCAGTCCGTATCCAAAGAGATAACCCGAGCTTTTTTCATTCCTTTTTCCTTTTCCCCCTTCCTTTTCCTTCGCCATCCGGAAAAAAGATAGTTAGCAAGGAAAGAAAGAAACGAGCGAGTGGTATCAAGGTAATTAGGCAGTAGGTAGGTAGGTAGGTAAAGAGGTATGTAACCTAAAAAAGAGAAAAAAAAAGTATTGAAATATAATTAGGAAATTTTTTTAGTCCAGAGATGATAGGAAAATGACACGACATGAACATCGACATCGGTATCAGCGTATGTACGTATGTATGTAGATGAGGTATATATGGCGATAACCACCTGTTCTCTCCCCCTCTCCTCCTTTTTACACCCTTTTCTTTTCTTTTTTCTTTCTATCTTTCTTTCTTTCTTTCTTTCTTTCGTTCTTTCTTTCTTCTTCCTTCCCATCCACGACGTCGATCGGTTTGTTTTTAAATCTCCAAATCCTCACATACGCTGCTCGAGCTGGTCGAGCTAACGCTTCTCTCTAGCTTGGCTGTACTCACGCCATCACCTATACTTAGCGGAACGGGCGACTTAGCGTCCCGAGAAAGTTCTTGTGTCTTTGTACATATCCATGTTGAGGCGTACATGTTTACGCTGTGTACATTAGCAGTTGTCAGTGCATCATGCGGAGGAACTGTGGCTTACCGGTCAATGCAAGCGCCTGGGAATCTAGCCCCGACTCTCCTGGTGGAGAAACCGCACTGTTCGAAAACGGCGATGTACCACGGCTCAATGCTGGCTGAGCGGAGGAGAATTCGGCCGCCCTTCTTGAGAGCATGGTTGAATGCCGTTGCTTGAGTGGCTGCGGCTTGGGATGAGGGATCAAACCAGTCCATGGAGTCCATTACCTGGCGTTGATTGTTAATGTGTTTTTCTAGATGTGATGCAGAAAACAGGTTATCGAGGAAAGAGGGGTAAAGGGAATGGACTTACGACTGCGATGGTTAGTGTGCCTGGGGTGATACGGGAGATGACTTCTTGGATCTCGTCGGTGTGGATGCGTAGACCGTCGAAAGCTCCTGGCGTCGAGAGCTTGGTGTGTGCCTTTTGGGTAAGGTATGTTGGGTGGCATCTCTTGGAGAACTGGCCAGACAAGCAGAGGAGGTAGAAGTAGTTGTCATCTCCCAACAGGGTCTCCTTGACGACTGGGTCGAGAGTGTTGACGACATACTCCCAAACAGCCTGTCCACCGACACCCTTCTCCTTGGCTCCCTTCAATCCACCATCGAGCTTCTCACGGTCCATGTAGTCCGTTAATATCATGTTTCTCTGGTTGGCGGGAACACCGGCTGCCTTCCATGCGAACCACTCGGTGCCGACGATGGCCCAGTTAAGCGGCTTCGAAAGCAAGACGCGACGGATACGAGGCCAGATGGCCCGTTGTTCCTCCAGGGTCTGGGAATTGCACATCTTCTTGACGTCGGCGGTCAGACCGAAGAGAGAGAAGAGGTAGCGGACCAGCTTGAGAGCGTGGCGGGATCCACCAGTCTCGTACAGGCCGTGTCTCGAAGAAGTGAAGACGGAGGCATGGTCGAGCCAGAACTGGAAGGCCTGAGAAGAGAGATGTGGTGAGAGGTGGGAGATGAGCAAGTCACGGAATCCAGCGTGTTTTCCCTCGCCGAAGATTTTCCAGAAATCACGGTGCGAGAGGGCGGTAAAGGAGGCGACTTTCAGTTCGAGGAGATGGTTCTGGTTTGGGTTGAGGTCTACGGCGTGGATGCGGCGTGGGGTCTGGGGACCCGTCAGGTAGTCTAATATGTTGTCTCCTGCGCTGGTGATGGCGAGAATGACGTCGTCGGAGGTGATGTTTAGGAGACGGTGGTCGACACGGGGATCTTCCCAGGTGAAAGCGTAGATGTACTCCTTGTTGAACTGGGTGTGTTTGGTGAGGAATTCGTTGTAGCAGATACGCCAGTGGTGGTGTTGGTAGAAGAATGATGGCAAGGGCAGGTTGGATGAGAGGTTGACGATGGCTGATTCGTATGCCTTGGAGCGGACTTCGGGGATGGTACGCTGTACGGCCTTGGAGATCTCGGATCGGTGGTGGGTTGGCGAGAGGTACGGGGATTCGGTGAGAGTGGCGTCCAGACGGGCGATGGCGTCGTTGTCGTTCAGGGTAAGGTCCTTCTGGCAACCGATGAAGATGTAGTATGGGATGCCACCGAGCAAGTAGTTGCGTTCACTGGCGGAGATGACGGTTCCGAAGCGGTACTCGAGGTAATCTCTGCGGGCGGCCTCCAGGTTGACACGATCGACATCGAACCAGGCACGCCAGAAGACACGGCCGAGCCAGTTGACGTGGCGGTTGGAGATGCCTCCGGTGTAGTTCCTGGTGGCTAGGTCGACGATGTTCTGGACTATATGGCGGTTAGCGAATGGCTTAGCTATATCTAGGTTCGGGCCGTACCGTAGAAGTCACACACTCCGATGGTGCCGTCGAAGCTCAACAGCGAGGAGAGCGAGTCAACCACGGAGTAGTAATCTATACTCGTTAGCATCTAGTAGCAGTATTAAAGACAGGGAGGCTACCTGGGATCATGGACAGGGAGTAGCTCATGGTGATCAGATCGGCCTTTGCGTCCTGCCCCGGCACGCGGAACTCGCGCGCATCCTGGCAGAAGACGGAGACGTTCTTCCATCCCAGACGAGCAAACCGCTGCCTGGCGACCTCACACAGCGAGGGCGAGAGGTCGACGAGATAGACGTGGTCGAAGTACTTTTCGACGTTCAGGAACGCGGCCATGGCCTCGATGTTGTACCTATATTATATAAGCACCATACTTTTTTGCCGAACCTCGACTTCACGCACCCAGTGCCACCACCAATCTGCAATTGTCAGCCAGTACTTTATACAACAAAGGAGAAAGAGGCCTTACATCAACCCAGACGGGCTTGTGGTCCTTGGAGGCCATCTTCAACCTGAGCTGGGCCGCCAGGAGGCCGAGCATGTCCTCTCGGCCCCTGAGCAGGCGGCGTCTGGTCGCATCGTACACGGAAGCCTGTTCACACAGCGTCAACAACACCTTCTTATATCCAGCATCACTGTCGCCATCCCGGGTGCCGTGGTCTGGCCGCCGCTGATAAGGAAGTACCTGAGTCTGGTAGAAGTTCTCGAGCGCCTGCTGCTGGCCCGAGGAGGAGCCGGCGGACGAGGGCGTGTGGAAGGGCTTGATGAAGTTGGCGTAGACGAAGCGGCAGTAGGCGTTGAAGGAGGCCGTCTCCTGGCCGTCCTGCTGCTTGGTCGCGGTGCCGGTGAAGGCGATGTAGAGCACGACGACGGCGAGGAGAGAGGCGCCCAGGACGATGGGAGAGGTGAGCAGGCCACCCATCGAGGGCAGGGAAGCGGTGGCCATGACTATTACTATCTAACACAATTGATACAGGATAACAGAGAGAGAGAGAGAGAGAGGAGATAACAGGAGAGAGAACAGGAGGAGAACAGAGGGGAGAGGAGAGGAGAGGAGGGGTGAAGCTGTGATATGTATATCTACGGTGAGATGTCAGCAGCAAAAGTAAGTCAGCGGAAGGCAGGCCTATCAAGCGCACACATGGCCCAAGCAGACGAAAGCGGAAGAACCCAAGCACGCGAAAACAGCCGGAAGAAGAGTTAACTAGGTTAGGACTAATAGCTGTGATGTTGCTGGGCGGTAGGGGTGGACTATGGAGTAGGGAAGTAGAGTAGGGGGAGTAGGGGGAGTAGAGTAGGGGGTAGATAGTAGAGTAGGAGTAAAGCATAGAACTCCTTGTTTACCCGGCGGGGCTGCTGAGTAAGAGGCTTAGATAAGGCGGGAGGGCAGGAGTTGACCAGTGAGAAGACGTCTTTCTGCCCATGGAGCGTCCACTGGCGGAGAGCTCGCCATGACTAAGCTGACTAACCAGGACAAGTGGTAAGGTCCATGTCACGCCCTGTACCGGTACCTCGTCACCCACCCAAGAAAAGGGCAGACAGAAGGTACCTTGACATGTGCCCCCAGCCAATGTCTTGCGCCCTCTCCCCATGTGCCTGTGCCTCGAGGGGATAAGATAAGATATGGATGGCAGATCGGAGTTTGTTACGGAGTCTGTTATGTTATATCTCCTTGGCTTCACCTCATCACAGGCCCCCTCGACAGAGAGTAAGTGTTTCTACAGAGTACTACATAAGTGTATATAGAGTACTACGTGGCCTCTTTGTCCTCCCAACAATACAGGTACGCGGGTACAGAGGTACAAGAGTACGGCCCAACGGTTCAGATGACTAAGCGGCCCTGGTACCTGGCTAGGAAGTCACGTGGAGATGACTAAGGGCGGACTCCCGTCTGAGTGTCCGACAAGACATCCATATATATGTATAGAGAGACATATATATAGCCCATAGAGAGAGACATATATACAGTGTATAGAGAGAGAGAGAGATAATCTGGATAGACAGTCTGGATAGTCTGGATAGTCTAGATACGAAAATGAGAGCACCATATACCATCCTGCAGTGCGCGGCCGAGGACACCGCAGAGATAGCGACCCTCGAGCGAGCAGCCTACACCGAACCCCGGACGCTCTTCATGTTCGGCTCGCCTACCCCGTCCTCCCTCCGCGCGCGCGCAGACAGGTTTGCAGAGACCATGACGGACCCTGCATCCAGATGGACCAAGGTCGTGATCGACGGGAAGATAGTCGGTGTTGCGCTGTGGGGGTTCAGGACCACCGACGACTGGATGGACAAGCTGATCGGGCCCGAGAAGGAAGACGAGTACAGCGAAGATGGCAAGGAGGGGCTGCCTGAGGCCGGTCGGGCGGCTAGATATGCGGTCTTCAACTGGCTGTATGGTGTCAGGAAGAGGCGGATGGCGGGGAAGCCTCATGTCTGTACGTTGTCCCTCTTTGTCTTGTATGTTTGGTATTGTGTTAACAGATCAGTGTTGAACTTCTTGGTCGTGCATCCGGACTATCAACGACGAGGCATCGGGGGAGCTCTCATCCAGTATGGCCTGCAGGAGGCGGATAAGCTAGGTGTTCCCGCCTGGCTCGAGTCTTCGGCCGCTGGGTTCCCGGTGTATAAAAGCCATGGTTTCGAGGTGGTGGAGGAGTTCAACGTCCGGCTGGTGGACTATGGAGGGACAGAGGAAGACGGTGATGCGCCGTCGTGGGCGATGTTGAGGAAGCCAGCCACATCCTTGAACTAGCATCTTATCTTATCTTATCGTCACGTGTGGAGGGGCTGCCACTGGTTATAGTCGACCTCATATAGAACTTCCACGATAAACTGTATATAAAGATAAATAAATATATATATATATATATATATAAATATGGATAATCGTATATGATACGATATAAAATGACTGTCCTCGACGATGAAGGATGAAGGATGAAGGATGCGGGGTGACAGTTACCCCACACGCTCCTATTTATACGAGATGATACATCTATCTCTACTGACATCCTGACCATCATAGAGGCAAGGCACAGGTTAACAGCACCATGGAAAACACAAAGCCAGAAGCAGCTGCGTTGGCATCTCATTTCGCCGCCCGAGATGCCCTCATATCCAAAGAACTGTCTCTCCGCAGCGGTAAGCCAGGCATCCACTTACTCCATTCCATAACTAACCCAACGATATACAGATGCCCCCTTCCGAGATGGCCTCTCCCCCATAGCCGCCCGCGCATGCGCCATAGTCTCCAACATTCGCACTGCAGAACACGCATCTATCTGGAAACATGACCCTTCCCACCCCCACAACGAAGAAGGCGTCGAGCTCTACCCCGGCATGATGTTCGGTCTAGCCAAGCGGAAGCTAGAATCGACCTTTCTATGGAATATAGCCAAGCGAATGCCAAAGGGCACATTACTGCACTGTCACCTTGGCGCCATGGTGGAGGTGGACTGGTTGTTCGAACAGGTCCTTGACGTTAAGGGGTTACACGTTTGTGCTTCAGAGGCGTTAGATTCAGATACGTCTCGGGCCAGGGCGGTAGTGTTGTTTAAATACATCGGTACTACCACCGCGGCGAGTGGTGCGTCCATATGGTCATCAGACTATAAGGCGAATACATACGTACCTGCTTCTCAGGCGGCAGATGCGTTCCCGTCAGCGGGTCGAAGCGGCTTCGTCGCATGGCTTACTGAACGAAGCGTGATAAGCGAACAAGCGTCAATTGAGCACCATCTAGGCGTCGACGAGGTATGGCGGAAAATGGCCAGTGCGTTCCCCACGCTGGGTTCTCTGCTGGGCTACGAGCCGGTGTATAGATTGTTTATCCGCAAGATGTTACAGACGTTGGCGGCGGATGGGGTGCGATGGGTAGAGATACGGGATGTCTTTGGCTCGCCGTTTGCAAGGGAAGGACAGGATGTGCCGGATTCAGGGTTTGAGTATCGTGTTGCTGTGATGGGGGAGGAGCTCGAGGCGTTTAAGAAGACAGAGGAAGGGAAAGGGTTTTGGGGTGGGCGTATCATCTGGACGGCCCTCCGGTCGTTGGACGCCAGTCTGATACTCAACAGTACGTTATTGTCATCTTTTCTGTTTACATGTATCATTTTCTAACGAGCTTCTAGGTATGAAGGATTGTCTGCGGGCGAAAAAGGCATATCCCCATCTAATCGCCGGCTTCGATCTCGTTGGTCAAGAAGATCTAGGCCAACCACTCTCAACTCTCGCCCCACAACTCATCTGGTTCCGACAACAATGTATATCCCAGGGCCTCGAGATACCTTTCTTCTTCCACGCCGGCGAATGTCTCGGAGACGGCGACAGCACAGACCGCAACCTCTACGACGCAATAATCTTCAACACCCGTCGGCTCGGCCATGGCTTCTCACTATACAAACACCCTCATCTCATCGATCTAGTTAAACAACGCCGAATAATGATCGAAAGCTGTCCGATATCCAATGAGGTACTCCGTCTTACGGCAACGGTGTTGGCTCACCCTCTACCTGCCCTGTTGGCCCGTGGAGTATCTGCATCACTTAGTAATGATGATCCTGCACTGCTGGGGCAAGGTACGTCTGGAATGTCGCATGATTTCTGGCAGGCGTTGCAGGCATGGGAGAATCTAGGGTTGGCGGGACTCGGTTCGTTGGCAGAGAATAGCATACGGTATGCTGCTTTTGAAGACGAGAGTGATGAGAAGTGGATGAAGGGGATTGATGGGGGTTATGAAGGGGGTGGTATCAAGGCAGAGAGGATGAAGCTGTGGCGTGATGAGTGGGAGGCGTTTTGTCAGTGGATTGTTGACGAGTTTGGGGATAATTGGGCATAGTAGATGGTATAAAAATAGATATTCTGGCATTCAACTGCGGAATCTAAAATGATACAAATATAGAGGTATTCTTTTATTGGTTAGCTCGGCGCCTAAATTGAGTGTTCATTGTTCATACATAGATGAACAAGCTAAGTAGCCGGGAACGCGGCGGGAGCAGAGTCCTTTATTAAAGAGAATATACATATCTTTGACATCTTCAACATCTAGGCATCTTTAACATCTAGGCATCTTTAACATCTAGGCATCTTTAACATCTAGGCATCTTTAACATCTAAGCATCTTCAACATCTAGGCATCTACTATTCTGATACAGCCACACCACCATGTCGTCGCCGTCAGCCTTTCGAGAGACCATGAGAGGCCTTCTCTTACATGGAGATTACTCGGATATGGAAATAACTTGTCAAGGGTTCACTTTTAAGGTCCATCGTGCCATCGTTTGCACTCAGTCACCCTTCTTCAAAGCTGCCCTAAGAAGTGGTTTCAAGGTAAGTTAGGCCAGAACAAATGTAGATTACATATCTAACTAATATTTATCCAAAGGAAGCAACTAGCCAGACTGTTGACTTGCCCGATGATGACGTCGAGACAATCGAACGCGTTATTTCCTACCTTTACCTACAAGAGTACGAAGAGACCGACCATATAGTGCCATTAGATGGCAACGTAACGCGAGAGCAATCAACCGATACCCAAACTGACGCAGACGATTCAAGCTCGAAGGACCCAAAAGACCCTTCAGCAACCGTCGAGCCCACAAGAGCCATTGCGGACAATAACATTCAGGTCTACATAGTTGCCGACAAATTTGGCATCACTCCTTTGAAATGCCTGGCTACCGAGAGATTCGCTCGCTGGGTAAACACAGGCTGGGAGTCGGCAGCGTTTCTCGATATCGTCACAGACGTAATGACTACATTACCTCCGCATGACTTGGGCCTTCGCAACATCGTCATTGATACTATCTCAAAACATCTCACAGTCCTTGTGAAACAAGGGACGATTCTGCCGTTGATAGAGGCTTTTGGGAGCCTTGGATCGGGAATTATTGCAAAATTGGTGGAAAGCAGTAGGGTTGTGGGGAAAGCAGTGGAGCAAAATCTGACACTCACCAAACTTGCATCAAAGGTGAATAGCATTAAGACGTGCAGACACTGTTCCAGGGCACTAAACGTGAGGATGGAAAATGGAGAGTATCAGGATGCCACAATCCGCTGCGCTACGTGTCTAACGCGACATTAATGTGGTCTATATTTCTGATTTTCCAGGACGCAGGAGTCTGATTAGCTTTTCGTGTCTCTACTACCATGATCCAGAAAGTACCATGAGGAGAGAATTGCAGGGTATATTTTCAAAAGTTGTGCCATCCTCTATCTCGATGTCATGCATGGATCGTGTGTACCTAGGTGTACATTTACTAGTTTTGTTTTGTTTACACTGTTTGCATCCCACTTTGCGGCTGAATAATAGCCTCCTGTAAATATATTAATCCGGTCAACGATACTAGTCTATATAAAGAGGCATTGATCCTATTGGTTAAATCTGATATAAATGGTACAGTACTGTCATATGCTGATTAATATACTTAATAAGCAGTAAATTACCTAACGTAATCCACATGCGAGCCGGCCACCCAAGCGAGCCGGCCACCAAATTCAAACGCGTACACTTTTCAACTAATTAACAACTTCTATACGCGATAATGCTACCAATTCATAACAAAAATAATAGAAACTCTATAGAGATAGAGGGAAAGATTAAACTTATAATTCTTGCTTTAAAAAATAAAGAAATTACCTCTATTTATAAAGCTATATATCAATTTAATATACTAAGGTCAACTCTTATAGATCAACTTAAAGGCCACCCTTTATATATAAATTTATACGCAAACTTATATAAATTAACAAATACTAAAGAGGAATTACTTATTTAATAGATTCTGGACCTAGATAAATAAGGACTACCACCCTAGCCTACCTTTGTTAAGAATATGGCTAATCATCTTCTTTTGTTACAGACCACCTGCGGCGCAGCCCCAGAGTATATGCTCATTGGATGGACAAGATGGAACAGAACAACCACGTCCCACTCGCCTAGTCACCTGACTCACTAGAGTAACTAAGAGAGTAGGGAGAGCTAGTATAAGTCGCCAGGTTGATAGAGTTAATGGTGCGACTAAGTAACTTAGGAGAATAGAATATACAAGGACTTATATATAAAGATACTTATTACCTTAAGATTAAGAGTCTTATACTTGTGATTAAACTAGCTATAGTTTTACTATACTACTTAATATAAAGCACCATTCTAGTTATCTTATACTATATTTACTAAATACCCCTTTGCCCATTGATGTAGGTTAACTTTGTCTTCACTACTTATAAGAACCTTTAGCCTTTATCCGACCTAGATACTAACTGAAGCCACACTTGGAACTAAGGGATAGACTTACTATAGTATTCTATCTTACCCTAGTACTAAGCCGTCTCCTATAATAACTCACTTCTAACCTAAGCTTTCTCTAAGACCTTCGTACCTTCTGTTTTATAGTAGGTATAAACCTCTAATTACCTTTAGGTAATCAAGGAGCACCATCAGCTTATAATATTAATCGCCCCAACTTCACGGTTACAAAGAGGCATAATCAATTTTAACTTGATAGAGCCTCAACTTCATGGTTATAAAGAGGCAAAAGTAATTCCGACTTACTAAAGCCACCATACTGTTATAGACACTCTGATCTGAGTGACTTATAATTATATATCAAGAAGGATAAAACTAGGTACGTATCACCCTACCCCTAAGAGTATACTAACTACAGGAATATACTAAAGCAAGACGAGCCAATATGTCATTAGTAAGTAGACCAACCACCAACACCAACGCCTTGTTAGGGCAAATGCAACAGAAAATCATCAAGTTAGAAAAAAGAGTCAAAGAGCAACCTAATGATAAGCAGCTGGATAAGACTAACAAATAAGTGGAAGAATAATGAAGATTACTTAACAAATGCAAAGATATTATTAAATAGACTTTAGAATAAGTTAAAAGTCACAAAGACGCCATTAACATACTTAGAGTTAGAACCAGAGATAAGAGAACTACTATTAAGATTTATAAATCTAATACTTATAAAGGAGACCGCGCCAAACTGAAACACTTCCTAGGGGAATATAACATCTATCTGGTAACTAAACCAGGAGTTACTAATATGGAAAAGATTATCTTTATAAGATCCTATATGTGAGAGGTAGTAACAATATGGTTCAAACCATATCTCAAGGACTGGACTAACACTGGAGGACGACCCATACTATACGCGGATGTACTCAACAGCTACACATAATTTAAACAAGTACTCAGACAATTCTTTAGAGACACTAACAGAAAAAGGACCCTATAATACAAACTATAAGGACTTAAATAAACCAGGGACGCAGCGCAGTACGCAGTGCAACTATAGCAAATCTGTCAAGAACTAGGAATCCACGACGACGAGTAGAAAATGGCTATATTTAAACAAGGACTGAAACCAGAAACCTAATATGAAACCATCAAGATAGGACCATATAACAGTTTTGAATAAATGGTTGAAATGGCAGTACGTATTAATGATCAACTCTATAACCTACAAAACATATGGTAAGGGAAGAACACTTTCTGGAAAGTAAACCAATATAAAGGGTTAAATAAACACAATAATTACAGCACCACACCCATGGAATTAGACGCCACTAAAAAATAACCTTATAATACCAAAAAAAGCAAAAGATGTAGGGACAAGAAGCTATATTTCTACTATAAGAAACTCAGGCATATCACAAAAGACTATAGGAAGAAATAAGGGGATACTAAGAAGCACCTTAACGCTACCACTATATCTAAGACTAGTAGCCATAAGAAGAAATAGGGTAGAGGAGGCTACTAAGACTTACAGAATATCAGACAATACCTTAGGGCAATAAGGAAAGTCACCTATCTATAGCCACCAGAAAATGAACTCGACGACACATATAAACAAGTACCTAATATATAGCAACAATAAGGATAGCAGAAACAGGACAAATAGATTGAACAAGGAAAATAACTAGTATTGATACAACAGAACGCGATGATAGGACAACAAACATATAATCCAGCGACAAGCCCAAACCAAGGAATTATGACACCAGAACAAACAGACTCAGAAGGAGAAACCGAATCAGAATATGAAGATACACAGGAAACAAACAATTGGGAAAACAAAGCACTATAAATAACATTCAAAGACAGTCATAAACTACTACGGGAACAAAGAGAGAAATATGATAACTAGATACCTAATAAACACTAGACAGTGTGCAAAGAAAAAGGACTATATTTCAGACATAATAAGGAAAAACAAACGGAAGTCAGAGACCTTAGGCACCCATGCCATAATAAATATGGGTAGAACTACCACTACAAATACCACATCTTTAAAGAAATATAGAAATCAGGACGAAGATTTCATTATAAAAACTATATAAAATGTCTATTATATAGAGACAGCAAGAACATCCACTAGAGGTATTGTATAGATAAGGAATATCTAGTATACATCAATAAATACTTAGGATAGATAGATGGAAAAAGTGTCAATATAATGGACTAAGAAAACATAATGCCACACGAACGACTAGAAGTCTTATACTAGAAAATAGGCAAACAAATCACTATATAGTATAAAGGATATACCACATAGTTTGAAGGAAAAGCAGCAACCAGATATTGGTTAAAGATGACATAACACTTACAAAAACAACTACAGCTCCAAGAGAGTTGAAAGGACCGAGTAACATGGACAACAGAGTACCTAGATAAGGACTTAACAGACAAACTTAGTTAGGAAGAACTAAATAAGGAAATTCAGGCTTTAACTAGTGCTAAAGGACTATACAACGGAACTTATAATCAATAAATCAAGATAATAGGAAATGGACAATTTCGACAGTCTATAGGACTTAAAATAGACAGAAGTCTAGCTATAATAAGAGGAAAGAATCACTTAGCGATAGTAGTTTAATTAGTAGAGCTAAACGCGCGAGCACTGATTAATTTAGAAGCTACTAGAAACTTCATAGATCTGGAATTTGTAAAGTAGTTAGGGATTTATACCTAAATAAAAAAGGAACTATACAAACTAGGAGGACTTAATGAAGATTGGAACCAAAGAATCGACAAGGAAACCAGAGGTATGAAGGTATATGTCAAAGGATGGTACAAGGGAACAGAATGTTTTAACGTGATAAGCCTAGGGAGTTACAACATAGTCTTGGGACACCCTTGGTTAGTAAAATATAACCTAACTATTAACTAGAGAGACGGCACATTGTGACTAGATAGTAGAAACCGCCACTCTGATCAGAAGACTGATACCCTTGCGGCCACCTACACCAAAAGAAGGGATTGAGGTCAGATACTGAGCAAGACGCCCTAGGTCAAAATAGGAATAACAGGAACTATAAATAATTAATTAACAAAGAAGCAGGAAACAGTTTACTAAACAGAGGAAGCTACTGAAATAGATAAACTACAATAACAAATACCAAAGGAGTATCACAACCTAATCGAGGTATTCAAAGAACAAGAACCATCAGAAAGCTTGCCGGAATATCAGGCATGGGATCATAAGATACCCCTAATGGAAGGGAAGACGCCTATATACAAACCCACATACAGGTTGACCAAGACAGAACTTGAAGCATTATGAAGATATATTAATAACAACTTAGTAAAAGGATACATATGACAATCATAATCACCAGTAGAATACCCAATCATCTTTGTATCAAAGAAAGATAGAAGTCTATGATTATGCGTGGATTACTAACAACTTAACAATATAATAATCAAGAACTAATACCCATTACCACTTATTAATGAGATATAAGACAGATTCAGAGGAATAATATACTTCACGGCATTAGATATACAAGAAGCCTACTACCAGATATAAATGAAAGAAGGTAAAGAATAGAAAACAGTATTCAGGACATAATTTAGATTATACAAATTCTTGGTTATACCTTTTAGATTAACTAACACACTAGTAACATTCTAGGCGCTTATCAATAACGTGCTACGCGAATATTTGGATATATTTATAGTAGTATACCTAGACGACATTCTGATATTTACTAAAGGAACCTAAGAAGACCATATAGAAAAAGTCAGATAAGTACTTAAGAAACTTAAAGAGTATAAGCTTTACCTCAAAG